AGAATAGATTGTTCGCGACGATCGTGTAAGGGATAAACACATTTAATCTTGTTTTCTCGTCGGTAAATGTTATGAAGTAGGATGGTGCACTTTTTGGCAGGTTGTGAACAGGTCCGAATATGTCGGTATGTAGACATTGGAAAGGTTCATACGAGTTTTGGTATTTTACTCGTGATCCCTTGACATGTCTGTGTTTAGTACTTTTGCCGATTAAGCAATCTGGGCATTGGTATGTAGTAGCTTTAAACCAATCGACATCTGATTCCTTTAGATACGTGATTGAGTTATTATTTAGAGAGTTCTGAACGGTTTGAGCATTAGCGTGGCCAAGCATTCGATGAATCAAAGGATAGGGATACTTGTGTGAGCCTTCATCAGTACCGTTTTATTGTTAACTATTGGCACAGATAGGTTCGAGGGAATCAAGTATTTTTTGGATGGCCAGTAAAAGTCCCCATGTCGAACGATAGGAGCAAGTACGGTACCATCAGATCGCTCTAAGGTATTTTTGGTAAAACAGGCAGTGATATTTTGCTTAGCTAGCTCACTCAAACTGAGTAGATCATGAGCTATGTTCGGAGTATGTAGTACTGTGATTGATGTTTTAGTATTGTCTTCGAATTTGAATTGGAGATTACCAATGGCGTTGATTGGTATTTCCTTTTTTTGAGCATCAATTGCGCTTATGTCAATATTAGGCGATGCTGAGTTTATGTGATGAGCGGATCTGATAAGGGTTTGTGATGCACCTGAATTGATAAGAAGATGTCCAGGAAGTTCATCATTTGAATGATCCGTGCGGTTTACCTTGGACTCAGTATGTATTTGGCCTAAGGTGAAGGTCATATTGATTGTTCAAGTATATTGTTCGATCAGGTGATTCGTCCATCGAATCATTGTTCTTGTCAAAAGAGTTATGAGATGTAGAAATGTTATTAGTTTTGACCGTTCTTGATTTTGAGTTCCTTGCTTTTTGAGGGTTACGACGAGTTACAGTTTTGGCTTTGTTTATATCCGGAGAGACTCGAGAAATGTTCTTGTCATCTTTAGGAATCCTTGGGTAAGTAGGCTTAAGGCGTTCCGATTCCTGTTGTACTTCATATATGGCATGAATGTCCAGGAACAGTTCTGCGACTGTCATGTTTTGGTGGCGATGACGTGTGTAGCGTAAGAATCTGTATTCCCCAGAGAGACCTCTTATAATTAATTTACATGCGAGCTTGTCATTGATAGAAACACCATTATTGTTTAGTCTCTCGATTGTATTCGTGATATTTGTTTCAAACTCGTCTGCTGGTGTACTGCCATTGTAGTGGATATTAGTGATCGTTATCAGGTCGTTGACATCTTGATTATCGGATTGCATTTTTTCAAAGCTTTTCGAAAGAACCTTCATGATATCTGTATAATCAACAGATAAGATATCTTTGACCCAAGTAGGTAGGAAATGAGATGGAGCAAACGTTTGAAAAGTGTCGTACAAGAAGGTATGTTCGTCGTATGTTATCTGCCGTATAGGTCTTCCGTCCGTCGTCGGGATAATGTCACCGAGAGTTGAATTTTGTAAAAATTTAACGTAAGTTTTGATCCAATTTAGAAAATCATTTGATGATGTTAAAATTGGTGGTGGTCGAACAGATTTGTTGACGGTAAGTGTGTTACAGGGCTCGGGGGATGTGGCGCAAACAGATTTGTTGACGGGTGTCACATCTGACTTCGTTGAAGGTGGCTTGGTAAGTGTGTTACAGGGCTCGGGGAATGTGGCGCTCAAAGGCGTTCCGGCAGTTGGCGTATACTGTATACACTGTGGTTGTGGCCCAGGTGGATAGTACATGGGCGACATTTGATTAGGTGTGTACGGCATCGTATATGGGTGACCGTATACTTGCCAACCGGACGGATTGGCTTGATTTGGAGTCATCATGCACTGCTGTGAGTACGGGCCATTCTGTGGAAGTGGTACTTGAGCAGTGTGAGGAGAGGCATGATGAGTGTTCTCTGAAACATCTGTTGGCACAGGTGTTGTTTCTTTTTGAGAATTTGCCTTAGTGGAAAGCTTATCATATTCGTTTATTTTGGAAGCTGAAACGTCTAATGGATCTTGATTCGTGTGGACTTCTTACGAAGCACAGGCGCTACCATTTCATTATCCTATTACATTATCAATCCTTGCATTTCAGCTTCCACTAACTTCGATGTCCGTTTCTCATTCTTTATGTCATCTTAAAACACCGTGTATGATAATATACTAGTAACACGAATACTAGTCGATGGTCGATAGTTGTATTTCGTTCCAACAATTTGACATTTTTGGGAGTACCAGAAAGAATGAAGTTTTTTGTAAGTATCGAGATCTATATGTTTAAAAAACCCACAAGCTTTACATTGGACTCCAAAGAAGAAGAATAGTCTTGGATATTTGGGACGAAGTTATAATTTACGGCGGCCCGTAATGGCAAACGAATGGGTTACATCCATTAACTTTAAAGGCATTTTACATTTACACGATTGATTTTGAACTTTTTTTGGAATACGAGAACGGCATTAACTGTTGTTTTCGATATCAGAGTGTCGATATTGGCGACAGATTTGATATCCAGTTTTTTCCGATATTTTCACTAGCGATCATGTGCTGAAACGAAAAGAAGATGCCGTAGAGTATGTCCTCGCTTTAACACGAAATACGAAGGGCGTGTGGTCTAGTGGTATGATTCTCGCTTTGGGCGAAGTTCAAGAAAAACTTGGGCTATTTAACCACAAGCATGCGAGAGGCCCTGGGTTCAATTCCCAGCTCGCCCCAATTTTTTGCTTTTAAAATCTACATAACATGGAGTAGTAATTTAAAGTTATCCAAGCTGGACTACCTCTCCAGTGGAAGAATTTGCAAATTTCTCTTCAAATTCGATCGAACATGTGTGGCTCTACAGTATGATCCTATCTTAGGAGTCTTTCAAAAAATAATTGTTATAAGAGACAATCAATATCGCATTTTTCTGTAATTATATGGTACATGAAAACAAACTAACTAAAAATGAATAACAATTACAAGAGATCACATCGTATTACTATTTTATCATGAAATCTATCATGGGTAATAATGGAATGTCATTAATTTCTTGAGTTAGTTTAATCAACTTCTTCAACAGTTGGACCTTCAGCTTCTGGGGCTGGAGCACCACCTGGGAAGCCACCTGGGGCAGCACCTGGGGCGGCACCTGGAGCACCACCAGCTTGGTACAACTTAGACATAATTGGGTTGGAAACGTCTTGCAATTCCTTCAATTGGTCGTTGAACTCTTCAGTGGTAGCAGTGGTGTTGCTGTCCAACCAAGCAATGACTTCGTCACACTTCTTGGTCAAGGTTTCCTTGTCGGCAGCCTCCAACTTGTCACCGGCCTCAGATAGAGTGTTCTTCAAAGAGTAGGCCATGGATTCCACTTGGTTCTTAGCACCGATTCTAGCAGCTTCCTTTTCGTCCTCATCCTTGAACTTTTCAGCTTCAGAAACCATTCTCTCGATGTCCTCCTTTGACAATCTACCCTTGTCGTTGGTGATGGTGATCTTTTCGGACTTACCAGTACCCTTTTCAACGGCAGAGACGTTCAAGATACCGTTAGCATCAATATCGAAAGTAACCTCGATTTGTGGGACACCTCTTGGAGCTGGAGGAATACCAGTCAAGTCGAATTTACCCAACAAGTTGTTGTCCTTAGTTCTAGCTCTTTCACCTTCGAAAACTTGAATCAAGACACCTGGTTGGTTGTCAGCATAAGTAGAGAAGACTTCAGACTTCTTGGTTGGGATAGTAGAGTTTCTTGGAATCAACTTGGTCATGACACCACCAGCGGTTTCAATACCCAAAGACAACGGAGCAACATCCAACAACAACAAATCTTGAGTCTTGGAAGATTGGTCACCAGTCAAGATAGCAGCTTGAACTGCAGCACCGTAAGCAACGGCTTCATCTGGGTTAATGGATCTGTTTGGTTCCTTACCGTTAAAGTAGTCAGAAACCAACTTCTGAACCTTAGGAATTCTGGTAGAACCACCGACCAAGACAATTTCGTTTACTTGAGACTTGTCCAATTTGGCGTCTCTCAAAACCTTCTCAACAGGATCCAAAGTAGATCTGAACAAATCGGCACACAATTCTTCGAATCTAGCTCTGGTGATAGAGGTGTACAAATCAATACCCTCAAACAAAGAGTCGATTTCGATAGAAGTTTGAGCGGAAGAAGACAAGGTTCTCTTGGCTCTTTCACATGCAGTTCTCAATCTTCTCAAGGCTCTTTGGTTAGTAGTCAAGTCCTTCTTGTTCTTTCTCTTGAATTCTTGAACGAAGTGGTTGACCAATCTGTTGTCGAAATCTTCACCACCCAAGTGAGTGTCACCAGCGGTAGCCTTGACTTCGAAAATACCATCTTCGATGGACAATAGAGAGACATCGAAAGTACCACCACCCAAGTCGAAAATCAAGACGTTCTTTTCACCTTCGTCCTTCTTGTCCAAACCATAGGCGATAGCAGCGGCAGTAGGTTCGTTAATGATACGCAAAACGTTCAAACCAGCGATGGTACCAGCATCCTTGGTAGCTTGTCTTTGAGAGTCGTTGAAGTAAGCTGGAACAGTAACGACAGCATCGTTAACCTTGCAACCCAAGTAAGATTCAGCGGTTTCCTTCATCTTACCCAAAATCATAGAAGAGATTTCTTCTGGAGTGAAAACCTTGGTCTCACCCTTGTATTCAACTTGAATTTGAGGCTTACCGCTGACATCAACAACCTTGAATGGGAAGTGCTTGATGTCACCTTGAACTTCAGCATCGCTGAAGTTTCTACCGATCAAACGCTTAGCGTCGAAAACGGTGTTAGATGGGTTCATAGCAGCTTGGTTCTTAGCAGCATCACCAATCAATCTTTCGGTGTCAGTGAAAGCGACGAAAGATGGGGTGGTTCTGTTACCTTGGTCGTTAGCCAAGATCTCCACACGGTCGTTAGAGAAGTGTGCAACACATGAGTAAGTAGTACCCAAATCAATACCAACGGCCTTAGACATTGTTTGTATTCTTTATTAGTATTATTGGAGTATAAAGAAAAAGAATAAATGTGTATTTCACATAATGAAAAGTTAGGTCCTCGACCTTTATATACACTCTCGAAGACAATCGACCTTGAAATCTCGACGTAATCAAATTTCATTCTGGAAAGTTCTATCGAAATTCCAGGAAAAATTTTTATACGTCAATGATAAAGTAAACAAAGACACGTGACCACAAAGCCACTTTTGCCATCACATACGTGAAGCTTCTAGTAGCATTGATACGGAAAGGCATACTAGAAAAACGCAATTGCAACAGTTATGTGTTGAAAGTATGTTTAAAAGCTAAGCTATAATCGAGAAGAATTTAATTTTGCTTGGCAGCTGATGTCGCCGGAGATGGCCCCGCCAAATTGTACTTGCCTAACTGCCTTATGTTCGACTTGAATTGCATGTAGATATTTTTAACCTGAGGAAATACCTTGGGATGGCTCACAAGCCCATCGAGACGGACCTCCCATTTTTTCACACAGCTCTTCATATATGGAGATTTTTCGTATCTAACTTTGATGAAAACCGAGTAGATTATTGCGACAATCCAAGAACGAGGATACCACAACAGTGCTCTAAGCAAGACAATAATCAAACAGCATAATTCACTAAAACTGGACCAATTCATGGACTTGTCGTTATTTTGACGAACGAAACTGTCAACGAGAGTCAAGATTTTTGAGTTCTCGCTCAAATGGAACACTTGTGGAAGCAAAACGGACTTCAGGTACGTCAAAAAGTGAAACAATGAGAAAACAACGTAAGGGACCATGGTGATGGTCAATCTTGGGGTAGCTATCCAAAGAAGAGCGACCCCTAAGTACAGAACATTGTCATCCAAGAGAAGATCACGAGGAGATGTCTTATTCGTGGACCGCAAATGTTGTTGATCAATGATAACACTGAATGACTCTATGACCCCCAAATACATAACGCGGTATAATGTGTTGTGAAAACCTGAGCTACCTCCGCGAAACGTTAACAAATACAGGGCTGAGCTGAACAAAACAACGACATGCCCGATAAACCAAGCAAATTGACTGGTACGTGCAACTTCTAAAAAGCTTGAGAGCGTAGACTGCTGTGCGGATCGATTAGCGGACATCGCAATTCTTAAAATTGTATTGTTAAGAAGGAACGTTGAGATTAGGGATCGTGAAAAGTTAACGAACTTCTAATCATTCGTATGAGAAGACACTGGAGTAAACTTATTTTACTATATACAGACTATGCTAGATAAAAATGAATATGACTAAACTGTCACTGTTTTCTTGGTTTTTTTTCATTCTCTACGTCTGGTTTTGAACTAGATTTTCTCTTTTTTACCATAGAAGTTAAGTCATTCACAGGCGCTGGGACAGAACTGTCGCCCGATAAGGCGCGCTGGATTTGAAGCATGCCTTCGCTTTTAAGAGCTTCCAATGGGTTCTTAACAGCTTGCAATTCCCTAAGCTTTAGTTTGAGTTCTTTCAATAAATCCTTATCGCCCTCTTCTGCATGCTTTTCATCGATTCGCCTTTTCAGAAGTTGAACGGCTTTGTTTAGGTTTTCTTTACAAGATTCGCTTTCTAACGGATCAAATTCCAACGCTAGGGACAACTTGTAATATGACTCGATGATAAGTCTGTTAGTTGGATCCTCACTACTGTAGAGCTTTTGACGAATTTGCAGGCAATGCTGGAAATCTTCCTTCGCCTGGCTGAAATTTTCGGCCTCCAGAGATATCTCTCCAAGAATATCATAGGTTTCTGACAGTTTTTTCATGATCTCAGGTTTATCCCCTTGCTTTTCGTATATGGCACGCGCTAAGTCTAAAATTTCCCAGGCACTTTCAAAATCATCGGACTTTTCATCTTCCTCATTGTCTCCATCTTCTTCACCATCATTGTCTCCATCTTCTTCACCCTCGGCTAACTGGTGTGTGCCAACTTTCTCCTGCCCGTGAGCTTCCTCACTCTCTGTATTTTCTCTCTCCTCTTCCACTATTTCGTCTCCCTCTGCTAAAACCTCGTTAAATTGGTACATTTGCTGCTTCTGTTCAGAACTCTCATCCTGGTCCTCATTTATAGGATCCTCATCATCAGGACCACCACCCAATACTTCAGAATGACTCAATGCCAGTTGAAATAGTGACTTTCCATATAAATATAGATAATCTGCATTATTTTGCCCTGTTAATGCATCATTAAGCTCATTCAGCTCAGAGTACAGATTTGTGGATTTTTCAAAGTCTTTAACTGCGTAATACTTTGCCGCTTCGCTCAGCAAACTTTTGATATTTTCGTCTGTTGACATTGTTGGATTGGGATTTGTAGAATCCTGGCTATGGTAGCCATCATTTACTCTTTCTTCAAAAAAAACGCGTTTTCGCGTCATTTTACCGTACAACATGCTTATCGATAGCCTGGAGAAAAGGAAAATTTTGATTTGGAAATTCTTGGTAAAACACGCTGTCAATAAACACAGATCAGGTCCCAATGCTGGCTAGTGGTTCCCCTGAAGAGGTTGCTCCAAGCAATACCGAGACTAAAGAATTAGAATCCACTCCTAAGGTCAAGCAAGAAGAATTGTCCCCAGTAAATGATGAAGTATCAATTTCGAATGGGAATGGCGCAGATCTGCATCAAGAAACACCACAGAGTAATGAAAGACAGGTTTTGCCAGATCAACCAGACTTGAAGGTAATTCAACGAAAGATAACTGGTTATGTTGGTTTTGCAAATCTGCCAAAGCAATGGCACCGCAGGTCGATCAGAAACGGTTTCAATCTCAACCTCTTATGCGTTGGTCAAAAGGGGCTAGGTAAGTCCACTTTGATCAACACGCTGTTTAATAAAGACCTCTATGATTTGTCAGAGCGCCCTGTAACTGAAATGGCTGACTTGAAGTTAGAGGATGGAGTCAACCCTCCAGAACAATTGGAGGAAGAGCAACCCACCATCAAGATTGAAACGGTGTCGACGGAGATCGAGGAGAATGGGGTGAGATTAACTTTAAACGTGGTTGATGCTCAAGGGTTTGGCGATGCAATTGACAACACCGACTCTTGGAATCCCATTGTTGACGAAATTAATTCCAGGTTTGATCAGTACCTGGATGCAGAAAATAAGATCGAGAGAACTGTCATTACAGACAACAGAATTCATGCCTGTTTATATTTCATAGAACCCACCGGGCATTGTCTTTCTCCTCTGGACATTGAATTTTTCAGGGCAGTTCATGAAAAATGTAACCTAATTCCAGTAATTGCGAAATCTGATATTCTAACAGATGAAGAAATTGAGAAATTCAAAGTAACCATAAAAGATCAGTTGAATGAAGCAGAAATCAAGCTATTTGAGCCCCCAAAGTACTTAATTGACGATGAGGAGACCACTAACAGATCTGACAAGTTACATTCCAAAATACCCTTTGCTGTGGTAGGATCTACCTCCGATGTTTCCACTCCAGATGGGCGTGTCGTAAGGGGTCGTGCTTACCCATGGGGTATCATCGAAGTTGACAACGAAGCACATTCAGACTTCGTGTACCTGCGTGATCTCCTAGTTAGACAATACTTGGAGGAACTGCGTGAAAGGACTAGCAATATACTCTATGAAAACTACAGATCTGAAAAGCTGAAGAACCTCGGTATTAAACAGGATAACTCTGTCTTTAGAGAATTTGACCCTGATTTGAGACAAAAGGAAGAAAAACAGTTGCATGAAGCTAAGCTTGCAAAATTGGAAGCTGAAATGAAAGCGGTTTTCCAACAGAAGGTCAATGAGAAGGAAAAAAAGCTACAAAAATCGGAAGCTGAACTATTTGCCAGACATAAGGAAATGAAAGACAAACTAACGAAGCAGTTGAAAGCACTAGAAGACAAGAAACACCAATTGGAAATGTCCTTGGTCAATCAATCTGCGAACTCCCCAGTGCAAACCAAGAAAAAGGGGTTTTTACGTTAAGAAGCTAAATGCGTATTTGTATATTTAGTTAAGAAATGCCATATGTTTGAGTGAAATGTTTTACATTTTTAGTCTTATTTCATATGATTTCTGATGTATGGTTGAAAGTCTGTATTACTGCAAATAAACGTCAAAGAAGTAATATATTTCTACAGTACTATAAGTTATCATGACTGCTGAGAGCATCACTATGAGATGAAGAGTTTGATTACATTAGATGCATCTTCTTACCAAATTATTTCTGTTTTTGTTTTAGTTGATAAACAAAGTATATGACATCAAGAGTTTTCTCACTGTTTGAGCTAATCATCTTCATTAATCCGTGTTTATCAGTATTTATCTCTTTGCTACGTAGGTCTCTTCGCCATTTTTTTCCGAGTTTCTATCTTGCCAGCAAAAATAACTCAATGCTATATAACGTTCTATTATTGACAAAAACAATATTCACACAGTCATGGTGAGGAAGAAACAAACTCTATTGAGACGAATATGCGCAAGTTAAATATTCAGGTTGACAATATACACTGCGAGCAGTGTGAGTCTTTTCTTCTACAAATTCTATCTGGTTACTTTAGTTGGGGTGACTCTTCACTTGATAAGATGATACTGTCTAACGGGTCATCTCTCAAGAATCCTAAGATGAAGCAGAAAATTTCTGGAAGTAGTGATGAGGAATCGTCACTACCTATTGCTGCAACGAGTTGCCATATCGACAGAATATCTGGCACGGTAAGCATCGACTTTCCAAGCAACAGTCAATCTCACAATATTGATCCACCTTCAGCAGAATCTCCGAAGGATGAATTGATAAAGAAATCTGTACTGAACTCCCTCAAGAATGATCTTGAAAATGTGGGCTTTAAGATTTCTGATATGTTTGAAGATAACGATCGAGAAGGTAAAGATCATTATAGCTCCCGTTATCAATATCAACAGAAACCCTCTACATTCAGCAAAGTTATGAATTTTTTGTTGAAAAAGCAAGAACAAAGACAGCGGAGGCATCTTGAGCACTGCGAAATGTGTCGGAAGGGTTCAACCGAGATTAAAGAAGATGACCTCGAAGTAGTAGTTAGTGACCCTATAAGATACAGAGCGGTGTTTGCCATTAGTGGCATGACATGTGCAAGCTGTGGACAAAACATCGAGACAGCCATTCTGAGAGCCTTAAAAACTACTGTAGAGACAGATGTACCAAACATTGCGGTTGATCCGTTAACACATACTGCTGTGGTTGTAATTCCAAACAAACAGATTGTTCAAAAAATAATCGATCACGTTAACGAATCAGGTTACACTGCTCTGCTAGTTGAAATATTACCTGTAAGCACTGAAAGACGATTTAAAGTGACCGCTGCCATCGGGGGGATTACTTGTGCAGCCTGCGCATCTACAATTTCGCACGCAGTTGGCGATTTGGCATTTGTTGAGGATGTTGCTGTAAATGTCGTTTCGAAAACTGGCGTGTTCATTTTAGACTCAAACGATGCTTCATCAATATCGCTACTACAAGAAACAATCGAAGATTGTGGTTATGACTTCACAATGATGGGCAACCCTGAACCTATCCATCATACCTCTCTTAAAAAGCAAACACGTACCGTCAACCTAAAGATTGAAGGTATGCTCTGTAATCACTGCCCTGAGCGAGTCAACACAGCTCTTTCTAAATTTGGAGATGCTGAATTGATTGTTGAAGATTCCATCACTTTGCAAAGACCTTACATCAAGTTCACTTACGTTCCCGACGTTGCCAAAAAAGTTACAATTCGCTCTATAATTGAAGCGATAAGAGATGAGCTTTACGAGGGGCCTGCTTCGGATGTTACTATTTCTATCGTTGAAGAGATGTCCCTTGATGATCATCTTAAGAAAATGGCAAAACGTGAAACGATAGAAATTTCCGTAAGACTGTTAATTTCAACAATTATCGCTATCCCTACGTTCATTTTCGGTGTGGTGGGTATGTCCTTACTACCTGAAGGGAATAGATTTAGAAAATGGCTAGATTCGCCAATTTGGCGAGGTAATGCATCTAGAGACACATGGATTCTTTTCATTTTGAGCACACCTATCTATTTTTTCATTGATGATCTGTTTCACAGAAAAGCTTTCATGGAAGTTAGAGCTCTATGGCGGCAGAAAAATAATTGGAAGAGAAGACTATTTCGCTTTGGTAGTATGAACCTATTAATGTCTCTGGGAACATCAGTCGCATATTTTGCAAGCATTGCTCTTCTTATCATAGCAGCAAATTCAGAAAGACATGGTGATGAGATGGGCTACACTACTACTTATTTCGACTCTGTTGTCTTCCTTACATTTTTCCTGCTGATTGGCCGTTTGTTAGAAAGTTTTTCCAAGAGTCGCACGGCTCAGGCTATAAATGAGCTCGGATCGTTGAAGAAACACGAAGCGACCTTAGTGGACTACAGAAGTGAAGGAGTTTTTGAAAATGATCAAATTTTGGACATAAAATATTTGGAAATTGGTGATTACATAAAAATTTCTCCGGGAGAATCCTTGCCAGTCGATTGTATCATTGTGAAAGGAGAATCGGAGTTTGATGAAAGTGCTTTAACGGGCGAGTCTATACCGATTGATCATTCTGTTGGAGAACAAATATTTGCGGGAACTGTGAATGTTGGAAACAAAGTTGTGATCGGAAAACTGTGCTCATTAGACGGTAGTTCTCTAATTGATCAAATTGTGAAATCTATACGTGAAGGACAGTTGAAACGTGCTCCCATTGAGAGACTTGCTGACATTCTAACCGGCTATTTTGTACCCATCATAACTCTTCTAGCAGTAATAACATGGGTCATTTGGATTGTTCTAGGCTACAGTGGGGCCTTGCCTAATTCGTATCTTGACATTGACTTAGGTGGATGGGCTTTGTGGTCCCTGGAGTTTGCAATATCAGTTTTTGTCGTTGCATGCCCTTGTGGAATAGGGCTTGCCGCCCCAACAGCCTTATTTGTTGGCGCTGGAATAGCAGCAAGAAATGGTATATTGGCAAGGGGCGGAGGAGCTGCTTTTCAAGAGGGATCAAAAGTATCGGTAGTATGCTTTGATAAGACAGGTACTCTAACTTCGGGAGGAAAACCAAAAATTACAAATTTTGCAATCCACAACCATCCTAAATTGAAAACAATTGCTGTCCAAGTGACAAGGGATATGGAGCTTGCTTCTAAACACCCTTTGTCAGCTTGCGCTAAGACCTTTGTGATGGAGAATTTTAGTAACTTAATTGGAAATGTTAAAATTCCTAATGTCGAAGTAGTTGCCGGCAAGGGCTTAAAGGGTGAAATTGTGCTTGATAATGAGCAATGTGATTCTGTTTGGAGCGACTTGAAGCCAGAGGCTGCTATAATCGGAAACGAGAAATTTACTGAAGAGAATGATTGTCACTTGAGCTCAACACAGATCCAACTGTTGACTGAATGGAAAGTCAGCGGTAAAAGTATCATAATCGTTGCACTTAAGTGTGAAAGATTCTTCGGGAATTCCAAATATTTCCCTGTTTTGTTGATGGCTGCTAGGGATGAATTGAGGCCAGAAGCAAAGGGAGTAATTAAGCAACTACAGAACGAGGGTATCGAATGTTGGATGATTTCAGGAGACAATGCGATCACAGCAAAGGCTATTGCCAAGGAATTGAATATCGACAATATTGTAGCGGAAGTTTTACCAGATGAAAAGGCTGACAAAGTTAAATGGATCCAAAACACGAGAATAATAGATGGAAAGCCGGCCGTTGTGGCAATGGTAGGGGACGGAATTAATGATGGGCCAGCACTGGCATCAGCAGATGTTGGAATCGCTTTAGCATCTGGATCGGATTTAGCAATGACATCATGTGATTTTGTTCTTCTCAATTCCACAAACACTCTTTCTTCTTTATTAACTCTCCTACAGTTATCGCGGAAGGTTTTCGCCAGAGTTCGTTTCAATTTTGGATGGGCGCTTATCTACAACATGATTGGTGTTCCTATAGCTGCTGGCGTCATCTATCCATATAATAATTCAAGACTATCTCCGGTGTGGGCAAGTGCAGCAATGGCAGCATCTTCTGTATCGGTCGTTCTCAGCAGTTTAGCACTTAAGTTTTTCCGTCCTAGCAAAATTATTAACGATCCATCGTACAAACTAGGACTTGAAAATACTGAAGTTGTTGAGGAGAAGTTCGCTTGAAATTCGGGAGATAAGGAAAAAGGTAATAAAGGGTTTTAATAATGTTGCATATGCCGTAATATCAATTCCGTAGTAAATACGAATACGTAAGAAATTCTGAACTTTTATCATGAATTTATGAAAACTTGAAGTGCTTCCAGCAATAATTATCCCGTTCTCGAAAGAAATGATCTCGTTAACTGGTTAGCTTACCATAACTTCCTTTTCAAAAGATAATGATCACTACTTTCAAATATGTCTGCGCCTCCAGTACAAAAAATACACTTAGATCTGTAGAAGATATATTATATTATCAGAAAGCAGGAGACAGAGAAGTAAAGCTCACGCTTTTGAATATCTATGAATAGTTGAAGGATGCCTCCAGACTACTAACGAGTAGTAATTAGAAACTCCGAATAAAAAACAATGCGAATTCTGTGGATCGAACACAGGACCTCCAGATTTCAAAGTGACCGAAGTTTTTCTTCAGTCTGGCGCTCTCCCGACTGAGCTAAATCCGCAATTTCTTAACTACTGGAAAATTTTGAGCCTCTTATCAAACAGTAGTTGCGGGAAGATTTCTTACGTGCCCAGATTATTACGGAGGATGAGGCCGTATAGTCTCAGAAAGTATTTTTGGTTGAAGACGTTTTATTAGCCTATCATACTCACTGTATCAGAGATCTTCATTCTGTTACTGAGGCACTTCAGTACTTCCGTTCGCTGAAGATCTTCAGCCTTGAGTGAGCCATATTTAGTTTGCAACAGTTTATCAGGTGACCATAATTCTTTAGAAGGCCCCTTTTTTTCTAGGGGATCACAAAATCCTCGCTGCCTTCTCGTTTTTTAGCAATCTCAACAGAAGACTACATTCTTAAGACCGATTTTTAATGTCATTGAACGCATTTATATTAGGAGCAACGGGCCTATGTGGCTCTGGTTTTTTAAAGGTGGCTGAAAAAAGTGCCTCCTTTGCAAAAATTACTACACTAACGAGAAGGGAATTGCCCACGCAGCACTCTGCAAAGGTGGTTTCGATTGTGAATAAGGACAGTGAAACATGGGGAACTCTAATTCCTGATGAAGTGAACGTTTTTTTCTCCGGATTGGCCACAACCAGAGGGCAAGCCGGAAGCCAGGAGAATTTCTACAAAATCGACCACGATATGAACGTCGATCTGGCCAAGGCTGCAAAAGCGAAGGGCTGTAACACATGTGTCATTGTCAGCTCTGCTGGTGCAAACGAGAACTCGAGGCTGTTCTACTTCAGAGTGAAGGGAGAAATCGAAAAAGATATCATCGCCTTAGGGTTTGACAAGACGATAATTCTTAGACCAGGGCCTCTGCTAGGAGACCGAGGCCAAAATGACAAAGGATTCCTAAACGCCGCCTCTGCTAAAATTGGCAGCTACTTCTATCGGTCGAGGTTACAAGGTCTCGTTGGTCACCCTGTTTATGGTGACGAGGTTGCTAAAGTTGGGGTGAAACTCGCAACAGACTTAACTACTACCAAGAAAGTTCAAATTGTAGAAAGTGCCGAAATTCTTCGCCTTGCGAAAGAGCAATAAACCAATTCAGTTAATATTCCGACCGTTATTCAGATCTAATAGTTTTTTTTGTATGCTACATACTGGACCATCCTGAGCCCAAGGATTTCAGGACGCTTAGTTCATCGTTGGTAACAAAGAAGCGTAAGTTTTACAATCTCACTTGCCGCGTAGGATCCAACTCGACAGCTCTCTTGGTATGATTTATGGAGTTTTAACGTTAACTGTCGTATTTAATTACGGCGTCCTCAATTATAAGGGAATGATTACTGAATCAACTCGGCCTCCTTCCTCTTTCCTCTACTTAATTCTATGTTATGCTTAGAACGTGCCAATACTTATAACTATAGATCGTCGGCTTATAGCGAACCTCTTCACCTTTGAGGTTCCTCTGAGTGTTTCAGAATTTCTCCGTAATATTATTGTTTCATGACATTGTCCATATATTGTTCCGAGCCTCTTAGGCATATCAGCTGATAAAAGAGGGAACAAGTTACCAGGGCGTGTGGTCTAGAGGTATGATTTCCGCTTAGGGTGCGGGAGGTCCCGGGTTCGAGTCCCGGCTCGCCCCATATGTTTTTGCAGCAATTTTCATCTTTACTAGCCTAAGGACCGTTATATGAAGTCATCGAACTACCACACTGGATGATCAGCTCCCAAAGACTTATTCACTGCTTTCGTCCTTTGTCTGAGTCTTGTTCCATTGTTAAAGAATTTACGCGTCGCCATCGTATCGCGGTATTTGTTAGGAAATTTTTTCGAAACGCGTTTCTCGGTGTCGTTAATTTGAAAACCAAACAGCCTCTCAGCAGAAGCTTCAAGAATATCCTGCGCACTTAGCTTCAGCTGCTATTTGATCAGCCATATTATTTGACAGATATCTATAATCATGGCCGCGAGTAAGGCTGAATTGGACCATGAGCAGAGGCTCCGAGTGTATCAATATTATTGCGCTTTGAGAGACTTCTTTGACATTACAGGGGAGAAACATGACAGGTCAAATTCTGCAAGAGCCCAAAAGGCTAGGTCAAAGCTGTTGAAATTGTATCCCTCTCAGTTTTTTGAGCTGAGTACGGATGTTCACGATGAGTTACAGAGAAGAATAGATGAGCATCAAACACAGCCCGACCACCTACTACCTCGAGACAATTTCCACGTGAAAAGGAACCAAGCTCGGCAAAAGCTTGCGAATTTGTCGCAAATGCGATTCAACGACCTCGTTGATGACATTTTATATGAAATCAAGAGGAGAGACTATAATACAGAGCCGGAAGAGCTTCTAACTGGGCACTCAGATACGGCAACTAATAGCAGTAAGACATCGTCTTTGGCTGGTGCTGGAAACAAAATTGCTCCAAATGCTACAGTACAGGCTTCACAAGTTATTCCTAAAAAGGCATCTATCGACTGGAGTTCAGATGAAGAAGAGAAAAGAGAACATGATGAAATTTCAGATGTAGATTCTCCTAATACACCTGTGCTTCCTCAACATGATTTGGTTGATTCCCTTTCATCTCCTAAGTTTACTAAGAAATCCTCTCTGCCAGAAAGTTTAGTGAATATTCCTCTTTCACCTGTATCTAAGAAGTCACAAAATGAGGCTACAGAATTTGATTCGCACCAACCAGATGTCGAAAACTCGTTCTCTGGTGACACCCCATCGGTTCCAAGCTCCCCGATAAAGGCAGTATCGTCACAAAATCTGACCTCCCCGATAAAGACAATATCTTCACAAAATTCAAACTCCGAGGCAAGACGTACAGGATCGATAAGTCGGGCCTCTTTAGAGCATCAAAATAAAGATAGAGAAATACAAGTACTAGTCGCGGAGGGCACTAAAATGGACCAAAAGATCACTGCATTAGAACGTTCAAACGCGATGCTATCTCAAAAAAACTCTTCATTGCAAAAGGAAGCCAGCGAACGTAGAGCTGCCAATGACGAGCTCGTTTCAGAGATTTCTGATTTGAAGAATAAACTCGAAACACTCGAAAAATCTTCTTTAATGAAGAAGGATGGAGATTCCGAGAACTCACCTAGAAATCCTCTAGACGATACGTATCAAAAAGAGCTTTTTTCTATGACGAAGCAGCTCAATTCATTATCTATTGAAAATGAAAATTTGAAACAAGCTTTGGCAGAACTAGAAATTAAACTAAAAAAGGCTAACTCTCAAGAGCAGTCTAATAAAGGCCATACAGTTCATCAGTTATTGAAGGATGGTGAAGTGAAAACTTTTGATGCTTTACCTTCAGAAGAGCTGTTGAGTGATCAAATTTTGAAAGAGTTTATCTCACATGAAGGCTTGGTGCCATTAAGCTTAATTCGATCTTTCAATAAACACATCGAGAAAATATTTGGCGATATTCAAAATCAGCGCGTGAGTGAGTCTTTTGGTGACCTGCTGTTTGAAGATATAGCACTGATTTCTGATGCTGTACATCAAATAGTTACACTTACTGGTACACCTGATAACGGGGAAAATATCATTCTTTTGAAAGCTTCTCTATCCCACGCTATAACAGCGGTGCGTTACTTCGCAATATATCACAGATTGCTACCTAGAATTACAGTAGAGAGTGCCATTGCTGGAGTTTCCTTCGCTGTTTGTGGCTTGATTAAAAAAGTTAAAGTTAGCAAAACTGAGACAGCATCAGATATAATTGCGCAGGAACTGCCTAACACACCAAAAACACCTGTTGAATCTACCCATCAATTTCCGGCCAGGAAGTTCAAAAATAATTTAGACAGTGACTTTGATGATCCACGGGAGGCTAGCTCCTTTATTGAAGAGGAACCTGCTTCGTTGTCACCGGTGAAGCCTTTGAAAATCACACAGAAAGTTGTTACAAATATCACACCAACAAAGAATTCAAACAGAAAGCCTTCAAGCAGCTTGTTTGCGTCGATTGTTACCCCTAATATCAGCAGAGGATCATCTCCTAGAAGTTCGCGCCAAATGCCATCTTCAGGCATAGGAAAACCCGTGAAAGATCATACTGAAGATTTAACAAAGAGCACGAAAATGTACAGTGAGGTTCCAAGTTCTGGAGGTGCCATTATTCGGGAGCCAAAAATAGCTGTGCCTTTAGGCAAAGCAATTGATAGAGTTCACAGAAGGGAAAATACCGATGAACCAACTGGGGTGGAACCTATACAAACAGATGGAAGTCAGGAAAAGGAAAACAACAGTGAGTCACAGAAGTTGGATGAAAAGGAGCCAGAGCCTTTAGATGATGCCAAGGCAAATCAAGATACAGGTTCCGTCAAAACAACTGATACAACTTCTCAAGGCCAAACCACGACTGCTCCTGAAAATAGTACCCAACATTCACTAATGGATGGCATAAAAGCTACCATTAGCAACGGATTTTTTGGTAAAGCTGCTTCCGCGTCTAATAATAGCCAAGCTAAATTGAACCTTGCTCTAGAGAATGAGAATTTTTCGAGTGAAGATGATAGCCAAGATGATGGTTTTCAACAGCGTATCGGTGAAAGCACTACAACGAGCGATGAGGATTTCACATATCAAGCTTTGAAAGAAAACATGAAAAGTAGTCATTCATCAAAGACAAATGATCCCACTAGGGTAGTGATCGCTCGTGAAGTTCACCGGGCATCCAATGATTGTACGGATAAGGGCCCCTCCAAGGTCTTGAACGATGATTTGAATGCCGAACCCGAAACTTTTACAAGTGAACCATTGTCTTTTTCTTCGCCTACGAAGTCTTTAAATATGCCAAATGAGGCTATTACTGAAAATGTGCCCGAAGAGGACAAAATTTCAATAAAACAAGAGGAACAGATTACGTTACCTGCTACTACGTCCAAACTACATGTGCCTAAACCAATAGTAAAAGTTACGGAACCAGAAGCCGAAGAACCTGTAAAGGTCGGCTCTACTGTTGATGACACCGAGCCTGATTTCGATATTGATGCATTTGATATTGAAAACCCTGACAATACATTATCAGAACTATTACTTTACCTGGAGCACCGTACAATTGAGGTAATCAGCACCATCCAATCTCTATTGACTTCCATCAAGCAGCCGAAAGCAACGACTGGCGAGCTGCGTGGGGAGTCTAATGCTATCAGTCAAGTAATCGGCCAAATGGTAGGCGCCACCAGCGTTTCCATGGATCAGTCACGAAACGCTTCTTTGAAAGAACATGGCAATTGGGTTGTTCAAAGTCTAGAAGACTGTCGGAGAAGAATGACAGTTCTTTGTCACTTGAACGATCATGACAGTATCACATTAGAAGAAGGTGATGATGAATATGCTGACAAACATTTTAAGCAACGCTTAGCAGGTATTGCCTTTGATGTTGCGAAATGTACGAAAGAACTTGTCAAAACTGTGGAAGAGGCAAGTCTCAAAGAAGAGATCGAATTTTTGAACTCTAGGTTGGCACACTGAAAGAAGCGTGAAATGTATTTCAGTGAATTGACGTTGTAGAATATATCTTGTGTGTACTATAATAGAATTTTGAAGTTGATGTGAGCGGGATTAACTATGTACAATGACTGCGTATAAACTACCGTAAGGACCTGCTGATATATATACAGGGAAGATGCGAATTGCCTAATTCGAGGTATTAGCAATGTTTATTAACGAAACCTCTTTCTCACAATTCAATAGTTCCTTTTCGATAAATGCGGCTGCTTTTTGAGGACCATTTGTTGTAAGAATCCCTCCTACGATGGCGTTCAGAACACTCGATAATACTGAACTTTCACCATTGTAAACATCATTCTTAAGGGGATCTCTTCTCTTCCAGAAGACGAGGGAATCCAGCTGCCTGGCCTTAATAAATTTAGCAGTCGTCTGCTTAGCAATGAGTTGTTTAGAGAACTGAGTTCCCAAGTTGGTGAAATTTAACCCATTTATATTGATCCTGACAGAAGCATTACCCTTTGCGACATCAGCATCTTGACTCTTTAGCGAATGGACGGATGCATGATATTTCAAGAATTGTGCACCAAGAGCTGCCAACTTTTCGTTGTACGGTTTGGAACCGTGGGCGAAGGATTTGTGCGTTAAGCATTGCACGATAATCTCGTTTGATAATTCTATACCGTGACTCGACAAGTTTAGCTCTGAACGCACTCTATCGTGGTATGATTGGGGTTGTAAATCTGTGTATGAAAGCCCACTGGGCAACCTCAAATATTCTGCCGGATCCCTTTTTATTCCGCGCACTCTACTTCCGCTGTGCAAGTATGTAATGTAGCGCGCCCGGGGTGCAAGTCTCGCCCAACTCATAGAGTAATTCTTCGTTACCGTAAGCATAGTAACTTAAACCACCTCAATAGCCGTTTTTGAGGTATTGAACAATTACAACAAGCCTGAGAGTATCTTATCAAGCCTTGGCTCTTGGAAAATTTTTCAGAGCCAGGTATTATTCTTCTCTTACTTGAATCTCGACGTAAAAACGACGGGCCTCAAATAAATCATTAAGTACGGTTATACTCTCTAATGTCAAAATGAAGTGTAAAAAATTTTACAGATGCGATGAGATGACCTGCGCCTAAATAAACACTTTGAAGGCATTTGAGAGAGATATGGATATATTTAGGGTCCTGATAAGAGGAGCAAACGTGAAGAAAAATAATCGTGCCACCCCGGCCGATTTTAGTATGTCAAGGACATCTGAGGATGACAAGATCTTACCTGGAAGCATCAAGAAAGAGGCTAATGACCAACAACTTACAAAAGAATTGGACTTTTTCCGTAACAAGCGTATAGTCAATAACGTGGATAGCAAGACGACAGATGAAGATCAAAAGGATAAGAGCAAGGAAATTACAACGGATAGCGATATACCCCCACCAAAAATTCTGAGTATTGAAGATGCTACTAAACTTCGGAAGTCCTACAAGGGAAATGTTACAGGAGAAGACATCCCACTTCCTATAGGATCATTTGAGGACTTAGTTACTCGGTTTCAGTTTGACAAGCGCCTCCTAAGCAACTTGATTGATAGCCATTTTACTGAACCCACGCCAGTCCAATGTGAGTGTATTCCTATGGCCCTCCAAGAGCGCGATGTTCTATCATGTGCTCCCACGGGTTCAGGTAAAACACTTGCATTTTTGATCCCCCTTCTTCAGCAGATAATCACCTCGAAAAGCACTGAGGGCGTCAAGGGTCTGATCATTTCCCCTACAAAAGAGTTGGCGAACCAAATTTTCCTCGAATGCAGCAAACTTGCACACAAGATTTTTCTCACGAAAAAGAGGCCCTTGAGAGTTGCTTTGCTGTCAAAATCACTCAGCGCTAAACTGAGAAACAAGGTTATTAGTGAGCAAAAATACGATATCATTATCTCCACCCCGCTCAGATTAATAGACATTGTGAAGCAGGGAGCTCTCGATCTATCTAATGTTAGACATTTGATTTTCGATGAGGCTGATAAGTTGTTTGATAAAACATTCGTCGAACAAACGGATACCATTCTCGCGTCTTGCACAGACCCACGTCTCCATAAGTCAATGTTTTCGGCCACTATTCCATCTAATGTTGAGGATATCGCGCATAGTATTATGTTGGATCCTATAAGAGTTATCATAGGTCACAAGGAAGCCGCGAATTCGAATATTGAGCAAAAACTTACTTTCTGTGGTAATGAAGAAGGAAAGCTAATAGCTATCAGACAGCTAATCCAAGAAGGAGAATTTAAACCGCCAGTAATTATCTTTTTGGAATCTATTACTAGAGCTAAAGCGCTCTTCCATGAATTGCTTTACGATAATCTTAATGTGGATGTGATCCATGCAGAAAGGACTCAAGTTCAACGTAATAAGATTATTGAGAGATTTAGATCCGGTGATCTTTGGTGTTTGATCTGTACAGATGTTTTGGCTCGTGGTATTGACTTCAAAGGTGTCAATTTAGTGATCAACTATGACGTTCCAAGCTCAGCTCAAGCATATGTTCACCGGATCGGTAGAACAGGTAGAGGTGGTCGTGAAGGTAAGGCTGTTACATTCTACACTAAGCTAGACACTCTGGCAATTAAGCCAATAATTAATGTGATGAAACAGAGTGGTTGCGAAGTGTCTGAGTGGATGGAAAGCTTCTCGAAAATGACAAGGAAGGAGAAGGAACTACTGAAGAAGGGCAAAGCGCATGAAGAAAGAAAACAAATTAGTACAGTCCCAAAAATTATCAGAAAGAAGAGGCAGCAGAAAGAACAAATGATAGAAGCCTCTAAAAGGAGGAAAAGAGCTCAAGCTGAAGAATAATCATTATCGTTTTTAGCATTTTTAACATCACGGTCTTGGTCCGACATGCAAGCTCCAGTCATTCAAAGTGTCTCTGTTCATGTTATATATACATAGATTACAGATATTCTAACCAAAGAATATTACTATTTTAGCATTTTTAATTATCGACATAAAGGGGGTTAGGAATATAGTATTTTCATGCAAAAGTAGAAGGGGAAATGAATCGCAGGTGAGTTAAACTGCAGCGTAATTTCTGTTTGAGCTCAAGAGAAGGGCATTCTAAGTCCCTCCTATAAGATTCCAGAAATGAATATAAATTGCGCCGTAAAACCAATGCTTCTCACCTTCAAATCAGAACACGCTTAAGCATGAGCCGAGTAGTTTGTGTAACCCACAACCTTTCTTCTACCGATAATTTCACCCAAGGAGTACAACCCAGCTAATTGGATACCATAAGAACCGTATCTCAAAATGTCGTTTTTCTGCACGTTCTTAAAGACTGCCAAAGAGTCCTTAGGTTTCAAAACAAGGCCTAAAGTCTGCTTGTATAATTGAGTATAAACGCTCTGGAAGTCAGCGACAGAAGGTGGTTGTAATCCTTCCTTCAAATAGACTTGCTTAGAAACTTCAGCGGCCACTTTTGAGTAATAGACAGACTTGTTCGCGTAAAGCTTGGCTTTGCTGGCCAAAGAGGTAGCGTATGATTGGATTCTACTAAACATCTCTTTAAATTAGAGTCACAAAGTCTCTTGGTTGGTTGATTAAAAGATCGTAACTAAAATCAGTTCCGACCCATGTCGAAAATTTTTTTGCCCGCTAAGTCCCCTCCCAAGAGCCAATCAGATTGCACGATTTCTGTAAAAAGATAATCTGACTACAAACAAGTGTATAAAATAGCTTTCAATGATCATTTCATGAAAATTGGGCGGACCATTGCCAAGAGGGAGGTTCCGTGATACTGAAATCTTCTCATGAAGTTCATTAGATTGCTAAAAAGTTAAACGATTTTTAAAGACCAGTAATGTCACGTGCAATATACGGAATGTCAAACAGCAACGAACTTAGGTTTTGGCTTAATCTTGATCACCTATGGTGAGTCGGTGTGTCTTCTTTCGTTCTGTACAACTTACTTCGTATCTGAGCGCGAGAACTTTTGGCTGCAAAGCCTGCTAAAAATGCGGCATCCGATTAAGGTATATATTTGAAAGTAGGAAATCGGTGAATTCTCTGAATGCAGTGGAGTGCAACATGAAAATTGGTTCGTTTTTTACAGGGCTGGTGATATATTCGTCAGTTTCACTAAGTTTCTCAATTTCGCATTTCTTTGATAGTAAGGTCCTAAAGCCCTTCTTCAATGATCTGCAAGACATTCATAGAAAATTGGATGACTCGTTCAATATTTTAACGGACCCAATTTATGATGACTACTCGGTTCGTATTAAAGAAGTAGATCCAGCAAAGCTGGGTATTGACTCGGTAAAACAATGGTCTGGCTACTTGGATTATAAAGACTCCAAGCACTTCTTTTATTGGTACTTTGAGAGCAGGAATGATCCTGTAAACGACCCGGTGATATTATGGTTGAATGGAGGTCCAGGTTGCTCATCACTCACAGGCTTATTCTTCGAATTAGGTCCTTCATCAATTGGCCCCGATTTAAAACCAATTTATAATCCTTACTCGTGGAACAGGAATGCTTCTATCATATTTTTGGAGCAGCCCCTTGGCGTAGGTTTTTCGTATGGTGATAAGAAGGTATCGTCTACTGAAGTGGCGGGGAAGGACGTATATGTTTTCCTTGAGCTGTTTTTCCAAAAATTTCCACATTTGAGAGCTAACGACTTTCATATAGCTGGAGAGTCATATGCTGGTCATTACATCCCTCAAATAGCACATGAAATCGCGATAAATCATTATGGAATTGCCTCTTTCAATTTATCTTCTGTCTTAATTGGCAACGGATTAACCGATACTTTGGTGCAGTACGCTTACTATTCGAAAATGGCATGCGGAGAAGGTGGATATCCATCCGTTTTGACCCCAGAAAAATGCCAAGAAATGGAAGACTCGCTACCTTTATGTCTTGGGCTTACTGAAGAGTGCTACGATACAAGACAAACCTTTGTGTGCATAGCGGCTAGTACCTATTGTACCTCCCATCTATATGGTCCTTACAGAGAAACGGGACTAAACATGTACGACATCCGCCGAAAATGCGAAGAATCAGATAATGGTCTTTGTTATAAGGGCCTAGACTATGTTACAGAGTACTTGAATCAACGCTATGTACAAGATGCCCTTGGTTCAGATGTTCATTCTTATGTTGGTTGTAGCAAAGATGTGAGTTCCAGTTTTGCTCTGACCGGTGATCATACAAAGCCTTTTCAACAATTTGTTGCGGAACTAGCTGATAGGGATATACCCGTCTTATTGTATTCTGGTGATAAAGACTACATTTGTAATTGGCTGGGCAATCATGCTTGGTCTGATGAGCTGGAGTGGAAGAGCAAGGACGAATTCAAAAGTGAAAAATTGAAACCATGGATAAGCGAGCAAACGGGTGAATCTAGTGGTGAAGTCAAAAACTATGGTTCTTTGACGTTTTTGAGAGTTTATGATGCTGGCCACATGGTACCATACGATCAGCCAGAAGCTAGTTTGGAGATGCTTAACACTTGGATCAGTGGTGACTATTCTTTTGGTTATTAAACGCAGGTCTTCTACATTATATATAGACATATTTCTGCAGAAGCAAAATTTCATTTTATCGGTAAAAATATTTCTAAACACGACTATTTAGACGAACAAATCTTCTTACCCCTTCGCCTAATACTACGACTTTGTCTTCCTGTTGTAATCTGGCCAAGGCATCCGAAATGTCGGAAGTGTCAACTCTGTCTTGGGACTGCTCATTAACTGCTCTGATAAGCTCATTGAATGATATGCTGCTGGAAGACTTATCAGTTAAAATTCGTACTATTTCTCGAGCAAGATCCTCTTGAAGTTTACGTTGAATAACTGATTTTCCGGTTTGCACGAGGTTCATATCGATTTTCCCCGTTTTGGGGTCAGTTGCATAGTCTTTAATTGCAGATTTTATCAACCTAACAGATTCCTGGACATCTTCAAGTTCGACGTGTTCAGATAAGCGCATTTTTGCGTGAGCCTCAGACAGCCTTATCATACTCTCCAGCTGTCTGGTGGTAGCGGTGATTCTCTTTTCATCAGAGCGCGAGTCATCTCCCATTTTTCTCATATTGACGTAGGCTTTCACTAACTCATTCTTAGCAGCTTCAGTTATGACAGGTGAGAAGTTACGCTTGGCATATGTGATGTAAGTAGTTAAAAACTCAACTGGCAATACATCATCTTGTGAGCCGTGAATTGGTTTATCCTCAAGATAAAGACTTGTGAGATGTTTTGCGAGTTCTCTGTCGGTCGATTCGTCAACTTTATCCAAGATCAGATAAACCAGATCAAACCTGGATAATAGAGGAGGTGGTAAGTCTATATTTTCAGTAACGGGTAGATTGGGATTGTAGCGTGATCCTATAGGGTTTGCACTGGCTAATACTGAAGTTCTCGCGTTCAGTGTTGTGATAATTCCAGCCTTTGCAATAGAAATGGTTTGTTGTTCCATTACTTCATGAAGAACGGATCTTGTGGATTCGCTCATTTTATCAAACTCATCAATACAGCAAACACCTCCATCAGATAATACTAAAGCACCGCTTTCCAAAACTAACTGTTTGGTATCGACATCTCGTGTGATATACGCTGTCAATCCGACAGCAGATGAACCCTTACCTGAAGTATAAACACCACGCGGAGCAATTTTGTGAACATATTGTAAGATTTGCGACTTTGATGTGGAAGGATCTCCACAAAGTAATACATTGACGTCCCCTCTATATCTTCCACCTTTAGTGAATGTTTTATTTGTACCACCAAATAACTGTAACAAAATACCTTTCTTCACATCCTCTAATTCATAAATACTTGGAGCAATTGAACGCGACAGAACTTCGTACACATCCGGCCTACGTGCCACTTCATGAATTTTTCGTATTTCTTCGTCGGTAATTTGTCGCATCTCCTGGACGTTCGAGTTGTTTATTTGGTTTTGCAATAGCTCTTGCTCTATCGTTGATGTATCAACGCCTAGTCTATTTTGGCTCACCTTCTTTACGTGGACCACATCTAAGTAGGTTTTGTACAGTGATTTCAAGGCACACAGGGTCTGGCACTTGCTCTTATTGGGATTGATCTAAAAATACCAGTCACCTCGATTCTATCACCAGCACGGCAACTATCCACTAGCTCATCATAAACGCAAAGTGAAACGGAATGCGGAGTTTGACCATCAGGTACTAAATCGGGAGTTTCCTGTAACTTTATAACTTGTTTATCAGCAAAAGAGCACCTATTATGAATTAACGTCATCGAATTCTGTTGATTGCATGCGACCCGAGGACATCGTGCTGGCTCTTGTATGACACCTCTGTCAATTTCCACCACTGTGGTGTGGTCGCATATATTACACTTGAAAAAAGCAACCTTCATGTCAGGAATGATGGGTGTGGATCTTAAAACCAATCCCTTGACACTAATTAGTTTGTCGATATCATTGGGATTCAATTCTCTCATGCCCTTTGAGTTTTCAATATTGTAAGGACGGACTTTATAAAACTTGGTCTCAATCTCGTCGAGGTTAAAGTCCATGTTGGTATCAACGACTAATGACACCATGCAATCTTTTATCGTCTGGTCCATAATAGAGATGATTTCTTGTGGGTAACTCATTAATTGATAGTACAGTTTTTCAGTTTGTTTGAAAGCAAGTAAATTTCTCGCATCTAGATTGAGGTTCAGGGTTCCGATCTCTCTCATTTGATTTAATTGTTTGACATAGTACAATTCTTCATCATCGACACTATCCACAAAGTCCTCATTTTCATCTAGAATCTTGCGGTATTTGTATTTAAATGACATCAAAAAATTTCTGAAGTTGGTCGCACATTCCTGAATGCTAACATTAGTACCCCATATAATACGTAAAGGCTCTGTTGCCTCTGAAGATGGGTCGGAAGATGAGCTGAGCGCAGAGTGTGAGTCGAAATCTACAATTCTCCTTGGAGACGACAAATCTGAGGCATGAATATCACTCCTTCTGTGCAATGATCTTTGTGAATGCGTACCTGATAATGATGACGGGATTTGATCATGGTCGCTTCTACCAGCGGACGAGCGGATAGGACCAGAGCTTCGTTGAGAATATCTTTGGGAAGGAAGATTGTCTGAGGTATGATGCTGATTCTGAGAGGATGATGGGTAATTAAATGGTGAGGACTCGATGTCTGGATTTCTTACTTGGCCACTTCCATAAGTGTCTTGCTGGGACGATGATGACGGATTGTAGAATAAGGGTGGTGATGATCCTCCGAATGAAGATGGTAGTACCGGCGATGAGTGAGATTGTTCATCTCTAGCGGGAGAGCTGTGATTTTCGGACATCCCTTTGCCGTTATTGTATAATTTATGAACTGTTTCACCAGATCTTTATCCTGCTCCTCTTCCTCCAGATAGTGGCATAAAATGCCAAACTTTTTAATTTCCTGTTTAGGTAAATAGATATGTCATAGCAGTAGGGTAACAACCAGAAAACTGAAAGATGCATTAATCAAAAAAACGAATTACGTGAAAATATATACACTGGCTTCTTTTCACTTATTTTGCTTCAGTGCGTCCCAATGACTTTGGTCCTTGATCATCCATTTACGGGCAGTATTCCCCTTGCCCGTTGACCTCGATGCGAACTCTTTTACAGTATTTTTTATTATTTCCTTACTGTAATGAGGTAAATGCTTCTGGGCGATCTCGCTTATCGTACCTAGGGAGAAGGTACTCTCGTGAACCTCGTCAAAAAGCCTTAATAAATCACTGACATCAGTCATGAGAGTTTTTGGCTTCTTTTTCTGAGGGTTAAGTGCGGCATTCAAGTCATCGGTGTTCTCAGCAGAAACATCCCCATCGGTGATAGGTCGTTTTTTAGCTTTAGGTTCGAAATTTGGACAAATGGGGAATGGTTGTTCTTCGATGAGATATTCGACCGCTGTAAGTTTAAAATAATTGCGATCCTCATCATCTAAATTATCTAATTCGCTTCTTAATTTTATTGTTGGTATCAGGGGACCCAAGAGTTTCTTACTACCACGAGGGTTCGGTGATTCTTCTTTGTCTAAAAACTCATCAAACTCACCTTCACTAGCCTCGTCCTGCTCCTCGTCTTCCTCCTCTTCTTCCCCATCATCCAGATCCTCAATGCCTCCGCCTTCTTCTTCTTCTTCGTTGACCCAGTCCCAGTCAGAGTCATATTCGTAGTTGAAACCCGTCCCCTCTGTGGTGAAAGGATTGTCCCGAGGAAGAACAGCATGCTTAGAATAAGTGCCCATATATGGAGGTCTGACATTTTCGTAGAATTTTATGTATTTGTGGGGTATTTGTCGCAGCATGCTGTTAAGTTCGTCATCAGTTTTTTCTTTACTCGTCATAAGCTGCATTAAACCAACAGCGGTCTGTTGAACAGGGCAACCGTAGGTGTGTTGTTGGGAAACAATCCAAGAACATACCTGACTTTTGTCTTTGATCTTAATTTGTTCGTCAATCTTGGATTTATGTTGGGATAGCTCACTAGTGTCCAATTTAAAATTTCCGAAAAGTTCCACGCCTGCTTTGACATAAAAGGGCAGGAAGCACTTCTCGAAATCTGTTTTCGAGGCGTTTACACTCTTGGAGGCATTGCTCTTCTTGAAAAAATTCCCTATTCTAAGCTGCGCTCTATCTTTCGCCAGCTCTTTGTTACGTTTCTGTTTCTCTTCTAACTTCTTTTCTGCCTCCTTCTTTAGCTTTTCCTCTAACTTCTTACGCTTCTCTTCCTCTCTCTTCTGCTCGCGTACACGCCTATCTTGTTCTTTTTTAAGTTCACGTTGCCGCTTTTCTTCCTCCCGTTTTCTTTCACGTTCTCTTTTCTGTTCCTCTTTTTTCTTTCTATCTCTCTCTTTCTTTACTTCACGGTCGTGACGCTCTTGCTCCTTTTTGATTTCTCTTTGACGCTTGAGTTCCTGCTTTTCCATATCGCGTAGTCGCTTGGCCTCCTCTTTTTCCTTTCGCAAACGTAGCTTCTTTGCCGCTGCAGTATCAGATTCTCCTGGCGCGCTCTCTTCAATTTTGATCTCGTCAATCTTCATCTCCTCAGTGGGTTCAGGTTTGTTGTCTGTTTGTATTTCCTGCTTTAGGTGACCGTTTTCTAGGGATTGGGTTTCTTGTTCAACTGCCCGTACTTGAACATCAGGCCCAATACTCCTTGCCGTATTAGAAATTTGGTTGCTATCCGAATTTGGAGTCACCTCATTACTTATTTTATCAGATTGTTTCTCCATGTCAGATTCACCACTATCTTCTATCAATTGATTGCCCACCTCCTCATTATCCTTTGCTTGATCTTTCAAAATAGCCTCGCTTTCTGTGCAACTAGATTGATCTGAATTCCTAGGCTTTGTCATCTGGAAAAAGGACGTGATTCCTTGATTTCCAGAAGCTGGATGTGAAGAAGTCATCATGAGGACCTGCTCTTATGTCTTGCGACTCGTTTGTTTTAAGAAATTTTTCATGTAACTAGACGCGAAAGATCCGCCCTGGTTTTTTTTGACGTGTCAACCCTGCAAGCTCATCGGCGAACGATCTCAAAAAGCGAAATCTAAATAAAGCAACATATAAGTCTATCTATATCATGATACCGTTGATTTGAAATTCGGTACGAATGAATAACTCTCTAAATATTGGTGTAACTAGGCACCGTGGACTTGGCTTTATCCACGTTCATACAACTTGCGGCGTCATCCAAAAATTCCGAGAAAAACAATTGTAAAGGATCATTCTCAACCTGGCCTTCTTGTTTAAGCCTGTGCAGCATCGACGCATGCGAGGATTTGCTTTTCAGCTGCAATTGTCTCTTTGAAACGTTTTTTGGTGGAGTATCAGCAAGCATTGCCTCGTCATAACCTATTGGAATAAACTCCAAAGATTTTTTCCTTCTCCTCGAGTCATTGGGCTCAAGTACAATGGGGGAGGTGTTCTCTGACTGCCTGCTTTGTTTCTTGAGATTTTGAAATTGAAGCGCAGAATACTTTTGCAAAGCATCGGTACAGATATCAAGACCTGTTTGGATCTTTTGAGTCTTTTTGACTTTGTAAAGAGGATCTGTTTTGTCACGTTTTTTGAGCTTTTGAAGCAATTCATTGGAAGAAGCTTCTGTTGTGTGGGATTTGCTGTTGTCAACGTCGTAGTCAAATAAGTTGACTAGTATATCCATCATTTCCTTTTTGAGCTTGCTGACATGTTCCTGTTTCATGATCCCGTACTCATCAGGGTCCAGGAAAACCGTGAAAAGAAATTCGAGCTGGGATGACACTTTTTTAACTTGCAGCTCGCGATTAAGTAAAGCAATGCATTGTCTTTGTAAGTATATCAAATCATCGAGAACTTCCGCCATGAGTTTGATTTTTTGTTCCCAAGATATGTCCACACTCATAAAGGCTTGAAACTTTTCCCTGGAATCCTTTGCATCGTCTCCAAAAACTTCACTACATTGGAACGCATCGATTGTTCTTTCAACGTAAGGTACTATGGAGTATAGGAGAAGCTTTTGTCTGCTATGCACTTGGGCAAATTCTGAGCTAGTGGTAGAGATGGGTTTCTGACGCGAGGATGATCGGCTCTTGTAGGGAGACTCTGAAAAATGGGTAGCAATGTCGACGTCTGAAGCATTCTCGATCGAGAGCCGTGTTGGGGACAAATTCGGATGAGCAGCTCTCGAGACGCGATAGGGCCCGAGTTTCGGCGGCATGGCAAGCGATTTACTTTTCGGGTCCTCTGTGAAATGTTGCAATTTCTGCTGAAGGCCTTCGACCTCCTGGGCCTTCTGCGTGAGCTCGAGCCTTAAATGATAGTTTTCGTTCTTTAACTTAGCAAAAACAGTCTCACTAGCGCTACGTGCCTCTGTGACACTGTCATCGATAACGGACGCCGATCTCAGATCACCACTACTCTGCGACGTCTCTTGCATATTCTCCTTCTCTTGCAACGCCAGTGAACAAATTTCTTGTGGAACCAATCCTTGGAGCGGATTAGGGACAAACGGACCCTGTATTTGATTTTGGTGATACTGCTTCTCATTTTGGGTTTCCTTTGGACCTGTATTCGAATCGCGCAATTCAAGCTCTCCAAAACTGAAGGTTAATTGGCTGACTTCGCTATCTTGATCCTCAACGACCATTCAGGAGCGGACAGAAAGGTTGTCAACTAACCAATTTATATGGATCTGAGATACGATTGTGCCGCTGAGCTAATGCTATTTAGTTTTTGCCCTTGAGAATGACACAAAAACCGGGTCCCTGACACTTTTCGGGTCACATGACTCAGGGTCGCGTCAATCGCGAAAAGTGACATGAAAAAAAAATGGCGTATGATTGGAACCATATTTTCTTCTCTTAGAGAAGTTCGACAACGGTTTGTAGCATCGACAAATATGTCCAGACTTTACTGTCCCTTTAAGGAGTGCAATTGTGAGATAATTCCTATTAGCAAAGGTAGGCAAGTTATGCTTCCGGTCCAAGCATACGAAGAGATGAAAATCATGTTGCCTGCACAGGCCCACCAACCCACAGGGAAGTTTTTAGTGGTGAACGACGTGTGGGACTTTGATAATATTGGAGTGTCGCGTGGCGTTCCTGAAAGGCACCAGCCAGGCGGCTCAATTGGATTTCTAGACGGAACTATCTGCACCATAGTAAAAACTGAAAAGTACTTGATCTGCGCCGAGTGCGACAGAGGCCCGCTCGGCGTCGTGTGTAACGTGACGCGGGCGGATGGAACTGAGGAAGCGCTGCACCTGCTGAGCATCGAGAGCCTGTCGACTGGCGGGAGCATCAACGAAGAGGCTGCTGCGCTCGACTGAGTGCGGGGAGACGTGTGGCCGCGAAACTCGGTCGGAAACCGGGAGCGGCGGCGTGCGATACGGGACCCTAGCAACACCGAAGCCGGGCGGGCCAGTGGTGGACGAGGTGAGAGTGCAACGAGAGCCGGCGCCTGCGGCGCAGAGCACGATTCACGGTCGAGGGCGGTCACGTGGTCTCGGCCGAGGGCGAACGCGCTGCGTGCGCGGGCGTTTCTTTTTCGCAGGCCATTTTTAAGAAAAAAATTTTCTAGCTGAGCAGTTGCCCACCTCATCTCCTCCCACGCTAGTTCAAACGCAACAATGGCTACTAGAACGCAATTCGAAAATTCAAACGAGGTGGGTGTTTTCTCCAAGCTGACCAACTCGTACTGTTTGGTGGCGCTCGGTGGGTCCGAGAACTTCTACTCTGCCTTCGAGGCGGAGTTGGGCGATGCCATCCCCATTGCTCACACCACGATCGCGGGAACCCGGATCGTCGGGCGGATGACAGCTGGTAATCGCCGAGGACTTCTGGTGCCTACACAGACAACAGATCAGGAATTACAACACCTGCGGAACAGCCTGCCGGACGAGGTGAAAATCCAACGTGTGGAGGAAAGACTGTCGGCTCTGGGGAACGTAATCTGCTGCAACGACTACGTTGCGTTGGTGCATCCGGATATCGACCGTGAGACTGAAGAGCTGATTGCAGACGTTTTGGGTGTGGAAGTTTTCCGTCAGACCATCTCGGGCAACGTGCTGGTGGGTTCGTACTGTGCGCTCAGCAACCAGGGAGGTATCGTGCACCCACAAACGATGATCCAAGACCAAGAGGAGTTGTCGTCTCTGCTACAGGTACCGCTTGTGGCTGGTACCGTGAACCGTGGTTCAGCCGTGGTGGGCGCGGGAATGGTGGTGAACGACTACCTGGCGGTGACCGGGCTGGACACGACTGCGCCAGAGCTGAGTGTGATTGAAAGCATATTCCGTCTGCAGGACGCCCAACCGGACGCGATTGCCGGCAACCTGCGCGACACGCTGATCGAGACCTACTCGTGAGGGCCTCGCGGATGCGCTGGAGATGGAGCGAGAAAAGAGACAAGTGGGACTCGAGGCGCGGCGCAGCCGTGCGGCGCGACCTGCTCCGGGACCCGTGCAACGCGACCCGTGCAACGCGACTTCCCCGTCCGTTCGTGCCGCGTGACACCCACCTTCTCCTTCGTGCCGCGCGACGCCCTCCCCCGGCCGTTGTTGTCGGTGCCTCTCGCCCATTGCGCTGCTCTTATCGCGCGCGCCGCCGCTGCGGCGCCCGCGGCCTGCTACGCCCACCGTATAGCGTATGTAGCTCTAAACGACGCGTATGTACCGCCCATAACGAGCTCCGGCCCACGTGTGGGCGCCCTTATCTCACTGTGGCGGTTTCTCCAATCTGTCTCAATCTGCGGCGCCAGGCGCCTGGCGCCTGCGTCGCGCTCGCTTATCTCCGGCCCGCGGCTCCGGCCGCAGGCCCTTACTATTCCGCTTTGGGAACGGTCCCCGTTGGGCAGTGGATTTTCACACCGCGTCCGCCCGACGCGCACAGGCTGTTCGAGCAGACACCTGCGGTTGCCTGTAGCCGATCTCTGTTTTGCCACACATGTGCCGAGTTTACTGTCGTCACGGTGTGCAGGGTGGCCTGCACACCCACGCAGCGGGTGTGTGCGTGTATGTCCGATGGCAGCTCGCCGTGTGGGTCCGTGTTCGCGTTTCCTTCGGTTTCCCTCGTCCTTCTCCCTTTCGTGCCCGCGCCCTTCGCCGGACCGCACGCGACGCATAAACGTCGCATAAAACCCGCCGCCGCCCGCCGCGATTGTTCCTCCTACAAACGCCTGGGGGCCCGTGCATGAGCCCACATCCGCACCCCACGCCGCAGTGCCATCATTGCCGCGTCACCACCGGAGAAAGCAAGTTTGAGCGATCGCCCGGAGATAGCCCTTCTGCTGAAGGGGTTGGAGCGCACTGCGTCACCTAATGGCGCGGGCCGCAGCCCGGCCGCAGACGCACCGTGCGCCTCGTGAGCGGCCGTGCGCATGAGACGGGCACGGAGCTGCACGCAAGTTTCACTTTGTTTCCGGGTCGGCCTACTTGCGTGACTGCGGGATTCGGGGATTTGCGTCACGAAAGCCCTAATCGACAGTGCAATTCGCCCCGTTCATCGCGCGTATGCATGTGGTTGTAAATCGCTCTGCGGAGCTTTCTGGCTCGGCATATGCACGACTCGAGCTAATGAACGGTCTGCAGCGACTGGGCCTCGGCTCGGCGCACGAGCGTGCCTCCCCGTTCGATGCATGCAGGCCGGAGTGCAGCCGCCCACCGCTGGAAAGTGGCGCCAGCAGGGCCAGGAACGGCAGCGAGTGGGGGCAAAACCGGCTGTTAAGGCTTCGAGCGCAGCGCGCTCAAGACGTGTCGCGGAGCACCCGATCCCGCGTGTTCATACGAGGGGAAGTGGCGGCCAAATTATTGCGGTCGGTGCAGCTGCGTGCGCGCCAGCGCGCGCCGCTTTCCTTCGAGCGACACGCGGACAAGTCAGGGTGCCCGTGCAGATCTGGGTTTCACCGCACACAGCGGCGCTGGAGCGCAGCTGCGCTGCGCAGCACACGCGTGCGCGCGCGCGCGCGCGCGAGCGGTATGTCGCAGCTTGGCAACGCAATCACGTATATATATAAAAGCGCTGGCTGCGGTGGCCCCGGGCAAGCGCGAGCTGCGGGTAGCGCCGGTTCCCAAAAGTTACACCAACTCCCGAAGCCGTGTGAACCCTCCACCTCGCATTTCGCCATCGACCTCCCCAACTCGTGTGCAGTGGAGCGCGACCGTGACACGCAACCCGATCCAGACGACCACGCGGAACCCGTCCCATGGCGCTGGGACCGCGAAGTTGACCATCCCATCGCTCAAATGCCCCAAATTCACGTTCCCGCACGTGCGCGCGACCGCTCGCCGCACGAACGTGCACGCTCGCTTACTGAGATTCTGCGCGATGTCAAGAAACCCGAGATCCATACGCGCCGGTACACCAATTTCGTGCTTATGAGCAAGCCCACAGTTACCATCCCTCCGGCCATCCCTGTGGCTGCCACCACTCCGCCCATCCTGCCCCTGACCCCGGTCTCCGCGCAGCCGTTGCTACTCCCGCTGCCCCTGGACAGCGTGGCCGGCGGTAGCGGCGGCGGCGCCGGAAATACCAGTTCCATCGGCTCCGTCGGCGGCTCCGGCGGCGTCACGCCGCCGCGAGCCGCGTGCGAGTTTTCTGCCGACGCCGATCCGCACGCGTCGTTGGCGCCAGTCTTGCGTCAGCACCCTGGCGTCGGCGGCCGGCCCGCTAGCGCCACGTTGCACGAGTGCCTGGTGTGCGGCAAGCGGTTTTCACGGCCCAGTGCGCTCAACACGCACGCATTGATCCACACCGGCGACCAGCCGTTTTGCTGCGACGAGCCGGGCTGTGGCAAGAGATTTAACGTCAAGAGCAACTTGATAAGGCATAAGAAGATCCACGCGAAGGAGCCCCGGGCGGGCGCGCACGGACACCGCGGCCTCGCGGACAACATGTAAGTAGGTAATTTAATAGCATATGCAGCGGTTTCAGCGCTGTTTGTGAAACACCACCGCCTGCGCCCGGGCGCGCACGCAGCGCGCTGCACTTGCGCCGTGCGTCTGCGTCTCGCCTTGCCTCGGCGATAGCGACCTGGAGCGCGGCGATCGACGCCGATCTGGCTTCCCAAATGCGCCCGTGCGGCGCAGTTCCTAGGGGGGCGAAGGGACGCTTGGCGCGCGTATGAGGGCCGGCCGGAGACAACGTAACATCGAATAGGAGAGTTTGGCCGAGTGGTTAAGGCGTCAGATTTAGGCTTGGAAGCCCCTCCGGGGGCTTCTACGGAAAGTCAAGTTCTCTGATATCTACGGATGCGCGGGTTCGAATCCCGTAGCTCTCATTATTTTTTGCACCTTCCGTTTCCTTTTCTTTCCTTCACGGAGTGACATCGCTGGATGTGCATTACGAGGCAGTGGCATGCAGAAAGAATGTGAAGCACATCACAAGAAAGCGTAATTGGCGTATCAGGGCGGGTCGGAAAAACGCTCGTTTCTGGGTTTCCGAGTTTCTACAAAGCCTTTGCGCCCCGTGCGCGTGCCGTCCCATCCCCCTGCCCCAGGCGTTGCGCGTTTTGTGTTATTCGCTTGCTGCGTCCCTGGGCCCCGTCCTCGTCGGCTGCCAGCGCCGGCTTCGCGCTCCGATCGCCCTTCGATCGCCCTGTCTCGTATAGCCGTCTTGTCGCACGTCCAGCGCTGCTACGCCCCCGCCACGCCCGCGGCCCGTGGGCTCTTATAGATCCCGCGCAAGTGCAGGCTTATATAAGAGAGTTTGGCCGAGTGGTTAAGGCGTCAGATTTAGGCTTAGCAGCTCCCCCGGGGGCTTCTACGGAAAGTCAAGTTCTCTGATATCTACGGATGCGCGGGTTCGAATCCCGTAGCTCTCATTAATTTTTCGCACTTTTTCCGCGCGCGGTGTCACCGCGCACGGACGCGTTCCAGCAGCCGTTGCGCCCGCCGCTGCGGCTGTGCGCTCCCGCGCGAGCCCGACTTCGACTGCATGCGGAAATGTAATAGCTTATTTTTGATTTAGCATACGTAGGAAACACTGTCCAAATTCCGGTTTACCTGGATGCCGAACTCCGCCAGGCCACGCGTTCTAGAAGCCCGGGTGTTCGAGAATCTCGCTCGAGCTCCGGGGCGTTGGACGCCAAGTGGCCACGCAAGAGGCCCAAGAGATCCCGCGTTTTTGCAGCTCCCGACGCAACGTCGCGTATAGCGCAACGGGCCGTCGGAAGGTGTGGGCGGCTATTCGTCGCGCGAGACCACCTTCCCGCTCCACTCCCTGCTCAACGGCACCGGCACCGCCGTGCCCGGCGCGTGGTCTTGACCATAAGGCAACTCGAAACTCGCAACTCGCAAGTGTCCGTGCTTTGACACGAAGCGGTTATGAAGACGATCCTTGAACGGTGCGGAATTTTAAGAAAGGAACGGTCTGGACTAGACAAGCTCAATTTACGGGTCAAAATGGTAAAACTCCTACACATGCAAGGTGCCTCCAGGGCCCAAGAATGTAGCCACAATACTGCGGTGTCAACAATAACATTGAGTGTTTCTTGTTGCCCGAAAGGAAAGGAAATTCCCCAATCTGCGAGAATGTCATCCCCAGATTCAAACCCTGGATGCACCACGGCAGTTGCACTTGAGCCTTTTTTTTTTGCGACTAGGAGCGTTTTTCCGGTTTTGAACCGACACGCTGGGATTTAGCCGAATTCTGGAGTGCTCTGGGCTTTGTTGCGTGAATGTAGGCCTTGTGGTTTGCGGTTCGTGTGGGTTTCCCCGGTCCTGGGCTCGCTGGCGTGGAAAATATCGCGCGCGGGCGCGCTCCCGCCGCTGTTCGTTTCCCAGAAATTCTCAAAATTCTCAAAATTCTCAAATTCTCAAAATTCAGCAAAATTCCAACTTAAAGCTCCGATTACCACGTCCTAGACCTGCCGTTCTGTTTCCGTCTCTGCCCGCACCCACACGCCAGTTTGGGCCCTGAGCCTGCTTGAGTCATAACTCGGACGGGGAAAAAAAACAGCACCGAATTTTTGTCGGCGCTGACTCCGCCCAAGCAGCGTTCCAATGGCGGAGTACTACCCTCGCTACAAAGAATTCCTCAAGGGAGACACTAGCATTGCGTTTCTGGCCGGTGGGTTGGCTGGGGCAGTCTCACGCACCGTTGTTTCGCCGTTCGAACGTGTCAAAATCTTGCTCCAGGTGCAAAGCTCTACCCACTCCTATAATCGTGGCCTCTTCGCCGCTGTCAAGCAAGTGTACGTCGAGGAAGGCGTCCCGGGTCTGTTTCGTGGGAACGGCCTCAATTGCGTGCGCATCTTCCCCTACAGCGCAGTGCAGTTTGTCGTGTACGAGTCCTGCAAGAAACACATCTTCAACGTCGACGGAAGCGTGGGCAAGGATCAATTGCTCAATTGGCAACGGCTTGTCAGCGGCGCCCTCTGTGGGGGTCTCAGCGTGCTGGCCACCTACCCGCTCGACCTTGTGCGCACTCGACTCTCCATCCAAACCGCGAACCTCGCCCGGCTCGAGCGCTCACGTGCTCGCAACATCGCACGTCCTCCCGGGGTGCGCGAGCTGCTAGTCAAGACCTACCGCAATGAGGGCGGTATCCGCGGTCTGTACCGCGGCGTGTGGCCCACCAGTATCGGTGTGGTGCCCTATGTGGCCCTCAATTTCGCGGTCTACGAACAACTCAAAGAATTCATTCCTCAGGGCATGGACCCCTCGACCGCCAACTTCTACAAGCTCACCATAGGCGCTGTCAGTGGTGGTGTAGCCCAAACTATTACATATCCATTTGATTTGCTGCGCCGTCGTTTTCAAGTGCTAGCGATGGGCGGCCACGAACTTGGGTTCCGCTACTCCGGTGTTACCGATGCCCTCATCACCATCGGCAAGACTGAGGGCTTCAAGGGCTACTATAAGGGTCTCACAGCCAACCTTTTCAAGGTTGTGCCCTCAACTGCGGTTAGCTGGGTTGTCTACGAAGTCGTGTGCGACATGATGCGCGCCTGGTGAACGAATGATAACGATTTTACGCAACTTGGATAGCTTAACGACAATATCGTGCTCCTCCCTTGATATTGGTACAATATTACATACCTTGAGTCATAGCATATGTATAACTACCTGTCCTACCATTAATATTCATAATTTCGACCAATCACAGTCCGCGAAAATTGACGTTTTTGAAGATCTGACAGTGTGGTGCCATCAAGCTTTTCACAGTGGGAATGAGTGCGTCGTAATTACGTCGCGGGAAAAAAGACGAAAATTTCTAAGAGCCCATTTCAAATTTCATGAAATGGAGCGATAAAATATCCTACTACATCCTTGTGCAGTGGAATAGAACTAGCCAAAACAACACATAAATAATGAGAGCCACCCAATTCGTTTTGAACGCAGCAGTATGTGACCGATGTACACGTATTTTATTGAAGCAGAAACGCGCTCTCAAAGTGACTGTGTCTTGCCCTTGATCGGCCACCGGCCACATGAAGAACTCATACCTTTGGATGCGAGAGATAAATTGGAACTCGACCGTTCGTGAATGGTAGCATGAGAAATGGAAACCGCAGGGTAGAAAGTGGATCAAGGGTGCACAACTCCGGAAAGTTATTGAGCTTCGATTGCAATTGTACTAGGCAGTTATACTAACAGGAATTTCTACAGAAGAAGAAGTCTGGTCTTGGTATCCCAGTTGAACTTACGCCTTTGTTCGTAGCCATGGGTGTCGCTTTGAGTTCCGGTGTCTGGTTCACATACAAGAAGTTTGCCTACGACGAGAGTTTGAGAATCACCAAAAACCCAGACAGATCTCAGTTGCAAGAGGTTTTGGAGAAGGCCAATGGAAAGACTGAATAAATGCGCTAATGATATTGAACCGCTTTTTCCTTTTTGCGATTTGGTATACATTTTGAATGCTTCTCCGTGTCTCTCCCACAGGCTCTTTCAGAGGCTGCACAAAATATTGGGATTGCAAAAGCATGCACAAGTAGTTTTATTATTCGATTATTTAACATTATAATACATTCATGGATTATTTGTGGGTTCAAAAACCCCTGATCGTTGAATTTTTTGATTATTATTGGGTTAATTTGATAGACAATTGAGATACAGAGCTTAAGAGGTCTTTTTAGGTGATCAGCGATTTGTAACTGATCAGTAAATGCACGCTTGTGCAGATAAGTTGATACACGACGTCCCGACAATGCTGAATAAATGTAATTTTGTTTTGTTGATATTTGATGACTTCTGCTCTTTTAAAAACTTGAAAAGTTAAATGTTAAAATTCTCTGACAACAAAGGAGAAAGACAAATAATGAATATTTATACTTGCAAAGTTTCTTCCAAAACAGTCCAAAATAATAGAAACTATAAACAGTATTTGACACAGCAATCAAAGAATTCATTAAATTAGAATGGTTGATGCTTGAATGAATATTAATTTTCTTGTTAATTTATTTAATCAGAATGACTAGCTTCACCAGCGGTGACATTTATCCTATCTTCTTTCATTTCGTAGCTCTGTGACGAATTTAGATTATCCTTGGCTTCTCTAGCCTTTGCGCTTAGAACTTTACTGATCATAGGAGAAGATTGTCCATCCAAAACTGACAAGTTCTCTTGTTGGATTTCAATGTCGTCCATGAGAGCTTCATCAAGTTCTTGAGGTAAGAAAAGATTCAAGATAATACCAACAATACCACAAACGGCAAAACCAGACTCCATGATCAAGATAATGGCGTTCAGGAAACCCTCTAGCGCAGTGTTACCCCCGCTGTAGGTAAATACGTTTTCGAACCAGGTTGGCACAAGAATGGCACCCAAACCAGGCAACAAGGAAGCAGTCAAAACAAATCTGTCTCTTCTTGTGAATGGAATGGTGGAAATAATCTTAAGACCTGAGGCGGCAACACTGGTGAATAAAAACGAAGTCATACCACCTAGAACAGGTTTAGGAATTGCAACCAAGGCAGCACCAAACTTGGCGAAAATTCCCATTACGATTAAGAAGAAACAACACCAATAACCAACTTGTCTGTTGGCACATTTGGTCAGGGAAATAACACCATTATTCTGTGCAAAAGTTGACATTGGTGGCAAAGTAAACAGGGCAGACAAAACACCTCCCAAACCATCACTCAAAACAGCACCTTGAATTCTGGATTCGTACATTTCACCTTCAACTTCCATACGTGACACATCACTAGTAGCAGTTACGTCACCGATACACTCTTGAGCCAACACAATGTACATCACCAGGAAGGGAAGAACTATAGGCCCGTACACTTTGAGTGGGAATGTGTGAACCCACAAGAAAGTAGCGGCAGGGGCAACATCAATGGAAGAACGGTCGAAGTAACCACACGCAGCTGCTACAATGCAACCAACAATGAGACCTACGATAACCGCACAGGACTTCATGATTGGCGAACCCCACTTCTCACACAAAATAATCGTCAAATACACTAGGAAACCTAAACCAACAAAACGGGCGGAACCCCATTCACCAGCTCTGGGGGCGCCTTCATAAGGACAAATTGCACCAACACATCCACTACCACCAACCCAATCTTCGAAACCACTTTCGATCAAGCTCACAGCAATACACAACACAACAGGACCAGTAACAATCTTAGGAAAGATACGTTGTAAGACTTTTGGAGGAGTGAAAGACATGGCCATTTCTAGAAGTGCGCAACAGGCTGCTGTACCAAGCAATGCACCGTAACCAGCGGGACATGCCAACTTAGTACCGTCGTCTGCGACAGGGCAGAACCCTGAATCGTACATCATTGGGAAAGCCTTGTCGACAATCGTGATAGTGGCAAACGATGTACCCACCACAGACAACAACCCCGAACCAATGTAGTAAGGCGTGTAAGGGATGTGAAAACGAGTGATTTGGATGCACGACAAAATACCAGAAGTGATCAATGACGCGGACACCAAATACTCTTCAAGCTCCGTAGAGAAGTTTGCAACGGAAGAGATAATCAATGGAGGTGTAATGACACCTGCCAGCATGGCCAGCGCGTGTTGAAGTCCAAGGATAAAACCCAGGAAGAGAGGCATCTCTGAGTATACTGAGAAAAATGGCTGATCTCTCACCACTGGTTGGACACCCCTTTTCTTGTTGATCCAGTCTCTGAATGGATATGAAGGTGTGAACAGGAAAGCATAGTCATAGTCTCCAAACAAGCCCTCCTTTGTAGTTATCTTGCGAAAGAGCTTCTTTGCGCCTGTCTTGAATGTTTGTCCAGCATTTTTTGCTGAGACTCCTTCTTGCGTGGGCTCTGAAATAAGAACCGATTCCATCTGTTGATAAATCCCTGTACAATAGACTGAGCGTGACTTGAATCAATAGTTGCCGTTGTTACACCTCTTTATATATGTAACGCATGGTGAGAAACTAATCGTATCGCCCCGAGATGGAGTGGAAAAAGAAAATACTTGGAAAAGGGTAACATGATATGAGAAAAAGCATTTTCTTCTTGAAGCTTATCTGCTGGCTACAATCGATAACGGCTGAAAAAAAAAAGGAAGACAAGCGACCCTAATCAAAGAATTACAACGCGTCGCTCGATGCGACGAAATTATTTAGTAAAATTAGTAAGATAACATATTCCCCGCCTTAGGTTCAGTCTCAGTCGAATATACGACTTTCAAATTCGAATACGGGGCTTACATTCCAACAGAATTGACCCACTTTTTCCTAGCAAATAAAGATATAATCTGTCGCATTTACCCATACGCTCTGTTTGAACGATGCTGGGCGTCTCCGAAGAATACCTACCACACCGCTAGCGGCAAAGGCCATACACTATAGTGAATGCAGGGCGTCGGAAGTTTATCGCTTTGGACCGGTTATCGCGTCCTGTCGCCTTTGACCGAAACCCGGACATCCTGCTGCAGTCAAGCATGAAGGAAAAAATATGCCGACTTGTACCACGAAGGTGCGGATGATAGGATAAAACGATAAAGACGAACCATTGGCTGTGGCCGATTGAAAGGGATGACATCAATTTAAATATGCATTACTAGTCTGTAAGCGCCTTTGTAGAGGACAAATGGTGTTCTTTGTGAGGTGAGTCCTTGATTATGGAAAGACAACTTGAGTACATGAAGAAATGCGTGGAATTCGGAGGGCGAAGGAATAAGTTTACCGTTCTCGAGTTAATGCGGCTGTTATCTACGCAAGTCCTCTCAGAACAAGCGGAAGCAACGTAGAACGTAGGACGTAGAACGGCGCTCGAGCCAAGTATCTTGTAATTCTCGAAAGAAATTATTGCCCTATTTACAAAATCTACCTCGTTTATACGTGAATATGTTCTGGCACCGGTGTGCGGTGCGGAATCTTACTGCTTGACGTTGCAGTGAATCTCTGTTACGTCGTCAATCTCGTCGAGCTGCATGATGAACTTGTCGAGCTTCGCGCGAGTCTCCGGATCGCTTATTTCGACCTCCATTTCGCTCTTAGGCACGAAGCCAATTCCTACCTCCTTGATGCGGAAACCCTGGCCCTTCAAACCGGTGGCGATTTGGTTTGTCTGCGAGGGCTCTGTGCTCAATTCGTATACTTGTGGATCGCATCCGGGCGTCGTCTCATCTTTCCCCCCCTCCTCGTCGGGCAATTGCTCGAGGTCGTCCACTCCCTCTAGTTCAAGCACCGCCTCAAACACCTTCTCGTAGTTATCGAGCTCTTTAGGGGGCTGGACCACAACATACCCCTTCCTATCAAAGAAAAACAGTGTGGGAGTCATGCTGCCGTTCGCTTTCCCAAACGCCGCTCGAACAAGCCCAATGGTGCGGTTCTTATTATCTGTGAGGGCCTCAACGACGAATGCAATTCCACCGGGACCCATTCCCTCGTACACACAAGATTCAGTCCTGGAGCCATCCTTGTCTGAAACCCCAGATCCTTTCTTGATCGCATTTTCCACAACTTTCTTGGTCACATTGTTCTTGTTGGCCATTTCAATTGCCGTCGCCAACCGAATGTTGATAGCTGGATCTGGAGACCCGCCCATTTTAACGGCCAGCGCAATTTGGTTGGCAAACTTGTTGAACAGCTTGTTTCTCTCAGCGTCGTTCTTGGCTTTATCGTGCTTTATCGTAGACCATTTGTTGTGACCAGAAAGCACACGTCTGCAACTTGAGAAACCCCGAATTGGAGTAACACCAGCATTCAGCCTTAAAAAGCGCATCATGGGGATCATTTCGGACTTTTCGATTTGTCTTTACTACTAAGTGAAATTTTTTCCTTCTTGAACTCTATAACGTAGGACAGATGATCACCAGATTCGGCGAAAATGAATTGAATTAAGAGCGCCCCTATTGAAGCAGATCTTGAAAGCTTATGATTCAATTTAATGAGATCTGATAAACTTCAGATGCGTATTTAAATAGTCCTTAGGGGTAGTAATGGAGCTATAGTCACATCTCATTGCATCACATCACACGGCTTCGTTAATCTTGTAGAAGTGTGTTACGTGCTGCAAAAATGGTTTCCCTTTCTACTACTGTAAGTAAGTGCAACAAAATGTCCGACAAGCGGAACCTGATTGCGGTGATTGGTGATGAAGACACTACAACTGGTCTTCTACTAGCAGGTGTAGGTCAGATAACACCTTCCACTCAGGAAAAGAACTTTTTCGTTTACAAGGAAGGTAAGACCACTCGTGAAGAAATCTCAAAGGCTTTCACTAATTTCACTGAAGATAGAGAAGACATTGCGATTCTTCTCATCAACCAGCATGTTGCTGAGAAGATCAGAAGTCAAGTGGACGGGTTCACTGCTGCTTTCCCAGCCGTGCTTGAGATTCCTTCGAAGGAACACCCTTACGACCCTGAAAAGGACTCTGTGTTGAAGAGAGTGAGAAAGCTATTTGGAGAATAAACAGGCAAAGTATATCTGTGTATAGTAGAGTTCCAATTGCCAAGAATAAAAGACTTTTTGCTTCAAAGATGAACCGATCTCTCGTAGTGACTTGAGCATGTTAATGGGGATGAATTATAGTGTACAGACGTTTACCTATTGACTATTTCTTGCCCTTCTTCTTCTTGTTTTTCTTCTTCTTGTTTTTTGAAGAAGAGGGTGTGCTATTGACCTCAGGTGGTGACATTGACTTGTCCGCATTGTCGTCAGGCAATTCTTCTGAGACCTCAACTGCTTCTACTTCAGCTGACGCCTCAGTAGTAGGCTGCTCTTCAGAAGCATTAGAGATTGTCGCCACGACTTCTGCGTCTGGTTTACTTTCGATTTCCTCGCTTACTGCGTTAACTGATTCTTCCTCTTTTTTGCCATCAGGTAGTACTTCTTCGGAAGCCGATTCTTGTTTTTCAATCTGCTCGTCTTCAACTGCCATTTCTTCAGTTTCAGTAGGAGCTTCAGAGACTTCTGGTTTCTCTTCCGGAATGCGGTTTTCATTAACGTCGACATTTGCCTCTTCAGCGGTGCTTTCAGGAACACTCAATTCATTTTCTACTAATTGCTCATTATTGATTTCGGCATTTATTTCTTCGTCATTAAACTCACCAGCAGCCTGCGCTTTCTGGGCCTCGGAAACGGCTTCGTGAACGTGAGCGGTTTCGGGAGCATTTATGTCATTTTCGTCAGTAGCTGGAGGTGCTGTGATTTCTGCATTTGTATCTTCCTGAACGGATGAAGAGGCGATGTCTTGTTGTTCATCTTTGAGCGATTCTTGGTTCCCAGTGTTAGCCTCTTCACTCGACTGTACGGGCTCAACAATTTGAGAATCGGCCGGCTGAGAAATGTCAGAAACTTCATTAACTTCATCAACTTCATTAAGCTCATCTTGATGATTTGGAATTTCAGGTTGAGTCTCTATAGGTGTCTCTTCTTCGATCGTAGCTTTTGTTTCCTCATTTACTTCTTCCGAGTCCTCTTTCACAGCATCAACACCTTCTGCTTTGTCAACTGCCTCCTCTTCGACAATCTTTTCACTAGTGCCTTCATCAGCAAGTCTTGTCGATTCCTCTTGAGTGTCTGGCGTGGGCTCCTTGCCATCACCATTTACCTCTTTCGCTAAATTAGAAGGCTCTTCAGAGCTGTCCACAGCATTTTGGTTTTCCGGTGTCTCGGGCAACTCTGCGTCGACCACAGGATCCTGAGATTGGGTCACGCTTGATCCATTTTGTGTTGGTTTACTGGGGAACTTATAACTTTCAAAGTTGCTTACATCAGCATCAATGTAAAATCCACGCACACCGACGATCCTCCTTTCCAATTCGCATGCTCTCACCCACTCTGGTCTCACAATTGGGATATTGCTTTGCTGAGCCTTCTTCAATTCGTCGTCCTCGGCATCTGGATCGTTGGAAATAAAATGAGTCGTGTCGATGGTCACGCTTGTTTGTAATGGCTTAGCGCCAATGTTCCGTAAGCTCTCTTCTATCTGTGCTTTGGTCACTTTTTGGACGCGATCGAGAGATCCCAAACATGCTGTGATACCTGACATATCAGTCATCTTATGCGTGTGAAGCGTGATCTTCTCGGACCACAGATTACCAGACGTGGTAGATAGTTTCAATTGGAACGTGTACTCATTGTCCACAGACAGACCTGAGATCTTTGTCGCAGTCGTTTTAAATGGATTAGGAATCATAAGAGAACGCACACCATCTTTATACAGCACTAACGACTTTAATTGAGCCGATCCAAGTTCCAGCTTCTCCCACCCCAAAACGCAACTGGTTTGAGTCACATTGACGATTTTAAGAATTGGGGGCTCTGGACTATGCGTACCGTACTTTTCCAGGATCGTATCTTGAAGTAATTGAAATTGTTCAATTTCTTTCCTCTCCATTTCTGAATCTTCAGATACTTGAATTTTCACTATCGAGCCAGCTTTCACACTGTCAGGAAGTAGCATTGTAGGGAATTCGATCACATGGTGATCTTTTGTAGTCAGTAATGCCAAAGATGCATCCAGCTTCCCCACTGTAAGAGAGACTTCCACTGGCATATCCACGTCTGTGCTCATTTTGCCTTTTGAACACTGTAATGCCCGGCCGTTCTCCTTTCTCTCGAGTTGACAACTATGCGCAGTTCGGATCACCACCGTACTCAGTGATAACAATGCGGTTATAAAGACAAATCATTTATTAACAGTAATCAATCAAGCTAAACGGGCGAAAACGGAATATCGGCTACTGGATAGACATTAGTTTCAATATTACTCTAACCTTCCTACGGTAAAGTCTTGAATACTGCTGACTCTTGCCAGGACAGTCAATTGAAATGAATCTTCGATCTATTATTAACATTGAAATTCGAAACGATACATATAAGGTAGGCAAATGCACCCTGTGCATTTGATACTAATAATCAAATGAGAAAACTATCTATGAAATGACATTTTTTTTTATATTTCGGCAACAACCTTGGATAGAACATCAACAAAGATGTCGGCATGCTTCTCCTCAAAAGTCAAGGTTGGTCTCAATCTGACACTCTTTTCAGCACAACCACCAACGTTGCAACCGTTCAACTTCAAGTTCTTTAGCAGAGCGTCTCTTTCAGCGCCGGATGGCAAGTCCCAAGCGATAAAAGTACCTCTGTTCTTACCTCTCAAGTTTTGGAACTTGGTTGGGTATTTCTCTTGCAAAGCAGACAACTTGCCGAATAGGTAGTCACCAACACGGGCACATTGCTCGGCCAACTTCTTGTCGACAATTTCTTGACCAATGGCACCGGCAATGATCATTCTGGCGGGTTCACCACACCAGGTGTTGAATTGACGGTATGGCTTGTTTGGAACAAAGTGTGGGTCGTGGAAAAAGTAACCGGCACTTTGGAATTTCTTGGAGAAAGTAACCAAGTCCACGGGTGGTTGGATTTCGGCATATTCGTGGCACCATAGCTTACCGGTAGCACCAACACCGGTCTGGACCTCGTCGATGATGTAAACGACGCCTAGCTTCAAAGTTAGGTCTCTCAAACTTTGCAAAAAGTACTTGGAAGCGTGGTTGTCACCACCTTCAGATTGGATAGGCTCGATGATCAAAGCGGCAACAGGAATGGGCCATGAGGTAATCAAGTCCTCGACGATCTTCAAACAACGGTCGTCTTCAGCTCTGTTGGCGTCCTCGTTTTGTTCCAATGGGAACTTGTAGGCAGGGTATTCAGCGTGAGGCCAGTTGAAAGCTGGGAAGTCCAACTTGTGGATTGGCTTGGAACAAGTAACCGAACCAGATGCAAATAGTCTACCGTGGAAGGCCTTCTTGAAGGACAAAACGGCTAATTGTGGGGAACCTGGGGTCGAGTTCTCCATGACAGTACTGTTTTCCTCGGCGGAAAACTCCTTGTCGTAACCTCTTTGCTTCGAACGGTAGTACATGAAGGCAGCCTTGAAAGCCAATTCGTTGGCATCAGCTCCCGACAAACCGGACCAAACCATGCTTTGGCCCTTAGGAGCGAACTTTAGCAGCTTTTCCAAGATCGCTGTCAAGTCCTTAGAAGGGAAGTTACCGAGTGCTGGACGGTCCACCAACGCACGGATCATTTCTGGAGATTGCGCAGCCTTGATCAACGCAGGGTTGTTGTAACCAAGCGCGATCGAAGCGATCTGTGCATACAAGTCTAGATATGTGTTGCCGTCAGCGTCCACAATGTAGTTACCAACAGACTTTTCGTAGTCAGCCATGAAGTAGGCTGGTCTGGCATCAAACACCTTGCCCAACTTTGACAATTCTTCCTGGGACTTTGGTCCTGGGATGCTAGAAGAAGTCACAGAAGGCTTGGATGGCTCGGAAGGGTAGTATTTCTCACAAACAGACATTGTAGTTGTTGTTGATTAGAGCAAGAGGGAAAAGAGGTCTAACTATTCTTACAATTACGCCTATTTATACCTTTCCTTACCTTATCATTAATCCAATTCCGAGCGGTTGTTGTTAAAGTGGAAGGCGATCCCGCGCGGGAAAAAGGCAAGCGAGGTTGGCGCCGTGATCACGTGATACAAACAGGATTTTAAACTATAATGATAAAAACGTTACTCACTTCATTACATCGTGGGTGACTCATGGGCAGACTTCTTCCTCTACCCAGGTCTCCAGGCGTGTGCCGGGTTCGCGGTGGCAGTTGTACTTCCAGCGTTCGCCGCCACGGCCATCTTTCAAATTGAGATAATCGACTTGATGGACGCACAGACACACGACGCCGAAATTATCGAAACCGGCATTCTCATTGGCGCCGTCGACACCGCGCTGGATCTTGTCGAGTTGCTGGCTGGTGCCAGAGGTGAGTGGGGTGCCGGGGTCGGGCTTCCGAAATTGGGCCTTGGTGGAGCGAGATAGAATGGCCCATTGGCGTTGGAGCTCCAGCTGCCACTCGTGGGCGGAGGGAGGCTTGTAATCGGCTGGCGAGAGGATGTCGCGCTTGGGCGTGCAGCCAGAGCTGCGTGTGGAGGTGCGCGAGAGCACGCGTGCAGTGTCGTCGTCAGCGTCGAGCGCGCTGGGCCTGGCACGGGCGCCGCCCGCGCCGCCTGCGCCTGGAGTGTGGGTGTGGCCGTGGTTGTGAGCGTTGGTTTCATGGCCCTCGGGGGTGGCGTCTTGGCTTTCGTCGTGGTGCGCGCAGTTGCCATTTCCGTCGCCCTCCTCGCCGTGCGAGCACCGGTCGTACTTCAAGAGCTCTTGGATGTGGCCGCACACGCTGGGCGACAGAATTGGATACGCAATGAGGCCCGCATCTTGACTGGCGTAGTGTTGCACAACGGCGGGCATGTCCCGCTGCGACACCACGAAACACTCACCGCTGAATCGATACTGTTCCCACGTATTTGGGAAGTAGAAACACGCCTCGAACGGCGCCGTAGTCTCACCGTTGCCCCGGATCTCTTTTACCTTGTCCCCCCGCAGGTCCGACGTGAACGTCAGTACGTTGCTACGCTTATCGTGGAATAAAAAGTCCCGGAAGATTACTGTCCGACACTTGGGCTTCATCGTCTGCGTGTCCACGGTCGCGAACGTGAACGGAACAAAGGCTTGCGTATGATTCTTGCAAGACTGGATGAATTGAGGCACCCAAGGTGCCATCTGATGGATCATCTTGGCGTTGCTAGTGTTCGTTATCGCATTACCATGTCATCACCTCACAAATTTTCGAGCTTCCAGTGAAAAAATTGTCCATAATTCCTTACGAACAATTAAAATGCAGCATGCCTCATAGGACCTGCAGTAACTTGCAGGCGCAGGAACTCGTAGAGAGCTTTGCAGTTTCACCGAATCGTGTTGGGAGTCATGGATCGTAGACCAATCCTATCTGATTGGGCTTCCCTGTGGCAGTGAGTCCACTACGATAGGAATCGACTGGCCGTCCTGGTACACGCACAACACATGTTCCTGGCCAGTTTCCGCGTCGCGGTAGACAGCCTTCTTGTCGGCGTTCACGTAAAGCCTCGATGACACATCTTCCCATTCAGAAGTTTTAATTCTGCGGGACGTGGGCTGCGGGTTCAGGGGACTGTTCTCCAGAACTACTTGTTCGCCGATAAGAGCCTGGTCCATAATCGCAGGACGGCACGGCTGGACATGCCCCACTTTATCGTCGCCACAGAGTACCATGGCCTCACTGACTTCGCCGCGAAGCTTACACTTTTTCATGTTGTCAACCACCACCACTAATTTATCTTGGAACTCATCTCGGGGCAAGAAGTCGCGAAGCCCGCTGCAAACTTGCTTGATATGAGGGGGATCCGACCGTGACAGATGGATTTTCGATACGTACATCTTGTCGGAGTTGGGATGGACCTGCACATCCGCGGTGTACCCGATTTTCAAATTGAGCAAGTTGAAAGAAGCACTTGCATTACAAGAGTAGCGTCTCTGCATTACACGTAGCATAACATTCCTAGCAGGTGGTATCATCCCTTGAACGATTATCTGTATCTTGAAATATGGACGGTCGAGATGGATGGAGTTGTCTTGAAGCGAAAAAAAAAAAAAAAACATGATAATCTTCAACTCTTCTCTTAACGCGTAACAGAGGTTTGCTGGACAAATGAGAGACTACAAGCTAGTTGTACTAGGTGCTGGTGGTGTGGGAAAATCATGTCTGACCGTACAATTTGTACAAGGGGTGTATCTGGACACTTACGACCCTACGATCGAGGATTCTTACCGCAAGACAATGGAAATCGACAACAAAGTGTTTGATCTTGAGATTCTGGACACAGCAGGCGTGGCGCAATTCACTGCAATGCGTGAGCTGTACATAAAATCTGGAATGGGGTTCCTGCTGGTGTATTCTGTAACAGACCGTCAATCATTGGAAGAGTTGGTGGAGCTACGGGAACAGGTGCTGCGCATCAAGGACTCAGCGCGCGTTCCCATGGTTCTGGTGGGTAACAAGGCAGATTTGCAAGATGAGCGTGTGATTTCAGTCAAAGAAGGCATCGAAGTGAGCAGTAACTGGGGGAAAGTGCCATTTTATGAGACGAGTGCATTGCTGAGAAGCAACGTCGACGAAGTGTTCGTAGACTTGGTAAGGCAAATTATCAGAAACGAAATGGAGGCAAACCAGGCGCCCTCCAATACTGTAGGTGGACCCATGTCGAGGCGCGACACGCATGCCACTTCGATAACCAACAAAAGTGCTGTTGCAGCAGCGGGAGCAGATGCAATGGTAAGTTCGCCAGGTTCCGGCAATAGGCCCGGAAGAGCTTCAGAACCTGCCAAGGGTCCCAAGAAAGTAGTACCGGCCAAGGATAAGAAGAAAAAAAACAAGAAGAAAAGCCCATGTGTGATTTTATAAATGGCCAGTTTGCCTATGTAAGCTGCAAGTGTATATGGCTCGAAAGAGCAAGGAATGTAGTTAGTGGCACAGACGCAAGCCGTACTGAACGTCATGGACATGTAGCAGTGCATTCTCGCTTCGAAACATGGCAAGCATGGTGTGTATTAAATATATATATGCCTTTAGAAATGCTGCGACTCTGTAAGAGTGGGGCTTCATGCGGTTTTGTCCTTCCAGGTGCCCCCGAAATTATGGTGAACGAGTGCAAGCTCGTCAGAACTCGTGCCCGCACCCATATGACCAACGTCGGGTGAGAAACTGGTAATGGGCAACACCATGATGTCGTCGACAATGGCAGGTGTTGTCATCCGCGTGAAGAACTCCCATTGGAAAAAATTACCCGATTCTAACCCTTCTGTAATCTTTCGATAGTATTTCTGCGTGGACTCCGGCCCGCCTCGTAGATTATTGTTGAGGATGAGCACGTCGTTGTTGGTTTGGACCAAGTTGTTCATGTAGCCAAACACCGCATCCGAAAAGACACCGGGCCCTGCCCAGTTCATAATGTCGCTACCATCAATGTTGTTGGCATTTTTCTTCTCTGCGTGCGAGACGGTGGGATCTGCACGCTTCTTGTCTCTCATATTGACATTGTAGTCGTCTGCATGCGCCTCGTCCACTAAGAACGCGGGGCGACCGCGTTTGTCGTAGGATTCGACGCTTGCCAGCGTGGTAGCAGTGATATTGATGATCAATTCACGCAACACCGGATGACCTGGCTTAGATTGGATGGTCCATTGGCAAAACTGAATGCGGCGCGCGTAATACTCGTGCCAATCGGGACGGTCCGGGTCGGCCTCGATGCCCACCACGAACCCCGGGTCCTGTAACTGCGGCGCCGTCGCCGAATCGTAGTTTTTGTACGCTACCGGCGTGGACACGTCAATCCAGCTGGTGCCATTGACGGACGGCCACGTATGCAGCGGCTTGAGGGGCTCCGTGTCCATGTCGGAGTAGATTCCGCCGCGCGCATACAAGATCAGGTACCGGAAGAAGTCTGCCTTGATGATCGTGCGGGGCAACGCCTCAAAAGCCTGCAGTACTTGTGGCACAGAGCCGTATAAACTCTCTAGTAGCGGTGGGATGTTCTCATCTGCCACCAGCGCGTACTCATAACTTGGTGCCTCGTCTACGGCTTCCGTCCACAAACCCACGTAGTGACGGAAGTCAGGGGGCATCTTGGGCGACGACAAGGGATCCCTCCACGTCTGCCAAACCCGCCGTGGCATTGGTTGCGACGCGTCATAGGGAAACTGCCGCGACAACTGCTCTCGCAGGTCTTCCACGCCGTTTCTACCGGCTTTGACGCCGTCTTGCAACCTCTGTGCGGCCCGTTCACCTTCCAGCGCGCCCACTGCTCTATATTTCTTCAAATTGAGGCCCTTATCGACATGACCCGTGGTCGGCAGCAATGTCTTGAAGCCCCTATGGAAATGTTGCGCGATCCGGAGATTGCTCCATTGTAGCGACACTAGCACGTACAAAACCACCACTGCTACCAGCACGTTCTTCTTTCTGCCTCTCAGACTGACGATGCCCATTTTCCACTTGCAATGCTGCTGTTTTGGCTTTGGTAACTAGTTAAACTAGTTATTGTTCATGTATGAAACTTATAAACTGGCATGTTAAAATTCTCCGACACGAAAAATTCTGGAGTCGAGAACACTAGCTATATATAGATGAGTAAAGCAGAAGTAAAGAGGAAGCCAAGAGGCATTGGAGCACGAGAGAAAGTTCAATTGGCATAGGAGCTCAAGACGAGTGCGGTAAATTGGCTCTTCCGGAGTCGCTCTAGCTAGTCTTGTTCTACTTGAGTTGCACGTCGTTCTGCACCAACTCCAGCCGCAGTTGCGCCATTGCGTGCTCGTCCGTGGCTATCGCGCGTGTGTAGTCCTTGAGGATCGTGGTGCGGTAGCCCAGGGCCGCAGCTGAGATGGCAGTGTTCTTGACGCAGTAGTCCAGTGCGAGTCCGACCACGAACACGTCGGTGGCCCCGTGGCGAGCCAGAATGTCCGCGAGCTCCGTGCGGTGGTCGTTCCAAATGTCGTTGAAGCCCGAGTAGTACTCGCGGTCCGCCAAGTAGCCCTTGTTGACCACGTAGTGGTCCACTTCCAGCTGAGCGAAGCTGCTCTCCAGCTCCGGAGCCACCTCGCTTCCCCACGTATTCTGCACGCAGTGCACGGGCCACAACGTGGCGTCCTGGGTTTCGCCGGGCTTGACAGGCGACTGGTATTGGAACCGGCTGAAGTCCGCGAGCCCGTGGTTGCATGCGAACGAGATGTGGTCGCGAGGATGCCAGTCTTTGGTCATCACCACGCAGCTCCAGCGTGGGTCCCGCATCAGCTGCGCAACGGGGCCCACGATTTGGTCCCCGTCAGCCACCGCCAGCGAGCCCTTGGGTGGCAGAAAGTCGTTTTGTATGTCTACGATGATCAGTGCTTTTGTCATTGGCCGCGACAGAAGAACAACTTCGGACCCACCATCGCTGGTTGTTATAAGGCACGAATCGTGCAAAACCGAACCCGGGACTCCCACATTGCAATAAAATCACGGCACTACCAATTGCCCCGCCATGCCAAGGCCTCGCCCAAGCAACGAACCCAGTTGTGCCCCGCTACTGGGGGTCTTGTTGGATCCCTAGGGGACATAGCGTGATTCGGGAAGAACCGCACGTAAACGGCAACAGACGTCTTCGGGTACCAATGGAGCGTACCGCGAGTCACGAGCGTGGGAGAAACGAATTGCAAGTGCCAATGGAGACCTTCAACGCTTGCTAACCTGCGCTTTTGAGTGCTCATCGCGCCTCAGTTGAGCTGCAACATCGACGAATGAGCCCGTCGCGGCGCACGAAGGGGCACCTCGCCGCATCAGCGCCAGTTGCGCTGTTACAAGTCACCTTTGATCGTCGTATTTCAGCTGTCATGGATATGGTTGCGATTATGGATGCTGAAACCGTGTTATCAAGTTCATCGCCTGATGCCGAGCAACCACAGCCCGACGCAGATGGCATATTGTCCGACGCTGGCGTCCAAGTTTCTGATTCAGACCACGATGGCGACCTCAACGCTCAGATCGCACACAGCGTACGGCGTGCAGCGCTCGCACTGCACGCTGGAACCGATGGGGACGGGGCCGTTGCCGTTACCGTGGCATTTGGGCTGCTGAATGTTCTGCCGCATTTTGGGCCGGACCTGCAGGTCGATGTGGCCGAGTGCGATGCTCTGACGCCTGTTCTGGCCGCAGTCGCGCGTGGCGGTGCCCACGTCGACCTCCTGGCGCTGTTGTTTGCGTATTGTGCAGTGCGGCCGGCGCTGGCGACGCTTGCGGATGCTTTTGTCGCTGCTGTGGACGCAGACGTGCAACTCACGCGGATGCTGCGCGACGTGTGCGTGGACGCTGGGAACGGGTCGCAAGCGGGCTCCAAAGCGGGCTTTTACACGGCGATCGCGCGCCTGGAGCAGTTTGGCGCAGTTGACGCTGCCGTGCTCGCGTTTTTGGACCTCGACTTGGGTCCCACGTTGCTGCACGTCTGGATCCCCGCGTGGATGCATGCACGCAACTCTGCGCTTGCATGCACGCCGTCAGAGGCGCTGCTGGATGCGCTAATTGCGCGCCGTAGCGGGGACCTGGGCGAATGGCGCGAGTTGGCGAAATCTACGGCCGCACCAGCGCAATTCTTCATGTACAAGGCTTCGCAACGGGCGCTCCAGCATTCTCACCAGATGCCCATCGCGTTTTATGAGCTTGCAACTACGTTTATCACTTCTTATGTCGGCCACGACAGCGTGCGCACCGGCCACGACCGTTTGGCGTTCAATTTGACAGTGCTTATGGAGCTGCTTGATCATCGCGATCTCAATTTGCTGTGCGAACCGCACTTGGTGTTGCTCTTGCACGTATCATTGCAAAATATTGTACGTTGCTGCTTGGAGGGCCACGCTCGCACGCTGCACACGAAACTGCGCACGTTAGGATCCATTTTAAGCCTCCCAGCACTTCTCAACATGCTACAATACCTAATTTGCAAGTTCATCTTGAGCGTGGGTAACACCACACTGTGCGCGAGACGCAAAGCTGCGATACGCACGGCCACTCGAGCTGACAATTGCGACGATGTTGCGGGCGATTCCGACAACTGGTTCAAGCTCCGTACCAAGTACGAATTACCGGCGTGCTTCGATGAGATCTTGCCCTCTAATGCACCCGTGCCACGATCGCTGTTCGGCTATGCGGAAAGCAGTGTGGAGTCCGAGCCTCAGGCCAATAACGCAACCGCAATTCTCCAGCTCCTGTTGGAGTCACTAGGCATGTTGCTGCGCATCAATCGTGCGACATTGGACCTCTATAAGGAAAACAAGGTGGGTGCATTGGATATACAGGGCTTACAATCGGATTTGCGTGTCGGCATCCACCAACGTGCAGTCCGCGCACACCTCGATTTGTACTACATCTCAAACTTCGCGGTGCTGGTGTTGTCAGAGCAACTGCGTGACCCAAATGGGCTCTCGTTGCTGCTGGGGCATTCAGCAGCAGCATTACAAAGCCGACTCATGCTCCGAAACGCCCTCAAATGTTTCGAATCGCTCATGTGCACACATTGTGACATTGCGCTCTACAACCTTGTGCGGTTTGCGACTGAGGTTTCTGTGCTCGACTTACTTCTACAACGCCAATGTATCACAGTTTTTGTGCACTTGTTCTTCCATGCGCGCACTTCTCAAATCCGGGACTTGTGCATGGCGAATGAGCTCACTTACAGGGCACTTCGTGACTACGTGGAGATTTGGAACGATGGTGGGGCGCATTACACCGGATTCTTCGAACAATTGTTTGGCACGTCGCAACCTGCCGTCACTACCAGGCGCATGGCATTACGCGATCTGCTTCCTGACGACCTCCTGCACAATACTAAGATGCTTACTGCTGCAGCGCCTGTAGCTCCGCGAGACCCCACACCCACACGCGCTGCTGTGGTCGCCAAAGGCTCAAAGTCTCGCTACAATGCCCACGCTACCTCATTCGTGCCCGCCAGCAAGGCATTTTCCCGCAATTTTCTCGACCAAGGGACATCTTTCACGCAGTTGCGGCCCACCGCAACTGCTCAACACGACTTGCTCGTCCCACACACTTCTCTTAGCTCATCCACTTGGGATTCGTCCTGTTTCTCTGATTCGAGTGTCCCCACAACTTCCAGCGCAGGCGTTGTAAGTACGGGTAAAAACTACATCCTGGGAGGCCATAACAGAGCCACAAACAATAGCCGAGCACAATCCGTGCACGTTGACGTTTTTGAGAACAGATGAACTGACAGGCACTTTGACACTGATCGCTAGCTAGAACCCTAATCTTCATTGCCCACTAATCTGTGACCGCCATCCTCTCGCTAGATCGTTTGCTCCATAACCAAAATGGCTACCATACTGCCATAAGGGTAATACAGCGCCAACTGCATAACTATACAAAGCTATATATCATTTTCATCGCCAAATGTAGAGGCATTACATTGTGCAATGATCTCTAACACACAAAGAAAAACAAATTTATCACAATGCCATATTCTCTAGGATCCCACTTCATAATTTTCTTATCATTGTAAGCACTTCTTCACTAGTTTACTACGTCCTTGAGAGTCATATCACATCGCTGTTGGCGCTAACTTTTATTAAACTATGTTCCAGTGCTTACACACGAAAAAAGTAATGCGAAAAATTTTTGTATAGCTCATCTCATCGCGACCGCTTACCTTGAGCCCATAACTTCACGCAAGATTGTAAGCAGCAAATGGTTCTTAAATCAACTTCGGCCAGCGATGTTTCGGTCTACCAGGTATCCGGTACCAATTTCTCGAGGTCTCTCCCGGATTGGATTGCCAAGAAGCGCAAAAGATCGTTGAAAAATGACCTGGAGTATCAGAATCGTGTTGAGCTTATCCAAGATTTCGAGTTCAGTGAGGCATCTAACAAGATCAAATGTTCTCCTGATGGACAGTATGCTATGGCTACAGGTACTTACAAGCCCCAAATTCATGTATACGACTTTGCCAACCTGTCGCTAAAGTTCGACCGTCACACAGATGCCGAGAACGTGGACTTCCTCATTCTGTCAGACGACTGGACCAAAAGTGTACATTTGCAAAACGATAGAAGCATACAATTTCAAAATAAAGGTGGGCTTTATTACACAACGAGAATCCCCAAGTTCGGTAGAAGCTTGGCGTATAACAAGGTGAACTGTGACCTTTACGTGGGCGCCAGCGGCGATGAGTTGTACAGGCTTAACTTGGAACAGGGCAGATTTTTGAACCCCTTCAAGCTGGAAACGGAGGGTGTCAATCACGTTTCGATCAGCGATGCCAACGGGCTGATCGCCGTAGGAATGGAGGAGAACGCCGTAGAGTTTTGGGATTCCCGTGCCAGATCGCGGGTGGCCAAGCTTCACTTGGAAAATAGGTTTGATACTGCGCCCTTCCAAGTGACCGCGACGAGTTTTAGAAACGATGGCCTGAATTTTGCATGTGGTACTTCTAACGGGTACTCGTATTTGTATGATCTGCGTACGTCGCAACCCACCATCGTGAAGGACCAAGGTTACGGCTTTGAAATCAAAAAAATCATATGGATGGACAACACAGGCGCAGAAAACAACTCTAACAAGATCCTGACTTGCGATAAGAGGATTGCAAAACTATGGGACAGAAACAGTGGTAAGGCATACGCTTCTATGGAGCCCAGCGTCGATATCAATGATATCGAACACGTTCCTGGTACAGGCATGTTTTTCACCGCTAATGAAGGTATTCCAATGCATACATATTATATCCCAAACTTGGGCCCTGCACCAAGATGGTGTTCATTCTTAGATTCCATCACGGAAGAGCTCGAAGAGAAGCCCAGCGACACGGTGTACTCCAACTACAGATTTATCACCCGAGAGGACGTCAAGAAACTCAATCTTGCACACTTGGTTGGCTCGAAAGTGCTGCGTTCGTACATGCACGGTTTCTTCATCAATACCGAGTTGTATGATAAGGTATCTCTAATCGCGAACCCTAACTCTTACAAAGACGAAAGAGAAAGGGAAATTAGACGTCGTATCGAGAAGGAGAGAGAATCTCGTATTAGAGCTTCAGGTGCAGTTCAAAAACCAAAAGTCAAGATTAACAAAGACTTGGTCGACAAATTGTCCCAGAAGCGTGGTGATAAGGTCGCTGATAAGGTTCTTGCTGATGACCGTTTCAAAGAGATGTTTGAAGATGAAGATTTCCAAGTGGACGAGGGCGATTACGATTACAAACAATTGAACCCTGTCAAATCTGCCAGAGAAACGGAAGAAGGTGCTGCTAAGCGTATCAGAGCGCTAACCGCAGCAGAAGAATCTGACGAGGAAAGAATTGCTGCCAAGGAGGGGCGCAACGCATATTCTGATTCCGAATCTGAAAGCGAATCTGATGACTCTCAAAATTCCAGCAACGAAACGTCACACAACGACGAACTTTCGGAAAAGGAAAAAAGAGCTATCGCTAAGCAAGTTGCCGCAGTCCAACGTAGAAAGCGTGAAAAGGAGAAAGCAGAAAAATTCATGAGTGAAATGAGTGTCGGTGTCGATGACCTAAACGCCCAGGATGCCAAATCCGTTTCCTTCGACAAACAGGTCTCTAGAATGCGCAAAGAAGAGAAACAAAAGAAGTCTGACGGTTCGGTACTGCATCGTAACCATCGCGGTGAAGCGGAATTGACATTTGTTCCAGCCAAGAAGCAATCGAAAAAGAAAAAGGTCTCATTCGACAATGACGACGACGATGACGACGACGATGAAGGCGAAAAGCCTGATCGCGGCATCACAAAAGCCAGATATGAAGGAAGAAGAAGGGCTAGTAAAAACGTCTTCCGTGGCATGTAGTATGTATAATAAATAGAATAGAATATATGATTTGGTCATTCTACTGACGTCAAAGTGTATTCATTATTCTTGATAAGAGTGTAGTCATGTGACATCTAACTCTTCAAATTCTTTGCGGGGGGCCGCGAAATAATTCACTTGAACAGTTCAGTACTTTTGACAGAACTATTGATAAAAGTACTACAGGAATGGGTATAAAAAAGTTCTTTAAGATTAAGCCACCCGAGGAAGTCACTCCTGATGTTAATCGGGAAGAACTCAATGAGTTGGGTATTCCTGTGAAGAACGTGAACAGGAAGAAAAAAGAGAAATTTGCAGCTTATGGGGCGTTTGCCAAGGATAAAGGTAAGGACAAGTTCTTTGCGCCTCCTGGATACGAAAATTATGCACAACCAGATGAGAAAGAGGAGTTAGAGGACCTGAATAAATCGGAAATGGATCCTGCTGCTGAAGAAGATCCTTATATGAGCGCGCCTCCTAAGAATGATTTTGACCCTTATGCGCGCAATAACTTCGGTAACGCAGGAGGGTCTTCTAATCCATACGAAAAGGCTGCACCTTACAGTGCAAGTGGCTCTCCATACGCTCAAGGAGGGTCGGATCCGTATGCTCGTCAGCAGAATCCGTATGGGGCCAGTGCAGGCTCGTCAGCGGACCCGTATGCCACGGGCCCCTCGTACTCCTCCACATCAGCACCAGTTGTGCCGAACTCTAGTTCTTACAATCAGGGTCCAGGCGATCGTGGGACGCCGGCCTATTCTGGAGGGTCCGACGCCCCCAATCAACATCCATACAACCCTAGACAACCTCGCTCGCGCAATCCTGATCCCAAACCGCTCACAAGTACGGCTCAGGGCAATGTTCCTTCGGGAAATCCATATGGAGGTTCTCCCTACGGTTCACGAGCTAGTACCAACAGCCCAGCTCATAGTAATACAGCTGGCAATCCCTACGCTTCTGCGCCGTCTGCTAGTCTCAGTCGCACTACTTCACGTAATCCGTATGGATCGATGAATGCCTATAACTCCAATGCGAGCAATCCATACGGATCAAACTCGGGTACCGTGTCTAACAATCCATATGGATCCGATGAAGCGACAAGCGGTAGCGGAAGGGGCAATAATCCATACAGTGTGCTGAAAGGTGACATGTACGGCGGCAGTACGGAGCAAGGTATTCCTGGCACAGCGAACGCTACGAGAGGTCCAATACGAGAAGCCAGTATCAAAGATACCTTCGATTTCGAGGCACCTCCACAGGCTGCCGAGCCTAGTTCCGTGGCACATGAAGACGACATAGATCTCAACGCGACCATCGAAGATGGTGGCGACGACCTAAACGAATCAATTCACGAGGGTTACAGTGGCTACGGAGGCAGAATGCAGCAAGAGCAGCTGCAACAGCCACACATGGACCAAGCTCCTGAGCAAAGCCGTGGGTTCCAAACGTTTGAGGATATTCAAAGGGAAAATCAAATGAGACAGCAGCAGGAAGAGGATGAGCAGGTTGATGAAATAAAACAAGAAATCCGCTTTACCAAACAGAGCTCTGTTGCATCCACGAGAAACACTTTAAAGATGGCCCAAGAAGCTGAATCAGCGGGTATGAATACCCTAGGGATGCTCGGTCATCAAAGTGAGAAGCTGAATAATGTGGAAAGAAATCTGGATTTGATGAAAATGCAAAACAGAGTAGCAGAGGATAAAGTGGCAGAATTGAAAAAGCTAAACAGAAACATTTTGGCCGTTCATGTCAGCAATCCATTCAACTCGAAGCGGAGACTTCGTGAGGCTGAAGATAGGATAAAGATGCAGAGAATGGAAGACAAGATGATGCAGGAGCAGACAAATAATCAACTACAGCAGTCCACTCAGCGAATCGAGGGCGCATTGATGGGCAATGGTAACGATAGCGAAACAGTGAGACAGCGCTACCAAAACAAGGCTATTCTCGAAAAGGCCAAGCGATACCAATTCGAGAATGACCAAGAAGACGACGAAATGGAGGTGGAAATAGACAGAAATCTCGACAAGATTGGCCAAATAAGTAGCAGATTGAAGAGATTGGCCGTCGCGACCGGAAGCGAAATCGATGCTCAACAAGATCGTATCAAGAACATCGAAGAGGATACTGATAACATGGATATAAAGATTCACCTAAATACGACGAGACTCACCCAGATTAGGTAAATCATTTCAATAATGTCTCGTAAAGAGTAATTTAGTGGCGGAGCTGACCTTGTTCCTGCCAGCAAAAAGATTTTTTTTCAATTTGCTAAATAAAAAAACTAAACATAATAACCTAAATAGCCAAAACTCTCGGCCAGGACGGAAGGCGCCCAACCAAAGAATGTAAGTCGAAGCCAGAAACGTGTAAAAGTAATAAACGTGATAGCGAATGGGAAGGTGCCGCTGTGAAGAGCTCACCTCCATGCATGTGAAAAAATGTCGTGTGTATCATAAACGAAAAAAATGCTAAGAATATTATGCAGTGACTAGCTAGCTAGTAGGATTGCAGTTCAGCCACAACTTGTAGTTTCTCTCGGCAATACGATCGAGCGTCATATCAGAAGCAAACGATAGGTAGCCATCTTGTTGCTCTTTGGCCATAAACCGAGGCGAACTGAGCCTTGTCGGCACGGTGGTACTGTAATCCAGCTCGAATGGCTCTTCCTCGCTGTCGGTCTCGTCCGTATCGAGGTCGAGGGGGCAGAGCTGTGGTGTCGAGATCAAACTCTCCACCTCACTTCTCCTTCTCCCCGTCCTTGTGTCGTTAATGCGGCACGAAGCTGAACAGTACAACTTCTCAGAGCCCTCAATTAACCTATCGCACACAATACAGTAGTCGTTGAACGCAGACATCTTAGCCTATTCCTCACGAGAAATGGAATGCAGGGTCAACTTGATCCAATGCTTACAATAATGTTGACTTAATCTTCAAGTAAGCTGGATCAAGCTTTTCTCGATTTTTCACATTGTTTATATACTCAAGATGAAAATGATCCCACATGCATTCCATTTGCGAACAACTCCGCACGATGACTTGAATCTGCACCTTTAGCCTCTATTACGGCTCGGCTTGTCACATTCGAAGGCTTTCCGACGGCTTCCAAAACGTGTGAGCTAAAATTAAGTCGCATTGTGAAGTTGCGCCGCACGTTTTGGAACGAAACATTAGGCGGTGTTAAGCGTCCCGTTCTGAGAACAACGGAACATACTAAAAAAATCTAGAAACGCGACAACACGAAAACGCAAATGAAGCCAAGTTAGGGCATCAGGCGACATTGTGAAGAGAGCCACTGTATGCGGGCTCAACAGTTGTGTTTCAAATTAAACTTACACGTGACCAACGGATTAATTATGCAGCTACTAATTATATAATCTTGTCAACCAGTGGGAAACCGAAGGTCCAGACTTCTTATTGGCGGTAGGGCATCGTTGCTATTAGCCTGGCTAGCGCTAGAACTGCTAAAGCTACTGTTCGGCTGCGCAACAGGTGGATTAGTGGGGCTAGCCACACGAGGAGGAGTCTGGAGCGGTGTGTACCTCGCGGAGGCGGCGGCGGAATGCGCCAGGGCCGATGTTGAGGTGTATCTATCAAGGAATTGCGTGTTCTCAGAGTTCTGTACGACCTGAAGACGCTCGCTTAGCTCACTGGAAAAATCCGACGACGGAGTGGACGACAACATCGCCGTGATACCTGGAGGCTGAAAACTGGTACCTGGCGCTGCGCCAGCCAAGTTTGTGAAGGAACTTGTCGGGTGCAGATTCGTCAGGTTAGAGGAGCTGTTGCGCCTGCTGATGCTTGGAGTAGATGTTCTTGATTTTTTTCGCACCCTCCCGAATTCTTCGTCCTCGACGTCGGCATCAGCGCCTTGGCTGGCCAATAGACTGGATATACTCGTAAGGGAGGTTGAAGAATTCAAGCCTCGCAGGGGCCCCGTAAGTGAGCGAGGTCTTGGTAGTGGCGTCGAGCCTTCTGGAACGTCGGCGAAGCTGTAGGTGGGAGTCGAGGCACCGCTGCTGTGGCCGCTGGCAACGCTATGAGGGCTGTGCGGTCTTAAAGGGTATGCCGTCGAGTGCAACCCATCAGAAGGGCTGCCGGTATTCAAGGGTGTCATACGCTGTAGTGATGATAGAGCATTCAGCTTTGGGCGAGACGAGATAGGACGTATAGGCTGCTGAGCCATCATGGACAGGTTACTGGCTGAGTAGTGGCCCGCATGAGAGTTAGATGTTGGTGGCGAGTTTGACTTCCAGTTTCGACCCTCTCCAAAGCTTTTGAGGGACGGCAGAGACCTGACGGTGTGTATAGAATCCGGGGATGTCGGATCTCCCGACTTAGCCTGTAAACCCAGAGCGGCGTTCACCAGAAGACCCATATTCTGTTGCTCTAACTTGTTCTTCTCGGGAGTATCTTCCTCGTCTCCACCAAGCTGGAACGTGGGATGCTCTCGAGCTTGATTGGATCTTACCTCGACTTCTTGAGTTTGCTCTACATTACGAGATTCAATCTTTTTCTTCCGTCCTCTCTTACCTTTGGGTTGCGGATTCGTGTGAATACGCTTATGCCTTGTAAGTTCGTCACTCCTGCTAAATCTTTTGACACAGCCGGGGAAGTCGCAAACGTGGGGTTTTTCTCCTGTGTGAGTTCTTATGTGTCTTGTTTGATGCTCTAATCGATGAAACGCTCGTGAGCAAATCGGGCATACGTAGGGCCTAGGAGAGTCAGGCCCTGAGTTAGGTGATCTTCGCTTTTTTTTGGCCTTTGAGTCTTCCATGTTGGCCTTGCTGGTTTACGTTGACTCTATTGAATATTTACTGAATTTTAAATTTTTTTGGCAACCAGGTTATCACTACCAGCATAGACCCCACGATTATTCACAGCGAGAACAACGGCGCGAAACCCATCAAGTATCAGAACATTAGTAGCGCGAAAAGCATGAAAAAACCGCTCTGACCTCTGACGCTTAGTTGTGGCCAAACATCTGCGTTCTGCATTTCCAATATTAGAAATGCCTTGAGGATTAATCTCAATTTGGTGTAACAGTTTTCGCAGATTCAGAAGGCCACTCGATGGTAACAACGAATCAACCACTTTTTCACCCAGACTTAATGTGTCTTGTCTTACCCACTCAAACGGTTTTCATCAAGTTGAAACGGTCGGAGTGTCTCCTTACGCGTCATATGAGGAGATTATGCGATACAAATATCAGCTTCTTCATGTGGTAGGGAAAGTTTTGGAGAATCATAACCGTCGCCTTCGATTTTCGGTATGCCGTTCTTCAATAGGTTGCTCTTTCTGCTGAATTGCCCAAGAGTGACGCTTCTTTTTTTGGTTCCATGTAGCCACCTTTTCCTCATTTCGGCTCTCACCAAGTGTGACGGCTTCCGTCCCTGTACATCCCAAGTTAATGAACCTTCTTGCTTGTATCTCTTGTCAAGCTTAGCTTGGGTTGAAAACTCAACCTTTGAGGGTTGTCGCTATCGTATCCATCTCCACAGTATAGTATATTGAAGAATATCCGTAGAACAAACTGCGTTCCCGATTAGGAGTAGCACCTTAAGAGATCTCTGCAGTCGTACTAAACTCCCAAATGGGTAGAAGGTCGATATGTTGGGGTTTCTCTGTGCGTATTCGTTGTGATTAAAACTTGGTGAACAATAAGACAACTGTATGATACGAGCAGTTTCTCGCATCTCCCGTCAAATTTTGACAATTTCATGATTAAGAGGGATTGTTTCATTTCTGGTGCTCTGTTTGGAGCTTTCTTGTGTTCTGTTGATATCCCCTCCTCATTCACTCTATCAGCGGCTAAATAAAATAATTCACTTATCTCACTCACCTGTAATCCCAACTATTCAACACATTAAAATGGTCGCGAAGAAAAAGACAGAAAAAAGCTCGCAAGCAAAAGGCCCAGAAGGTATGCAATCACATTCATTCATCCTCCAACTGTTCCAAATTGTCAGATTTTACATGAGTTCTTAAAACTAACATGCCGCCTACGAACAGCCGAAGACATCATTGAACAATACCTCAACACTCAATATAGACCCTTCGCGATTAACGACATAGTACAAAACCTTCACAACAAAATAACTAAAACAAACGCCGTCAAAGCTTTGGAAAGCTTAGTTCAGCAAGAAAGAATAACATGTAAGATGTTTGGCAAAATTGCCATATATGTTTGCAATGAACAAGATTTGAAACTTCCAGGAACAGTATCAGAATCGGAAGTAACTTACGAAGCGGCCACCGCGTTGCGGGAAGAGCTTGCCGAAATAGAAAAAGACAGGAATGCTCTATCCGCCCAGTTACAGGAGCTTATGAAAGAGCCCGCCAACGATAATTTGCTGGAAATAATCAGCAAACGTGAAGGCGAACTTTCTGCCATAGAGCACAGTATTACTGATTTGAAAGCGAATTGGAGACCTGAAAATAAAAATACCATCGATATTATAAAGGATCAAGAGAAAATATTGACCAAGGAAACAACAATCAGAAGGCGAATTCTTCAGAACTCCGTTTCTCTTTTGAAAGAGGCGACCTGTGTTAGAAATATGAGTGAATTTTTGGTATGTTTTGCAAGACTGAGTTGTTCATAGAATCCTTCTCAACAAAGACTAACAGTGCTTACGTGAACAGGAAGAAATTGGCGTTGAGCTTCCCATTTGAACATAAATTCAATCCTTTCCTTTGTCACCCCATTGCCGCAGATAACGGCCGCCAAGAGGGTTTTCATCGATTCAATAAAGAGCTACTACTATCTTGCTACTCAACTTTTTCAAATACATCCTCGGCGATTTCCGATGCCAAGGGACCCGGGTTTAGCCATAACCAAAAAAGCACATTCCTCACGAAAACCTAACTAGTTACTCGAGAAATAGTGCCACTTTTCACCAAATACAGCATTTTTCGATTACCCGGCATCAATGGCGTTCTCCAGTGTTTACTTACTACCATAGATTGCCAGCGATAAGTGCGTATTCAGTGATAATCGATAAGACCGGGTATCTTCTGCATGAGGGGAGCGTCGCTTGAAGCGGTGGGCTTCTCCGTTATCAGATCCAAATAAAATAAATCTGCAATCCTTTAATTTGTGTTAAGTATAAAAAGATCAAAAGCACTTACTCTTCTCCCTCTCAATCTATTGAAGTAAGCTAAGGACGAGCATAAACAAGATCCGCTACCTCAAACTCTATCAATAATGTCTTACTCATATTTGGACCAATCTACCTACGGTAAGGACAACGTCAAGTTCTTGAAGGTCAAAAAGGACAAGACCAACCCAAAGTTGCACGAAGTTATGGAGGCAACTGTTTGTGTCCTCCTAAAGGGTAACTTTGACATCTCTTACACAAAGGCTGATAATGCACCAGTTGTTCCTACGGACACTGTTAAGAACACCATTTTGATATTCGCCAAGAAATATGATACCTTTCCAATTGAAAAGTTTGCTGCTAAATTGGCTCTGCATTTCACTTCTAAATACTCCCATGTTTCTGGTTTAACCGTCAAAATCACCCAAGATCGCTGGGTTAAGTACGACGTTGATGGTAAGGAGAGCTTACATTCCTTCGTCCACCAGGGTCCGGAAAAGAAGATAACCTTCCTTGACTGGGATAAGAAGAATGGTACTAGCTCGTACTCATTGTCCACGTCTATAAAGGATTTGACCGTCTTGAAGTCCACCAACTCTATGTTTTATGGGTACAATAAGTGTGAATACACCACTTTGAAGCCAACTACAGATCGTATTCTATCCACAGATATCTTTGCTACATGGGAATGGAATTCTTCTAAGCTGGGCTCTCTAGAAGCCGTCTCTTCAGGTAGCAAGGATTCGATCTTCAACGGTGCCTACCATAATGCTCGCGACATTACCCTAGATATTTTTGCCAAGGAGAATTCCCCATCTGTGCAGGCCACGATGTTCAACATGGCTACTGCCATTTTGAAGGTTGCTCCTCAAGTTGACTATGTTTCTTACGAGCTGCCCAACAAGCACTACTTCCTATTTGATTTCAAATGGTTTAAGGGGTTGGAAAATGACAATGAGCTATTCTATCCATCTCCTCATCCTAATGGTTTGATTAAGTGCAGAGTCGGTCGTCAACAAGCTAAATTATGAGTAATGTTCCTGCTCGTTGTGCCGTCTCCAAAGCATATTGTCCTAGATGATTTGCTTGAAATATACTATATACAAGGTTTATGGCACCTTCTTAAGATAAGTACATGATATAGAGAATTGATTTCACTGTTTTACATCATTCCATCAAACCACTTTTGCCCTTTGGTTGGTTTCTGTTTGGGCAACTGAGCTCCTTTGATGAAATCATTGGGATCGCCCGACTTGTACCTGATCTTTGCCGATTCCCCAGTCGTCTTGAAGCTCTTGTTGAACTTGCTAATATTGAAGCCCCATTTCTGTAAAGCTTTCACAGTAGCAGGAGTTATGGCAGCCGTTAGGGGGACACGAATTATGATCAAACTTTTGTGGAGACCATAAGCGATTACAAACTCCGTCAACAAAGTACTTTCCTTGAATCTCTCCCACCAAGAAGCATTTTGAACCTCTTCTCCTGATAGCTTTTTCTGTTCTTTATGGGCAATTTTATCTCTGACTTCAGCGATGAGCTCCTGTTCCTCCTTTCCATAACCAAACATTCGTTTAACCCTGTTTATATAAACCTTCATTCTTTCTTCGCCGAGTGAGTGAACTGCAAAGAAGCAAAGAGGTAAATCAATCATTGAAATACCCAAGTACACCGCCAGTGCTGAGTATCCGTACGTTTGCATCAGTTTCTTCAACGAGGGTTTCTCCTTTACGGGGCCATTACTTGCCAAACGAGAGGTAATCATCGGTTTTGTATTTTTCAATCCAATGAAGCGCAATGGCTTCATCCTTAAAGCATGTCTAGAGAAACGTGGAAGGAAGTTCATCGAGCACTGCTTGTCGTTAAATGTTGACCATCGTTAAAGTCAATCTAAGCGCTAGTATAATATCTCAGGCACTTCGTTCACAATGATGAATTCGAATGTACACCAAGTCAAATGGCAGTCTCTCTGATTAAGTTCATCACGACTGTGTTATGCTCTAAGAAGGACTACTCACACGCTGTATCTAAGTGAGTTCAGGATAACTAGTGTTTCAAATTATAAAGTATACAGAAGCTAATAAAAAATTAAAGTTTTCATTAATTCTTCCTTTCTTTAACGGCTGGTAGCAGCAACCTTTTGGAAAGCACCCTTAGCTTGTTGCTTGGAGACCTTGGAACCTTGAGTGGCAGCCAATTTAGCCTTTTCGCTCTTTCTTTGGGCCTTGTCAGCCTTCTTCTTTTCCTTGTCAGCTTTCTTCTTCTCGTCTCTTTGAGCCTTTCTGACTTCAGCCTTCAAAGATCTTCTTTCCTTGATGAATTCCAAAGAAGCACCGACAATAGCTCTTTGAGACTTGACGGTCTTTCTGGATCTCTTCTTGGCGACTTCTTCGGTGATACCCTTCTTGTGGTGTCTTCTGTACAAAACAGTCCAAGCAATTCTTCTTGGGTTCTTTCTTTGGTGGAACAAAGAAGCAGACTTAGAGTTTTGGAATCTGAAGATCTTGGAGTCACCACGGACAAACAAGGTACCTCTGCCTGGGTAGATCTTAGCACCAGAAAAAGAATCAATTTCAATCTTCATGTTCGACTGTGCACATAGTTAGTAAACAGATCTTTGCGAGACCGTATCTGTAGGTTTATGTTAGGGCACAATGACAGGATCTGAGCATAATCAAAAAGAATCTCAATAATCAAACAAGGCAATCTCATTCACACAAGTTTCCCTCAATGTTGGACCTATAACTTTCTCTTCGATACCAATAGCTATGAGGCACTTCCAATTTGACGTCGGCCTATTGCATTCAGTGGATAATAAGGTCAGCTTCCACAAGATGGTAACTTCACGCCATTCTTTCACATACTGTGCATTCATGAACCTCTCGTACTCATATCTCCAGCTTATTCCTCACGCTTGAACCACAGACACTAACTAGCAACCCATAATCACATACTTTTTCAGTTCTTGCTTGGCTGTCTGAACAAAACTAAGTCTAGTAACAAAAATTGTAATTAATTATCACGCTTAGGAGAAAATTACATTTTTTCTGGCCGCCGTTCCATCGCAGCCACGCACTGCCCGCCCGGGTTGTGGAAGGAGCTAGGCAGGCCTGGGCTGGCAGGCGCACCGAGCACCGTAGCTGGCGGCGGGACACTCGGGACGGTAGTTCCAGGGCCTCTGCCTAGGCCTCCCTTGCCAATCCGGAATCCCAAGCCAACTCCAGCTCTTTTCCAAGAATATTCTCATTCTTTCCTTTATAATGTGTGGGTTTGTGTAGATTTCACTAATATGTACGGCTTTTGCCCAGAAGATCACGTAGAAAAAACAGTCATAGGATCCGAGTAAAAAAATTATTTCGACCCTAAACGGCTGGAGTCTCCACAACGCGCAGCGAGGTGAAGAAAAAGTTGAGCATCAGTAAGATATGAACTGTTTCTTAACACTTTTAGAACCAAGTTAAGACCGGAGTGTTTTAGTAATAAACAACAGAGTACACAGAGATGGTCAGTATAATTTAGACAAATCGTTTACTTTGGCAGAGTTTTTTTATGAGCGCTTCAGCAACTTATCCAGCAGACGCCGTTTAGATTCTTTGCCGGAGAATAGATGCGAATTTAATGGGAATGACATGAGTTACTAACATTACTTAACAGGCCCCAGTTAAGTCCCAAGAATCTATCAACCAAAAGTTGGCCTTGGTTATCAAGTCCGGTAAGTACACCCTAGGTTACAAGTCCACTGTCAAGGCTTTGAGACAAGGTAAGGCTAAGTTGATCATCATCGCTGCCAACACCCCAGTCTTGAGAAAGTCTGAATTGGAGTACTACGCCATGTTGTCCAAGACCAAGGTCTACTACTTCCAAGGTGGTAACAACGAGTTGGGTACCGCTGTCGGTAAGTTGTTCAGAGTTGGTGTTTTGACCATTTTGGACGCTGGTGACTCCGATATCTTGACCTCTTTGGCTTAAGAAGCTCAATGAGATAATCTACTATGTTTATACTATATAGATTTTAATTTGTTATTTTCTTTTGTCACCAATTAAATCAAAAACGCAATATGTGAAAGAAATGATATGGTCTGGGATTGTGTTCCTTGCTGCAATCAAAGTGTTCACGTGATGATGCAACTTCATTGGGACCTCTTGCCAGTGTGTATTTCGACACTTCAATATGACATGTGAATGATGATGCTCTCATCTGAGAACGAACAGAAGTAGCATTTCCTGTAGTTTCCACTATATACAGGCTTTCGCGGATCTATGCTAGTTCATAGCTTACAGGAACGCTGAGGTTACGGTAAATTCATCTTCGCATGATTTCCTCGATCTTTTTGCTGCATGCAGTTTGATGTAATTCACGCCAGTAAGGCAACGAAATGATCTCATCTCTACTATGGAATTAGTTCCAAATAGGGAAAAAAAAAAAAAAGATATACAGAACTCTTGCAAAAATTAAATTTGAATGTGCGTAAAACCTGGCAAGGCTTTATCGCTAAGGTTCTAAGTAATTCTTGCATGCAATGTGCCTTTGCGGACTACTAGCTAATCGTAGTTGAAAATCCTTGCAACATATGAATTATACACGTCCATATGTTGCACAGAAACGATCAATATCTAAACCTGTTCGAATGATCTTAGATTTCTATATACAAGTCTTGTAAATCATCACTGTCTCAGGCATGCCCCCTTATCATTTCCTCTTGCTCCTATTTCTTCAGCTGATCTTCAGGCAAACCTAAATTTTTCCACTCGTCCTGATCCATCAGCTGGTGATCCATACGACATTTCAAATAGTTTTTCGCGAGTAGTCTGCAGTTTGGAGCGTTCTCGCCTTTCACCAGCTTAATGCATTCCAAATACTCCTGCATCTGTTTAGTACATTCGCCATCATGATCTAAAGGAAATGATCCACGCTCTGGAGGTGTTGGAGAGAGCGCTCTCAGCGAGTTTCCTGGGTTGGCAGACATACGTTGATTTCTCTGAGATAGTTAGGGAAAAGCTATCTTCCCAATTTAGGCGACTAGCAGCAGAAAAATATCTTATCACGAGTTTGTCATAAAACACGTCGAAAGAGTTATTAGTTATGTTATATGAAGGCGTGAGGTAAATAATGATCTATTGAATCGTGAAATAGTAGTGATTATTATATTTACTTCATGGTCTCAATCTCTTGGGGTCTCTTGGGAAGAGAGAGGCTCTTCTGATATTTTTCAAGTCCAGGAAGAACATGACGACTCTCTCCAGACCAATACCACCACCAGCGTGTGGAGGACAGGCGTATGTGAATGCATCAACGTAATCCTTTAGTCCAGGATCTTCGGGTGAGAGACCATGGTGATTTAATCTTTCCTTCAGCAATTCGGCGTCGTGCACACGCTGAGCACCGGACAAAATCTCTTCACCTCTCATGAAGAAGTCATAAGAGTTAGAGTAGTGAGGGTCTTCAGGATCCGGCATGGTGTAGAATGGACGGACTTCCAATGGGAATTTGTCTAAAATGTAGAAGTCAGTGTCGTATTTTTCTCTAACAAGGCCACCTAAGAACTTTTCATTTTCAGTGGAGAGATCTTCGTAGTCTCCAATTTCCTTTCCAGCGGCTCTTAGCATAGCAACACCTTCCTTGAATGGAATACGAACCATCTTGCCGTCCTTTGGAATCTTGAATTCCTCAACAGGGTATTGTTTACGGACCAAAGCGATTTCTTTAGCGTAGCGAGTTTTCAATTCGGTGAAAATGAAAACAAATAGGTCGTTTAGGACATCGATAACCTCGTCATAGTGTTCTTCAAATGCCATTTCCAAGTCCAAACCGGTGAACTCTGTCATGTGACGGTGAGTGTTTGAGTTTTCGGCTCTGAATACAGGAGCAATTTCAAAAACACGTTCAAAATCAGCGGCAATTAGCTCTTGCTTGTAAAATTGAGGAGATTGTGCTAAGTAAGCCTTGCCTTTGAAGTATGAGACTTCGAAAACATTCGCACCACCTTCAGATGGGGCACCTAGCAATTTGGGAGTGTGGATTTCAACGAAGTTTCTCTTACTCAAAAACTCTCTGAATAGCTCACAAACACCAGACTGGATTCTGAAAATTGCCTGATTGGTAGCAGTTCTCAAGTCGATGACACGAGCGTCTAGTCTGGTGTCCAAGTTGACAACAGGAAGGCCAGCAGCCTCAGCCTCGGCATCAGATCTTGCAGCATCCTCAATCAAAATTGGAAGTTGTAGAGGAGCTTCTGCGATGGTGTATATCTTTGTAATGTGGATTTCTAGGTTTTGGACAGTTGCAGACTTGATTGGTTCGCTCACCTTCTTCACGATACCATGGACCAAGACAATGCTCTCGTAACTGATGGAGCCGATCCACTTGATCATCTGCTTGGAAATAGTGCCCTCTTTGTTGGACTTGGCAAGCGCTTGCACCAATTCAGATTGTTGCCTCAAGGTTAAGAATACCAAAGTAGCACCTTGCTGTCTCGCGTTGTGCACACGGGCTCTGAGGACCACTTCCTTACCGTCGTCGGCCTCGGTAAGGTCAGATAGTTTTACTCTTTGAATGCCGGACTTTGAGGCAGATTGGATAAGGGGCAACTTACCATAGTTTTCCTTGGCAGTGTCATTCGCAGCAGCTTCACGCTCACGAGCTTCCTTTTCTTCAGCCAATTGACGAGCCTTCTCTTCCTTTTTCCTCTGCTTTTCTTGTTCTTTTTGCAACTTCTTGAGCGCCTTCTTGGACAAGGGTTGTCCGTCCTCACCCAAAATCACTGGCTCAGCTTGCTCTTGGGTGCTCAACTTCTTTACTTGCTCTGAAACTTGCTCAACGGCCTCGTTAGACATGGTTGGGGAATTTGATTGTCGTTAGTGGATCCATCTCGAACAGTGACTAATTGAAAATTTTGCAGGGTACAGAACCTGAGGAGTTCGCAACCCTTCGTCCGTGGCGATTTGAAAAGTGTATTCAGATCACGTGTTGATCCGTTCGAAAAATTCCGTGAGTGTATTTATTATCACTGTGTACGTGTGATGGGGCCAGCAGTTTCTTTTCTCTTCGCCATTCTTTATGTTCTGACAAAACCACGTGGTAAGACAGCGAATTTGATAAAGAATCATGTTTTTCCGATCAGCAGTGATCGCATCTGAATCCTGTGGTGTTTTTCCGAGTTGAGATAGTTCCTCCGTTTTTTTAGGCCGATCCGTTGACACCTCGCAATGGACATCAAACCTACAGCTGCACAGAATACGGGTGGTAGAGCCCCTTGCATAATACAAGGTTTAACGAACGCATGATCATTATGCGTAATGCAGGATACATCCTTCGGGTAAGATGCCGCGCAATTAAAAGCCCCTTTGCAGCTAGTAGCTCCTTAGACATAACCTAGATGTACGGTTCACCCTGAGTGCCTGCACCCCACAGGGATCGGCTCTCAAAGCTTCGCATCAGCACTACTGGGATTCCTACACGAGCTCTGGCCACTGCGCCACGCACGTGACCCGTAAAGTCGTTGTTCTTTGTCCGGGAGCTGAGGGCAGAAAATTTTTTCTCCGGAGTCCGTTTGGCACGATATGGACCTTCAAAATATTCAGGCCATAAAGGTTCTGCCAATAAAAGGGACCTGCAGGTGAACATAAGGGCTGTCCTTGGCTAAGATACGTCTGGTAGACGGTTAAAAGGCTTTTCATTAGCATGTCACAGTTTGTGTCGAATGAAGAACCGGTTCCAAGTAGTGCAATAAGTTGCGTACGGCCGATCGATGTAGTGGTGGCAACGCAGGACTACATACCCAACAGGAAAGGGCAGTTACGGCTTTCCGTTGGTGATATTGTATACGTACTTGGCAAACACGAAAGCGGATGGTGGGATGGCCTGGTGCTGAGTCTAAAAGCGGGAGGGAAATGCTATCGTGGGTGGTTTCCGCAGAATTATACAAAGTCATGCCGAGACAAGCGCATGTACCTCCAGTTAAAGAGATCCAAGAGCTGTTATTCAAATGCCAGCAGTCGGCTTAGCAGCCGGCGTAGCAGCTTGGCTGCTGGAAGTGGGTCCTCTCACAACGACAACGGTAGCGGCATTCGTTTAAATGCCCCTAGCGAGCCCAATCTCTCACCTACCCACTCCCAATCATCACATTTAAAACAAGATTATAGGCTTGATATGCGACAGAATCGCAGTTACCATACAAGGAGACCCAGTCAGGTATCGCAATCTTCTGCATCTGCACACTCAGGGTCTCAATCATCGCATACGTTACCTTTACAACAGATAGACCCTCTACAGAAACTTACATTAGAGGAAGAGTCTCAAGAGAATTCCCATCCAGTTGATCCGGAGAAGATAACCGTATTGAGTACGGAAGAAGTTGAAATGATTTTCAACAATGTCTACAGTAACAATAGACCCCCTATCTGGACTCCCATTCCCACGAACGAGAACAAAGTTATTTACTACAATCGGGACTACAACATATATTGCCGTACCCTTCCATTCCTTCATACTCCAGAATTGAACACTAAAAGTGCGTTTTCCGAAAATGACTGGGATGTGGATTTGCATCCAAGGAACGAGCGTCAATTCACTGATGAAAAAATCCAAGTGATTGATGGTTCTGAAATGGAAAGCCTTAGTAATGACAGTAAAGGAGCTGGTACGGTTTCATCTACTCGTTCACCCAATAAGATAGTCTCTACCGCTAGTGGCGCTTCAAGCATGGGTGAAAAAAACAAAAATAACAAAGCGAGCGTTTCAGGAAGCGCCCGGGTTAGTTTGAAAAGTAATGAAGGTCCGAAACAGGAAACGGAACATTTAGATGGTAGTCAATACGTCAGCAATGATACGAATGGAGGCGGGTGGTACGATGATACCTGCCATATTATGCTTGCCAAACAGGAATTATTTCATAATCATCATATGGATATTCGTTCGTGGACCGAACTTCGTGATGCTACATTGTTCTTTTCTCGTAAATCTCACGCCTGCTTTTTGCGAAATGAGCATCATAACTTTAACAAGAACTTTGAAGCTACTACCAGGTTTGCCCTGTATTACCACTCGGCATGCCGGCTCTTAAGAAGCCAGGTTTTGAAGAGTAATGTGAGAAGAGATGTAAAAAGACTCTTGAAGTCAATCACCGAGGCTACTGCGGGGATTGCAGTCGACGCAAGTTTATATTTCAGCTCTTCGCACAGAGTTGAGATTTCAGTAAGTGACTCGTCACAGACGAACCTTCATAAGCTAAGCGTTACTAGCACTGGAACTACCATTCAAGAACCAATTAGGATATCTATGTCTACGATCAATCCCGCAGGACGTTCCCCTCCTGCAGCGAGAAATTCAAGCACTAGCACTACCGATACTATAATGTTCAGAGACGCAGCATCTGGGTTTGGCGTCGAAGGAAATAATGATATCACCCAAGCCGAACAAGGCTCTAATATAGGGTCTACTACAAGCTCGCATACTATACAACCCAATTCTTCTTTGAATGATGATACTAGTGTTCTAGTTCAGTCATTTTTCCAAGCTGTGGATTCAAAATTTGGCCAGTTCAACAAAAGTATATGGAAATTGCACAAAATCATGAAGCGCAACTTTGCCCCTGATGATATCATACCTCAATTATTCCCCCGGTATTTCAGGAACACTTTTAGTGGCGGAGCTTGGACCAGTTGTTTTCAAGAGCCGAGTAGCACTTTCACCAGTAGGAATTCCTCGGTAGGGGCAGGTCCTCCTATTCCGTCCGATGTCTTTAGTGGAGCTCCGGTGAAACCATATGGTAGCATAAGCAGCAAAGCTACCACAATTGATAGTGCAATTCAATCGAGAATTTCTTCCGAAAATGACAGATCATATGGTCAGAAGGAGTTTTCAAGATCAAAATTTATCAAGAAAAATAAGTATCCATTAAACCATGACACATTGAAAATGATTAAGAAGAAGATGGATTATTTCTCCACTACATCGTATAGTAGTTACGAGAAATTAATTGAACAGCCCAAATCAAAGCAAAGGAACCTAGAGATAAGTGCAAATTGTTACAAAGAGCTCAGCCAGACGGTATTTATTCTAGAAGCATTGGAGAACATTGATTTGAGATTTTTCATCAACATGCGTAACCTCGGCTATGATCAGCAACTGGATAAGGAAAGTGAGGAGCTTCGACAGCATACTATGACCTCTTTGGCATCGGTGCTAATGGAGTTCTTTGACATCAAGCAAGCTTTATACGATGTCACAATAAAAGGGATAATGGACATTCAACAGCTTACTCTGGAAGATCCATTTGTATTCTGCTCAATGAAAGGTGATTTAATGGCTTGTTGTGAGAAGGATGATAATATGAGACAATACCAAGTCATTGAACCAGAGAAGTTAGCAGAAATTTATCGCCGAAGGCTGATTGCAGACGATGTGGAAATCAACAACTCATGTTTTTTAGACACCGATACGGAACTGAAGGTGACAAGACTAACTTTCTTGAGAATCTTGAGCAGTGCTTACAAGACGGTAGAGTTATTGATTGAAGAACGTGAAAATGTTTTGAATTATGCCGCGCGTATGATGAAAAACGACTTGATTGGGAAATTAATGAAAGGCGAACAAGAGAAGTGGTTTGACGATAAGGATAATGAGATGCGCCTAGGAGATCCTGAATTTGAGCATATTGGGCCGAGGGAATCCATTGCGAGAAGCCTCTCTAAAGATATTCCATGGTATCTCGATTCTGAGCACGAGTATTCTCTGATATATGATAAGAAAGGTAATGTTAAAGGTGGAACGAAGATTGCTTTACTTGAACATTTAACAAATCATCAAATTATTGATGTTTCCTTCAATATATCTATGTTACTGACTTTCAGAAGTATTTTCACTACTAGTGAGTTGTTGCATGCCTTGATTGAAAGATACAACTTGTATCCTCCGGAAGGTTTGAGCTACGAGGAATACAGCGCGTGGGTTGAAAAAAAAGCGACTCCCACCAAGATTCGCGTCGTAAATATCATGAAAACTTTGTTTTCTCAGTACTGGACGCCCGCATATTATGAGCCTGGAATTGAAGACGTTTTATCATTTGCTCAGTCGGCAACAACACAAAGCATACCGGGATCTAATATCCTTTTGACGGAAATTAAAGAACGTCTGTCGTTGAAAGGAAACATCAAGAGCTTTGTTCCGGAAAAGATAAAGTTTACTGATACTGGTGCAAGCTTAAGCGATATTGCTCACGCGCCCAAACTTCCTGGCTTGGCAGTGGTTGATTCAGGTTCAGGGTATGGGTTTCGTATGCGTAAACTAAGAATACTTGACATTGACCCACAGACATTTGCAAAGCAGCTCACGATAAAAGAGCATCATTTGTATTCGAAGATTACCCTGTTTGAATGTCTAGATAGAATATGGGGTAAAAAATATTGCAACTTTGGTGGCTCGGAAAACATTTCAAGATTTATCTCGAGTGCTAATCATTTAACGAACTACGTTTCTTTCGTTATTGTCAAGCAGGAAAACTTGAAAAAGAGGGCAAGGTTAATTCAGCACTTTGTGAGTGTTGCTGAGTACTGCCGTGAACTCAATAATTTCTCCTCAATGACGGCAATCATTTCTGCCTTGTACTCTTCACCTATTTATCGCTTGAAAAAGACTTGGATGATGATTTCACAGGATTGCAAAAGAATACTTGAAGTCCTTAATACATTGATGGACTCAACTAGAAACTTTATCAGGTATAGAGAATGGTTGAAAGGAATTCATGATGTCGCATGTGTTCCATTTTTCGGGGTTTATCTCTCCGATTTGACTTTCTCAGCAGAAGGAAATCCTGATTATCTCCATAGAACCACGGATATCATAAATTTCAGCAAGCGTACAAGAATAGTAGACATTCTCAAAGAAATTGCAAGTTATCAGGGGATTCGGTATAAATTTAAAAGATATGATGACATTCAAAACTTTCTTGAAGAGTCTATGAGAAATGTCCCCAATATTGAGAAGCAATACGAGCTATCTCTACGTGTAGAGCCGCGTACAGACGTTTCAACTGGCTTGGACGGTACACACACTGCTCTTCCTCTTTCGAAGGCACAGGGAATAACAAAACCCGAGAAAAAGACAAGATTTGGAAAGGTAAAAAAAGATCCACCCACATTTCACATTAATAAGTATTTAGTTAATTATTTAGAAGAATTTAAATTCTTTAATATATTCATATATGATGTTCTCTTGAACATACTTGATCTATTTAGATTAAGAAACACTGAGTTGAATATTTTTAGCCGGGTAATCTTCAGGTGATTTTGGATTTCTCTCACCCAGTTTAAATGACAGGCTTAAACCTAGGGAAACATACGACCCAAGAGTCCTTCTTCGCTAGGCTTAATAAGAAATGTTCAAGCAATTGTCTCAGCTTGGCAAGAACCTTACTGATGAACTGGCTAAGGGTCTCACTGAAGATTTGAATGAGGGGCAAGACCAGTTTGATAGTAGTAGTGATCTTCCAAGAGATGTGCAAGCTAAACTAAAGAAGTTTGAGAAGTACGAACAGAAGTATCCGCTACTATTGGGTGCTTATAAGAACGAAAAGCTCAAGAGCGAAAAGTATGCGGCACTTCAAAAGATACTCAGCGAAAATACCCCAGTTTCTTCAGCCGATGATTATGAATCATTGGAGAGCTTCTTCAAAAATCTTGATATGAAAACAGCGATGCTCAATGATGAAATTAAGAGGCTCAACTCTGATCAAAATGAGAGTAAGAAAAAAATTGAAGAGTTAAACTCACAATTAGCTGAAGTCTGCAGTGATAAAAACTCTTCTGATAGATTAGAGGGCGCGGTTGAGGATAAAAAAGCCGACGAACTTACAGGTGAGGCCATTCAATTGAAGCAAAGAATCACTTATGTTGAGAATCTTCTGGATGAAAAGGAAAAGGCGTATGAGAATGTGAAGGAAGAATTGAACAAGAGTAAAAAGGAGAACGAATCACTCAGAAGTCAAGTTTCTGAATTAAAAACTCTTTCGGATTCTTCGAAAGAAGCAGCAGATGAGATTCAAATTCTAACTTCCCAAATTAATGAGGAAAAGCTTAAGAATATTGACTTAATAAAGGACGTTGAAAAGTATAAATCTTCTTTAGTGGAGAAAGACAACCAGGTTGAGGATTTGAAAAAGCGTCTTGCTGAAACGAAGTCATTACCTGTTTCAAGCAACAATGACCAGGATGCAAATGCAAGCCCCACAAATCACACCTCGGGTGCTAAATCCAAAAAAAAGAAGAAGAAGGGAAAGAACAAGACGAGGGGCGACTCTGAAAACACCTCAGTTGACTCTAATGCGGAGGCGTCAAAAGAAGAAACTGCCGATCGGGAACAATATAAGGAAAAATACGACCGATTACTCAATGATTTTGAGAAATTGAAAGATTCTCGAGCTAGCCCAGATAGTGATTTCTCTGGTAAAAGGGATGAATACGTCGAGCTGAAAAAGAGTTTTGATAACTCTGTGAATGAATGTGCTGATTTGAAGAAGGTTGTTGGGGAACTTCAAGAGAAAAATAAAGCGCTAGAAACGGATCTCGAGGATTGCAGGAAAGCTCTGAAGTTCAAGACTGAAGAACTTGATAATAACAAAGATATACTCAAAACTGTTGGAAATGAACTCGTTGAGGCTAGAGACCAGATTAAAAATGCCACTGGCTCATCCAAAGGCGAATTGGATGAGTTACAGTCGCAACTCGATACATTGCGTAAGAAAAACTTGGAACTTGTGGCAGAACTAGAGAGTTCGCATTCTCAACTTGAGAAAAAGGTGCAATCTTTAGCTGAAGAAAAAGCGAAAGTTTCAAATGACCTGTCATTGGCAAAAACGTCATTAGAAAGGTCGGAACAAGCCAAGCGCAAAACGGAGCAGGAATTGGTTAAAGTAAACGAAAACCTGACAAAGTTTCGAAACGAAAATAATAGTCTTTCAGATCAGTTGAGGGACTATAACACATTAAAGAGATCTGAGGCATCGATGAAGTTATCCATCACTCAGAAAGAAAAAACTATAACTTATTTAGAGCAACAGGTCAAAGAGCTCAACACCAAAGAAGAGGGCGCTAAGAACTCTATGCGCGTGGCAAAGCTGGAAAATGAAAATTTAAGCAAACGAATTACCCACCTGATGAAAGATAATGAAGGCTTCAAGACTGAGTTGAGCAGAAATCGTGATTCACTTCAGAACTACATTAAAGAAAATGGAAAGCTATCTGAGAGGCTCGATGTGCTCCGCGAAAAATACGAAACATTGCAAAATCTGAAGAGCAATTCCAACGATCAAGCTGACTCTATAAAAAGGCAGTGTGAAGAGCTAAATGTGAAACTTAAGGAATCTAAGAAGAGAATTCTATCTCTTGAGGATGAGTTGAACGAAAATGCAAACGCTCTTCAAGAACGAACAAGAGAAGCGGCAACCATGCGAAGATTATTGAATGAAAATCAGGATGAGAGGGGCATCAAACTCAAAGAGCTCGAGGAAAAATTAAGAATTACTGCAGAAGAGAAAACCAGAGTAGAAGGTGAACTCACTTTGCAAGTTTCGCGAAAGAGCAGGGAAGTCCAAGAGCTTAAGGAACTCAATTCCGAATTAACATCGGAAATACGCACTCTGGGATTGAAAGAAAAGCAATTACACCGCGAAATCGATCACTTGAACAGCGTAAATGAAAACATTCAAAGAGCGAAGAGTGATTCCGCTCAAAGCTCTAGCGACGTTGATGAGGCCATAACTAATTTAAAGCGAGCTCTTTCAAAATCCGAAACGAAGATCCGCGAGTTAGAAGCCGCTAATGAAGAGCTAAGGGATCTCAATTCTGATTTGAACAAAAAACTGGATAGAATGGTGAGGAATTACAAAACTGCGACAAGTCAGTTAAGTGCCCTCAAAGAGAGAACATCGTCAAGAGAACCAAGCAGATCAAATTCTGTGGCGTCTATAGCTGATAACCCCGGACCAGAACAGGTTTCTCGTCGGGCATCCTTCATAGACGAGAAAACATCACATTTGCAGGCTGAAACACGATCTGAAATAAATGAGAAAATAGCATATATCAAGAATGTTTTGCTTGGATTCCTAGAGCACAAAGATCAAAGGGATCAACTTCTTCCTGTGATATCTATGCTCTTACAGCTTGATAGTAATGATGAGAAGCGTTTGATAGTCTCCCTTCGATGATTTTCCTAAGTGCTCTACATAATGTACAAATATAATACACTGTTATTCCTACTAATTGCTACGTTCTTGACCTTCTCTGACTTAGTCGATTTCAACATCCAAGAAAGTAATATCACGGCACGATGTTACTTGTAGCCATCGACCGCTCGCATTATTTTAGCTCATCGTAGGTCAAGGATACGTTTTCTGCAACATTTCCAAGGCGCGTTTAAAGTTCATCACCTACGCACCATGATCGTATCAGTTTTCAGTCGGCAAAGTTATACAATGATGTATCATGAACGTTTAAGAGTACTACAAACGAACAAGAAAAAAAATAGTGAGACCTACGATTGAAATTTTATTCTTTCGAGTTTCTGCTGTATGTATGATGACGGGAAGCACAAATCTATTGCATATCAGCAGTAACCATGCATTAGAGGAAGGTTCTTTACTCTTACCACGCGACATTTTCCTCAGTCAGGTAAAGTTCGAAGCTTATATGCACAGGTACTCAATAATTGCGTTATTGCTCTGCAACGTTCTTTTATTCGGGGGTTGGCTGATTTGGGACAAGGTTAGAATGATATATTATTTTCCTTTGAACATTTTACTAATAACACTGTTCTCGGTTCGAGATAGTAGATTTTTTAAAGGGGTGTTCAAATCGACCTCGAACAAGATGGAATTCTTGGAACAGATTGTTGCAAATAAACCTGGTACGTGCTTACCACTGTGGGATTCAATTGCAGTGAAACTCAACAGATACTTTTTCGCAAACGGTTCAACATCGTCACTTTATTTTTTTTATGATGGTGAGAACTGCTTGAAAGCATTTAGGAGACTTTACCTTTTGCCTTATTTGAATAATGTCACTGAGGAGGACAAAAATAAATCCATATGCGTAGATCACCGTGATAAGGTCGAGCAAATTGTTCATGAAGCCATGGTCGTATATCAGGAAGGTTTAAGAAAACAGTGGTCAAGCAACACTCTGGGGTACTCTGATAAAGAAACATCGACTCCTTCCCACTTTCATTTAACCAGCTTGCCAAGCAATATCTTTGAGAATAAGCTCAAGTATTATTGGAAGACAAACAAGGTGTGCGCTTGGAATTTTGTCGCGGATGTATCATTTTTACCGTCAACGTACAGATGTGGTCAAGTTTATTTTGTACTGCAGCTCATTTTCATGGTCTTTTCTATTTATATGTTCATGGCCTCAAAGAACGAAGTCATGACAATATCCAAGAGATTTATATTTTTGCAGGAAGTTGATAATCACGCTCATATCATTGAAGATGACGGGTGGGACTTAGTTGCTGTAAGGATGAACGAGCATTTGAGCAACGGTGAAAAGTCAGCCCCGTATTTTTTTTATGACGGTAATGCATGTTTTTCATACTTTCGGACTATATTTGGCATTGATCAGGGAAACAGAATCAAAAATTTCAAGAACCGACTACTAGGTCTAAAAATTCAACAACCAGAGCTGGAACCGTATGTCAATCAAGTTGTTGAACGATTAGGAGATGCCATATAACCTTTGGCCGTACTTATCAATAAATTTTATCTCAAAGTTGTTTAGATTAAGGGTGCGGAGCTTAACTTTTTCTGAGAAAAAGTGCTCTATGGGATTATTTATGTATAGACATCAATCCGAATATTTATAACTTCACTTGTTGTAATTATGTTCATCTAATTTCGATTCTTATTTTTGTGCGTATTGATGGATGTAATCAATTCCACCAACGCATTGAGCGACAGTGAGCTGGTCGTCTCCAATCAGTTTACTGACATTTATTCCGACATTGACCGTTTTCTCAGACCCGTCGTGCTCTAGAATCAAGCCTCTTTTACCTCTTTTCCAAAGTTGAACGTCATGGTAGACTTGTTCTTCGGTTCTTAAATTGCTATCTTCAGCTATCAATTGCCAATCCATAGTATCATGATCCCATAGAACTGCCTGTAGCCCAAACATTCTACTAATTGCCCTTACTCTGTTGTCAATGGCCCCGTATGGGGGCCGGAACCATTTAGGATAATGGTTGCCGGTGGCATTCATTGCCCAGATGGACCATTCTAATTGAGCGACAATTTGCTCATTGGTCAGTGAGGGCATGAATGGATGAGACCATGTATGCGTTCCAACCAAATGACCGGCATCGAGAATCTTCTTGTAAGTATCTGGGAAATTAACAATGTTGATCCCCAAATTGAAAAAAGTAGTTGGATGGTCTAGGCTTTCCAACAGCTTTTCGGTCGCGGGTGAAGGACCATCATCGAATGTTTGTGACAGTTTCGAACATGTGTATACATCATCGGGCTCAACACATTTGTCGCAGTCAAATGAGCATGACTCTCTGGGGTTGACACCGCAGACTCCCTGGGGGTAGCTCTTGTAATCAGGAACCTTGCTGAAATCGATAAAGTCCATGGGAATGTATGGAGGATCAATTCCAGGCCATTCTGTTAGCCCAGTAAATTCCGTCAGCCACTCAGGAAATGGCGTCTGCGCGTAGCCTGCGCGTACCGTTACAATCCCACCCACTGGGCTTCTTTTGAACTTAGTCTGATTGGTTAGGGAGAGTGCATTTCCAAGAGCCGCGCTGGTTGTGATAATTACGTATAGTTTTCTGATCATCATCGTTTCAGTAGCTTTTAGGAATTTGCTAGGGTTATTCTTTATCAATACTCCTGTGTGTCGAAAAAAAAAACTAATGGTCGAACCAAAAGAGAGAAGGAAAATGCTTGTTATATAAATGTCAGATTTGTAGCCCACCTATTAGAACTTTGCGTAAATTTTGTTTGCTGGACCACTTCCACAAAAAGGAGTGCGTCTCAAGAGGAGTCCAATTCTGACGCTAATTCTCTTGGCACTTCTGTAAAATACTCGATTCTTTTCCTTTCCTGTCGCGCCAGTTGATAGTCACGTGTATGTACGGCGCTATCTTTCGAAGATTCCATCTTCCGTACAATGAGACTTGTCGTCTATGTCAGATGGGTGTACCGTATGTAGTGCTTTTCTTAGTGGGGCACTTCTCGAGCCTCGATAACGATGGACGAATGGGGAAATGGATCATTTAGACGAGTAACGTGGGCTGTCGTTTCCGTTCGAATGGAACAAGGGTTGTATCTTGCGTCTCGTTTGAAAAGTTCCAGAGGCTTGGCACAGCTTCCTTTAGCCCCTGAGTGAGCTTCGTGTTGCCCCACGGTTCCCCTTTGAACCGATATGTAGTAACAGCAGTAGCGTCCCTAACAACAGCGGTCGCATAAATGCACTAGTCAGGGGAAAACAGTATCGTTTAAATGGGAGGCTAAGGCAACCCACGGGTAGTATTGCTTCCCGGTGAGGAATATATAAAGATCACGTAGATCAGGTTGAGATCAATCCATCTTCTTGTTCAAAACATAGAGCCAAACGACTCAGCCACAGAGCTATTAGATATACAGAAAATGACCACTTTCAGAACCGCTTTCCAGTCCGCTAAAACATTTAGCATGGTTTCCAAGAGTTTCGTACCCAAGTCGACCATTAAGACCACAACATTTCCCACAATCATTAAGTCGTCTTACAGCACATCATCTACTGCAGCATCGAAAAACTACTCAGTGTCTTCTTCGAGTGGCAGTAAAGATCAGAGACCTACTGTGGTGATTAGCTCTGACAATGATGGTGTGGAGACTGTCAGCGACCACATCAGAGTCTGATTATATCAGTGCATAATTACATGAGGCCTGCTCGGCTTCCCATTTGCACTTCTGTACACATTTCTTCAGGCAGGTTCCGTGGGGTCATGGCATGATTGGTCTATCTCGTTTCCGGTGTGTAGCACTTCATTTAGTATCTATATGGTTATCATCATTGACACAATTCTGAATATTTTCAGTCTTTTTGCATCACGTAGTCGTAGCGTTCGCCATACAGTGAGCCGCCGCGCATTGCAATCGCTACGTTCTTGGCAAAATTTGCCGCACTGTCCTTAAAATCCATAGCGGCTGCTTTATTCAATGGATCATTTGGATTGGGCTCTAGGAAAAGAAGAAGTAGTCCAATCATTATACTTTGAACGTCGAGAACTGGCGACCAATCCTCACGCAGAATATTCAAACAGACATTTCCTTGCGGATCTATGTTGGGATGATAAATCTTACTAGTACACTTGACTTGCGGAGCTTCAATGGGATAAGTGTCCTTGAAGTGAAGAGAAAACTTGAAATGCCCGCCTGCGTAGAAACCCTCGTCCGGATATATCTGCAGATATAAGGTGCAATCCCTCGCAACATCACAAGTGTCTATCTGGATCGTAGGCGGTAAATCGACGTTGTTTAGATCTTTCTGTAGCCTAATCTGCGATGCCTTGGTGTGCTTCAGGGCCTGAGAAGTTCCCTCGCTCTTCAGTTGCTCTTGTTTCTGCTTCTGCATTTGACGAAGCTTCAGCTGTCTAGGTATTAGTATTTGCAGCTAACAACACCTCTTTATAATAGCGTCATACCATCTTGGTTAAATGAGGAAGAGTTGGTCTGGCCCTTGAAACTCAAACGGCACGCCGTGCAATTTCTCTTTGTCGTATCGATAGGTTGAAAGTTTGAAATTTCAGGTTGAAAATATAGATGTCGGAAGAGAGCGAGCCAGAGAAAGTGGCTCGCACGGAAGATATAAACGCAAGGGTGCATCGCATAAAAAATTAAACTTCTGGAATCTTAGCATTTGTGTCAATATCTACCTATTGGCTGAACTGCCTTCTGCGAAGCTAAATACTTGTCCTTACCAAAGTACCGTCAATCTGGTCATCTGAAGATTGTGTTGATATACCGCGTGAGCAGACCGCTTATATTGAATTGCCTGGTACTTTAATTGAAACATAGCACTTGCTTCAACCCTTATTTTTGCGTGACTAAATGCTTAACAACAATCTTACATTGTTGAGGTGCATTAATAGCTATCTTTCGGGAAGCGTTCTATCCTACGATTACGCTCGTGATATTTCTAAACCAAACTAGGTTCACAGTCTTCATTCGAGTTTATTTACGAATGACCTACTAGTGGCCATTCTTAAGTGCTCAAGAAATTTAAGATTACGCCTTGATACATGCATTTCGGAAAAATAAAATAAAGTTTCTCCATTGCCGCAACATATTTAAAACACTACAGAGCTTTGGCTTTACGTAACCTATAACACATCATTCCCATGTCCGTATTTATGAGTCAATTCAAGATAAACCATTGCTGACTGTAGCCCAATAGGCTGTTAACGACAATGCACTTGCTCAGGGTTCAAACCGGTTGGCAAAGAGCATTTTCGGCACGACAACTTCCATTACGGAACTAGTTGCCGATCTCCTTCATCTTCTACCCTTTAACTGTAACCAAACTGCAGTATAGTGCGCATGGAAGGCCACTTCCAAATGGAGAAATTATTGACCGAGCGCAGACAAAATATAGCGAGGTCTCGTCCTCAGATTCCCAGCTGACTCACTCTGACAAGCGGCATTCATCATAATATTGCCGTGAAGTTCGTATGACGTGTTCTATTTCCGTTCGTGGTCATAAATCGCCTTGACTCATATCGATCGAAAAATTTTCATAATTGCCGTATATTTATGGCAAAATGTGGAAATAAAATGTCTCCTAAGTACAGGTAATAACGACGTACATCATCGAAAGTAGAATATTCAACCGATTCTCCAAATATGCGCCATTTGATTTCAATTAAAGATTTAACTGATAAAGAATTCGAAACTCTAGTCGATAGAGCTGAGCATTACAAGAAGATCTTCAAGGCTGGAGATGCTAGTGAGATTCAAAAAAATCACTTGAAACTCTTGGGTAAAACTGTTGCGTTGATCTTTTCAAAAAGATCAACCAGAACCAGAATCTCCACCGAAGGTGCTGTTGCATTCTTCGGTGCTCAGCCTATGTTTTTGGGTAAGGACGACATCCAACTAGGTGTTAACGAATCTTTTTACGACACAACAAAAGTGGTTTCCTCCATGGTGTCCTGCATTTTCGCCCGTGTTAACAGGCACTCGGAGATTCAGGACTTAGCAGCTCATTCCAGCGTGCCCATCATAAATGCGCTCTGTGACATGTACCATCCATTGCAAGCTATTTGTGATTTGTTGACTATCAAAGAAAAGCTAGATTACACGGAAAATAAGCTTAAGCTCGCCTGGGTGGGTGATGCGAACAACGTGATGAATGATACCGCCATTGCATGCTTAAAACTTGGGATTGACGTTGCCATTGCAACTCCTCCCGGAATTGAGGCAGATGCATCAATTGTGGATGCTGCCTTGGCGATAACTGAAAGAAATGGCACCAAGATAACACTTACGCATGATTCAGTGGAAGCAGTGACTGACGCGGACATCATAGTTACGGACACCTTTGTATCTATGGGTGAAGAGTTCGCAAAAGTTGCTAAACTTAAACAATTTGAGGGATTCCAGGTCAACTCTGAGCTGTGCTCACATGCCAAACCCAATTTCAAGTTTATGCACTGTCTGCCAAGGCACACAGGGGATGTATCAGATGAAGTTTTCTACGGAGAACATTCAATCGTGTTTGAAGAAGCAGAAAACAGGCTTTATGCTGCCATGGCCGCTGTCGACGTCTTTGTAATCAACAAAGGTGATTTCGAGGCCATACCTTGATGGGTTAACGTACTCTATAGATCATATAATCATCGAATCGCATCACAGGACGTGGTCTCCTGTCTGGAACTAACCCAAGGTATTCAAACTCCGTCAAGGAGGATTCATAACATATATATTACGTTTGTAATTCATTACAAAGGACTGATGAGCCCCCTTTATTTGCGAAGATGCAAAGAAGATCTTTTCAACGAAAGCTTATTGATACTTGACGTTGGATCTGATGGCTATGAATTAGAAACAGGAAGGGTATTTGAGATGGTAGATAAAAAATGAACCATCTCTGAAAGCAGCCACGGCCGTAATGCTACATGTAACATACTGTTTTTCAAAAAGATAGTATCTGTATTTTATCCCTATTTGAAGCAAGATATACATATGTTAGCGAAATATGAAAGCGATAACATAAACAAAATCCCCCCATGTAATGGAAAATATAAAGGTTAAAATCTATAACTTGAGTATTTTAGGCAACTGATAGCCCAAAAAAATGCAATATTATATAGGGGTTTCGACATGCATGACTGCCATGGACCGAGAAAGGGTGATGCCTATCAAGGACAGTGGTCCACAGTAAAGAAACTCAAAGTTGTATGCATACTTCAGCGTCGAACTCCAAAGGATTTGAAAATTCAAAGCAGTTTAAACCGTCAGAAAAGCACCCTTCTTCGGTAGGATGCAGCTCTTCCATTCTTTCACATAATTCATTGGAATAAAACGGCTTAACTCCTTGTTGTAAGATTGACACGGTGATATGAGAAAACTTGTTTGCACAAGAAAGTCGTGGAACTATGTCTCCACTTTTTCCATCGTGCACGCATTCTTTTTCAAGCTGAACGAGTAACGTCATTATCTTATCGTCCCACATTAATTTATGTAGCCGAAATTTGACAACATCACCTGTTTTCATCGAACTTCCCCGCACATCAGAAGAAGAATTTGATTTCAATAGTTTTTTACTATAGCGTTTGTTGAACTCACACCACATATCCTTTTGCTCTTTGGAACCGTTCTTACCGGAAACAACGTGACAAAGAGTGATATGAAACTCTGGTTGTGTTTTCTCGCTACCGAGTGCTCTCTGTAGTTTCTGTTCCAAGAATGGCTCTTTCACCTTTTCCTCAATTAGGCTTGAGACACAGTCAATGAGCACATTTTTATTCCGAATTCCAGCAAAAAAATAGACTGGTTTAAACTTACTATCTTTATTTTGATTTCTCGACCCTCCCTTCACGATTTTTGTTACAGAAGGTCTGTATTGCAGGCTTTTGTGCAAAGCCTCCCTGATCGTTGCATGCGTTGGAAGTTGTGGGATTAGTATTGGGTAATGGCGATGTAACTCCCTTAGAATATTTTCAGCATTAGAAAGGGAAGAGTCTTTTTCCCTGACATTCAATTGAATAACAAGATCGAATTGATTGTCTGGACTTTTTTCCTGAACTACAGGTTGATATCTATCAACGAAACCCCGCATTATCCCCAGGACCTTCTTCTCACCTTTTGCAGAAGCTTTGATACTTTGGTGATTGTCTCCTCTCTCGAGTACCCTCTTGACAGCCAACTCATACACTGAGCTGATTTCTTCATATGGGAAAAAAGACAATGCTATGATTTTAACGTTGCAATCGTAAGGTAAATAATCTTCTTTTAATTCCTCGAACCACTCAAAAAGTTGCCGTCTTTCACGAAATTGGTGATTGTTCCTGTCAACAATGACTGCCTTCATGCCATCCTTAGCCAGTAGTTCCAAAGACTTCTTCATCAGCATTTTTTTGTCTTTTCCAGTAATGTCATCATTTTGAACATGACCCCAGCTATTTGGAAAAAGATTCGTAAGCGTTAAAGCCGTGGTAGTTTTACCACAACCAATTGTAGCGATGGGAAAAAACAGAAATTTGGTGCTTTCATCCACTTTATCATAATCAACAGCATTTTGTAATTCTAGTTCTTGAATTCTTTCATGATTTAGAATTTCAATCCCCGAAAAACCATAGTGGTCCAAGAACATTTTGCGCAGCTTAATGATACCAATATCAGCCATAAAGTCCTCACATAGTTTGGGATTCTTACGGAGGAGGGGAATAACAAAATCGAGATATTTGTTCGTAATAAACTTATGCTTTTTAAATTTGAAAATACGAGACTTTGTTTTAATATAATCCTTGGTTACCTCTCTCCATTGCCTATACATCAGGTAAGGCTCCTCAAACTTGTATTTGAAAAAAAATGCACTGTCATCCAAGGTTTTGCACCTAATGACAAACCCTTCAATCTCTTTATTTTTATATGAGCCTGTGGTTGAACAATGCTCAAGAAAGTCTTTTAATGAGTCTAATGATTCTATTGTTAGATACTCAATACAATTAAACCCATAACATTCGGCAAATTCATGGACATCTTTCATCGACAATGTTGAAAAGCTTTGCTGGTTTAGATTTATTCCGTGCAAGTATAGGCCTGCTTTATCTTTAGAATATTCAAGGATATGCTCTTCAAAGCTATCATCACAATATTCGGCAACCGCTGTTGCATTCATTTCATATAGTTTTCTGGCGAGTGTGATGGGATTAATTCCTCGGGCTTCAAGTTGCCGACGTAGGAATTTCTCACCTGCCAGCGCATGATTTCGACTTCCATCATCACGTGGACCTGTCGAATGCTTGGAACAGACCAACAAGGATCCATCCTCTAGCCCAGAAATGAAGATGATGCATCCATTCTCCTTCACAGTAATCTCATAAGGACCCTTGGTATTTTCAGTGAGCCAGTCCCATCTCGTAAAATACACCTCATCAATATTGAAAAACTTGTCATAACCCCGGGCAACTATTCTGGGATCCTCAAGACTTTCTGAAATAAATAAACCGCGCGCATTGCAGGGTAGATGGATGCTGTTTTTCCCGTAATCCCATTCGTTGAACTTCCAACTAACGACATGCGCATCGCTGTTGAAGACTTCACAAATCCTTTTAAAGGCTTTTCCTCTTTTTTCAAGTTTCGAAGCTGCTTCTAAATCATCACACAGCTTTTTGACAGAGACCGACATCTGTTTCTGTCTTGTCGAGAATACTATATCTATTCTTTCAAGAGATAAATTGAAAGTTTGACGAAGATGTCTGCCAGGAAGAAGCTCACGTGAGTTGCATATATACTTCTCGACGAAAATCATAGTTTTGTATTACGAAAGAATATTGAGAAGCTCACATTTCAAGGTCGAGCTTTTCAATTTTACGAGAAGGACCAATATGGTAGAAGTTGACGTAGATGAGGCAGATGTACTCATATTGAGGGACAATTTGGATCGAGCTAGCATATTGATGTCAAAAATCAATCGCTCTCTCGATAAGATAGGCATGACGACCGCCCAATCGAGTCGGCTATTTACTCCAATTTTAGTCTCGAACACGAAGTTAAATGTTTTGCAGAGAAATATCGAGAGCAGTATTGACTCAGTGTCATCCATCCGTGATTTAGCGAATAATGCTTCCAAACACGAGATCATATTAACTGAAGGCATTGAGAAGGTTGGTCTTAAAAGTTATATCAAAGCTATCCACACGTTAGATGACATTTTAGAGGATATGGATAACCCAAACCAAAACCATAATGATTCTTCTGAATTTCAAGGTGTTCGCACACATTTGTTGGAGGTAATACGTTCTAGCGAAAGTAATCTAAGAGCGTACTTTACGAGAATACTCAATAAAGTTGCACCTTTTGACCCTCAAATCAACATGAATAAGAAGAAACCCTTTCCCTATTATGACGATAATGACTTACTTCAGGTAAGCGCTATTCTTGATTACTTTGACAACTCAGAAAATTCTTCAATAATCGATCTTTTGATAACTAACAGAACTGAGCACATAGCAAAGAGTTTGGGATTTCTGGAACCCTTCGCAAAACAAATTACCAGTAATGAAAATGCTCCCTATCGGAAAGGAAGCAGCGGTATTATAAACTACACCGAAGCTCTCATAGGCTTCATTGCTAATGAATTTACTTTAACGGAGGACCTATATGCAAAGCAACCAAATAATCAGAGACTTGTATTCACAAAAACCATTCAACCAGTTTTGAATAACTATGTTAAAATTGTTAAATTAAATTTGGAGTTAGTGAAGAAAAATCTTGCAAATGTTGGATTATTTAGTTTTGAACTCAACGATTGTATCACTAACGTGGTGAAAAATCTGAGGGGAAAACCACTGAGTGACTACTCGCCCCTTTTGAGCTGCAGCAATGAAACCAAGGCAATATCACAATCTCTATTCAAGGAGTTAGTTAAATACATCGACGTTAAATCTACATCCTTATCACAACTTCCTTCGGATAATGGTGTGACTGAATCAACTGTGGATGTGATGTCGAGGTTGCGAAAATTCAGTGAGTACAAACAGGGTTGCTTACATACCATTGTCGGAATGACTCGTGAGTCCTGGCTACCCAAACATCACAATGATAAAGAGTTTACACTCCAAGGTCAAATGAATTCAAGTGATTCAAAAGCATTGCTTTCATGTTTCTTCAGTGATTGCATCGATTGCCTAGTGGTTTCATTAGAAAGGCAGGCCCAAAGAATTTTAATGCCTCATCAGGAACCGGACATCGCTAATTCCAATAGTTCCAGGAATACCCATAAACAGCGTATTGGTTTTTTTCTTATAACCAACATTACTTTAGTCGAGCAGATAGTGGCAAGATCTGAGCTAAACTCTATCCTTGGAGAGCAGGGAAATACGAGGTTAGAAAAGCTGAAAAAGCGTTATGTGGACTATTTCATTTCTGATTGGCGAGTTCTCACATCGAATCTATTGGATGCGGTATTCGTTGACAGTAGTGGAAAAATTTCTTCCAAAGACAAGGACCAAATTAAAGATAAATTTAAAAAGTTTAATGATGGCTTTGAGGAACTAGCTTCCAATTTTAAGCATTTCAAGATTTCTGATCCAGCAATGAAGAAACTTTTAAAAACTGAGATTATATCACTGGTGATGCCGCTATATGAAAGATTCTATGGGCGCTACAAAGATTCATTCAAAAATCCACGAAAACACATTAAGTACACTCCTAATGAGTTAATGTCTGTATTAAATTCTCTAGGAAGATAAAGACTAATTCTATATAATGGCTTAGCCAACTCTCAGCATTACAAGTAAAAAGTACCCAAGGAAAAAGTCCAAGTGAATGATTCACGAATCTCAGTCTTAATAAATCGATAACTCTATCGAACAATATCACCAACTTATAAAATTGTAAGAGAATAACTTCAATATGAGATAAAAAAAATCCCATTGAAAAATAACGCTTAATAGTCTTGATAAAGTAAAATGGTCACGAATACCAAAGAAGATAACTTTATCTGAAATTATTTGGCAATCTCTCCAGAGACAGGGGAACCTTTCACTTTGTCCTGAGCCGTCACCAATTGCTTTTGTTGAAGACTTGAATTTTGTCTTTTAATCTCAGAATTATCATCTAAACTTTGCTCGGAGCTCAATGTTGCTCCGGAACTTACCAAATCTGCAGATGCTTCTTCATTTCTTTCAGGAGTCTCCGTACCAGCAGGAACCCTAAACGCTTTCTGAAAATCCTCGAAAACGTTATTGCCTTCCGCCACGTTGAATGAGTAATCTTTACCCAGCACTGGCGACATAGGTGCTTCATTTTGCAATGGATGCCATGCATTCGAATTGCGATCATAAAGTGCTGTTATATCCACAGAGGCCTCAGTTGAAGGCTCTTCATAACCTGTTATAGATTCTCTTGATTGCAAAAAAGTATCCATAGTTTGATTGGTTTTAGAGCTCAAAAGTGGCTCCATATTCGTGGTGCCTCGTGTATAGTACCCTGTGGTAGTGTCCATCGATGATCTAGGAGAGGCTGCAGCAGATGAGTTTTGACTTTTTGGAACATATTCTTCAACACCCTCTCCCTCAGAACAACCTAAAACATCATTCAAATCATTGAATGTATCACTAGAGTTCTTGATCGTAGAAGGTAAGTTGTCCTGTATACTTCCTCTTCTACTCATGTTAAACGTGGCACCCAATGGTTTTAATTGTGGAGAATTAGGCCTTAAAACTGACATGGGAAGGTCAGGGGACCCTGGAATAGAACCTTGAAATGAAAAAGAGGATGCAATATCTCCACTATTATCCCTCGCTGTCTTCAGACTACGCTGAGCAGACAAATCTTCAGCGGACCTTCCAGTTTCAGCGGCAGTAATTGTCAACTGCGGAGGAACAAAAGTTGGCGAAATTCCATCGGCTGTCATCACATCTTCATAGCTTGGGGGCTCTTTTGGAGCATTTCTATGTTCCCCATTCTCTAGTGTGAAATCTACCGCAGGTGGAGGTGAAAGGTCTGCATCAAATGGAGGTGGCTCAAAACTAGGCTTTCTCAATAGATGTATTGGGCGCGCGAGAGGCGATGAAATAGGCGATAACGGAATGGCCTGAGGCGAAACTAATTCAGGCTGAATGTGATCAGGTTGATAAATATTCGATTTCATCTCGGGTGAATTCAAAAGAAAGTCATCCAATTTCTTATGTTGATCATCTGACTTTTGATTGTGAGAGTGTGATAGACGACGGGCATTTTGAATTGGAGTTAAAGACCTTGGAGAAAAAGATAAGCGCTCTTCCAATGGATGGACTTCTGGTGACATCACTGGAGAGTTCAAAATCTCCTTAGGAAAATAAAGATTCGAACTGTGATATAGATTCACCCCAAGATCACCAAACTGAGATGCGTCTCCTCCAGGAATAGCTGAATGCGTATCATAGCTCGGAAGAAGAGTATTCGCGTGTGAACATAATTTATGAAGAACATGAATGGGAGAATCGATACTGATTTCGTAGTGCTTTCTTTTACCATCCACCAACCTCGATAAACGAAGACATATTTTTATCCAATGATTCGATTTGATGTTCTGATAAGACGTATCTGGATGAATACGTTGTTGTACATTTAGTCTTTCAGGAATAAAGACTTGATATTCAAATTCTTTGGAAATGATGTCTCCATTTCTCTCGTCAACTAGTAGATTTCCTAGATTCTTGGCTTTCGACAGATTCGCACCACTGGGAAGATCATCTAATGGGGCTGCTTTATGCTCGGCCAGAAGAAACTTTTTAGTCGGCTCCAATCTATGAACTTTTTTATTCTTACAGTAGTATTCCAAAGTCTCAGTCAAATAAATCCTTATACGATGTAAAGTAACCTTGTCCATGGGCGTGACTCTGAACGCTATTGGTAGGAAAGCATCCAAAACAATGTCCTTAGAGGCAATAACAATGTCATAATGTAACTGGTCCTCCCAATCACGGGAGATAGCAATAGGTTCAGTTTCTTCAACGGAGGAGTCAGACTGTGTTCGGACGATTTTAAGGGGAAACCTTGTATGTATGTTACTTTTGAAGGCACCAGCTCTGTCCACTGAGACCTGCAAATAGTATTCTACAGATCCAAAAGAGGCTTGAATGCTTTCCGGGCATGACAAAGGAATAGGTTGTTCGAACGAATACACATATTCACCTGGTTGAAAAATAAAGGGCTCATTTCCAGTTGAAGATTTGGAAAAAACAGAGTTACTGTCGCTACCATTCGAGAGCGTGGACGTCAGTAAATCAGAGATTGCATTTGTACTTGATCTAGACCTCTGTTGAGCTGCATGATGATCAGGAGATGTTGCTCTGCGCAGAATATTACTGATAGGTAGTAAGGATCCGCTCGTCTGATGCTTATTCTGATTTGGAGAAATTGTTGGGTTCAAGCTCATGGTACTTACGCTTCCATCCTTTTTTTTCAAAGGACGATAAAGCGACGCTGAACTACCTTTCAGTAAGTCGTCCGCATCACAACTGTTGCTGTTCTGAACGTGATTATGTTCAACTTGGAAAAACGGCCATGTATGATTCACAATATCGATAGACTCTACGAACTCCTGTTTCTTGGGCGGGATCCCCTCGGGCCATTCCGTTTTAGACACACCTTTGAAGTTCAAAGAAATCGACTTGATTTTGCTGGGCTTGAGCACTCTTATAATCAAAGATCCTCTCAGAAGACCAGGTGGCCTCTCAGACCACTGGTGCTGCTCAAAACCCTGCAGAAATACCACGGGTTCCGCAAGTTGGATATAGATTTGGATCGACGTCGTCTGACTCAAAGGTTGAGCATTTGACGGAATATCCAAATCTTTATCCACCGGGAACACAGGAGAATTAACAGGACTCAGGCTGTCGTTCATATGGACTCCTACCGATTGTATCTCCTCAAGATTGGGCGTAGTACGATGGTATAAAACGGCGAAAAGTTCGCAGAGTCCGCGCGGGTCGATACACATCGACGAAAAATAAAAGCAAAGAGAGATGCAGATATCAAAGATTTACATGTGGTATATCATGAATTTAGTACATAGAAACACACAAATGTATGTTCACAGTTAATATAACAGTGTCGGTACTCTTGGACTCGTTATATTTTTGGTGAGATATGTGTTAAGTGGTTAGCCATCAAAATCACGTGCTTTCCTTATCTTTCCTTGATTGTGGTGGAGTAAGTAGTTCCAGAGTAGCTCTCAGTTGCTCTATATTGACAGTGCTTTCCTCTGCAACACTGCTTAGAAGCTTATTGACCTTTATCAGGTCGTAGTAATTTTCATATATGGTGTTTTTGATTGTGTTATTGGTCTCAGTTTCCTTCGTCAAAAGCGTATTGTGTATGTGCACAAGTTCAGCCAGAGTAGAATCAGATATGGGCTTGTCTACAGGTGCCGGTGTCGGTGTCGTTGTTGCAGTTGTATCATTTTCATTATCATTTGTCGATTCGATTTCAGAGCTTTGATCTTGCGAAGGGAGATTGTGTTTGTTTTGCGACTGAGCTTGTGCCTCATTTAGATGATAATACTCTTGTAAAAGCTTTCTTTTATCCTTGTCGAGCCTTATTTTCAATGGTCTTTTATGAGTAATTTGTTCAGCCATCTTCGTTCTTTGCCTTGGTGCGGGCTTGAAAGTAGCAAAACATCATCAAGCATCGTTTATCAATTAGCAAACAGTGACATACAAAAATTCAATATTCAGATAGAGAACTTATACAGACTCGTCAAGGATACATAGCCATAGAAGCACAAACGTATTGAAACTGAATAGTCATCCTCGTCAGAGCTTTTGAACTGCCAACTACGAACTCATTAAACTCAATCGCAGAAAATGCGTTTCAGCAGGCAAAAGAAGCAGCCGACAGTTGTTCTTACGCCATCACAAAGAATAAATGGGGATCAGTTGACTAACGATGCATCTTTGAAGGCTGCCCAGGCTATTTTCAAAATGCATACAGTTCCAACAACAACATCTACCGCCCCGAAGGCCGCTATCGTCTCGAAGGAAAGACCACAAACCAGAAAGACCCAAGTGAGGACACCCAAGCCCGCCCCCAAGAGAACCTCTGTGCTAGTGGCTCAGCAGAAAAAGACACCAACAGGAAATGAGAAGTCTAGTAGTGCCCAAGCAGCTGCAGCACAAGCAGCAGCAAGCGTTGCTCATCATGACTTAGTTCAAATTGATAGCCAGCTCAATCTACCTATGAAAGATATGAATTATTTAACTCCTCCCTATCTCAGATCAAATGTTAGTTCTCGTGCTAACTCACGAAGCGGCTCTTTCAATAGCCAGCTATCATTGAGAAGTGGCTCCTCCATGGCATTGGAAGACATTATGGCCAAGTTACAGGCAACCAATGATCACTCTGGAGAACATTCACTAGCGTCACCTAGAGGTTCTAGTGACTTCACTAAATCCTCAAGTAAAGTGCAACAAGGTGAAAATAGCGAAGTGCCAGCTTCCAACTATACAGTTAGTGCCGATCGATTGCCTTTCATGAAGTATAAAAGCGAAGCTCATTACTCTTCACCATATATTATTACCGAGAGCAAGAATAATTCAGCCCGTCAAACGTACCCTGGGGAAATGAATGGGAGCTTGGCATCATCGCCATCAAAATCAAGCGAAAGGTTAACTTTTCGAGGTTCTCGCAACAGGAGCTTAAATGGAAGAATACCGCCTCCAAAGGAATTTTTGGAGGATGATATGGGCTCAATTTCTTCGTTGGAATCGTCTAGACTTTCGGAAGCTCCTCCAACTAATGACGAAGAATTGAGCGATATCGATTTGATGGAATTTGGACGATCTGGAAATATAGAAGATTACAGACATCAGCCGAACAATTCAATAAGCGACCAAGATCGCAGATCAATTGATTTGAACTCAAGTGAGGTGTCCTATGATGCTTTGAGTAAAATGCCACAACAGGTACAATATAGAGGAACACTGCCTGATCTCATTCCCAACCACAAGAGGAGTTCAAAAATGAGTAAATTTAAGTCACTTTTTGGAAAGAAACATTTGATAGAAGACAATGACCCTCAAAAGTACAACATCGTCACGAAGGATGACGTAACACTTGTGAAAACAGGTCAGCCAGTTAAATTTAAGACAACTATGAGAAAGACTAGCAACGACAATGAACCTGAGCCCTCCAGTGATAGCGACGATAGTAATGATAGCAGCTCCGAGGGAGATCTACCCGAAAAAACCAAAGTGAAGAGGAGAAAGAAGAGAGTACGAATTGGAAGACAAATAAAGAAAGCATCACATCATCATCACTCGCACCGGGCCACTTTCAACGAGGATAAACCTTGGAAAAGCCACATAGACATTGGCTTTGTTACTCAAGCAGAGCGGAAAAGATATGAAGGTATGTGGGTTAGTAATCGCAACTGTTATTTAGAGCTACTTCCTTGGTGGAATGATGCGTCGGAGGCAGATACTTTAGAAGAGGGATTAATACTCAATCTCGTTGTGTTGGATATTTGGTCTCGAAGTAACCTTCCACAAGACAGGCTTGCTGCAATTTATGATATGGTAGATACAAGAGGAGATGGAACTTTGAACCGGCAATCCTTTATTGTTGGAATGTGGCTTGTCGATCAAAGCCTTTATGGGCGAAAACTTCCAGCTACGATTGATCAAAGAGTGTGGGACAGTGTTGACAAGTATATTATAAACGTGCCATCTGAATTCAAGCAAAAACTTGAACACAAGCGGAACCATAAAAGCTTAAAGAAGGAAATGAAAAGTTTGAAGAAAGATCTTAAGCGTATTCAGCTATAGCTTCGGACAATAATACATCTGATTATCATTTTATACGCAGATGCTTTAAACTTTCTTGGATCTTGCCGAGCGGTTTTGGTCATTGCTGATCTGGAATAAAAATACACAATGTTCAGAGTGCTAGGAGCTTTGACAGGTGCAGGAAAACCTGCCCCTGTTTCTCAAGAGGAGAGAACTCAAAAGATTTTAGAGCAGGCCCATGACTTTGAAATTGCTTTGCAGGCCATGGATTACGTCTTAGACGACCATGCCGAAAAGGGATTAAAACTACTTTTGAATAATGAGCGTGACGATAAGGACTGTACTATCAATGTATTGGCACGCGGAGTAATCGAATTTCTGGAAGCCACGTTAGGATTTGAAGCTAGTGTTATGAAAAAAGCTGCAGAAACGCTCTCTGAGGCTGAGCAGCTTTCTGCCAAGAGCAGACAACAATATCAAAAGTCGGGCTTGAAGACGAGTTCATTATATCCACCTGGTACTGAATATGCAGTTACGTATACTGAAGCTTGTTTACTGCACGCTCTTTTGATGTTGTTCAGCGAAAGTATGGTGGAAAGTGCCAAGGCCTTGTTCAAGTTGAGAAGAGCTTATCATATGCTACAGGAAATTTTGAATGACATTAAGAAAGCTGAAGCAGAAAAGAAGTCACCAATGTATGCACAGAAAGTTAATGACTCAACTGCTTCCTTCATTTCGACCGAAACAACTTTTACTTCTGTTGATATCCCTTATAAATTAACTCCTGAGGAACAAAAAGATAAAGACTTGTTGGATCTTGCTGAGAAAATTTACTCCATGCGTGAAAAGAGATTATCTGGTGCACACATAGGAAATTCTCCAGCTATTGAAAGATTAAGAACGGATTTAGGCCTAGAGGCTCTTCAGAAACTACCCAAAAATGAGCTTGAATCCAAGTACACACGACTTTCAGACAATATTGATCAAAATCAAGCGACAATTGATGAGTTTATTCATTCTGGTGTAAATCTTTGTTTTGGAATTCTTCAGGTGGTTTTATCGCTAATTCCACCTGCTATTGGTGCGGTATTATCGGTGGTTGGATTCCATGGGTCGCGAGAAGAGGGCTTGCGCATGGTCTGGAAGTCTACCAAAGACAGAAATATCCATGGCGGTATAGGCCTCCTTGCATTATTGTTTTATTATGATGGTCCTTTTCAATTTACTGATGTTGATTTCGATGTTCCCTCTGCAGATGACAACTTGAAGAAAATTCAATCTGGAGAAATGGACAAGCCTACACTTTTGCACCCGGGGAAGATTCTTGAGCATGCTCTTCTTCAAGCAAGGGCACTCTTTCCCAATAGTGCCCTGTGGTTATTACAAGAAGCACGTATGTTATCTTCCAATGGCCGTTTACAGGATGCTGTTGACCTGATGGACTCTATTGACGTCAATAAAATTGAAATGAAACAAGTTAAGGCTTTGATGATTTTCGACAGGGCAATGACTTTGGTTCACTTACATCAATTTGAAAGGGCTGCGGAGGATTTGCTGGCCTTGATAGAAATTAACGAATGGTCGCATGCCCTATATACTTATTTTGCCGGCTGCTGTTATTTGGAAAACTATCGCATGTGTCAACTGGACTTGATGGATAAGGAAAAGATGAATTATTATAAGGAGCGTGCCACAACTTTGATTTTTGATGCTCCTAAGTTGGTGGGCAAGAAGAAATTCATGTCTAAGAATCTTCCTCTGGACAGGTTTATGTTGCGAAAGGTTGAACAGTTCAAAGAATTCCAAGCATCACTCGAGACTACAGATCCCTTAGATTCAATCGGTGTTTCCCCGGTTCATGAGCTGACATACTTCTACAATGGTTACAACAGAATGACAAGGGAGAATTTAGAATTATCTCACAAAATGTTAACGGAGTATCATAACCCGCTAATCGACGCTCATGATCCTGACCAAGAACTTCTCAAGAATTTACTTACCGCACTGACATTAAGAAGACTTGGCAATGTTGAAGAGGGCTGCAAATTGTTGGATGAAAAAGTTCTTCCTGAGATAATTACTTTGCTACCTAACGGCAAAATTAGATATATCAGGAAAACAGAAGATCCTTGGGCATACCCCTCTGCTCTATATGAGCGTGCTTTGTTCACCTGGAAGCTGAAAGGATTGGAAGGCTTAGAGGAGAGCAAGACTTGGCTAGTCAGAGCTCAAGATTACGCCGATGATTACGAGTTGAGCACTAGGATAGGGATGAAAATAAAGGCTGCAATTGATAGGCTTGAAGACTCCTAATAAACTCTTCAATCTTCTCTTCATAATTTCTATAGTATCAGATTGAAAATTCGAATCTATCATAAATAACGATCAATTGATTACGACATCATCAAAATGGGAAAGCAAATGAACCAGCAATTGATGATTAGTAAAGTAAGAACATCAGGACAAATCTACTAGCCGTTTTCAGCATGCTAAGCGAGCATACAATTCCTAGCGATTACGATGATGAAGGAGATGAATTTATAGATTTTGAAAGTTATTACAGCGTTGAAGACACCGATTTGAATGGCTTTAAGGATGATTCAGATTTTGACATCACCAGTGACATGAATTCCGATGACGAGAGTGGAAGCCGGATAAGCTTTCTCATATCTACACAGGACTCAGAGAATTTGGGTAAAAAGTCCAGTTTAAGTGGCTCAGAAGAAAGAGGATTGCCAAAACTAAACTATAATTGCCTCACTACGGACCAGATATATAAATTGATGCTTCAGCGCATGGAAAATTTACAGCCAATATTCAATATCCCATTGGAAGATATGATAATACTGCTTCAAAGATACGGTTGGAGTGAAGAGAGGTTATTAGAGCAATGGACAGAAGATATGGAAAAGGTCTTAGTGGCATCTGGTTTACGAACCGCAAAACACGATAAGATTAAGCGTGGAATAAAGCTCCACCCGAATTTCATGTGCCACATATGTTGTGAAAGTGGTGAGAAAGAAACGTTTTCCCTTGAGTGTGCCCATGAGTATTGTTTGGACTGTTATAAGCATTATATTCAAGATAAGCTACCTGATGGGAAAATTATAACGTGCATGAATTGTGATTTAGCTCTAAGGAATGAAGATATTGATAAAATAATGGGCGACAATTCAAGTGCAAAGTTAATGCTTTCATCAATCAAAGGTTTTATACAAAAGCATAGCAATCATTACAAATGGTGTCCATTCGTAGATTGCAATTATGTGATTCAAGTGGGAAATATTTCTTCACTGTCAGAGTTTCCGCGATTCCACATTTCCCCGTATGTTATATGTGACAACAAGCATAAATTTTGCTTTCAATGTGGATTAGAGTCGCATGCCCCAGGAGATTGTCAAGTCGCCGACGTTTGGGTTAAAACCGCACAAGCAGAATCAGCTAACTTAAACTGGGTGTTAAAGAATACAAAGGAATGCCCCAAATGTGGGGTCAACATCGAAAAAAATGGTGGGTGCAACCATATGACTTGCAAGAGCTGTGCTTATGAGTTTTGCTGGATCTGTGAAGGTTGTTGGAAAGACCATGGGGGAAGCTATTATGAATGCACACGTTTCAAAAAGGAGGATAAAAATGATAACGTAGAATCGAAAGGGTCTTTACGCAAATATACGTTTTATTATCGACTCTTCAGCGAGCATGAAAACTCTGCCAAATTAGATTGGAATCTTGGGCAAACAGTCGAACAGAAGGTCAGAGCTTTACAAGAAAATGTTGGCATTTCTTGGATTGAGAGCCAATTTCTTCCAGAAAGCATAAGAGCATTGATCGAGGGGAGAACGACTTTGAAGTGGTCATTTCCTGTAGCATTTTACTCCGACCCTTCTCATAACTTGACGAAAATTTTCGTGGACAATCAATTTTTACTTGTAAATGCTGTCGAGGACCTTTCGCAGTTACTCCAAATAAAGGAACCCAAAAAAATAATGGAAAAGAAGCTAGACTTCTACAACAAAGCTAGGTTTGTAAAAAGCAGGGAGAACGCACTAATAGAATGTGGGCGCGATTTGTTATGCAAAGGAATTTGTATTCCTCAAAAATAAGCTTTAATCTGTTATATAATCAACGTTTCAATTCATAGATTAGATTAACACACCATTGGCATGAATAAACACAATAAGTTAGCAATGTAGGGGTTTGTTTGATTTTCTTGAACGAAGTGAAGAATGGCGAAGACGAATGGGAGCATAAAGAAAGAGCACTATATTAATAACCGCGCGGAAGTCGAATTTTTGTAATGAAGATGGTAAGATATTTGGCTGCCTGTCATAAATCATTGCTTTATATCTCCATATTTCCAAAATAACGCTAGAGAGCTGCCTCTCAATTATATCCATTTTTTTGGGGATATGGATCCATTGCCGGCTTTTCGCCAATTTTATCACCCGATACAAAGTAGTAAGATTGATCACCGGCCAGTCAACATCACTGAAGCAATAGGTGCGGTGGATATTTTCTATTACTTAGTCTAGTTCACGAAGCAAGAGAAACATAAATGAGGATGTGAGCTTTCAGCAATATGTTGAAAGAGATTCTGTCGTATCGATTGCAGACCGCAGACCATCCGCTTTGACATTAGATTTTCGCACAGTTTATCACTGGCATAAAATTAGTGAAGGATTGATAAAGGTAGCGACAGTTGAAACTATTGATTAAATTACTGTTAACCTTGTAAACAATCCAAGTAAATAATCTCACTGGTAATATAATTACAGGTTTGAAGGCGGGCATACTTTGATAACAATCAGTTTAACTACTTCCTGGTCACTGTTTTATAGGGTTTGCAAGTCAGAGACTGTACGCTCATTGACAATATTCCCTGTGTTGAGGGTTGACTTGGGCTCCAACAGCATGACATTACATTCATCTGTAAGTGTCTCGGGACAATGTTCTACTCCTTTAGGAACAATAATGAATTCGCCAGGCTCAAGGTCAATATCACCAGTTCTTAAACACATGCGTAGACGACCGCTTACTACGAGAAAAAGCTCGTCTTCGTGCTCGTGGTGGTGCCAATCGAACTTGCCGGAGAGTTTCGCTAATTTCACATAAGAATCATTAAGAGATCCGACAATCTTGGGGCTCCAATAGTCATCAAATTTCCCAAAGCTCTCACTCAGATTCACTTTTTTCATTCCTTTATCTTCCCCAATAGTGACGAAACCCGAAATTCTTAACCGACGTTGAGAACCTGATCGCTCATCACTTGTTTATATAGTTTATATAACAGGTATCAAATTGATTACAAATCCCCAGGTTGTGTTTTTCCGCTCGCAGCCATTCGGGCAACAATGAAAGTGTGTATGTCACTTTGAATGATTTGTCAAAGCTGTGGCGGCCAGGTCGCCTAATGTACTGAAATCGCTGCATTGTAATTTGATCTACTGTCAACATGTTGGAAGTTTATTTCTCAGCCGTGTGCTTTGTTGTTTTATGATCTGCCGAAATCCATTCGTTCCCCCATATCTGCGAACATCAGAAAAGATGCAATGCTCTACGCATTTTTAAGCAGTTGATTCTCGTGAAACGAGTTTTAAAGTGATAAAATCGAGTTATTTTCTTGCTAGGCAAGAACTATATTACATCTAAGTTGGTTACCTAAACCTATCTTTTAAGAGTCGATCAGCTCCGACTTCCGCGTATTCTTGCTTACCTACCCAAAGTTGGTGAAACGTACCCAGGCTAGAAAGAATGCTACCTCCCAACCAAGATTGATACTGCCTCTCTCTTGGATGGCCCGTGGTGAGAATTCTGAATTTTAATGCAGGTAATTTTTTGTTTAATTCCGTCATGAGTCTATCGGTTAATCCTGTGATCGAAGAGGTGCCACCAGTAACAACAACATTGTGAGCCAAAGTAGCCCGCAGATCAACGTCAGTTGCCATTATCGCACCGTAAACTAAATCTGCTAGGCCGGCAATGGGGTTTTTGGTTTCTTCCGGTGTGTCTTCAACTGGGCGCTTACCATTCTCATTCGGCAAATCTGAAGAAACGCTTCCATTAACATCATCGGGAGCCGGTGTAGATTCAGACGTACCCTCCTTATCCTTACTATTAGTACCGGGCTTGGTTCTTTTCAATGGGACGTAATCATTGTGCCAGGTCTCAACCACGCCATCAATAGATTCGGGCCATCCTTGAGGTAAATCTTCTTTGCGGGGTTTAAACAATTGCTCCGCAAAACCATATCGTGTGTAACTGTCGAATACAATATGTTCCCCCCAAGGAGCCTCGATAGATCTCTTAGCTGCATTTTCTAATTCAGGTTTGAATTTTTCGAGATTTATGGGCGCCACTTGGAACAGGGTTTCTTTAAATTCTTGGAAGAATCCAGTGCTGTTGGCAAAATCGTTTAAGGAGTGGTCGATCGCATAGTCAAAATGTTTGGCTATGAATTCAGGGCGCCTTTTTGCTACTTTGAACAACGGTATTACTTCTCGAGGTTCAAGTTTTTTTTCGACCAATGCATTCAAAAACTTACCAGCCAAGAAGTTTCGGGTAGAACTCTTTGAAAGTGTCATACCATCCACAACTGGACAGACACTGCTCACATCATGCCCGATATCAACCACCAGACAAGTGGGCCTCCCCATAGCAAAAGAAGTACAAGTTGCAGTAGGCGCTAAGTAGCAGGCTTCGAAATCCATACTTTCCAGCAACACCTCTAAAGATTTTTTGCGATTAGCATCTGTGTTCCAAATTGGTTCACTTAAAAATGCTGGTATGCCTTTGGTCGATTCGAATTTCAATTCATCGTGGATAGCCCATGACCATTGTTCTTGAGCTGCATCCCAATCTACCACTGAACCATTTTCCAAAATTCGTTTAATTTCGTAATCTGGTCTTGGAATCCCAATCGATTGCTCGTTGAAAACCTTGGATTTCCCTTGTTCCTCATTCTTATAATGCCCGTAACATGATGGTAAGATCACTTGAGGGCAATCAGTTCCGGAGTACCCTATATTGGTTGTGTAAGAGCCCGGATCAATGATCACAGCAGATATCTCATCACCACCATAAACTTGAAGAGCGGGATTCGACATAGTGACTTGGAAAGAGAGCAGTCTCTTTTGATATTTGTTGTTTTAGAAGACAGTTGTACAACGCTTAACATTTTAATAAACTTTTACATCCTGCTAAATGATACGTACGTTTGGCGTGACAAGTGTTCTACTGAAGATTCGTTTGAAGTATACAATTTTCTGGAATATTTATGTTTATTGTGAATACGTGATACAAATGAGATTCAATGCGATATTTTATGGTTTTGGTTTTTTGGGTTTGAATGTAAGACAACCGTTCATAAAGTTCTCACTTCACAGTCCAAGGCGTCGACGAGCGTTTCGACTTCCAATTTTTTTCTAGCCTCATGTACCCATTCATCACACAATACGCGTGGCCAGCCTTTTAAGTTCACCACTTCTTCAACAGCATTTTCGAGATTTGCCAAACGTAGATTTTCGCTCACACGAGCAATTACGCTATCCATGTCGTTTTCAACTGAAGAACCAGACTTGTTGAATAAAAATAGACTAAAGAATTTGGCGGACAAATGACCCAGGATACCAGAGTTTGGAGGCAATAGAGAAGCAGTTTTCAAGTCGTCTTGTAGTAGGCTCCATCTGTTGTAAAGTTGCTCATTGGAAAGAATCTGTTGTTGAGCGGCCAGTTGATCCAATTCAGCCACAAGCACATCAAGTAGATGTGGGGTCTTGGTGCAGCATTTGTGGGGTTTGCCGGGGAGAATGTCCGACAAAGTCTTGAGCTCGGAGAGTTGGTCATCCAATTGAACGCTGGTGAGGTCACCAGATTGCAAGCGGTCGCGAATCTCGGTGGTCAAGAGGGTAAGACGGGTGAGCACTTCGTTTTTCTTGACGAAAACGTCGACTTTGTCGACGACTTGAGTCAAATTGGCGACACTGGTGTTGAGTTCTTCCAACTTGGCCAGACGGCCTTGTCTTTCCTGGTCGAGTTTCTCGCTGAGAATTTTGTTGAATTCCTCCACTTGCTTGATGGAGAGCAAGGCGACTTCATTGGATTGTTTCGCAAGTAACGCTTGCTCGTTCGCCTGGAGAGCACACGCCAATTCCTCCGAGGAGTGTTTTTCGAGCTGAGCCTTGAAGTTGGCGAACTCGTCCAAGAAACGCTGGGTGATTTCGACCTCTGCGGCCTTAAGGCGAGCGTCGTAGGCGTGTTCGAGCTCGACGGAGGCCTCGCCGTAGCGGCGCGCGACTTGCTGCGCGACGTCGTGGTCAAAATCGGCGGTGAGTTGTTGGAGGGCGGCGGTCAGCTTGCCCCAGGCAAGCGTGACGGCGTTGTAACTATCCTCGGGCAGCAACAGGGACTGGGCGTTGACGGAGGCCACGATCTCGTTGACGGAGTCGACAAGGTGGTTCGCGGCGGACGGAGCCGCAGCAGAGGCCGTGTCGAGGGTGGCCACTGGGGGGACCTGGGGCAGACGCAACATGACAAGGGAGTCTTCCAGGACCTGTGCGGCCTTGGTCTTGGGGCTGGCAGCTGGATCGGTCTGCGCGAGCATGGAGGTGGCGCCTGCGTTGGGGATTTGCTCGACCTTGTTGCTGAGCTCACCGAACTTGAGTTTGAGCTCCTCGAGCGATATCTTGGAGGTCTGGAGGGTGCCGTCGCGGTAGGATTGGTAAAAATCGACCAGCGGCTCGGCTAGCGGCACGTTGTCGGTGAACAGCTCTTCGAACTGGTCGTTGTAGACCGAGAGGGCGACGCCTCCCACGTAGAACAGAGAGGTGGCTGCGGCGAACTTGACGAGGAAATTGCGGACCGGGTGAGGAGCGGCGGCGGGCTCGCCGGCGAAGGTCGCCAGCCCGCGTTTGGCGGCGTTGAAGACGGTCCTGGACCTGAGCATGAGGGGGGTTGGCGCGAGTTTGACGGGGGACAGAGCTGGGGTCGCGGGAGGCCAGGTGAAAATTTGAAGATCGAGAGAGGCCCGCCGTGCGCCGTGACGGCGGGCGCGCGCGCGAGCCGCGCGCGCTGATTGGCCCGCGGTCGCGTGACCGCAACGCGGGTTACCCGGCCCACACCGCTCTTTCCTCCGCGCTTCTCCGCGCATCTCCGCCCCGCCTACCCCCGCCTACCCCCGCTTAACCCCGCCGCCCGTTCCTGCACCCGGCCCGCCCGCCTCGAGCACAGACGGCCCCCTGCGCCGCAACCCGCCAAGGCTCCATTGTCGCGCACTGCGCTGCGCCAACGCGCCGGTTCCGGTCCGGCCCGTGGTGGTTCCGTGCTTCTCTGGCGAGAGGCCGGCTCGCAGTTGTGGTGCCAGCGGGCCTCGACGCAGAGGAGGATCTGTCAGCGGAGGAGGATCTGCCGGCGGAGGGAGGCCCGCCGGCGAAGGAAAGCCCCGCCTGCTGCGGCGGGGCGCAAAGGAGCGGGCACGTGACGAGCGCGCCCGTCGTGACGCATTGTGCGTCTTCGGGCCGCTCTCGTCCGCCTTTGATCCGCACTCGCCCGCATCCGCCCGCACGCGCCCGCTCTCGCCCGCCTCGATCCACCTGCATTGGTCCCACTGCGACGATGTAGACCACCCGTAATGGCCCGCAGCCCGCAATCGTCCGACGCAGAGGCACCACGCACCACGCACCGCGCACCGCGCACCATGCACCATGCACAAGTGCTGACGCAACGCAAGCTCACATTGCAGTCGCCAATCCGCAGTGGCCTTGTCTGTCTCTTTTTGAACCGCACATACCGGCGTCCGCACCGCACAGAATGCACATGCACTGCACCGGCATTCGCATAGACTGTGTCACCGTGCTCCCGGCTTGGCAGGTCCGCTCCCGCAGCTGCAAACTCCGCTAGGTTGCGGTCCAGCCACGGCCGGACCGCACCCAATGCGGAAAGGATTCGCTTGTGTGCGCGAGCGGAAAATCCGCTTTTTAGGTTTTTTAGGGTCGAGTTCTCCGGCATTGAGGGCCTGCAGGAAAGCCACGACAGCCATAAAAGCTGGGTTCTGATCAGAGCCCCGGGAAAGCGGTGGCTAAGCGACTCTGGTTTCTCTTCTTCTTCCTCTTCTTCCTCTTCTTCCTCTTTTTTCGCCACTTCTTTCTGTTTGTCACCTTCCAATGGACGCCATCATTGATCAGGCAGAGTGCGCAGACGGGCTGCTCGCGCGGGCGCTCGAGCTGCGGCTGCTGTCGCGACACGGATCACCGCAGCCCGAGCACTTCTTCAAACTATGTGGGCTCTACCACCAGCTCGCTTCTCGCGCGTATTGCGAGCAGACGCACCAGCTCACGCTCGCCATCGCCAACGCGCTGCTGCAGGAGCGCGAGTTGCGCGAGCTGACGCTCGCGCACGCCAACTCGCTGCCTGCAGACGTGCAGCGCAGGCTGCGCGAGCCACTGTTGCAATTGGAGTGGGAGCAACCGCTGTGGCGCATCCTGTTCTTGCTGGCGCACGGCCAGGACCTCGCCAACAGCACCGCGAAATTCGACAAAGACCTCGCGCCGTTGCGTTTTGTCGATCTGGTCGAGCAGCTGCCGAGCGCCGACGGCACGGCGCTCTCGTGCGCGCTCGCCGAGCTGGGCAAGTACTGGTACGCGCTCTGCTACAACTACGGGTCCGTGCTGCAATCCAACCGCGAGCGGTTCTGGGCCGCACTCGAGCGATTCAACTTGACCATCTCTGCCAACTCCGGTATGCTGGAACGTTACCACGAGCCGTTGCTGCAACTCAGCTCGCTCGTGCTGCTGTTCCCGGAAAACCAGCTCGCATCCACCCTCAGCATGGTCTTCAACATCATGCGCATGCTCAAGGTCCAGGTCGCCCACTGGGCACGCCAGGTCTCGTGCGATCTCTACTCCTCGCTCGACGACTACAAGATCCCGCAGATCCTCCATCTGCTCGACCTCTACGTGCTCAAGTCCCCGCAGCCCGTGCGCGAGCGCGCGGCTCCTTGCTTCTGCGGCGACCAGAATGTCACCGTCGACCTGCAAGACGAGGTCCTCGAGCTCATGGACTCCTCCATGAGCTCCACTCACACGCGCAACGCCGTCGCCAACGTGCTCTCCTCTTTGCATCTAACCATCATCGACACCCCAGCGGGGGCTCAGCAGGTGGTGCCGATGGATTCGCCTACAAGTCCGGCAAACTCCCTCTTCTCCGACGCAGCGCGCGCTAGTGCCAATGGCGACAGTTCGGACCTCAACGTGTCGTCCCAATCTACTCTGTGCAACTCAGGCTCCAACCCCACCGACGTGGACGAGAAATGGTCCGACGAGGAGAAAGACGCCGAGGCCGCCCGGATCATGGGCATTATCAAGCGTCTCAACGAGCTTGGCGTCGTCAAGACCCCCGGAAACTGATGCTCTCAAGTTCCAGCGCACTGGTTGCTGCTCTTGCGCCCTCCTACCTCTTATTCGAACTCAAGCTACAATACTACTCAAAACTTCAAACAGCGCGCTGGTCGCTGCTCCCGTGTTCCAGTACCCGTGTTCTAGTACCTTCTACCTTCCAATTCATGCTTTCGAGCTACACCACCAGCCTGAATTTCGTTCCAACTGCGCGCTGGTCAACTTCCCTCGCCCTCTGCCGCTCTCCACTGCATTAAGCGGAACCTTCGTGGGGGTGCCACTAAAACTAACACCTGCAATGATTTACGAACTCATCTAATTATTATTCGAATATTATCACTATCTATGCACGCGCGACTATCTGTCCCAGCCCTGGCTCGTTTAATAAGTAAGCCAAGTTTTTTTTTTTTGCACATAGGATTCATATGTATTTAAATTAGTAAAATATAACCTCAATTATCACCCATGATCACCCAATTCCTGTACGAACCTTCTTGTTACTACGCTATTGCTCATTGATATAATTTAGAATTCCGTGGGGCTTGAATATATACACACCTGTTGTATATCGCTAAATACGAGCAGTGCCTGCCCTGATGAGTCCCCTTATAAATGTTGGCTTCGCTTCCCATCGTTTCTACACATACAATCTTTATTGCTACTTCAAGATTCAAACAAACACAAATCTCTATGTTGCAATTCAAACTGGTCCTATTAGGTGATTCTTCTGTGGGTAAGTCTTCGATCGTACACAGGTTTGTCAAGGATTCTTTCGATGAGTTTCGCGAAAGTACGATTGGAGCTGCATTTTTGTCTCAGACCATCAAACTGGAAAAACAGGACGATGTGACTATTAAGTTCGAAATATGGGACACTGCAGGTCAAGAACGTTACAAATCATTGGCCCCCATGTATTACAGAAACGCCAACGCAGCCCTCATCGTCTATGATATCACACAACCTGATTCGTTGGCCAAAGCCCAAAGTTGGGTCGATGAACTCAAAAACAAAGTTGGCGATCAAGACCTTGTCATCTGTCTGGTTGGTAACAAACTAGATTTGTGTGAGGAAGACCCTCAGAAAAGGGTTGTCGACACTGAAGACGCTCAACGTTACGCCTCGGAACAAGGGCTCTTGTTTCAAGAGGTAAGTGCCAAAACTGGCGCAGGCGTAACGGATATCTTCCAAACTATTGGTGAAAAGCTATATGTTCAAAAGAAAAATTCTCAACAAGCTGCCTCTCAAACACGCAATACAGTCAATGTCGAGCTCCAAAGACCGTCTACGAACGACTCGACATCCTGCTGTTCTTGATTCAAACAAGCATACACTTCTACGTAACATAAATTCTGCTAATTTTTAAACGAACGTCATTTTTTCAATATTTCATGTTTTTCTCGAACGCAAGTTTCTAGCTAAGAAGAGAAGCCGAAACCTTATTAGTTTATCCATATGCAATTCTTTTTTTTTTTAGTTGGGATTACAAGCGCCATGAAAATGGCATTTACGGATTGGCAGACAGCCGCATCAATAATAATACGTCTACCGACTCGTCGTTTTTATCAGGTAGGAGCTAAACCACTCTACATACGCTCTACTTGGTATTTAGGTTTAACTATAACTCATGTTACGATGACTATTTTATTTTAAACAGATTTCGTCGCCACGCATATGACCTTTTCAAATAATCAAACAAAAAATGTCTTGCTCCCTCCTAAAGTATTTAAATTTACAGCGTATATTTTCTATAATCAGGAACTAAGGTAACATGCAATGAGAGAGTATTCCCCCTCATGAATCAGTTTTTCAATCTTTTGATAACGAGATCGGCCGCCTTTTCAACACCTTCCTTTGTGCCTCTGATGTAAATGACATCATTAATCTTGTCGTCCTTCTTTGGAACAGAAATTAGCGCACCAGTAGCTTCCCTAATACGCTTGATGTTGGAACCCATTGGGCCCACAACTTTTCTGAAGTTTTGAGGCTTATTGGACCAAACGTATCCAACGGTTGTTGCCTTTGGCGCTAGTTCAATTCTTTCTTGTACCAACTTCTTGACTTTCTCCAAAACTTCTTCCTTGGTAGGTTCATTCTTAGGTTCTTCTTCCGTCAAGATATCAGATAGATCAACAGGCTCATAAGATAGTCTCCATGGAATGAATTCTGAGTCTTTGGATTCAGGAACGGAAATTTCTTCAGTAGTAAATTTGATACCCTCTTCAGCAGTTCCAGTTGCCTTCTCGGCTGGAATGACGAGAGGCACCCGAACCAATTTGTTGGCCACCTTGTTGGCATTTCCAAATTTGACGTTAACAAAGAAATCAGATCTCAATCTTTGAATCAAAGCACCACGTTCGGATACAAATTCGTGATAGGCAGATGGAACCTTCACCTCGGCATCGTAGTTATTTCTAATAATCTCAGAAAAGATTTTCTTCTCACAGGCCTCGATGTTAGCTGGGAGACCGGAAATTGTAACTTTACCATCTTTGGCACCCTTGTCAGGAACTTCTAATCTTACGCGGAACTCACTTTCCAGTTGACGACGAACAGAACCAGCAGGACCGATCAAGGCACCTTGTCTGTCTTTAGGAACATCAATTTCCTTGGTAACAGAATTTTCTCTTTCATCAATTATTGCCTTCACTTCCTTCACAAAGTGATCAACAAATGCTTTTGGACCTTGAACAACGATGTGCTTATCCTCAGAATCCGCGTTAGGAACTTCGACGGATTTGTTTCTGATCTCGTCACCACCGGCTTTGCTTATTAGGTCCTTCAAAACACGGCCGCCAGCGCCGACAATATCCTTGATGTAATTTGGATTGACTTCGAAGGATGTTGTGATGTTGTCAGAAGCTTCCTTGATAATTTCCTCAACTCTTTTTGTGGCCTCCTTTATTGCTTGTCTGGAACCGGTAATTTCCAATTCAACCTCTCCAGTCTCTTTCGCTTTAGCGTCGGAGGTCTTTTGCAAGAAATCCAACTCTACACCACTGTCTGCTCTTATGTCGTTGATCATGTCACCATTCTTACCGATAATTCTAGCAACATGTTCGGTTGGAACCTTCATAATAGACTTGTGGCCATTTTCGATTTCAAAATCTAGCAACGCCTTTAACTCATCATATGCCTTGCTAACCCCACGAGAAGGGCCTCTGATAGTTACTTTTTCACCTTCGCCCTCATTAGGGAAGTGGATGTGGACGCTGTATTTAGTTTGCAAACGGTTACGGTAAGCACCTTGTGATCCGATTAATCTACCGTGGAATTTCGATGGAACCAAAAGGTCCTTGGAAATAATATCGGCCCACTTCTTCGCTTCAGCAATGATGTAAGTCTTAGCGTGCTCGGCATTGTACAGAAGACCGACAACAGTGGCATCAGTTGTTGTTTCACCATCTTGTGCAATATCAATAGAACAGTTGAATTTTTCGCGGATAGCATTCAAATTGGCACCCTTTGTACCGATTAGTCTTGGAACAGAGTTAGATGGAACCCCAAAAGTGAGCTTTGATTTATCAGATGGGTTGGAAATGATAGAATCGATAGCCTTCGTGGCAATCGCAACCGCCTTGTCATCTCCTCTTAGAGATACTTGATTTGCAGTAGGGTTATGCATTTTGAATTGGACATGGCCACCTTCCACTGAAATCTCTTCGTCAATCAATTGACGGGTAGTGCAGGAAGGAGCGAACAGAGAGTCCTGAACCTCAGCGGAAATCTCGAAAGTCTTTGTGGACAAGCTGCTCTGCTTCTTGCGCAAGGTGTCCAGAGAGGAGTTGACTTCATCTAGGCCCTCTTTCAATTCCTCATCTGAGGGTCTGAAGTCCTCTTGTGAAACTTGAGCAATCAGTAGGATTGTGTCATCGCCAGGATAGTAATCTCCCAATTGCAAAAACCTGGCCTTTTGTTCCTGTTGTTCAAGAGTTTTCTTAATATCCTGGTGGAATAGGTCGTAGTCCAAGTCGGTGACAGCCAAGATTTGAGAAGTTGTTAGTTCATTGACCAAATTAATGACCTCCTTTCTAACATTCTTAAGATCTTCAGCAGCATCGGATTTGGCAGTAATTCTGACAAGAACACTATCAGCAACCTTCAATTCTTCTGGTGTTGGTAGAACGATCCGGACATCGGGGTATTTCTCTTTAATTTCATTCAAAACGTTATACTTTTCAAAGTACAAAGCAATGTTCTTGGCATGTGCGACATTCTTGCCATGAGCTTTTGAGATCTCTAGTGACTCAACAACATAGTGCTTTGATGATTCACGAGAGTGAGAAATCGCTTCCTCGATATCAGAACTCTTACCAATAAAAGAAACCTCTTCGTCAGTGGAACTGGAAGGAAATCTCACGATAACATTGAATTTGTCTTTAATTTCTTTGTTGTTAATTAGGAATTGGAATTTTACTGGAATTTTCACCTTCTTGGTCTTAATCTGAGAAGATAGACTCTCTAAGTACTGAAGAACAGTTGCCTTGGCGGCCTTCACAGCATCGCGATCACCAGATAAGACGATGTTGCCGTTCTCTTCGGAAAGACTGGTGATAACATCATCAGTCTTGATGTCATCTAGGTTAATAAATTGAGTTAATTCCTTATTCTGGACAGACACTTGAACAGATGCATTTTTCGTTTCTCTTTTAACAATAGCCAAGATCTTTTCCTCTGCTTGTTTGACAGATTCGAGGTCACCATGGATAGTGACCTCCACATTATAGTCATCTAGATCCTCATCAAATGAATCCTCGTTCACGTCCTTGGCGACGTTAATTTTTACGTCGAGAGGGCCCGAAATCTCACGAATAGTTTTACCTCCAGACCCGATAATGGCTGCTCTAGTTTTTGAAGGAACTTCGATGGTAGCGGTTATAGGTTTCGTCAATTTCTTGACAATGTCTCTTCTTGCTGTCTTAACCTTTTCGGGAGCACCTGAAATGAGGAACGTACGGCTTGTCTTGGACAATGTCGATTCGACCGAAACACCGTGCGCTTGTTTCACGGATTGGATGATACGGGAAAACTCGAGCTTTGACATGGACAATTGGGACTGAAGATCTAGGGAGAAAGCTTCTTGTATAGTCTTAGAACGAGCAGGCTTGGCGGAGGATAAGACGGACAATGGGGTTGGTGATGGCGATTGCGAAGCCGACTTAGAGGCAGCGGCAGAGTTCATGTTGGGACCCCAAGAAACCTTGCTTGCAGCAGCGTAAAAGGCACCCGAACCCAGAGCTGGGAAATCCTTCTTCGTAGGTAGTGGTTTCTGTACTACTTCTTCAGAAGCAGTCTGGGTGCCATCCTCAGCCGAAGTTTCTCCGACAGAGGTAGGGGGCGTTTCAAGTAGTGATTGCTCGTCAGCAACAGAAGCAGATGGTTCAGTAACAGGCGCGGACATAATGGATCAGGTGATAACAGGTAGCCAAAAACAGTAATCTCAGAGTTAGAAAGAGCAGAAAAGAAATTGGAAGAGCTTCAGTAACTCAGCAAAATCTATAGACTTTTTATTGATTGGGATTGTCACTACTCCCTAATTGGTGAATAAAATATCTTACTTAAAGATAAATTGGTATTGAATTAAAGGGAAGTTCGTGTGCTGTTCCTAAAATTTTTTTTCACTGAACGCGAACAAACGACAATAACCGTAAGCATGTGTCTGTGTCACGTGGTTTGGATCAAAGACTTTCCATGGGGTTTCTGATCGGACCCTACTGAGCCGAAAGGGTCCACAAAAGATGTAAATAGCCTCATGTCAAAAGATGTGAATAGCCTCATCTCAAAAGATGCAAATAGCTTTTAATCTCCAAATGAGCCTACCGCACATTACGCAAACAGTTAGCACTCAGGGGACTTTTGAGGTGTTTCTTCTTCCGATTGAACTACTTCATTTGCTGGAAATGGTAATTAATTGCTTGGAATCATCTCTTCCCATTGTTGAAATCTTGAGGTATCATAAAGAAGAAGCGAGTTATTAAGGACGAGAAGTTCTTTTCGAAGAGGGGATGGAATTCAACATCCTAGATTTGCCTTGTATGCACAATCTGACTATTAACAAAATCTCACTCGTAGATCCTACTATAAGAAGATATTAGTTTTCTGGCTCATTATGCACTAGCCGAAGTTATATTGGATAGGAAGTTTGAGGTGTATTTCTTGTGTTTCTGTCGCACGGTGCACAGGATGCGAAAACACTTTCCTAAAAAGGCTCAACTTGATTGTTCAAATTAGGAACTGAATTTTTATGGGTGTTAGGCGGAACTTTTCACAACCCGATCCAAACGTCGAATAGCGTCGATCCTGCTCTAACGAGCGGGCAGCATTAGCTGTAAAGAAAAAACCTTGAAAAGCTATTGTACATAAAATTTAAGAAACCGAAAGATGTATTTAATCATTTGAGAGCCATGACATTGGTGTCAAACTCGCCGATGACGTTACCGGCAGGACTGTAAGAGCAGATAACGTAGTTGCCCCATTCGTTACCACAGGCCTTGATACCACAACCAACCTGGGTTGAGGACTTCCACACAACTTGAGTGAAGTGGCCTGTAGAGGAGGAGTAGCCTGGGTTGGAGAAATCGTAGCTTGAAATCTCGCCGTACCAGGCGTCAACGGCACCAGTAGCAGAGTATCCCAAGGCCAAGTTCTCACCGTAAGGGCCGCCAGAGTGGACGAGGTTACCAGAACAGTCGTAGTTGTCAGCGTAGTTTTGGGCGTAGGTGGCCAGGGTATCGGACCAAGTTAGGTCGGAGGTGTCTTCGTGCAAGGCTCTCTTAGTGTTGTGTTCAGCCAAAATTGAAGAGGAAAAGTCGGAAGTGGCGCTACTTGAAGAGCTTGAAGAAGTCGAAGTAGACGAAGGGGTGGATGTACTGGAAGGAGCGGATGTGCTGGAAGGAGTGGATGTGGTGGAGGTGGAAGAGGCAACCGTAGAAGTTGTGCTAGGAGCCAAAGTGGTAGTAGCCTCCACGCTTGTAGCAGCAATGCTCTGCGACGCAGCACTCACAGAGTAAGAAGTCGAAGCGGCAGAGTAAGAAGCATCAGAGGAAGAGCTGGTGTCCACCTCGTAGTCTGCAACGGCACTCACGGCAACAGAACCGGTAGAGGCAGTCGAGTACGCAGAAGGAGTGGCGCTGCCAGAGTCGGAAGAGGTCGAAGTCGACGCACCCTGGTCAATGATCGTGGTCCAGGAAGTGGAAGCGACACCGTTCTCGACAACCACCATACCTTGAACAACTGCAGTGTGCTGTTGGTGGACGTGCTCAGTCACAGTCACAGTTGGGGCAGCGAGGGCGGTGGACGCGGCAGCTAGTAGGGACACTCTGGAGAACTTCATGTGGATAGAAAGGAATGTAGAAGTTTGTCTTTAAGAGAACGAATTGTCTGGGGAATTGAGGCAAAGTGGTCGTTTCAAATCGATACTACTGGCTCTTTATATTGTCCTGAAACTCGCAGACCTTCTAGATTCGGCAGTAAGAACCCAGTCCGATTCGGATCTGTCAATACTGGCAACGGAAAAATCGCGTACGACGCGAAAAAAAAGTTTATGTAATAATTCCACGCGTTCCACATTCCGAATGCTGGTCAATTGCGCTGTGCACAAAGCTGGTGCACTAGGAATGGTATTCCAGTGGTTCTTTAAGCTGGACTTCGCCACTGTTCTTCATAGCTAGCATGTCTAGCTCAGAGACATGAAGTTATGGTCTAGATTGTTTTGGTAGCCAACCAGAGGAGGCTGTACGATAATTGCCTATTACAGTAAATTGATTCACTTATTACATAACCATGAACGTGCTAAAGCGTATATCGGGAGCAATCTATATGCCTAAACGGGTATTAACATCACACTTGAAGCTCTTGAACACACCCAAATAGGTGTAGTTGGGCGTAATGATCACACTAACCGAGCGAAGATTTACCCCTTGTGCATATTCGATGCCTAGAACGACCTCGAGCTTAAGAAAAGAAAGTTAAATTATAGTTTCTTTTTACGTATAATATGCCCTCGTATAGCTTAGGTATATCACAACTTGGGCGTGTGGCGTAGTTGGTAGCGCGCTCCCTTAGCATGGGAGAGGTCTTCGGTTCGATTCCGGACTCGTCCATTTATTTTTTTGTTTTTTAAACTCTAAGTGGTGTTGGATCGGCCCAAAATGGCAATGGGAATGCTGGTGTTGTCAATGGAGAAGCCAGGCATGCATTTGGCGGGGTCAGAATGCTCTCAAACTTCGTCTGAATTCCTGTTTGTGGCTAAGCTCAGCGGCTACTCTTTTTTCCTGATTCGATTGTCGCACATTCGCCATACGGAATGCCCATTGTGCTTTGGCCTCAAACGGCTCGTGCTCTTGCAAATTCCCCCGATGTGGGAGTCCAGAGCAGCCATTGCACAAGCGGACGTGTTACCGGTGGTCTGAGAGTGCTCAAAGCCAGTGTCGCAGCCACCAGGTATCGCCAATTCGTGAAGTCTAGAGCTCTACATGGTTTTTGGCACAGCCCAGATACCTGTCGCTTTGCCGAATTTGGAATGCGAATCTAGAGCATATGATCGACTAGAGGAACAAAGTGCATTGTGCCCTGATCCTCGCTCGCAGATTTCGCCCACGTCACTCATACAGCCTTCGCTTTTGCCTTCTGGGTATAATGACAGTTTTTCGTTCCCTTCCGCAACACTGCTGCTGCTACTTGCGCAACAATCGCCCGATTCTAGGCTAAAAACCCGCACTCCAGCCCGCTACATTGCAATCCATCTTTGAGAACCTCATGCGCTCGCAATGAGAGTCTAATTGGATGTTTTAGCCATGAGTTGTGCTATTCGTCTCTCTTCTCTCTCTCGTGCTAAGATCTCCACGTAGGGTATCACATGGAGACCGCAATTTGCTGCGGGGTCACTTCGAACGCGGCGCGCGCTTTGGTTTTCGAACTCGGCGAGGGGTACAGTAGAATGATAGGTGCGTGGCAAATCGAGTGATTGTAAATACAACATACAAAGTAAGAAGAGGTTTATTTGGCAACCATTAAAAGGAAGTTAAACACAAAGCAGTGACTTATATGCAAGAAATTTACGTTCCTACTGGTGAAGATCATCAAAAAATCAAGTTAACGCTTGTGAAAGCGTCACAGCAAATTTCGGATGTGGTCAAATACTTGCATGGGATCCAAGACACATTTTCCGTTGAACTCGGAAGTTGTGAAACGATTACCGAAAATCTGAAGATCCGCTGTGTGTCACATCAACTTTGTAACAAGTGCCCGTTCTATATCGTGGAATTTGACGACGTCACCCACAGCTATGCGTTGTGGAAATCTGGGGGCGAATGGAAGTTGGGCGACGTGCTCGCGTCGTTGTATGCAGCACAATCGAACAAAAAGCAGGATATAAGCAGCCTAACGCCGGAGCTTCGTGCCAAACTGGATCCCAGACACAATTTTGATCTCATAATGAACTCCCTTGGAAAGCTCAGCGTTCGGTGGGAGTCTCTGGATATCGACAAGTTCATTAGTGAACTCGACCGCATAGTCACTAAAGAAGTAGATTCCACATGTGATGCAACGTTCTCCGAGGCTTTATCCCCTCTACATTATAAAAGTTTGATTACTATGGCCGTATTGAAGACCAAAGTAGAAAAAAGCAAAACGCAGCTACAGCAGGACTTAGCGCTTTACAACAGAAATATGTCTCAGAAAGAAGATCAAGAACCACAGCGCTCAGACACAGATACTCGAGAATCATCCGTACCTGCCTCATCGAGACCTTCTCCGGGCAGCGATTACGTTCTCTCCTCTGACCAATTAACCGCTAACTTCCAACAGCATTTCAAGTATTTGGCAGAAAGTTTTGAAACTTTCGATGTGAAGAAAAATTTACCAAGAACTGTCAAAGCATGGAAGGTCGGAAAAATTACCAGGAATGGAAAGGAAGCTTCCAAAAAAGTTATTGCATGATCAGTACAAAACATGTAGAGGATATCACAAACAGTTTTAAATAGCTTCTCTATATAATTCAAGAGCTTTGTCTCTACTTTCCTTTAAGTCAACAATCGGCTTCGGATACCCTTTGATATTCACGTGTGAGCCGCTCTCATGTAATAAATGCGGATTTGCCACATCTCTCAGCTCTGGAATCCAATTCTTGATGAATTTAGCCTTAGGATCGTACTTCTCGCTCTGCAACTTCATATTGAAAATACGGAAAAATGGCTGAGCATCAACTCCCGTGCTCGAGCAAAAGCCCCAACCCCCTGAGTTAGAGGACAAATCTGCATCAAGAAGATGCTTACGAAACCACCGTTCTCCCCATCGCCAGTCCACCAAGAGATTTTTGGTCAAAAAGGATGCAACTATCATGCGTGACCTATTATTGATATATCCCGTATGAAGAAGCTTTCTCATTATAGCGTCAACAATTGGCAATCCAGTCTCGCCAAGACACCACTTTCGATACTTCTCCTCATCATTTTCCCATCGTATGTCCATGGTTTCGAATTTGAAAGCAAGTTCCATTGACAAATATGGCCAGTTGCACATAACATGTCGGTAAAAATCTCTCCAGGCGACTTCCTTGATAAAGGTTTCCATTGAGTTATTTTGCTTAATATCCTTGTGCATTAAGCTATCATCGTTGGCATGAAAACAGCGATTAACCACGGTTCTGGTACTGATAAGTCCATTAGTTATATACACACTCAAATGAGACGTATTGTCCAAGGAAAGAATATCCTTTTTGTCGTTGTAATTTCCGATCTTCCCGCTCTCGATGAATTCTTCAAGTAACTTTAGCGCATCTTCCTCGTTTGCAGGCGGTACGTCTAATTTCGTGTCCTGGAGGTAGGATGTGAATTCTTTTGGCAGCCCATAGTCATCAGAATCAAAAGCTTTCAATTCCTTGTTCACCTTCGCATCTTTGGAGACAGTTTTGACATCGATAATGTCGTTTGATTTCTTATGAGTGTCCAAGTACTGAACCCATTTCTTGTACCAAGGTGTGAATACTGTGTATTGTGACCCTTTGCCAGTGGTGAGAGTTCCAGGTTCGACCACACATTGATCGTGATAAATTTGAAACGAGAATTTTTCATCTACTCGCTTAGATATTCTCAAATCGCGATCAATTTCATCATACTCATACTGAGCATTTGTGGTAACCAAAGTACTGCTGTTCTTAGACAATGACAAGCACACGGATTTGAACCAGTCTGCGAACTCATTGGTATTGGACAGCTTACGTTCTTTATGATTGAAGATCTTTACGACTAGAGGAACATTCATAAGGGCTAGACTCTTCCTAAGGTTAGCCACGGCGTTGAGTATAAATTTCAGTTTCCAGCCGCTTTCCAAATGAGCCCTCCAATCATCTTCATTGATGACAAAGAGCGCAACAAGATCCGCCCCTTTGTTTGCCTTTCTTGCTGTCTCTAAATGTTTTAGAGCATTCGACAATGCGGAGTTGTCTTGAACTCTCAAATCACATCTAAACCAATGAACAACGGTTTCCAATTGTGAATTCATTTTCTGTTTTCCTGAAATGAAAGCGTTGAGTAGCGTTATTGGTTTACTTCTTTTGCCATTATTGAAGTTATTCGCATCTTTCCAACTAATAGGGTTAGGGTAATACAGAGGGTTAGGTTGGTAGTACTCTTTGAAGTTTTCAGAGGGCTTCGCCTTCTTTACCGCGGATGAACCTGCTGATAAGCGACGTTTCATTTGGTAGTTGGCTTCATGGTATTTTGGGATTGAAGGAATTTAAGAGCAATTATATATCTTTGTTGTTCTGAAAAGTGCAATCAATTCAGAATTGTGACGTCACGAGAACACCAGAATAACAACAAGTACCCAATGATGAAAATATTATCAATTAACAAACGCTGCGCCAACTAAATCTCAAAATCGAAATAACTGGTTCTAAATACTTCTTCCATGGTACTATGTGCTATCAGTGTCATGTATGGGACGTCATCATTGGAGACGGATTACCAAAATTTTTAATCAATAACCTTGAATAGTTGTAAACATAAATTGTAGTCAATTGCGCCGCAAGGACAGAGAAGTGGATTCCTTTCGAACAATGTACAAACTCCAGGTGGTCTTAGTACCTCCGAATAGCTTTGATGGGCCGCTTGTTCCTCCAATTCTCTCTGCCACTGCAGAAAACTCTCAACTACTGCCCACAAAAATTCCAGGAAATGCATCAAGCATTGCAGGTGCTACTCGGCCAGATGGCCTTATCGCTGGAAACTCGAACAACAATCTTTTCATGTCAAGTTTTCTTTCAAGCCATATTCCTCAACCCAAATTCAAGAAGTTTCTCCACTTCACAAAACCTTCAAATACACTTCTTGTCTTAGCTGAAGAGATCGTTGCAAAATGTAACAAAATTTATCCCAACCTGAAAGAAGAAGTGGAAATCGTAACGTTACAGGACGTCAATGAATGTGATTTAGATCCTGATTTCATCGTGAAAGACGTCTTTAATGCTGATAACGTAGTCCGTGCTATTTTAAGAGACGAGATAGACACTTCCAATGAAGAAATGCACTCCCTTTATGCTTCGAAAAGAAGGAAACTTAACAATTCTGCTTCAGTGGTGTCAAATCAGCAAAATGTTCTTCATATCGCGAAGAAACGCCCCCACATTCTCAAAAATTCAGCAATGCGCATTTCCACACCGCTGGCAAATCAAATCTATCCACCTCCGGGGGGGGCTCAAATTAATTCGGATTACGAGGATGATGAAGTTGGTGATAGATCTGTCCTTCCCCCACCTCAACCGCAGTCTCCACCAATACGAATTAGCTCTGGAATTGATCACAATAAGAAAATGAATTTCAATGAAGACGCTGTGTCGAAGTCAGAAACTGTTGACCCAGACAAATCTAGGCAGCATCGTCTATCTTCTGGTACACCAATGAGACAGACAGGTAATAATACAACCACGACTCCTAATAGAATAGTACTTACAGGTCAACGTGTTGTTACAGAACCAAGTGTTGGAAACAGAAGCTTGGCGAGCCCTATAACTACAAATAAGAGGATAACCTCTGGTATGTTACGCATACCTGAGCCTAAGATATCGGAAGTTGAGGAAGAACTGAAAGAAGGGCCTGCAAGCCCATCTGCGGAACTACCATCTCGACCTGAGCGCATACCAATGAAAAAGCAATATATCCCACAATCTGAGGAGGATCAAAGTGGTAGCTCTTCTAGCGAAGACAATGCTAACGATGCAGCAGCTTTGAGGATACACTCAGATGGCTTAGGGTTAAAGTCACCTTCTGCGGCTCGTCAAACTTCGATTGCGGATAATAACGGGTCGCCAATTAAAGAGGGTGTGAAATTAGGGGACGTGAGCTTAGCAGAACTACCCAATTCTCAGAAAAAGGCTCAACGTAAGTCATCACTTGAAAGTAAAGTCGAATCATTGGTAAAAAACGCCGCTAGCCTTTCGGAGTCGGCAAGAGAATCGGGAGTAAAAGTTCATGAAGAACAAGTTCCTGTTAACCACAAAGATTCCTTTTCTGATGAGGAAGATGATGCTGATGAAGAAGGTCAGTTTCAGCAAGACCCAAATGACACAGTTCGCGTTAATCATGTGGATGGCGGAAGTTCTAGTTTTCAAAAATCTGAACTGTTATCGATGTTAAAAGGGAACAAATTCGAGATCCCGCTTAATTTCAATGAAGGGCCCAAGAACGCTGCGAATGATTCAATAAATCAGCGAGTACAGAGGAATGCTGCAAAAAAGGCAGCTGAATTACTGTCTTCAGGAAAATCGAGAACTGAGCAATCATCATCAAGTAGTAGCTATGAATCGAGCGATATTGAAACAGATTTGAGTGAAGCTGAAAATGATCGTATTTTAGTTCTCGAAAACCATGCTTTAAGAAAGCTTAATATACATCCATTGAAGGAACGCGTGATTGGAAATGAAGATAATCACGAAGACTTATCAGATAAAAAGACATCACAACCACTAAGTAGTGATGAGCAATCTACACAATCTCCCAGAAAAGAGGACTTAGACTTGAAAGTCGTACCTGTCTCTGAGAAGCTTGCCGACGCCAATATATCCGCCTTGAATAGTGACAACGTTACCGACAATGCAGATTATGCTGTGGAAACTGCAGAGGGAGGAAAGGCATCTAACTCTGTCCACCAAAACTCTCCTTCGAGGGATGAAATTTCTTCGAAATTAATGAGAGCCATATCTCCGGCCCCCGCGGACAAAGCAAAGATATATCAAACTCCAGAATTCGTTGAAGATTCGGATGACGAAAATGAAAAGCAAGTGAATACGGTATCAAAGAGTTTAGAAAAGAAACTGCCACCATCAGTACTTAAACGAAAAGAAGAGGCTGAGAAAAGACGTAAAGAGAGGGAAGCACTCAAGAAGGCCAAAGAGGAAGAGCTGGCCAAGAAAAAGGCAGATCGAGAAGCCAAAAAACAGGCGAAAGAAAGAGAACTCGCTTTAAAAAAAGCTGAACGTGCAGCTAAAAAGAAAGCGAGGGAAGAGGAAACTTTGAAGCGAAAAGCTGAGAGGGACGCAAAGCAAAATGGAAAGAGTGTCAAGAAAGCCAAATCTAAATCGCTAGACAGTTCGCAGTCACCAGAATTAAAACAATTAGATGAGCCTGAAAAGCCAACCGGTGCGCTGGAGGAAATGGTCCTTAAAGAGCCTTCCGAAAATAATGCTAGTCATACTACTGGCAAAGTAGCAAAAGCGCAATCTTTTACAAAATCTGAAGCTGGTAACTTCAAAGAACCAAATAGGCCAGCGGATGAAGCGCGAAAAGTTAATATAAATGCAGCACCTGATCCTGACCAAATTGCACAGTACTTTACTACCGCCGGGAAGAAAAGCAAAGGTGAAATTGCTAATCAAAAGGAAAATGGTGAGCCAGAATTGGCAACGCCGGCCTCAAAACTTGAAACTTTGAAATCTAAGTTTTCCACCGTCACTTTTCCAAAAAGCCGAGTGACAAAATCGTCACCGAATAGAGACGCAAATAAGACATTGACTTTGCCTGAAAATGAATCAAGCTCCGATGTCTCAGATGAACCTGATTCATCTGGAGAAAACGATTCTTCAGGAGACTCTTCTGAGGAGGAAACTTCTATGAACAAAAAACTGCGGAGAGGAATTGTTGATACACCCCGAGGAGTCATCGCGTCAGTTTCAAACAATATTAGTGAGAAAGATGTTTCAGCGATTGAAATTGCTCCACAATCAACACAGAAACCTTTTAGTGATTCAGCGGAGCCAACACCTGCGAAGGTGCCAGTGACAAGAATGATGGAACTCTCTTCTCCAGCAAACACTTCCAAAAGTAGAAAAGCTGAACAGAGTCCGACCAGAAAAGATCCAAAGCCAGGTAGGTCATTGAGCTCTCTGTCCGACCTCGTTTCTCGTGGTGTGCCAGAGGTAAAAGATGGTAAAGTTGAGAAGGCAACGATTCCTCGAGGGCATCCGAATGAACTTGATAGTTCAAGTGAAGAGGATGAGCATAGTGACGATGAAAGTGAAGAAGAAAGTGATGAGAGTGAAAGTAGTGACTCCTCTGATGATGAAGGATCTTCTACTTTTATTAGCGCAAAATCGGCAAGTAAGGCGTTAGGGAGGAAGAAGAAGTCGAACAGCGGCTTCGCATCGCTCGTCAAGGATTCAAAGAAACGCTAAATAACTAGCGTCTTGTAAATCATTGGCATCGATTTTCAAGTAGACAGGGTTTCGATATTATTTTTAACGAAGATTACCCAGATGTTTTTACAGAATTCAAGGTCATGCATGTTATGCAAATATGTGAGCAAATAATTAAAAGTATAGAGAGCTAATCACACCTCGCCCATTTTACTATTACCCTTTATGAAGTTTATAGCATCCTGTTGACTCACCTCGCTTATTGTTGAAATCTTATTTTCATACTTGACGCGATAAAACTGATCAGCAGCTCGTAGCATGTCCGTTCGGAACGTGGTGCAAATAAACTGTGCCTCAGCCGAAAGTTCCCTTATAACATTTGCAACTGCTGTACGATATTGCTTGTCTAGAGCTGCGTCAATTTCATCGAACAGATAAAAGGGAGCAGGATCAACCATTTGAATTGCAAGAATCAAAGCGATAGCACAGACAGTTTTTTGGCCACCAGATAGCTGTTCCACATAAAGTTGCTCATTGTCTTTAGAGTTGAATGAAACTGCGATCGAAACACCGCTATAAATCGAGTCAATCGAGTCATCTGCAACATACGTAGCAGCAGCAACTTTTTTACTCTTTTTTTTCTTCGCATTTTTGGCAGATGATTCGTCTTGACGGTGAATTATTAGCTTCCCTAAACCATTAGGTACAAGCTTTCCGAACACTGTATTGAAATTTTCGGCTACTTGTCGAAATGTTGTTTCTACTCCCTGAACCTTCTGCTTCTTCAAGGACTCGATTAAGTTTTCAATTGACTCCTTAGAGGCGGTTAACTCATTGGCTCTCTGTACTAAATCCTCTTTCTTTTCGTTGAAACGTTTAAAATTGTCGATGGCCCTTTTGTTGATATTTTTCATCTTAGATATCCCTTCACTTACAGAATTCAGTCTCTGCACGATATTCTCACTGGGTAAGTCTTTGTATTTTACCAGTGAATCCTCGGCCAGCAGACCAATTTCACTGACCTTTTGCTGCAGCTCATCACGTCTTGCTGATAAAGTCATCTTCTTCACAATCGATTTTTCAGCATCTTTTCGATAATTCTCTAATTTTTTTAACAACAGACGCTGTTGATCGTTTGCTTTATCTAAGATTTTTTCATTGTTTGCCTTCTCTACTTTTAGCGCATCAATTTGACTCATTATCGCATTCAAGGATGTCTTGATTTCCTTACACCTGGAATCCTCTTTCTCTAGTTCAATGGATGTCCTATTGTGATCCTCTTTTAATTCTTGGTTCTCAATGCTCAATTTCTCAGAGATCCTTGTTTCTAGTTCATGCATTTGCGGTTGAAGCTTTAATTCGAGTTCAGCTTTCAAAGAGTCGATTCTAGTCACTAGTCCGCTAAGTGATTCAGTCGTGGCGCTAAGCATTTCTTGGTGCTTATTGATACTCTTCGTCAGGAAGTTAAGTTCCTCTTTCTCATCGACTGAGAGCTCATTATCAAATGGTTTTGTCAGATCATTTTTTAAGCGATTGAGTTTTTCTTCGTTGTCCTTCAAAGATGAGACAAGCTTTTGGGATTTCGAATTTAACGACATCAACGTTTCATTCTTGATAGCTGATTCAGTCTTTCTTTTATTCAACTTTATTCTCAAAGTCTCTGAAGACGTTAGTATTGCTTCTTTTTTCATTGTGCTTTGCTTGATCTTGTTGTTGATCTCGTCAACATCAAAATCAACCTGTTCCAACTGCTTCCTTAAGATACTTAACTCTTCGGATGTGGTCGAATACTGACTTCTAGCAACATTTATGTCGTTTAAGCAGTCAAGCCTAGATCTTTTGAGATGATCGTGATAGCCACCGGTAATGACCCCTCGCTTATCCGCTCGATCACCATCCAAAGTGACGGCGTCCAAATTGTATTTTCTAGCAAGTAGAGAACCTGACCCAAGGTCACGTACGACAATGGTTTTTCCAAAAACATGTTTCACAGCAACTTCGAACTTTTTGTCGTATTTAATTTTCCATAACAATGGGGTACATTCGCTTTGAGCGTTCGGTGGATATTGTATTCTTTTATCATCATGAATCCTATTCAAAGGGATAAATGTTACCCTTCCTGCCTTACTTTTATAGAGCTCTTCCATCAGAATACTCGCTGTTTCATCATTGTCAACTACTATGTTAAATAGGGAATTTCCTCCAACAACCTCCGCACAAGCTTTGTATTTTTCATTAACTTTAATAAGTTCACCTAAAGTACCACAAACGGAATCTTTTGGAAGCTTGAGACGCTCGGCAATTTCTTTGACGGCTTTAAGTCCGTTCGCTAGATTCCTATCCATTAATTCTCCCAGTTGTCTTTCTGATCTCTTAACATCATCTAGAAAGGTTTCTGAGATTGTTTGGAGTTTCTGTTCAGACCTCCAAAGCTCTTTACGTTCGTCAATTCTCTCAAAATAAGATTGTTTGAGTGTGTCAATTTCATTTTGAAGATCTTCGAGCTCTGCTCTCACTCCGGGCCCTTCAATTGAATCGTAGAGCTCCTCTGTTTCTTTCTCCAAATTACTTATTTGATCTTCCAGTTGAGTTATTTCATCTGTGTATTTGAGATGGCTACTCTTTAAATCTTCCATCTCTTTTGTAACAGAAGAAATCTCGTTATTCAACCAGTTATCTCTTTCTTCTTGGTTTTTGAAGTTTGCGTAAATGCCCCTTTTAGACAGTATTTCTCGCTGTCTTCTCTGAAATCCGGATAAATCGAGTTTATACTTACTCTTTTCCTCTGTGAGTTCCTCGAATCTGGGAATGATGCGTTGCAATTGCTTTTGTTTTTTGTCAATTTCCTCCTTTAGTATTGTAAAATTCTCTTTGTCAGTGTGAGATTGCTCAGCGACTCTATGTAATTGCCGTTGAACCTCCTCATGATGAACATTCAACTCAGCTCTCTTCTTAGCAGCCTCAGTATATCTGGCCTTTTCTTGTTCTAAGTCGGTTAACTCTTTAATGTTTAGCTCAGCTTCAATACTCTTTATGTTCTTTGTGACATTCATTATTAGTGTTTCCCTTTTTTCCAGTTCCTCGATGTACTCTCCTGAGGAGTGCAAAGTACTGTTATATTCACCATCCAGTTTCTCTATTTCATTAGTTACCTCATCTAGCTCGCGGTCATAAAGAATAAACTGAAAACTCTTACGGTCGCGTTCCAACTCCCTGTACTTCTCGAGATCTCTGCGTTCCTCATCTAGTTCATTTAATCTTTCTTCCAGTTCTTCCAATTCTTTATTAATCTTCATTCGGTCTTTGTTAGTTGCTTCCATTTTCTTCAGAGACTCGCGTAGCTTAATTTCAAATGTTTTTGCTCCCACGACCTCTTCCAATAGCGCCAGCCGTTCCCTGTCTTTAGCATTGGTAACTGCAACGATTCGGCCTTGCGGTACAATATTGTAAGGATTAGAAGAAGAAAATCCAACACTCTCCAAAGTTCTTGCGACGTCACTTTTATGGCATGTTTTGCCATTAAGTGAATATTCATCTTTTTTCAGGCCAATAGTTCTTCTGATTTTGACTATTTTGGAATCATTCGAAGGAATGCCAGAGGACAGTAGCATTCTTCCTTCAGGATCATGAAATACTATTTCAACATATGCACTCATTATCGAGCCAGTCCCCTGATGTATGAGACCCTGCCTTTCCTCTCTCTTGAGGTTATTATAGTCATCACTCAGCACAAATCTAATAGCGGCAAAGAAATTGGATTTACCGGATCCATTACTACCGACAACAACGTTGAATCGTGGAGAGAAGTTCTCTACGATAGTGGTATTCTTGTAGGTCTTGAAGCCCTGAATCGTCACGCTTTTGAGATACATTTTCCTGGCTCACAGTCTTGCAATGAGTAAAATGTTTCAATGAGGACGCGTTATCTGTTTTTTTCCAAAAAATCGACGCGTTTCATATCAACAAAAAAATGGTTGCTAAGAGATTCGAACTCTTGCATCTTACGATACCTGAGTGCTCCGTCCTGGGGACGTTAAGAGTGACTCTTGAATCAGGCGCCTTAGACCGCTCGGCCAAACAACCTATTGATATGAGATAGTTGAAAATCTGATCAATATAGCGATTTCTTGCTTCACATGTTACACCATTGCTAATGCGTGTAGTCATTTATGCGTGATAGGTAAGGGATATAAAATGTATTTGGAGCAGTGTGCTCATTAACATTGCTGATATTAGCATCTTTGGTTCCACATTTGATTTTTTCTTATGGATTATTTGTTTATCTTTTTCTTTTGGACATTGAATTTACAAACTTTGAAATTGAAAACTGACCGTGATGTGCAATCTTTTATTTACTAAACAAAAAATATCTATTTATCTTCTAGGGAATGTAAAGCTTATCATTTGAGCTCGCAGTAATCTATTTTCTAATGAAGCCAAATAAATTGGATTTTATCATTGAGCCCATCTTAAAACGCTCATGGCCGCACTCACAACAATGATGCTCACAGGCAATGTCAAAACGACATAACCCCAGAACAGCACACTAGCCATTTCATTTTCGAAAAACTCATTCAATTGAGTAATTTGAGTTAGCTGAATAGCAGGGGGCGATACAGTAAGAATGAAGCCCACAACCAAAAATATTGGGTCATCTAGAATGCTGACCTTGATATATTTGACACAGAGTGCGATAATGGGAAGCAAAAAGCAAGATGGCAAAATCATCCGACCTACAATGGACCCAAGAATCAACTTCTTATGATTGTGTGACATTGGAGGCGTGTCTTGCGAGGGATGCAAATTAGACCCCAGAACTATCAAAATAAGCGGAATTGAAATAGAGCCTAATTCAACCACAGCCTCAGTTAAGGTGTTATTGATGAATCCGTCCTTGCTGAAAAATTCGTGCTGAATTGGATGAATAGAAGCAACAATGACACTAAACAACATGGAATACAAGGGTGGGTTCATAATGGATCTGAACTTATTGAAAATGCTCATAAAAGTAGTCCTAATCTTATGCAAAGAAGCGTTCGTCTGTCCGGATGATTGTGTCAAAGTTTCCAACTCCTCCGACTCTGTTTCTGGACCTCTTAGTTGCCCAGCTTCCAATCTACGGGGATGCCCTCTATCACCAGACCATCTCATAAGAGTATTAAAACCATACGACCATCTCAACACATGTCCGATTTGCTGAAAGATAAGTAGGTACAAAATACCCCTACTGGCGACGTTGTCCCTATTGTCGTTAGGAATCTGATCCCATACGAGATCTGGCAGCGTATAGGCTAATGAAAGAGTCAAAGACACAGGTAGGGAATTGCTGTTCCCAAATATAGAATTTGCCACCACAAAGTTCGACTCATCCTTATCAAGTTTCAAAATGCGACTCATAATTTTACCCGATAAAAAGGATATGCTTGTAGAAACTGCATAGAAGATTGGAATAACAGCAATCTCTAGAATCTTGGCAAGAGATAAGCTCTTGGCCAACTTGCTAAAAATCAGACATGGTGTAAAAAGATCCACGTTCAACAGGGAGATGATCTTCTGACCCTGCTTAGGGAGTAGCCCGGTATAAGCACACCAAAAACCGGCAAACGAAACAATCACAACCTCAAGTACCGACTCAAATGTCAGGTACGCAATGTTCCAGAACGAAAGTCCAGGAGCAACCGCCATTAAATTCAGTACAGTATAAGTTGCTGAAAATGAAAGGTGCAATCTACAAAAAATCCTTGTATGAGGGCGCAGTGACAAAAAAGTTTAGATAGAGCACGTGTTAAGAAGCTTCTTTCAGAATGCTTTTCTGCAGTGAAAGAGGAATACAGATCACCATGTTTTCCCTTTCATGAATTTATTTAAATCGCTATAATCATACGTAGATCTGTATCTTGAATTCATAGTGTCCTGTCTTTTATTGTATCTATTTATTTGTATGTCAAACGGTACGCAGAAGGACGACATATATTATTTTTCAGTTCAATATCGAGGAACATATTTTCTTCTTAACCAGCCAAATGTTCCCTGCTGTCCTTTTTGGTGTCTTAGTCACTATTGTAGGCTGTCTTGCTGAGTGTGATATAGCAGGATTAGCACTTGTTGCCAAGGATCTAAAGTTCGATGCTAAGGCCCTAAAAACTTGCCAATATTTAGTTGGGAAGCTGGTTGGCTGTGACGAGGAGGAAGCACAAGAGCTGAGAAATAGACTCTTGTACAAGTCAGGTTTGATCGAACTCTCTTTAGGCCAAGAAATGGCAGCAATTGAGAGTTTCGAGGCTATACCCACTGCTCTCGGAAGTGGCATTTCCTCCTTGGCGCACCAAAGACTTCACGAGCTTTACCAAAATTATGGGATGTGGGATAAATTGCCGAGAGATGATAATCGCAAGAAATTTGAATATTTGAAAGGTGCCTCTTTGCGTGATCTGTCATCTGGAAAGCTTCCTCCTCTAGCAGATGTAGAGCAAATGATCGAAATGTCGCCTTGGCAAGGAGAAGCTCGAATATTGGAAAATGACATCTTTTATGACAGGCTTGCAGAATCCAATGACATAAATTCTGCACAAAGTATAATTAGCAACTACGAAGTGATTTTGAACAAGCATAGGAAAAGCTTGAGCATAAACGATAAATTAAAGATACACTACGCCATCACTGTGTTACAACTTTTCGTGATCTCCACCCCTCCTTCGCATTTAAAAAAGTGCTTGAATTTGGATATGGACTATTTGCCCTGTAGGCAGCTTTCCAAAATTGCAAGCAGCATTAATAAGGTTAACCCACCGCATTCCGCAATTTTGCATGCTGATGGATACTTCAGCTCAACAAATATCGACTGGAACAGAGTTCTTGAATTTTATTTGAATAGTCCTCCCTCCATTGAGACGGAGGAATCCTTTGAAAATAATCTTGATCTCATCAATCATTTAGCCGGACAACACGTTATGAATATTTTGAACGATAGGCCATTATCTGCATTAAAGACTATTCTAGTCAAGGCGCCCCCGATCACAGATTTCAACATCAAAGTGAATCTCATCTTGTGTGAAGCTTTGGATATATTGTCTACACCAGAAAGTTCCAAACAATTTTGTGACTTGGCTATGCTTGAAGTGTTACCAAAAGATGAAAGAAAGTCATTGATTGACTTTCCAAGAAACTTGCGTGACAAAGACCTTGTGAAAGACGTTCTGGAAAAATTGTGGAGGGATTTTCCTCATTTAGCAGCCCATGCAGTAAATTATATCAGCAGCTCTTTGTCCACAAGGGCAAAACGTGTTAAGGAAGATGGAGATACAGCAGTCGCTTGGCAGCTTATAGAATCGTTTGTGAATGAGCACAACTGGAATAAATCACCTAACAAATACCTGGATGCAATTGCTACAAACATAACAAAATTTACTCACAAGAAGAGGCAGGAGAGGCAGCAAAAGTATTTTCAACAACAAGGCCAACAAAGTAGGTGGCAAAAACAGCAGCACTATAAAAACCAGATGGCCCCAAAGGCGTCTGCAAATAAGGATTACTACAAGATTTTAGGTGTCTCAAGACAGGCAGATACTAAAGAGATAAGAAAAGCATATTTGTCATTGACAAAAAAATACCATCCAGACAAACAAGGTCAATTGTCCGAAGCACAACAATTAAGAAATCAAGAAAAGATGTCGGAAATTAATGAGGCATATGAAACACTGAGTGACGAATCGAAGCGAAAGGAGTATAACGACCAGAGAAGGTCGCCTGGCCCTAACAATAGACAGCAATTTCAACATCAGAATCCATTCGATTTTAGTAATGGATTCAAAGTAAACTTTGGGTTCCAGCGCCAGAGACGTCCAGCTGGTCACTGAGATGAGTATTTTAGGCATCAGCGACATTCGACACTAAACTTGCATTTCCCGATCAGAGGTTAAACGTGGAACTTTTTTTATGAATAGTACTTTAAGCTATACATACTCATCACGATAGCGCTTTTACATAAACATACTGTCCATGCACAGACTCTTGAAATGGTAATTATCTAAGCAATTAAGCTACCACCCTTATATTTGTACTCATAAGGAGCGTCAGTGTTCTTCAACGCAACAGTCTCATTCACATCTCTCTCTGGGAAGCCCTCTAAGGATTTAGCGTAAGTAGCAACGGAATAAGCAATCAATTTAGTATTGGTTAAAAATGCATCAAATGCTAAATTGGATACATCGTCGCACAAATCGTGATAACATTTGTCAAATGCCTCACCATTTTCCTTATTGACGCCCTCAGCACCGGTAGCTATACCTCCAGCTGGAATGCCATTTTTGATGAAAGCGACATAGTCTGATCTTCCATCGAATGGAATCAAAGTGTAATTGAGATTATTGTTGACATAGTAATTGATGTAGAGATCCTTCAACTCCTCGGAGCCTCTTGGATTATCGACATTATTAGCATCATATATTTGGTATTGATAGTTGGGAGATGCCATCATGTCATAGTCCATGAACAAGCGAATCTTGTAGTTTTCCTCAGGACTCAATTCTTTCACGTATCTGTTGGAACCTAACAATCCCTCTTCCTCTGCAGACCAGAATGCGAAACGAACCTTATTTTTGATTTTGTAGTTCGACAAATGCTTGGCGACTGTTAATAGGGAGGCTGTCCCTGAACCGTCATCATTGATTCCAGGACCGTTGGCAACAGAATCAGAGTGAGCACCTAGCGCCACAATGTTATCAGGGTCACCATGCTTGGTGTCAGCGATAATGTTCTTCGTCTTGATTCTCTTGACATATGAGTCCATTGAGAAGACCAGGGCGAAGTCATGGTCCCTTTCGATACTGGCCACCAATTTTTGACCATCTGCATAAGAAACCCCGATTGTAGAGACCGTATGCTTCTTTGGTTTTTCCAAAGTGCCACTAACACCTTTCTTAGAGTGAGGGTCGTTGTCATAGATGACAACGGCCTTAAAGCCGTGCTTACCTGCCAGCTCACTCTTGAGCCCGAATGGACATTCACCCCTCTCAATGAGTGCGATGCTGTCTTCGCCGATTTCGAGAGCCTTAAAATCTGCGTCGGAGCAACCCAAATTAGGGATTTCAACCAATTTACCCAAAAAGGTCTCAACTGGGGGTGAAAGACTGAAGGGCTGGGCACTTGAAACTTGCTTTCCATCAGGATACGTTAGGTTGTAAGACTTAACTTCGCCCGTGAGCGCCTTAAAAGACTCAACAGAAATGTCGTAGTAGTCCCTCATGTCATCGAACTGCTTCAAAATGTATCTGATAGTGTTCCAGTGACCGGGCGAGCCAATCACCCTAGTGGGATGGCCGAAGGTGTTATTAGAGGTCTCGGCCACATCCAGTAAGTCCCAAGCTGTAGCATTCAATTCTTCAATTGTGATGTCTTCGGGAAACTTCTCCGGGTCAACGAGATGTTTCAAGAAGTAAGGTAAGTGGGGCTTTGGAAATAACGCCTGTTCCCCTGGTAACTCATCCACAGTGAATACATTGAGAAAATTTTGTGGAAGCACGAAGGCATTAGCACACATTGCGCCCGCGCCAACCAATAGTGAAAGCTTCATTTTCTTACTTGAAGCTATTAACGATGACTTAGGGAGCGGATAGATACGATGCAATTGCGCTTGCTCTTTTTTATACGCTGCCTTCGTAGACGGCAACAATGTCTTTGTTGGCAGGGGCAACGGGACGGAAAAGCAAGTAAACCCAAGTTTCCCCCCTTGAAGTATCGCTGCTTCAGGAAGCTGCCTATTTTAAGTGCGAGTCAATTACTTAATATTGTGATGGTCTCAAATATGTTTGCTAATCGCCTCAAAGAAAGCAGCGAACGGCGATACACGAGTGGGGTTTCTGGCTCGTCGCTCAGTTCATGCATACCATCCGCACCTTAGAGCAATATTTACTTTCCGCTTGTGCTTTAAGACCGAACCGAGACCCTGACACCAATCGACATTTACAGATTCTACATTTATTTATGTTGTTGTGACTTGGCTCCAATTCGTAGCTTGCACGTTCAGCTTGAAATACGCACATGCGTGCTACAGCAATTAGAGCATTCTTGTAGTTTCAACGACAGTTTCGCAGAGTTGTTTGTGTACGATAGTCGTCAAGAATTAGCTTCGTCGTAGCGAGAAGGCACGTGTAAAGGGGTCTAGCGTACATCACCGTCATCTGCCATCGATGCACGCATCGAACAGGTTAATTGGCAATGTAACTCGAAGCAATGGCTCTTAATGGGAAGCAAAGGCATTCTAAATTCAATATATCGTTATTTTAGTACATAATCTTACACCACGTTGCGGCCAAGGTCACGAACGGTAGGCCTACGAACGGTAGGTAGTAATCTGACTTCGATCGCAGTCGGTTAAAAGCATATCCCAGGGCCTGCATCTGCACTGGTTCTACAAGAATTCACGTCATGTGCTTGTTAAATTTGACCCGGCGATTCTCAACCTTCTCTTGGCGGTGTCTCTTGTCGTCGAATTGCAATTGCAACGACTCGTTCATGCACTCGTCCTCATATTCCACCACGTGGAGTGGACCGCGCGCCCTACCTGAGCTCAATGGTGCGTGGCGGATGTTGTCAAGCTTTTGAGCTAGACGATCGCGTTTGTGGGAACCTCCCGACTCGCTGTCCCGACGAGTCCAGGCTTTTGCCATTTCCCAGGCGCTCACGTCTACCTCTGATGGGTCTTCCATGTATATCTCGTAGTTTTTCTGTTTCTTAGGTTTTTGACCACTGCTCTTGTAAACATACACATAGTCCAGATCTCCATCCTCGACCACTAAATCGTTAACTTCCACCGTAGTTGACTTATCATCTTTCTTCCTTTTGAACAACCTGCTGAAAAAAGACATTGAATTTCAGAACACTCCTAGTTTTGGTGTTGCACACCAATAAGTGAGTATGGTGTTGCTCTTTCGGCCCCTTTTGTAAACCTCTCCGTTTATTTATATCACTCAACACCATCACGTGGACGCGTCAACCTTGCTGAACTTTCGGCCCCCCTAAAATTTGTGACGCGTTCCGGCGATAACGCCTATCATGCTCGATAAATACTCGGATAAGAGATTTTAGATTTGCCGAGTAATGAGTAGTTGAAGAGCGTATGAGATAGAAATAGGTAAGATTAAATTGGTGATAGCTTAAGCATTATCATTTAAGTTCTTATTGGCTCCTCGATGGCAACTGAAATTTCGAATGAAGTTTCTTCGAGCCCGAAAACATGTGACTGATAACTACATGATTGACAATGGGACGCGTGGAAAAGCCCCTTCAAACCAGGTAAGATTATAGCTCAATTCTTTGGAGAACGAAAAGTAAATACACGTCGTACGCAAAATGTACGCATCTGAGCAAAGGCACTTATCGTGGAAGAAGGTGTAGAAACTCGTAGGAGAGATTCGGTACTCATTTCCCTTACTCACAAGTATATCTGTGGCCGGATATTTTGTGCTGGTAGTGAAAGAGAAAGGAGCTCAGAACAGGCATTAGGGTCGGTCAAAATACATCTTCGTCGTCTTGGTCTGTAGTCAGGCTCGAATGAACTTGTTTGAGTTTGTTCATCACCCCAAGAATGAATGGGCGTAATTCGTTTATTTCGAGTAAGCTCAAGTTGTCCAGCTGTAAATGGGACTCATTGAGTTGTTTTAAGCCCTGGGAAATCTTGCTGAGACGGATTTCCCTCAAGTCCTGCACTATCCCTCGCAGAACATGCACTGGGTCATGGAGGTCATCTGCTGCTTTGATAAACAGCAATTGCGCCACGACCAGCCAATTCCAGGGCAAATCGCTGAAGCGTTCTGGGTGCTTGCGTTCATAGTCGGTGTATTTTTGTAATTGTCTTGCAGTCAACCATGACGGTGCGACGATGCTGCACTTTCCTTGCTGCTTCAAAAGCAAAGCAACCCATAACGCAACTTCAGTAGTTTGCATCGCCACTAGATTGTTCAAAGGTTCATCATCTGCTGTGACAAGCTTCCATCTTGCGGAATTTTGGCTAGAATTTCGCTGGCGGACAGATGGGCGTGTGGTAATCCGTGAAAAGATTTTGATAGGCTCATTCTCCACAATGAACTGGATTTCTTCTGGCGAGAACGATTGCTGGAGATTGGGAGGTAGCGACATAGTGTCTGATCTGATCTCTGTAATCTCTTTAATTGCGTATAACTGGCAAGCGTATACTCCAAAAATTTTCAGGATCATTTTCCACCTGCTCGTGAATTACATAGTCGAAATAAGAGTTCACCCAAAACTTACTGATGATCTGGAAACGATGCCTACATCAACTAGGTTATTACCAGCCGAATATAAATAACAAAAGGCTTATTCTTTCCGTTCTTAACTCTACTGCAACTAAAAGAGAAGCTAAGGACTACTTAAAGAAGTATGCAAATAACGGAGTACCAAATCATTGCTTGATTTTGATAAGGAACATAGCATCACATGAGCTGATTACACTCAATCGTTTTATGCAAATCGTCACTCGACTAAAAATGCTGGGAATCAAACCGATGTTCGTCATGCATCCAAATGAAGACGTCGAAAGGCAAACTGATTTTCTCGATAACCTCTTTACGAAATCCCAAATCCCATCCATTTGTATTCCCGATGCATTGATCAAGAAGACGAATGGAACTTACGAATCTCCTGTGCATTATAGAAAGCTCGATGGCATAATACCCATCATTAAGCCGTACATATTCGATGAAAGTACATGTACTCATCTACCAAAAACGGAACCGTCCACGTTCATGGGCTTGTTGGTTAAGCATTTAGACTGTCATGTTGACAAGTTCTTTCTCTTGAATCATTCTGGGGGTATTCCCTCTGGCGAAAGGAATGAAAATGCGCATGTATTTATCAACCTCTCCCAAGAGTATGGATCTCTATCTAAATCGCTGTCAACCAAAATCGATCTTATGGCAAAGGAGATAAACGATAATAGTGCGAATCTGTACGATCAAATGAAAATCGTATTTCATAAACAGGAACTTCAAAGGAATCATAAACAATACCATGATCACTTAGAAGACCTGGAGATAATGAACTCTGTGCTCTCTGTACTTTCTCTATCATCTACAGGTCTGATTACAACCCTAGCTACCGCATCTAAGCTTGCTAAAAACCCCGTACTGTATAATGTGCTCACCGATCGATCCATGATATCGTCATCGCTGCCAAGATTTAAAAGGGTAGCGAACTCTGATGTTTCGTGGTATGAACTAGCAATTGACAAAAGGCTACCAGAAGATTCCCCAGACGGTCCTTTAGTGACAACAGTTTTGAAAAAAGGTGTGGATATCAAAGTCTTTGACTACAGAGTTCTCACAAATGAAAACTCCATTGGACTGCCGATAGGATTTGACAATCAAGAAATCAGCATGCAAAAATCGTGCGAAAGAGTCAACCTGGAAAAGTTAAAGGCAATTATTGATCAGAGCTTCAATCGCAAACTTGATCTAGTACATTATCTCAACCGCATTAATGGACGTATTGCATCTATCATTGTCATCGGAGATTATGAAGGTCTCGCCATTCTTACCTACGAAGGACCGACTGATGCACAGTTTCCTTACCTGGATAAATTTGCTGTTATGCCGCATCTCAAAGGCTCTCTTGGAATCTCAGATATCATATTCAATTTGATGTTTAAAAAATTCCCTCATGAATTGGTATGGAGGAGTCGAAGAGACAACGTTGTGAACAAATGGTACTTTCAAAGGAGTGTAGGAGTCATTGACCTTTCAATGGATATAGGGGAGGGAAATAGAAAACCTAGTATTTTTAAGCTGTTTTTCCATGGAGATCCTCACGATGGATCAGGGTTTGATAACGTCAAGCGACTTAAAGAGTACGCAGCGTATGTCAGAGACATAGAGCCAAGTTGGGAAACATGAACTAGAGGCTTATTTAAACTTCGCTACATCATCATAATATAATATTTTGAGAGATGGAATCAATCCTTCTTTTCGAGATTCTTTACTACAACTATCTCTGTTTCAGACGGTGTGTATCTTCCTTCATTCTTTTCTATATCTTCGGGATTTGGGCGTGTTCGACTACCGACGTTCCCTAGCTCCAGGCCGATATATTCTTCCTCAAGTTCTTCCGAGTATGGCTCCATGTTCAGTTCCAGGCATTCTTCCGGACTGAAAGCATTGAAATAATCCTTTGCGTCCACCACACCAACTCTTTGCCTGATTGGAAATATCAAGACCAATATGTAATACAAGACTCCACTGACAATTACCGAAAAAAATGTGTATCCATTAAAAAAGTTGTTCATTCCTTCATTTATTGGGAGGCTTGTGTTTACGGAAAATACCAATCCAGGAAGCCCCAAAGCGACACCAACCGCCAATGCAAAAATGGATCTCAAATTAAATCCATGATAAAACCAAAATGCACCATTCTTGTCGAGGGTGAACAAATCAGATATTGCAATTCGTGTTTTGCGAACAAAATAGTAATCCACCACATTGATTGCCATTATGGGAGTAGTGAAGATACCAAATGATGTCATGCTATTCAAAAATGCAGATGTTGTGTTGAAAAAAGTCCATGGCTGAACAACCCATGATATCAATTGAACAAATATGGTTCCCCGCGTAATATTGATATATTTAGGAAATATACCAGCTAAATCCATACCGCAAGCGTAACCGTTTTGTGTCATGTTGACAATAATCTGGGTGCTCGTGAAACTCAAACCTATGAAAAATGCTGCACAACGGGCTTTTGCAGAATAGTCATCCTCTAGCCATTTTAAGACCATATCCGTAGGAAGCCATAGAGCTTCACCGTAAAGCTGTTGCGAGGCAGATGCACTGAACATCCCTGCAACAGGAGCAAATGTACCAGCAAAGCATATACCTAAAGCGATACCCAGGTGCATTTGCTTTTTATTCGATGAATAACGTGAATAGTCCGATTGATTTGCCATCACTGGAGAAATACCACTGTACCAAACAGTAATTGCCAGAATCCACATCCAAGCTCGTTGACTTGAGTCCAAGTCCATACCTTCATAGTAAATTGGACCCGGTCCACCATTCTTGTTGACCATGTAAGCCAAGATACCAATTATAGAAAACATCGCCATGAAGCAGCAGCATACACCAGCCCTGTTTATTTTTCTGGGATGTACAAAACTCAATGGCATTTGAATTAATTGAAAAATGAGAAACGCAATACAATCCCTTCGCGTCATAGGAACGGACTCTGGAAAGGTATTTTTCATGTTCATATAACTTTTAGACCATGAGCTAAATATCAAATTGAGACAAAGGGCGCCCATCCAAGATAAATAACCATAAAGCACGACAGATAAACCAACTCGGAATATGATTCCAATTCCCGAGCCATATATACCAAATAGCATCCTTTGGTCAAGGGTGTATCCGATATGATATTTATAACCTGGATTTGAATTCATTGATGTGTACAGAGTAATGATAATATTACTAACCACTATTGCACCGATGGACTGTTTAATATTCAGTCCTAAACTTAACGTAGCAGATCCAATACTGAAAGTTGCAGCTGAAAAGTTAGGAAGGCCCCAATATGCGAAAAAAGACCAAAATCCCCATTTACGCTTATGATATGGGATAGGTTCTAAGTCCGGATTTCTCAATACTGATAGTGGTTTACCATCATGGGGGACTTGCAGTTTTTGCAACAAAGAGCTCAAAGTAGGCATTTGTTTGCAACTTCACAAGGTTGATTGTATTTGAACAGTTAACGCTTTCCAACTTCATTATTTATATACTCAGCGTCTGTCTCCAGAAAGTTGATAACATGGCAGCCTAAAAAAAAGAAAACTATGGAAAGATAATGGCGTTATCAGAAAGAATTTGATAGCTCCATACATACCATATAGATTTACTTCCCTAAAAGGCATGCGTCAAATAGCAGTCGCAGGATGTGCTTATGTAAACTATCTTTAAGAGCGAGACAATTCGGATTTACAAAAAAATGCCAAGGCCATCTCCGAATGTCCCACGGTGTTAAAAAAATTCGACGAAGAAATTTTAGTTGAAAGGCGTAGGCACGATTCTGATGCCGTTTGAACAACCGGTTAAAGTTTTAAAACGCGCATTCACAGCAATAGTTTCTTTTGAGATTTATAATGCTCACAGCTCATTATGATAACACACACTAATCACTGGCAGAATTCCCTTTATCAACTTTATTTTGAGAGAACATTAACACAGGTACTCTTTCAAAATAGAAAAACTATAATTCAATCGATGCGTAAAATAGACAAAGCACGACGTGCAGGCAAATAGCTTATGGTTTATCGTGTATGAATCGCCATTCACGACTCAGAGTGTCTTGACGATATATTCTTCTTGTAGGTGGCACATTATGACGTTCACTAGTATTTGCTTCAGTGTCAAACCAAACATCTGTGCATGCAATAATCTCTGCAAAAAATGGTGAGTGTTGCAGTCCAACTCCCAACCAATGGCTCTTGTACCAACCCTCATAACCGCTTGAGATGACACTATTTCTGACAAGCTCACAGAGATCTGCACTATTTAGTAAATAAATGCTTGCAGCAACACTGTATTCTTCTATTATGGGCTCCATGGTGTATGAGCTATTGAAAAGCACTGAATTACAAGAAAGCGAAACTTTCAGGCCCATCCTGTGCATTGACATGAAAGGATTCAGAGCATACGTCCGCGTGCTTTGGACGGTAACGTCTCTGGACATCGCTTCTGAACTATTGGTGATTAAGTTTCGCGTCAGCTCCTGGTAGGGAGATACGGAAGAAAGCGGGGACACTATGACTGGAATCTGAAAAAGATAGTATGCATATAAGATAACGGGTGACGACCACCAGAGAGGCTCAGCTTGAAGTAAACCACCCTGGCACAGTAAAAGATTGCATACCAAGGATTCAAGTTGCTCTGTTATATTAACGCCATCAACAAACTGCGAAACGCGATTTGTTAAAGCACAACAATAGCTTCTAAGGATAATGGAGTTCTGGCTTCTTGACATCCTCTGATGATTGAGCACTCTAAGGTACTCGTAAATATAATAAAGATAGTATGCAACAGGAGGATTGTCCCCATTCGCGGTCCATTCGCAAGGCGTTGTGGTTTCTGGATTGCTAAAAGATTGCCAAATGTAATCATCCTCATTGTCCACAACGACATCAAAACAGCATAGTGTAGATAGAAAGAATTGGAGATTGATGTCACAAATACTGTCTGAGGATAAAAGAGGACGAAAAACTAAATCCAAGTAGTCCTGAAAGTTTTTAACTTGCCCTGATTGAAAAAGTTTCGTGTAACTTCGAGAAAGCCGAACATTCCAACGTATATTATATGATATTAGCTTCCATTTTGTAACCCATCGACTGAAATTCGGCCACCAGTTATCAATAAACTGAAAGTCAACCGAAAGTTGTGCCATTTGGTATTTGCTTTTCTCCATGTTGTGAATCACATATTTTATGAGAATTTCTGCCAGATACTGGCCATCAATGAAGTTATCAAACTCAAGAAAGGTTTTTGCGATCATGTAATACATTTTGTGTCTTATTGTGTCATTTTTAGAATTTCTATTATTCAAATGAAAACCAGGTAGATAAACTACCTTGTACCACTCCAGAAAGCCATCATCTACGGCTTTCAACCCAATCGACGCTTCTTCATTAGAGCGGGCTCCTTCGCCGTGGGAAAAAATATCCCGAAGCGAATAATCAGACCCTCTATCATCCATATAAACAATTCTATCAGGCTCTAGATTGAGCTTATCCCAAATAAATTCATTTAGCTGTCTTTTGGAAACACAGCCACTCAGTAGTAAATTTTGATCAACTTTACGTGTGTTATAAAAATCACGATGTGGAACTCGCTTATTTTCCAATATTTCAGAACGACCTTCCAAATGCTGAAAAAGATCGAACTTGTTCAAAAGGTATTCAATTCTTTTGGTGGAAACTGGCCGTAACTCCCCCGATTCCAGTAGTTTCAAGACGATTCGAAAGTCTTGGGAAAATTGAGTAATCTTCGGTATTGCAGATACTAATTGATCGTAAGAATCTTCAGATTTATCAATAACTATGGCCTTTGAAAACATCTTTTCGTAATGTCCCAAGTCAAAGTATTCTCCAGTGTAATGAACCTTGCTGTAGTTTCTTAGGGCGTTAGTCTCCTTACTTGACATGAGAATATGAAAATTATCATCATCAAATGAAGAATAATAAAAGCCTTTCTTATTATCGGGTAGAGATTCTTCCGACTCGTATTCTTCGGAGCTCTCATCGTAAAGCCTTCTATCTTTCTCAAATTTCCAATGTTTAGGAAGAGGCTTAGGATAGAGGAACCATTTATGAATATCGTTCTTGACATTAGCCTTGGCATTTTGAAATGAACGCTTCGCATACTTCTTTTTTATCATAGCAATTTCATCGAAGGCACTAATGCCGTTGGACCTTGACACGGAGGACTCCCTTCTTGGGTAAGGTTTAGCAGCCGGCTGAAACTCAGCCCAACGAATTGAGTCCATCTCGTCTTTCTCTTCAAAGAACATTGGGTGTCCCTGAATAATCTGCCTATCAAAACGAGTCCTTAATGCCACCATATCAGAATCATCCAAAGATATGTCAGAGAGCTGCGGAGGTACAGCTTTCTCTAGTGGCTTATTTAAATCATCATAGGCCGAATACACAATTGATCGCCTCCTGTTATCCGATTTTGCCATTCGATAATGTAGCCAACTCTAAGAACCGAAGTCAGGTGAAGGTTGTAAATTTAGTCTTTTGGAATTTTCATTAACATGTCCCGAGAGGGATTTTATATTCTTGCGAGATAATATCATCAAGAATAATTCCATACTCGCTGATCCTTGTACATGGTACGTGGATAATAACTATTGATACTGATTATGAAGTAAATTGCACATTTAATCAATTACTGCTGATGGATAAAAGTCCGCAGAACAGCTCCGTAAGCTTTCCGATAAGCACACAACCTTATATGCCCTCAGAAAAACTAACTGTTACAAGTTATTAACGAACTAGTATCAAGTATTTCCTATGCTTTCTCGCAATATGTGATGTGCTCAGTTAGTCGGCGTTGGTTAAAAATGGCTTTACGATTCAATGTACCAACTTGGGAAAATTCAAAAACACACACATATCACCCCACGTAACCGCCCATTACTATATATGTCAATTAATTTCCATTTTACATCTGCTAATGTCGATTTCTGTAATGAATCTCTTGTGGTCACGATGTGTTCAACTATGTAACAACAATCGAAGGCAAGACTAAAACCAGCAAACGAGCAGGCGCTTTATTAGCTGTTAACTAGACGATCCATCCGCAATTGTTTCATAGTTGACATTCAAGTTTTCTCATTTCGCTTATTGATGTCTAGCGTAGAAGTCTCGTGCCTTGAAAAATCTGTTTTCTGCGATTAATTTAGGATTCTATTGCTTACTCTCTCATCAACCATGGTTTCTAATTACAACAACTTATACCCCGCTGATGGAAGCACATTCGACATATGCCAACAGAAGGCTTATGAGGACGGCACCACTGCACTCCAAGACCTGAACTCTCTGGCGACAGACCATGAGTTATCCACTGTATTTGATGAGCTCCCGGATAATGGACATGGAAGTGACGACTTTTGTCACATGTTTAAGACCGAAGATACTTTCCAAGCCCCTACAGATAGAGAAATACTGCCCGATAGTAAGTTCCACCAAATTGAGGTGGAGGAGAAATCATCAATATCACCCATTTCACCCTTTGGTGTCGAAAACAATACCCAACAGATATATTCGAAGCAGAAGACAGAAACTTCAAAAGAAAAGGCACAAAGCGATCACAATGCCGAGGTGGACTTACAAGCGAAGAAGAAAGCTCAGAATCGTGCGGCCCAGAGGGCTTTTCGTGAGAGGAAAGAAGCAAAGCTAAGAGAGCTGGAACAGAAGTTACAAATGAGTGAAAGGGATAAAGAGTCTTTATTAAAAGAAATCAAGGAATTGAAGAAGCAAAATCTAGACATACTAACTAAGACCAGTCGCTCGATAGAACCTGGAAGCTCTTATCGTTCAAGCCATATCAAATCTCGCGCTAATGCAAAATTTACTTTCCCTAATGAACAAGAATTTTTTACTAATGTAGTATCAGATAAGCATTCGACAGACCCAATACCACAGCGGTTTATTTACAAGGATGATAAAGGAAAGAAAGTACTCACAGTGTCTGCTACGTGGGAATACTTACACAATATGTCCCACCAAGTTGAATTCGATGTCGATATGGTCTTAACACGTCTGCGCGGTCGTGAGATTTGTCATGGTCACGGTCCTGCATACAACAAAGAGCTCATTGATGCTATCCTTGATGAATGCGCACTGTGAATTCATATCATTGGGAGCATAGACCAGTCCATGCTTGAGAGAATGTCGCATAATATGAATGCTACACGAATGATTTACAGAGGCGATACCCCATTGAATATTTTACAAAAAATGAATTATTCTTTATCTCTCGGATTCAGGCACCGCATATTTGTCCTTGGGCTTGAGAATTTCATTAAAATGAGCCATTCTGCTGTGGTCAGAAGGAAAGATCAGTTTGGCCATGTTTCAGCGACTTTTGATTATTTCAACCAATAGCCAACATCTCCTACAATCCTTTCTTATTCAAGTTACCGCAGTTGCACATCTACCCGATCGATAAATGTTGGTCACTTCTGTGGAGCCCATTAATTTGTAGTTAAGTTAATGTCATAGTACCAAGTTCACGTGCGTGATATTTTTTTTTGGTTTTTTTAGCGTGAGATCATACTACAAAGTGCAATGAAATCCAAGCAGTTATCGCTAATTATTTTATTCATGCTCAAATAGCACGTATGGCTGATAATATCACTATCGTGAAAGATTTATTTCCTAAGTTCTCCGATGAAAAGATTCAAGATGCTTTGGACAGCGCACAAGGTGATGTGAATACTGCTTGTACAATGCTTCTCAGCGAACAAGAAGCTATAAACAGTATGAATTGTTCGACCGAAACACCTGAAAAAATGGATAGCCTTGAAAGCCCTGGGATGCGCTTCACAAAATCGTCACCAGTGAATCTACGTACTAGGCTAAAGAAACCGGCTCTCTCATTCGGTAGTCCGAAATCATCTCGACTCAACCTCCAAGAAATTGATTCTAAGGAGAAAGTTTGGGCGGCATCGTCTAATGAAATCAACAAAATCATACAGCTCACAAATGTCTCGGAGAAAATGGCGAGAAACGCCTACTATTTGAATTCTTTCAATTTTGCGAAGGCTGTAATAGATCTCATCATAGAGTTCGACAAATATCTTACGAGATACGGTTTTGACGACTTAAATTGGCATCAAACTACTACACCTCAAAATTTGACAAACTTAGGAGGTAAAGTTCAATCTGGACAAGGTCCAGCTCATCTCAAAACCCGACAGAGTAAAAGTGAGACGAATGAAAAGAGTGTCCGCTTTAAACTATCCAAGCCATCTTCTCAGAAACATACGTCAAGTTATAAATATGACGAATGGAGCTCAGAGGCGCAGGAGCTGAAAAACCTCGTTTCAAGTAATGACAGCCTGCGAAGTATTAGTCCCGACTTTTTGAAAGCCTCTCTAGAATTTTTCGAAGGTGATGTAATAAAAACTATCATTGTAGCGCAGCATATTAGTCAAAATGGTTCTACAAAATTTACTTTTTTAAATCTCTCATCTTCTCGCAAAAGCGAGGAACAAGATATTACAAACAATATTGGCTTGCCTCTTCCTCAAAAGAAAGTAGCCACCAAGAATGATGGTGGGTTGGCAAAACCTATGTTTCTCTCAGATCAAAATTACACAAAGACGGCAAATACCCCAAGGTCCATTCATACGAGGCCAAGCATCGATTTACATGGCTACTTCCCAGATGAAGCAGTTATAACAGCAGAAGCTTGCCTCGATGAGTGGTGGAATGAAGAGTTGCACGAAAGAGAACTCAACAAGCAAAATCTTAAACAAATTAAAGCCATGAATGTCCCCGCCTTTAAGATCACGACAGGAAGAGGTTTACACAGTGTAGGGGGTTATTCTAAAGTGCGACAAAGAATCAAAATGTTTTTAGATGCCAACTCCTATGTTTATATAGAAGAACCATCTTTTTTTGTTATCGAGGGAAGGCGGCGTTTCCATAGGATATAGAACTTTTTATGAAGCTCTCGTCACGTGTGACCATCTACGTGCATCAGTATGTATTATCTTGAAAAGATAAACACCAAATGAAGTTAGTTGCGATAATCATTCGGCAGAAAGAGAGTGGACATATTGACTAAGTCACATTCATGAATTACATGAACTTAGGGATCAAATCCCGTAAGACAGGTATTAAAGTCAAAGAAAACATACGTAAAGATGAATTTTCAATGGAGAACATTGATGACTTCTTTGGTGATGACAGCTCGATTCAAGGAAAGATAAGCAGAAAGTCCTCTTTACTACCGCAATTCAACCAGAAGATTCCAGAAGTAATATTTGAGGAGAATATAGAGGAAAATGACCCGAATGACATCAAGTTAACGCATCACAAAGGTTCGGACAACCAGAGAAGCCGCGATGAGCGCTCGAATTCCTTCACGAATTCTAGTATTCAGGGAACCAAAGAGGATGATTATATACCACACAATAATGATGATTTTTATGAAGATTTGGCCTCTGAAAATTATAGGAAGCGCCCTGAGCTGCCTGCCACGAAATCTCCAACGAGAAGGAAATATTTCCTAGAGTATAACACGACGAATGATGACCATGACCCAGTCCAGCTAACACCACCTTCAGCAGAGGGGGACAGTTATAAAGACGTTCCTGATTTAGTTGATGACGACGATCTCTCAAGAGTTAATACTACCCTGAATACTTCAGATAACGCTCTTTTAGAAGACGAGTTAGATGATGACTATGAACTTCAAAGCGAAGAGGATGCTGACTATGTAGAGGGAATGTCTACTTTAGATGGTGATAACAGCTCTGAAAGTGACAATGAGAGCTATAGTTCCGATGCTTCGGAAGTTTCTTCTGATAAAATAGCTCACAGGCAGGTGGAGAATAGAGCTCAAAACAAGAGCCGCAACAAGTATCTAGCTGATTCATCCAGTGATCTTGAGTCGGATGAGGAGTTCATTCAAAGCCAAGCACCTGACGTGGTCAATGAGGATAGCATACTGAAGTCCAATGGGATAAGAAAGTCTACGAGAGTGAAGATAGCTCCTCTTGAATATTGGAGAAATGAAAGAATTGTTTATAAAAGGAAATCTAAAAAACCGGTTTTAGAAATCGACAAGGTTATAACATATGAAAATGACGATGGGGAAACGGAGTCTTTAAGAAGCAAGAAACCGAAACAGAGAACCAGGCCATATAATTATATTCCTACCGGCAGACCAAGAGGAAGACCTAGGAAAAACCTGAGCCTATCAGTCGACAAACGTTCTGATCCAAATCAGAAATTACTTGACGAAATACATGCAGGAAGAGTCCAAAACTCCCAGTGGTTGCAGCATGGCGTGCTCCAAGCTGAAGTCAATGTTGCTCCACATACTAAGGAAGAAGAAATAATAGCATTTGCACGTGACACCAGCAATACTCAACATCACAGGAATAACGAAGAGGAGAGCTTCTCAATTGCAGTTCTTTTCGACAAACGCAAGAGTAAATTTGCAAGTGGTATCCTTAACTTACCGAAGGGTGGTCACAATAAGGTGAGCGATTCATACAATGTTTTTTTCAATTTCTATCTGATAGAGGGCATCATTGAAGTCACCATTGGCACTAGTTCATTTGTTTGTGTTGAAGGCTGCTCTTTTCAAATTCCGGTTTATAACAAGTACCGAATCGAAAACAAGGGAGAGAGCGAAGCGAAAATGTATTTCGTACAAGTGACAATGCAAGAGGATGGCGCGGATAACTCGATTGATGATGGTAGCATAAAAACGAGGGAGAAGACAGTGGCAAGCGGCGACAGAAGTACCTCTTCAGACGATATGGAGACATCCGCAAACTAAGAAACCTCTGTTTTATCTATATGCTGGATAAGAAATATAGAATCGTAATTCAAAACTTGAGCATCATGATCTATAAATTATAGTACAACTTCCATCTAAAGATCGAAAGTAAGCAGTGACGAGGTAGCTCTTCAAGTCAACCTCTAAATAATGACTGTAGTAATTCAAAATTCGTTTAAGTATTTTCAGCTGTATCGTCACCACTTTCGTCGTCATCACTTTCTATTTTCTCAGCCAACTTTTTCATTCTAGCCAGCTTAACTAATGGTGCAAGCGAATCATTGTTGTCGGCATAAATCGAAATAAAAGGGTCCTGTAAGAGATCGGCAGCTGCAGCTCTTTCTTCTGGATCCACATGAAGACACCACTTTAGAAACGTTTTGAGTCCTTCGCTTAGACTTTCTGGATCTTTCAGTTCAGGAGTCCCATTAGTCGCTATGAGATATAAAGCTCTCAAGGGTGTCTCATTAAGGTAAGGTGGTTCTCCTTCAATCATCTCAATTATCATGATACCCAAAGACCAAATATCAACTTTAGGGCCATATTCCTTCCTTGAAACCACCTCCGGAGCCATCCAGTAGGGTGTTCCAACCATCGTTGTTCTTTTCAAATTAACTTCATTTATTTGTGCACAGAAGCCAAAATCTGTCAACTTGATGTCACCGTTCATTGATAACAGAATGTTATCCGATTTAATGTCACGATGGATAACCCCCTTTGAATGCAAGAATTGCAGGCCCTTCAAAGTCTCCCTACTAACAGCACCGATTTGGCCCTCTGTGAGTATACAATGTGTTACAACATCAGTGAGAGAACCTCCTTCCATATACTCCATAATGACCCAAAGATCACCCTTCAATAAATACGAATCAATGAAATTCACAATGTTGTTATGTTTACTGGCCTTCATTACCAATATCTCATTAATGATTAGCTCTTTCTTAGGCTGTTTTTCCAGATTCATTTGCTTTATTGCGACGGATGCATTTGTATCGACTTCATATGCCGTGTAAACACCACCCGACGCACCCTGTCCTATTTTTACCAAGCCACGATACAACTTACTTGGGTCACCCTCAGAGCAAATTTCTCCTAGTCTTGCATACAATTCTTGTATACGCTTTCTCCGTTCCTCTCTCTTTTTTTCTGCTGCAGTCTGCATATCTTTTAGCGAAGCTTCCCTCTTAGGAACATCTTTCGGAAGCGGCGGAGGCGGGGCTACCCTACTGGATGACAGTTTGTCAAGTTTAACCGGAGGAGTGGAATTTCCGCCCTGGAGCTTCTTCGGTATGGCAGGAAGAGGTTGATCAGACTTATTCACAGTTCCCTTTCTTGATAAGGATAAAATGCCAGACGAAAAACTAGGCGCACGATTGATACCTGTATTTACAACTGGAGAAGAAGATGTGGCTAGTGGTGACGCCATTTCACTTCTAGATGAAGATCCAGGAGGTTTTGGAGCAGGCCTGCTAGGCATAAATTTCTCATTTGAGTTCAATGGGTTGGTTTTCACTGGCTCTTTATACGCCAATGGGGAATGCAATTCTCCATTAGGCGTACCTTGTGTCTGAACTCGTGGAGTCTGATATGTTATATCATTTGGCTGAAACGAAGAATCAAATTTATTCACTGAAGTAGAAGAGGGCGTTCTAAAGGAAGCAGTACTGGTAATGTTATTACCAGAATTTCCAACATTGAAGGTCTTGAAAACCTTATCCTCTCCGTTAGCCTCCGTCACATCTTGATAGAATTTCACTATGTCCATCACTGCCTGCGGATGCTGCTCCTGTTCCCTTCTTGAAATACCGCTAGATGTTAAGAGTTTTTCCCATTCTTCAGGGAGGCCTGTGTACTCACCAGTCTTCGTGTCCACACCTACATGATGGACGTGCTTGGCGTTGTATGGCGTAGAAATTTTCAATCCGCCACTGGAGCGACGCTTTTCGCTTTGCGAGTTCCTCTTGATATTCTGAACAAAAGACGAAAATACACCTTTCATTCTACTTCCTCCGCTTCGCCTGTTTTTTGGATCATTGCTAGGAGATGGAGTAAAAGAGGCTTGGATTTTTGGACTTTCCATAGCTTCATTGGTTTTTGAGGTCTTTTTCAGAGAGCTGAATGGAGATGATACTGATTTAAACGGAGAGCGTGATGTGAGGGTATGACTCGTCACTACTGGAGGTTGTTGCAATTGAGTTGTGGGGCCTTGAGGTAAAGTTGGTGTATGCACTTGAGTTTTAAGACAAGGGTCCGAAATTTCCTCATGGCCTACAGGCTCCTCCTCTATTGTTTCAGAATTTTCTACTTTTTTCAAATCTCGAGGTGTTTCACGAGTAGTAGAGACAATGCTGAAGCTTTCACTGGACGGCGATATGCCTATCAGCGGCGATTCATAGAGTTCCTTTTTTGAGTTATCGTTTAACGGATCATTTTTAGGCGTACTAGTTTTCAGATTACTTGTACTGTCTAAATTAACATTGGAGCTGTTTCGCGTAGAAAAACCATCCGAAACGGGTATTTCATTATCCACGGACGAAAAGAGAACCGAGCCACTTCCTAGTGCAGAATGGCCACCGTAATATTGATCGGAGGCCCTTATTGTCGAATTAGTCTTGTCTCCGATAGTGGACTGCTCATGTATATCAGAAGCGGCGCGAACAGCCTTAGAAGATGCCTCCGCCATTGAGTCGCCACCTGGCTTGTCCACTTTAATATTATCTTCATTAGAGATAGCATCATTACTATCAAATGAGCTCCTGCTCAAAGCAGATGAAGATGATACTCTGGTGAACTGTATCGGATCATCTAAGGAGGTCGACGTCAAAATATCATTCACATTCGTCAGCTGCGGCTGTTTGGGCTTTCCTGGATCCATTGATTTGTAATTGGCGAGATCCCCAATATCTGTTTCATCATTTATTTGAAGAGCATTGACATTAAGACTCCCAGGGGCTCGAGGTAATTCGAACTTCTCATCCAATTTGAGGGAAGCCAAATCACCCTGCTTCGATATAGTATTCACAAAAGGAGTGCCTTCATTGTGCTCCCCTTTTTCTTGTGACATTACTGTATAGATAGTCACTGTATAAAATACCGAAAACTGATACGGGCTCTTCCAGTGCTTGCAGTACCAAAGTGTGGTGTAGGAGGTTAGCGAAATGTAAATGTTAAAAGCTTTCAAGTATCCAAAACCACTAGTGATTCACCTAAAAAATCTTTGTCCACAAAATTCAATCCCTTGAGTCTTTGTCTGCCAGGTACAGGCCCTTTTTTGAGAAGCTTAGAATGAGCGAAATCAGGTAAGTTTAGATACTGATGTTTTGCCGTTGCATTCTGATCACGAACATTTTTCCCGTAGTGAAATTTTTCCTCCCAGACATCCAACCGTTCTCTATAGAAAAAAAGAACTATCTCGAGAACTTGATTCCACATTGAAGTGATCATTCCTAGAACGCCGTATATATCGAAAATGCCTATTATATTAAGAAAGTAGAAATGCCCCAGAACCCTCATTCATAGCCTGTGAGATTCGTGACCTTAAAATCTCTTTGTTGCTATATTTCGGGAGTTTCAAGTAGTTAGCACACGTCATGACACTTGGCAAGTACTCATCAGGTTTCTGACCCTCCTCAGGATGCTTGAGGACTACCGTTAGACGCGGATTCAAACTTTTGAAGCCACCAATGGGAAGCTTTGGGGAGCCAGTTAAAAACTGGAGAAAAAGTCGCCTCTCTTCTAGTGAGAATGTGGTCATTACAAGTATTAGGTCGTTGACTGAGGGCGAGTCCATCGTATAACCATGGTCTGCATTCATACAAGAGTAAAGGGTCTCTGTCGACCAATCTTCTTCAACTTGGCCAAAAAGTCTTGTCAACTCTTCTGGTGTAAGAATCAAGAGCGACGAATATGGAAATGCCCTTGAAAAGCCTTCAATGAAGCTCTTTACTTGTCGCTCGATGCCTGTAACCAACATTTGATCGATAACCTTCTTTATATATTCCTGAACATTGCTTGAATCGACAATCACCTCTCTTCCATTTTCAACAAGTTCAATATCGTAGCCAGGAAGTGTGAATGTGAGGCACATAGTTTGAAAGTCCTCTTGCTCCTGCTGGTCCAGTAAATATCCCAAAGACTTCGCAATCTGGTTGTCCACTAAGGATAGTAAGCCCAAAAGCAGTTTTGGATCATCCAAATCAAGTGTGCCTCCTCTACAAACCGAATGAGTTATCTCGAAAAATGCTCTGTTAAAACGGAAGTCCAGAATACGATTATCCAACATAGATCTGGAAACAAAATTTCCTAAATGCTTGAATAACTCAACAATCCGATCCTCGTCCTTACTCGCCAAAATGGGAGCGGGAAATAACGATGTATCCACAAATTCTTTCTGATCATGCGAATCACAGTTCTCATGTCTCCACATTCCCAAAGATTTTCTCGCGAACTCTTTCGAAACCACCGCATAAAACTCTAGAGTTGGTCCTAAACCTGTTCCAACTTCATCTTGATACTCGATCTCTAAGATATTGGGTGTCGAACCATATTTGTTGATGATTTTCAGCGCACTGAGGAAAATAGTCTTCCTCGATATGCGAAGCTTGTGACGTGTTGGTCTTCCTAATTGCTGTAACGATGAGTCAAGAGCTGCATTCTTATCAGAATTCGTGCGGTTTCTCCACAGTTGTATTAACCTTCCATAGCCAAAAGAGGTGCTTTGCAAAAAGAACATTCTTGTTTCAAACGGAAAGAGGAAGGGGAAGTTTCGTGTGACATACAATGTCCACGTAGGTAGGGCTCCTCCGGCAACAACTAATGGCTCTTCAAGTTGGCGTGAAAGTTTTGCACTGAGCTTAGCATTAACAAAGTTCTCATCCCGCAGAGAACTATGCTTTGCACATCCCAGTAACTTCATAATTTCATCAGCTGGATTCCACTGCCGTGTTTCATAAGCTATCAAGGGATAGAGATCAGTGACACTGGTATCATCTTGAACTTTCTCAACTTTCCGATATTTGATTGTCTGAATGTCATTCCAAATTTCTGACGTGTCCCTCCCATCTTTGACATATTCGTTAAAAACTGTGCCAAAGACCGTTGCAGCGGACTTAACTGGCTTCTCACTTATGAAAAATTCGAACCTCCAGTTTTGTAGATCTTCCTGACTTATGTTGGCATGCGATAGTCCAGGAAGTAAACTATTCAAAAACTGGGACTGAATTATTCGATGCTTCAAAAAGTCGTTCAAAGATTTGAATGATGCAATGCAATGGATTGCGACAACTATCGATTGGATATTAACGGGCACTTTATCCTCCTTGAGATCACCGACATATTCAAGCTTGATTTTCATTTGCTTACCCAAGGAACCTGCTCTACCTTCGTCCCCTTGTAAACCACACTCAACTATTTCGAAAGATTCTAATCTAGTCAAAGCGGATTGTAAAATCTGGACGAAATCTGCAAGTTTATCACCGAAGGCCATCACTAAGGAGCTCTGGTACACGTTAGATCGAAGAGTAGTCGAGGGAATTAAATTTGCCATCGCTTTAGCCAAACCAGTCGAAATAAACTCAAAACTGGATATGTTGAAATGAGGCCGAAAGATACTCAACCTTACTTTCTGCCAAAGCTGGAACCATTCCTCAAAAGAGTCGGGCAAATGTTTCATTGATTGCAACTCAAGGACCAAATCATCAATGTCTCTCAATTCATCCATAGCTGATTCACCTCCTTGAGACAGTTGGCTGAGAGAATTGATATATGCTGTAATTTCAGTTATGAGATAGTTTAGTCTCAATTTTTTGAAAATATTAAACGTCAGTTTCTTGGGCTTTACTTGATCTGGGATGTCCATATCATCAAACTCCATTTCATAATCGTCATCGCTGTTAGATGCATCATGAGTTTGGGTGTCATCATCTTCATAAATAGAGCTATCATTAGAATTGTCATTTATCTCTTCAGAATTCACGAGGCTTTCAGAAAGCGATTTGAGAAGGTCAAAAATACCTTCCCTTTTAAAGGCCAATAAAAATTCTGTAGCATATTTTGCCACTAAACTACATGTTAATGATAAAATTCCCAGTAATAATGCACCGGCTTTCATATCGTGGCAATTGCTATTTTCAAAGATGTACTTGTTTTGTGTAAGACTGGAGGCAATCATACCAATAACATTTTTATCGATATTAGAAACATTTGAAGATCTTAGGGATGTTGAGATTCTAGCGAAAGCAATCAAAACGTATCTCCTGATATCAAAATCTACAGTATTGGTAAAGAAGTCAACCAATACGGGAGATATTTCTTTGACCAAGAGGGTCAGATGATCATCAATATCGGATAAGTCGACGTTCTTTCGTGCATCAATTGAAAGTACCTGTTCTTCTTCTGCAGGTAAAAGCAACACCACAAAGCGAGAAATGCTTGTAAGAAGTGGCTTCGGAACAAACATCAATGTTTCATGTAGCGGAGAATCCGAGGACTTTTTGTATTCATTGAGACAGCCATTGAGCATGTTCATGACTTTTCCTGATACAATAATCTGTTTTGATAGTGAGCAACTAGTGGCAGCAATCTGAGATAAAATGTCTAATGATTTCAGTTTACCTTCTAAGCTCGTTTCTGGACTCCGTATAAGCTGCATAAACCTTTCAATTAAGTCGAAATCGAATATTGTTTCTAACATGCGTCCTTCTTTACTAAGTCCGCCGCAGATCCCGTAAAATGCATTCAGAACTTTCCCTAATATAATATGATCGGTACCACTGATGAACACCTCCTTCAACGAAGGAAATACCTTCTGAATATTGTCAAAGTCGGTCACACGAATCCTGGCACAGGAATTTGATGCTATAGTAACCGCCTTTCTCTGGGCGTGAGTCGTAAAAAAGTCAAGGTATTGGAGACACGCATTTAGACCACCTGATTTCAAAATTTCTGCGCCATGCAATCTTGATATGAATTCCAATGTTTCTAGAACTTGCTCAGCTAAATCAATATAACTTATTTCGGTCAACTTATCTTGTAGAGCAGGAATAATATCCTTTTCAACAGCCGCAGTGATAACGTCAGGATTGACTTCAAAAAAGTTGTAAAGGCATCTGCAGGAAATCAATTGCAAGTCAAGCTCACCTTGTAAAAAAGGACTTGATAAAATTTGTACTATAGCTTTAAGAAGCTCGTCCTGAGGGATTATGCGCTCAGCGGTCAAAGGATTCATCATGAGCAGCTGCTCAGAAATTTCTCTCAAGCTTTCCATGGCAATATAAGGATCCTCCTGTGCATTAGAAACGTTTTGGACCAACCTTAGGATTCTACTGTTTGGGTTTTGAGAACGTACAGGACCACCCATTACTCCAAACATTTCAGGAAAGACATCAGCTAAATTAACACGACGAGTTGATTCACTATGATCTGGGTTAATTCTTTGTCGCTCACTTTCCATACTTTGTGCCAGTGATCCCAATAATTCTTGCAAAGAGTTTGGCCTTCTTCCCTCAAATCCCCTACGATGTCCTATTTCGTCTTCAATATCTGCACTATCATCGTTAGGGTATTCATTGGAATTCTCGAACTCTCTCTCCCCATCTTCGTCGAATGGAAAATGATCCTCATCATATTCCTCTTCATCCTCTTCAGGAAACGAATACTCATTGTGCCCATCAGAACTCCCCACTTCTTCGTCAAAACGATCTTCTTGGTCTTCTTCAATTAAAAAATCGCCCTCTTCATCATATCCTCGTTCAATAGAATCCCTCCTCTTGGCCCTGGGCATCTTTGAGCTTTCGTTCCTTAATAAAGAACCGAATTGAAGCCTCTCCCTTCGTGATTTTGCCACTGCCAGCTAGAATGTGAGTATTCGTCAAAAAGGATTATTACTAAAAAGAAACTGTGATTTAGTTCTTGAACCTGAAAATTTTTCCCGTAGAAAAGAGAAATGCCAATCTCATCTCATCTCATCTCATTTAGGCTCTCTTTTAACTAAAGCATCTAAATAACCTAATTCGAGAAATGCCCAGATCCAAGCGTTCTAAGTTAGTAACTTTGGCCCAAACTGATAAGAAAGGGAGAGAAAATAAGGAGAGAATTTTCGATGAGGTGCGAGAAGCTCTTGATTCCTTCAGATACGTCTGGGTTTTGCACTTGGACAATGTGAGAACACCCGTTTTACAAGAGATCAGAACCGCATGGAATGGTTCTAAACTAATTATGGGCAAAAGAAAGGTCCTTGAGAAGGCCCTTGGAATGAAAAGAGAGGACGAGTATAAGGAGAACTTATCAAAATTAACAAAACATTGTAGCGGTGTGACGGGACTGTTATTCACAAATGAGGATACACAAACCGTAGAAGACTACTTTAGGTCTTACGTTAGATCAGACTACTCTAGACCTAAGTCAAAGGCCCCATTGACTTTTGAACTTCCCGCAGGTATCATTTATTCCCGTGGTGGTCAAATCCCCCCAGAAGAAGACGTTCCAATGGTCCACTCTTTGGAACCTACGATGAGGAATAAGTTCAAAATTCCTACAAAGATTAAAGGTGGTAAAATAACCATTGAATCTCCATATTTGGTATGTGAAAAAGGACAAACGCTCGATGTCCGTCAAGCTTTGATTTTGAAACAATTTGGTGTAGCTGCTGCAGAGTTTAGAGTAAAAGCTACAGCCTACTACGATAATGAAGCATCGACCGTTGAAGAAGTTGGCATCAACACGGAATCCGCATAACTTTTGCCTAGTTTAGAACAATGGAAATAGTCTTGTATATTAATGTATCTTAATGTGAGGTCATTTCGCGCCAGTACTGTTCAAGTCTATTAAGATCACTACATTCGTAAGGAAGGCTTGGCACGAACTGAACTTCAAGTTCGTGCTTGTTCTTGAGTTTAAAGGTCACGTTGAAGATCAAATTAGCCAATCTAACTTGCTGTGCACATAGCGATTGCTTGTCGCATTTCAAAAGCTCATCTAGCCCGTAGAAAATCATGCTTGTATAGCGTGTGCTAGTATTTGCATCATCAACCTCTAACTTTGTTAAATACATGAAAAGGTACTGTAATTTGCTCAAAAACAAGACCTTGATGCTGGTACGGGAGTTTACCATAGCTCTTACTGAGGACATTGTCCCTGACGAACTCGTGAGTTCCTTTTCAAAATACTCACGAGCATTACTTGCCAAACCGAATATGAGGGTGTTATTTGAATTATCTTCCTCGATGATCAACTGTGCCAGCACGGTCTCTATCGACATTATTTATGATATTACTGGCTGTTAACGACCTCACAAGTAATGTGATCGAAATGAATATAATCACGTTAATGATGATGTGAAAATTTTTATTCTTTCTTCAATGATACTCAAATCGTTGTTAGTATCACCCAACTACGTGGCCCAAATGTCTGCAAGGATCCGGTCCTCATCAGGACTTCTGGCTTTCCGTCCTTCTGCATTGAAATCGATATCCAAGAGCCGATTTCACACTACGGCTGCAAAATTCAACTCTAGTACTTCTAGAGAAGGACAAAGGGAAGAAAATACAATTGAAGCACAAGATGAACTATCAATTCTTCGCCAGAGAGAATTCAACAATCATGTAGTCGAGTCTTTGAGAAAATTAGCAAGAACTCCTGTGGAAGAGTTTGCTTTAAAGAATGAATTTATCGAACCATTAACTGAAAAGGAAAAGCAACTGGATGAAGAGCTCACGTTGTTTCTGAAACAGTTTTCGCAGAATAACAAAGTTATCGAAGTAAAAAATGAGAGCAATAATGTGAAGAGTTCATCTACCTATTCACAAACCAAGCTATTTCCTTTCTTAGTTCCTTCTCCTAAGGAGAAACCCTATTCATCGCAAGAGTTATTTCTCAGGCAAATGAAGCATGCCGCTGAAACGGCGAAGTTAGGTGCCAATGTCGAAAACGTTTATTTTCCTCATTCTGACATATTCAACCCACCAACAGTCGATAAGCTCTCAATATCCAAATTGCTGGCTGCGGGTGTCCATTTGGGACAGTCAACATCTTTATGGAGGCCTTCGACTCAGCCATTCATTTATGGTAAGTACAAGGGAATTCACATCATTGACTTAAACAAAACTTTGGTTCACTTAAAGAGGGCTGCCAAAGTTGTAGAGGGCGTGGCTGCGAGAGGTGGTATCATATTATTTCTAGGTACTAGAGAAGGTCAGAGAAGGGCTTTGCAAGAGGCTGCGCAGAGAACACATGGATTCTACGTGTCTTCAAGATGGATTCCTGGAACCTTAACAAATCCCACGGAGATATCAAGTGTTTGGGAGAGACATGAGGTGAACTTCGCTGATCAGCCGACAGGTAGATCACTCACACCTGACGAAGAAGTGAGTATTGTGAAGCCTGACCTTTTAATCGTTCTCAACCCAACAGAAAATAGAAATGCATTGAGAGAGGCCATGCAAGCAAGAGTACCAACAATTGGTATAATTGATACAGATTCTGAACCATCCCTGGTAACATATCCTATTCCAGGCAATGATGATTCTCTTCGCTCTGTTAACTTAATAGTCAGTATTCTAGCGAGGTCTGGAGAAGTTGGCTTGCAGACCCGCTTAAGTCAAATAGCCTCCCAATGACAACATTTAACATGTACATAGTTTTACAGCATAACAATAAATCTTTCTTATTCTATATGCCAACTAAATGAACGATGGAGCCGATTTCGCTTGTTTTAGTTTAAGATTAAAGCAAGTCAGAATTTAGGCTCATCTGATTCATCTACATTGTCTTCTTGGTATTGGCTTCTGTTTTGACCTGATCTTCCTGATCTTCATCTTCCTCTGATTCGCTGTCGCTTCTCTCATCCTTTTGAATACCCAAGACAACCAGACGATAAAGAATTCGTAGAATTAAAAATAGCCAATACAAGTTTACTAACTGTAAAGCCATGATTAAAACAAAAACAATCGGTTGTGAAATCCAGCACTTGTATTGCTGATTGGCAAAATCAAGAGTGAAGTTACCCACCGTGCGAAATTCCGTGAGCACGGACCATAGGATCTTAATATTAACATAATGACGCAAGTAAATCCATGAAATGACAAAAAGCATGAAAAATGGGGGCGTCAAAAACGAATCTAGGTAATTGAGAGTCTTTGATAATGATAGAAAGAAGTCAGAGACATCCATCGTGATGTACACTGCTAAGCCTATTTTGGTAAAGTGGAAGGCATAAGAAAGCCAAATGAGTGCAAGTGTTATAATATGATGAAAAACCAGCTCCTTGAAATCCTTCCTTGGTTTCTCGAGCTGCAAAACTAACACACAGGCTTGTTGAGTCCAAAACGCAGCCTGTCCCAGATAGAAAACTTTGAAAAGAAACGGATTTGTGAGGTCTGGATAAGTCTGGTACATTGGAGCAGTGGCGAACAACCATAGATCAGTGTGGTACATTATGTATAATCCAAAAGGGCCAGAAATTCCATAGTACACAATAGAATACGTCTGCTCCATCATTCTTTTGATTTTATGCTGGCTTGTTATCCCAAGCTTAATTGTCAGTGGGCGGAGAACTACGGCCATAAGGAATTCACGTAAAAAAGTGAAGAAAATCATGTAAAAGAAGACGAAGTACAAGTCTTTTATACCCTTCCCATACATTTCGGTGTCACCAACCTGATATGATACAGCAACAAACATATGCAGAGGATTGGATGCCGTTCTATTGCCTGAAGTGAAATAAGCCCCATAAACAACAACCAAAATGAGAAATGCAGTTAACCATGTGTGACGGTAACTCATTTCCCTGTAAGTGAGCACGAACTTTCTCAGTAGGTCACCGTCACCCTTAGAAGCCTCAGATAACGCTCTCATCCTGGCCTGTGCGGCGCTCTTAGACTCCTTACTTTCTTTCATAGTTGACAGCCCTGGAACAGTGGTATCACCAAGGTTGATTGCACCAACGGACGAAGTCCGTCTCTGTCTCACTTTAGGTGTTTTGAGGTGAGATGACATTTAACTTGAAAGCTTTGTCAATTTTGTTCCCGTTACATGATATGATGGCACGATTTTACCAAACACTCTTGTGACAACACTTTTAAGCCACTGTTCGTATTGTGTGATCCGTTCATTAAGCAGCTTGTGCGGGATCATCTTCCGAATTTTGGACTACGGTCGTCACATCCTCCTTGAACTTATCCCTAACCATGGTCTCTAATCAAAAGATAAGGCATGCTATACTGAGGGCCACGGATGCCAAACTGAGATCGGATAACTGGCAATATATTCTCGATGTTTGTGATCTGGTAAGGGATGATCCAGAGGATGGTGGCGCTTACGCAATAGAAGTTATTGAGGAAAGACTGGGGCAGCCAGACGCTAATGTAATATTGAGAACTTTATCTTTAGTGGTATCAGTTGCAGAAAATTGCGGCTCTCGGTTGCAGCAAGCAATTAGTTCTAAACATTTTACCACAGTGCTGTTTGACCTAGTAGAAAGTAAGACTACACATCTGATCGTAAAAAGGGAAGTCGCTAAAATCGTTCAGCAATTGAAGGATTCATTTAAAAGCGATCCTTCTTTGAAGTATATTCAGGATCTTTATTTAAAGATCAACTCCAAGGCACCTTACCTGCTGCAACAGCCTAATGTACCTCAGAAGAAGGAGATGAACGATGACAACAAAATTAGGGAAGAAAAGGAACTTGAAGAAGCTTTAAGACTGTCTCTTATGGAGTACAGCCAGAAAAAAGAGCAGGAACAAACACCCGTAGATTATCAAAGCGCAAATCAGAAAGAAGCCCAAGACTCGTTGCCCCCTACTACGCAGACAATTATCAAGAAGGTGAGGGCAATGTACGATCTCAACGCTCGCGAACCTGATGAGCTTTCTTTTAAAAAGGGTGATGTTATTACGGTTATTGAACAGGTTTATCGTGACTGGTGGAGGGGGACCTTGCGAGGTAAAGTTGGAATATTTCCCTTGAACTACGTTACCCCTATAACAGAGCCAACAGCGGAAGAAATTAGACGAGAATTATGTGAGGAACAACAAGTCTTGGGACAGAAGCCGAATATTGAAAGATTGCAGCATGTGATGAGAACGTCAAATGGTGATGTTCGGATAACGCAGAGTGAAGAGGTTAATAATTTGTACGGAACGGTGACACCGCTTAGACCTCAAATTACCAAATTGATAGGAAAGTATGCTCAAAAAAAGGAGGATTTATCATCACTCCGCCAAATTCTTGCTAATGCAGAAGCCACTTACAATCAACTGCTGGATCGAGCAGCGCATGCTTACACCCCAAATTTAGCTCAAGATCCTTCCGCCGGCAATCCTGGTTTTACGAATCCACCATATCCTATTCATCAGCAGTCATATTTGTACCCTAATCCGAGCCCTGTGCAATCCCAATCTGGTGTTCCGCATGGTCAGGCAGTAAACTCTTTTCATTATTCACAGAATTCTGGGCTTAAGGCAAATGGAAGAAATGAAAATTTTAAAAAAGGGGCATACGAATTACCTTATCCAATGAGTAATCAAAATACGGGTTTGTAGTTCAAAGTACATTTATTTTTGAGTATTCGTTCTGAAATATTTTATTACCGTACATCTTTACCCAGAGATTAAATAACAAATTTAACTTAAAACCCCTTTTCTATTCTGCTTCGGAAGTAAATCTGATAAACCTGATAAACAAAGAAATAAAATGACTTCAGCGTTCGATTCAATCATTTGTGACATCATCTCAAGTGCTCCTTCTGGTGAGATCAAAGAGATTTACAATGATTTGAAAGCGCTCACAGGAAACAAGTCTAATGATTCCATTTTGGAAGCAATTACCGCGTACAATATTGAAAACTGCATTCCGGTGAATGTTGACGGAGAAAAGGTTATAATCTCGAAATATAATAAGGAGGGCTCTAAATTTTTCAGTCCCGTTACTTCTACGTTGTTCTCTGTCAACCATTTGGACCGGGTGGGCCTCGATTTGGAGAAAACTGATAGAAGCTTAACGGAGGAACAACAAGGCATATATGATGACCTACTAAAATACACTAAGAATAGTTTTCCAGGTGATGTCACTTTCGCTGTCTATCCAGGTGCTGTCGAGTCCGAGTTCGTTATTATAATTGTGAGCACGAAGTACAGCCCTGGTAACTACTGGAATGGGCATTGGAAATCTGAATATGTGTTCAATGTGAACTCTGGAAGTCTCGCTGGAGATGTTGACGTTAGCGTTCATTATTTTGAAGATGGAAACGTAAGCTTCAAGTTTTCAAAAGATATCACAAGTGAGGCTTCGCCTTCTAGTGTTGTCACGGTCATCAGAGAATTGGAAAACGAACTTGAAAAAGAGATGAACGCCTCCTTCACAAATTTAAATGAAAAGGAATTCAAACTACTGAGAAGGAGGCTTCCCGTAACTAGGTCAAAAATTAACTGGGGTAAGGGGATCGGTAATTATAGATTAGGCAAAGATTCATCGCAAAGCCAGATCTAGAAGTCCTTTTTAATGGTCTCCATCTCTTCAGAGTTTAAAACAGCTTAAATAAAGTGTAAATAATGAAAAATAAGAGCAATGCTAAACCTACCATTCGCCAAATATTGTTTCCAGCATTAAGGGATCTCGTCAACCTTCCTGAAGAGTTGCGAATATTAAGAGCCATCGAGCCAAAAGAATTTTGTATTTCATCAATGATAGAGCCATCGCTACGTGCATCATTTCCAATTTCCTGGTTGACACTCCTAAAGGTGGCCAACTTGTTCGCTAGCTCATCGAGTCTCTCGTTGTTCTACGTCATAAACAAGCGTTAGTTAAAAAGTTCCACAATTGATAAAGATCTAAAAAAATCACCTCTCATACGTTATTCTCGATCTGACTAAACCTCGAATTCGACATCAGTTTTAGTCTCGGTTTGTTTGGAACACACGGCTGAGCACACCTTCAAGTGATGTTCACCTTGCGCTTGAGAAGAACAACTAGAGATCACTCGTCCTCTTTCGTACTTCATGATCATTATTAAGCGGTGGACAATGGACACTCTCATTATTCTTGTGCACAAGGAATATTTGCCAGTATATGGAACTACAAGGTTTTTAAGGTGCTAAATCAGAGTAGATCTTGGTGTAAAAGTTTTTGAATTTTCATTTGAAATCAACATTAGGCGAACTGTTTTCATCATAGCACGAATTACGCAAGACATTTACATATCAAAGTAAAACTTACGTTAGCCAACAATAGAAAGATTCTTCTGAATCTGCCGCCATCACAGCTCCAACTGTCTCAGTATATGGAGCATTTCAGGGAAAGAGTTTTCGCATTCTACAAGAACCCTACAATGGAACTAGGCGTGCTCCAGGTGATCCTGTCCTCAATCGCAAATTATGTCATCACTAAAATCCAAAGAGACAGACGTAACTTTTTCATGGGCTGTGTACTTCTATGCACATTCTTTGTTGTCAAGCGTAAGTTGAACTGCATTAGTTATTATAAGACTACGCTAATGGTAGAAAACTTAACGCTCGCCTTATATAGTAGATTATGGTAGGAAAATTTTCCATTCGCCCTGACAGTTCTAACTCTTTTTGACTGCGAATTGAAATACACCAGTACATTTTGTAGTTTTCGTCTTTCATTCCGTACACCGCATAGTAAATTTATTTCTGTTACATTTTTTGGTGTTTTTTGTGACTAGTTTCGAAAAGCAAAAGTTCAATACTAAAACTCTACGGGTTTTCTGAGCATACTATGAAAGTTGGGAGAACCCACTCTCCTGGGACAGGTTCAAGATTTTCGAAGTTCATTCAACTTGACGGCGCTACCTTCAGGCTTATCTGATAGTAAGACACAGAAGAGTAAGATAAAGATGTCCACCGATTCTATTGTTAAAGCTTCCCAGTGGAGATTGGTTGAAGTCGGCCGTGTCGTTTTGATCAAGAAGGGTCCATCCGCCGGCAAGTTGGCTACCGTTGTCGAAATCATTGATCAAAAAAGAGTATGTTAAAATGAGAAAAGAGGAATACCCATGAAAAATACGGAACAGCGTGGTAATCTATTGAGGATGTTTGCTTTAAGATACATGATATCCTCTTGTGACCCAGTTTGTATTTTTACCACGTTGGTTTAGAGTGACTGCCTAAGTAGTTCGCTCGTGGAGTAATTAGGCGAAATTCGATGGTGAACGCAGTCTCCGGTATTTTCATGTAATTACTACTATTATGACTGATTACTAACAACATTTTATAGGCTTTGATTGATGGTCCAGCTACTGGTGTCCCACGTCAAAGCATCACTTTGGGTCACGTTGTTCTAACTCCATTGACCTTTGCTTTGCCAAGAGGTGCTAGAACTGGTGTCGTTGCTAAGAAGTGGGCTTCCGCAGGTGTCACCGAGAAGTGGGCTGCGTCTTCTTGGGCCAAGAAGATTGCTCAACGTGAAAGACGTTCTGCTCTATCCGACTTTGAAAGATTCCAAGTTATGGTTTTGAAGAAGCAAAGAAGATACGCTGTTAAGAAGGTCATTGCTAAGGCTTAAATAAGCGCATAGCTATCACCGCTTTTCAAGTAACCACCTTTTTACTGGGGCATGGAATATATATTATTACAGTAATATAATGTATATCTAACAACTTTTACTAACTTTGATATTGAAAGTCTATGTGTTCGGTAACCCAGAGTGGAAGTAGATGGATCTGCGTGACTATTTCGGATCTTCTTAACCTCACTAAGTGAATTAAAGCATTAAATAGTGTAGTTATATGCACCAAAATTAATAAAGTTACAATTTAAATACGAACATGGCAAGCTTTTTAATCTTTTAATAAGTCTTCCCTTACTACAGCAACTACCAGCAAAGCTCTAGATTCCATTTTGATAGAGTTTTCGATGCTGGGAATTAAATTGAATAGCGTGTGTTCTTCTCCATTATTCCAGGGAATCACATAAATATGCCTCACGTATTCTCTGTTCGTTTTCAAGGCACCGTATCTGTGCCGCTTTGATAGAAATTCGAAGAACTCTGAAAATTTATCTTGATCAGATGGATGTTCATTCGGTATCAACTCGTATACTACCAAAATCCTGGTATTCAACATTTGATTGAGATACTTGTCACCCTCGTCACTGCTAAGCCGACCCTCTACAGTGAAAAGATGACTATTCATCGCGTCTGTGCACACTCTTTGATTGAGCGGTCTTGAAGAGCCCAAAAATTTTGCACTTGCAACAAACTTGGCGTTAATTTCGTCATATTGGATTGTACAGTTTGATATACGCACTTCCTCATTTTTAATACTGTCACCGTTAAGCGAAGCAGTTGAGGGTGGAACTCTTCTTGTGCTCTTGTCACTTTGAGCCAAACCAATCCCTTCTTTATAAGAATCATCATGTTTGGATAAGATAATGTCCTTACTAAATATGATATCTTCAGGTTCGAAGGCATTAGGGTCTTCGATAAGTTCATCTCCTTTATGTGTTTTGATGTATTTAGGCCTATTGGGTTGCTCAAAAATCAACTGTTCCGAAGCCTCATTCCCAACTTTTTCCCTGAACTCTCGTAAATCAGGATTAATCAATTCGTTGACTGACATTTTCACCAGTTTTTCATAAGGTATGGCCTTTGTAGCTACCAGTTTTTTCAAATGTGCATTCTTTTGATCCTTCAAATTTGAGTAAATCATCCTAACTTTCTCTGTGTACATACTTGCCGCATTTTCGCCACTTTTGTAATATGATTCAAATAATTGACCTTCTAACTCCCTAGCGAGATCCTCAGCACGGTTATCCGTTATGTCTTCCTTTAATGTCCCGCTTGCCAAACTCTCTGGAATTATGTATTTCCTGAAAAGGTCAGTGAGCATTTTGAGGGCGGACTCCCTCAGTTTACTCTCCTGCGTGACTTCCGACTTCCTGCTTTTCTTTCTGTTATTACTGGATCGGCGATACTCGCCACTAACTTGGCCTGGAATATCGTTACTTTCTACGCGATATTCCTCGTCTTCAACGTGATCAGAATCCTCTTCATTCTGAGATCTGCGTTTCAAGTTTTTCGATTTTGCAAAGTATGTGGGATCAATGGCACATTTAACATCCGGATATGCAGATGGGTTGCATACATTACAATAATAAGTGGATGACGCTTCTAATACATCTTTCCCCGTCATGCATTTTATATGTTGCCATGTGTCGCAACCATCACACTGAACCATATCACCGTGCGGATCATTCTCTTCATCGTAGTTTTCATCTGTCGTACCACAAACAACGCATCTAACTGTGTCCTGGCCATCGTTGTAGGTTTCTTCAAGTGTAGCCTTCATAACCTCTCTTTCCTTCAAATATTCAAGCTCAGCTCTCATCTGATCCTGTAAATACTTGTTTTTTCCTTTATTCCTACGCGAAGATCTACGAACAGCTTCATTGTTGATACTCATTATCAGGCAGAATAGTCTTCAATGGCAACAGATAAATCGAATTGAAGGAGACTAAAGAAAGATGGAGATGCCCCCGCTATACTTTTGTACGTACGTTCGTTCTTTTAGAGATGAGTAGGTAACAAAAAAGAGAAACAAATACATAAAAAAAAAAAAAAAAAAAAAAAACAAAAAAAAAAGCGCAACTTCATTTACTCGTTTACAAATCGAACTCCTTGAAAACAACAACAACAACTCTAGTTAGGCAACTTACAAACTACTACACAACCTTTCACTGCCTTTCATCTTTATAACGAAACTTTAACCATTTGAATATAAAAGGGATATAGCCATTCGTTCGAATTATTAGTTGTCAAAGAAGCGACTACAGGTCTCATTTTCACAAATCAATGTCGGAACTATTTAAAAAATGGTTCCTCTCAAAAAGACCAGCTGGCTCTAGGGTTGCCAATTTAGAGACAAGTTTTGATGTCAACATAACACTGAGGAAGCTTAAGCGCTACAGACCAGCTGTTTCTGATCTTTGCCACTATGGTTTTCTCGGCAGTGTTCTTCTTTTTGTTTTCATTGTAAATCCATTGCCCTGGATTTTCAAGATCGCATTATATTTCTTTGTGGGGACTCTCTTTATGCTCCCGGCTACTTCGCAGTTTTTCTTTAATGCCTTACCGATTTTAACATGGTTAGCACTGTATTTCACTTCTTCATCATTTTCTGTCGATTACAGACCACCCATCACCGTTCAAGTCCTACCAGCAATTGAAACTATTCTTTATGGTGATAACTTAAGTGATATATTGGCAACTTCTGAAAATAAGGCAATGGATTTAATATTTTGGCTACCATATGGTATATTTCATTTCGGAGCTCCATTTGTGGTTGCGGCTATTCTGTTTTTATGCGGCCCGCCAACCATCCTACGAGGTTATGCCTTTGCATTTGGCTATATGAACCTATTCGGCGTAATGATGCAAAACCTCTTTCCTGCCGCACCTCCATGGTATAAAAATTTATACGGTCTAAGCCCTGCAAACTACAGCATGAAGGGCTCACCAGGGGGACTTGCAAGAATTGATGAATATTTTGGCATCAATTTGTACACCTCCGGTTTTTCGAATTCAGCGGTAATTTTTGGGGCATTTCCATCCCTGCACTCGGGTTGTGCAACCATGGAGGCTCTTTTCTTTTCATATGTTTTCCCTAAGCTGAGGCCACTTTTCATTTTCTATGTTTGTTGGTTGTGGTGGTCTACCATGTATTTGACCCACCATTATTTTGTAGACTTGATGGCGGGTTCTGTACTATCTTACGTGATTTTTCAGTACACAAAAATATTTCATCTTCCGGTGGCCGACGGTTCAATGTATTCTCGGTGGGGCTATGGTGAAGTTGTGAAGTTCAATCTGTATCAGGCTGATCCATTGAGTGTGTCTCCAAATGACATTGAGAGTCTTCAAGCTCCTTTAACTCTAGAGACTGATTTTGAGCTCAATTCCATGAACAACAGCGCATCTCCTTCGATATTTGACAATAGTAGGTCAGTTTCGAGATCTTCAGGAACTTCTAATACTTCTCTAGATATTCAAGAGGAAGTTTTCTCTTCTCCAAGGTTGAACAACAAACAGAGAATAGATTGATGCATTGATACTGAGCTTTAATAACTAATCTACTGTGAGCATTGGTTATTGTTGATCATTTTCAATTAATTTAACCATACACGTATATTACTATGAGATAAAATAATACGTAGTCTGTATAATATTACCACTGCATAGACTGGAGCGGAAAGCAGGCGTTCAAACAGGTAATTTATGAATTAGAAACTATACACAAGAAATGCTAAATCCTCACTGATATTGCTAGAAACTATCCTTTTTAAGCTTCTCCAAAACTGAGCTATATCCAGCAGCCCTTTCAATGGACGAAGCGACATCCAACTGCTTTTTGTTGTTCATCCTTACAATAGAGGACCTTATGACACGAGGGTCTCTCTTCAAAGTTCGTAAAATTTCTGACTGCACTGCTGCAGATGCATCAAACATCATTAAGAAGTGATAACCTTGGAAGTGTTGTTCTTGGTCTTTCTTAACAATTTTGGGAAGTAACTTATTACCCATTGGAATGATTCTCCGGATAACACCTCTGTTTTGAATTATGAGTTTGCCTATGGTAGTCGCAAGCTCTTTCGCCTCGCTATTAGCTGATAGTGGATTTATAACACGAACAACACTGACTAATTCGTAAAGCATCTCCTGGATTATTTCGCTGTACTGATTTCTTTCACACCAAACGTGGACGTGGACCGGTAGGGCGTTCAAATATTCAAAATTTTCAGTTTGGAAAATCCGGGTAAGGACCCTTTCGAAGCTCTCCCCCGCCCCCTTTGAGATGAAACAAATTAAACTAACTGTTATTCCTAGAAACTGTTATCATCATGAATCTCTTCGAATGGGCCTTAGGTAAAAGCCTTACTCCCCAGGAGCGCCTCAAAAAGGTTCGTTACAATAATTTGATCCTTATAAGAGTTAAAAATTGACAGGTTACTGACATATAGTATAAAAGAACCAAAGGGCACTTGAAAGAACCCAGCGTGAATTAGAACGTGAAAGAAGGAAGTTGGAAGCCCAGGAGAAAAAACTCGTTGCGGAAATTAAGAAATCTGCAAAGAATGGTCAAATCAGTGCAGCCAAAATTCAAGCGAAGGACCTGGTAAGAACAAAGAAGTACATTGAGAAGTTTAACAACATGAAAACACAACTGCAAGCCATATCTCTGAGAATCCAGGCAGTAAGGAGTAGCGACCAAATGACTCAATCTATGAGAGAAGCGACAGGGCTTTTGGCAACTATGAATAGATCGATGAATCTTCCCCAATTGCAGCGGATATCGGCTGAATTTGAAAGGCAGAGTGACTTAATGGATCAGAGGCAAGAGTTTATGGATGATGCCGTCGATGAAGTGATGGGAGGTGAGTTGGAAGATGATGATGAAGCGGAAGAGATAGTGACTAAAGTTTTAGACGAAATTGGAGTTGATCTTCACGTAAAGTTACAAAGCGCCCCACAAGACCTACTTGAATCACCGACAACTGAGTCGACCGAAAGAGTACCTGAGTCTATCGGTGCAAGTGGTGGTACTCAGCCAAGTTTAGATGATGAACTTCAGGCTCGGTTGAATAGCTTGAAGAGATGAAGAAAATAAAATAAACATTTATTATTGACATCTATCGTAGATTACACAATGTTTTCTTTGAGTAAATAGTCGTATATTTGCTGAGCACATTCTTCGACTGACTGCTTGTCTGTATGTACATGTAGTTCGGGAGCTTCTGGGGCCTCATATGGTGCTGAAATACCAGTGAAACCCTTAATAATACCCTCCCTCGCCTTTTTGTACAGACCTTTGGGATCACGTTGCTCGGCGACAGCAAGAGGCACGTCAACGAACACTTCAATAAATTTGAGGTTGCCTTCTTTATGTAGTTCCCTTGCTTTTTCACGGTCTGATTTGTATGGAGATATAAATGATGTGATTGCAATTGTGCATGAGTCCGCGAATAATTTTGACACTTCCGAGATTCTACGAATATTTTCATTACGATCCTTCTCTGAAAAACCTAAGTCCTTGTTTAGGCCAAACCTGATGTTGTCACCATCAAGCCTGTAAGCAGAGAAGTTCTTCTTCAGTAGTAGTTGCTCAAGAGCGCAAGCGATAGTGCTATCGAAATTGTTAGTAACGTAATTTAATTAAGTTAACCCATTCGGATGCATTAAACGTACCTTTTACCTGAAGCGCTTAAACCAGTCAGCCAAATTGTACAACCAGATTGCTTTCTCAGTTCTTTACGTTCTTCGTAACTCAAATTAGGATGCCAAGTAATATTGGTTGCCATTATAGAATCTTAATTTATCGCCTAAATTCAGTATAAGATTGTTATAAAAGTAGTCTGGAATGTTTCTTTTATATTCAATGATATGTTTGAGTATCTGTACACATCTACACCACAGTTGGTTACATTCACGTGATATTGTAATCTTGCGCTACTCTCATATTCCCTTTATCTCCTAATCAAAAAATCGGTAGAAATTGTGCAGCTGATTATTCGCAGCACTATCCAAAAAACGTTGCTATACGCTCAGCCTCGCACCAAAAACAGAGGAAGGCAGAACAGTAAATTATTCGTAATAATAGTAGTACTGATAGTGTGTAATTAATTAAGTACAATAACAATAAAAAGAACTTCCTCTCTAGGTATCGTTTACCCAAGTTTCAATAATACAAAAGGAACGGCAAAACTCATTTAGTATTACTATGCAATTGCATCACACAAACATTTATTGTTCCGTCGGAAAGCAGTAATCAAAACCGTAAAAAAAATAAAAAACCTAAATTATCACCTGACTTACTTTAGTTTAAATTATTATATTCCATTTATATATTTTAATTTTTAAATATATTTAAAAGTTTTTTATTTGTTATGTTTTTTAGTTATTTACTACTTTTATCAAAAAAACATTTTTTGTTTTAGTAATTCTATAAAAGACTTCTTCCTTATTTAGTTTGTGTTCTAGGTTTCCGAAATGTTAAAGTTTGTTTTAATTTATGATAAAAATTTAGTTGTGGAAAATAGGCAAATATATAAGAACGTACTTTTTTTTGTAGCATGTTCGATTTTATGGTCAGGCAGTTTTTCTCTGAGTATCCATTGATATGATCCTCATAACTGATTTCGGGCAGTTTTATTGATCCATAAATGGGGGTTTTCTAATAAGACTTGATATTTATCGACAATATATTGTATACAATAATATGAGTTTTTAAACTGAAGAGACAATTTCACTGGCGTTTTTCAAAATTTCAACCATTTTTTGACACTCTTTTCTCCTCTGGATGGTGATGTCATTTTCCTTCGTTAAGTCCTCAATATCTTGATTTCCATACAGTTTTTCCAAAAGAATTTTCTGGATGTCATTCTTACTCTTAACAATTAGTTTGAACATAACAGCCTTAGGTATGATATCGGCGACGGTCTTCTTCACAATGTTGAAATAGCTATCAATTAACAGTTTGATGACTTCAGTTTCCATTGTTTCTCTTTCGGTCATCTGTCCGCTAGCTTTTAGTACAGGAGGTGGAGACTCTAATGCCACAAGTTTCTTTTTGTTCTTTGACGAAAAAAACCCTCCGAAAAAGCCTGACTTATCCTCCGTCGTTTGCTGTGTGGGCGGCTGATTAGGAAGGGGTTTACCACTTTTCGGGTCAACTGCTACTTGCCTTGGGTGCAGCCTTTCCTCAACCATTGCCATTGCCTGTGAACCTTTTAATAGGTCAGGATGTGCAGTGTTAATGTATGTTTGCTCAGATCTGATAATATCCAATACAAATTCATTGGTTGGAATGATGGCCTCTTTGAGAAACTGAACAAAATAATTTGACATCGCCTCTCTCAAGCCAGGATACCTGCTGTACTTGGGCTGCGAAATTATTTGCTTCAAAATTCGAACCAGTTCATCGAAAACCAGGCTAATCAATCTTAGACTTGGTTCTTCAAATCTATGAATTTGCTGCTTCACAAGTACTTCGAACGCTTCGGTACCAACGAACAAAGATGGTGCCGCACCGGAACTATTGTACATTATGGTTCTGATGTCAGAGTCCTTAATTTGGTCAAAGGGATCTAAAGCTCTTACTCCATTCTTGTAAATCTCATGGAAAACAAACGAGATACGGGCACCACCAGAAAGCTCTTGGCTGGACAATTCCTTAGCCTCACCATCTAATATGCCTGTGTATTCCTTGGAAAAATCAGTAATCATACTCAATACAATAGAGTTAGGTGAGTCCATTGTTTCTGGGCCAAGGCTTAGAAGCTCCGATTGATATTTCTTTAGAGTTACCTCGATTTTGTTTTTTATCTCTGGAAGCGTCTGTCTGATATGGTGTAACAAAATAGAATTCAATTTCTTTGCTAGGTAAGGAGTGCCACAATAGTGCGCTTTTGAGCTATAGGAGGGATGATTTTCGAAGAATTTCCTCTCGTCCTCCAATGCAGCCCTAATCGTTTTCTTTGCCTCTATATCCTTTTGGCCCCTGTTGATGACAGGGATGTAACCATACCTTAAAGGAATTACTCTGCCGGCTAGAATGTCAATAACATCTGTACCCTGATCCATTAAATCAACTTTAGTTAGCACACCAATTGTTCTTGTACCCTCTGGGTCGACCTCTCTTGCCAGTTTTAAGCCATCGCTATTCGCAAGATCCGTGTTCGCGGCATTCACAGATAAAATAATTGCATTGGGTTTCGAGATATACTTTAAAATCATATCTTTGATCTGCTTCTCGATATCAATTGGCTGATCACCTACTGGAACCTTTGTCAGACCAGGTAAATCAACAAGCGTCAAGGTTAAAACATGAGGGGAATAAATTCTTAAATTGATGGGAATTGAGGAAATTCCAGCGTTCTTGCCTGTTGTCTTGTCCGTTTCAGTCACAATTTCCTGTCTTATTTCGTCGAAATTGAAGAACTTTTTCCCTGGAAGATGCAAAAACTCACCCCATTCGTTCAAATTATCTTCTGACTGCCCTTTTTTGCTGCTAGGGCCATCTAAATCAAGTAATTCATTCTTCGTAGATTGAGATGGTGAGCCTTTCATTGGCCTTTTATTGATCAATTGAAGAACTAATGGTCTTCTCGTAACGATACCAGTGCCTCTAGGAAGAAAGTCTCTTCCCACAATATTTTCCAGGACCGAGGATTTACCAGATGACTGAGAGCCGACCACAGTTATTTGAGGTAGATCAACAGGAGATTGGGACCCTCCACCTAGGGGTGCCAAAGCATCTTGCAGCTTGTTGATTGTGGCAATCAGAGTCTCATCCATAGCCGTATCAGGTTTATGATTTAGTTTGTCTATCGGTTGAAACTTGATAACTAGATCCCCCTTTTCGCCACCGAATTTCAAATGCTGATGCGCATGTTACCCGGGGCGAAAGAAACTCAGCACAAAACACTTCTGACCCCATTCAATGCTATGAATAATTATTTATTCGGTTAATAGACTGTACGCGTCACATTGACTTGCTGAAGTCTTAGTATTGCAAAGCCATATTTTTCTTTAGCGTCAATCGTAAAGATTGAATCTTGGTCATTGCTCTTCTGTTTAAAACTTTTGCGACGACGATTCACTCTCATACTTTGCTCGGCCACAATATAATACATTCGAGGATAATACAAAGGTCGTCTTTCGAAAATGAATCGACAGAGAACTTATGGTGTTACTGGTCCTATATCTACAGCGGGACCTACTGCTGCTGAAAATCAGCTAAATGATAGTTTGATTCAAGAATTGAAAAAGGAAGGATCTTTTGAATCTGAAGAAGATACGAAGAAGAGGGTTCACGTTCTCGAAATATTTCAAAAACTGGCGGAGCAATTCGTCTTTAAGGTTTCTAAAAACAGAAATATGTCTGACGGCATGGCTAAAGATGCCGGTGGCAAGGTTTTTACTTTCGGTTCATATCGTCTAGGAGTTCATGGGCCCGGTAGCGATATAGACACGTTGATAGTGGTGCCCAAACATGTTACACGCGAAGATTTTTTCACTGTTTTTGATCAGATCTTGAGAACTAGGCCTGAATTGGAGGAAATAGCACCAGTTCCCGACGCTTTTATGCCTATTATCAAAATAAAATTTAGTGGCATATCCATTGATCTGCTCTGTGCCCGCTTAGATATTGCCCAAGTTCCTTCAAATTTAACTCTATCAGATAAGAATCTATTGAGAAACCTGGATGAAAAGGATTTGAGAGCTTTGAATGGTACTAGGGTCACTGATGAGATTTTGCAATTGGTTCCGAAGCCAACGGCTTTTAAGATAGCTTTGCGCGCTATCAAGCTATGGGCACAAAGGAGGGCAGTTTATGCAAACGTCTTTGGATTTCTAGGTGGTGTCGCTTGGGCCATGCTTGTAGCGAGAATCTGTCAACTATATCCTAATGCTTGTAGTGCCGTAATAGTTGCTAGATTTTTTCACATATTAACCAAGTGGAATTGGCCACAACCAGTTTTGCTAAAACCAATTGAAGATGGACCTCTTCAAGTACGTGTTTGGAACCCCAAGATTTATGCTCAAGATAGATCTCACAGAATGCCTGTGATTACCCCTGCTTATCCTTCCATGTGTGCTACGCATAACATTAGCGAATCTACGAAGAAAGTCATTTTGGCAGAGTTGGAAAGAGGTGCTCAAATGACGAACGACATTTTCACCAACAAAAAGACTTGGGCGGATTTATTCCAAAAGCATGATTTTTTCTTCAAGTATAAGTTCTACCTGACAGTGATGGCTTGCACAAAGGGTAACGATGAGCAGCATTTGAAATGGAGTGGTCTTGTAGAAAGTAAACTTAGATTACTTGTTCAAAAACTAGAAGTTTTGCATGGAATCAAGTTAGCTCATCCTTTTACTAAACCTTTCGAAGCAACATATGCTTATAGTAATGAGGAAGAGTGTAAAGTCATCATGGATAACTATGGCACGCATAAAACAGAAGAAACCCTGAAACAGTTCAAACAGGTTACTGATGAAAACAAGAACGAAGAGGAGGTCAAGATCAAGAAGCAAGTGCACATAACTACTTTATACATTGGACTAGATGTTGAGGTTGAAGGAAAGAGACAAGTTGACATTCATGTACCTTGTTCAGATTTCTTTAACCTATGCAGATCTTTCAGCGAATATGATGACCCCGAAACGTATTCTTTGATTATCAAATATGTCAAGGTATATGACCTGCCTGAGGCTGTTTATGAAGAAGGAGAAGTAAGACCTATAAAGCAAAGCAAGAAAAGAAAGCAAGAAAAACTCAGCAAGAAGGCGAAAAGGCCAAAATCTAGCTTCTCGAACGGAGTTAGTGAAAAGTCGGTATTAGCTACCAATGGATCTTCCGATGAAATCGACAAAAAGGACAGTGATAAGAATAGTTGAAAATAATAAAGTATCCAGCATCTTTAATCTCAAGGACTGCTCAGGATCCAACAACGCACAAGTGAATTATTCGGCTTTTTTTAAGTAAATAGTTGTGTAGAATATGTTATGTTGCTCTTTGAGAATTCTAACGCGCATTTTTTTTATCCCAACGGCGCGTTCACGACCTGGTGGACCGAAATATTTTTCGACATGTTTGTCCCCCTATCGTGACAAGAACCTGAAGTAGCAACAATTTAACTACGAAATTAGTCGACTTTCTGGCGTCGGTACCAAATCTAATATTCTAAAAGATATAGTCATTTGAAGCTTTTTCTCTGAGAATCAATTTCTGCAGGCTTACGGGAAATCAATCACACACGATAGGCAATGGCATTAGGGAAGCTCAAAACTAAAATCAACACCTCATCTTCATCGTCCATTTCAAACACTGGACCGGCATATGAAACTCTTAGTAGGCAAATTGTCGATACAGACGATATTGATGAGAACGATGAATCTGGGCAAAGTATCTTGCTAGGTATTATTACGCAGCTCAAGCCAGGTTGCGATTTATCGAGAATTACCTTGCCAACATTTATCCTTGAGAAGAAATCAATGCTTGAAAGGATTACAAACCAATTGCAGTACCCTGATATTTTACTAGAAGCGCACCAGGAGAAAGACGATTTGAAAAGATTTGTGGGTGTAGTGAAATGGTATCTCTCCGGGTGGCACATAGCACCTAAAGCGGTCAAGAAGCCTCTAAATCCTGTTTTAGGTGAATACTTCACAGCATATTGGGATCTGCCCAACAAACAGCAAGCTTTCTACATATCCGAGCAGACAAGTCACCACCCTCCAAAGTCATCATACTTTTATATGATCCCCGAATCTAACATCAGAGTTGACGGTACTACAATTCCGAAATCAAGATTTTTGGGAAACTCAACTGCAGCAATGATGGAAGGTCTTACCGTTTTGCAGTTTCTAGATATAAAGGATTCTAAAGGAAATCCTGAAAAGTATACTCTGACGCAACCTAATATGTATGCTAGGGGAATTTTATTTGGTAAAATGAGGATAGAATTGGGGGATCATATGGTGATCAAATCTCCTTCATATCAAGTTGATATTGAATTTAAGACGAAAGGGTTTATATCAGGTACCTATGACGCCATCGAAGGCATTATAAAAGATAATTCTGGTAAGGAGTACTTCGAAATTTCAGGAAAATGGAACGATGTCATATATATAAAAGATTTGAGAAGCAAGGCTTCCAAGGTCGTGCTGTTCGATGCGCACAAAGAAAAGCCTCTTAAACCCGAGGTTCGTCCTCTTGCAGAACAAGGTGATTTTGAGTCTAGGAAATTATGGAAGAAAGTCACAGATGCCTTGGCTGTACGCGATCATACCACAGCCACGGAGGAGAAGTTCAAAATCGAAAACTATCAAAGAGAGCTTGCGAAGAAGCGCTTAGAAGACGGTGTCGAATTTCATCCGAAGCTCTTCAGGCCTGCAAGTGGACCAAATGATGACCTTGAGTATTACATCTATAAGCAAATACCTGCAGGTGGAAGTCATGAGGATCAGATAAGAAGTATTTTAGAAATTGCACCTATTTTGCCTGGCCAGAAGTTTACTGAAAAGTTCAGTATTCCGGCTTACAAAAAGCATGAAATTCAACAAAAGGAGAACCCGGTCGATCCATAGGCGGTCAATTTATGTAAATATATGAAAAAACTTTTCTCTAGTACTTTGAATACTTTCTGAATGACTCTTCACCTAAAACCCTCTTTGAGAAGATTCTGCATAAATTGCAGTTTAATTTTAAGACGCTGAAATTTAATTCTCAATAATAAATCGTCCTCCTGGTCTTCCAGTAGTGGAGATGATGGGGTGCGAAGTGCCGCATAGGCATTTTCTTTTTCCATATTAGCAGTTTCTTGATTCCAGTCTTCAAATAAGTCAAGCCGTTTGTTAGGGCTAACATTTCGCAGGAGCTTCAAAATACATATATACGGTGGTGAATCGAGAACTTCAACCCTGTCAATGTAGCTCTTAATCTCAATAATCTCAGATATCAGCCGCTTCTCATCTGGACCCTCAGAACACTGAAGGGCATGATGACGTAATCCATACTTATCACAATGGCGCATATACTCGTTTCTATTAAAATCCTCGGAAGCATATGATTGAGATAAGAAAGAACCGTATGTGTACCACGAGGAACTATCTTTGAGGTGTCGATAACAAAACGATCTCGTTCCCACTAAAATTGCATCTTTTTCCTCATTTGTTGCAAAATCATAGAACCAGCGCAATGTGTTCCAACAGTAGTAGTTAGAAATATGTTGCTGAGCTGATTCTAAACACAAATCCAAGTAATCAAAATGTAACGAGGGAAACAGTTCCCTCTTTAGAACGTATAACCTTCTTAGTAGAAGCCAAAGCGAAGATGATTTGTTCACTCGATTATTTGTTGAACTCAAAAGGAGCGTTAATAATTGAAGTTCTTTATTAAGGAAAACTTCTGGTATCGCTTCGCGATGCGTGAACAGTTCTTGTGATGCGTTTATTTTATTACGAATAAAGTCCTCGTGAATATTTAATGCTGTCTTGTCCTCAGGTGTAACAAATAAAAGACCAACTGATGCATAATACGTGTCTTCGTTTCTTGGAATGGCTAAAAAATAGTTGTTAGTAAATTAAGAAGACTGCCTTTTAGTCACTGTACGTACCCGCGGTTTTGAACTTCCTAAAGTAATCATGGGCCTCTTTGAAAATTCTTAAATAGGTTGATTTGAAGCATATGATCTCAATTTGATCCTTGGAGCGTGCAAAAAGGAAGTTCGACTTTGAACCGGTGAGTTGATCAGGTAGAACTACCAGTCGCGGTTTGATGGGATATGATTTCGAAGTTATGATTTCATACAATTGTCTACAGAGGGTGTGCGCTTCCATGGTCGTTTTGGGTAGGTTATTTATATTTTTGGGATGAATTGTCGAAAGTCATTTCTGACTACGAAATACAACTTGTAAACATACTTAGTATGAGAGGATACCAACAAAAAACATGACGGAGCCTTCATGCATGAAAAGGAAATGAAACATCATACCAAAAGTGTGCTATTAGCCATTTCCACATATGACATGACAAACATTTTTTTACCACATTGTTTCGTAGGCTTATTCTCAGAGAAGGTAAATCGTATCTACATATTTAAGTTTCCTTTGCTTGAATTGAAATTGAAATTAACGTTAACGCATGATGATACTGGATTACAAACCTCTGTCTTCCGATAGAAATATAAACTAAACGTTAATTTTCAAACTTTTAAAGTCTTAGATGCAATTTTTTGAAGTCCTCAGAGGTCACCAATCTTCGAAGTAAGGGCCGACACTGGGCTGACAGTATACTATGGTAACAAACTCCAAGCGAATTATTCTTTAGGAAGTTTTGTGCAGTTTAGCGGCAGCTCATTTTATTGAAAGTTCAAGCAGCGTTTTGTTATCGTTGATACTTCTCCAAGTCTCATGAGGTTCGAGTGTCTCTGGTTTTTGTCGTTTCTTTCTTTTATCCGCGCTACCAATGCTGTTCGATTATCAGTAACATCGTTAATTAAAAATTTAATTAAATAGTATATAATAAAGCTACACAAGAACTGCGTACTCTAGATACAGACAGTGTACGAACTAAATTTGAAATTTGAAACGTGATAAGAGAAATTATCTATATCAAAATATGTGACGCAAGACAGCTAAGAGGGATTATTGTAAACATTGGAAAATCACTAAGCTGCATTTTATGATATAATTCTGTAATGTGTTAAGCAATCCAAAAGAACGGCAAAGACCGGTCGAATCTTTTTCAAGAATGTGTACAAATTTCAATTCCGAAACTGGCAAAGAGATGCAGGGTGCAGCTTCATATTTGCATCTAAGGAAAGCAACCGTCAGGAACGTGCTACATTATGAAACTTCACTAATTTTTAATTGTTGAACATCCAATACATACTCTATATTTCCTGATAAAGCTTCACCTGGGTTGCATCAAACCTTTAATCGCTCTCCAAAATGAGGAAAAAGCGCATCGAGGGTGTATACATCATACATCTCAAAGAGAGCTTGAAGTTTATGTAATCTGGTCTTAGAAGAATACGCTAGCCAACGATTCTTTACGTGAAAAACGGCCCGGAAGCAATTGGATTGAGGCTGTGATCTGATATTGAATTAACATAGTCGCATGACATTTCGAATGACGCTGTGCAAAGATTAGATTTTAATTTTATGTACAAGTTTTAACGTTTGAAGCCCATGACTTAATGCTTTGCTCGCTCAATGGCCTTTTTTGCTGATTCACGCTCCAAGGTTTCGACCTCAGATAGTATTCTGCCTAATTTTTTCTTCAGATCCTTCTGTTTCACATCTTTGACAACATAGACACTTGCTGCACTATAGGTTTCTTCATCTATATGAATTGCGTTAGGCTCTAATTCATTGTATTTTGCTTGCTTTCCCGACAAAATCTCTTCAATAAAATAGTTGCGAAATGACATTGGTGAACTTAATTTCGTCAACTGATAGTCTGGTATTAACACACCAGTTTGAGCTTGAAGAGATTTGGTGAAGAAAAACTTCGATACTAAATCGGGGAATGGTGTTGAAATACTAGAATTGGTAACACTTATCACCCCAGATTCTTTGGAGAAGTCTTTATAAGCTCGTAGTATGATCAAATCCAAATCATCGAGAGAAGCAACTTGCCGTTTTGACAACCATTTGTTAAAAGGAACAGTCTCTAAACGGTGCAAACGGTTCTTCAAATTAACTTGTCCAGGTTCTTCTCCAATGAAGTCTTCCTCCGCAAGCTTTAACTTCAGCTTGCTCACATTGTTTATAGTCATCTTACCCGATTCAATCTCATCAATAACTTCTCTTGTATCCTTAGCTGTTGGTATTACATCCTTTGTGTTCTTCGTTTGCTTCCTTTTGAACCATGACATAAAATCATTTGAAGCCGGAGTCATATGAAGACTTCTAGTTGACTTCAGAGACAAAGAAGTTCTTGTTAGCATCCTGAAACAATTGCAAATCAAATACTATTTAAACAAGTTTACTTCAGTCTCCTATTATAATCTATTTGATATTCATTGGTTTATCATCTAAAATTTTTCAAGATCTGAAAAGAACTGTGAAGAGTTACCCAGCCCTAAGAAGGATAAAATTACAGCGCAGGTGAAATAACGATTTGATAGCCTAAACTTCTGTCGCACAATACAGCTGCTGGTTAGCTACGTATCTCGGAATTATGGGAGTGATTTTCAGCTGCTGCAATCGTAACGGTTCAAATGAAACAGATCCTCTCCTTCAAGGTGCACAAAATGGATACAACTCAAGTGCTGATAATGATTATGACGCTGTTCAACGTCAATTGGAGCAAGAGGAGCAGAAACTTCTTGCAAGAGAACAGGAACTTACCGAAATTGTGAATAATACCAACGACAAACTAATTGATATATCTATGATGAGCAATAGCGGCATTGTAGTGCAGAGTAACGACTTGGACGGTTTACTAGATAGTGATGGTAGGGAGCAAGACAGTAATGCTGCTACAATCAAAGCTGAAGATAATAAACTCAGAATACTGGATCCCTCTAAAATAAAAACTTCTGAGCGTATAGCAGTCAAGAAACTAAGCTCCATGCTTTTTGAACGACTAAACTCTCAATTACACATCGAGCCTGTGCAAAACTTGATAGTAACTCTGTGAAATGATTTCAGGAGTCTCGAAAGAGACCGAGTTCTGTAATATTGAATGCATAGAAGATCAATCCCCATTACACCTACTGTAATCATTAGTTACGTACCAACATTGATTTTTCATCTGCTGTTAAACTCAGAATGTAAAATATATACCACCTAAATACTAGAAGTGCAATGCCTCCCAAGAAAAGAAAGACTCAGGAAGCAGAATCTGCTCAGCTTCCACCTCAACAATCGCGATTTGTTGCTGGTAAACACCCGCGCTCAGATGAAAAGCTCCCTGTTGTTGATTACCATACCCCTTTGGATGCAGAAAGTGAATTGTTCTCAGATGACGATTGGTCTATTCCGAAATTCAATCTGTTTATAACATTCACTTTAGACAATTTGGTAGAGAGTTTCAGATCTATCTTCAAAGATTTCATTAAGCTACCTAGCAGAAAATTTCATCCTGGATACTTTTACAAAATTGATCAACCTATTTCTATTAACGAGATTAAATCAAGAGATTACGAATATGTCAATGGCCAGAGGAATTTCCTGTTAGATGTTGAGCTAATTACGAAAAACTGCTACTCGTATAATGACCCAGAAAGCTTAATAGTGAAAAATTCTATGCAGGCTGTCAATTATATCAAATATGAGGTTCTGAAAGCCAAAAACGTCACGAGAAACTATCTGATTAATAATGAAGTCAAGAATTTCTTAATTAAATCTTTGGATTTCTTGATAAATGCAACTGATAAAAGCATTGCAGAAGTGCTGGAAAATTCTACTGAAGGTCTTGATGATACTATGCACTTGAGCGAACCATTCATGGAGCTAGTGAATAAAGATGAGCTACCTGAATACTATGAGGTAGTTCATAGACCTATTGCATTGAAATTAGTGAAGAACAATTTGGAAATGGGATACTATACAAAAATCTACGACTTTTACATCGATATCGAACTTGTTTTTCAAAATGCACTGGTATTCAATGGAAAAGATACATTAATTTATCAAGATTCTGAGAAGCTCCTGCGATTCTTCAGAAAAATGATGCATAACAAGTTCTTCGTAGAGCTGAAGGATGCGAGCGAACGTGGAGAAGTCAAGCTAGAGTACGATAAAGTTGAATATGAACAGTACTTGGCAAACGGGGGTGACAATGAGGAAGCTGGGCTCGAAGATGAAGAAGGTGATATGGAAGATTATGATTTTAATCATTATGAGGGTTTAGGGAATGGTTATAATCGTCCTTTGTTCTCCGGTGATTATTTGTTAGGTCCTAGTCGCAATAAAATGGAAGAATCCAAAGCGAGAAAAGTTCTTCTAGAAACCGATGAAGACCAACCAGAAGTCTTGAAGTATAATATTTTAAAATCATTAGGGAATGACTCTTTTAAACATTCTACCAAGAGAAACCCCCACACATTAATTCATGAAATCAGTGTCTCATCATCTCGTTCAATCTATAAGCAAGCCACAAAGCCATTGCAAGGAACGTTACCTCCTGTAAATCAATCTTGGGTTGAGTATATTTTTAAAGGAGAAGACCTTAGAGACGATGAGAATATGTTCTCAATTACTATGCCGCCAGTGCAATCTTCAATTACCCTATTAGCTCACCTCAACTGCCCCCCTGAAATGGATTTTCAAACTTCCCTAACGGTAAACCGGGAAAAAGCCAATCCGTCACCAAGCATGACAAGTGATCAGCGATTAGTTCCATCGAGGTATGAAGTGCGGCTTTCAGAGGGCTTGAATTTTTTGGAATATAGCTGCCAGGATCATGCTGCTAATAAAACTGAAGTCCTTAAACTTTGGATCGAAGTAGTACCTTAATTAGAAAAAAGTTTTGAGTTTAGAAAAGGAATGGGAATACATGGAATTCTTCAACCGGCAAATCCTCGATTATGTACAAAAATCTAGAGCCACTGATTTAGAATTGTCATGCGTTTTTTGTAACTGAATTATCAAAACTTGTCGACCATTGTAGATGGCGTACCCCAATTAAACCCTTAAGACACATCATTACACTGATATTAATTATTTCCTTAGTTTTATATAGTGTACGAATTCAAAATTTCAGATTGCCCCCTCATGAGGGTGGAATCCGTAAGTAGAGTTATAAATGCGTTTGGAAGGAAAGCTTCCTGTCAAATTGACACTATAATCGTCAGGTGGATCGCGAGTGGTAACATCGAAATTAAGAACATTCATGTGACCTTCATCCAATTAAATCTGCGCATATATAGATAATGTAACACGAAAAAACAGATGTTTAAATTTTTCGATGCTATGAAAAACTCGGTGAGTTTCCGATACATCCTTGATTTTGCTAAATAATCAACATCGAATATGGTTGCAGTATGTGAGATATTTCCAAGTCGCCTATCAATAGTTGAAAATCCTTTCAACATGAGTTGATATCGACAAACTCATTTTTTAAGGCAGGGAAGTTTTTACTAACTGTTTATGTAGTACGTTTCCAGGCTTGCCGCCAAAACTACCCCTTACTTCGGGAAATTAAACATCAAGACTTTGCTAACTTACACACCTGACCTTGCTATATGGGGTGGTGCTTCTTTAGCTGGTGTTTTCGTTTTCACCGAAGGCTGGCCTAAATTCCAAGATACTTTCTACAAGAAAATCCCATTCTTTGGATCTCACTGGGATGTTGAGATTCCACCAGAAGACCGTGCCCAATAAAGTGGGACTCTAGTTTTTGTGGAACACACTTTATTTAAGCCTCGTCTTGTTGTGAGTCGTGTGCGCTTAGTAATGGTTCACTAAGCGAGATGAATTGACAGGCATCTTTTTGATTACTTATCATGAAATTAAGAATTTCGAGCAGGTACATAAATATTCATTTATATCGTAAAACTATTTAACTTTAAAACGAAAACAATCTTCAAATCTGAAGTTTTAGCAACATGTATAATTTCTTGACATTTCATTTCATTAGCACTGTTGCGTATACTAATTCTAAATAGCAGGGTCATTACATCTTCGGATTTGCACCAACCAACTTGACAGCAGCGTTATCAAGCACGACATACTTTTGATCTAGATCTATGGTCTGGAAAATAACTATTCCCTGAGGTTGCTTCCAGGCCCTTACCAGCAGCCTATCTCCAGGGTAAACCACATTTGTAAAACGGGCTTTCAATTCATCGAATTGGCCGAAATGCTCAAAGAGAGCTTTGCCACTCATCCCTAAGGTACATAATCCGTGCAATATTGGCCTTGGAAATTTTGCAAGCTTGGCAATTTTGGGATCGATATGTAGGGGATTGTAATCACCGGAGAGCCTATAAATTGAAGCTTGGTCCTTACCAGACAATACTTCCAGAGCGAAATCTGGTTGCCTGTCTGGTGCTTTAAATGCTTGCACTGCAAATTTAGCTCTTGGTTTATTAATTTGTTTGCCTTCAGGGGCGTGTGCACCACGTATGAAGAATGTTGCCTCATTGTAGACTAATGGTTTCTTTGATTTAGCATCAATAGTCTCGTAGCCACCGACAATCACAGCCGCTTTACCATTCTTGTCTGCAACTTGAATAGGCCTAGCGATAGTTTTCAATACCCCTTTGGTAGGAAGAGGGTATTGGTTTAACTTAAAATATTGTTCGCCATGCAATAAAAATTGATAATTGAAGTCATCAACTAAAGAATCCATTTTAATGGAATTTCCGCTTGTCATAAATGGAATCACTCCAAAAGTTGGCAAAACTTGAAACTGAGGATCGTTCTCATACGTGTACTTAAGCTCCTTGCTAGAACAACCTAATCCAATATTATAAAGGATCGAGTCTCTTTCCGTGTACTTGAACAAGTCTTGCGACTTGGCTGTCTCTGCAGCCTGCGAAACAGCCTGTAAAATTGACATTGATGAATTCTGTGTGGTGCTTGGATTGGTTGAACGAGTAAAGTCAGTGATCTGCTTCCAATTATCGCGAATGTATTCTGGGGAGGGTTGAAGACTGACAACACCCTTACTTCTTTGCCACCTCGTTTGTCCACACCAGCCCCCGCCAACTTCAAACAACTCCCCTGTCACGGACCGACCAACCTTCTTATCTAGCTCATCAGAAGCCAATAAGACGAAGAATGGAGAAACTTGAGAAGGATCAAAATGATTTCCGAGCTCCTTCTCTGAAAAAATAGTTTTCGTCATTGCAGTTTCTGCATGAGGCGCAACAATATTTATCTTAATACCAAATTTGGAGCCTTCAATTGCCAAGGTTTTTGAAAAACCTAAAATTGCCGCTTTAGCAGCCGCATAGTTTGCTTGTCCAAAATTACCATAAATTCCGGACGTCGAAGTGGTATTAATAATCGTGCCACTCTTTTGACGGACGAATATTGGCCAAACAGCCTTGCAAAGGCCAAATGTCGAGAATAAATGAACCTTCTCAACGATATCCCATTCCTCGTCAGTCATTTTTATGAAAGACCTATCTCTCAAGACGCCTGCATTATTGACTAACACATCAACGCGTCCAAAGGCCTCCAGGCAGGTTTTCACGATCTCCTCTGATTGTTTAACAACATCATGCTTGTCAGGAACGGCACTTCCCGGGCCATAAAGCTCATTAATCTCATTCACAACATGGTCTGGCGATTTTATATCATTTACAACCACTTTAGCTCCATACTTTGCAAAATAGATCGCGTGGGATCTGCCAAGTCCCCCTCCTGCACCTGTGACAATCACAGATTTCCCCTTTAAAGACTCAATTGAAGTTGAACCCTGGTCATTAGGTGGAAGCTCTCTTGCTTTCTGGATTAAATAATTATAATCCGATAATTGCACTGGATGTTGAGTTTTGTTAAATGGTTTATCGCGATAGTCTACAATCGAATCCCATTTATTCAAAATAGCCTCTGAAGTGTAACTCTTTGGACTTGGATTGAAAATCTGACCCGAAGATCTCTCCCACCTTACTTGACTGTAAAAACCGGCCGCAAGCTCAATTATAACATTGGTCGCATCAGTGTCCTCATGAGTGAGATAAAGAACCATAGGCGCGATCTTTTCCGGTGCAAGTTGTTTCAAAATATGTGGGGGTATTATGCGTTCTGTCATGCGTGACCTGGCAAGTGGAACAATGCAATTTACTCTGATGTTGTACCTATAACCTTCTTTGGCCAAGGTTTCCGCGAAACCTACAAGGCCTAACTTCGCTGCAGAATAATTCGCCTGTCCAAAATTCCCATATAGGCCTGCAGGTGAACAGGTATTTACGATTCTGCCGAACTTTTGTTTGCGCATATAGGGCCACGCAGCTTTACATAACTTGTAAGCGCCATTCAAGTGCACATCGATCACCGAAGCAAATGACGCTTCACTCATCTTTGCGAAACTAGAGTCCCTTAAGATTCCTGCATTATTCACCACGATGTCTATTCTGCCGAAGTTGCTAATAGCTGTCCTGATAATACTTTCGGCGTTGTCAGTAACAGAGTCATAGTTAGCAACTGCGGTACCCTTATACTTTTCGCGTATTTCAGAAACAACAATGTCCGCCGCCCGGGAATTATGGCCCTCACCCTTAAGAGAACCACCAAGATCGTTGACCACTACTTTTGCGCCTCTTTTAGCATATTCAATAGCATAAACCCTTCCCAAACCACCCCCTGATCCTGTGATCACAACGACTCTGTCTTTGAAGCTAAGTGTATTCGAATTCATTTTCTTTACCAGTTCGCGAATTCAGCGTCGAGTGTGCTTAAAAACATTGCTCGCTTATATACCATTAGACATTATTAACCCCGTATTCTCCAATTGAATTAGGTCACTTGTGTTATATGAGCTTCCCCAACCCCGGAGCAAATGGAGAGTTGAGGTAGAGACGTAAATAACGACGATCATCTGACAAGGAAATCGCCAGCTTTGGCAACGTATTTGACACCTTTGAACGGCTTTAGGTTCTTGGGCATACCTGATATGATATCAACACCTTCAACACGAATGCCACTAGGCAGTAGGCCCTTATTAGAATAAGCTACAGTTAAATTGAGGCTCTTTAAAATCTCAGAACTAGCTCCTTCTAAACAACCTCTCAAAACTGGTAGCGTTCCAGTTGGGATTTCTTTGTCAAACAACCATGTGCCTCTGTTGCTTTCGACGCTGCTTTGGAAGCGGCCATGCGTATTTCTTAAAACTTTAATTTTGCATTCGTCAGGAAGGGCGGGCAAGTGCAAACCGACAGCAAGGTTTTCGATGGTCGATGTACGGGTAGTGCCTGCGATGTTAACTTTAATTTCAAATTCGTCACCTAACGAACCAAGGCCGACCTGATAATCGAGGGTCACAAGGCCGATATTGGCCATTGTCTTGCTCTTGCTATGGTAGGCGTCCAAGTCAATTGAGTATTGCATCAGTTCAAACTTACCATCGGGCGGAATGAATTTGAGACTGTCCGCGTAGAAATCAGAACCGCTAGTATCTACGCATCTATGCAGTGCAGGACAGCCCAGATCGTGACCAAGCAGATTTAGCCTTAGTAGGATGACGGGGTCACCGCTTAAATGAGACTTGAAAAACACCTGTCCTTCTATAGAAGCAGTTACAGGTACGCATTGAGCGCCATTCTTCTTTTTCTGGAATACTACATGCACCTTTTCAATCATATCCACATAAAGTTCGTTGCTGGAATAGGTTATTCCGGCACTACGCCATGGGACCGCGGTTTCCTTCACATTCGAAGATGAATTGGTTCGGGTAGAGAACATTTGGTTTGCCTCTGCATGTGATATCTTCTTTCCTAGAGTTGAGGCGGTCGAATTGATCACTTTTGCCAGGTCATTTCTTACAGGTACCATCTCTCGTAGGCGGTTCAAATCAGAAATGGCGGGCTCATTTGCATCAATCATGCTATTCAACAATAAAGTTATTCTATCATAGTTGTTGATAAGCTTATTCGATGTTATGTGTTCTTTGTCGAAGTAATAGAGAAGCACCTTGTCGAAAGTCTCCATGAAAACCAGTGACTCAAGAGGATTCGACTTTCTCGTAGCTAGACACCAATAATTGACTCTATTTTCCTCTGAATAATATCGATATGCGACTAGATTTTTACCTAGATTGCCCTTGCAAGTCACTCGGTCCTTGGCTAGATCTGGTGTCATGGACTGAATTTTTGACCACAGAGCTTTGAAAGAGGGTGCATCATAGCTGACTAGATATTCAAATAACAATGAATGCTTGGTATCCGTGATGTAAAATGACAGAAACATCTTATCTTTGTATCATAACTGAGCCCAGCAGAGAACCACTAAGACAACGTAATAATCTTTCTGCGACCAAAGGAGAAAATGGTAATACACGTGATCAAATAATGTCAGTATCAAGAAAAATTCACGATTATTGCATCTTCCTAATCATAACAGAAACTAACGAAAAACAACATGAACAATACGCAGGCAAATCCTTTTGCTAACATTGGGACTCCTAGTTTCAGTCTATCGCAAGTTCCCCAGCATATTCTGCAGAATTTAACACCTGTTCAATTGCAAATGATACAGCAAAAGCATCAACAGCTACTGATGGAACGGCAGGCTATGATGCAACAACAGCAACAGCAACAACAGCAGAAGCAGAAAAGACAGCAGCAATTGCAAATGCAGCATCAGCAAATGCAGCAGCAGCAAATACCGCCACAGCAGTCTACACCTCAACCGCAGGGTATCGCACTGAACCAATCAAATATACCATTACAGCAATTAAGCTTAGCACAAAGGGCACAAATTTTGAAGGCCAAACAGCAGCAATTGAACTCTGCACAGAACCAAACAGTAAATTCCCAGGCTATCCCTCAAACTCCGATAAACTTACCTCCCCAGATAGCTCAACTGCCGCCTCATATGCAACAACGCGTTTTAGGCAACCTCAAACAAAAGGCGATAGCGAACAACAACCCTGCGGCAGCGGCTGCTATAACAGCAGCTCAACAGCAGCTTGCTGCACAACACCAGCGACAACAATCTGGCTCTCTATCCGGCGCCAGAGCTCCACAGCAAATACCTCCCCAAGGCCCTTCTATTCCAACTGCTGCAGTTTCACAAGGAGTTATCCCTAAAACGCAACATGTATATCAAGATCCGCCGGAAGAACGCATGGATTCGTTGAATTATTGGTCAGAAAAAATAGCAAAAGGTGAAACAGATTTGACTGAACCCGATACCACCACTCTACTATATGAACAAATAATAAGACGCGATCATGAGAATTCTAAGCAGTTAATGAAGGAACGCACAGGTTATGAACCGTTTAGTAAATACGGGTTTAGTCATAAGGAGTATTTAACCAGACTCTTGCATGACTTGAATTATTACAAGGAGCTAAAAGCAACAAGGATGAAATCCATAACCAATACTACTCAAGGGGTTATCTCTAAAAGCATTTGGGGTGATGGTTATTCAGGATATGGCAATGGCTTTACCAACACTATCACTAATGTCACTACCGGACTCGTAGGTCCATCAGGAAGGAGAATTGTTCAATACAGTATCAAGGACATATATGAACAGGCAATGAATGAAGCCAATCAAGAATTGGTGCCCATAAGACTTGAGTTTGATGCCGAGAGAGACAAATTTTCCCTTCGGGACACCTTTGTTTGGAATAAGCTCGAAAGTGTGGTAAAAATTGAAGAATTTGTAGCTGAAATGCTACAAGACTACCGGTTTCATAATGATGAGCAATTTTTCGAGACTGTCGTTCAGAGCATCAAAGAGCAAATAAATGAACACCAATCTGATCCCTTCTTGGAAAACAATCGTGGCCAAGAAGGAGGTGATGATCTACGCATAAAAATACAGATAGATGTTGTAGTTGGTCAAAACCAACTCATTGATGCCTTTGAATGGGATATCTCGAATCCTAACAACAGTCCTGAAGAATTTGCAGAATCCATGTGCCAAGAACTTGAGCTTCCGGGAGAATTTGCAACTGCAATAGCGCATTCAATCCGTGAACAAGTACACATGTATCATAAATCTTTGGCTGTCGTGGGCTATCAATTCGATGGTTCAGTGGTAGAAGACGACGATGTCAGAAACAGGTTACTTCCGATTATTACACTCGATGAAGTGCTCAGAAACACGAGTGACACCAAAGTTTTCACGCCCAACTTACTCAAGGTATCAAATGCAGAATTAGAACGTCTAGATAAGGACAAAGATCGCGATACAAGACGTAAAAGAAGGCAAGGACGCTTCAATAGGAGAGGCGCGGGATCTAATACGGCTGTCATGCAAGGCGATACAGCTTTACCGGACCTCTCAGACGTGCCCAAGACATTCCGTATTCCTATACCCAGCACTATTTTACCGGGAGGTGTCGATTTGGGGCCATCTGTCAATTCCTATGACTTGCATACCACTACCGAATATAGAATAAGGCCACCGGAGAAAAAACCGGATTTCGAACCTTGCCAAATCATTGATCATGACCCAGGAAACTCACTGTTGGTCAGCATAAAGCTAAAGAAAGACCTTGGTTAAAACAGATGGGCTTCGCATCATACGTAAATAATGATATAAACTATTTAAGTAAAATGAGGCCTTTTCCCTGTTGTTGAAATAAAAGGTTTGATTACGAATAAACCAGAAGGAGCGCCTCCGAGTTATCAAGCCCTTTGAAAAGCACCGAACGAGTATATGACGGAAGAAGCGATAGGAGTTAGCTCCGTGGGCAGATCTACGGATACGATACCGTTGGAAGATACAGGTAATGATGATCAGCCACAATCGCGATTGGCCTTATTTAACAATACAAGAGAAGATATTACACGACGGCTCAAGTATATTGGAAAACACTTCAATATTCTCGATAAGTTGTTCAAGAAAAATAACAATATAGCTCGTCTGCAGTTTGGAGCGAATGCGGATGGTGTCTTCAGCAACCTGAGTGCGAAACTGGACCAAAACTCTGAGCAGAGGGAAAGAGACAAACCTCCAACTTATGAAGAAGCATCTGCCGACATGGCCCCGTCATACTACGGGATGGACGACGATGGAGCTGGGATGTACTATAATGAAATTTGTTTTGACGGATTGCCAGTGGGAAACATTGTAAATTTACTTTGGAATATGATCGTTAGTGTTAGTTTCCAGTTCGTTGGGTTTCTGCTCACATATATTCTACACACTTCCCATGCTGCTAAGCAGGGCTCTCGTTTTGGACTGGGGCTGACGTTTTTGGGGTACGCTTATTCGATGGTTCCAAACGATGTAACATCGAAAATCGGAAAAACGAAAAAGTTAGATAGATTAGAACCAGATGATCCAAACGAATACGATGATATGCATCTTTATTCTGGCAGTACTCAGCAAGATGAATTCGAGTCAGATTTGAGTCACGGTGTTGATGAGCAAAAGGCACGGACTCCATTTTTGGTAGTGGTTTTGATAGTATTGGGGTTTTTCATCATGACGAAGAGTCTATATGACTACATTTCGGTCAAGAAAAAGGAGAAACGCTACCTTGCGCAGGAGCAGGTTTAAAAATATACGTATTAATATGGTCTATAAAGAAATTCAGAATTATAAAGGCTGAGAGACTTATGCACCCAAAACAACGAGAACTTTCTCGTATATCGTAAACACAATACCACCACTTAACACCAATCTTCCTAATCTTGGAGTAGCACCTCTCCAAAAGGTTTTCAATCCTTCTTCCTTGAAAATTCTAGCGAAACAGTTGAAAGTCGATGTATATTTGCTCGAGTTTAAACTCTGCATTCTAGTTTTGACTGTATCAATAGGCATTGTAGCATAAACCGTCACGACACCACTAAAAGCACCAACAACAAATGTTAGTCCAGAGGTCAATGGTTTATCCTTTGGTGAGTTGGTGTAATCCTGTATCAAAGTCTTGATCTTGTTATAGCATCCCAATCTAACTGCTTGGTTGGCTGCTTGTCTCATGGAAACGGGTAGAACACCACGGTAGAGACCCATAAACCCCTGGTCATAAACTAAGGTGCTATAATTACGCAGTATTCCACGACCATTGTTGTGATACCTTGGAGATGCGGATTGTTTGTCATCAATGAGGGCCGTTTTAATAGCTTCGAATGGGGTTACTGCTACGACACTTTCAAGTAAACCAGCACCTAAGCCAGCAACAACACCTCTTGGACCGCTTAATTCGCCAGTCTTGGGGTCTCTCAGCACGTTTTTGATGGCATCGAAACCCAAGAATCTCACACCTGCCTTAGCGGTGTTGCCTACAATAAAAGCAGGGCAACCAACATAAATTGAACCAATACCTTGCGTTTTCGCCGTTCTGTATATCAGAGTTAAAGGATTCCGAGAAGCTTTAGATGATTTATCAATAAGTTGCAGCCTCGTCTTTGCGAACTCAAATGGGTAGGTTGTACATGCTTCAGCCGCGCCTGCCAACGAACCAGCAAGAAATGAGTGCAGAGGATCTACCTGCTTCTTTTGTGACATTTTGATATTGAGCCCTTAGAGATGCTGCTGTGCTTCGGCTGCCGAGATTCTCGAATATATATGCAGTTGTACAATGGGGTGGACCCATAATCGACAAATTTTTCCGATGGAATTCTTTGCATACTCATATGATGAGTCGTTGCCGTAAAGTAACAGAAGAGGAAATTAAGCCAAGTCCAAGACTAAGAAAGCGTAGCCTGTAATGATATCTTGAAGAGAGGTGCTGTAGGTTCGAAGATATGTAGTACAATACAAAATAAGCATTATAGCCTGCTTCTATTTTATTTCGGGACAAGTCACACTTTAAATTCGGATAAAAGAAAAAATCAATTGTTAAAATGAAAAACTTCATTTTGATGTACCTTAATAATCTTTGAAAGGTAAGCAAGTTCTGAAGTGCAGCTAATTCATAACCTGGTCATATAGAGGCCTTCGTACAACGAAATGAATAAGAGCGATGGTGATAGCGACAGGGTACCGTCAGCTTTGCATCAAGTAAACAAACGTTCAGCGGAGTATATTGTTCGATCAGGATTGGCAGGAGGGGTCGCAGGTTCCTGTGCAAAAACCCTGATTGCGCCACTTGACCGAATCAAGATTCTTTTTCAAACGTCAAATCCACACTATCTCAAGTACTCAGGGTCAATGAAGGGTCTTGTACTTGCAGGAAGACATATATGGCTGAATGATGGCCTTAGAGGGTTTTTTCAAGGGCACTCTGCGACTTTAATCAGAATTTTTCCATATGCAGCCATCAAATTCATTGCATATGAGCAGATAAGACACATTCTGATTCCCTCTCGAGAATATGAGACCCATTGGAGAAGATTAGTGAGCGGTTCGCTTGCTGGCCTTTGCAGCGTCTTCGTCACTTATCCACTTGATTTAATTCGAGTAAGACTAGCATATGTGACAGATCACCGTCGCATCAAGATATGGCCGGTTGTTCGAAAGATTTTTCATGAGCAGGCATCTGATTCTCTGGCCTCTAAGCCCTATGTTCCCTCCTGGTTTGCCCACTGGTGTAATTTCTACCGAGGATTTACCCCTACCATTATTGGGATGATTCCTTACGCTGGGGTTTCATTCTTTGCGCACGACCTTTGTGGGGATATTTTGAGAAGTCCCCTTATCGCACCTTTCTCTGTTTTGGACGTTTCAGACGCCGAATTAAGTATGCATTCAAAGGGTTCCGGGTCGAGGCCCTTGAAAACATGGGCAGAGCTAATAGCTGGTGGACTTGCAGGCATGGCCTCCCAAACTGCAGCTTATCCATTCGAAATTATTAGGAGAAGGCAGCAAGTTAGCGCCGTATCTCCTACGTCTGATCACAACTTTCAAACAATACCCGAAATGTTCAAAATCGTATACAAGGAACGTGGGTGGAGGGGATTTTTCGTTGGCTTAAGCATAGGCTATATTAAGATCACACCAATGGTTGCATGCAGTTTTTTTGTTTACGAGAGAATGAAATGGTATTTGGGCATTTAATGACTTATCATCATGTAAATACACAATAAGCTTGGACTTTAGATTTTTTACATATTCTTATATCACCTAAATTGAGCATAGTATCTTTCTTCGGCGAATCTTTTATCAACCAAATCCAGAACTTCTTTCGAATAGACATCTTCCAAGCTCTCGCCACCGTTAAGTATGCGGTCCTCGTGAAGTCTTTGCTCATCCTTAGTTAACACTACAACATTTTGAACCGAAACGGGTTTAGATGGATCCCATTTGGAAAGAGCCAATTTAGTAGAATACCCACTAACTGGTGACTTTCCCCGGAAGACCTCTTCCACGATGTAAGCGACGTCTTTTAAGGAGACTTGAACTCGCTGATCGGGCATCCCAATTCGTGACATCTGACCTGCTAAGGAATGATAAATGCTATCATAAATTTTTACCCTGTTTTTCCCTTCAATGGGATCCATGGGATAATCCGAAATCTTGGTTAACACCCATGTTGCAATGGTCAAACCGAACATACCTGGCATCGTACCCAATACAGGCAAAATCCTGACGCGGAAATCTCTTAAGGCGCTAAGTTCATCAACTTTACCTTTTTTAAATTCTTCTTCTGGCAAAGGCAGTAATTTCGCCTTACGTGGATCAGGCTTTTCTGCACTAAACACTACCGGAATCCCTGTCAAGATACCTTTCTGCTTTAACCGTCTTCTGACTGAACGAGCCAATGGATCTTCCTCCGTTAAAGTTATATCACCAACATTGATTCGGGTTGGATCGCTTTTAGTTGCTGCACCCATAGATGATATGCAAGGAATTTCATGGCGGTGAACAAACTCTAATAAGTCGACTTTAGTATCTATATTATCAATACAGTCGATAACAAATGTCGGCAATTCATTACCATCTTCACCAAATATGAGTCTATCAGCATTCTCTTTATTCCAAAGCTCATTAACTGCCTCGATCTTGCACCATGGCGCAATTAAGGCTAAATGGTTTTTCAAACATTTAACCTTGGGAATACCAACATCTCTTAAAGTAGCACAGCTGTGTCTATTAAGAGAGCTTAATGAGACCTGGTCGAAATCGATTATTTTGATCTTGTAGCAACCAGAACGGACTAACATTGTCACAACCCAAGATCCAACACCACCAGCTCCGACAACGATGATATACTGCTGCTTTAATTTTTGCATCCCCTCTTCACCCAAAAATGCATAGTTCCTCGCAAGTTGCTCGCGTATCAATTCTTCATCAACTGGAGGTTTATCCTCAGGTTCGTCCAGTTTGGTTTCAAAAGAATCATGATCTCTTGACAGCCCTTGCTTCAGTTTATAATTCTGTACTGTGGTGTCAATTACCTTAGTGATAATTGCGGTTACAAAAGCGGTTGCGAGGACTAACTTCCAAGGCGGATGAGAGCTCATGAGAATTGCTGCGCCGATTTATTAATATATCTACGAAAGTACTTAGATGCGATGAGCTGTGACAGCTCGAAAATTTTCATTTTTTTAGTAGCTTCAAACGAAGACTTTATCATGACATCTCATAGTCACGTAATTGAGTCACTAAACATCCTCAAATTCAGCATCCATGTCGTCCTCCTCATCATCGTTAGGATGCTTCTTTTCCTCTTTTTTGGGAGTGACATTCTGCAGCTCAACATTTTCGAGTTCACCGCTCTCCGAGTTATTGTTTTCACGATCTGAAACATCTTCGAAAACTTCCTCGTCCTCCTCTTCATCCGCATCTTCCTCGTCTTCCTCATCCTCCAATGCTTGCTTCATTGCTAGCTGTGAGTAGTAGTCGGCCAGAGTCTTTTCAGCTTCTCTATCCTCAATTTCTTTTTGAGTGAGCGGTTGTGCTGGCTCACCCGTTTCGGAGTCATGCAAGTGGCCGTTTGATTCAACTATTTGTGGTTTCTTTTCTTTGTTTTCCTCTTCAGGAACTTGGACAGTAGAAGCCTCATCTTCTTCCCCATCCAGCCTTCCTAATGCAGTTTTGCCAACTGTGCTTTGCCCATGCCACGCTGGTAGCGCATTTTGTTTTCTCTTTTCTTCCATCTCACGTTCTTGAAGTTCACTGCGTGCTTGCTCATCGCTTGCAGTGGTAATATTGACATGTAGGGTTGCTTGCGATTTAGCTCCAGCACGCCTACTACTAGCGTTGTCGAGACCAGAAGCACTAACTTCGCCCGGAGTAAACATTTGACTCTTTTTCGCCCGTGGATTAACCGTGTATGATGCAACAGAGTTATTCTGTGGTGGAATCAATCTAGCAAGAGAAGTTTCGAAAGTGTTTTCCTCAATACGCGAGTCGTCGATCTTTTTAAGGTAATCAATTATTGGCTGGACCTGATCCATCAACCTATTTAATTTGATCTGTTTTTCTTTGGACTTTTTCCCAGAGTCATCTTCGACTAATGGTTCTTCGCAGAGACTGCACAAGAATTGCGTCTTTTCATAATTTAACAAAGATACCGCCTCCAGCTGCGTGTATTTTGTTTGACATATAGGACACATGTATCCTTGAGGAGCTGAGTTTTTATCTAAATCATCTTTTAACATAGAAACGATTTGATGAACTTTCCATTTTATTGCGTCAATGGCTTGAGGATACTTGATGTAGTAGTAGTATCTTTTTATACTTCTCGAGTTGAATTGAAACTCCTGCTGGGAATGCACGGCAATAATTCTATCTTCTAGAAGCTTATTAAGCAGGGAACGTAGCTCAGGTCTTTTGATCCCCAAAAGGTGTGCCAAATCTTCTTCGGAAAGGACAGAATGGAAAAGGATTGCATCGACAATGAGAACATAGGTTTTCGAATAAAAACCTCTCACGACAAACTTGAGAAGATTTTTAACGATGTCATCAATAGGACGATCCATCTTTTACCAGGGATTGTGCTGCCTAAGAAGATAGTCATTAATAACTACTTAATCCTCTATCACACTGAAAAAAAATGATCGAAATTCGCTTATCATGACTCACGTGATGTTGAACTACTTAATCATTCTCTATATGCCTTTTCATTTCTTGATTCTATTAATAGTGACCGAAACTTTTGGGTTTTATGTAACTCTTTAGCGTTGCTGGTTTTCAGAACCATCTGAATCTGAATCTACTGCGAACTCTGAGGTTCTTTTGTCCTTATAGGTAAAATTTAAAAGACCAATCTGGTCAGTCCAAGATCTTAACCGCTTTCCGAAATGATATAATGGTATAGCACAAAGACCAACGAATATTTCCACGCAACCATATACAACAAATGTAGTTTTATAGCCATCTTCAGCGTTGAAATTCGCATTAAAGAAAGAAAAGGCAAAGCCCATCACATTCTTTAGAACATTTAGCGTGACTAACGATTCTTGGGCGAAATGCTTATAGGAATCAACTGTAAATGTAATGGCAGTGGTACTTGCCAGAGAGGAGCCATATCCAAGGACACCCGTGAATATTACCGGCGCTATCCAAGGGTCGCCACGCTCTGCACACCAACCAAATCCCATAAGTCCCAATGCAGAAGCAATAACAGCAGGGAAGACCATCAGCAAGCGAAATTCTGGCTCGTAGACTCCGCCATTTCGAGCGGCTAAAAACCTGACCATTCGGTCACTTATGGATCCGGCAGATATGGATCCCAGCACGCCGCCCACGAAAGGAGCCACGTAAACCAAACCGACAGATATGGAGCTGAAGTTATAGGGCTCATCTGCAAAGACGCGGTCCACAATCTGCGATAGCATAATCAACCATACAACCGCTAACGCATAAAGAAATGAGCCAAAAAGTACAGCAGGATAACAAAAGAGAACGAAGGGTCTTAACATTACCATATACCATTTGTCTGCACTATGTCGTCCGTGATAAAAGCCAAGACCGGTTGCCAAGCTGGAGCGTCTTAAAGAGCTTATAGCCGACGATTTTCTGTAGAGATAGTTTTGCGTAGCTTTGGTTGAATCACAGCGTGCCACTGGCGCAACTACATGTCGCAAACTGGCTTCTTCGTCAGGGTCTAACTCCTTCTCATAATCTGTACCAACAGAAGGGTCCACTGGAGCGCCGTTCTGTGCGCGTGCCACGGCTGTCTCGCGAAGAGATCGTTTGTTGGGTACTGGCGCACGTTCCCAAAAGGTTTCTGGAACGAACACTAAATGCAAAAAGAAGTCTATCCCTACGATAATTGCGACAATCCAAAATAGCCAGTGTCTATCCAACCTCTGAAAAACAAAGGCCGCAAGCAGAGGTACGAGGTTTTTGCCTCCCAGTAAAAGAAGTGTGTAAAGCCCAAGGCGGTACGCTCTCTCATGGGCAAAGTATATCTCTGCTATTGTTGCAGATGGCAGAGACTCGACGGTAGCGACCCCAAGCCCAGATACAATTCTGGACGCGAGGAGACTTTGGTAGTTGCGCGATACTGCACAACCAATGCTACCACAGAAAAATATCAAAATGCCGACCAAGTATACCATCCTCTTGCCAAATAAAACTGCCGTAGGTGACGCAAGGGCCGAGCCCGCGGCCAGCGCGAGCATCATTGCCCCGACCAAATATGATATTTGAGACAGACTCCGGTCGAACTCAGTTGCCAGAGACGACATGCCTGCAGCTAATATTGAAGTTTGCCCCCCACCCACGAAACAGTGCCAACCCACAACGAGAAGCGCTGCATCCCGCTTCCATAGAGGCCAATTTAGAGGATCTCGTCTGAATTCCGATGGTTGTGGATTCAAAATAATCCCTTTCTTGGTAGTTTTAACATTTTCCAAAGTCTGATTCTCCCCCGACTCTCTCAACATGGCAAACGTGCCAGTGACGCCTAGAACGGGGCCCTGTTCATGCAGGGCGTTATCTCCAGGCTGTCTGATCCATAGAATACTTCTCATTAAGCATAGAGTCGCGCGATAATTTAAGGAATAGCCCGCTAGTTCCACGCGCCGCAAAGGTAACTTACAACAAACGCAAATTGAGCATATGTTACGTGATGGATTTTCGAGTTCGCTTCGTGGTCGTTTCTTTCTCGTCCCGTATTCCACCGAACGCACCTGACGCTGATTATGGGATCACATGGTTATCTTGGCATTCCGCTCGAGGATTTATCACGTGTAACCAAATGCCGATGCCGGCTTCCCATTTGTTTCCCATCCGCTTCCTGCTTGTTCCGCTTCTAACTTGCAATTTAGCGACTGCAAGGCTGTTATTAGGAACCCACACACCCCGAACGGCTTTTTTCTGATAGTTTTTATTGGTTTTTTTTTTCGTTGTTTCTTCTTTTCGGAACAAACCGGGCACCCGCCGTTGGAGATAGCGCGAACGGAAAAATCTAAGTATTTAGACGATGAGGCCGGGATTTCAATTATCTAGTGGCCTGAGTCACGTAAGTTGGAGAATAATATCCTGGTCGACCGGACAAATCTTGGCAGCCATATAAAAAAACAGCAATAATGGCAGTTCGTGTGGACTCTTTGATGAAACCCATTGTCAAGCAAATCAACAGGATGTACACCACTGGTTCTTCTAAGAACCTTGCCTCGGCTACGCGCGATAATACTTTTTCCAAGAGTCATGAGTGTGCCGACAAGAGTCATTGGCACAAGACGCCGGTCGGGTCACAGGCCAAGGCGATGCTTCGGGATCCGAAGCCAAAGCAAACGAGATTGGTCGTGGATGGCCCAATTGAGTGTCCACTAGAGGGATTCCAGCTACTGAACTCGCCGCTGTTCAACAAAGGCTCTGCGTTCACATTCGAAGAAAGAGAGGCATTTGGTCTTGAGGGTCTTCTTCCTCCCATGGTTAACACCCTGGACGAGCAGGTGGAAAGAGCATACAAGCAGTTGTGCTACTTGAAGACTCCGCTTGCCAAGAACGATTTCATGACATCGATGCGTGTTCAGAACAAGGTGCTTTTTTTCGAGCTCGTCAGGCGTCACATTCGTGAGTTGGTGCCAATTATCTACACTCCTACTGAAGGTGACGCTATTGCTGCTTACTCTCATCGTTTCCGTAAGCCAGAGGGTGTCTTCTTGGATATCACCGAGCCCAATTCCATTGAACGTCGTCTAGCCTCGTACGGTGGAGACAAGGACGTCGACTACGTTGTTGTCAGTGATTCGGAAGGTATTCTAGGTATTGGTGACCAGGGTATCGGTGGTATTCGTATCTGTATCTCGAAGCTAGCTTTAATGACTCTATGTGGTGGTGTTCATCCAGGTCGTGTGCTGCCTGTGTGCCTGGACGTAGGCACCAACAACAAAAAGTTGGCACGTGATGAACTTTATATGGGCAACCGTTTCTCCAGAGTGAGAGGAAAACAATACGATGAGTTCGTTGACAACTTTATCCAGGCATTGAAAAAAAGATTCCCATCAGCTGTTCTTCATTTTGAAGATTTCGGTGTTACCACTGCTAGACCTTTACTTGACCGTTATAGAAACGAGGTTGCGTGTTTCAACGATGATATCCAAGGTACAGGTGCTGTTGTCATGGCCTCCTTTTTGGCTGCTCTAAAACACACAAAGAGAGACCTGAACAGTTGTCGGGTCTTGGTTTATGGTGCCGGTTCTGCCGGTCTTGGTATTGCTGATCAAATCGTTAACCACATGGTCACACATGGATTGTCAAAGGAGGAAGCCAGATCAAAGATCTTTTTGATGGATAGAAGGGGTTTAATCATGGACTCTATGGAATCTGTGTCTTCTCCAGCCCAATACTTGTACGCTAAGCCAGATGAAGAGTGGGACGGTGTGAACACCACCTCTCTTTTGGACGTTGTATCGCGTGTCAAGCCAACATGTTTGATTGGTTGTTCTACACAAGCTGGTGCATTCAACAAGGCAGTCGTCCAAGAAATGCATAAGCATAACCCAAGACCTATCATCTTCCCATTGTCCAACCCTACAAGACTTCACGAGGCTGTTCCCGAAGATTTAATGAGATGGACTAACTTCGACGCTCTGGTCGCCACTGGATCCCCATTCCCACCTGTAGAAGGTTACCGTATTTCCGAGAATAACAACTGTTTTTCTTTCCCTGGTATCGGTCTTGGTGCAGTGTTGTCTCGTGCTCGAGTTATTTCTGACACGATGATATCCGCAGCTGTTGATCAATTGGCTTCTCTCTCGCCTATGACCGAAGGCGACTCCAAGCCCGGTTTACTGCCTCCACTTGAGGTTATCACTGATACTTCTGCTAAGGTTGCCACCGCCGTTATTCTCCAAGCTCTCAAAGAAGGAAGTGCTCGTATTGAGGAAGAGAATATTCCCGGTCAAAAAGAGAAGGTCCAAGTACCCCGCGATTTCAACGAGTGTCTAAAATGGGTTTCAAGTCAAATGTGGAAGCCTGAATACAGACCAATGGTAAAGGTTCAACATGATCCTGAAGTTCACACTCATCAATTTTAATTAATTAGACACACATTTTCCTGACTTTGGTAATGGATTATTCTGTTGGTTTCACAAAAATACACATATATTCATAGCAGAAATAGAGTTACAAAAATTCCAATCGTTACCTTTTCGTTATTGTTATTGACTATTAGGATACGCACAAAAGGCACACATCATTCAACCGATTACGAAGATCACGTTTAGGGCTCTTATTGTCATTAATTAAATAACCTTTAATCAATAAAGGTGCACGTACAATAAACTACATTAAATATCTTCAATTGTTAAACCAGTAAAAAATTATCTTTTCCTACCACCATTTGTCATACCCAAATGTCTCTCCCGTCTTCAAAGTGTAGTATTTCTTGTACGCGTAATCATAAGTTGTTTTCCAAACTGTGTTACCCCACCAACTTAATTTTCCTCCCGGATACTGAACGCATAAAAAGATTATCACCACTGCCAATGCAACACCTGTCTCTACACCTGCACCCATAACAAAATTATATTTGCTGAACCAATGAGGCCACTTCTTTCTAATGGAGTTCAAAACGAATGACATAGCAAAAAAAAGCGAGTAGTTGTAAGGAGTACTAGGTGGAATGTTACCAGGTCCGGTGAAAAAGACTGGAGAGTGCATATATTTGAAGAGTTCGACGCGAGGGAACTTCTTTTGCAAGAAGAAAATGACAAATGGGACGATGAGCCCGATCAAAAAGAACCACATTAGCGGATTGTAAATACGACCGGGCGAAAATAAGTACTTTGGCAGTGACCATATAATGGATGCATTGAAAATTGTGCGACCATTGGAACAGGTGAAGCCATCAGGCTGTGTTGTGGAACAAATATCTTTGATGTTAGACCTCATCCATTCCTGGATACCAACATTAACTAAACCTGAAATGAGAGATGCGTAAATTTGAATGAAGAAAATCAAGCGAGGTGGAACTTTCATATACAATGCAAGCTTCAAATCTCTACTCAAATCGAGGCCATGTCTCATAACGATGAATCCGTACAACTTGAAAAGGACATTAGCCATTGGTCTCAATGGTAACATGTAACCACAGATCAACTCTGTGATAATGTTTAAACCAACATGTTGGTTTGTCATGGCTTCTAAGATACCTTGAGGAATAATATTAGCAAAGGATAATATTAAGGCAATCACAAAAGCCCAAGCGGGGAAATGTGTGTCAAATCCACATACAGCTGCGAATCCCAAGGCTAGCATGATGACTTGAAGAACAATATACCACCAGTCAGGGCAATCTTTGTAATTTTGAGAGTACAGCCTCATGTGAATATCTTCACCACCATGACTTTTGTTTCTTAACTTTGCAACAATGTCTTTGCCATGATATAGACCACAGTGGACAAAGACACTTACAACGGCGGCAAAGTTCAACGCATAGGACAACAGATACGAGAAGGGAACGTATAAAGGTGAATAAGCTTTGTATTTCTCCAAATTGATCGAGTAGTCAGGATTAATGATTTTAGACACATTGTATGACTTCTGCGTGTTGTCATATGTAGTACCTGAAATTACCGGCATATACTTAGCATACCAAGTATTTGTGAAGTACAGGATTGGCAAAATTAGGACGAAGAAGATTAATACGGAGGCGTAGGTGTTTGCCGACACCCAAAATGGAGTAGCGAATACAGAACCAGTCATAGCTTGTGAGATTTGAGTGTAATCGAAAGAAATAGGAAGAGCACCCAGGCCACTTTGCGTCCCAAAGATAGTGTTAGCAATGAAATTATGTCTTGTCTTAGGTCCCCATAGGACGACATTGAAATATGATAGACCAGTGAAAAGAAAACCGGGAACCCAGTACCAGACAAAACTGCCGATGAAGACAAAAAGGAAAAACTTGTAGCGAGACACGCGCCATCCATTGATTATTGTCTTATCAATGCTCCTCGAATGTAGAGAATCGAAAAGTGAAACTGAAATTAGGTTTTGGGGCCAGATGCAGCTTGCAGGATTCACAACCCAGCGTCTGCTCAGTCCGGCGGCACCATACCCTAACATTTGAGAAGTCCAAACTAACATAATCTGGTAGCCGGCATTCAGCTTCATATTGTAGAAATTAGTTTGTGCGATAAGGATGTTCATCGCGTAAGCGGTTGAAGATGTAAGCGCCACAGCAATCGTAACTACAGCATGTTCTTTCTTTGTGAATGGACCAGGGTTGAGATCAAACCACGAACATCTCTTGCATTTCCAATCTGGCAACAGTGCGAGTATCTTCCCCACAGGATAACACACAACCTGTGCGACTAGAAAATTGATACTTAGGGTTGGATAACGAAGGGAGAAAAATTGATTAACGCCCGCAAAAACCACCACAAACACGGTTGTGAGGAACCAAGTTCTCCAATGATTTAATACAATGGTGGGATCATCAGTGTTTGCGACACTAGCGCGAACCTCCGGATATGGAGAGTTTGGAAGAAGAGTAGGATCACCTTCCCAAATCCTACCATCGTCTTCTTCATCGAGACCGGGTTCTGAAAATACTGTCTCTAATACTTTCTCTTTATCTTGCTCTTTAGAAGGACTTAAAGTTCGGACTATTTGTCTTGTCTGTTCCGCCTCAGCGCTTACGTTATATGACAACTTGGATTTTGAAGCCTCAGGAACGAAGTCTTCAGAGCTTCCCTCATCTGAAGATATCTCTCTCCGAATGATGGTGCTATTTTCCAATTTTTCGCCCATGTTGTTGGCAGCTTTGATTTGCTGCACTATTATTCTTGCGGCTTCAAAGGATTGCTTTAATATGCTACTTAAATAAGGTTTACAGCAAGATGAAATTTTTTCCTTGATTTTAGATAAAGACTTTAAACTGAGACTCTATGAGTATGATCTCCTGATTATAGATACGAGAGAAGCCACTTTCGAGCCATCCTGGGCAATTGCCAAGGGTCCTCTGGGCGTCGCAGCAATACTCTAAACCCAATATTCCAAGGTAAAAAAAAAAAAAGAAAAGACCCTTGAAGCCACAGCTTTTACCGTCAGTGCAATGGCCGTGCAACATAAAAATCTCAGTATATACGACGCACGGATAGATTATCGATTACTAGTTCGAACTTAATCATCTTATCTGCGACGGCGGTGCATGCACGATAGAATGAAGGAAATTCTATAAAAGTTCAGATAAGGATACAGGAAGAGGCGGGATTACGATAAAAAAGCTCTGAGAATGTTAGTGGAGTTTTTTATTAGGTTTATAGAGCGGCGCTATATGTTAAATGCTTGTTCACCATTCTTGAGAGATAAGACATTGCGAATGTCCGTTGTAAATCTTAAGCCCTCGAGCAACGGTATTAAATTCAATAAATCAGTATCGGTCGGGTCGCTGATCCAACCTTCAACTTGGATAGCATTGTCAACATGCATGGCGTAGCTCACGGGGCTGTTATCTATAATGAAGACCTCATTAAGAGAAGAGCCAGGAAGCTGAGAGAGGTCCTTGATGTAGCCAACACCCTCTCTTAAAATGCAATCTTGTCGATAAAGCCTCTGACGGAACTTCCCGGGAAATGAACTCTCGAGCCAATCAATGACAGGATCGGCATATTCTTTTATTGATGCTGTAAATATAACCAAGTCATACCACTTGTTGACTTTGCTGAGAAACAAGTCACAGTAAGGACGCTTGTGGACGTAGTAGAGTGTTGAAATGCCGCTAGTCGAAAATTTGACTTCAACCATGTGACCCTGCGAAGAGTTGCTCGAGGAAGTTCCCCGCGACATCGAATGAATAAGAGTCTCGTCCAAATCGAGTACTAATGTCTTTCGTTTTTCTCTGTTCAACACAGACTGCGGTATCAATTTCTTGGGGAAGAGAAAGCGTCCCATACGTTGAGTGCCTAGGGCTGTCCCTGAGCTTCCGGACCGTATGCTTGATCTGTTGACGGGCTTCGTGAGTTTCGTTTGATTTGGTATTTCGAGACTTGTGGTCAGCGAGCCTTTCACCGCATCTTGTTGGAGTATGATCTCGTCTCCCCCCAGATCATCATCCTCTTCTTCTACAATCGTTTCTATTTTGCTGTCTCCGATTTTCCCAACTGATTCTGTTCGAGGGCTGCTGTCTTGCTCCACTTCCTCACTATCCGTTGGCACATGCTCCATCAGACTGAGGGGAAAAGTGATGATATACCAAATGAAAAGAATAGGTTTTATGATAAGCATGTTAGGTAGGAATGTTATTATGGAACACACTAGGGCCCATTCGGCCCTGCTCTTTTTCTCGGTATCACAACTGTTGCTCTTGTCATTATCATTAGGATCATCTCTTGCGTTAGATTCTTTGGCTTTTCTCGGGCTAGTTTCTTCAAGTTTAGGTGGAATTATATTATTTGTGATATAAGACACAGCATTCATCGCCTATCAAACCACCTTTAGAGAACCAATCAATTACTGGACAACTGTTTGCTAATAAATTGCGGCTCTGCGCAATCGGTCGCTCCCTTAGTTATTGGACAAATTGTTGAGCTTGGGTTACCCGCCTAGGAGAAAAAAATTTGGGAAAGAAAATCTCGGATTCATCCTTTATAACAACCAAGGATAACTTTGATCGCACGTGTGAGATGTCACTCCCACATGGGTGATGGGAAGCATCCCTTTGAAATTTCGCATGAGCATTTCAACTGTGATTCTGCTCTTTCAGCGTGCGTCACTTTCTGTCACATGAGTAATAGCACTTATATGCGATTATGACATGCGAACAGTTAAGCCAATCGGCCAGCGGCTTGAAGAACTTCGATATTCGTAACGTCAAGAGAGAACCCTACCTAAATTGCCGCATTTTTGATCTGCCTATTTCATTCGTCCACGCGCTACATAAGGTCCTCTCTTTTGAGGGATAGAGTTAATCCGAAATTTTTCTTCGCTGGTTTGCTAGACGTGATTCAACATTTCGGAGTACAATGCGTCCAACAGTAGTGAAAGTTGTGACAGGAGACGATTTTGTGCTTTAAGGGCAGGAGATCGTTCACGCTTGAATTTTCTTGATTTTTTGGCCTACACAGCAATGTAGTACCCTACGTTCGCAGATTCCACCTGCTCTCGGCTAATTCTTCTTTGAAGTTTCGAAGATAGTCTATTTTTTGGAAATGTCCCGCAGGGAGATTAATATTTAATACTTATAAAGCCCTGCCCAATTTAAATCCAAAGCTAACTGGGATTAAAAGCATGGCCAGGACGACGAACATACGAGTTCTATAAATGTGCGGATAGAGCGACATATGCGTATTACGTTGTTGTACTATCGTCACGATCAGAAGTACATTGTCTTTTTTATTGTTTTTGCTGGGGAGTTAAGTTTTTGCCATTTTTCTGCATTTTCTGCATTCTAGCCTCAGTAAATGAAGAGAAAATTGACATCAAATCAAAATAGAAAAACGGACTACATTAAAGTTACAACAACCATCTCTCCCAGAAATCCAAGTTTTGAGGGTTTTGATGCGTAAGAGAGGCACTCTGAAACGCGAATTTACCGAGCGTTAAAGAATTCCATTTGGAATCTCTCCTGAAAGACAGATACGAAGTGGGCGGTTAAACTAGACAATAACTTGCTAAAAAATGTCTTGATGCGAAATGTATATGCTATGCGAGGAATATTGTTGAATGAACGGTTTATTGCGACAAAGCCAACACACTGTCCACTCAACCGCACTGTAATGTTACGGAACGAAGGTATATCATCACAATTAACAACATTGTGAGTTTGAGTGATTTTTAAGGTAATGCATAATTGCACAGTGTGAACGAAAGCTAATTGGTGTCCCAAGTAAAAAAGAGCCTTTAATCAGTCATTTTTGTCACATTTTGCATTATCAGATCTAGGTCCAAAATCGCGCTTTACAACGCTTACTTTCTTCTCGTGGATCTTATAATGCCGCACCATGTTGCTCTTGACATTGAACGACTTTATGCAGCCAGGCCAAGGACATGCAAAGGGCCTGTCACCAGTGTGCACCAAAGAGTGAACCTGCAAAGAACTTACCCTTGAGAAAATCTTGTGGCACTGGGGACATTGATTCTTGGCGAGTCCCATTGAATCGTACTTGATTTCCGGCGTGCTTTTGGAAGACGCGCTCGGTGCCGAATTGTGACGGCGGCGTGCCTGCCAAGTATCAACGGATTCGATGGCACTTGCTTCGGGACCAAAAAGGTCGGTGCAGCTGGAGGAGAACTCTGAATTCGTTTCTGCAATGTATGATCGAGAATGTACGCTCAAAGCCCTACCAACGAACGAGGAAGGTGGCATTGTGCCCTGCGCATTTTGAGTGCTTGGAGCATCTCGTCCCTGAGTTCCACTTGGCCCTCTCAGCAGATGGTTGTCATCCGCTGATCGAGAGTGCTGATGAGGTCGAGACTGATCTTGATGTGCGTGGAGCATGCCTCTGGCGGGCGGCCATCTCGCTGCGTGCGACATATGGGCGACTCCGCTTTGAAAGTGCTGCGGGTGATCCACGGAAGGGTTGTGATGGAAATCAGAGCCTTCCTGGGCCTGGCCAAAGTCGCTGACCGTGCGCATTCGGTCTTGGAGCGCGAGATGCGAGAAATGTATGTGCTGCTTGTACGGGAAATAATGCGAACTACCTGGGGGCCCACTGGGAAGTTCGTATGACTGCTCCCAGTGGGACGCTGATCCGAGCGGATGAGGCTGGTAGGCCAGTGCCGGGGAATGCCTGCTTGACCCCGGATGCTCATCGTGGTAGTCATACCAGTCGACGTGAGGGTTGGACGACTGCGGAGATAAGCCTGTGTTCAGCGCGGCCGGCGGCGCAGTGCGCGTGGCGGTCGTGAAAACAAATGAGGAAGGATTGGACACATCTGCTGTATCCACCTGCGGATCACGCTGTGGCGATTTCGGCGCATGGCCAGCGTCTTTGCCACTATCCAGGTTTGTCAGTCGCATGAAAATGAAGTTTCAGTGTCAAATGTCGAGAGCTGACGCTAAGGTGGATCTGGCTCAAGACAGAATGTAAGAAAGTACCTCAACACACCCAGGAACGAGAAACGATGCCACACTAATCGCACCAGGAACTAGCTACTTTAGTGTTAAGTACGCCCCTTATTCTAGCTACCATTTTTTCTTCTGGATTCTTACCTCATTTGATCGCCTTCAAAAATGAAACAGCCGAGCGCCGTTCCCAACACTACCGTGCTGATTAAATTCACGCTGCGAAATACGTCAAACACGTCAAGTCTGCGGAGCAAAGAGAATACGCTAACGCCGTAAAGGTGTACTTTTACTTGTCGCGATCGCAGATACGCGCCTCGACGATTGGCTCGCGATCGGATTGCACAGCGTGCGTTTACTACGACAACTACTACTACTACTGCCAAAATTATTGCATGGCCTTGTGCTTCTGAAGCGTGGCGTCTAAGACGCGGCGTGTGCTATCCAACGCGAGATCCAGATAAGCGCCGGTGGGTATGTGCCTCATTTTGATGTATTCATTTGCTACTCATGGCTACTCGCTTTGCTTTGTTTTAAGCATGGCCCTCAGACGCTTTCCCAGGAAACACTAGCCACGTAAGACTGCACAAATATAGGCACGTAGGAACCGAGATTGCGTGCAAGGGTTTTCTGGAATGCGGAAAAACATATATCTTAGAAATAGCCGTACACTCCACAACATGGTCGGCACCGTAGGAACCGAGAACCCCGTAGTAAGCGTTTTGAGACTCGCAAACAAGCTCCGGCGCTTGTTCCTGTGTGAGCGTTTTTAACTCGAAGGCACGAGCGGGTACGGACACATCTGAATACCTTATGAGCCGCTCACGTGGCTGCGAATCTTGCAGTTCCTACGTTCGATCGTGCGGTTTCGAATGTAAACAACGTCGCGGCATAGTAAATCGACGTACGATACCAGAGATCTTGGGTGCACGACGGTTGCAAAGCAAGAGCAAGAGGTGTTGTGCCGCAGCTGGTCCAGTTGTGAGGTTACCCTGAGCTCAGCGGATGAGCATGCTCACGTCAGTCGACACCCGTAGCGCAAGCATTGACGTAAGCCACATGTGCATGCATCACGTAGGAGCCTCGGGCGGGAGCCACATTTGAGGCGCGCGGGACGCGTTGCGTACAGTATGTAAGTTAGTGTCACTACGCACGGACAAGCCTGTACAGGCGCGGCCCGTTGCAGGCGCGGTTGCGGGAGTCGACAACTCTTGCTACCCACTTTTTTTTGGAGTTACTACGGCAGAAGCGGCAACCCGCACAAGACAGCCGCCCACGAGCCGAAAGCAAACCGATGACAAATTACCCCGCTTCTAGAATGGTAGACGCCATTGTGGCTCACTTCCCAAAGCGAGAATACGTCAACGGTCAAGCGCTTACGCGATTAATTATGGTGATCGATGCGGCGGAAACGGAGAAAGGGACGAGATCCGGTTCTGATGCAGGTTCCGACTTGGCCGAAGGCTGGCGTCGGGATGGACCCCTCCGTTCCCGGGACCTCGAGCCGGAGCTCGAGGCAGGGGCTCGCGCCAAACCCGCTAGTTTGGGGAGTGCGGGTGTCGATACCGACGGCGTTGAGAATGGGGGCGCAGATAACACGGGGATCAGAGCCACAGAAGGCGCAGAAACTGCAACCACAAGTGACATCGTTGTACGCAGTAAAAACAAGGCGCAGGTTGACACTATTTTAGAACAGCTATTACTACTTTTGGATTCCAATCTCGGCACAGTATATCGACGGGCATCACGTAAGCTGTACGGCAACGCCAGACCTTGGCAGCACAACAAACGGGACGAAATGGTGACGCCGGGAATGGTATACGTGGTGTATCAGGACGAGAATGGCCAAGCCGCGTTTTTCTTGTCGTTCATGCTGACGGACGAACCGGAGCTGGAGCCTGTTTCGGAGCCTGTGTTGGAATCCGCATTGACGCCCAGCCTCGAGCCAGAACTCGAGGATAAGCTCGCGCGCCGCCCCAGAAACGCATGTCGTCTGACGGATTGCGGCTCTGGTGCGCCCGACGCCCAGCGAATTTCCGCCTCGGAGCTACCGCGCGACCCCCAGCTTCAGTCGGACGCCCAGCACGCGTTTGAAACCGCCCCCGGCTGCACCGGCGGCGCCGGGCCGAGCCCGGCGCACTGCGGGCCGGAGTTGTCCCCCGCCAAGGTGGTGTACCTGTACGAGATCCAGCTGCGCGCGTGTCTGCAGGGCCACGGGCTGGGGACGCGGTATGTGGGCCAAAAGTTAAAACACGTGGCGCGCGACCTTCACTCGGCCGACCCCACCGTGCAGGGTATCGAGCTGACGGTTTTCTCGGACAACAGGCCGGCGCTCAGACTGTACCGCGGCGTAGGGTTACGGTTGGCCGCTTGGTCTCCGCGAGATGAGATAATGCACACGCGGAGAAACACCCGCAGCACGGCCCATAATAATGGCAAACTGGTCCGGAAACCGGCATACTACGTGCTCTTCTGGGCCATTTGACAGATGTGGCGCGTTGGCGCAAGTGCGTAAGAGCCTGTGGCGGGAACTCAAATCTCGCGTCGTGGAGGGCTGCGGCGGGTTCTGGGGCGGGCGGGCGGAACGCACCCACGCACCGCGCGTGCCGGCGATCAAGCCAAGCACTTTGTGCTCAGACGCGCGCGCAGCGCCCGCTTGCCTCGTCGGGATTCGCGCCACCTAATCGCGTCCAGGCGCAGACACCTTACTCATCGGCACGCAACACTGCACCCAGCCCAGCCACACTGCGCGGCGCGTGCGTTGAACGCGGTATATATATGTCCAGCCAAGAGCCTGAAATAACCCAACCCTGCCCCACCGTTCCTTTCGGCTTTTGATCACGCCTCGCTCGACCTTTTGTCACGACAGCTTATATAGCGTAATCCGTTGACCCTAAACCTATTGCACTACGCTTCCCATACCAACGAGCGCGCCTCGTTCCGTCAATTCTCGAATGCTGTCAGTTCATAGTTACCCCCAGGCCACCAATCTCACCGAGATGGACTCAGATTCGCAGCGCCTTTACAGCAGACAGGAAACCCAATCCATGGAACCGGACAACTTCCGTTTAGGGAGGTACCCGCAGGCATGGCCGGGGATTTCTGGACATGCCGGCGGGGCATGGGCCGGATCGGCGCCTGCGCCCCCGCTTGCCCAGGCGCAACAGCAGCAGCAGCCCCAGCAGCAGCAACAACAGCCACAACCACAGCAGCAACCACAGCAGCAACAGACACAGCAGCAGTCCCAACAGCAGTCCCAGCAGTTGCCCCAGACACAATCCGCGCTGCAAGCCCAGAAACAGCAGCAGCAGCAGCAGCAGCACCCGCAACACCAAGCCCAACAGGGCGCGCACGTGATGTCCCCGCACTACTCCGTGGCCCAGATCCAGCCGCAGTACAGCAGCGTGCCGGCGGCTTACAGGAGTTCCTTCAGCGAATACGCGGACTACGATGCGAGATTCCAGTTCCTGAAGGCCAACTCTACGGGTGCGCCTGGGCAGGTCCCGGCCGGCCCGGTACCCGCTCCTCCGCCGGCCGCCCAGCCGTACATGTGGAATATCCCCCCAACATACGCTACCCCGGCGTGGAACCAGGTGCCTCAGACGCAGCCGCAAGCCGCGCAACTGCAACCCCAACTTCAACCCCAACATCAGGCGCAACAGCAGCATCATCAGCAGCAGCAGCACCCGGTGCCCCTCAATGCAAACCCCTGGAACCCTGGTCCAGCGGCACAATTACACCGCAGCCCCAGCAATCCGGACGTTTCTTCTATGGTGTACGTGACGGATGCACGTCAATTTCCAGGGTCCCAGGGAATGGTGCCTTACCGGCACGCTCAATCTGCGCAGTTCTCGACGTCGTTGCCGCCACTGCAGCAGGCGCACAGTCACTTATCTTACCAGCCCGCTGGCACCCAACTGTCGCATCTCATTCACAACCGCAACGGCGGCGACTCGGACAACATCCACAAGTGCCATTTGTGCGAGAAATCGTTCAAAAGGAAGTCGTGGTTGAAGCGCCATTTGCTGTCGCATTCCTCCGTAAAACCCTACAACTGCCCCTGGTGCCAGAGCAGGCACAAGCGCAAGGATAATTTGTTTCAGCATATGAAGCTGAAACACGTCCACCAGGTCCTGCAGGAGTTGGTCGGGATGGACGACGACGGACAGCGCGGCTCGGACGAACGCGGCGCTCACGCAGGCGCGAACGGAGACGGCGATAATAACGGCGGCAGCGGAGTCGGCGGCAACAACGCCCTCGTCGACCGTGACCCGGCCGGCACCAGCATTAAGAGCCTCATCGACCAGGGCACCCTGAATAAGGAAGACGTTAAAACCGTGCTAAACGCGGTGATCATTCGGGTGAATGGCGAGGACAGGTAGGTCCAATTGTTTTTTACGTAATAATGTACATGTACACAAGTAGCAACACTGCAGTTGTTTTTTTTGATTGAGCCTTGTCTGTCACAACATCTCGCGTACGACGGCCTCGTGTGGGAAGTCGTCGTCTGCGGGGCTCTTGATGATGCTCGTGTTTTGGAACTGCTGGTGTTTGAAATGGGCTACGCCGTAGCTGGCGGCTGAGATAGTGAGCCCGATCGCCACGGCGATCAGACTCGTGACCATCAGAGCCAATGAGCACCATTGCACGGCTGCCATCCCCAAGTAGAATAGCGTTCTCTTACCATTGGTCTCGAATCTCTTGATGAACGCAATAAAGTTGTCGCTGAGCGGGCAGATTCTGAGCAGAAAGGGCACCTCGATGAATAGGATGATGAGGCCCTGGACGATACTGAGGATTCCAAACACGATGACCGCGTTGACGTGGAATAGGTTAGCGATTCCGAGCGCTATACACAGAATGATGTTGATGTATCCAAACCATTGGCCATACACGCTATCCTTGCACGTTAGTACTTCGAAAACTACACCCTGGAAAGTCGGTCTTAGAAAGCCGCGATTCGCACATACCTGAAATTGAAGCTCTTGAGGTCTTTAACAATGCCTGCGATGTTGAGGAACTGCCTGATGTCGAGAGCCATTGCTGCGAGTCGGTGTGCTTATGTGGTTCGAGCGCTTGCAGAACGGTTGTCGTCAGAAACTCTCCTCCCGGCCTTTTTTTGAGTTTCGTTGGGATCCTTAAAATTGAGAAGCGCGAGTTCCGAGGGTGGGACAAACGAGCCCGCATACCCCTCGGAACAGTGCGCCCTCAATGCGGATCCGTTCTACAGGCATCGGAGCTAAACGACGTTGCACCTCTGAACTTATTTGGCGCCACCGGTTTTAAAGCGCGAACGAGCGGGCCTGAGCACCAAGCACCCTGATTATGTCTGAAGATGCGCGCCATAGCGGTTCTGAGTCAGCCGGCGAGAGCGAAGACGGGTATTTAAGTGATTTCGACGGCGATTTCGAAAGACTGGGCAGAGGTTTCCCTATGATTTCATTACCCAGTCTGTGGAGCAACAAAAGTACCAACCGTGAGGAAGTAGAAGAGCAGGACTCGAAGTCTCTCAGAGATTACGGACAGTGGAGTAGGAAACTCCAGATGACAACTTTTATTATGGACTTACAGAAAGGTTTAAGTTTCTCAAACGCGCTTAATAGACTCCAGACAGTCAAGGCACACAGGGGATGCCATTGGAAACGCTATGCACAGTGGGTCCGATACCACAGTCGAGAAGGAAGGAGAGGAGCCTGTTGGTATAGTGCCCGCCACGGAGCCCAAGAAGATCCCTGCGTATAATGACATGGTGATTCCTCAAGATAAGGATCCCCAGACGCTCGATGAAGATTTAGTCAAGCTTACAGAACTTCCGCAAGAACAGATCAACGACGAATCTGCCCTTCGAGCCAGAATCCAGCACATTAGAAGCCTCGAATTAGAGCCCGCCAAGAAGGCGGTCATGATACAAAGACTCATGATGGGCAAGCATTACGACGAGAAGCAAGCAGGCGAGAAACCACCGGAATCTGAATCAGACGACGAAACCGACTCGTACCCTGCGACGCCTACCAACGAGGAGTTGAAACCCACCTACCATAGTTCTGGCGTCTTCGGGTGCCCTCATTACCAGCGTAACTGCAAACTAGAGTGCCACCAGTGCCGGAAATGGTATACATGCCGGTTTTGCCATGATGACGAGATGCAAGGCCAATCAATACCCAACCCCCATAATTTTCAGAGGAACAAAACCAAATGGGTGATGTGCATGAGATGCCAGCACGTCCAGCGGCCGCAAAAAGACTGCGAAAACTGTGAGGAAGAATTGGCCTTGTACTATTGCGACAAATGCAAACTGTTTGACAGTGACGATTCTAAGGATATTTATCACTGTGATAAGTGTGGAATCTGCAGACTGGGCCTGGGCCTTGGAATCGATTTTTTCCACTGTGATGGATGCCAAGCGTGCTTATCAATAGAGCTTCAAGGGAGTCACAAGTGTATTGAGCGCGCGACCATGTCCAGTTGTCCAATTTGTGGAGATTACATGTTCACGTCTGTGAAGCCAGTGGTTTACATGTCTCCTTGTGGACACGCCATTCACCAGCATTGTTTTGACGAATATACTGCGCATTCTTACAAGTGCCCTACTTGCCAGGTCTCAGTGTTGAACATGGAGGCTCAATTTAGGGTGCTTGATAAGGAAATTGAAGAGCAACCACTACCACAACCCTACTGCAACTGGATATGTTTCGTTTCTTGCAACGATTGCAAAGCAAGAAGCACGTGCCGTTACCATATCTTGGGCCTTCGATGCGGTAACTGTTACAGTTATAATACGACGCAACTCAAACTCGTAAAGCCAGAAGAGGAGGTGCTTGATGAAGACCAGCATAGCCAGGACCAACTTGCTGATCAGTATAGTAACGAGAGTAGTGCCGTTGCTTCTATGAATCGTATGAGGCAGCAGCTGTTGGAGGGACATTTCCAGAGGGAGGAAGTTTCACCATTCATTAATGTCAACAAGAGTGGTATGCTTTCCAACATAGAGAATTACATGAACGGCTACTTCAACGATAAACCAGCAAACGTTGATCGTCGTGTAGAAGAGGAAGAGGTGCAGTATTATTCACATAACCTATTTAATACAGCGAGACTGTTCGGGAAAGACAAAGACAATGGTAACGTGTCCGAGATTCCAGAGGTTGTCGGAAGTACAAGTATGGCAAGAGCACCTTCCATCACTGAAAGGCTCAGGAACTTCATCAATGAGGCTCCTCCACAACTTTCGCTGTCTGAAGCTTTTCAGACCTTCCTCAGAGGAAGTCACCAGGGTCTCTCTTCTGGTGATGAAGACGATTTTTCGCATCAAAATTGAGAGTCTACATAAATGGACGCAATCGTAAATAGTCCACGAGAGGATTGGGAGATTATCCCCAGCTTGCATATAGTTTGAAGCATTAGAGCACAGTACTTATGTCTAATATGAAATATTTGCAGTTTTTTTTCACATTTCGGTAGATTTGTCGTATCTTTTCGTACTTGATGGCCTCTCCTCAGTCAAAAGGTTATTTTTGTCTCCCCTATATCTCCTAGTCTCGAAAATAAAACATCACTTCTCGTCATCACTTTACAGTCGAACAGACAAGTTCAAACACTACAAACAAAGCTTTATAGGTATGTTACGATCACTAAGAACATGAATTAATCTTTGGTGATATTAGGAACGTTCAATCTCCCGGTTTAGAGTTTAAATTTGGCTGCTGCAATTAAGCGCCATTACCACAATAAAGAATGGGGGCAAGCTTTAGGCGGCCAAACATATTACGTTAAAAATGATAACAACAACCGTTCAGAGTTACAAATGCATTTATGGTCACATGCCACTTGACGGCTTCAGGTTCCGCCAAATGCGCCCGTGGTGCAAGGGAGGCGAGGGGCCTGAGCGAAGCAACCACAGAAATTCCAAGAGGCAAATTGGGAGCGTGGCCGACGGGGACGGGGATGGAACGGGGGGGAACGGGAGGCTCCAAGAAAAATTTTTGCAGTAATAACATCTTAGCCCCCTCGGGTACGGTTCTTTCTAATACGCAGAGTACGCCCAACTACGCATTTGCTTTTAGACAAGACTGCAGTACTACACTTCTGCCACTTTGCTTAACAACTACTTTCGTCTCTGAAAGAAGCCGAGTTCCCAATAAAATTGAGGTACACGTCGAAACCGTAAACAAACCATCACACGCCTTTCGCTACGTCGCAGTGTACAGGTACTATTATTTCTGTGCGTCGACCCGTGTCATACGAAAACAGTCAAGATTAACGTTCCTAACATCAGTACAGGCATCTCTCCTCCGGAGACGTCCAGTGGAAGCCATCCAAATACTAACAGTTTGCAGGATCAGCTTTTACCCTATCAAGATCTCGAACAACCCCAACAACCACAACAACCGCTGAAGCAGAAAGCTCATCTAGGCCATCCTTCACAACAGCCTCCAGACGCTACTCCACAAACAGACATCTACGGGCAAGTACCTCCCCATTTGCAAGCTTCCACTCAACAACAAATTTCTGACGCAATGTTTAACTCTTTCTTGGCTCAATTCGGCCAAAGGCAGGTCGCTAACGTCATCAACAACGCTTTTAACGCCAGCGCACAGTCCGTCAATGCCGCCATGGCCGCTGCCATGATGAACCAGCCTGCGCAAAGGTTCTTTCACGCGGCCATGAATACCCCATCCATGATGGAGATGACCCATCCTGCCATGGTCCAGCCCACTCCACAATATCAAATTCAGGTTACACAACCTATGGCTAAGAAAATGTCCACTACGCAGAGCAGAATCGAAAAAAGGAAGTTATTGAAGAAGCAAGGTCCTAAGAGACCCTCTTCCGCATACTTCTTATTTTCAATGGACGTAAGAGAAGATTTAATAAGGAAGTATCCAGATGCCAAGGTACCCGAGCTATCAAAACTGGCATCCGCGAAATGGAAGGAAATGTCTGACGAAGAGAAGAAACCTTATCACGAAAAATTCAAGCTTAACTGGGAGAAATACAGAATAGCAAGAAAAGAATATGAGGCTACTCTCCCACCCAAAAGACCCTCCGGTCCTTTCATTCAATTCACTCAAGATGTTCGTCCTCAAATCGTACGTGAAAATCCCGATAAGGACTTGATTGAAATTACCAAATTGATTGGTGAAAGATGGCGCTCGTTGTCCCCTGAAGAGAAGCAAGAATATACGAATACGTATAAAAGAAAGCTCAGGGAATGGGAAGAACAATACCCTGAGGAGGCTGCTAATGACAATGAGAGAGGCAGCGCAAGCGAGTAATTTTTGTATTATTTTTTTCTCATCTTTAATTTCTCTATGGTTCTTCTTCACTTTTTGTATTTTCCTCTTTTAATATGGTGACAGAAAGAACTGGTCTTTCGAACTTGGTTGACAAGTTGTAATGTCTGTAAACTTTAAAGAATGCAATTATGCTTACTAAATTTAACCTTAAATATTATAACATCCTCACACATAAACGCCCACTAAACATGTTTCCAGAAGCCGCTCATGATTAACCCACCTGTGATATTTATTAAACATCACCGTCCCATCCTTCCCAGCACAGCTTTTCATTAATATCTCTACGCCGCCTGGATGAAAGTCTAAATACGGTGTCAGGCAATAAACGTTTCCCTTGATCACCGTCCAACAGTCTTCCCTAGTGACATGCTTCATTAGTTCATCTTTATCAACTTTTAATCGTGGAAAAATCATAAAAGGAGGTATACCGCTTCGTAATCGCATCATCAGTTCTGGGTGATTTATCTCTTGCATTTTACGGTTGCCCATAAACTTTTCGAGGCCGGTAATTAAATTACCTCGCTTACCCTTACTATTGGCCAGTTCACTCCAGTCCAATGCGCTATGTCCTGGTTTCAAGACAACCTTATTCCGGTACCCACCGGCCCCAAGAGTGCTACATCCTGCTTGAGAAGGGATGCTTGGATCATCGAGGGCTCTAATTCTCGATATCTGGGGTGCTCGAAGGTTCCCGTTAGGTCTGGGGATGCCTAAAGGCTTGCGAAATCCGACTTCTTGTTTTGTTAACTTCTCCTTGATCTGGTTGTCCATGCCAGAGCGATTTGGGATCCTGCTCTTCGTTAAGTGATTAATCCCATTTTGTACGCATGTTTTTTTCAAGCATTTCTCGTCCCATTCTTAGACCCTCACGGTAATCGCATACTACTCAAAATAATTCGCAATGAGATTGTAAAGAATATCATTTGACAGGAATTTATATACACTAGACTAGTTATGGAATGTATTCATATGTTGCTCTTACAGCAGGACCCAGATGAAGGAGCTTCAGAAGGACAACCAGCAGCCTTTTGAGCATCTTCATAATAGACAGACTTGTTGAACTTGTTGGTGGCCAATGGAATGTCCAAGGCAGGATTCTTAGTAAAGAAGGAAGCAGGTGTCACCAAGAATTGTAGGAAGTCTGATGTCATAACAGGGAATTGTTCAGTAACAGGAGGATGAGTCAAAGCCAAAGTTGCCCAGACAACTGTGTCGGTGTTTCTTACACTGTCTTCACCATTCGCCCACTTCGAGAGACCAGTGTCATGCTGAGACTGGTTCGTGAACTCACCGGCAGCATACAATTCATCATCTCTGTACTTAGTGACCCATAATTGCTTGGTAGCATAGTGTGCTCTCTTAACATTGTAAGACTTTTCCGATGCGATGATCATTTGTCTAGCAGGCATTTCAAATTTGTAACCGACAGGTTTCAAAGTAACTGGGTTAATAGAATTTTCGTTAATGACCTTGTATGTTCTGTTTGTGAATGGAGATTGGTCAACCGATCCGGATTTTTCGACGTAGTTTCTTACCTGGCGATAACCGACATTATAAGTGTTGATAGGAGTGTCATCTTCCATTGGTACATAATCGTCGTAAACCACAGTATTATTGTCACCATCAATACGCGTGTCAAATCTAAAAGATAACAAATGTTGATGGTATGCGGCAGTCACACCCGGTCCCACAATCGTGCCGAAATCAGTTACATTGTTTTCGTCGTTTGGCATGGTCGAGAGAATACCAGTTGCTCTCACTTGAACAGTGATGGCACCTGCCTGGTCAAAGATCAAGTTAACAATATATTCGTAGTTTGCAACAGTGGCAATAGTCTGAATAACGAACTCTCTTCTACGAGTCACAACATTGCTGCCAGTTCTGTAGTTTTGGTGGAGGAACAATAAACCGTAATCTTGTTCATGCATGCAAATTGTCGATGGGATAAGAACAGGCTTACCGTCTCTGTCTGCTCTTCTGGTGTCGAGATATTTAACGACACCCAAACAATGACAGCCCAAAGCTAAGGAGTTCGCAGTGTTACCGAAACCACAATCACCCAAATCAAAAGCTTGCTTTCTATGGAAAGGTGGTCTACCGTCACCATAAGGAACTGTCATCTCATTCAACGCAACACGATAGAACAACGATCTGCCCTTAAAAAAGACATCGTACAAGGCAAAACCTTCTCTGACGTTGGTAGCGACCCTGAATTCCCAGCCTTGCCATGTAATCTTAGAGCCCTGAACGTCAAAAGAGGCACCCTCTGGCTGGGAGATGATCAATGGCTTCAAGTTTTCTCTAACACCCACATCCTCCATGACATCAGGGTGGTATTCAACAGTTGGTAGAGGCTTGTAGGGCAAAGTGTCCTTCACGAATTTCTCGTCAGCACCACTGGGCAAATAATCGATTCTGACAAACTTATGAGTCAAATACTCGAACACTGGAGAAAACTTCAATGGGATCGAATAATGATTAGCATCAGGGTGATCCAACTTCAAGTACATATAGGCCTGGATCATAGGAATCTTGTCATCAGGAGAATCTGTACCATACATCCAAGGCTCGCAGACAACTTTGTAACCCAATTTCCCGAGCTTGCTATGGTTGTAGAATACTTTCTCGAGCTGCAACTTCTCAATTTCAGCCTTAACAATAGGGTGTGTCATGACAGCATCCTCTACAGCGAGCATGTCATCTGGGAGAAGGGGACCAATTGTTCCTTCGGGCGTCTCTTGATTTGCGATAATACGCTTGTCAGAGACATTCACTAACGCCTTGTACAAGGGCATTTTGTCATTCTTGTAGTAATACGCATATGTTCTTCTTGGAATATATGGTAGCTCTCCTCCCCCATAACGCTCGATGTTCAAGTATTCAATCGCTTGCTTTTTAGGTGGGTCCAATCTATCAATTTGAATGAAGTGAAGTTTAGCGTCACCATTCAAATCTTTCAACAACTTGGATGTCCAGTTTATTTCCTCATCAGTGATGGGGTCGAAAATGTGGAGGTTAGAAGCCATCTGAAGTTAGATACAGAAAAATATTCTTCTATACTATTAAGAATGTCTAGTTAAACCAAACCTAACTATGTACTCCCGTTGCCCTTAAATACTTTTCACATACTCAATGGCTTGGAAATATCGATTACAGCCGAGTGCCTTATCGATTCCGCTTTATCGCGGTCTCGACGCTTGGTCTTCCCTATTCGGGAAATTGAACGCGCAATCAATCAAAGAAATCGTCTTCGGAATCTTCGCCATTACTCAAGTCAGCTGCAGTTTCACGACGATCGAAGATGATTTTGGTGTCATTCTTGCGTTTCTCGTCACGAGCTATCCCATTCAGAATCTCTACAATCTCGTGCTCAGTAATCTTATGTGTAATTTGACCTCTCGAGGCGAGTTGCTGTATATAACCTTCGACGGCATGTGCCCGATCTGGTCGCACCAAAGATACTCGTGAAAGCCGTTCAGAGGCCTCTGATTCCAAAAATGCAGCAATGGAATCTCCAGCTGGTCTGCTTCTATAGTTGTGTTAGTGGCTCTACCTCATGTCACTTTGCTTGCAAGGTTCGTTTGACACTTTGGTAAAAGACAGAAGAACATACCCTTGATCGTCTCTATTAGACTGACCAGATTGTCTCTTGATCTCCGCAAGACGTGCTTCGCGAATAGCCTGTAACTCTGGATCCATCCTGCTTGAAGAGGGGTTCTTGACTGGAGAATTGGCCTCCGGCGATGGCTGTTCATAGGTTGAAAAAAACAATTCGGATCGACATCCCTATACGGGAAAAGTCGATGTTAGAACTGAAATGTACTGGAAAGAAGCGCCAGGAAAGCTGAAATTATAGACCTCTAGCAATGCACATTGTTAGAAAAACGTAGGAATGCAGCACACTAGCAGGCCCTGCTGAGTGGTCAATCTTCTAGGTCTTGTTTAGTACGAAGATCACATGAGAAGAAATCACTATATACGTAGGACATATTGAATCGCCTCTTTAGTTCGCAGAACTGTCCACGGTGGTGAAGACGTTTCATTAAGCAAACACAAGTGTAATAGACACTTTAAGGGGCGGTTCATTCACTGACTACTCACTGGCTAAAGATAAGAACCTGGTAATTGGTTGTCGTGATAGAAACAGTTCTTCTGCCGCAAAGAAAGCCGTTTTATTTTTTGAGTTGTATTTTTTTTTTCAGGCGATTGTTAGATCGAGAGGCAAGGGCATACAGTTGACCATAATTGACGTTGTTAAGAACCATTTAGAATTTCCAATACCGTTCTCATTGATATTTCAGCATTTTGGCAAGTCTGGCGGTAAGTGAGTCAGATATTTTTACGAATAAGCTAGTGATGGATAAGTCTCTCACGCCAGTCTCGAGAAGAAGTAAGTCATCATCTCCAAACTCCCTTTCAGAGTCCAGCTCGTCTAATGAATCAAACTTGCGACGCCCAAGACGGTCTGCATCCATAAATGTGGATTACAACTTGAAGAAGAGGCGGATTATTCCCGGAGATGATTATCTAGTCAAGAAAAAAGACCCCAAACAAGAAATTGGAGGAGCTGAGGCATCAGAGATAGTCAAAGAGCAGAAAGACGTGCTAGAACATACCCCTAATGGCGAAATTCACTTTAATGAACCGCGAATTACAGATCCGGTCAATGGAATGACTGGCCTGCCACTTAGTATGGGACCTCCTGAAAAAGTTAAGAAAGAGTCACTGTGGAATTATAGAAAGAATCAGAATGGTAGCACTACTACAGCCCGGGAGATCGATACGGAAGAAAGCGCAGAGAAGTCATATCAGCAGAATCTTCTGACAGAGGAGTCTGATCATCTGACGTCAATGAGTGAGCTTCGCAGGGAGCATGAGCCTGTAGATATTCATAAAGAAAAAAGACGAGGGAGGAAAATTAAGGCTACGAAGCACAAGCACAAACACTTCCCAATGCATACCAAAATAAAAGCTACTGCTGCGAAGGAGAACAAGTTATTTGGCCAGAACTCCATAACAAACCAAAAAACAATAGCAACTCCTGTTATAGCGGAGGATGTCGTAATTGAGAACGACGACTACTGTGCAAGCTGCTTTCAACCTGGGGTCTTTTTATGTTGCGATACGTGTCCGAAATCCTTTCATTTTGCTTGTTGCAATCCCCCTTTAGATCCTGACAACTTACCAGAGGGCGATTGGTCTTGCGAAGATTGTCAACTGCGAATACAATGTTCAACTAAAGCATCCGTCCACAAGCTCGAAAAGGAGTTTTTAGGCGAGCTTGAGAGGACGAAGGGTATATCTTTGTTTGGTAAACTGCTGTTTCGCGTCGAGCACGCAAATCCCAAGCAATTCCAACTTCCGCTATCGATTAGAGAGGCATTCCTTGATGTCAAAACAGGATCACACGGTGAATATCTGGACAATTCCTTGAAGGAGCCTTTAAACGAAAAACAGCTACTTGGTACTCCCTATGGCCAAAGCCTTACTAGAATGGATCAGTACAATCCGGAGTTACACATGGATCAGGAATCTGGCAAAATTTTGGTTTGTTACAAATGCCGTCAATCAAAAATGGGAACCATTGATCACCCAGAATCTGAAAGATTGATTATGAGTTGCGACTACTGTGGTACACCATGGCATTTGGACTGCATTCCCCGTGCCTCTTTCAAAAATTTGGGAAGCAAATGGGCATGCCCGCTTCATGCGAGTAGTTTGATACCATTTCGGAAACGAAGATTAGCGCGCAATCAGAAAACTCTCTCTCCCTCAATACCCTGCGGTTATGCCAATAATGGCGATATTGACGTTATACTGGACGAGGTCTCAGCTCCAATATCTAAAGAGGTATTGAAAGAAAACAAGAAAAACAATGAGCTAGCCGTCGTTCATCTGTCGGAAAACTCTATCAAATTGGACTTCGTGGACAAAATATATCGGGCAAAGAAGGCCCTTAGAGAGCAGAATCTACGTGATCAAGACCATCTAATAGACAAAATCTTATCATCATGCTCCCAAAGTTATCCCCAATTAAACGATGTTTCTTCTCTTCTTTATTTCTCTCTTCAGAGCAGTCAGCACTTGAAGAAATTATGGGATTTCAAGGAGCTGTGTAAGGTCGCGACAGCAGAAGCCGAGAAAGTCGACTTGGACTTTGTGGAAATTCGGAAACTTTCTGCACTCAAAAAACTGCTGGAATCGAAAAGTCGACGGGAGGTCATGGACTTTTTTGGGCTCCATGAATAATTATCTGCATATACGTAACATATATTTAATCCTATTATTGCATGTGTTACCTATGATTGACGCACCGTTTATTGTAGTGTGTATTGCCACCGAGGTACAAGCATTGTCTAGCAAATAACAGTCAACCCGATTAGTCCTCTTCTGCGCTTTCGTCATCTCTGTAATCAACTTCGTTTTTCCGCCGAGAGCTTTTTCGAGTCACATCCGACATCTTGGATAAATTAGAAGGCACATAATTGTCATCTTCGTCAGAGTCTTCCAAGCTCTGCTCCGCGGATTTCGAAGGTCGCTGCTTTTTATGGACAACCCTGTATTCATCCGTCAGCTTTCTCTTTTGTACTTGTTGTTTGTGAGTTTGGGATTTCCTGAACATTCGATTTACTTTGACTTCAATGCTCTTTTGAATGACCCTAGCATGGTTCGCACTTAAATATGTTTCGAACGTATTTACCCGAGCTTCATTAATGGTATCAAATGGTTCAAATAGGTCCGAAGGTAAATTCAGCTTCCCAGGGTACACCGACAGCGTCCATTTATGCTGCTCTTTGAATTGGTTGAGTACGAGCTGGGCCAATTCCGAGATAATATAGACATTAGGGACAATTTTATGCTCTTCCTCCGTCGCGTCCGCCCCTCTGTCTTCCTGTTCATCGGACGAACCAACATCCCTCACAGTATCTCTGTACTGGCGCACTCTTCCTGCCAAGTAGTATAGGAGGCCCAAGTTGCTCGCGGTTGCGACAGAATCAAAGAAAAATATGAGATAATCGACGGATGTCGTAAGACTATTGAGGAATGCATTCTCCTCACCGCTCAAGCCGTCGGCGACATCTGGGTGATGTGCGATCGAGTGAATAAGTCTCGGCAAAGCCCTCTCGAAAAAGGTACCTCTTCTGAACGTTTCTTTGTTAAAAGTGAAATTTATCCATATTTTTGTGTTAGCCTTCAATTCCGGATCAGGTTCATAAGCAGTAAAAAATACCAATGGAAGGAACTTGATCGAGATAAATTCTCCGGCGACGTAATCTTTCAAACGCTCGATGAAAGCGGTCCGGACTTCTATACATTCATCCTCAACAAGGTTGATAAGCTTACTGATGTCTGATGGTTTGATGAATGGACCAAAACTGGGAAGCCTGGCAAGCTTTAAGACTTGCAAACCTGCGAAACATCTCAGCTTTGTTTGATAGCTACTTGGAGTGGGGTAGTTTTCTTTATTATGCTCCGAAATAAGTTCACCACCACTAGCAATCAAATAGAAGAAAAGCTTCATTGTTTTCTCAGTGAAAGTCTTAGCGATAGGATCAGTCTCAACTTCTTTGGATATTGATCTTAATTTATTAGTAAGAAGCTTCAGAGCAAATATTTTAGTACTCAAAGGAGAGAATTTCCCCGAATTAATCTGCTTGTCTGTTATCCAAGACGAATCTTCGTCGGGGTCACCGACAACTTCATTTGCTAAGAGAACATTTTTGATAAGGTAGCTGATGATATCTGTTGAATCATCGTCTAAAAGCTGGGGTTTGATTTTGAATATTTCAGATATTGCTAAAACATTCGATGAAAAGTTTTTTGATGAATCCAAATTTAATGGAAGAATAAAAGCTTTGATCTTTGATAAACGAAGCTCAGCTTCTGGAGTTAGCCCAAGTAACTTTACCGCATACTTTGCTTCGAGGGGAGTGCCTTCGATTGCAAAATCTTGTACCTTATCAAAGAAGAAAGTGTCGTCTGTATCTAGTTGATCCTTGAGAACCTTAGAAATTTTATAGATGGTTCTTAATGCTTCACCGATCGTTAATGTTTCCTTGAGATCTTTTTCGGTGCCATCTAGATTCTTGATTGCATTGGTCAGCGACTTTATTTGATCCTTAAAGATGCTTGGTTTGACAGATGAAATATTGTCAATTAATTGACGCTTCAAAGAAAGTTCCTTTTCTTTAGCAGACTTTCTTGTGTCTAACAATAGAGAGATATTGGAGACATTGTAGATTAATGGAGCACCTCGATAAAGTAAGATTTTGAAAATAAAAACGAACTGGTCTTTAGTGAATCGCGATTCAATTTTCACACTTTTCTTTCGGAATAAGTCCGTCTCATGTAATCTCCTCAGGAGCTCGGATACGGCGTTTCTCAAAGTAGTGTGATTGGACTCGTCTGCCACAGCGCTCTTCATGAGGTGGTAAATTCGTCTATCATTCAGCTCCTTGAAAGCCATAAGTATATCAGCCACATTAAGTTGATCCGGAAAACCGAAGCTGAGCCATTCAATCGTCTTATAAAATTTTGATTTTATGGCATCTGTGTTCTCAGACTCTGTGGAATTCAATTGCTCGCAAAATTCAATGAACCTGGTAATAACAGTAGATATCTGAACCTGACGCTTATTAAATGCGTAAAATGACGAGAATGCTTTTTTGTCAAATCTTTCCATGACGTGGATGAGCCTATCAACTAAATCTTCGCTAGTAATATTTAGCGGTAGAAAGTGTTCAAATATTACAGTGTCAGCCTTAATATTGATGTTGGGATCATTAATGTAGTAAAGATCAAATATAACCGAAGGAATGGTTCCGATAACATCCCATATCTCTTGATTTCGAAGGGTTTTAGGGATTTTTTTTATAGATTCCACGTAAATTTTGGAAACTGTATCAATACACTTTTCCCTTACGTCTCTTCTTGTCTCTCTCGTTAAATGCAAAAGTGAAGTATATAGAGCAGCATTAGTGATACTTGACCACAACTTTTCGATGCGAAGCTCTTCAAATACTTCAATGGCTCCCAAACGCACCAAATGGTCGGAATCGATAAGAGTCTTAGCTAGGCCCTTTTGAAGAGCATCAGATATGTCGTTTCTTCTCTCAAAAATATTCGGTAAACCTTTCACCCATGCGTATCTCACATGCGGGCTAATGTCCACTACCTTACTTAGCCACATTTTGTAAGTATCATTGTGCACAACTACAAAGTTCACAGTCAATGAGTTCGTTAGCATGTCGCTTACACAACAGGTAGCTGATTCTCTGAAGAGTTCATTGTCAGAGCATAGAAGTTGGTAAATAAAACCAGTGACAGACCCAACTAGGTCCGGCGCATACTCCCACAATTTTGAAGTCAGTTTGTTTAGTTTAGTTAAGGTTCTGTATCCATAGCCACTTTTACCTCGTTTTTCGTCGTTCTCTTGTTTGCTGTTAAGAATTTCGTACATTATTTCAGAGTAAAACTTAGTGAAGTGTCTCCCCAAACGATTGGAATACAAGTTACATATCGTCAGACTGAATTCGAATCCGGGATCTTTTCTAATTTGCAAACCAGTGATTGTGTCATTTCCCTTATTCGACAAAAATTTGTTGAAAACCATTTTCAAGACCGACATAGGCAATGATTCACATTCCGATATTACTTCTCCCAGTAACCCGCCTACAATCTTGAAGAGACGTTCTTGTATGGAGGAATTCTCGGGCCCATAAAAAATCTCGAATAGTTCTTCGATTAGCGCGGCTGAATTTGGAAGGTCCGTCAACAACACTATGGATCTATATTCCAATAAACTCGTGGTCAAATAAGTCTGTTGAATATAGTAGCCATTATCAGGATCTTCAAGTAGGCGCAACTGTCCCAAGAATAGGCGGAAAATATCTGTTAATTCTTTGTCTGTGTATGGTGCGTCCGGAGCGAAAAGCCTCAAAATATCACTTAAACAACATGCTGCAAATGCTTGAATACCGGGATCTTTACTCTTCAATATCTTTTTGTTTATAAGATCAATGCGATAGCGCTCAAGCAATGACGTTTCAACGGAATCTTGATTCAGGGTTGACAGTTCTTCATGAAGGGAAGCGAGGCGATCAATAACTTGCTGAGATGATAGATTATCCTTAAGGGTAGATATTATAGACTTGTTGAAGTCTAGTCTAGACTTAGTCTTCACCATTCAGCTTGCTACTAGTGTGATGGATTTGTCCTAATCCTGACGCGTTCCCTAGATCTGTTTTTTTTGAAACGCGTTACATGCAGTTACCCGGCAAATATAGTATACTGTATCTTCAAACTGTCAAACTGCTTGCTGAAAACCCGCTGATAACTTCACCGGTATGATACATCCAATTCATAATTACGTTTCATTATTATTGAAAGAATGCTAATATGAGTAAATACTTGAAGTTAAAGGCAAATGTAAAAGTTCTAGGCTAAGATGGAGTGTTGCCATCAATGGACTCTTTCGAAGATCCTGGGCGAATGATATTTGCGTTCTGACCATGCGCACCCGTATCATTTATAATGCGAGGCTTGTAACCTTGCCGTGCCATCAGAGGATGTTGTATTGAATCTGAATTGGCGTAAGTGCCAGCACTATTGACGGGACTAGTGTGATACACCGGCGAAGGATAGGTCGGATGACTAAAATGCTTGTTATGTAATGCGGTATGCGGACTTGGTAAATTCATATTCTTATAGTTATCAATACCCGCAATGTTGTCGGCTGCATTAGCAGCCGTATTCGTTATGCCTGCTTCCGACAAACGTCGGTAAATATCATGAATGTCATTAGTATGTGTACTTGGCGTGAGCGACCTGCTTACAGTTCTGAAAAGTTCGTGTAACCCACTACCTATGGAATCCTCATGATGCGAAAGAGTGGCATTGGTAATTGTGTGAGTTCGAGAGATTCGGTGGTGGGGAAACAGCTCCTGAGTTGTTTTGGGTAACTGTGGAGAAGCGGATCCCTCACGCGAGGCATGCGATGCTATCTTTGTGAGAACTTTTTCCAATTTGGAACCCAATTTATTTTCCAAGACATTGTAACCACCTTCGGCATCATACTTTTCTTCCTCTTGCTTCTCCACTTCATGCAACGCCAGCTTTCTGTCGTTATGGGATGCTAGTTTACGCGCGATACCGGACCGCATCGTTGGAGCAAGAGATGGTGAACTTAGTATGGAAGAAACATCAAGATTAGAATTCATATCATCATGTATCAGTACTCCATCAGAAGTTTGCAATTTATCAACGAGGTTCGGGCTCGGATTTGGGTTTTGCAAAGCACTCGACTGATTCTCCAAGCGAGGCGGACTTCCTTCATCGGCAATTGTCATTTCCCGCGTCAATGGCGCGCCCATTCCTCTAACTGGGAAAACACCGGGAGGCGAACGCATCACATGAGATCTCAGAGGACGTGATTTCGATATGTAACCCCTGGAGTTTAATCGTGATAATGCAGACATAGTTCTTGCGACACTAGGCAAAGTGCTCTGACTATTATGCATTTCTGGTCTGTAATCTAGTGGGGCTTCTGACCTTGGATCTACAGATGAATCACTACTAATGTGCCCAAAAGTGTCGTTCTTTTCATCAGAATCTAATTCTTCGTCAATGTCTGCTTCATCTTCTTCCTCTTTAGCCTCCTTCGATGATATCCTTACCACCCTAGAATCCACGTTCAACTCCGGTTGTTCGTCCCTAGCATCGTACTGAGGTAAGGCCAGCTTTCTTCTGTCCCTCTCAACAACAACTAGATGCAAATAAAATGGAACAATAATGGAGAATCCACATCCTCCAACAATATTACCCAGAATAGAGGGGATGAATAACTTCCAAATAAGCTTCCCAACGGATAAATCTGCCCCATTAATCATTCCTGCTGTAAGCAAATACATGTCGGCAACTGCATGAGTGAATCCCATAGCCACAAACGTAAAAACAGGCAGCATCATCAAAATAAACTTAACGTGAATTGGTTTCGCCATTAATTGCAAATAAACTGCGAGACAAACATAGAAATTACCCGCGATTCCCTTGATAAATGTTTCGATGAAACTGAAGGATGCCTTTTCCGCGACAAACTGTCGTGAAGCAGTAATATAACCTTCAGTGCGGGTCACATTTGACAAGTGGCAGATCACGTAGCTGACAAATAATGTGCCCCCCAGGTTAAAAAACCAACTTATAACCCAGCTAATCAACAGATCATATATGGACACAGCTTTTCGGAGAACTCCTACGGTGAAAAATAAAATATTAGAATTGAACAAGTCTGTACCATTGATGATCACGTAAAATAAACCGATTGAAAATGTCAATGCACCCAGGTAGTCCAGCATGCCTGGGTTATTAGCTAGTATTTCTGGATTATTGGCATGACAAGACAAAAAAAGCATACCACCCGCGCTGAAAAATATACCTCCCATGATTGAGTTAACAATCAGTGTGTCCAATTGCAATCTTGCCTTCTTCATAGCTGTTGCCACCACTGCTAAAGCAGTTTCATGGGGAGTGATATAGTAGCTATCGTCAACCATGACTTAACCTTGCTCTAAGCGACGGTTTCTAGAGTTATAGTAGCTTGCAAACTTCGATATGATGCGAAACTGTAGTGCAAAGATTTGAATTAATTCTTGGAACCTTGGTCGATTTTTTTGTTCTTGGTTTAGCAAAATCTTCAAAACTGTATGTTCCGAGGATGATTCCCTTTTGAGAAATACCGGGGAATCGCAATTGGACCAAGAAAAAATTAAAAATGCAGAACAGGAATTAAACTCAAATTTAGCGTACTTATATTTTAGTTGGTAAGCGAATAGACAATGTCGCCTAGGTGTAAAGAGACCAGAGCTATGCGCTCTTTGGGTATCACTAAAAGGCAGCAGGAAATCATCTCTTGCAGTGTAGCTTCTGAAATAAAAAGTTCTGTTTGATTTATCGCCTCCAGTAACATCTCTGAGAAAGCAACAAGAGCTTCGTTTACGCTTGGCGGAAATTTCCTGGGTGTAGAGAGGTCTTGGGAACTTGTTCCTGAAATTCTCCGAGAAAGGACAGATAAGACTTGCTTCAACAAGGCAGATCTCTCTTTAGAAGAGTCCCATAGGTCCATAAATCTTTTAGAAACGAAGTCGCCAGAACAACGAATAATCTCTCGGAGACAGTCACATGCGACTTTGATAATTGCGTAATCTGTGCCAAATGTACACTCTGCTATAGTGTCCCAACATTTAGCTATTTGTGGAAGCATTGAGTTGTACTGCGTTGAGAGTAGGGGAATTATCTTTTTCATGAGAAGGAGAATTTGGACCTTTAAAGGTCTCGATGGATGTGTCAGTAGTCGATCACCATAGCTTACGATTTGAATAAGCGTCTTGTAAGAATCCTTAGGAAACGGTGACACCCATCTATCAGGCGAGTCGGCCTCTGATCCCGTGTTCCCATCAGCTACATCACCGACAGACTCGTTAATGTCAGAATAGCCATCATCATCTTTATCTTCATCATCACTTTCCTCATCATCGCTATCTACCTCTCTTAGTTTCTGATCGAAGTAGTCTCTAAAACTCGTAGTTTCGCGGTCATACTCCTCGTCGCTGACCTCGGGTGCAAGTTCGGTATCTTTAGGCTTGTCTAGAATAACGAACAGTTGCGATAACGATGTAATACCCCAGGGGTGAAAGGTGCCACGAACTATATGGCTATCAGATAGCCGTGGTCTTGAATAAGCATCTTCAAGGTACATTTTCTGCATTTGAGAGACAATAATCTCAAACAACTGAAAAAACTCTTGACACAGGCTTTCATACCCGTGGTAATAATCAAGTAACCTGAAAATCGTCTCGAGAACATCTTGGAACTTTCTGATAATTCCGTATCCGCCAATTTGGCATATTACCATCAACACCGTAGTTACTCTCTCAGTCATGCAGTTATTCAGACGAATCGATACTGAATCGACCAAATAATCTATGTTATCCAGAAGCAACTCACGTACAGAACCGGCGTAAATCATGTTTGCAATCGAAAGAATTACAGATTGTGAGAAGCTTCTTATCATTGGAGATGGTGACGCCAAGCAATCAACTAATGGAAATAGGTAGTCGATCAGCTCATCTTTGAAGGTTTGACCCATCACATTTACCATCCTATTAACCGACCACAAAGCAATCGAAGAATGCATTTCTACAGTCTTTGTGAGTTCTAGGCCATTTTGCGACAATTGGTCTAAACCATCATATGCATATTCGAGAATTGTATAGCAAACGTCAGGTACATCTTCTGCGATCACGCTCTGATCCTCAGAATCATCAAACTCAAGAAGATCATGAAATGTATCTGTTTTTTGTGAAGCTCTTTGTTGGTAGCCGGCCATTATTCCTGAGGACATCCATATAGATAAAGAACGAGTGACAGATAGGTCATCGCTTGCGAACATCAGGATCCATTCGACCAGCGAATTAACCATCTGCTGATCACACAAAGTGCCAACAGTCTCGACAAATCTACAAAGGGCGATTTCCATCTCAGTTGAAATCTTAGGAAATAATGCATAGTTATTGTCAGCGGCTGCCATGATATCCTGGCTGATAATGACCATGCTGCTCTGCTCGACAAGCTTTGTACCTTTGAATTTCAGCTGATTTTGCTCTATGACATTGCCAAGACCTTGAAGTAACATTCTCGTTGCATCTTTTAAAAACGTCATCTCCAAATTACCTTGTAATGCTAAAGATCTGACGGCGTATTCAAGTGCTCTTAAAGATTTTTCATCATCCATTTGAATTATATTCTCAAATTTTGCTGTACGACTTTCTAAAACTTTCTTGATGGATGTAGATAGATTGGGAATTCGAGTTAGCTTAGAAGCTGAACCATTGATTTCTAATAGCGCCTTAGTTAGCAGCTCAACACAATTCGAGAGAGATTTGGAGCAGGAAGTTAGAACTGCTGATATGAAAGAACCTGTAGCCTCGCTTATGATCCTGTTCTCGCGTTTAAGTAGTCTGGGAATACATGCTTCCAATGCTAGCTTCACTTGCGCGCTGGTTGCACGCAACCACTTGTTATCTCGATGGTTTTTTCGCCCTTTAAATTTATTTTCATCAATAATGATTCTGGTAGTATCGGCAAGCATACCATTATCAACTATCTCACTTAGGTCCCCTATACGGCGTTCTGTAATTTTTAAATCAGCATCATCATAAACCAAGAGAAGTACGGATTTAAAGAGATTTAATGTGGAACAGATTACCTTGTAATTTATGGTCACTCCAGATTTAGCTAACAATTTTGAGAACGTGGAAACATTTCCTGGTAAAATGAAAGAAAGCATCTCACCATCATTAATATTTCTCTCGTAAAGAATCGCTAGGGCGTCAAGAGCAGCAAGTTGCACTTCTGGCTCTTGCGAGTTGTCATGTAAGATATCCAGAAGTATTGAAACGGAATGGCCGAGACTTGGAAGATTTTCAGCATAGCTGAAAAACTCATACGCTCCGCTAGTTTTTTGAACCGCTAAGGAAATGTAAAACTTCTTAAAGACTTCACAAGCTGCAAGTTTAAAGTCAGGGCTCTTCTTCTTAAGATCTAAGTTTTCCTTATCATTGCTTACTAGGAAAGTTACCAACGGGAAAAGCTGACTGGCTAAGGTTCGTGGAAATGTCCCGATAGAAGACCAACATAATGATATTAAATGTGCTAGAATTAGTAAAACAACTTCAGTCTGGGCGCCCCCCAAAGAATCCTGCCTTAACAAACTTGCAAGAGGTACAAAAACATAATCAGCAAATTTAGGCGACAGCTGAATTCCAGACTCTTCAAGCTTTTCAAGTTCTTCGTTGACATTCTTTAAAGAAGCAAGTAAACCTCTAGATGATGGGTCGAACTGAGTTTTAGGTAGAAATGCGTACCTCGAAAGCTCAACACAGTGGGGCCGGACTCGTTGAAAGGCCAATGAATTTTGTGGATCCATTTTATCAAACTTTCGAATAATAAATATTGAATTGGGCCCGATGACTTGTCAATGATTCTCATCTTTATATCAAGTTTAAACCCAGACTTCGAATAAAGCGTCGAATGTATCACTAAATACGGGATGTTTTTCAACTAGATGCAGCTTCTGCGACAGCTCAAGTAATGAGCTACAACTTCAAGTTGATACATTACTACACCATTGAAAGCACCTTTCATTTTTTGTAAATGGATCACAGAACATGGTGACTAGATTACATATAAATTGGCCTCTTGAATCCTGATTTTACCAATGAACAATTTGGGAAATTAAAACAAGCACCTAGATGTATTGGATTATGCCTAAAGTGTTAGCAACAAGCATTGATTTGTTTTGCCGGTACGCATTTTCTCAGTGCATGCAAAATATTCTAACTTTAGTGAACTTCTTTCAACCCAGTGTATAAGAACTACAGTGGAACATAGAGACCGTAGAGGCGATCATGGATGCTAAATAAGCTTCACTAATTATGCACTCAATAGTATATTCTTTTGATTATAGTGGAGATAGAAAAGAAAATGCGAAAGGAGTGATGTACTCGTATAGTTGATTGTCTTCTTGCCGCTATTTTTATAGCGCTCATTGAGTATAACTGTCTTTAGCAGAATTAACGACATAATTATTTTTTGCTAAGCTCAACTACTCAAGCAGTCTAACCCCCAGGCAGTTGCTGTCAGACAGAAATAAAGAATTTATTTTCTGAACAGCTGAGAATCGATGGTATTTAAATGACCAATCACTACCGACTTGTTATTGAGTTTGACACGGAGATTCAGGCAAAAGGAGCTTATCATTTTTGGAGAACAGGTAGCATTGCACAAAGGCGGCAACATAAAGAGCGGAAATCCTCCGTAGGGAATACAGATTGGCGGCAAGGAAATATAGGAATATCAGGAGTTGATATGGATAATAAAAATATAATCGTTTCAGAATTCCTAGGGCATGGAATTGTGCACTTGTACAAGATTGGTGAGGCTACTAGTGAAGAGAGCGATCTACTGCGCATCCCAGGAGATGATACAATGGTAAGCATACTTTTTGTGCCAAATTATCTTACTGTTCATGAGTTGCTACACTCCTTTCTTGGAGATGATGTGGTGGATAAGGTATCACATTTTAGAGTAATAAGATGCCATGAAGAGATGGGGTTTAAATTTATGGTTCTAATGAAATTTCGAGAATCCATAACTGCAAGACACTTCAAAGAGCAATATGACGGAAAGAAGTTCAACAGCATGGACCCAGAAGAGTGTCATGTTGTTTACATAAAGGAAATCGTGTTCAGAAAACAGCTTTTTCCAGGTCTTCAGAAATCTAGTTTTCCTTACTTGCTGCATGATCCATTTACCAATAGCCAACCTCAGAATGATGTAGAGCTCCCTACGTGTCCGGTATGTCTAGAGAGAATGGATTCGGAAACCACCGGTTTGGTAACGATACCATGTCAGCACACTTTTCACTGCCAGTGCCTGGACAAATGGAAGGATAGTAGGTGTCCTGTTTGCAGATATTCAACACTTAAAGTTACACGCAGTTCGGTTCTCAGCCAAAATACTCGATGTAGCACATGCGGGGCCAGCGAGAATCTGTGGATATGCTTGATTTGCGGAAACATCGGATGTGGTCGTTACAACTCCAAACATGCAATTCAACACTATGAAGATACAGCTCATTGTTTTGCAATGGACATAGCGACACAGCGTGTTTGGGATTATGCAGGCGACAACTACGTGCACAGACTGATACAGAATGAGGTGGATGGTAAACTTGTTGAGGTTGGATCTTCATCGCGGGAAAACAGCTCTAAAAACAACAAAGACTACCACCTAGAATACGTGCATGTACTAATTTCTCAGCTAGAGTCACAGAGAGAGTATTATGAGAGCAAGTTGGAACAATCTACTAGGCAGCAGCACGATCAAGTTACTTTAAGTATGCTGCAACAGCAGATGGAAGGATTGCGAGTACAAGTTAGCGATTCTGCAACAAAGCACAAACAACAAATAGCTTTTCTTAATGACCAGTTGAAGGAAGAGCGGATGCTTTCGAAGGGCCTTCAACAGAACCTTGAGCACCTGAGTAAGTCTCACCAAAAATTGCAAGAGCAATACGATAAGAATCAGGAAGAGAAACAGGATCTCCAAGAACAAGTGAACGATCTCATGTTTTATCTTGAGTCGCAGGAGAAGTTCAAAAATGCAGATGAGTCCGTGAAGCAAGGGAAGGTAGTCATTAAACAGAAAAAAGGCGCGCAGAGTTCGAAGAGATGATTATAGATTTCCGACGGTTTTTTCCGTCCGACGCTTTACCCGGTCGGGAATGACAAGTAATTCCGGGTGAAAAAATTTTTACCCAAGGACAGTATGTCTATCTCATCGCATTTTAAATTTTTTCTCCATTTCTTATGATTTTTTGAATTGCACAATTATTGTAGTTTTAAGTTTTAGATGCTCAAGTGTCGTTAAGTACTTCTTTTATCTGACATCTTCGGGCTGAACTTGCTCTCTGGATTCTATCATATCGGAAAAGTTATAACTTTGTAATAAGCATGGCGACAAACTCTATCAAACTGTTGGCTCCTGATGTCCACAGAGGCCTAGCTGAATTGGTGGCGAAAAGGCTGGGTTTAAAGCTAACTGAAACCAAGCTAAAACGCGATCCCTCAGGAGAAGTTTCCTTCTCAATTGCGGAGTCAGTTAGAGACCAAGACATATTTATTATTACGCAAATCGGGTCCGGGGTGGTTAACGATAGAGTTTTGGAGTTGCTGATCATGATCAACGCCTCCAAGACAGCATCAGCCAGGAGGATTACTGCCGTGATTCCAAACTTTCCTTACGCAAGACAGGATAGAAAGGACAAGAGTCGTGCACCTATCACGGCCAAGCTAATGGCAGACATGTTAACTACCGCTGGTTGCGATCATGTCGTTACAATGGATTTGCATGCGTCTCAAATCCAAGGTTTCTTTGACGTACCTGTTGACAATCTATATGCGGAACCAAGTGTGGTCAGGTACATCAGAGAACATGTAAATTACAAGGAATCCATAATAATCTCTCCCGACGCTGGTGGTGCCAAGAGAGCAGCGGCGTTAGCCGATAGACTTGATCTCAACTTTGCATTAATCCATAAGGAAAGAGCTCGCGCGAACGAAGTTTCTCGTATGGTTCTTGTTGGTGATGTGACGGACAAGGTTTGTATAATTGTCGATGATATGGCTGATACATGTGGTACCTTGGCAAAAGCTGCCGAGGTCTTGCTAGAAAACCGCGCGAAATCAGTTATTGCTATTGTTACTCATGGGGTTCTATCAGGGAGAGCCATCGAGAATATCAACAACTCCAAACTTGATAGAGTTGTTTGCACGAATACAGTTCCTTTTGAAGAGAAGATGAAATTATGTCCCAAGCTTGACGTAATTGACGTAAGTGCAGTTTTGGCAGAGAGTATCCGTCGTCTGCATAATGGTGAAAGTATTTCATATTTGTTCAAGAGTTATCCTTTATAAACAGCCTCAGAATCCTTTATTTAGACTTTATTTTTATCGTGTACTTCTTAAAGCGAGGAATAATGAGACAGATAACATACAGCCCTCTTTTGATGAGCTCACAATCCAAACTTGGTGGAATTAAATAGCTCCAAAGATTGCAACAGTTCACCTTTTCCATCTAAGATGGATGCGGTGTCACCAAGGACCTTGTGTGCCTCTGGATGTGGGACCCAAACTACATATGCACCGGCAGCCTTAGCCGAGGTTACGCCAGGAACACCATCTTCGAAGATAATGCATTCCTCGGGCTTAACAGAGAGATCAAATTTCTTATTTAATTCCTGAAGTCCTAACTTCCAGATATCAGGATATGGTTTCCCTCGCCCAGGTGGAATGCGAGGATCATCGCCTGTGATGACAACATCGAAAAGACTGAACGTGTCCTTTAAGTGTCCAGTCTTTCCTTCAAACTTATACTTAGCAGAAGATGTGCACAATGCGATCGGAATATCCTTTGCCTTCAATAGTTGGATGAGTTCCAGAGCACCAGGTAAAAACTCACACGTAGCCCATTTATGGTTTTGTTTCTCGACATTAATCTTTTCGAATTCCTCGTATGTTAATGGCAGTTGAAAATGTTCAATTACCTTCTTACTGGCTTCTCTACCAGGTAAACCTTGAAGTTGAATCTTCACATCCCATGTGAGAGGACCCTTTCCATGTTCGGCTAAAACTTCGTTGGTGACAACAGTATATATATCCTCCGTATTGATTAAGAGTCCATCCATGTCAAAAAGACATGCTTTCACACTTGCAAGAGGTTAGTGCAAAGCCAATAAAACCTTGATATATCTTTTTAACATACACTTCTGGTAGAGCCATCTTTTTTTAACCTGTGGTGAGCTGTCACCATTAAAAAAATGCTCTTTTTTTCTTTGGGAATCTGACGAACCAACTAGCTTCTAAATGCTCTGTCATATGATGCTGAATTCAAAAATGAAAAATATCCTGATATTTTGATTATATACACATCTAAGCTCTAAATCCTCATAGAGGGGGTAGAGGTGCCCTACATACAGGGCACTGTAATTTGTAACTCATCCAACTCTCCAAACACTGGGTGTGGAAAACATGACTGCATGGGGTTACCATATAGCTATTGCGGTCAATCTTATGTGTTTCTGGTACTTCGTTCACATAAAGCGGTATATCATTCATGCAAATTGCACAGTCAACGCAATAGTCTGAAGAACCTCCATGCTCCAGAACATCCGCAAGTGCCATGCCCTTGTGATAAGAGTAGCCCTCAGGTATCGAGTATTGTGGCAGAAACCAGCGAGCCCCAAGAATATCTTGTGAATATAAAACTGCAATTTGAAAGAAAAGCCAAAGTATTAAAATGACCACAAATCTGACATCTTTATGATGGCGAAGAACATTCGAAGGGTATGTAAAAACATAGATAACAGGAGTTATTCTTATGATTGATGTTCCGATGACAAATTTCCATAGTAGAGGCATCTTGTTCTGCCTTTGACGTTGAGAATCTTCTAGATGTCTTCTCCTTCGGGGCTCATTTCCTTTGATGGCGTTTCTTATAATCTGTGGAATCCAATACGAGTTTAAAACAGTGATACATGCATATTCGAACATTGTTCGTAGGTCTCTAGGCCATGATGTAGAGCTCAAAATAACAAACGTCGAAATCACCAAAGTGAAGAACAGTCTTCCATAAAGGCTACTGCTGATTGAAGCCTCATCTGGAATTACCGTAGGAGTGATGCGCTCTTCGTGGTGTGCATTTCCTCTCAATAATGTCATTATTCCAACGTTATGCTCGTTCAGCTGCGAAGCATAAATAGATATCAAATAGCGTGTCTCGAAAACTGTGGCGAGAATGAAACACGCAAAGGCGCTCATAACTAAAGGCAGATACAATTCGATGAAAATCCCCGATGCAACCACATATATTAATGCTAGCGATCCATCAACTAAATTCATCATAGAAAAACACCAAAACGACATTTTGTTGACGCTGGATGGAGTATTGGTGTTATGCATTTGCGTCAACAGCAAGTAAATCTGAGCAGCAAGTAGTCCAATACCGAATAACAAATGAATTCTAATAGTTCTGATTTGCAGTTCATACCGGGGGCCGCTAACACCACCTAATTGAAGTGCAACTCCACAGTCAGGAGAATAGAGAAATCCAGATGAAATGTTAACGTGAGGCAGATGTGACAAATTGGCTTGTCTTCCCAATGGCCATGTCAGTTCATCATCAATTATCTTTATTTGATCTGGGGTGAAATCCTTCCATGGCTCAAGTTGAAGGAATACGACATATTCGCATCTATAGTTTGCAAGATCATACCAATTTTGTAGACTACCCATGGTCAAAGTATTCACATAATCTGAAGCGTTCCAATACTCATCAAGCAATTGCTTTACCTCATCAAATGTAGCTTTTGATTCTTCTTCTTTACCATCTAGATTCATGTAATGCGGAAAGGCAAAGATTGAATGAAATTTGGCACTTTGAGACATAGCCAGTATTCGTCCACGCGCGACGTCATACACCGCCCTACCAGTCATGCTATGCTTTTCCTGCTCAGAGTTATCAGAGAAATCAATTTGAAGTTGTAATAAACGCCACTTGTCACTCTGCGTGTTAAAAAACCTCTCTGTCTTCCGATCGTAGCTAGAAGAGGCAACACTGGCCGCGGAAATTTGAACTACAATTTCTCCCCTGTCAAATGTAACATTATGTAGCTCTCCATAATTTGGCCATTCTGAAGGATATGTTTCACCACTTTTAGGTCTATTTTGAGAAAAGTCATCAGGAGGCTCATAAAACCTGGGAATGGGCATGGGAATTTTCTGAAATTTATCGTTTGACTTCAAAGTTATCTGACCATGCAGTGTGCTTGTAATATTGGGAGGGAAAACATTTTTCTCCTCATTCCAAACATTCTGTTTAATCTCATTGATAATTTCTGATGGTAATATCATATATTCGTCACTGGCGGCCCAATGCTCGTAATCTTTCCCCTCAATTGGATATGTGGCATTAAGTTCAGGATTTTCGACTATGTCATGATAACTTAGCTTCAATCCTGTTATATTCTGGAAGTTCAAATCAGAAGTCATATTATGAAATTGCAAATGCTCCCTTCGAAATTGATCCTTTAACGTCTGAAGTTGGTTGTATTCATACTGTGACGTTACTCCATCTCCCGAGGGATTAGAGAAGAAAAGAAAAAGCAGAACGATAATAAATATAAGCGTGTTACCGTCGATTTCCATCGTCTACGTTCCTTTTCCACTTCTCTTAAGTGATTAGATGCTATGATGGTATTACAATTAAACCCTAAAAGAAAGGCCTAGCATAAATAATATCATACTACACGATGTGATGAAATCACTGCTGTTCTTCGGGAATCCAGTTCATTTCACTGGAAACACGTTATCCTATACAGTTATAATCAGTCCATGTGTTGTTATGTTCTCTGCAACTACTGAATTGTACATGCGTAAGAATCTACTGCGCATTATGGAAATGCAGTAATAAATCAATGTTCTAGAATCTGTAAGTTACCAGTAATGACGACGTTTTCCAGAATTGACCCATTTGGAATATCAATTCTTTGCCCTTCCGAACACACAATGATGACAGTGCCCTTTAAAGTAACACCTTTGCCCAAAAAGACATTACCCGTAATTGTCAAATGGTCTAACTCAACAATCTTAGGGATATGAGGTATTCTTGCATTAAAACCAGAAACTTTCTTGAAATGGGAACCCAGCTTGATGAGTGGATTAGGACCAAATCTGGATGGATCTAACTTTAGAGCGCCATGTTGTAAGTAGAACAGATCAGATTTGACCAATAGCAAATCCGAGCATGTTTTGACTGGCAAAAAACGAGATCTAGGTACAACAACACCATGGGCACCCTCAAAATGCCTGATAGCAGCACCACAAGCAGTTTCCAATTGGATGACATTGATCTCGTGATTTCCTCTCGTAATTGTCTTTTGGTTTGGAATGATTTCCATTTGCAATCCATTGGACTCAACTAACCTTTTAATAGCCTTAAGATTAATCCAAAGGTTGTTGGTGTTGAAATTCTTGAACTTTCTGATGTTCTTGAACTCATCTACGTGTTCTTTGGGAACTTGCGCAACCTCCAACAAGCGAACCTGGCCGTCGTAAGATATTAAAGTACCACCTTTAACGTCAGCTCTAGTTTTGTCAGTCAGTTCCATGATATATTCAGCACCTGTCTCGATCATGTGATTTAGAATCTTGAGATCCACAGTAGCACCTAGATTGTCACCATTGGACACAAACAAAACCTCTCTACCTTGTGCAATCAATGCATCAAGTTCTCCAGAAGAGTGCAGAGACTCAAACAAGTCACCGTGACCTGGAGGATACCATGCATCCAGTTCATCATCATATGAAGAGGGGACAGGTAGCATCGAATCCTTGTACACACGAGGAAATTTGGATTGATTGAAAGATCTGATTCTAATTCTGTTTGCGCTGTATTTTTTAATCAAATGTTCAGTGTCCGCGTCAGTGTTGAAGGAATTCATCAAAAGCAATGGCACATCACTGTCATACTGTCTATTCAAATATTCGATTTGACGCACTGACAGATCCAAGAAGGTGCTTCCCTCTCTAACTTCAATAACAGACTTAGGTCCAACACACCCCATGGACGTACCTAAACCACCGTTTAATTTCAACACTGCCAATTTCGATAAATTAGACACGTTTTCCGGTTGTTGTTCAATAGTGGAGAAATCAACAACTTGCTCAGGGTTAGGAGATTTGATCTTATCCCATTCTAAGGTGTTTCCGGAGGCTTTCTCGACTAAATATCTTCTGAACAAGGAGAAGAATGAGTCCAATTGATTTTCAAAACGGGCACGGGTTGCTTCATCCTTAACTGTGTCAGCCAGCTTGTTAAGCGCATTTCTCATCTGAGAGGCAGCGACGCTGTTGGTATTGCTCTCAAAGGCATATGTGGAATGGGTTTTGGTATGTTTCTTACCTTGCATCATCGTTGATTAGACTCAATGACCTTTGCTAACAGTGAGGAGAATTTAAGGAAACAAACACAAAGGGAAGCTAAATATTGAATATTAAAAAATTTGCGACGCGTTTTTTAGTCACATGACCGTATCTACATTCGCAAGATCTAATGCCCGAAATTAGAATATATATATGCCATTTACCAAGGAAATTATTTACACCCAGCCTAATTCTTCATCATCAACTAAGCCCCAAGCAACATCAACAAACTTCCTCAATATATTGTCTTCTGAGCCGGCAATCTGAGATGGATTCGTTTCCTTTCGTTTCATGACCAGGCCGGAAAGCCGTCTCTTTCGACGATTAAATTCGAATATCTTGAAGGGTTGGAGCAGATTCATGAGGCTCGTAATTTGAACCATGTCATTCATAGAATTAGATAGCAACATTACGAGCTCCTGTGGTGGTCTCAAGGTGTCATCTGGAGAATTGTCTGCCATTGTGCTCACCACTACACCAATCAGCGAGGTTGGCATATGCTTGATTAGATCCACCAGATTGTAAACCTCCAGAACGATGGAAATTATGAAGGGAGAGATTGTTCCCCGTGTCAGATCGATCTCGTTCGCTCCCTCGAGGCCCAGTAATTTCTTGTATACGTCGTAGTTCTCGACTCTTTCATTTTCGCTTCCATTGTCATGGCCGTTTTCGTTTTCATGGCCGTGTTCATTCTCTCGTTCGTTGTCGTTGTTGTTGTCGTTGTCGTTTTCATTCTCCGGTTCAGTTTCACCAGGTGATGCTGTTTGCTCTAAATTCTCCGCATGGAAATGAGGCCTATTGTTGTAGTCAACACTGTTTGTGGGATTGGTTTTCATGATTAGAGTTAGTAACCTGTGAATGCAAGATATGATGGAACACACTGATTGCGTTAGTTGGTTGCTCAATTCTAATGTCATGGGCCGAAAAGATCCATCCTGTTGTTCTAATGCCATCAAAACGTCGATAAAGGAGTGCTTATCTATGAGGAGCTTTCTGAATATTGAAGCAACGATGTCTTCGCAACATTCCACACTAGTTAAAAGTAAAGGTGTTCTGCACATGCTTTTCCTTCCCATAGATAAACAAGATAGTAGCTCTCCTAGCGCTAAACCTTGAAGGATGACTTCAGATCTACTCGGGTCATAATCGACGCACCATTTGTCTTTCGAAAACTTGAAAAGTTTAGCTGTAACCCCTTGAATGGGAACACTTAACAATTTGGGAACTCCAAATGAGCAGCTTTGAAGAGAATCGAATATAGTGAGAAGAACGTATAAGCGTTTGTACAAAACATGGTACTTCTTCTCGTCGACATCAGCACCTTGCAGCTCTCCAACTAACTCCGTTTGAACGTTACTTTTATTTTTCTCAGTCAAATCTTTGATGTCTGGAATGTCCTCGCCAAACATCAAATATCGGTATAGTTTAAATTCGTTGTAAATGGTAACAGACATGCCAAGAACGAATGAGTTGTCATAACCAACAAATGCAAGGATAAAATTTAGAATAGTGAAGGTCGAAAGATAGATGAATTTGACTTTAGGGGAGATTAACGTCTCACTTTCGCGGAAACGAGGATGAACGTCCACTATCTTTTGGAAGCACTCGTTTAATGCAGCAATAAACACTGGTTGAGAATCTAATGGGTCCAGATTAGAGTTAGGAAATTCAGACCCGCTAATGTCAGGCTTCTTTGTTGATACACGAACTAATAATTCCAATGAATTTCTGAACCAATTCAATATGTAATTGTTTAATTCATGAATCGAGGTTAACGGTTGTGTATTGAATAGCAGTAGATCATCCGTTAAGGTTCTTTTGTTGATGGGAATAATTGGGAAGTTGGGATGAATAAATTCGTAATAGGTATCAATTAGCTGGATATCAGGTATCTTACCGTAAGTTATGGTATTACTGTGATTTGATGAAAGAGAACCAGCTGATGTAACTGAATCTTTTTTTTTTCTACCCACACTGCTTCGCTTACGACGCTTCGTGACACTCCCACCACTATCACGTCCAGAAGATGTCGAGGCAGCCGCCGCAGCAGGAGACTGCTGTTGCTCGGCTGGGACACCACTTCGAAGATCGGTACCGTGCCTTTGACTAGGAGTTCCTACTTGATGTGTCTGAGGTGCAAGCAAAGGTGAGCTAGGTGACACGGCCTCACTTACATCGCTGCCTTTTCTAGAATGAAAGCCGTTTCCAAAATGCTTAAACTGCTGAGAGCTGGATGGGGGGTGAGGGGGTTGCAGCGTTTGAAATCCTGCAGGATTTGGCTGCTGTCTTTGCTGATGTTGTGCAAGAGTAAACTGTGAATATGGATATTGATATTGAGACGACGATGTGGACGGATGCCTTAAAATTGGAGGGATGCTGGGAGATCTCCGCTGGTCATCCAAAAATCCACATTCATCTGCGGGGGGAGGATGAGATGCTCTGAAAAGTGTGGAATTCGTAGACACATTAGATGGCGCGTAGAGAATCTGATCTGTGGACTGCCGGGTTGATATATCGCTACCCATAGAGTCAATGGAGCTGCGGCGCTGGTACTGGTACTCATGGTACGGTACTTTCCAAAATTGCTGTTGCTGTGGTGCAGCAGAGCTGCCTGAAGAAGCAAACTGCTGCGGACCTGCTGCAATTCCGGGATGCGGCAGGTAATGTGCCAATGGGGGCAGCGACACCGACCCAGGGTTGCTGGGCGATTCCCACTTGCGAGACTCGGAAGAGCTTCTCTTTCTTGACCCTCTTCGACTAGTGTCAAAGGATTCACCCGACTCATTGTTCTTGGTGTACCCTTTCGACGGTCCTCGCTTTAGAGGTATTCTGTCAAAAGTGCATTTCTTCCCAGCTCTCTTGCACCCGGAACAAATAGGATTCTCCTCGCTCACGTCACACCGGATTTTTTTACTACGGCATTGGTCGCAGGCTCTTGATACTTTCGTCCTTCGTCTCTCAGATGCCCTTGCATCCACTGAATCCTTACGTTCGCTGTCTTTGCCCTTGTCCTTGTTTTCTGTCATTTTTCGTTTTCAAGGGAAGTTTCTGGTGCTTGTAACCAAATAAATTCGAAGCTCGAAAAATAACACTAATATACACCTCTCACGGGGCAAGATTATAGATTGCCACTACTCACTTTGTGGTGGATACAAATGTGCTACTACTATAATTGTTCCCCGGATGGAATAACTGCCCCGCCCTTTCTCCGGTATGAAGCCCTTTCAATTTTCTCCGGGATTGTACAGGTAATTGTTTACGGGATCATCACCTCTTGACGGATCGTGATAGGACGGCAAAAGTTGCACAGTGAAGGGGAATTTTGAGCCTTCGTAAAGGGGAAAAGATCCACTTATGGCACTTTTTTTCACAAAAGGCAAAAGAAGCCATTGTGCGTTGCTGCGCAGCCAAAAAGGGGCAGCAATTGCCGAACGAATGATTTACAACATGGCGACATTCCGTGTTTATTCCGCCTGAAGTATGGAAGCGCTCCAGAAACTACCGTAATGCCGATACGGCAGAACTTTTCCTGTAACTGGCGCAGAACGGTCATTCTTGTAAATTCCGATAAGATCTAAATGAATGGACTCTTGATGTGCTTATATATCGATTCTGTCACTTGGTATGCCAATAGTTAGCGCCGTGGCGCAGTGGAAGCGCGCAGGGCTCATAACCCTGATGTCCTTGGATCGAAACCAAGCGGCGCTAAATTGTTTTTATCGTTGTTAGGAGTTTTTTTTTGCAAGGACAATTGTGGAACAAAGTTCGAATCTCACAAGCTCATCGACAACTTAGTATTGGTGAGATAAGGGTAGTTCATTATGGAAACAGAAGAGGAGATTTTGGTGCGGCATCGTAATGAAAAGAGGAACCTACAGAACCAGATCACTGGGATGAAGAAGCAGGCAACCAAATCGAAGCGCAAACAAGTCAATGCACGATGTCTCGAGTTGGAACAAGAGTTGAGTGAACGCCAGAAAAACGAAATCACGGAGTGGAACATACAGAATGGTCTTTTAGAGCCTGAAGCGGAGGAGTTGGAGGTTACACCCGAGCAACTACTCGAGCAATTGGCGTTGGACACAGCTGCCAAATCAGAAAACACAGTATCTGCGTCCCAGTCACCTCCACCAACGTCTCAAGAGCCAAAGAAGCGCCGGAATAGACAAAAGGAACGCTTGGCTAAACGTGAGCAGGAAATTGCGAGGCTTAAAGAAGAGGCTGCCAAGGAAGCTGCAGTGCAGCCTAATTTCAAGAAAATCGAACAGGAGGCGCTGGACCAGCTGTGCGCTATCGCTCATCTGAAACAAGTTGACATTCAACCGGATGGTAACTGTCTTTTTGCATCTGTGCTCGACCAACTGCAGCTTCGCCATAATAGCGGTCTTCCCATTGATTTTCCTCCATCTTACACGGGTACCAAAGATCACAATGCCTTGGATGTTTCTGCCCTGCGCAGTCTTTGCGCCTGTTACATCAGAGATCACAGGAACGATTTCATACCTTACCTGTTCGATGAGAACACTTGTTGCGTCAAGGACATTGACGAATACACCAAGACCATCGAAGAAACTGCAGAATGGGGTGGTGAAGTTGAAATCCTTGCACTGGCTAAAATATTCAAATGCTGTATCAGTGTTATGATGAGCGGAAGAGCCACTTATAAAATGAATGAAGAAGCAAGTGAAAATCCTGAATTAAAGCTGGTATACTACAAACATAGCTATGCCCTTGGCGAGCACTACAACTCCTTGCATGACAATTAGATTTATTTAGTACGTACTTTTCAATAGATAATAGTAGCCATCTCACCATCCACCTCTCAATTCTCACTCCACACTGATTTGATGTGTATTTAATTCGTGTCTCTGAGCTTATCCGCCTAGCACGAAAAAAAAATCACAATCTCTTGAATTGGCGGTATGTGAAGTTCCATGCGTAAAGATGTTGTTCAAGAGACTTTACGCAACTTCTGGCTTCAAGAGGTATTTGGGGCGTCCTACAAATAATCTGACAAGTGGAATTGTCGGCTTAGCCAACGTTGGCAAATCAACTTTCTTTCAAGCTATCACCAACTCGAAACTAGGCAATCCAGCAAATTATCCGTTTGCAACCATTGAACCTGAAGAAGCCAAGGTTATAGTACCCAGCTCGAGGCTTCAACATCTAAAAGACTTATACCAAAGCTCGAAGCTTATACCTGCTACTCATACAATCTATGATATCGCGGGATTGACTAGAGGAGCCTCGAAAGGCGAAGGGCTGGGGAATAAGTTCTTGAATGATATAAGACATGTCGATGGGGTCTACCAAGTAGTGAGAGGTTTTTCAAAACAAGAAATTACTCATATAGAAGGCTCTGTTGATCCCGTAAGGGATTTGAGCATAGTTCAAGATGAGCTTGTCCTAAAAGACTTGGAATTTCTCGAGGGTATCAGGGAAAAGCTGGAGCGAAAAATGGACCGCTGCGGTAAGAACTCACCTGAATATGCTCAAATGTCCGCAGAATTGGCTTTTCTCAACTCACTTGAGGAACATATGTATGAGGGGAAGAAAATAGCCCACTTCAAAGATAGCTGGTCAGAGGAGGAGGTTTCAATTCTCAACAAGCATAACTTTTTGACTGCCAAGCCAACATTAATCTTGCTGAATGTTAGCCCAGAAGATTATTTGATGCGGCAAAATGCTTTCATTCATGATATCGAGCAATGGTTAAACGATTATTCTCCTGGGGATGAACTTATATTATTCAGCGCGGAATATGAAACTCGCTATAATAATTTCATGGTAACAGCTGATGAAAGCGGTTTACATGAATATTGCAAAGGATTGGTTGGAGACTTGACAAATACTACGATCGACTCAGCCCTACCAAGCATAATTCTTAAGATGAGAGATGCGCTAGGATTAATTAGCTTTTTCACATGTGGACCACTAGAGGTCAGACAATGGACACTTCGAAGTGGGTCTACGGCTCCCCAAGCTGCTGGTGTTATTCACTCAGACTTAGAGAAAACATTCATCAGTGCGAATGTGATTAAATACGCAGATTTACAACAGACGGAACCTCCACTGCAGGAATCCCATTTGAAGGCCCAAGGGAAGATCAAAAGGGGTGGTAAGCAATATTTGATGCAAGATGGAGATATCGTACTGTTCAAAGCCGCTCGAGGTAACACCAGATAAATCATAGCATCGTGTAAATAGTTTACAGGCTTATACTGGAAAGACAAGGTAATGAATTAACTTTTATTTATTTTCTTTTGAATCAGAGCATTTGACAGATTCTCTTCTCATGTAATTAAATCGAAGAGCTGGGTTTATAGCATTGTCACTGAGGACATTTTCTCATCACAAACAGAAGAAAATAAAATGGCTAATCGAGCATATCGAGAAAATAAGGAGCTATGGATACACATCAAAATAAAGTGCTTCGGCAGAAGCAAAACGTTATCTGTATGAGGCCATTTACTACTAATATTTCTTTATTCGAGGATCGTGTTGAAGGAACGTATTTTTTTTCACGTTTGGATTTATATACCCATAAAAATTCAGCCTACACCGCGACGCCTACCCAAATATTTTTGATGTATCAGCTAAACTAGGGCTAGAAGGTGATTAAGAACCGAAATGCACTTCATTATCTTTATAAACAATATACACAGTTTGTGATAACAATACAGACAATCTCACTTGAGAAAGTGACCTACAGACGACAAAAAGAATTGCTCATTCAAGCAATCAATAGTAAAAATTCTAATCTATTATTTTACCACTGATAGTAAAGCAGAGGTATATGAACTGCCATACCTAGAGTGGGTCATCTGGATCACATAAATGAGACACGAATTGCCTGTAGAAAGAATAAATCGTGCAATGAGACTCTCACATTAAACTAGAAAAATGGACACTAATGCACCTCACTACGCTTAAGCAGCAACGGTGACTTCGACATCCACACCAGGTTCAATGGTGATTTGAGTGATTCTCTTGACGATTTGAGCTGGAGCTTGCAAGTCAATGTATCTCTTGTGGATTCTCATTTCGTAAGAGTCCCAGGTCTTAGAACCTTCACCATTTGGAGCCTTTCTGGTGCAGATCTTCAAAACCTTGGTTGGCAATCTGACTGGACCCTTCTTGACCAACTTGTAGCTCTCAGCGTTCTTGACGATGTTAGCAGAGACATTTTCCAATTGCTTAACCTTGGTGGAGGTCAAAGTAATTCTGATCTTGTGGATCTGAGGTTGCTCTTGTTGCTCGGCCTTCTCCTTTTGGATGTCAGACATTTTTAATATACCTTTTTTGTTCTTACTTCTCTTTAGAATTGCCTATCATCGATTGATGTTCACTTTTGTTGAAAAATCTACCCATCCGCTCGGTGAGCAGTGTGAGTTTGCAATAACCGTATATAGTTATATCAAAACTTCTGGGTAAACAAAACAATATAACATCAAATACTGTTTACGGGTGCGTGGGTTTATCTTTTGTTTGATAAGTCGTATGTATGGATGTTAGATAAAGCAGTCAAACGAATAAAGCTCCGATGGAGATAATCTCCATCCCCTAAGGCGATAATTTAGCGACAATGCATGCCAATGCGAAATTATGAAGTATAAAATCACGATTGAACTGGATTTCTTACTCGAATAAATCAGTGAAATACATCATCACTACGGTATTCGACATTGTCATGACCATCGAGCAAGATCCTGTTCAATATCTTAAATCTATATCCTCTGTGCGTGACACGACATCGCAAGTCTACAATTATGCTAAGAGTAAGGGTGAGGGCAACTACTTTACCCTTGACCTCTCCAAGATGCCTGCTGTAGTGGACTTCTTGTGTGGCATAATTGGCCGCGACTACCAGACGAATTACTCGAGCATTCCACCCCACGGCCGTTGGCAACACCTCAACTGTGGAGGCGAACAACGCGTGGAGTCACTGATCGCGCAATGGAGAGGAAGCGGCGTTGACGAAATCGAGATTGCTCGAAAGCTTATTGATCTCTTTGTGTTTAGTGTTTTAATTGATGCTGGCGCTGGAAATGTTTGGAAATACACGTCGCCAGACTCATCCCGCGTCGGAAGATCAGAAGGTCTTGCTGTGGCGTCGTATTACCTGTTCATTGAAGGCGCTCTTTCAGCAGACAAGCAGGATCCTTATAAGGTCAATGGGCAGAAATTGAAAGAGCTCACCATGGATCAGTTCGTTAAGGGGTTTCAAATATCTGATACCAATCCAATGAGTGGAGCTGAAGGTCGTCTCAATTTGATTCAGAGGCTCGGGGTGGCCTTGGTATCAAACAGCGAAATCTTCGGCCCTGAAGGTAGACCTGGTGGCATTGTTGATTACCTATATGGTAAAAGTACTGAACAAGATGGCACGTACGTTGTGGATTTGAACGATGTTTGGAATGCACTCATGGACGGGCTCACTAGCATTTGGCCCATGGGGAGAACAACTGTTGAAGGCAAGCCGCTCGGTGATGCGTGGCGTCTTGATACGAAGGCAGATGTTTCTGCTGCAGCAGGGGCAGCTAACTCAGAGATCAGTGATATTGTTACATTTCACAAATTAACTCAATGGCTTTGCTACTCCTTGTTGGTTCCACTCGAACAATTTGGCTATAAGTTCACAATAAAGCACAAGGACTTACAAACTGGGTTGCCCGAGTACAGAAACGGTGGCCTATTCTACGACTTCGGCGTGCTACAGCTGAAGCCAGAAGCGCTGAAGCGCGGCCTCGCGCTCTCTAACAAGCTCGGTACTGTCTCGGCTAACATTCCCTCTTTCGAACCTCATGATGGAGCCATAGTCGAATGGAGGTGCATGACCATCGGACTACTAGATGACCTCCTGCCACTGGTAAATGAAAAGCTGCAATATCAATTATCGCTTCCACAGCTTATCGAGGCAGGGTCTTGGAAAGCAGGAAGAGAGATAGCCGCACAAATGAGACCTGAAACCAACGGCCCACCAATAGAACTGTTCAGCGATGGGACTGTATTTTAATCGAAACGCAAGAAGCTTATCGCGGTTTCTACAAGTGCCGCATGACATCCCGTTCCTATGTGGTGCCGCATGATATGTCAAGTTATGGAGAATGTTAACCTGCTTTATCTTCGCAATATGCATGTTCTGCCACGCAAATTTTTATAGAAATCTGCCATCCTAATGCTTAGAACAGTGCTCAGACGTTCTTTTTTTTTTACTGATAAGTGACTGCCAATAAACTTTTCCCGAAGGGAAAACAGTTTGCGCGACAAATTACGTAATTATATATCAAAAAATGTGCGCTTATGATTATCAAGGGCATCGCCCGCTATCAGCTGAAGAGATAAAATGCAAAAAGTTGAAGATGAGATGAGTATGACACAACCTAATGGTATAAAGCCAAGTAAGAAATATGCATTCGATTACAACTCTCGAGGACTTTTAATCCATTCATATTGCCAAGGCTATCAAGTCACCATTAGAACGAGCTCAAGCGCATCTCAAAAACTAAAGGTAAGATGGCTGTTATAGAAAATCCACTTCCGCAAGGAGCTGGTTACGCGGTAGTTGTTGGTCTAGGATTCGTATTCGCCTTCGGTATGATCATGACGACATACGTATTGAAAAGATATCAGAAGGAAATCATAACGGCAGAAGAGTTTGCTACAGCTGGTAGAACTGTTAAGACGGGTCTGATCGCTGCAGCCGTAGTATCAAGTTGGACATGGGCCGCAACATTGTTACAGTCTACCTCCATGGTGTACAAAGTTGGTATTTCAGGAGGTTATTATTACGGGGCTGGTGCGTGTTTTCAAATTATTGCATTTGCTACGCTGGCGATTAAGGCAAAGCAACGTGCTCCCAACGCACACACATTTTTGGAAATCATTAACAGTCGTTATGGGAAGTTTGGTCACTACACATACATGTTTTATGCACTTGCTACAAATATTTTGGTCACCGCCATGTTGCTTACCGGTGGTTCAGCTGTGGTCAACGATTTAACAGGTATGAGTACTGTAGCGGCTTGTTTTCTGCTACCAGTGGGTGTGATTGTATACACCTTGTTCGGTGGTATCAAGGCTACTTTCCTTACCGATTATGTCCACACTATTGTAATTATCGTCATCATTATGACATTTGCGTTCACAGTCTACGCCACTAGTGAGGATCTCGGCTCGCCTGGTAAGGTCTATGATCTTGTGCGGGAAGCTGCTCTCAAGCATCCTATCAGTGGTAATGCTGGAGGTGAATATTTGACTATGAAATCCAGATCGGGTGGTATTTTCTTTGTGATTAACCTTGCAGGAAACTTTGGTACCGTGTTCTTGGATAACGGGTACTGGAACAAGGCCATATCGGCGTCTCCTGCGGCAAGCTTACCGGGATATGTGATGGGTGGTGTTTCTTGGTTTGCCATCCCAACTCTGATATCGACAGTTATGGGTCTTGGATGTTTAGCCTTGGAGTCAAACCCCAAATTTCCAACCTATCCTGACAGATTGACTTCGGACCAAGTTTCTGCTGGGCTGGTACTTCCATCCGCTGCGGTCACGGTGCTAGGAAAAGGTGGTGCAGTTGCTGCTCTTCTGATGGTTTTCATGGCTGTCACCTCCGCTATGTCAGCTGAATTGATTTCTGTGTCATCGATTTTTACCTATGATATTTACAGAACCTACATCAACCCTAAAGCGTCGGGTAAAAAATTGATTCTATCGTCTCATGCTTCTTGTATAGTCTTTGGCTTTTCGATGAGTGGGTTTGCTGTTGGATTATACTACGCCGGTATTTCGATGGGTTATTTATACGAACTTATGGGTATCATCATCTCTTCTGCTGTGTTGCCAGCGTCTCTAACGCTCTTCTGGAAGCAACAAAACCTTGCTGCGGCCGTTATTTCACCAATCCTTGGCACAGGGTTGGGAATAATGTCCTGGCTGGTATGTGCAAAAAGCCAATATCATGAAATTACGGTCGCTTCCACTTTTGAAGACAATCCTATGTTGACGGGTAATGTTGTCGCATTGTTGTCACCAATGGTTTTTATTCCAATTCTAACCTACGTCTTCAAACCGCAGAACTTTGATTGGGATGTTTTGAAGGGAATAACCAGAGCCGAAGAAACGGAGGAGATTTTAGCAGAAGAGACCTCTCAAATTGAAGAGGTTGCTACATCGGATGACAAAGATAGCTCTACCAACTCAAGATCCAAGGATGTCGAAAAATTGCAGGCAATTAAATCTGTCACTGCGGTTGCGGACGAAATTCCAGATGCTAAATTGGACGCAATGAGACTTGAAGAAGAAAGGAAATTAGCGGTAGCAGGGAAATGGGGTAATTACTTATGCATTTTCTTTGCCCTTGCTTTGTTGGTTGTATGGCCGATGCCTATGTATGGATCTGGTTACATTTTCAGCAAAAGATTCTTCACTGGGTGGGTTGTCGTTCTCATCATTTGGATTTTTTTCAGCAGTTTCTGTGTCTGCATTTATCCTTTATGGGAAGGTAGACATGGACTTTACACTACATGCAGGGGTATATACTGGGACCTCTCGGGCCAAACTTACAAGCTCAGAGAGTGGCAAGATTCTCATCCTGAGGAACTACATGTAGTCCAATCTCAGATCAGTGCCCGTGTGCATTCACAAAGGCGTTCCGCTGAAATGCATATTGATGATGCTATCGAGTAGTTGAAGTGGTCATCATAATTCAGATGGGAAAGGAATAACTTACATAGCAGGTATAGAATATGCTCTTAATTATCGAAAACAGTGTTTGTTAATTAATTAATTATTATCGTGGGTTTTTGAACTGAGTCATATTGGCTCCTGTCTGAAAAATTTTGCTTGAGATAGTGTTCTTTGAAACTGCTACCTTTATTATGATTTTTTTGAGTTTACTGAAAAACCCATTGGACGTAAAAATATTAACTTCAATGGTCGATTCTTTAAATCTTTAGTCTACTGTACATAAGTACACCTATACGTGATTTAAGAGAAGTGGAGTTTATACTAAAACATTTTTACAATCGTAGAATAATATAAGCACTCAACAAGGCACCAACATTTAATTTTGTTACCAAGAGCATCTATATACAAATTTCAAATCGCTCCTTTTCAAATTTATTTTGAGTGATGCTGGTTTTGATCATGGGGATTTTGTGGCTCATCATCAGAAAAGTTCAAGTCTTCATCAACATGTGATGCCGGCTCGTCCAAAGATTGAAGATCATCGAGATCGAAATCTGCAACATTCTCAGGATCCGTTGGCAATTGTTGTGAACAAGCAAGCATGTATGAACTATCTGTAGGCCTCCATATGAATGCAATTGTGACGAAAACGAAATAGTAAACCAATGAAGGCCAGAAGTCCATAAAGAAAAATCTTGTCCTCCAGTGCTGCTCGACCATCTCTATAGAATTCATTCCAATGAAAACGAAAGAAGAAACCACTAACCCAGCAAACAGGATGAATAAGGAGACATAAATGGTAGTCAAAAGTTTTTTGTACATTTTTAGCTTCACCACTTGTCTTTGCTCTTGTAGATACCGAAGAGTCTGGGACATCGATTTTAGAATCATGAAATAAAATGCCAGCATAGTGAGGGCTAATGGAACCAGTGTTATGAGTGGAAGTAAGGAAGTGGATTCAGGATTTGTCAGGTAGTTCTGAATCAGGTAGGCGACACAAAGCGCAAAGTTGAAGGCCGCGAAGAACTGGCATCTTCTCATCAATTTCTTATTCAACTTAGGATATACCACTCCGTAGCCTAAGGCAATCACAAGTAACAAAAAGAAGCTGAAAGACATCTTGCCACCATTCAACAGCGACACAAAGACCATATAAACTTTTGTACCGGCTGTGTCACCCTTTTCGTTTTTAATGTCATAGTAGGCCCAAATAAAGATTTGTTCTGCAGTCAAGAATAAGAAAAAAGCCAACAGATACTTCTGTAAAGGAAGTAACTCATGCTTGTGCTTCCAAAATGCAAAACTGTAAAGTGCCATCGCTACGAGATAGAAAATAGCCAACAGTCCATAAAGAGGCAATTTGTTAATCTCTGCTGCAGGCAGCTGACCAAAGGCATTTCTGAAATTGATAGTGCCAGAAAATTTCGCAGAATCATCGCTCGAATATGTCGCGATGCAATAATACCCAGTAGAAAGAACTTTGTAGTCAGGGTCGTGTTTGCCAATTTCTGTTTGGTAAAAAGTCGAAACAGTCGAGCTTAGCGTTTTGTTTTCCCCTGTGGTCGGATCTAGAATGGTGTCATGTACAATGTATTCGTTTTTGTGGGAACTGTCGCACAGCCCCAAATCAATTGCATACTCGTCACAGATGTAATACCATTCATTGTCAAGCTTAGAACCAAGGTGCTCAATATCCTTAAAATCGAATACTACCACTGAAAGACCTTCTGTGTTTTCCAGTTCTTTCAGGTTGAACCTAATGTATGGATCTACTTTGCCACCCCAGTCCTCTTTTGAGTACATCCCACTACATACTTGCCAATTCTTTTGCGAGAATGACTCCTTATTTCCCTGTACCGATACTACCAAAAGAGATAGTATCAAAAGTAGTAAGCGTTGCAGCATTGAATCTTTTATTTGCTCAAATCTCAATAGGAGGTGCGTCCAACTTCGGATGATTCTATTTCGCTCAGGACCTCTTTCCATCGGATCCGTGAAAAATGCCATCTATTATATTCACGTGATATTTTTCATTTTAGTTGGATGAAGTTCCAACCTTGATGAGATCTTTCAATTAATCATTACTAATTATCTTTGAAGAAAACATCATGTCCTTAACCAGGCTCGCGCTAATCTCGCGGAGGCTACAACCACTTTGTCGTGGTGTACATGTGAAGACAATGTCCACTCCTAACGAAAATGCTTTGAAGTTTATCTCCACGGATGGGGAGCTGCTTCAGGAAAGAGGAAAGCCCAGTGTTGAGATAAAAAACACGGACGAAAGCCTAATCAAACACTCGCCATTGGCAGCGCGTATCTTTACGCAGTGCCCAGGTGTGGAGTCGCTAATGATTGGTGATGATTTTGTAACTTTAAACAAAGATGAAATGGTTCACTGGAATCAGGTATCTCCTGGAGTCATCGATCTTCTAACACAATACTTAGCATCCGGTAAGGAAGCTTTAAGCCCTGATTTTTACAGCGTTTATGAAGATTCTGTAGGATATGACGTGAACATCCCGAAGTTCGACTACAATGAAGATGAGCAGGAGATTAGTGACATGATTGAAGAACTTATCCAGACTAGGATAAGACCGGCAATAATGGACGATGGAGGAGATATTCAATATCGAGGTTACGATCCTCAGACAGGAACTGTGTATCTGAAGTTGCAAGGCGCATGCAAGTCGTGTTCCTCAAGTGAAGTCACGTTGAAGCATGGCATAGAATCAATGCTCAAGCATTACATTGAAGAGGTTCAAGATGTAGTACAAATTCTAGATCCAGAAGAACAGGTTGCTCTCAAGGAATTTGAGAAACTTGAGAAAAAGCTTGATGCCAAAAGCTCTTGATCGCAATTTTGACACTGTACATAGAAACATACCTATTTATTAGATTCCCTACCTTCCACTTTCTCTCTTCCTGCTGCATACCCTTCAACTTTTTTTGCAAGCTTTAAGTCGATTTCGCTAACGCCTTGTATGTCATGAGTTGACAAATCTAACCGGACTTTGTTATATGTAGTTTGAATGGTCGGATGATGCCCGTAGAGATGACTCCTCATTGCAACCTGAGATAAAAAAGCCCAAGTGGTCTCAAAGTCTTTCAATACAAACTCTCTTGTTATCTTCTTACCATCATACTTCCAATTTGGAAGTTTGAGTAGATGTTTAGCCACTTCAGCAGCGCTCAATTGTACCGCTGATACTCGCGTTACTTTGTTGTACATGTTTGTTAGCACAACAAAAATAAGCACTTTTCAACTTAACGGCGAAATATAAATTCGAACAAACAGAGGACAGATGTCCTCGGGTATTTTTATTCTAGATGAGTTACTTAATCCGCTTATACTGAAGAACTTCAAAGGTTTATCGGACTTACCAACACTTGCTGATATCTTTAAAGCAGCTCAACAAAAGACTGATAGACCCATAATTCAAGCGAAGGGTGTCGTGTTCACGTATATCCGTCGCGACACCCTTTACTTTGTGTCCATAACAGTTGGAAATCTTCGCTTCAATGTAATGAGCGTATTAGTTTACCTGGATCAATTTGTTATCCTTTTGAAGAAGTATTTGCGAACAAGCACTTTGGACAAGACATACGTTGTGGACAACTTCAATATAATATACGAATTATTAGATGAAAGTCTTGACTTCGGCATACCTCAACTCACGGACTACAATATAATTCAAGACTCTATCAAAATTGAGGTCAATCTACCATCAGAGAAATATCGGGCGGCTGATGAACAACTCGATAGTGACAGTGATATAGAGGAAATTGAGAAGGAGATCAAAAAAAAAACGCAGCCTGATTACCACGGATTTCAAGATGATGAGCAATACATCAATAGTTTTATTCTGCGTGCCACAACTCAAGCAATTTCTTGGAGACCTAAGGGGATCTACTATGCAAAGAATGAATTTTTCGTTGATGTGATTGAGTCATTGGAGTATGTTATGGATTTCAATACCTCCAAGATCCGCAAGAACTTCGTCCATGGGCGCATAAAATGTCGGTCTTTCCTATCTGGTATGCCAAAATTGAAAATTTGCATAAATAAAATGCTCAGAGAAAAGAAAACGTTTTTAGAATCAGCAAAGTTTCATCAGTGTGTTTCCTTAGAAAGTCTGAAGTCTAGTGAAGCTATCAATTTCGTACCGCCTGATGGAGAATTCGATTTATGTCAGTATACCTTTAAGCGACATATTAATGATTCTCCTTCAATAAAACTATGCGATTATAAAGTTAATAAGCGAGAAAGAAAGCACAAACTACACATTACAGTGACAATAGAGCCCCATTTTAAAGCACAAGATAGTACCAGTACGTTAGATATCCAGGTTCCACTTCGCAAAATCTTCAAGGAGTACCAAATAGATTTGACGAAATCTCCGAGATTTAAATGCGATGCGGGTGAGGTGATGTTCAACTTAAGCGATGATCATCTCTTATGGCAAATAGGGAGTATTAAAGGAGGACATGGTGAGCAGAAATTGTCCATGCATGTAGAGTTTCATCTTTTTGATGAAGAAGAGCATAAGAAAAAAATAATAGAACTTGAAACATCAATGGATCCCCCTCCTCTGAGAGAAGGACCTCACTTAGAGGAGCTATACGCTCAAATTCACGAAACCGAAGCTTTCTCAAAAACTCACGATTTAATCAACATAAAGTTCGAAATTCCCTACTACACATGCAGCGGCCTGAAAGTGGAGTTTTTAAAAATTGAAGAGGACCAGCTCAAGTACCAGTCATTTCCCTGGGTCAGGTATAAAACAATCAATGATGATGAGTATGCATATCAAATATAGATCACTTAATGAACAAGACCTCATATAGTATGTTGTAGAGAAAAAGAAAGATAACTGGCATCAGAAGCATCTTGGGCTTTACCAACTGAAGGTATATTTTTTCAAATTAGATCCGACATAATATCATTAATGAAGTCGGAAATCTAAGAGTTGATAATTAGCTCAAAAAGTACAATATGCAAGTTAAAAAGTTAGATCATCACAGCACTCACTCAGATTAATGAAAACTGATAAGCGCACACTGTGAAATTATAAAGAGTTTAACATCACAAAGATTTCCCCATTTGAATATGTACACGTAGCATGTATTTCACTTGCATAAGTCATTCAATACCTTGATTTTGAATTCCAAGGATTTTCTTTCTTTCAGAGTATGCTCTTTCCACTCGGTAATCAAAGCACCTTTCTGTTTCTCAATTCTAATTCGCGTATGTTCAACCACATCATCAACATAGTGCTGTAAAATTGAAGACCAATAACTCAAAACCTTGCTAAACCCGAGAGTTATGCCAAAGGCGGCCAAAGAGCCCATAGAATATGCAGAAAATTGATGAGAGACGACTCCCAATACGGAACAGAGAATGAGCGGCAATTGCAACGTAAAGAACTGCCTATAAATGGCATTATTAATATCTTTTTTAAGAAGAGGAGCTCGATGGAGCATCAGGCTTTTTTCATCCAACTTAGAATCTTGATAAGGCAGTGACAAGATACCTCGAGTGTGATTCAATTTGTCGACAATTTTGGAGCTTTCTGATAAGTCACAGATTTCGCGAAGCTTCAATTGAAGCTTATTCTCCGAAAATCCGTAGACTTTAAAGATTGACAGCTCATTCTTGGCGAAAGATTCTAACAAGGGCCGTAAATGTTGTTGCAATTCTTTATGCGCCTCAAATGCCCATTCATTGATCTTCTCTATCGCTTCTCTTTCACTGCACTTAAACTTTTCATATTCGGCAACGCTTGGGTCAGTCTGATAGATATTTTTAATAACTGCCTTTCCTAATTGCTGGAAAATTTCCGTCCTATTGTCGAGTTTCAAGGCCAGCTCTTTACTCACAGTCAAGAAGTTAGACGTTTCAAGACTAGACAGGTAATTTTTAACACTAGATTTGTCATTGATGAACTTCTGTATTCCTTCCAAAGCTAGAGTACTATTGACTTCACGGTTGCCCATAACAAACGTTGATTCAATATCTGTTAATTGAAGCAATGGCCAGGGAATTGCGACTGGTTTAGGGTTTAGATTAAGATAAAGGTGGCATCCGTCTTGTGAGTCTTGCAAATATTCCGATTCAAAGAATTGTACGTTATGTTCTTGTAACCAGGGAGAAGGCAATGTAAAAGTTCTCAATTTACCAATAATCTGAAAATCAAAGGCAGGCCCATATCTTATTAAGTTAGTCATAGGCTTCAAATGCCTACCCGAAAACACTTCGAACCAGTACTGATCTGAACTATAAACGTCGGCAAGCAATGCGCTCAAAAAAGAGGAGCCGCGTTCGGATGCCAGAGACGGAACAAGTATACCGCATCTGACTTGCTGGTTTCTCTGAACCATTAGAGGTAGTTTGTCAGGTAAAGCTCGCCTGGACTTTGTATAGCATTCAGCCAATTGAGCCCAGGTACTACCAAACCGCCTGCCAATGAGCTTGAAAGTCATTGACTTCTATTCCTCGTGTCACATTAATAATTATATTTAAAACAACTTGAAAATTTTTTGAAATCGATGAGGCATTTGACCAGAACAAATACATAAGTGTTTTCTTTAAAGAGTTCGCTATCTCATTCTGCTCTATTAATTAGCCGAATGACTGGTGATGAACATGATGATGAGGGTGCGGGCCATATTCCGAGTGATGTTGCTTTGGCGGTAGAAGCGTTGGATGAGTTAAGGAATTCACATGCACAGGGGCAACGTGATACCCTCTTAGACAAGGTCCGTGCAAACTCTCTCATAAACAATGCCGTTAGAGTATATGAGCATAGTAAAAGTCAATACCCAAGCTTTCGGAAAGGTGCAGAGATGATGGAGCGAAAAGCGATCATACCCATGGTAAAGAGAATCGAAGAAACTAGCATCAAGTGGAAAAGTAGAAGGAAGCGTACCCGCGATGAGGACTCAGATGGGAGCGTTCTTTCTGAAGAAGAAAGTGAATCTTCAACAGAGTCCAAGAATGATAGAGATCAAGAGCATTCTGAAAGTTCAGATGAGGAAAACGAAGAAGAAGATAGTACAATGCTAGAAGAGAGAACATTCAAGGGCAGAATCTCCAAACGGCAGAAGATTTCGCGTGCTTTTGCTAAATCCAAGAATAACTTTAAGGAGTACAAACTCAACATGTCAATCGAATCTAAAAAAAGGCTTATCACCTGCTTACATTTACTCAAACTTGCTAATAATCAGCTTTCTAATAGGGTGAGCTTCTTACAAGATCTTGTGCAGAAGGAACAACAGCTCAGAAAAAGACGAATAAAGGTAAACGAGAAGGATAGCGATCACGACGAGTTCTACGATGCCTCCGATAATATCGATGAACAGTCCACGGTCATCAAAATGGAAGTTGTGGGGACTGTGAAGAAAGTCTACGCACTCATATCAAAGTTCACTGGAAACTCACTCCCAGAACCTGCTAGAACACAGGTAAGAGAGTCTTTATTAAAACTTCCGATGAATTGGACAACGATGATCAATTCCGAAGATTTAGCTAAACGTACAAACTCCAAGATTATAAGCCCCAATGGAAAAGTCCTTCTTCTGGCACGCGAAAGCCTTGACATGGTTCACAACGTCATGGGTGTGGTCGATAATACTTTGGGGAAAGCTGAAGAATGGGTCAAACATAAGCAAGAAATCAAGGAAATGCTAAAAGAACAATATCGCAACGCACAGTTGCGCGAAAAAGTTAAAAACCAAATGGTAAAGGAAGGTGATATATAACCATAAATAAACTAATTCTGTAAAGCTTTCAAACGCTCCCTCATTTCATTTAGCATATTATCAGCTTCGTCGTCAATTTTCTCCTCAGGAACGATTTGCTCTTCTTGCGTGGGTAGTTCCGCAGTGGGAATATGATTGATCTGGTCGAGCTTTTGGTGCGTGTACTGCTCGACAATTTTGTTAACCTCCTCTTCCACTTCTTCTTCCATCTCTTCGTCTTCGGTGGTCATTTCTAAAGTATCATCCATCATTTCGCTAATAATACCGCTTTTCATGAGCTCCTTCTCCAATTCCATCATAGTTGACTGAAGTTGCGGTAGCCTTACCAATGAATTCACTTCACGCATTAAAACAGCCGAAGATGCCATGTTTTCTTGTAAGTTCTTCATTCTGAATGCTTCGTCTATCTTCATCCCAACAGATTGTAGTTGGGCTTTCGAGGTATACATCCTCTTATACTGCTTGTTGATTTGATACAACTCTTTTGCATAGATGCGCACAGCCCTGGTATCATTCTGTTTAGCAGACCGCTTTATCAACCCTTGCGTCTTGGACTGCAATGCATTAAGCTCTCTAAGAGATTTATCTAAGGTACGTGAGTTTTTTCTTATTAGTCCGCGAATCATGCGGTGTTGCTCTTTAGGATCAGGTCCCCATATCGCTTTCTTGAAGTAATCCATCTAATCAATGTATGTTGGCATCTGTCCCTTGAGAATAAGAAGAGTTGTCTCTGATAGAGGCAGGACTGAATGACAAACACAGATCACATGACCACAATACTAAATGCACTTGGCGACCTGCAAGCAATCTCAATAGCATATATCACCGATCGAACATATATAAACGGCCAATGAAGGCCCGTTTTCCACAGGCTTTGCTACAGGTTCGGGTTGGCAGCGAAATGAGATATTATGCATGATTTGAGGGTTAAATTTGATAAATAGAATACGAAATCAGAGGAAAACCAAAATGATGGGTTTATTCAAGGTAACTACTTACAGCTTTGATAATTTAAACGAATAAGAGTCAAGTGTTAACAGCAGAGTCGTCTTTAAAGCTGACCCTCAAGCAGATTGTCCCTTCCCCATATTCAAGAATCACGAACTGTAGATGCCGTTCATAAGACGCATATCACATCTTAGGTGGTTTCGAAATCGAACAAGAGGAATAATACGTGCCCAGTTGAAGTAATACTGATATTGACATACCCGTGGGTCAAATGTTTCAATGAGATCCGACTAAATTACAGCATGATATATCAAATAGTAATCCGATATAGTGTAACGGCTATCACATCACGCTTTCACCGTGGAGACCGGGGTTCGACTCCCCGTATCGGAGTTTTCTTTTTGCACAAAATCCCCTTTTTGAGTTGAAACGTTATTAGAATATTAATTCGATAGGACTACATCGATGTTAAGACTAGCCATGGTTTCGTTTCCTTGGTTTACCTTTCTGAAGTTTTTGAAGTCCCTCGGCTTTCTTGAAGTCCGTGCTCTAGAAAATTTTTCAAGAGCGGAACTTTGAACTTAACCAATTCCCTCTCCTCTAGACAATATCTGCAGCAAATGAGTGACCAACAGGCGATTCAACCTGTGGTTGTCTCGATCAGATTCCCTCACAAAAAGCAGGAAGTTCAATTGAAAATCGCAAAAAATGCAAGCGTTCAATTAGTGCATGATGTACTTCAATTCACTCCCTCGACGAAATACTTGACAAACTTCGACCTGTACCTGAATGAGAAAGTCCTCTCCGGATCTGAATTAATTTCGAACATTACCAATTCAGAATCTTTGAAACTTGTAGCGAAGTTTAGGCCTTACACAGTCAGGGAAGCTGTAAGACATCTTTTTACAGTACGGGACTTCATTGGATTTGCCTCCGAAACCGAGGATGGTATATCCCAATTTGCGCTTTCAACCGGCACTAAGTTCTCTGATATGCCATTGACCTCGGTTAAGGAACAAAAGGCCAATGAATCAGCTGCTAATGGCGATGATTCTCAGGAAGAGAAGCCAGAGAAATCACTTGATATGTCAGATGAAGAGAAGAAGCAATTCGACCATGTCGTTCGTGAACTTTTAACGAAAAGTGTAGGCGTTACCGAACTACTTAAAACGAGAAGCAATGTCGTCACTCCATGTGTTCGTTCCCTTGCACTCTCCAGTTTCAACCCTGTTCCTGCATTTTACAGAACGAAAGGCCATTTACTATATTTACAGGTTGTTACTCTGGAAGGTGAAACTTTTCACATTACTGCAGCTACATCTGGATTTTATGTCAATAAGTGTAGCTCTTACAAATTTGATCCAACGCCAAAGGATGGTTGCCCTATTAACGTATCCCTTTTTGACTTAATTGCTACGCACTCCAAAAAGTTTGCCGATCATATTCAGGCATTGGACGAAAAGCTTGGCAAATTAGAAACCATCAACTATGCCAGACCAACAACCACATTTCTAAATAAGCCATGGTTGGTTTCAACAACACCCTCAATTAATGGTGATTATGCTCGATTGCAGCTAAATGAGTTGGATTTTAGCGCAGAGAGAAATTTTAACGACGAATTCCAAGCCATAAAGGACATTCCAGCTAGTGACTTCCAATCACGAGTTGATTCAGAAAAGTTAATCGCTAAGGTTAGTCATGAATTCACGGAGGCCTCCGTTGCAGGTGCAATGTCAATTTTCTACGAGGATATGGTTCCAATGAATCCAGAAGCGCCAAGGGAAGAGCAAATTTATTTGAAGGACAACATATTTTACTCATTTGTTTCCGATATCAATGGTACTTACAGTAATGTGGGTGGTGATGAAGCTGCCTTTGCAGCTTCAAACCAGGATTTACACACCATTAAGCTACTTCACCGCGTTAATTTAACTGAAATTCGCTTCTTGTTAACTACAATTATCGATTTTGCCGGCCATCGTTTATTAGCTCAAACTCCAGTTCCAGGTCTCTTGAATGCAATGGGAACTATAACCAAAAAAGATGCTACTGGAAAAGAGTCAAGCGAAGACCTCCCTAGTGATGTCACAGTTTCTTACGGTTTGGAGGAAAATAGCGGAAAGATTCTTGAAAATCAAGAATTCAATGACGCCATCGATTCATTTGCCAAGATTTTCCATTTGAAGGAACATGTTACTGGTGGTGCAAAGATTAAGTTTTCTGGTCAATCCAAAGGTATCATTGGAAGTGATAAAAGAAAATACATCTTGGATTTGGCAAACTCGCACCCCTTTGATGTGGAGTTCGCACGCCAATATTATGATGGAATTCCTGCTGCAGATCGTTATCCACATAGACAAACTTTGATTCGTCATGAGCTAATTGAAAAATGGTGGATCACTAAGGCCGAGCAAGCTGGTGCCGATATCGAAAAGGCCTTCGAATCGAATGAGTTTTCCTTCAATCCTGATGCATACTATGCCGAGGGGATCGAAGATCCAGTTGTCGAGGAGATTTCTAAATATTTGTCCAGTGAAGTTCTACCAAACGTAGTGAGAGATTACGCTGCTGGAAATTTAACCGCGCCCTATGATGGTGAGCATCTGACTCAGTCACTGCATAAGAATGGTATCAATATGCGTTACTTGGGTGAAGTGATTTCTTTGACGGAAAAGGAATTGCTAGTTCAAATTGAGCAGCATGAAAAGAAACTTAAGGAAGTCGAGAAAGATAATCAAGACCATGAAGCTTGGGAAAAAGAATATTTGTTGAAAATCGAGAAGCTCATCAAAGAAAGACAAGAAAAGATTAACAAGTATGTTCAAGCTGGCCAGGAAGTTCCAAAAGAATTGGCTGAAAATTTGAAACTTGACGAAAATGAGATTAGAAAGCCTACTAAAGGTGAACCTCATATGGTTAATAGAGACCAACTATATTGTCTACTCAATGTGTCTCAATTGGAAATCATTTCCCGTTCTCTCAAGCACGTTCTCAGAAGATACTCCAAGGAATTGCCGGTATCTGTTGTACCAAGTTTGATCTCCTACTTCTTCAATCTACTATTTGGTGTTACTTACAATGATCACCCTCAAGTTGAATTTTCAGATAGCTTCTACTCAAACGGTAGCTTCTCGTTCACCAAGGTCACACGTGAGAGTTTGGTCAACGAAATTACTACCCAAGCCAAGCTTCGTTTCCGTTTTGAATTAACTAATGATGTTTTCGAAAAATTTTCCAGATCACCTTTAGCACTAATTAGATCTGTTTCCAAAAAATTTGGTATTCAAATTTTAAACAAAGACTACTTCTACACTAAAGATGAATTCGAAGATTACAAACAGAGCCAAGATAAGAAAATTAGAAATAAGCTTGTGGCTCCTACTAGCACTTTTTCACCGGATGACTTGTTAGTTATCCCAATTATAAAAGGGGGAGACTACCAGTCAGTTGTTGGGGATGACTTCTGGAATCAAGGTGCTGCTTTGCTTGGTGAAAAACAAGAAGAGGGCTTGGCATTATTAACCCAAGCTCTAGCCATCAAAGAAGAAGTCAATGGAAGCATTCACTCTTCTGCTGCGGAATCTTATTTGGCACTTTCCACCATTTACCATAAACTAGGTAAAGTATCGGAAGCAGCTATACTCTGCAGGAAGGCTTGCATTATCTATGAAAGAGTTTTTGGTGTGGATTCCTTCGAAATGTTAAGATGTTTGACCAATTTGGCAATATTAGAAATTGGTAATGAATCTCCTTACAATGCTGCCGTTGTGCTACAGAGAATCGTGAACACACTGGACACCGTTTGTCCTGCCGATCATCCTGCTGTTGTTAATGCGCACACAATGATTCAACAACTTGCCATGGCTACTAAAGACGTCAAATTAACCATTGATGTATTGAAAAAGCTTTCTGATTTAATTTTGAAGATTGATGGTGGTGAGCGTTCCATCGCCTATGGATACAATGAATCTCGTATTGGGAACTTGTATGCAACCATAGATGATTTGAACAGTAGTTTGAAGGCCATCATTGAAGCGCGGGAAGTTTTCACCAAGGAGTTGGGTCTAAACGATCAAACTACTGTGCAATGTAAGCAATGGATTTCTGGTATTGAAAATTTGATTCAAAGTAAATTACAGCAGAAGAAATTAAACCAGCAACAAGCCTCTGTCAATAACGCGCCTACTCACAACTCGAAAAAGAATTCTAAAAACTCTAAAAAGGGTGAAAAGCCTAATCCCGAAATTGCGAACAAATCGATTGATGAATTGATTAACTTTATTGAAGGTGGCTCTGCCAAGAAGACTAAAAGCAAGAAAAAATCTAACAAGCAATGAAGAGATCAAATATCTCGCATGATAACGATTGCACGAACTACAACTTCTTGTAAATATTATTTTTAGTTTAACCTTTTTGCCTTTTTTATATAAGACAAGTTTAATTTTATCAGTTGCAAATGTGCATTACATATCATGATTTACAAATTTCAATAAATATCAGCATAAAAGCTGGAATTAGGATGTTATCATTGAGGACACTATTACCCTCTAAAATACCGGATAAGACACAGGTCAAAATGACGTTACTCACCGTGACGCCTTCAACTTCAAATTCCCCGTAACGCTGTTTGAAGTATAAGCTACAACCTGTTGTAGCCAAAATGAATGCCAACGTTCCTTCCAAAGTTTTGTTCGTTCCTGGCCATCTTATGCGTCCCCATCTATGACCAACTATAGAAGCGAGAGAGTCACCAACACCTAGGGAGATCACTCCAACTAAAGAGCCATTTATCAAAATTGGAGTGGCAACACCGATTATCAAATAGACATAAGAAATGATGATCGGTCCACGCTCATCGCGGAAATCAGCAAACGACCTTAGCTTTTTATCAAGGAAATCACCGATTGGTGCCAACTTAAGATATCTAAGGTATTCCACAATCAAAAATAGAACAATCGTTCCTGCAATCGATATTTTGACAAACTCAGCGTCCCATTGTAAAGGCTTGACTAAAAGAGCAAGAATGACGAAATGCCAGACTTTTCTGGAGGTATTAAGTGAAAAATTGGACTGAAAAATCATCACATTGGGCAAAAGAATTAGTAAGCACACTATCCATCCACAGATAATATTCATACGAGTGGAATCAGATGTGATGTATTCGTATAGCCAAAAAGCTGGGTTTTGTCCATCTATTCTTAATGTCTTAATAATGGTATAGGGAAAGACGACTGAAAATGAGGAAAAAAGAATGAACGATCTCACCAGTTTGTTTGCCCTGGAAAGAACCAAGGATCCAACAAAATTGACAGCCATTGCGGTGATAAGGCCATACATTGATTTTTGCAAAACTTGAAAATGGAGAGAAGGGGAATCTACCAAGTATAGAACGTTCGTGAGCAGGATACTGAATAAATTACAGTCAACCACATCAAAGCTCTTCAACTCCCCAATTTTTTCCAGAAGGAAGCATAACACAACATTCAATACCACAGCCTTTATATTTCTTTCACGGTCCGAATAATATTCGTCATTGAGTAACACAAAGATGGCCTGTAGTGGCAACTTCATGTAAAAAGGAACATCGGTGCAATTGAATGCAAGTGCTCCATTCACTAACGCCAAATCCCGGCCAAAAAGTAAAGACATCGTGAAGGGAAGAAAAAGCAAATAAATTACGTTAAAACTTGGTAAAAAATCGGATAATATACGTAAATCGCTACCCCATAATCCATTATTCACCATTCGAGTTCTATAAGATACCAAACATCCCGCAACAAATGCAACCAGTGTTGTTAGAGCGCTCTGAAATAACAACGTGTCTTTCTCATCTTTCATATACTTAATGACAGCGAGGTGTGTTGTAACACCTAAGATCACTACCTGCGCAACTTTTTCGGTAGCAAATAATTCATCAAGGATGGAGTATTCTTCATTCGACTTGGCAATTTTCTCTCGCTCCTCAGCGGTTTGCTCTTTCATCCTTAATGTAATTTGAAGTAGATAGATTCAATTTCGTGCCCTAGATTTGATCTATAGTTAAAAATGTTACCCTCATTTGATGAAAATTTTTCTGGAAATGGGTTTAAAAGACGCATTTTTTTCAACTTTAAGAACTCAAATTCTCCCTTACACAATCAAAGGTTCTCAACAGAAACAAGGCGAATAGTTTTCCTTCATCTTCGAGAACGTCCGCTGATGACCAAGATTAAACAAACAAACTAGAGTTTCTGAAATCTAATGATTAGAAAACTAATCAGTTGTACTGAGGTTTGTTCTTGGAAGTCCAGGAGGTAGGGTGATACAGATGTATCACTAGGAACTATTAGCCTTTGCTTCTCTGCTGAGATGAGGTAAACAAAGATATTTTAATGATGAATTAACAAAAACAAAAGCTGGAATTACTGGCTGAACGCTTATATGTTGATACGTTTTTGCACCATTCTGAATAGCAACTTTTTGTTTTACCTTTTCTACACTTAAAATTTTTGAAGTAACAGGAGTTTCTTCAATTATTGTGAGAGATATAAGCACGTGGTTGTTTAACTATGGGACTAGATGATGAGACACAGCACTGGGCACTGAGTATGAATTTCATGAGTGACAATGCTTTAAGTGGGCCTAGAAAACCCACGCTACTGATTTGTCTCAAGTTTATACGGCCTGGCGCTAACGTATATTACCTTTCTGGAATGCCCTAAGGATATCGCAGACGCGAGTCTTTCTCTTCTGTGCTCTCAGAGGTGATGATTACCTTAGATGACGAGTCTGATTTAGGGGTTTTTCTCGCTGAAGACACAATCTTTTTTATACCATTCATGCATTTCTGATTGGGAGTTTTAGCAGGGAAGAACGATAGCAGCCCGATTATCAGGTAATAATCCTGTGATATTCTTTTTGGGGCGTCTCAGTAAGGAGGTACTCATAGGGCGCTGCGCAGAAGATGATAATACGAAATATTTAAAGACAAGCATATGTCTGAATTTGTTGATGACAAATTTTCGCGTCTGATGCTGTGCGTTCTTGAGACTGCTTTAACTGTAGTGATAGCTGGTGGAACTAAGGGTTACTGCAATAATTATCCTAAGATCTTTGTTTATGATGACTTTCCACATTTTCACGACGGTCAACTGTTTGTCTTCTTACATGTTTAGTTCGAAGATGCTGATGATATTTAGCCTGTGACAGGGCGTGGTTCTGAACATTGAAATTAGGTAAACATTGCTTTGATCTTACGTCAGATGCTTGAGACCAAGCATTACACATAGCTATCATTTATAGTTCCGGCATGACATTTTAATGATGACAATTGCTACTATTGAGATCACATCTATGAAGAGACTCATTAAAAAAATTCGATTTGCATGTCAGTCTGATCGTAAAAACTTGTCGATTAGTTTCATTGCGTAGTGGCGTAGGATAAAAGATGTAATGAGTGTCACTTGAAGACATCACCTTACATATAGATATTGCTTGTTCCAAGTGGACGGAAGCAAAAACATACAATAAGATATAACAATATTGTGTAGAAAAATCATTGATCCTCTTTGAGATCCTTTGAATACTGCAAATTCTCTTCGTTTTTTGATGTATCTAAATGTTAACCTGGCGTATTGTTCAGACATCAAATTTTCGTTCATTTCCACGAAGAAAAATTTTCCCACAATTTGAAAGTCCATCTCATCTCATCTCATCTCATCGCTAAGTAATTGTACACAGCAAATATCGTAGCGCACCCCATATAATGCCAAAAGAAAATTTAATTTACAGGTTAGATAACCTAGAATATCAGTATCACTATCTCAACAATACTTTGGACGGATTTAAACCTCGTCTCAACGGAACATCTAAGATTTTTAATGCTAAAGGAAAAAGAACGACCAAGAAGGTAGCAAAAACACTACAAATGGCTACTCTCGAAAGCTTAACGAGCCAATTAGATATACTACGCTTGGAAATATTACAGAAAAAAGCCTATCATTTGGAGAAAAAGATTGCTTCCTATTTGGAGAAGACCTTACAACAGCAGAGTAATGCTTTGTCGAAACACACAAATGCGAAAAATGAGACAAAGCGTAACACCTTGGCTGTAATTGAGAGAGAATACACTTTTCCTAAATTTGCTAATCTTATTGCCAAATCGAAAGTTGCAAAGCTAGTGGTATCAAAAGTTACACCCACTCGTACTCTAAAAGAAGATCCTCCACATTGGTTCAAAGATAGCGAGTATCTTCAAATTATCAATACCAAAGAGAGTCAATATAACCCAGGTAATATCTGGAATAAAACCGTACTTCCAATAAAGGGGTGTGACCAACTTCTCAGCCTAACAATGAATTCCAAGAAGTATAAAGAGATTGTGGAAAGCTTTGATAGCGGGATGGATTTATTTTTGAACAATAAAAGAGAAAAGAAAGCGGACGCTTCTCAAAACGAAGCCGGCCTGTCTAAAGGGGACTCAAAGAGATCAGAGAAGTCATCCAAAGGTCAACCATCAAGTGGGGAATCGTCTGAAGATCAATCTGAAGAAAGCTCCGAAGCCGAGTCTGATGAGGAATCTGGGCGTTCGAGTGTTTCAGGGGAGTCTCAAACGGCTAATATTGATGAAGATGCTATTTTGAAAGCATATGAGGGCATGCTTGTTGCATCTGATGACGAAGCAGCTGAAGAGGAGTCATTTATGTTGAATCCCAACATTAATTACAACGAGGTCACCGATGAAGAGCCAAGTGCAGAAGACAGTGAACCATCAGAAGCTTCAAGTGACGAAGAAGAAGAGCAACCAAGGAAAAGACAGAAAAAGGAGAAGGAATCTAAGAAAAAAGTTGTATTGCCAGAGCTTATTAGCGGTTATTACAGTGGAGGTTCCGAAGATGAATTGTCTGAGGATGAAGTGGCTAAGAAACAAATATCCAATCAACCTAAACGTAAGAACAGAAGAGGGCAACGAGCTAGACAAAAAATTTGGGAGAAGAAATACGGTAAAAACGCAAAGCATATTCAGAAACAATTAGAAAAAGACAAAGAGGAGAAACAACAAAGACAGATTGAATACGAAGAAAGAGTAGCCAAGCGAGCTGCCAAGGCCAAGGCCCTCGAGGAAACGGCGCAACATCATCGTGAAAAAGCTGTTTCGAACAATCGCACTTCAGAGAAACCAGAAGACAAACCAATGCATCCATCTTGGGAAGCTAAAAAGCTTGCTGAGGAGAAATTAAAGAACGTGAAATTTCAAGGTAAAAAAATTGTGTTTTAAAGGTCGCCGCTGCATATTTAGTTATTGGGCTTGTTTGTATAGAAGTCATAAATATGAAGTAATAAAAGAATACAAATTTGACACTATAATTTATCATGTAAAAAGTGAGAGGGGGAATATAAAGAGACCTCGTCCCCATAAGACCAGCATTCAAGAAAAAAAGATGATATCCGTTGAAAAGACAGTTGTTTTGCAAAATGAACCCCAAAAAAAGCAATTACGCTTTGAGTTCACCTGTTAAAGGATCTCTCTTCTTGAAAGACAATAGCAGGTCATCCTTGGGGAAAATGGTAGCGAAAACCTTAATTTTTTCACTCAAAGGAGTTACCTTGTGTTCCCAATTGGTATACATAGCAAATTTACCTATTAGGGCGGTAAAAGTCATCATGACGTAGGTTTGACCCAAGCAAACGTGAGAACCGGAACCGAAAACCAACCAGTTCTTCTTGGCTTCATTAGCAGGGGAACCTTCGACCCATCTTTCTGGGATAAATTCGTCTGGGTTTTCGTAAACATTAGGGTCATGCAAAGCAGGGTATAAAGTTGGGATCAACATAGAACCCTTTGGAGCAGAGTAGTTAGGAGCAACTGGGAATTTTTGCTTAACCACGTATGGAACCATAAGAACGGGAGGTCTGTAACGAAGAGCTTCCTTCACAACCATGTAGGAGTATTTCATCTCTTCGATCAAGTCCAAAGAAAGTGGTGCAGATGGGTCGTTGTTACGAACTCTCAATTGTTCTTCTCTAATCTTTTCCATGACATCTGGACGGTCTGAGACGATTTGGAATAGCCAACAAGCTAGAGAGGAAGAAGCATCTTGAGAGGCAAACAAGAAAGTGAAAACGGCTTCGGAGATTTCCTTGTTGGTGAATTCTCTGTGGAATAATCTGGCGTCTTCATCGTTACGAGTCTTGGCATCGTGCATTAGTTTACACCAGGCGTCCATGACACAAGAAGGCTCTCCTCCAGCAGCGATGTGGTCTTTGGCCATTTGAGCACATTCTTCGAAAATCTTCATGGTCATGTCGGCAGTTTTCTTACCGTACCACGTCTTGGTGAAAGGCAAGATGATTGGGAAATTGACCAATTCCAAGGCAGCAGTGACCAAATAGTAGTCATCGGCGACTTTCCTGATTTGATCTTCTGTGATGTAGTCACCACAGAAGGCCTTCAAAGACAAAGCGCACATGATTTCTCTCATTTCATGGAAGAAAACTTGAGGCTCGTATTTGTTTTCCTTGGACAATCTGACAAACTTTTCAATGTACTTGTCCATGACGGCTTCTTGAGAGGGCAAGTATTGAGCCAAAGCGGTCTTGGTGAACAAACCATTCAAAGATTTTCTGTAATCGATGTGAGCCTTACCGTCGAGGAAAACCCAGTTGGAAGGTCTTAAAATCTTGATGGCAACGTCGACGACACAGGGCTTTACGTACTTGGGGCTTTGCAGAATCTTTCTGGCCAAGTCCCTGGTGGATGCAATGACAACGAATTTGTGGAAGATGGAGACACATGACAATGGACCAGAGTCCCACTTGGCCTTGTACTCCTCGAATTTAGGGTCTAGAGACTCTAGGAAGGGACCAATAACGGGCCAGAATTTGAACTTTGGGCCTGCAATGGAACCCTTTTTGATTTGGTACGAGACTTGGTCCCACACCAAACCCACGCACACAATTGTGAAGAACAACTTCCAGTAGGAGATCGATTGCAACGACTCTAGAACGTTGTGAACGGAGGCAGGAGCGGTGGCATTCTGGCCACCTAGTATTGGTTGACTAGCGATATTCTCGACAACACTGTTCATTGTTGTTTGGGAAGTACAGCTTGAGTATGGTCTTAACCTTCCCCGGGGGTCCCTATATATATGGCAAGGGTAGTACTTGACAATTTAACGGTGGTAAGAAAGAGGAAAAAAATCAGGCCTCTCTCGATGCGAAAAATTTCAACACGAGTTAAACGAGATTGGAAACGAGCGAACGTACGCGTGTTAAACGACACGGGCCAAACGCACGATAGATTCGCGATAATGCAATTCGAAGATAATTCGTTTTTTGTGATTGGATAGAAGTTACAAGTCCAGCTTATACAGGTAGAGGGGAGTTACGGAGAAGCATGCAGCTGAGAATACGCTAGAGGTCGAAATGCAGCGGATTGGGCTACCACAAAGTGTCTGTGGGCCTTACGTTTTTGGGGGCAGGCGAGGGGGTTTCGAGAGCCTGGGCCATGGACATGTACGAGGGCGCGGGGCGGGTCGAAGCAGGTGCAGGGGCCGCGGCGTTATGGCACTGAGTGCAGTGGGGGGAGGCCTGTAGATGGGAATTGGGCGCGGGTACGGGCGCGGGGGCGGGGGCCGCGGGCGGAGGAGGCTGTGGCGAGGAAGATGAGCCCGAGACGTCTAGTTTTTCCATGAGATCGAGCAATTCCTTGTTGAGGGAGAGCTTGCGAAGCTCGTTTTCGCGCTTGATGAGCAGTTTGCGCTTGAGGAGGTCGATCTGGTCTTCGAGTTGCTTTAGCTCTGCGCTCTCCTGGGTGAGGATGTCGTCCTCGGACGCGGAGCGCAGATGCGGCGTGCGCACGCGGGGCGGGTCATCGGGAGCGCGCTCGCCCGCCACGAGCCGCGTCAGCGCGTCGAGCTTGGTGTATATGTCTGAGACGCGGTCCTCGAGGGCGGGGGCGGCGCGAGCCGCGCCGCTCCGTGTTTTGTTGACCTGTAGCACGTCGGGGGACGCGGCGGGCGACGACGAGGACGCGGGCGACGCGGCGGGCGCGCTGGACAGTTTCTTGTTGAGCTCTGTGTACTTGATGAGCTTGCCGCGGAGCGAGCCGACGAGCACGTTGAGACGGTCTATCTCGTCCTGTTTGTGTTCGAGCTGGGCCGTGAGCTGTTTGTTCTGCTTGATGAGCTTGTTGATCATTTGCGAGTTGACGCGGTACTCTTCGGGGACGATGCGGTCGGCGGACGGGGCGGGCGGGGCGCGGTTGAAGGGGTGGAATGCGGGCTCGTCGTCCACGCGGGAGCCGTAGTCGTGGCCCCTGGAGTTGTAGCGCCTGGGCGTGGGGGAGATGTTCATTGGTGTTTGCGCAAAACCGCGTTTCAGATATATGGTACAGGATATATAGAAAGGTAGGACGCGGCGGACAGGGGCGGGTAACGGGCGGGGGCACAGCGGCCGGGTAACGGGCGGGGGCGGCCAAGCACGTGAATGTCGCGTGACCGGGCGACCGTCACGTGGACGCCGGAGTTTGCGGCGCCACTAACTCCGCCTCCCTTATCCCCGCTACCCCCGCTACCCCCGCTCAGTCTCCGCCCGTCGCCTCGCGCCACTCCGCGTTCTCCGCGCCCGCCGCGCCCTCCTTGCCGCCGGCCGCGTCATGCTGCCCCGCGGGCTGCTGGTGGGGTTGCTCGTCCTTGACGCCCGCACTGGCCGCCTGTGACAGCGCGGCCAGCGGCGTCACCGGCGACGCGTTAGACGCGTGCGTAGGAAGCGCGGACTGCGACAGCCGCGGCCCCGCGGCCTGGCGTGGCGAAGCGGACGCGGCGGTGGACGCGACCGCCGCCGACGAGTTGAGGCCCTCGAGGGCCCCGGCGCCGGAGCCGCCGACCCCGACCCCGACCCCGACTCCGACGTGTCCGACGCCCACGCCGACCATGCCCGCGCCCGACGCCGGCGTGCGGGCGGGCGTGGCGGACGACGCGACGTGCGGCGCAGAAACGCTGCTAGACGACGCTAGCGCGCGCGAGTAGCCGTAGTCCAGCGGCTGGTAAGGCGCATACACGCTCTGGGCCGGCTGCGACCCGGACATGTCGTGGTAAAGCGCCGAGGCGGCGGCCGCGGCCGCGGACGCGGACGCAGACGCGGATGCAGACGCCGCGGGCGGCACGTGGCTCAGCAGCGCGGACGACGCCGCGCCCGCGGTGCCGGGGACCACGGTCGAGGACGCGCCGTGCTGGATGACACTCTGGATGTCGCGCACGAACAGCGGGAACAGCTGGTCGACGATCTTCTCGCGCTGGGCCATGGCGAGCGCGCGCTCGAACGGGATCCACACACCCTTGAGGTGCATGGAGCCGATCTTGACGACGTGGCGGATCTTCTCGGCCTTGAGAATGCCGTCGCGGCGCCCGCGCGTCATCTTGGCCACGTTCAGCAGCTTGGTGCCGTTGATCATGTCGTTGTCGGCGCGGCGCACGACGGACACGCCGTTGGTCTCGACCTGGTAGCACAGCGTGTTCTCGTCCTCCCACATGGTGGTGGTGACGCGGGGGCGCGCCTGGACGGCGTCCACGTGCACGTGGTGCGGCTGTAGCGCGGCGGCGGCGGCGCCGTCGGGCGCGATGCCGCCCGCGGTCGCGGCGTACGAATCGTCACGTGAGCGCGGCCCGCGCCGGCGTTTGGCGGGCGCGCCCGCGGCGAGCCCCATGGCGGCGGCTAGCTGCTGCTGCTGCTGCTGCTGCTGCTGCTGCGGTTGCTGCCCGATCGCGGCGAGCTCCTCGTGCGGCGTGCCCATGTACCCGTACAGCTGTTTGGTCTGGAACCCCGGGTACTGGTACCCGGCCGGCGCGTACGACGCGGACGAGTAGTGCGGCAAGTACGCCGCGTAGTTCGGCGGCTTGGCGTCTGCGTCGTCGGCCGCCGTGCCCGGAGCCCCGGGCGCGGCCGCGCCCGGGGCCGCGCCGGACGCCGCGTAGGGGTAGTAGCCGTAGGCGCCGGCCGAGTACGCGTACGGCTGGTCGCCCGCGGCCGACGGGTAGTAGTAGTAGTACCCGGCCATCTGCTGCTGCTGCTGTTGCTGCTGCTGTGCCTGCTGTTGCGCCGGCTGCCCCTGGTGCGGCTGCCCGGACTGCGACAGCTCGGTAGCCGCCGAGCCGGCGGGCGCCCCGGGGCCGCCCCCGGCGCCGGCGCCGGCGCCGGCTCCCACTCCAACCCCTAGCCCGGGCTGGCCATTCGCCGCAGCCGCGCTGGAGTTCACCCCCGTCGCGGCCACCGCGCTACCAGGCGCGCCGCCGCCCGCGGTGGAGTTGGAGCCAGACACACTCCCCCCGGGCGGCACTCCTCCGGCCGGAGCGTAGTACGGGTACATCTGCGGGTTGTACTGGTATTGCTGCTGTTGCCAATGTTCTTGGGGCAGGTATTGGTACGCTGAGCTTTGTGCTGGCGCCTGAGGCTGCGCGTAGCCCTGGTGGATCTGCTCATTCGACATCGCTGCAGCGTTTGTGTTTACGTCGCAATCTATACGTGTGTGTGCTTGCAGTGGAAGGTTTCCTTGGAGCCAAGGTGCAGAATGTTTATATGCAGCGAGGAAAATTTTTACCTTGCGTTTGCAGCATGCAGCGTCCACGACGCGGCAACAAACACGCTAATTCGGCGGCGCCGCGTGCCGTCTGAGGCCTGCGTGCTTAGCACAGCTGCGTGCGCCGAACGCGGGTTCGGTGCGGGACGGGGGACGCCGCGGGCGCCGCGGACGACGCGGACGACGCCGCGGCGGAGACGAGGCGGGAGGCGGCGCGCAGGGGGCGCGCAGAAGATGCGCAGGGGCGGCGCGAAAAGGCGCGCACCCACACTCCCGCCGCGAGGCGCCCGCGCGCCGCGGGTCCCGCCCACACACCCGGCGCGCGCCGTGTCGCGCGACGCGCCCGCGCCCTGCCAGTCCGCCGCCCTACATAAGCTCGCCGCCCTGCGTACTACGCGCGCCCGCGTCCGCCGCGCGTGTTCGTGTTCGCGCTGCCCTTTCGCAGGAGTCCACTATGTCCATTGATCCGCAATCCTACAACGACCCTCAAACCTACGGGCGCGACGCGGGCGCGCGTCAGCGCGTGCGCGTTCGCAAGGCGTGTCAGACGTGCAAGCGCCGTAAAGTCAAGTGCAACGGCGTGCAACCGTGCTCCAACTGCGTCAAACACGGCATCCCGTGCACGTACCAGTTCCGAGAGCTCACGCCCGGCGACGCGCCAGCCGCACGCACGGGCTCCACGTCTGCGTCGCCGGAATTGCTGGTTGCGGCGGCGGCGGCGGCAGCGCCGCCGCCGCCTCTTGCGGTCGCCCGCGGGCCGTCGGGCGCGGCCTCCATTGGCCCGCCGGCCGCACATGCCTATGCGGCCCGCGCCGCCCACGCCGTGCCTTCGCCTTGGCAAACGTTCTCCTCGGACAAATACAGGTTCCACCGCCGCTACCAAAACGTGTTGCCGTCGCATCTGGGCCGCGGGCTGCTGGCCGCGTTGCCGCCCACAGCCGCCGAGCGCCACGCGCTCAAAGTGCCCCGTGTGCAATGCTACGGGTGGAACATGTCCGGCGGGCACTACCTCGGACAACAGCGGCGCGGCCCGCCCGCCGCGCAATGGGAATGGCAATTCGACTCGCCTCTGCAGCGAGGCATCGCGGAAAAGCTCGTACGCGCGTACTTTGAGCACATCAACGGGGTGTTTAGCATCCTCCACGAAAAGGTGTTTTGGCAGCAGTACCACAACGGGTTCCTCGAAAACCAGCGCAACGCGAGCGACCTGTTTGCCGCGCTGCTGTACCTGGTGCTGGCGACGGCGCTGCGGTTCGCGCAGGGCGCGGGAGAGAAGCCCGGAGATAAGCCCGGAGATAAGCACGGGGATACCGGCGCGGGCGCGCCGGTATCCCCGCTTGTCGCGTGGCACGAGGACGAGGTCACGTGGCTCGCGCCCCAGCTCGCCCGCGGCCTCGAGGAGCGCCTCTTCGAGACCGCCCACGCCGCCGTCTCGCGGCTGTCGTTCGAGTGGGAGTCCTTCGAGCTCATCCAGGCCTGGCTGCTCATCGCCGCGTACCTGCGCACCTGCCACCGCCAGACCTCGTGCTGGCAGGCGCTGGGCCGCGCCGTGCGCATGTGCAACGGCATGGCGCTCTATCTGAACCGGTTCCCGGCCGAGCACGCGCCGTACGACGAGACCCGTGCCCGCAGCTGTTTCTGGTCCTGCTTCATGCTCGACAAAGTCATCAGCTTCCAGATGGGCCGCACGCCCGAGCTCCCGCTGCCCGCTCCGCAGATGGTGCCGCCGGCCGGCGCGTCCGCTGGAGAAACCTGGTTTTGCTCCACCAGCGTCGCCATGTGTCGGCTGTCGCTGATCATCGAATCGTGCCAACGGCGCAACGGCGAAGAGCTCGGCATCGAAGAGACATGCGGTGTACGGGCGGAACTCCGGCGCTGGGCCGAGGCGGTCGCTCTGGACGGCGCGGCCGCGGCCGCGCATCCGTCGCTCGCGCTCCGCCAAGTTTTCCTAACGTATCTGGACGTGCGGCTGACGCTCGAGATTCGCGGTTTGCACCAGCTGCTGCGATCTGGCGACCCAGCTGGTGTCCATTGCGACGACGTGCGCGCTCTGTGGCCACTCGACGCGCCCGCCCTGGTCGAGCTTTCGGCGCAAGCCGTGCAAGCGCTGCGCTCGATCGTGGACGAAGGCCAGTTTTTCGTGCCCTGGTGGCTCAATTTGTCGTTGCTATTCACAGCCAGCATCACATGCGTCGCGTTGATCGACTCGGGGTTGCAATTGGCTCGCACGCGGCCATTACTCAAGCAGTGCTTCGACATATGGCACTACATCGAGCAAGCGCACCCTCAGAACCCTCCAGGTATGGCAGCTGAATGCATATGGTGTCTGAAAATGCTCAGCCACATGTCGTCGCTGCGGCTACAGTTGGCCCTGGACGACCTCACCACGGTGGTGGGCGTCGACCACGGCGACGACTCTCTCAATAAAAATAGATTCCGCCAGTTCGGGAAAGTGGACGACGACCACGGTGCGGCTGACGCTGACCCAACGGCCACTGTGGCCTCGGAAAATGACTCCCTCATGCTTGAACTGGGCGATAACGACGACTTGCTCTCGCACATCCAGTGGTTCGACCAGTGGTTCGACATCAACAGCCTGGACTCAACGTGAGCGCTGCGAGTTACGTCAGCTGCCCGTGTGAACGTACCTAAATCTTAATTACGTAATTCGACTCCGCTGCTACGTACTTACAGTTTCTTTCTTCTTCTGCCATGCGCGCGACCGTTCATAGTACAAGTTGGGATGCGCAATGTGGGTCTGGTCGTTCACCTCCGCATTCGTCTGCCCCCCGTGCGTTATTTCAAACACTTTGGTGCATGCGACTGTATATTCCGTGCGTTGCACGCTATCCAGCACACTTGTCACCTGTGTGGGGGTCAGTTTCATCCCTTGCGATAACTCTAAAGTGAGCTTATCCACGTTCCAATCCCGGTAAGGACAACCGTGGAACTCACCTCGCGAGGGCCTAGGTTTCGATAGAATAGTACGACAATCCCAAGGTTTGTAATTAATCCGATTACCTTCTAAACCGTAGTTGTGTCTAAAATTGTAACGGTACTCTTTGTTGAATTTGTCCATCGTGAGGTGCCCGCCATTCGTGAACGCTTCAGACCAGAATTTCAGGGCCTCGTCAACGCTCATACCAATACCTTTCAAGAAAAAGGAAAGCTGTTGACGACCTTGATATCTCAAATGATGGTTGATCTTTAATCCAGCCATGAGATTGCGAGCGCACAATGGGAAATTGCTGCTGATCTTATCCGTGTAAACGCTTTTCGCGGTTATTTCACCTTGGGACGCCTGGCCCCATTGATCCTCTTGTTGGAAATCCGCAACCGCATACCCAGATGACAAATGATGCAAAATTGGCAAAAGACGGTCGTCCTCATTAAGCCGTGGCAAATTTTGGTAAGTTTTAGCCAATTCTACCGACAGCATATTTGAAAACTCATTTGCAATGTGGTTCAATTGCTGGAATTGAGGTAGATAGGCAAATCCCTTTTTAATAAATACTTGTCGGCTGCCAACTAGTTCTATAACGGACTCAAATGGCAGTTTGATAAATTTTTCCTGCTGAAAATATTGTCTGCGCTGCGATTCATCGCTTAAATTCAATTGGAATTGCAACGCTCCAGAAATCGTTTGATATAGTTGTGTGGAAAGCTCACTTTTTTCTTCCTCGGATATAAATTGCAACATGGGCAAGTGGAGTGATTGTACAAACCGCGTTTGATCTTGTGAAGTCATCATATTGAATCGTATCTTTAAAAGCATGGTCTCAGACCTAATGAATTTCTCTCTCAGCTCTTTAGAGCGGCAAAAGCAAAGACGAAGAATAAAGTGAGAGTAGTAATCCTTTTTACGATCCTGTAAAGCATCCGTATGGAAAGGAAGGAGTTTCTGGAGCAAAGGCTTGACAACCATTTCCATCTCTTTCATTGTCTTATTCCTCTGAATACATGACTCGATTTCTAATAAAACCTTCAAACGATCAATTGCCCATACTTCAAATTGATCTAATGTGATTTCTCCTCGTGGTGGCAGTTCATAAAATGACAATTTCGAACTGTATAGCGATTCGTACAGTTTTTGCTCTTCCTCAGTTGTGGTACCACCTAAGATAAACTGTCCGGAGATCTCATCTTTCTTATCCGCAAAGTTTCTCCTATTGGAAACCCTCTTCTTAGATTGTCTGAACATATAATGTTTAGGCTTATTTTACAAAAGATGCAAAATGCTACGCGTAAAGTATTATTAAATTTGAGAGCGACGCGATGTTTTTGTTCGTGCACTTTACAAAAGTCATGATTAACGGTGGTCATCTGAACCTTGGAAATATTCCCATCATGTTGCAGCTGACTGCCTCGTTTAAACCCAAAGACTGTGTCAAGACCCCCATCAAGGTCATCTTCAAACCTATGTCGACTATTGAAACACAGGTAGTGATTGTAGGTGCGGGCATCTCAGGGTTAAAAGCTGCCTCTGACCTACATAAAGGAGGATGTAACTCTTGTGTGGTGCTTGAGGGCCGCGATAGGATTGGTGGAAGATTACACACTGTGGAAGGATACCAGGGTCGCAAGTACGATATGGGTGCTAGTTGGCATCATGATACTTTAGTTAATGGGCTTTTTGAAGAGGAACTTGGTTTGCCTTTGGAGCAAAGGGCAGGCTTTGTCTTTGATGACGATGAGATGATAATGTTTGATAAAGATCATAAGCGGTTGGACATGGATCCAAATATGGTGTTGGAAATTCTACAAGGTGAGCTTTTGAAATTCATAGAATTACAATTCTTTGAAAGCCTGGAAGTCAAGGACCGCTCTTACTATGAAATGATTGTTAAGTACCTTTACCAAAGAAGAGACTTACTCACAGACGACCAGATAAAATACTTGCCTCAAGTGTGTCGCTATTTGGAGCTGTGGCATGGATGTGATTGGAAAACCCTTAGCTCGAAATTTCTAGAGATTGCACACCAGGGAAGAAATGCAATGGTTTTACATTACAGTACCATCGTCAAACGAGTTGCATCCACCATTCCAGAAGAATGGATTCAATTGAAGTCTGAAGTCACTGAAATCAAACGATGCCAGAACAAGGTTCATGTCAAGACCAATAAAAATAAGATATATATCTGCGATTATGTGGTTGTGACTGTACCACAAAGTGTCATCGAGCTTTCTTTACACCCTGAATATCGCAGGGGACGTATTGAATTTATTCCTCCTTTGGGTCCAGAAATTAGAAACGCTTTTACCAAGACTCACTATAGCGCTTTAGGTAAAGTCGTATTTGAGTTTGAGAATTGCTGTTGGTCCAAAGAGCGTGCGAGGATTTTATCTCTTGGTAAATCTTCTACTGATTTTACTAATGATGTTAGAAATGCTCAAAGCTATGAAAGCTTATTAGCAACCCTACAAAATAAAACACAATATCATTTGGAAAATGGGCAATTATGGGAATTTCCGTTGTATTTCGTTAATTTAGCTAAAACCACCGGCGTTCCTAGCTTCGTGATGTTGATGCAAGAACCCCTCACAAGTTATGTTGAATCTTTGCAGGATAAGAATAAGGCATATCAATTTTTTCAACCTATTTTGGAGGGCTTACTGAAAACCTTGGGAAACTCAAATCCTATTTGCGTGGATTTTGATAATAAAAATGCCACTTCTGATCAGGACATTCCTGTTTTAAAGAATTTGATTACTACGAATTGGACACGGGAGGAATTCTCTTTGGGAGCATACTCTGCGTGTTTCCCGGGTGACGACCCAATGGATTTGATTATTGCCCTGACACATAACGAAAATTCAAGGATTCGCTATGCAGGCGAACATACTATCATGGATGGAGCAGGATGCGTGTATGGCGCATGGGAAAGTGGCAAACGTGAAGCTGCTTTAATCTTGAAAAATTTACAAGGGCTGTAGTCCCCCTCAAACTTATAAAAGTGCGTAATTTGCTTATTATTTCCTCCATTTAACTATTTACATATTATTTTGGATTGCAGTCCATTAGTTTTCTAACATTATTTCCATATCATTAAGATTAAGAGAACCCGAAACTGCATCGTTTACCATGTGTGCGCCGTATGCTTCTATTATGCCATCGAACCAATGAATAATGTCCAAACTTTCAAGCTGACTAAATGACATGGAAGGTATTTCCAACTTTAGGAAATTCCACCAATATTTGGATGGAATAAGCTTGTTTTTGTATTTTATTACACTTTTCCTAGTGAAACGTGTGTTGAGAATCCCATATAAGAGTAGCCTTGTCAATGAAATCACTTGATCAGGGTGAAATAAGCAGCCCTCGGTATTACAATCTACAGCCGCGCCTTTGCACATAAATGCGCCCGATGAAGGTTCAACGTCAGGATATGAAACTCTGCCATTACCCAAGTTGGATAGAGGAACACCACTCTGTTGAATGTATGATTGCAATTCTTCTTCTTTACGGTGAATTAGGCAGTTTTCACAGTTACATTTGTTGTCCTCGCATGTGCACTGCGTGCTTAAGTAAATACCTTTGTGAGTAAATAATTCCACAATGGAGTTATTGAGTATGGTTGGAGATGGAGATCTAACTTCTGGTATATTCATCGGAGCATGGAAATGATTCTCTTGCTTAGATATCAAATTCTCACAGTTGTTGACCTCTTCTGCCTTGTTACCTGATTCGGCACTTTTCTCATTTGTATGGTTCAGTAAATACTCCCGTTCTGAAATAAATTTATATTTCCCTTCATTTTGAGAGTTCTTATCTTCTATCATTATTTTAAGAGCCCCATCAACTAATAGCGCCTTTTGAGTTCTCATTGCTCTTAGAAAAAGTATTGGCTGCTTGTTCATTTTACCACATAGCTTTCCTTCCTTGGAGCAGCAAGGAGACACAGAGTCGTCTGGACTTTCTGACGTTTGAACTTGAGAGTTGGTGTCGACTAAGATAACCTTTCTAATGTCCACTGGTGATGGCCTCCCTCTTGTCCTCACTTTGACTAGCATTCGCTCACTGTGTTTGCATGTTGAAGATCTATGGCCACGAATACACGAGACGCAAGAATACTTCTCATCATCGAAAATGATCATCCCTTCTTGTCCAAAAGAATAAAAAGTTTGAAGAACTGCCCGAGAAAATACGTACGTTTAATATTCTCTTACCTTAATTTGCTCATTATGAGAAAATAAGATCAATTCTTATGTAGCATACCAGATCTAGCACAACTGCAAATTTCATGTTCTGAATACTCGTAACCATTATCTTTTTTCCATTTCAATTAGTATATCAGATATTCCTACTTTTCTGTTCTCGTCTTATTATTACCTTATATTATTCAAATTCTGTAACTTCCACGACACACACAATTAAATCGGCCAAAAAGAAAAAAAGATGTCAAAGACAGCACAAAAGCGACTCCTCAAAGAGCTTCAGCAGTTGGTTAAAGACAGTCCGGAGGGTATTGTTGCTGGTCCGAAATCTGAAAACAACTTATTTGTTTGGGACTGTCTGATCAGCGGCCCACCAGATTCTCCTTACGAAGGCGGGGTATTCAACGCTACACTAGAATTTCCAAGGGACTACCCTCTATCACCACCCAAGCTTACATTTACACCAAGTATTTTACATCCAAATATCTATCCAAATGGAGAAGTTTGTATCTCAATCCTTCATTCTCCGGGCGAAGATCCAAGCATGTATGAGCTTGCTGAAGAAAGATGGTCGCCAGTCCAAAGCGTAGAGAAAATTCTACTAAGTGTTATGAGTATGTTAAGCGAGCCAAATGTCGAATCTGGGGCAAATATAGATGCATGCATTCTATGGCGAGACAACCGACCTGAATTCGAGAAACAAGTGAAGGTTGCAATCCTTAAATCGTTAGGATTTTGAGCTGATACCATTCGATGTTTTTTGGGCCAACATTGTACTCAATTAATTCTATCGATATCAATGTCCGTCTCTGCTTTCTGCATCGAGCGGTACGATAAAAGATGAATATCGTCGTAAAGATACGTAAACTAAACTTTTAAATATCTGAAATCATAAATCCTCCAGTTTTAAGATCATGAAGACAAGATAAGCGCATGAGATACTATACACCTTTCATTTGACTCTAATTGATATCTCATACTCCCCGAACATTCGTCGTGTAAAGGTATACCTTTTTTTTTTTTCAGGACTTAATTTAGAATAGCAAATCATCGAGGTGTATTGAATCACCAAACCAAAAGCTCTAGGATGAAGCTCAACGTGTCGTGGGCTTTTACATTTATTTTATCGCTACGTATCTGTAAAGCCGTGGATTTGGATGTAGATGACCTGAAATCTTTACAAAATGCTACATCATTGATCGCTTATGGTTTAATGGATTATTACAATGGTTTACAATATGGAGAAACTATCGGAATGTTCTCAGACCCTTACTATTGGTGGGAAGCCGGTGGAGCTTGGGGTTCGATGTTGGATTACTGGTTTTATATGGAAAATGACACTTACAATGACATTGTGAAGCAAGCCCTAGTATACCAAACAGGGGACAACAGAGATTACATTCCCTTGAATCAATCCACTACGGAAGGTAATGATGATCAAGCTTTTTGGGGACTTGCTGTTATGGCTGCTGCAGAGAGAAACTTCAGCAACCCTTCGGCAGAAGAACCTCAGTGGTTATACTTAGCCCAAGCCGTTTTCAATACCATGGCATTACGTTGGGATGCTGATAGCTGTGGTGGTGGTTTAAGATGGCAGATTTTCACCTGGAATTCTGGTTACGATTATAAAAACTCGGTATCAAATGGTGCTCTTTTCCATTTGGCGGCAAGACTAGCGCGCTACACAGGCAACGATACCTACGTCGACTGGGCCGAAAAGGTCTTCGATTGGATGAAAGGTGTTGGTTTGATTACTGAAGGCCAGTGGAGTTTTGTTTATGACGGTGCATCGATTGAGAACAACTGTAGCGACGTAATCAAGCTGCAATGGACTTATAACCAAGGATTACTAATGGCAGGATCCGCTTATCTTTACAATATGACTGGATCAGAAACTTGGCACACAAGGACAAAAGAATTTTGGAACTCTTCTGTTATTTTTTTCAACAATAGCATCTTGTATGAAGCTGCTTGTCAGGCTTCCTATACCTGTAACACAGATCAGCGCTCTTTTAAAGCGTATTTCTCACGTTTCATGGGGTTGACTGCTCAGCTTGTACCTGAATTGAGTAGCCATATCATATCCTACTTACGTGCTTCAGCTGAAGGTGCTGCAAAATCATGTACGGGTGGTTACGATGGTCACACCTGCGGTATCAATTGGTTTCTGGGCTCTTGGGATGGTTATTACGGTTTGGGTGAACAGATGGCTGCTCTAGAAGTTATGCAGAATTTGCGTTGTTTAGAAAGACCAGCTCCTCTCACTTCAACAACTGGTGGAACATCCCAGGGAGATGGTGCCGCAGGCACTGAAACGCAGGCTACTAACTTGAGCCCCTTAAATATTACCGCAGGGTCTCGTGCAGCTGCTGGTATCATTACTGCAGTTATTGGAATATCTATTGTGGCATGCACTATTTGGTTGGTTTTATGAAGGTCGTACATAACTGAAAAATATAGAGCGTTTATGAAGCATATGGTTTGTATACTAGCATAAAATGTTGAGATCAATTCTTTTTACTTGTATGCTCCTGTTGAACCATTTAAGCCCCAGCTTCTCAACAAATGTATAGTCTTGAGAGCTGAAACAGTCCAAACCAACAGATGAGAGAAAAGCTGGGGAGAGAACGATTTCTTCTTCGTCACTGGATTCCACAACTTCCTGCAATTTTCTGAATAAAGTACACGTTTTTTCGTGAAAGTAACCCACCAACGAAAGTACCACCTCTAAGTTCTCACGATCTATCTCACCTAAAACTTCTTCTTCGGTTTCATGAAACGAAGGCCTCATATAGCCGGCTGTTGCCCACCAATAGAATCCATCTATCAAATACTGTGACCATGTCAATGGCTCCACAAGATTCATTAACTTCTCTACTTCGTCATGTGAAAGCTGGTATCCCAGTTTGGTGTGGACTAAATGCTCATACATTTCCATTTCATGTGGTGTGGCTTTAATTTGAGACCCATCTGATGCAGTTAATTCTGGAAAGGAATTTGCCCCATGAATTTTTAGGAGGGCATCAAACAGTTCAGGTTTGTAAGTTAAAATCTCATCAGTCGTGCAAGCTATGTATCCGCCAATGTTATAAGACTCTTCTTCTCCTCCAATAGCACGGGACACGATATCGGTGAGATAACCAGTATCTGTTAGACCGACAGTGTAAAGCGGTTGTAAAGGCTCATCATGGATGTTGTTTTGGATTATCCTTGGAATCAAGGATAATATAGAAAGACAATATGTGAGAGAGTTACACTTATCAAAAGTTACTCCGCTTCCTCCTAAGATCAGGACCCTTTCCCTAAGAAGACACAGTTTCCATAAAGGAAACATGAGCGGGCCAAGGTAGTTCACCCATTGAGTTAGTGATTCAAGCATATGAGGATGCTTAGCAGGTTCGGTATTGTCGTCAATAAATTTTCCAGCGTTTTGCCAGTTACGCTGCAACACAGGTGATGAAAGACAGCCTGAATCTCGCTTTAAGCAATTGGATTCGAAATACTCTTCAAACTGTTTGTAAACTTGAAGATCTCCCATCTTGAGCCAGTGAGAAAGCAATTTGCTCAAATCATCAATGTACTCATTTGCGCTGACAAATTGGTTTGGTTTCCAGTCATAATATCTACTCTGAGAAATGCCTTTTTGTCTGAAATTTGGATCAACAATCACTCCAAGTGAGTACATCTGCACTTCTGAACGATCTATGTGCTTGGAATGCTCTGCTAACCTCTTCGCATTTTGCTGGTAACTTGCCAGTCCGTAATAAAAGTCATCCGTTCCATCACCTTTGGGTATCACAAAATTTACTGTATCTTGGTCAATATCGCTAATTCCAGATGGCAGTGCTTTGAATTCAACGTTTGTTAAGTCCAAGTCACTGCTTAAAGGTGAGATTTTCGACCATATGACAACGTTGCCCCTTTTCATATCAAACTGGCATAGGAACATGCAACTAATTGGTACCTTATGCGTAGGCTCAATAATTTTAAAGCTTTTAGAATGTGTTTCATACCTCATATCAAGTGGTCTGGTAAATGGCCGCATATTTGCCAGGTTATACTTGCCTCTTTTTTGCACTAGTATTTCTTGTTACTGATTTTCAACTTCGAGATGATCATTTTCAAACTCATGGTCCAACAGTGAAGTGATGAAGGAGAAAGTCCTAAAACAAGAAATTGAACGATGCGCAGAACACGTTCAGGAGATTGTTGATTTAGAATCTGCAAAGGCTATCTCTGAGTTTCAATCAAAGGCAGATGAAAACTATCAATGGCTAGAAGAACTGAAAACAAGATACTCTATGCGGAACGATAATGAGAACGACATCAGACAATTGAGGTCAAGACATAAAGAGAAAATTGATGCACTCGAGGAGGATGTTAATTACTTTGAAAAGTTATTGGACGAAATGGAGGAATTTGTGACGGAGTTAGATGTTAAGCGCAAGCTAGCCAATAAAAGACAATCGCGCAGTAAATGATGAGGCATTTAAGCGGCTACAAAGCTACTTACCTACACAGAAGCGTGAAAAAACGACTCCCAGAACTTCCTCCACGCCGACTGTCTCTCCCGTGATTTTTCCGATGCCCTCAGCGGCATAGTTGAGGCTTTCCGAAGCCATTACCACATCATCGTATTGTCTGAAAGTCAGAAATTCTTTAATGCCAAACAATACGTCATTTTCGAGTATTTCTTGCACTCTTTTTGATACAACTACGGGGTCAGATCCTTCTTCAGAAGTTGCTAACTTTTTAAATCTGTCAGTCAGTTTTCTTAATAGGTTATCTATGCCCTGCTCATTCAAACACGACACTACCTCAATTGAATAACTACCTTGGAATTTGTTTTTAAGCATTTTGCGTACCAAATTGGTTGATGTATCATCCATCAAATCCGCTTTGTTTACTACTATAATTACATCTTTGTCACTGAGCTCTTCTTTGATATACTTCTCAACATCGATAGTGATCAGCGGGTCGTTCGTCGGATCAATGAGCACAAGTACAATGTCACTTTGAGAGCTTTTCAGTTGCGCTCTTTTGATTCCCTCTTTTTCAATCTGGTCGTCACTATTGCTTCTCAAACCCGCCGTATCGCATAGGACTACCTTGTAACCATTTATATCAAGGGGGACATCTATCGCATCTCTTGTCGTACCTGGAATGTTGCTAACAATTGCAGTTTCAGCTTTGGTTATACTATTAAGTAGTGAAGATTTACCTGCATTTGGTTGTCCTAACAAAACAAGTTTAATGCCTCTTTGTAAAATGCTTGATTTATCGATTTTGTGGATAAAATCAGTGACTTCTTGCTCAACAGCTTTCACCTCTGCTGTCACATTATTGAAAATCTGGTCAACATCAGTAATGTCAGTATCCTCGCCAAAATCGATTATTGCTGTTAGCTGAGCAATGTTATTAACAATCCTGGCCCTCCATTCTGCAAATAAAGCCCTGTTCAAACCCTTGAAACTAGATAAGGCGCTTCTACGTTGGGTTTCTGTCTCCGCGTCGATCAATTCTCCAATGCCCTCTATTTGAGTAAGATCGGCACGCCCGTTTTGAAATGCCCGCTGGGAAAACTCTCCCGGCTGTGCATACCTGATCTCTCTACCTCTTTTGCGATCATTAAGGCTGCCAATTGCATTTAAGACACTTCTTACCACAGCTTGGCCGCCATGTACATGCAATTCTAGCATATCTTCGCCAGTAAATGATTTGGGAGCATCAAAATATAATGATATCGATGAGTCTAATAGATTTTTCGTTTGTAAGCCAGGCTCATATAGATTCCGTAAGGAAGCTCTTCTTGCAATGGGCTCGGCTTGGGACTCTGTAAGGCTGTGGTAAATGTACTTGGAATGAGATCCAGATACTCTTACAACGGCGATGGCAGATCTTTGTCCGATAGAAGTCGACAACGCATATATAGTAGGCAAGAAGGCTGTTCTTACATATGTAGAATATGGTAATCGACCAAATCGGAGCATTGGTCTCATCAGCAAAGTATCTGAGAACGTATGCGAAGACGTGAATTGTATCTATTTAAACTATCTCAACAACGAACTTTTTAGTCGTGCTAGTCGGGACAAAAAAATTTGGACGAGTCCGGAATCGAACCGAAGACCTCTCCCATGCTAAGGGAGCGCGCTACCAACTACGCCACACGCCCAGTTTACGTTAAGGTACATTTAACTGAGTTTATATAAATGAATCAAAAAGCACATTTTCAATCCATTTTGTGTTTGACGCTTTGGTCAAGCATTTTGTGACCAGTCCTATGAAATATAAGAGTATATATTTGGTGCATTTGAGAACTTCTCTTGGCTCTGCTTTTCCTTCAATTACACAATTCAAATTTCCAAAATTTGTAGTATAACCTGCATTCTTTAATGAAAGTCTTAGGTATTTTTAGCATTAGCACTATGTGCGCTTTGGTGTGCAAGGCATCCTCGATAGATAGTCAGACCTTAGGTGAAGGTTATTTCAAATATGAAGAGAACGTCGGTCCTCTAGAAGCTAACTTCGACTCGTTTTTATATTCTCCCTGTCAGGATCAAACCTTGGATATATTTAACACGATTCTATCGTTCAAGTTCAACTTGAACACGATTGAGAAGGGCGTTGCAGATGCATTTTCTGGGTTTCGAGGCAAATTGCAAGGCAAAGAAGAGTTCTCAATGCTTGATATATTTGGTATAACCGCGGACTATCTCAGAAGCTTTAATATGAATTTGTTCAACATAAGTGACATGAACTTGCGTCAGCGTGTTACCGAGATGAAAACCCTCTACGTGAGCACACCTATTCTCCAGCATGGCGTAAATTACGCAAAATTTATGATCAAAAGCTCTTCGAATAACACTAACCTAAACGAATTTTTCAGAGAGGGAAAGCAAATGACGACTAAATTGATCTCAACCAACCCGGTTCTCGGTTCGATGGGTAGCGAGATTAGCAGGATTGCTGCCTCGAATGAAACAACGACTCTTCTCCAAAGGTTTCGGTCCCACTGGGCAAATGCTTCGCCTTTATGCATTACAAATGCGGAAAATGCCGGAGCAGACACTGCAAACGTTATGGATGCTTTCGTAGCACTCTCTCCCTCTCCCGCATCCGACACTCAAGCTCCAGTGCCGGGCAATGTACCAATAACGATCCCTGAGCAAATAGGAATCAACGCCTCGAAACTTCTTACATCAAATGCTACCATTCCTCGTGGTAATGACACTTCTAATGTCTCCACTGCGGTGACATATTCCAGCGCGGATAGCTCTTCAGGCATCGCATCCCATCGCATGTCATCGTGGTCAATCATGGGCGCCGTAGTCGTCGCCTTGAGTAGCGTATTGCTATTCTGAGAGCATTCCAACGATAAAGAGCGAGTAATTACTAGCTTTAACGCGCTTTGCCAATGTAAGGCTTGTTCAATGGACATTTAAATAAAGACTTTATAATATACGTATAATGTGATTGGCGACGGATTTACGTCGGATTGTCGGGTCAAGTGCTTGTTGGTCCAAAAGTTTTGGTTCAGTTTGGCTCAATACGGTGAAAAAATTTTTCAAGAGAAAACTGGTAAAACCAAAGGTATTCTCTATCAGGTGGATAGATCTGAAGGTCCGCAAAAGGAATTAGGGCATCAGTAGCATTTGCATATAATGTCTCAATTAGCTCTTTTATCCAGTCGGGTGTTGCGTAGCTCACGCGTTGCCGCAGCTTCCAGAAGAGCTACGTTGACGGCTTCACTGACTTGTACACGAGGTATCAACTGGAGTTCTGTGAAGTCACAAAAGCAGGAAATACTAAGCACTCCAGAGTTGAATAAATATAAGGAATACTACGCTAACCTACAACATGTTATAAATAGCGTGCCGAATGAACTGGCTGCGAAATCACCATCTTTAGTGACCCTGCATAGGAGGCTGCAATTGCCCGATTCATTCGAGCTGTCTACACTTGCAAGATGTCTGACATGCCGGTCATCACAGTTGCCTGTGGACCTCAATACATTGTCCGTAGGGGCTGCTTTGCCAACTACTACTCCAACAAGTGATTTTCAAGACAATCATGGACTTAACATATTCGGCAAAAACTTGCTAACATACTACGTGACTCAACAACTTCTGGCAAAATATCCTCGCCTACCTACAGTGGTTTTAAATGCCGCAGTTGATGCATACATTTCCCAGAATGTCTTGGCTAGTATTGGGATGTCATGGGGTATTGAGGTTGAGAATAGCTCCATTTTAAAAAGATATTTGAAAGAGGAACCCGTTCAGTTAACCCTTGGTAGGTTGCGTTTCTTTAACAATACTTTGGGTCACGAGGATGGTGTCAAGTTGATCACATCGCATAATTTTTCTAAAGAAGCGGCCTATGCACTGGCAGTTAGAAGCATCATTGGTGCGCTTTGGGCATACACTCATGAAACTAACCCCGAGTTTGCATTCAAATTTATCGACGATCACATACTCTCCAGAAAATTGGATGTATCTAGAATGTTTCAATTTGAACAACCCACCAGAGAATTAGCAGTGCTTTGTCGTCGGGAAGGGCTGGAACGTCCCATCTCTAAATTGCTGGCGGAATCTGGACGACTATCGAAAGCACCAGTTTTCATCGTTGGGGTTTTCTCTGGGGATGAGAAATTGGGAGAAGGTTTTGGCTCTTCTTTGAAAGAAGCCAAAGCAAGAGCCGCAACAGATGCATTGATGAAATGGTACTGTTACGAACCTGTGGGGGGCCAATCCCCTGTGGTTGACCACGGTGCTGTTATTGTCTAATTAGCAAGTACAATTGCAGACATGAGGATGTTAAAATAACTACTTGTATACTTGTATATATTACAGACAACGGAATATTTTCGCAGAAATAATGTCAATCTATGGAACTTTTTTCCGATGAAAACCGTGTTCATTTAGGGTGATTGAAAACTGCGTGCCAGCTTCGGAAATGGAAGACCCTGAGGTCTTAATTAGAGGCACCGTTTTGCTAGATGCTAATCATCATTTTGAAACGCAAATAAATGCATGTGGCAAGATCACTCTCCCAATTTGCTTACTTTTGTTTGGGTGCGCTCATGGACTGAAAATAGAAGTGTCTGAATCGGTGTCCCTTCCCATAAAATACGACCAAGAAACCACTCTTTTAGTGTTTGATGATGAGTCCTTGAGGGAAAGAGTTTATCTGGTGCAAGCTGTGCACCCGAATCTGTCGTTATTAGGGGTTTTACTGATTAATCACGATATCTACAGTTTTGATGACTGTCTCATGGAATTGTTTCGAGTTGCGCCATCGTTGCAGTTCTATTTAACTTATATGCCTTCTGAGTCAGAATTTGAGCTTAAGTGTTTTTCTAAGCGCGCAGTTCGCCTGTCCTGTCAAATTTTGACTAGCGATAATGTTGGAATGGAAATTATTAACGCCTCAATGTTTAAAGATACTTTACGGGACAGTGATAACCAATTTAATAAACAGTTGGATACTACTAAGAAACTAATAACAAAGATCGATTCAATGGTTGCCTATTTACAACGAGAACAAATATCTGACCAAATTTTGAGGAAATTACGCCTCCTTGTATCGCAATTGAAGAAACCTGCGACTTCTGATATAGAACAAGTTTTAATGGATAAAGAAGTTGAATTACAAACTTTGAATTTGCTATGTGAGCAATGGGAAACGGCACAAATCATTAAAACTGTTGACAAATGATTGATTAACATTTAAATCAAAGAAGCAATTTCCTCACACCTGTGATGGACCATTGTCCAGTGTCTTGGTCAAACTGACATCCTAATAGTTTGCACTTAGTAATGGGACATTTGCCCTCATTTTCGGGCAAGAATTTCAAAATGCAAGGATAGCAAAAAACATAACCAGTTTCTATTGCAGCAGGGTTTTGAATAGCGTCATGACAAATTCCACAATTTCCCTCTTTACTTTCATAAGGTAATGGTGGAGGTGGGATATCTTTGTCAATATCATCTAGTTTCCTTTGAAGCTTAGTAGAGAGATCCTGTGCCGTCCACCATTGAAATACTCTTAAGACGAATATGAAGGCCGGAAAAAGCTGTGAACCAGAATACTGTACAAGTTGCGAAGCGATGGAAAAACTTCTTCCTAAAAAGTGTCGAATCATCGGTCCGTTGGTCCTTTGTGGTCTGTTAAAAGATTTTGTAGAGGAAATGGGCACGGTAGCATTTCGTTTGTAGTCATGTTCAGTTAGACGAGTGAATTCTATGCCAAATAAATAGTCCAGAAATGAGGTGGACCCGATTTTTCCTGATAGAAACGATATTCTAATTACAAGGTTTAGTGCAAATACCAGTTTCTTCCATGTTGGGTAATACTTTATGAACAAACGTCGCAGTAAAGCAACAATGCGATCCTTAATAGATGTATTCTCTATTGTATTTGAATCTTCTGTTTGAAAAAGAGTTGTTGCGAGTAAATTATTATGCAAAAAATCCAGCTTTATCGCAATATATGGCACAATAACTTTCTCAAATAGTACAATACTAGATTGAACTTTTGTAAGCGGTAGTGTTAAATCAACTGATGGTGATTTCTTTAAAACGTTGAGGAGTAATTTGTTCTTAGCATTTATTCTCCTCAATCCGTAAAACTTTTCGATAAAGGTTGAATTCCAATGTTTCAAATGATGTTGCTCAATTACAAACTTGGTTAAGAGTGTGAACCATTCGTCGAACCAGTTTGTTAGTTTAATGCTATAGCGATTTGGGTTCCTAGCCACAAAGTTGGCGACAATATAACGCACAGAGGGAGTCAATAATTCATCAATTTCATTGGATGATAAAATCTCGAATAACGTGGGATATATCGACGGTTCCACACCGGCAGCAGCAGCCGGTAGGTTTGAATAAAAATCCATACTGCAGGTTCAGAGGAAGAAAGGATGGAGTGCTGTATATCTCGATACGCGAAGATGTTACAAATTATCAAAAAAGAGGAGTCTGTTAATAATGAAAATTAAGATTCTAAGTTGGAAGAAACTACAGATAAAGAAAAAGTGATTCACTTTTACAGCGCAGAGTAATCCACCAGGCTATCTGCCATCGATCTATTTACTGAACCATACCTTGGATCCTCAGATCTTCGTTTTTCAAGAGAAATGTCATCAACGTATGTTTTTTTAATCGAAATATAGACCCTCGTTGATGATCGCGTTTCGTCTTCATCGTCAAAAGCCAAAAGATGAGATGATATATCTTTACTTGCTCCATCTCTGGTGACCCATGATACCTAAAGAATTTCATCCTTCATGCTAATTTCATTATTGGCAATCTATGAAGGGCAGAAATTTGGCCTGATGGTTTTTTAGTTCTTTTCAAGATCTTCTTTGGAAATCTGTTCATTTAATGCTAAATGCCTTTTTTTTACCATTCAGGTGGCCATATTCATAAAGCCTTTCAGAACTCCGACTAGGAGGTTGTGTTTACGATTACGTTGTCGGATTAAGATACCAATGAACTTCAGACTAGAGTTCCGTCTCAACCGCACATCATTTCACTTCGAAAGAAATGTTATCAAACATGATATTTTATATACAAGCTCTTAGAAAAAATACTTCCTAGATTTCTTCTAATGTACAATCTTCATATCGTTACCCGTCGCTCTTATTGTTTTCCTCATCGCATTCTTCATTACGCTTCTCTTCATCTTTCAACTTTCTTGTTTCACTTTCATTTAAATACTTGTCGAAAGCATCATTGCGTTCAGGGAAGGGACGTTTTCCGAGTAAACGTATCATATCTTCTCTTGTTAAAACCTCCTGCTTAAGTAGCAGTTGAGCAATCTTTTCAAGATCATCTGCCTTTTCTTTCAATAGGTTCATACACCTATCGTGACATTCCTGAACAATTCTATAAACTTCCGAATCAACAATTGCGGCAGTTTCGTCAGAAAAAGGTTTTGTGAGATCGTTCTCGCTACTACGCTGGTAATTGAGCCACCCTATCTTCGCGCTCATCCCCAGCTCTGTTACCATAGCAGACGCCATACGAGTGACCTTCTTGAAATCATCTGACGCACCACTGGTTACGGAAGAAAAATGAAGTTCTTCAGAAACTCTGCCACCCAAGGCCATTGTCATCCTGTCCTTTAGCTGTTGTTCACTGAGCAAGTAGATGTCACCAGGTAAATACTGAGCATAGCCCAGAGCTCCCTGTCCACGCGGAATTATGCTCACTTTCAACAGAGGATCAGCAAATTCCAAATACCAGCCGCAAATTGCATGACCGGCTTCGTGGTATGCAACAATTTTCTTTTCTTCAGGTGACAAGAGCTTCGATTTTCTTTCAACACCGCCGATAACACGTTCGATAGCCTGTTCAAAGTGTTCTAATCTTACTGAATGGCAGTTGTTTCTCGCTGCAATTAAAGCAGCTTCATTACAAACATTTGAAATATCCGCACCGGAAAAACCTGGAGTCAGAACTGCAAGCCTATTTTTCAAGTCTTCAAGTTCCCCTGCCAATTTAATCTTCTTCAAATGGACCTCGAAGATTTCTTTACGACCCAATAATTCAGGCTTGTCCAAGTTAATATGTCTGTCAAATCTGCCAGGTCTCATTAAAGCTTGGTCTAAGACATCGGGACGATTCGTACCAGCAAGTACCACGACATGGTCTGAAGGTGTGAAACCATCCATCTCGACCAGCAACTGATTTAAAGTATTTTCACGCTCATCATTTGCTCCTGAGAAGTTTCCCTTCTGTCTTGCCTTTCCAATTGCATCAATTTCATCCACGAAAATGATGGCAGGCGCGTTCTCCCTAGCTGTTTTGAACAGATCGCGAACTCTTGAAGCACCAACACCTACGAACATCTCCACAAACTCAGAGCCTGACACAGAAAAGAATGGTACACCTGCTTCCCCTGCAGTAGCTTTCGCTAAAAGCGTCTTACCAGTACCTGGGGGACCTGAGAGAATAGCACCACGAGGAATTTGAGCACCCATCTTTTCATAACGGCTGGGCTCTTTCAAAAACGAAACGAATTCCATAATTTCTTCTTTTGCCTCATCACAACCAGCTACGTCTTTAAAGCTAACCTTCACATCCACATCCTTATTGAATCTCTTGGCTTTCGATTTTCCCACGTTGAATATTCCGCCTGGACCACCTCCACCTACACTGCTTGCAGATCGCTTAGTAATCCACACGAGACCTGCAATCATTAAAGCTGTGGGAAGTATTTGATACATAGCCCTAGCCCAGTTTCCCTCTTGTGTGTAAACGACTGGAATTCTAAAGTCATCTGCAATTCCTAGTTCGTCCTGAGCCTTTTGTAACTTATGTTCGAAGGTATCAACAGAACCAATAGTGAAAAAGTAAAAGTCATGACCATTATGCTCCGGCTGGTTTTTACCGTTGTCATTAAGAATGACCTTCACGAATGATTTGTTGATGACGATCAACTTCGACACGTATCCTTTGGCTAAAAGCTTGGAACGGAAATCCTGCCATGTCAATTCTCTTTGTTCCTCTGTGTTGTACAAGCGGTTTAACAGATATGACATCAATAATAAGAACATACCAATTTCAAACAGGCCGACGTTGACAGCGAAAACTCTAGCATTAGGATCATTTAATAGTTTTGACAGCTTTTCCTCTTCGGCTTTTTTTCTTTCGTTCATCCTTTTGTTCTGCTCCTCTGCTTGTTTTTTCTCGTTCTCAAAAGGATCCTTGTCTTTCTGTGGATCCTCATTTGGACTATTCTCTGATGCTTTCTGTCTCATTTGCTGCTTTTTCATTGTTTCTTCTAGTCTTCTTATGCCTTCATCTATCCTCTTCTTACGATCTTCCCAGTTACCAGTTTTGTCATTCTTAGCCTCATTTATATACCTCTCTACCTCCTTTTGAATTCTGCTGAGATCTTCACTTGTTGCATCATCCTTCCTTTCATGCTCATTAGTGCTTTTGTTGAGTAGCCTGGAGCCGGTGTGGAGGAATAAACGTCTTTGTAAGGACCGTCCCAATGGCATAAATGCCCCCCTAGGTGCCAAAAATCTGCTGGCAATGAACCGAGGTCTTAGTAAAACCGACATCTACGCTGTCGCGACAGTTAGTAATGGGTGGCAAAATTGGAAATGGACGATATTGAGATGCTGCCGTAAAAGCGGGTTGAATTCTCCTGTTATAATATCCGTGTAAGTATTTCACTGGACTTACAAATGCACCTTCCCTCTTTGTTCGGCCTACTAGTACCTTGGAGCTTCCTCTTTTTATCGCACTTTTCAAATGAACCTCGATGATTCGGAAAAGCATTAGGATGCGCTTAGTATTTCGTAATAAACTACATCTGTTATAGACTTCTGTTGAACATGTGAGAATGGTTATTACTTCCCCGATCTTATAGAATGTACAAAAATGCGTTTCAAGAATTCATTTCAAATTTCTGCTGTTCCAAAATTGCTGCTTTGGTCTCTTCATCAACTAATTCATCGAATATTTCTTGAGGAACCTCGGCTAATCCGGTCTTTCTTCTAGTTAAATCAGAATCCTCGATAACAGTCTCGTATATTATACCACCGTCTACCAAACCTTTGTCAATATTGACATAGCGTAATACTTTAGTGGGCTGCGTCGATTGAGGGATATGAAGTGTATTCGTGTATGGGTCTCTTATACCCTGATGCTCGATCAGTAAAGCACGCTCCCTATCGTAGAAAATGTCGCTGTTGAACCTGCTGCAAGCGGCCGCGTGCTGATAGAGCCAATTAGTTGAACTAATGTTACTACCAGGAGCAATATTGTGGTTTTTTTTATCGAAAAACTCAACTGCGTTTTTCGCAGGATTGACATTACTCATTGGCGCACCAGACCCATCAGCTCCCTTGCCAAATGTTCTTGCCATTGGCTCTCTGGCGTATGTGCCCTCAACAACTCTGCCTTCTTCACGTAACTTCGTTGCATAATAGTCATCAGTGATATTTTTGCCGTCCACGATAATTTTGGCTCCAAATTCCTTGAAAACGCTTCTAGCTGTAACCAAAGCAATTGTTCTACTTCTGTATGAGTAAGGTATAACGCCACGATCGATAAGATCATTTCTCTCGTTCTGCGAAATGACGTATTTGTATAGGTTTGGGTGATACTGGAAAAATAGGTAGGAATCACGGAACCCTACTGCTCTCGCTGGCTCTGTTGAAAGCATGTATTTTCTATGCCCCTTGTTCGATAGTGTAAATGTCCTCACCAAAAACTGTCTTCCACCGAGAAGATCGCCATCCTTCGTGATTTTCGTTTCTCCTTCTGTGTCGTCAGGAAGGTCGTACTCATCGTCAATAACTGGTAGCGGATTACCATCCTCATCAACTGGATATGATAGTCGGGGCCTTTTGGTGTTTGCAGGGATACTGGAATTGGAGTTTGCACGCGTATCGTCCGCCAGTCCATAGCTGTCCACATAATTCTTCCGTTTGGGTGGTCTCCCCCGCCGTGGAGGAGCAGGAATATGCCCAGCGTGCACTGCTGGCTTGGGTGTACTTGCTTGCCTCTCTGGAGTTTTTTCTTCCTTGCCATCTTCCTCGTCTTCATCTGCTAGTTCATCTCTGTACTCTTCATCATTTGTATCTTCTTTTATATCCAAATCTTCATCATCGATAGCATAACTTGGCCTTTCACTACCAGAGCGTGATCTTTTACGAATCGGTGACTCTTTATCCGACATTGACTCGGGGTTTTTCAGTATCGCGATGATCCTTGTATCTTCTCGTGCTTTGACGACAGCATCCGGTTCAGTGTTTGTTATAGAAATTTGGTCGTCGTTAGACGTGATATCATACAATATATTGTTATTTATTGGAATCCTGATCTGAAGCCCATTCTAATCCAAGTTGAGCCTCCATCTTCTTATACAGGCGTCTGCACCAGAGCTTAAAACGCAATCTGGGGATTCCCAAGTAACGACACTAACTACGTCCTTATGCGCATTTAGTTGTTTGACAATTTTCATTGGTCTCTTGACAGAATAGATGAATAGATGGGTATCCAAAGAGCCCGTAGCTATGAGGTCTTCTTCGTCTTCCTCTGCAGGTCTCCAGGACATGCTATTAATCTTGCCAGTGTGGAATGTCCAGCGCGATGTCTTCACACTCTTCGAATCAACATCGAATAAGAGAATTTTACCCATTACATCACCTGCAGCTAGATATTTTTCAGAAGGTGAAAGAGATAAACACGAAGGAGCAGCTTGAAGGGGGGTTGGAAGCTTAAAACTGATAGAAAAATCACTGACCTTGAACAACTCTATCGATTTCGATTGCTCGTAGCCTACAGCAACGTATTCTTTACCCAATGTGATAGCTGAACCAGGTTCTGTGAGTTTATGGCTATTGACAACATTACCATTCTGAGCATCCATAATCAGCAGTTCGTCCTCCGATGTTACAATTGCAAAGGCACCTTCATATGCGGCTGCTATCTTTGGTTGTGCTGTAAACTTATGTTTGATCTCTCCTTTGATCTCCAGAGTATCATCCCAAGAAACAGTTGATACTCCGCAAGTGTTATCAATAGCTACAATCATATTTGAGTGACTGTTTCTCATTTTGCCAACTTGCTTGTCATCCCACTCAACAATCCTCCCGTCATACGAGCCTGTGACTAATGGGTTTGCAGTAAGAGCGGTGATACCTTTGTTGTGGCCCTCAATTTTTTGAATAACAGAGTGCTCGCCAATTTTGAATACGTTCAGAGTACCGTCTAGAGATAGAGAAACGATTGTGTCAGTTCCAGCAGTCACAACACCGACTTGCTGATTAGGTAAAGCAGGTTCTAAGGCCCATTTCTGCAGACATTTGCTAGATTCAACATCCCATAGCCTAATTGTAGCGTCTGCGCTTACAGTAACGAAATGTTTTGAATTGTCACCTTCGTTGATCCAATCAACAGCGAAGAATCCACCTTTTATTTCTTCGTCTGGATCATCCACATACTTCAAAAACTCTCCAGACTTACCGTCAAAGCAAACAATTTTTCTGTCACTACCTACTGATACTGCGTATGTACCAGCCCCGGGAGAGAATCTCACATCGCGGATGAACTTACCCTGGTCATGATGACTTCTGTCACTTGCAGTAAACCTGAAGGGTGGTCCTTGATAAAACACGACGGCTCCATCATCACTAACTGTAAAACATCTCATTGGTCGACTTTGTTTAATGTGGCATGCGTTGATCCGCTTGGAATGGCCTGCAACTTCCCCTAAAGAATTACCTGTGTCCCATGAAATGAAAGCACCAAAGCGGTCACGGCCTTCACCAACCACACATAATCTACGGCCTTCCATGTCCCAGCTAATATCACTAATGGCACCCGCAAGAACTTGGAATTCGCTCTTCAAAGCAGGTTCAGAATCGCGTGACCAACTCCACACCATTACTTTTCCTTGATCGTCACCCGAGCAAACGTACTGTGATCCTGCGATCGGTGAAAAGCGCACAACTGTTACATTAGCTGTACCATGGCCAGTGAACTGGATTGAAAAATCGTCTTCGAGACATCTAATATAGGCAGACTTTCCACATCCAAAGGCCACACTATGTGAGTGCGCATCATAAGATAAATGGATTCCAACATTTCTTTGAGTTGCTGGTACAGGCGCTAGAGTTTTCACTAGCGTTAAAGATGGCATCACTGGTTCTTATTTTCTTTTGGGCTGGTTCTGTTTCCCTTTACAATAAAGGAGATTCTCGAAGCAAGACACCATGTACGATTATTTAGAAATATTGAAAATTTTGCAAACTCATCACATCTCATCGCAGTCAGAAGGCATAAAAGAGTTATAGATATAAATGTCATCTACAAGACCTAGAACCACTTTGGTACGAGCTCCCGTACTTCCTGAACAGACTACCCCAGAGCAGCGTTACTGGAGAGCTTACGGCTCGACGCAGCTGGTGAAAGAGCACAATAGTGTAACCAACATTGCATTCAATCCCGAACATCCCAATGATTTCGCGGTTACTTCGTCAACAAGAGTACAGCTGTTTTCATCACGTACAAGGCAAGTGATAAAGACTTTTTCAAGATTCAAAGATGTCGTATATTCAGCTTCCTTCCGCCATGACGGTAAACTACTAGCCGTTGGCGATGCCACCGGTCAAGTTTCCATTTATGATTCCTACAACCCCAGAACATTATTAGTATCTATTGCAGCATCATCTCATCCTACCCATGTAGCAAAATTTCATCCAAGTGACAGCAGAATGCTAGTTTCTGCAAGTGACGATAGAGTTGTAAGAGTTTGGGATATCACACATTCTTACGAACCTCAGGCTGAGTTCACTGGTGCTGCCGATTATGTGCGTGGAGTATGCTTTGTACCACATGCTCCTCATTTGGTCGTCACGGGTTCTTACGATGGTTGTGTAAGGTTGTTCGATACTAGAACAAATGACGCAGCAACCATCTTAGCACACGGTCTTCCCGTCGAAGATATCACAGCAGTATCACCAACGCAATTAGTTTCTTGTGGTGGTCCAAGCTTTAAGGTGTGGGACTTGACAGCACAAAGAATGTTGGTAGAGAGAGGTAATTTTGCAAAGACGGTCACCTGCTTAGACTATGTGAATATGGGTGATGACGCACCCATGAGCTCTACATTAATTGCATCATCTCTAGACGGTCACGTCAAAGCCTTTGACCCGCTTGATGATTTCCATGTAAAATTTGGTTGGAAGTTTTCTGCACCAGTTCTCAGCTGTGCAGTTTCTCCGGGCGATGCTCAAGGTAATAAGCACCTGGTTGCAGGTCTTTCCTCGGGATTGCTTGCTATCAGAACAAAGAAGAAGGCGCAACAGTCCATGAAGGTAAATGTTGAACGTGTAGCCAAGAGTTCAAACTTTCAAAGGATGATGAGGGGCTCTGAATATGACGGTGATCAAGAGCATATAATACACACCGACAAGCCAAGGCCTCAACGTAAGCTTAGGGCTTTTGAACGTCACATGAATCAATTTAGATGGGCAGAAGCTTTAGATAGCGCATTCATTCCAGGAATGGCGAAAGAGCTAACACTCACTGCCCTTCATGAACTTCGTCGCAGAGGGAAGATTAGAGTTGCTCTTTACGGACGTGATGAGGCATCTCTAGAACCTCTACTGAACTGGTGTCTCAAGGGAATTGAGGATGTAAGAAGTGCCACTGTTCTGGCTGATTGGATTGCAGTGGTCTTAGAATTATACGGGGAACTTATTGCAAAGTCGCCTGTTCTTGAGGAGATGGTAGCCGCGTTAAGAGAAAAGGTTAAACAGGAGGTGTATAGGGCCAAAGAAGCTCAGAAAATTGAGGGCATGCTACAACTATTGGTGAGTTAATCTATAGGTCTATGTACTTTTACAACTTAGTTCAATAGCGTGTTATCCTGTAGCTCTATTACTTACCTTCGCCTCCAACGACCATTGGAGCGTTTTGCACTGGGCAACTTGAGCCTTCTAAAGTTGTTGCTGACCGTATTGTATTTTTTTCTCCCTCCTCTCTTTTTGATTGGTGATTTTTCAGCTTTAGTTTCCGCGTCAGTGGACACTTCTTTGGATTGCTCGTCATCATACTGGCCGAGCGCTTGGCGCTTGAGTCGTGCTAATTCATTATGTAGGTTATCGGGAATTTTTGGATCTTGATTTGTTTGTTTTTTTGCAGGCCGTAAAATATGTCTGCGTTTGACACGTTTCGGTAGCTCTTGTTGCATGTCGTCCTCATCTTCTGTTTCATCATGGTCTTCTTGAAAGACATCCTTAATCTTTCTAGCTATTACCTCCTCCTCACTCCACGTTTCCATTTCCTCCATTATCTTCTCATGCTCTTTGGCCAGTTGTAAAAATGGTTTTGCAAGAGGCCTTTTAATAATTGGTGAGGGGCTTCCTGGGGATTTGCCCAACAAGCTGATTGTTGCTGCGTTATCTTTCATTGGTGTTCTGTGTATCCTTATCTCCACATTTTCAAACTTCAGCGGTGAGTTTGGACCATAGTTGTCTTTCTTAGGAGACGTCCTTGGTGTAATGGAGAAGTCTAAACGACGTTTGACGGTCTGTATGTCATTGGAAGGTTCCGAGGGTTGTGGTGCGGTAGTTGCGGGGGATATAACAGAATTGGGTTTCACAGGGGACACTTTCATATCGAATATACTAATTACCTTGCCATATATCTGTGGAGTTGGTCCCAACTCAGTTGGTTGGGTTTTATTGGGAGTATTGTGCGTTTTATCAGACTGGACCTCGGGTTTCGATCGTAGTAGAGAATATTGTATGTATTTGCTTTTAATCTCCGGTACTCTCTTAATATCATTTCTATTAGGTTGTCGCCCATGTTTGTGCTCAAATGCTCGCTCCCAACGCTTTAATTCAAGTTTTAAATGGTCCATGCTTTGGTGTTTTTAAGGTCATCAACATTGACGCGTATTTTTTTGGAAGTGGTTTTTTTTTTTATAATGGCCGAGGAGTTGTAGGATATCAGGCCGATATGGCTTTTGATCCCTCCATATTCCTCTCCTTACCGCTGGATCTGAGGCAAAATGTTTACTGGCATCTTGATGGACAATTAACGAGGCTACAACCACCCTCGAAGTATGAACTCTTCACTTCCTCGAGTGTGGACAGTTATTATAACAGCCATGGAAAACAATCAAAGCGATCATTAAAAAAAAAGTTCGAAGAATATATCCAGATTTTTGATTATTTGCCAGGATTTGTGGAGACGTGGCTTGAATACTCCAAATGCCTACGTTTTGATTGCATTGTTCTCGATTACTTACGAGTAAATCTTGAGCTGGACTGCAGTTTCACTTCCTTCGAATGGATTCTGCTCAATCATGAATGCCACATTGCAATGTTCAGTCCGAAAGGAGTTCTTCAGGTATGGTATAATGCTAAAGAATATAGAGAATGGGTTGATCCATCGTTTGTACCTAGTACAAAATTGAACGCTGAACACCTCACTTCAAATAGCTTGAAAGCTATCATCAAGGAGCTAGATACACGAGAACAGAAAGATTTGGTCAAAACGATTGTTTTTTTCCAGGAGGAAGACATCTATGTTAATAAATCTTTAAGCCCTATCATATTAAGTATACTCTCGGTGATGGATTCACTGAGGGGATTAAACAGAATTAAAGTAATGGGTGAGCACTTATTTGGGCGGTTGGTGAATCTTCAGGGCGCAAGAGACTATCCTGGGCAATCTATTAGCTATATCGTCAGGAAACGAGTTCAAATCATGGAAGTCAATCAAGGCCTGTCGGTTGGTGGTGGAAACCAAGTTGCCGACTTTAGTCGATGGGAAAACCTAACGAAGCTGACGATAAGTGAGATTAATGACGTGGATCTTAAAAATGTTCTGTTACCTAAATCATGCAAATGGATCGTGTTCAGAAATTTACGCAAGCTCGGGTGGTGGGATCAGACCAATATGTTGCACTTGATAGACGAAAAATGGATTCTGAAGAGTAGGCGGGATGCAGCAAAGTCAGTACAGCAACTAGGATCATCTTACGATTCTCAAATTTACGATGAGAATGAAACCCTAAGATTGGTGGATGTTTCATTAGCAGACAGAGATATTTTACTCAAATGTAAAGCAATTTTATGGGATACGTATGGTTCGTTAAACTACATTCAGCTAATAGATGTGGCAAGCGTGGAGGGAGATATCTATATTCCCCGCACTTTGTATTGCAACAAAAGAATGGATATATTCAGAACTCCTATCTACTCACTGACTCTCATATGACGAACTCGTTTATAAACCACTCATGGAATCTAATGTCATCTGCTAATTCAGGATGGAAAGACGTTGCAAGTATATTTCCCTGTCTCACTGCTACGATAAGTTCACTACCTTGAGGAGAGGTTAATTTATGGAGGACCTTAACGTTCCTTTCATCAATCACATGATCGATAACAGGAGCTCGTATGAATACGGCAGGGAATGAATTTCCTTCGGGCAAGAAGGATGAAAAGTCACATTCTGATACGAAAGAATGCGACTGCCTTCCAAATGCGTTTCTTTCAACAGATACCTTGAGGATACCCAAGGTCTTAACCAACTCGCTTTCGTTACGCAGCTCACTCGCCAAAAATATCAAACCGGCGCAAGTTCCCCACACAGCCTTTTTTCTGTCGCGGACAAAATTATAGAGATGCTCATATAAGCCGGTCCTTTCTGCAATTTGAGAAATAGCTGTTGATTCACCTCCTGGAATTATTAGCGCGTCGCAGAGCTCTAATTCCGCAGGTGTCTTAACAGTTTGAACTTTTATATCATAGTCATTTTTATCAATGCATTTGTTCAAATAACATTCGTGTTCCAGGAAAGCACCTTGCAAGGCGAGCACGCCAATGGTTTTCATTATCTTGGCTATTCAATAATTCCTTCAATATATTCTGAGCTCACTTGGAAGTGTATTTAAAACATTTACATAAGTACCTGGTGGCGAAGCGTGATAGACCGAGTCATTTATGCGAGTCAATTGAGACATTTCATGCAAACGTTTTTTCTTAAGTGAGTCAACCTTGCGAGCGAAATCGAATAGAGGGAAACCCTAAGTATGCACAAACTTAAGCAATCTGCTGCGCCAAATCACGTATATAAAGCTGTAAGTTGGGCACGCATTTACGACAGGACTAATTTATAATTACTCAAACTCTTAAAATTCGATTCAAAAATGGCTGAATTCAAGGTGAAGACTGGCTTAGCACAAATGCTAAAGGGTGGGGTAATAATGGATGTTGTTACTGCAGAACAAGCTGTTATTGCAGAAAGAGCAGGTGCATGTGCCGTAATGGCACTTGAAAGAATCCCCGCTGATATGAGAAAGTCTGGTCAAGTTTGCCGCATGTCTGATCCGAAAATGATTAAAGATATCATGAGCAAGGTGTCTATCCCGGTGATGGCCAAGGTCAGAATTGGGCATAGCGTCGAAGCCCAAATTCTAGAGGCTTTGGAGGTTGACTACATTGATGAAAGTGAAGTGTTGACTCCCGCAGACTGGACACATCACATAAAGAAGCATGATTTCAAGGTTCCCTTCGTATGTGGGGCTAAAGACCTAGGTGAGGCCTTGAGACGGATCAACGAGGGTGCTGCGATGATTAGAACCAAAGGAGAAGCTGGAACTGGAGACGTTAGCGAGGCTGTTAAGCACATCGAGAAGATCAACAAAGAAATTTCGGAGATTAAAGAAAAACTAACGGAAGAGCTTGACATAGAAAACTATGCTTATGAGCAACGTATTCCTGCAGAGCTTGTTAAACAAGTCATCGAATTAGGCAAGTTGCCTGTCGTTAATTTCGCAGCAGGTGGAATTGCTACGCCTGCAGATGCTGCGCTAATGATGCAACTTGGCTGTGATGGTGTGTTTGTAGGTTCTGGTATTTTCAAAGCATCGAATCCAGAGAAGTTGGCCCGTGCAATTGTCCAAGCTACTACTCACTACCAAGATCCTAAGAAATTACTTGAAGTTTCCACTGACTTGGGTGATTTGATGGCAGGTATGACCATCGAAAGTATTGACAAGTCAAAGGGCACCAGATTGTCTCAAATCGGATGGTGAACTTCACGAACATATCCATAAGGGAAGTGTAATGAATTTTTTATATCGTATTATTTTCTGAAAGGACACTAGCAGCGTCTTTTTTAGATGATTTCATAAAAAGTCGTTAAGTAATAATATAAATAAACTTGGAATGGATGCAAGCACTCATTTTTAAAGTGCAAGCGTAAGTCGTGGAATATAATCAAATTGCTGAATCAAATTGTAGGTCGTCAAAGAAGGTTAAAGAACATGCGTCATCCTATCATGAAAAGGAATAAATAAAGAAAAATTCGTAAACCGTGTCATATCATCATTAAAAATCTTTTGTTTTGTTACGCAAACTCAAACGCGTCCAGTTGTAACAAGTCACTTTGATCTTCATTTTTAATCTCGTTACCTAAAAGTTTTTCCGTGGGAGTTATGTCTTGTTCGTCCATTAGCTCTTCCAATGAGGGAGGCATGTAAAGCTCGGATTTATGTAAGTCATGCTCCAGATTAGTTTCTTTAAATAAGTTTGAAGTTGCTTCGATATCTCCTTCGATTAACCACGAGGGAGACTCATTTGCTACTGCTGTTGTACCACTCTGATTGGTGTTAGAAACGTGAGTTTCTAAAAAGTTTAGAACGCTGAGATCGTCTCCTTCGAAGTCATGGTCAAATTTAAAGTCCATATCCTCTTCTTTTATAACATCTAGATGGAGCTCGGTAGATTGACTGGGGGCCGTCGCGGAGGCTGCAGTTGCTAGAGCAGTCGAAGGACTCAAACTGGGCTGATCATGCTGTTCTAGATTAGTTTTCGACTTTTCAGGATCAAAAAGTTGACGGTGCTTGCTGTAAAATTCCATTTGTTCGTAGTCGTCGAGAAACACCATAGCATCAACTGATGAGCTTGGTGGCCTTGAGGAAGCAGTGCTTGCTGGACTGTTCACATGGTTATGAGGCGAGTGCGCCAGTATCGCATAATTACTCTGATGTTGACCGTGGTGTGCTGTAGCGCTTGCATTAGGGACGCTGCTGTTTGTCATCGAGCGCTGTAGCTCGGCAGAGAACAGGGAGCTAGGCGTGGAAGAGGAAAAGCCAGTGTCCTCTTCGTCAGTTAAATTAGTGCGAGAGCTATATTGTGACGAAAATGAAAGAGTCTGTTTCATTCCCACATTGGCGATAATCGGATTTGGCCCATTTTCATCGTCGTCCTCGAACTTAAGAAACGCATCTGTGTTATCAGCTTCAGAGCTTTCACCAACATCAACAAAAGACCTCTTTCTGACGGAAGGTACAGACTTATTTTGTGAAGACTGTGGCAATGTTGCTTCCACTAGAGAGTACCTTTGCTTCAATTCCTGTAAATTTCCTACTAGTTGGCCTAGTTCCTGTTTCAGTTTGTAGTTCTGTAACTTGAGCTGCTGGATTTCCTTCTTAAGTACTGTTTTCGTTAGCTTCTTCGCCTGGGGTTTCTTAGCTTTGGAGTTTGGATTGCCTTTTCTTCCGCCGCATACATCGGCAGAATCCGGGGATTCATCGGAAGGGGAAAGGTCAGACCCCCTAGATGCCAGTTTACTGGTCGCGTAAGTTCCAGACAGTTTACAGACGGTAACTGCATGAGGTCTCGCCAGTGGAATTGAGCTTGCAGTTCTGGATGACGAGCCGACTGCAGCCGGTATCTCGGATGTTGCTCTCCGTGTAGAGCTACGAGTGCTGCTTTCCTCTTCGTTCTTATGCTCAAGTTTTGCAGGCGGAGTGGACGCTCGAGATGATGCCGAAGATGGTCCTAGTGACACCCCGGGTGTCGTGGCCTTGCTTGTGTTCACGCTGCTCCCGTTGTTCGTAGCGATGCTGCTGCTACGAGTAGTGGTTGTGCTTACGCTAGGTTTGCGTCCTGGTTTCGGACGTGGTGGTAGTACCCAGTGCTTTGATGTACGAATCACGATCCCGCTCGAGCTGCTCTTTTTGCGTTCCTTCGGCACCGGATTCAGATTTGGTGCGATCGTAACATTGTTCGAACCTGACATCCCCATTGGCGCCAAGTTGGGTTGGATCGGCAAATGTTTTGTAGGCATGGCCACACCTGATGGAAAAAAACTACTTTAACGGCTGATTAAAGCTCGGTCCACTCGCTGTTCACGCTCTTTTGAACTGCTTTACTTATAAGTTGAGGTCAGGAAAATATTTCGCTCGGACTCAAGCCAAAAGGGTTGATATCATTGGAAACGATCGGGTTTACAATGCCTCTGGGGTCGTTCGTTTACATGCCAATTTATAGATTAAATAGTTGATTGCTATTAGTAGCCATACGGGAGTGTTTGGATTTTTTCTGACCTGCAGTAACGGTAGTCCAGGGACCCAGAAGATCTAACTCGCGTTTAACCAAGTCTTTATATGAAAAGTAACGGTCCTCGAGCAGCGTCTCAACGTCAAAAGAGATGTGACCCGGAGATTTGGAACTCTTTGCAAAGGCAGAGCCCTGGCGCCACTTGTCGACCCAATGTATTGCGGCTCCAGTGTCATCTCGTATACCTGTGGCATGCTTAATTCCTTTGAGAACACGGTACACATCGTTTGTAGCCACTCCTCTTGTGTAATGGTCGTACGCTGCTGGGGTCTGTAAATTCATAGCATACAGTAAGTAATCTGCCTGTATGATCGGGTCCACAAGATTGCTCTTGATGCATCCGCACAGACTGAGACTAAGCATCTTTTCCCGCGTGGTTACGCGGCCTGGCAGAGAGACCCCTGGGGTGTCGTATAGATACATCCCGCCCCGGTAATCACCGATACGAATGCACTCGCTTGTCTTTCTAGTGACCCCAGCCTGCCCGCCAGTTTTTGCGACCTTGCGTCTTTTATTTGATATGTTGCTATGGATGCTTCCCTGCGGATTATAGGTCTTAACGTCACCTGCGTATCTAAGAGAATTCACCAATGTCGATTTACCAACGTTTGGCATCCCAGCAACTAGTATCCTGAATCCTAAAGGCAGTCCCTCATTATTACTTAGTTCACCCACAGTAGACTTGATCAATTCATCGTATTCCCACTGTAGCACTCTAATAAGATTCTTTGTATCTCTCACGCTTCTGGCATCAAGCGTCATGAAATGGTCTTCTGTCTCATCGTGCCAGCGCTTCAATTTCATCAGCGTAGCGGGAGGACACTGATCTGATTTAGTATAAACAATTAGACGTTTGGTGTTTGGGGACTTTTGATTCATCAAAATGTCATCAAAAATAACATTTCTTGTACTGATTGGAGCTCGACTGTCCCTCAACTCTAGCAAAAGATTAAGCTGGGGCAGAAGTTGGTTGAATCGTTGAATAGCACGCAACTGGTGACCTTTGAAATCAGATAGCGGAATAGTATAATCAGGAAACTTGTGTCGAGGCACAAATGAAGAATAGAGTCTTTTCAACATTTCGGACCATACTTTAGCATCTTAGTTGAAAAGCGCATCGCGGCTTTAAAATTTTTCAACATGAGATGAGTAGTAACAATTATTGAAGCACAGAGTCCACAAAGCAATGCCCCTGATCCTATTTTCTGGGTTTCCTGCCAGTGGTAAAACTACAAAGGCTCAAGAATTGGTGAAAATATTGCAAAAAAAGATAGAATCCGATTCTAATCTTTCAAAGTATTCGATTGTGTATCACTCTGACGAAACTTTGGGAATCACGCATAGCGATTACACCACATCACAAGATGAGCGTAAGCTTAGATCTAAAATCATGTCAGCGGTGAAACGAGACCTGTCGCGTACGCGAATTGTCATTGTCGACTCTTTGAATTACATTAAGGGTTTTCGCTATCAATTACACTGTGAAGTGAAGAATATCATGACCACCTACTGTCTGATTCATGTTATGTGTCCTGCAGATTTGATACCTCAGTGGAATGAAAGTACACAAAATGGACACCAACCTTGGGACAAGGAATTACTTGCTCAATTAATACAACGATACGAAGAGCCTAATCCACAAACAAGATGGGACTCTCCTCTGATACCCATTTTGTCTTCTGAGGATTCTTTTGATAAAATTTCTGAAGTCATCTATAAAGCTATATTTCCACAGCTGTACAAAGAATCAAAGGATCGCGATACTGACAAGCTTTTAGATTCACTCAAGCCCAATAATGCAACCATACTAAAACCTGCGTCGCATGCGAATTCTCTCCAAATTCTTGATGCAGAGACTTCAGCAGTTGTCAAGAATATTATGGGAGCTTTGCAGAACAATGTAGTGTCTGGTGTTTCGAGACTAATCATCTCTGAAATACAAGATATAAATGATGAAAGATGTGTCTATGTGGAGATTCCGCCCGGTGGAGTCACTGTAGCCCAATTGCAAAGGATGAGAAGGCAATTTGTAGCCTTAAACCGATTAAGGAATATAGAGAAAGAAAGAGTGATGCCCCTTTTTGTCGATTATTTGAGTAAAAACTTGAAAGATATGTAGTTGAACTGTAACAATAGAGGACGATCTTTATATACAAGTAATTGTCTCATGCAAGCAAGTAATCCTTAAGTTCTTTGAATGTTATACCAGTGGGATCCACTGCCGCAAAAAATTCATTCACCGAGTTCTGAATTTCTGGTGTAATAATCACATTATTACGTTTCAACCAAAGTAAATGGCCCTCGTTGATGATCTTGAGCATTAACGCTTTATCTCCTGACGAGGTTATTGAATCCAAAAAAATATTCCACGGTCTGTAATCCTGACGATTTGGTAATTGAATCCCTTTTTCCCAAAAGCTCAAGAATTTGGGCCAATCTTTTTTATGCGCGAGAATTTGCATAACTGTGTTCACAACGCTTAATGGTATTTGCTCTTTGTACTCTACGCAAATAAAATCGATTATCTCATAGAGAGCATGTAGTGAATCTGTGGAATCTCTATTAAGGAAAGCCATTGTTCGCAGAATCAAAGGCATGACCTCCTCGTCCATTACAATCTGTGGTTCCACACTTTGAAATAATGCCAGAGCACGCACTACATATTTGTTTTTCTTAGTTAAGTCCCAGTAGTCACCATTTGGCTTTTCATTAAGCGTTATTACGACCATTTGTAAAAACTCGACAATATCTGACTTAGTTAGCCTCCCACCGAGCGCTAGTTTCAACTCGAGATAGTCTGTTAGTATTTTGTCTATTCCGTACAAATGCGGGCAGGCGCAGTTGATCAATTTGATGAAATGTAGTCTGGTGGACCAATATTCTTCTCCATTATCGGTGAAAAAGAGTGGCCATGCTTTATCAAAGGAATTTTTCCACTTGTTGAAATGTATTTCGGTTTTGGAATCCATGGATGCTAACGCACCAGTGAGGGTCTTGAGAATGCGCAGCGGAGGAGAATCCGTATTTGCAATCAAATTGTTCGCCCGAATAAAATCTTGTTGCTGTAAAGCTTCGAAAAGATCCCGGTCTGAGTTGGCAGTGGAGTAAAAGCGGCGTTGGTTACGTGCCGCTAGTCGTTTGAGACCCGCTAGTACATTATCTTCTTCTTCGTCTTCCAACGATTGCTTCAAGTTTTCTTCACGTCTAAAGAGATGGCGTTCGGCTTCTGGTGCATATAGTTCTTCCAAGTTCATGTCACGGCGTCTTTTGTCAGTCAGAATATTGACAAAGATTCCGTCCACATGACAGTCGATCATGTACCAAGATTCCATAAGAGCACTGCTTCTTGTAGTTGTAGTATTTGAGCCCAAGGATTTGCTTAAATTTGTGTGTCTTGCAAGGCGCCTTTGTTGCTTGCGTAATTCATTACTGCTTACGTTGCCCTCGACTTGGCCCACAACTTTGAATTCACGTTTGAGTAGAGAATTGAGCTCTACAAACCCCTTCTGGCAGTGTTTGGTGGAGGTTGCAGTCCCCAAAACCATAAAGTCACTGATCTTCGTTGCTGCCGTGGAGTAAGAGTCTTTTTCAGAGCGCAAATCAAAGACCAATATGTCTGTAAGCCCTAGATCGTCCCTGAGAAAATTTGTGATCTCTACTAAGGAATTGGGAGCATTTGATGGTAGTTTTATGTCCTGTTTCTGGAATATAGAGTCATCAGTAGGTTTTTCGACCACATTCATGTACCAGGGAGTTGTGGTTGAAGCCTCTTGATCGTCACTGGTTTTCTCCACTTTTAAAGACTTGGCCTGCAAAGTCCTGGCCGACAAAAACAACGTGCGCTGAGGCACACGGTATATGCGCAGCAGTTGACGGGCAGCTATTTTCGTGCAACTAGCTCTTAGCATTTTTGGTGTTGTGCACCTTTTCCAGCGACGAGGTTTATTCGGATCATCGAAAACTTTTTAACAAAAGCGAAGCGACATTTGATTCAAACAACCACAGGTATTGAATAAGTGTACACACATATAAAAGAGATAGTAAAAAGAATAGTTCATAGAAATAAAAATACAGGGGGAGAGGCATCAAGATTGAGATATGTGATCCCATTTCTAGCTCTCGAGAGGGGCGGGGTGCTCTTTTTTATAGTTAGATTTTCATTCTGTTTTATTTTTTTTTGTTTGTTTTCTATGTTGTTTGGTATCTTGTTTCTCCTGTAAGAGCTTCCCCAGAGGATTCCATTTTGTTTGGTTTTTTGTTCCAGCGTTTAACCTAACCCAGCTGCCAGAGACGTATTGTAAAGTGAGCAAGGTCACTGGCCCCTCAACTCAGGTTGGATGTTCTCATCAGGTATGTCGTCCTTGACTTCCATCTTGGGTACGTGAGAGTTATCCGAGACATGTTGCTGTTGCTGTTGTTGCTGCTGCTGTTGCTCGACCTCCTTGAGATGGGAGCTCAAGAGCCGTAGCTGTTCAGCAACGTCCTGGGGCAGTTTGTTGTCATCTGGATCAGCAGAGTCCTCCAGCGCGGCGAGGGCCGGGTCGTTTACCAGCGAGGTACGCGTGCCCATTTTGACCGCGGTGGAGATCTTGTTTGCACGCGTGCGTTTGCGGCCTTCGAGTTCGTCGTCGCGGTCGTCCTTCATGTCGCTGCCAGGGCGTTTTTTGGAGTCACCGTCCGGGCCGACGGCCACGCCGTTGGCACTGATAGCCGCAGCAGCGGCCGCGGCCGCGGTCATTGGGCTGCTGGGCATCCCGTAGGTGCCAGCCTTCTTTTTCTTGAGCACAAAACGCGCCTTGTAGGTGGTGATACGGCGCGCGATGTGCGATAGCAGTTTCTTGTCGAGATCCGCGTCCGTGAGGCCGTAACGCTCCTTGAGGATGTCGAGAATACCAGATTCCTCGACGTATTGCGACACGCGGAACTTGGCAACCGTGTTGTCGTCCTCATTGCACAGAGACTCGAGGATGGAGTCGAACTTGAGGTCGTTTTGCAAAATACGGGGGATCTTGGTCAGCACGAACTTGGCGAGGCTGAGGTTGGATTCGAGCGGGTGGTTGTGGTAGGGGTCGATCTTGGTCACGGTGAAGGGCCCGCGCACAGAGCCCACGGGGCCAGCGTGGTCGCCGTGCGCGGAGGCCCCATTACCAGTGGGCGTGCCGGCGGCGCCCGAGTCCGTAACAGCAGCGACAGCGGCGGCGATCGCCGCGCTGACCTCGTCATTGAACTTGGAGGGTTCGTGGGCCGCAGCGGCCGCGGCAGCGGCCGCTTCTTCGTCGTCTTTCACGTGCACGTGCACGTCTTGGTCGTGTTTCGCGTCGCGGCCCGCGCCCGCCGCGTTGTTGTTGTGCAAGTGGTGTTGATGGTGGGCCAGCGCGTCCTCGTCCTCGTCCGCGCTGTCGCCCTCGCCGTCATCCTTGTGATTGCCCGAGTAGCTCAGCAACACCTTGAAGGGACACGACTTGAGGTGGCACGCGAACGTGAAATGCTTGTTGCGGTGCGAGTTCTTGAGGATGATGGGGCAGCGCGCTTGGAATTCATAGTCGTTGACCACGTCGTACCACGCTTCCAGCGTGGGGAACTGCTTTCTGGACCCTGAATCTGGGCCTGATACCAGGTCCTTGTTGATGATCGGGTGCTTGTACTCGTACAGACTCATCGCGATTGGGATGGGAGCAGGCTTCGTTGGATGTGCTACTTGCCAACTTCTCGTAACAAGTGTACAAGTCAGGAGCAGAGTTTTTGCCACCTGCTTTTGTTTTGGCGAGAAAAATTTTTCAGGGGGGGTGGGAGAAATCTTTTAGGGGCAGTCGCTCTGAACGGGAGAAGGGAGGAGAGTGTGTCCTTCGTCTAGAGTGATACGCAAACCCACGCACCTTCTCTCTCCCCTCGAATCCGCGTCGGATTTGCGTCGCGTGGCATTCTGAACGGCAGATGCTCGGCGGCTATTTGTGTCATTTGTGACGGTTTTTGATCACGTGCGCTGCATCCTTGCACCCGTGGTTTTTTGTCCGGCGGCTGCCCGTGTGTGGCCGGACACGCCTCCGAGCAAAAGTCCGCCGCCCGGTGGGCCACGTGACCCGTGCTCCCCTGCCGTGCAACGCGACCCCGTCGCGTTCTCGTTTTCGCGTCTCTCTTTTTCACTCTCTGCTCTTCGCCCTAGGCGAACTCTCGTCTCGTCTTGTCTCGTCCTCGTCTCGCGCATCACCTCCACAACTATGGGAATCAAGGGCCTCAATGCCATCATCTCGGAGCATGTGCCCTCTGCCGTGCGCAAGAGCGAGATCAAGAACTTCTTTGGCCGCAAAGTGGCCATCGACGCGTCCATGTCGCTCTACCAATTCCTCATCGCCGTGCGCCAGCAGGACGGAGTCCAGCTCGCCAGCGAGTCCGGTGAAACCACGTCGCATCTCATGGGCATGTTCTACCGTACGCTCCGCATGGTTGATAACGGCATCAAGCCCTGCTACGTCTTCGACGGCAAGCCTCCCGTGCTCAAGGCGCACGAGCTCGATAAACGTACCTCGCGGCGTGCGCTCTCGGAGCAGAAGCTCGAAGAGGCCGTCGACGAGGCCGACCGTATGAAGCACGAGCGGCGCCTGGTGCGTGTCACTCCTGAGCACAACGCAGAGGCCAAGAAGCTGCTGGGCCTCATGGGCATCCCGTACGTCGAGGCCCCGGGCGAAGCCGAAGCCCAGTGTGCAGAGCTCGCCAAAAAGGGCAAGGTCTACGCCGCCGCCAGTGAAGACATGGACACGCTGTGTTACCGCACCCCGTACTTGCTGCGCCACCTCACGTTCTCCGAGGCCAAGAAAGAGCCCATCCACGAAATCAACGTCGAGCTCGTGCTGCAGGGCCTGGGGCTCACCATCGAGCAGTTCATCGATCTCGGCATCATGCTGGGCTGTGACTACTGTGACAGCATCCGCGGCGTGGGCCCCGTCACTGCGCTCAAGCTCATCAAGGAACACGGCTCCCTCGACAACATCGTCGAGTTCATCCGCTCGGGCGAAGCCAACACCAAGTGGAAAGTGCCCGAAAACTGGCCCTACAAAGAAGCTCGCGACCTGTTCCTGCACCCAGACGTCGTGGACGCTGCCAACGTCACTTTGAAATGGGCCGAACCCCAGGAGGACGCCCTGGTCGACTACATGTGCCGCGAGAAAGGTTTCAATGAAGAGCGGATCCGCTCCGGTATCAAGCGTCTACAAAAAGGTCTCAAGACCGGCGTACAAGGCCGCCTTGACGGTTTTTTCAAAGTAAAGCCCAAGACGAAGGACCAACTTGCCGCAGCTGCAGCCAAGGCCAAGACCGCCAAGAAAACAAAGGGCAAAGTGGGCAAACCTAGAAGATAGTTTGAACTTGCCTAATGACTCGCCTAGCGGCCACTGTTACATACGGTATATCTCTGTGCATACGTACTTTCAAGTCACGACAATCGATTTAAAGAGGCTGATAAAAATTAAAAAAACCAAACGCTCAGATTTCAAATGTCACGCTCGCTTCGCATCGCCGTGAGTAAACGTGTCATGTCTCAATTTACCCGCTGTTCCACTTCCAAGTACAAGTTCGGTGCTCACATATCCACTGCAGGAGGGGTGTCAAATAGCGTCTCCAACGCCTTCAACATCGGCTGCAACGCATTTGCCATGTTCTTGAAATCCCCTCGCAGATGGGTTTCGCCGGCCTACTCCCAGGAAGAGATTGACAAGTTCAAAGCTAAATGTAAAGAGCTCGGATATGACCCCATTACCGACGTGCTACCCCATGGGCAGTATTTCATCAACCTCGCGAATCCAGATCCAGAAAAGGCCCAGAAAAGTTACGACAGTTTTCTAGACGACTTACAGCGATGCGAACAATTGGGTATTGGGCTTTACAATTTCCATCCTGGTTCGACACTCAAAGGTGATCACGACGAACAGTTGAAGCAACTTGCATTCTACATCGACAAGGCCCATTCTGAAACGAAATTCGTCAAGATTGTGCTCGAAAACATGGCTGGAACCGGCAACTTAGTAGGCAGCAATCTCACTGATTTGCAAAAAGTTATTGATATGGTCAAGGATAAATCTCGTGTTGGTGTTTGCGTTGACACTTGTCACACCTTCGCTGCGGGCTACGACATCAGCACTGAAGATGCCTTTCATAAATTTTGGCAAGAATTTGATCAAATTGTCGGTTTCAAATATCTATCCGCTATCCATCTCAACGACTCGAAGGCGCCGCTCGGTGCTAATAGGGATCTGCACGAGAAACTCGGCGAAGGATTTCTCGGGCTTGAAGTGTTCAAGCTCATCGCGCACGCAGACTTCCTGCAGGGTATCCCCATAATTCTCGAAACACCTCAACCACAAGACGAAGGCTACGGAAAGGAAATTAAGTTGCTCGAATGGCTTGAAAACTTCAACGAAGATGCAGATGCCAAAGAGTTTGTCTCGAAATCCGACGAATTGCAAGCACTCGGAGCCACATCCAGGAAAGAGCAAGCAGCAAAGTTTGACAAAAAGAAAACCACCACCAAGAGGAAAGCTAAAGGTGTCGATATAGTCAATCAATTGGGTAACAAGAGGGCGAAGAAGGAATCTAACTAACTGCCTACTCTCGATATACGTATACAGTGACACATTGCGTGTTAATGCGGCCGTTGCCTGCGAAGTTTTTTTTTTTTGGGAAGTACTTTAACTTAGAAGCCGTTGAACGGAGAAGGGCACAAACTAAAAAAAGAGCATCTTTGAATAAGCCACATTTAGTCGACAGAATCTTGGGCAAGAGTAGCACGATGTCTGGGCGATCTGATGTACACTTGTTCAAGAACTCTCAAGCTCAAGCTCCAAAACTGCCTCAGCAAGAATTCTCCCCTCCAGATATGCCTGAAGATGCTGAAAGCAACCCCTCGAATAAAACCAGAACTCCTCCAACGCTGACAATAGGTAGGTTCACTGAAGGTGATGTTCAGATGCTTCCCACACCCATGGTTTATACACCATGTTCGCCAGGCATACCAAGGTCTCCAATTGAGCACGTTATCGACGGGAACAACAAGACGCCCGTAGGTCGAGTCGGAAAAAAGAGCTATGGTGCATTGGAATTGAAAGGAGTGGATCCGCAACAAGTGCTACCGCCTGTCAGTAGTGCCAGAATCACATCGGAATATGCTCCTCAAAGTGCACTTTCTGCTGCAGCGGCAAGTACCCTATCCCAAAGAGTCACTTCTCTTTCAGGAGTGGAAGACAAGCTTGAAGCTATACAAGAAAACCCTTCGATTTCTGCATCTATGGGGGAAATTGAGGATGTTTTAACTGGATATGAGTTGGCAGATTCTGAACAGCCTTTGGTTTGGAAAAAGGTCCGTCAAATAGGGTCGGGGAACTTCAGTGATGTTTACCTATACGAATCGCTAGATCAGACTCGACCTTATCTTAAGCAAGTTGCCGTGAAGCACGTCAAATATCCAGATACACTCGTCATGTCATCGTCACCAAAATCACCCAAGGTTAGGGAAATGTTATCCCGAGTCGAAAGCTCCTTGACCAGAGAACTTGATGTATTGGCGCTCATTTCCCATCCATGTATCATAAAGTTGTATGCTATCAATGATTTAGCATTCATCAAGGAAAAACGTCCATTGAGTTCGAGATTTCTCGGAGGTTCATTACCCGCTTGCGACATGTTCATGTCTTACTGTGCAGGGGGGGATCTTTTCGATGTGGCAAGTAAGAACAAGCTGCCAGAATGGTTGATTCGCAGGATTTTCACAGAGCTCACTATGGCAGTGAAATACTTGCATGAAAACCTGGTAGTTCACAGAGATTTAAAATTGGAGAACATCTTGATCAGATTTCCCATTGAGCAAATTTTGGCAATGCAGGACTCTCCACAGGTTCTTTTATCACAGCATCTGGTTGAATTAACCGATTTCGGCCTATGTCGAAGGATTGAAGACAACGAAATGTGTACAACGCGTTGCGGTTCTGAGGATTATGTGTCACCTGAAATTCTCATGGGTGTGCCGTATGATGGACGACTAAGTGATTGTTGGGCTATGGGTGTGATTTTGTATTCACTTCTTGAGGAAAGACTACCATTTGATCCTCTACCTTCGATTGTTCCTAGCTCTAGGCAAAGACGCCGCACTACTGCACATAGAATATCATGTTATGAGTGGAGATGGCTCAAGTTGGCAAATGAAGATCATTTAGCAAAGACAATTGTTTCCAACTGCCTCACGAGGAAAAATGTTCGCTGGAACATCAATCAAGTTTATGAAAGTGAATACGTACAGGGGATGGCGGCTACTTTAAACATCGCATAAATATTAAGCATTGATAGAAACTCAAGCGGGAAGGTCTCGAGTTTCCAAAGTCATGTAATTAGTATGTGTATAATAAATAATTCTTTAGTGTCACTTAACATCCTCGATCACATTGAACGAATCTCCACGAGGTTTTCCAGGTCGGTGTTTCCGAAACACCAATCATATTGTAACTGGTGCTTGCATTATCCTTTTTAATCCTGGGTACCATTTTATTCCACAGCAATCATGCCAATCACACAAAATGATACTGAAGTAATTTTGACTCATCCCGATAATGATGCCACCAATGTCAAGATTTTGAAATACGGTGCTACCGTGTTTTCGTGGCAGATTAATGGTCAAGAGCAACTGTGGTTATCACAAGGTGCCAAGTTGGATGGCTCAAAACCTGTTCGTGGTGGTATTCCTTTGGTATTTCCTGTCTTTGGAAAGAACACCGATGATGAGTATTTGAGCAAATTGCCTCAACATGGGCTGGCTAGAAATTCCACTTGGGAATTTTTGGGTCAAGTGTCCGCCAACCCACCCACGGTACAGTTCGGATTAGGCCCCGAGATAGCCAATGAAGATCTGGTTAAATTGTGGCCAATGGACTTTTCTTTAGTGCTTACGGTGGAACTTGGCCCGGAGCACTTGAAAACAAGCATTGAAGTGGAAAACACTTCCTCTACGCAACCTTTGAAATTCAATTGGTTGTTCCACACTTATTTGAAGGTTAACGACATTGAGGATACTTTAGTGTCTAACTTAACCGGTAGCAAACTTTATGATCAATTGCTCAAGGAGTCCTATCTCGACAAGCAACCTGCTGTAACTTTCCATGAAGAGTTGGACAGAATATACCAAAATGTTGAAGGTGACAGGCTGATTCAGGTGGTAGACAAGGGCACGCCTATTCACACTGTTAAAAGGCACAACCTTCCCGACGCCGTTGTTTGGAATCCCTGGATCGAAAAGTCTAAAGGTATGGGAGATTTCGAACCTAAATCCGGCTACAAGGAGATGGTTTGTGTTGAACCAGGTCACGTCCACAACTTCATCACATTGAATGCAGGTGAAAAATGGGATGCGTACCAGCTACTTTACAAAGACGAATTAAAATACCAAGTGGTTTAGTTCCAAACCCATTAAAAAACTAAACGTATGAGCTAAATTTCTTAAATTTAAATTCGTGGTTTTTCTAGGTCTACTTCCATAATTCTATGTACTTTCAGGTGCTTTTTCCTCTTCGGCCAGCTCTTCATCGAGATCGTGCTCTTCCTCTAGCTCATCCAAACCTTCGAGGCCCTGGCCACTATTTTTGAGCAGCTCTTGCAAAGCAGCAGCTTGATCAGCGCCGCCCATACCGCCCATGTCGCCCATGCCGCCCATACCTTGGCCCTTGAGCATTTCTTGTAACGCAGCAGCTTGATCGGCACCGTCCATACCGCCCATGCCGCCCATGCCGCCCATACCTTGGCCCTTGAGCATTTCTTGTAGCGCAGCAGCTTGGCCTCCACCGGGGAAACCTTGTCCCTCGCCTCCAAAACCGAAGTCCTCATCTACGTGTTCTTCTTGTTCATCCTCATCGACCCACTTATCGAAATCGGTCTTTATGAAGTGGTACTTCAACTTCTCCTTCGTCAAACGAGGCCAATACTCTGCGTCTAAATCCTTCTTGTACAGCTTCAAGAAATAATCTCTGCCGTTGGCGACTTTGTGAAGAGAGCTCTCAGGGTCGATTTCCTTGTAGAAATCTATGCGAAGATGATATTTGTGTTCGTGTTCATCTCCAACGTGTCCTGGAGATTTGGCTGTGAATTCCAAATGCGTGGCATCCAGATCTAAATGTGGTTGTTCACAATCTGGGATAAGTAGTGTTACCAAAAGGTAGTTTTTATCTTTATCCGAGTCGCTTGATCTCTGAGCCCATAAAACCTCTGGAGTTAATGCCATTTCTATTTGTTATTGAATAATGTGTACCATTTTCACCAGCGAATATTTCTCTCCTTTTACATGATTGTCCCCTTTTATAGAACAGCGCCGCACGCAGCAATACTTGGGAACATTCTAGAAAATACAAGAAAAAGAGGAACGCGCAATAGAAGGGAAACACGAGTATAGAGGACAACCGTTAACAATTGGTCGACGATTGAATTTGCAGAGCACGACGGCAATGAAGAGAAGCTCTTCGTCGCTGCTTTTCTTGATTAGTGGCAAATGCGCCCAAAGCAAAAATAAATGGACGAGTCCGGAATCGAACCGAAGACCTCTCCCATGCTAAGGGAGCGCGCTACCAACTACGCCACACGCCCGTGGTAATTGTTGAGTTGTTAAGTGATATTTATTGTATAAGTCATCACGGTTTGCTCATGCCAAGCTCACCTTGAATAGAATATGCAATAACAGGTCTTACAATTAACTGGTGTATCTTTAATTTAACTTCCATATGCTTAATAGTGTAAATGTACTACAAACGGCTTCTCCCAAAATTAATTCCTGGTCTAAATTTTATTCATGTAATGACAGCCAGCAATTGGAAAAGCTTCAAAAAGCCTCCTATGGTTTCACCTACATTCAGGTATGTATGTCCGGACTATTCATGCGGCTGAGTGTCCTCTCAGGATATGCTGACTAGCTTTCTTATGGCTGAAGTAGTAGTTGTAGTGTCAGGTAAAAGGTTATACACCCATACACTTATCAATGTGATCGGACATGCAAGGGATGAGGCGATGACAAAAAGACTCAAGTTCATCTCTTCTCGCAACAGAAACATCAAGAACCAGCGACTGTATTATGTCTCAACTGATGGCAACCGCCTGGAACCTGCTGGAAGCAAGTTCGGTTGATGAATATCTCGGTGATCCTGTCTTTGACCCACCAGTCGGGGACCACCAGGATTCAGAGGCGATAAATCTAGTTTTTTTGATCAGTCTCTCGGTGACCTTCGCTATCCTGATGGTAATGCTCGTGGTTATAGCAGTGTATGTCACATTTTGCAGTCCTGATGAGGCTGAGTATGACGAAGAGGTTGGAGTGACTGGCTCTGGTTTCTTCAAGAGGAAGCGTAGTGGGATACTGCTCGACGGTTCCTTCGTGACACCCGGCGAGTTCGACGACGAACAGGCGTTATTGGAGCAGGAGGCTCTAGAGCTGCCGCGTATGTCTCGATTTGAGACGGAGTTGTACCACCGGTGTCGGGAATTTCAGAAAATGTGCCCTCCTATTGTTAAGGAATTTGGCACCTACACGACCGCAAGTGACAAGCAATTTATCAGGGATCGAGGCATACAAAGCTACTATTTCTTGCCTTCTATCAACGACAACGTAGATCAGTTTGGAAACTTTCTGCCCAGCTTCATAGTTCAAGATAAGCTGGACGTCACATTCACTAAACACAACGCTAGCTCTTCCGCAGTCATGAATTACCCTCTACCTTATAACAAGAAGGATGCAGTATACTTCGAAGTCAAGGTATTCAGGTTCCCAGCCAAATCAAATTCGATCTTTAGCTGTGGTCTTGTGACATGTCCTTATCCATACTTTCGCATTCCTGGTATGGCTCAGTATTCCATCGCGTATGAGTCTACCGGGAAACTTCGCATCAACAATGCATTCTACGCGAGTAAACTTTTACCGCGACTGGAAGAGGGAGATGTTGTGGGTTTCGGTTACCGTTATCGGACAGGAACAATATTGATCACTCATAATGGTAAGAAGATGATGGATCTGACTCATAACGTGGGTATAGACCTATTTGTGGGGCTCGGTGCTATGAATGCAGCCTATACAAGGTCTTACACACGAGATGGCCTTCTAGAGGACCCTGATAATATATCGCTACGCGAGCAAATACTGGCTAGTGACCTCGATCAAAAAGCCCCTAGAGTTCTTAATGAGCAATTAGAATCCGTCCATGATCCGAAAGATGGCAACATTAAATCCGACGAAATCGAACTACATGTCAATTTGGGTCAAGTAGGCTTCGTATACGTAGAGGCAAACGTGAAGAAGTACGCCTTTGGCAGTGTGTATGGGGAAATAGGCGTACCCCCAGCATACAATGGAGATGAGATTAAAAAGGACATTGTTTTGCAGAAGGGCGAGGAGCTACCGCCTAAATATCCAGTTGATGAAATGGGGCCTCTGGGGAGCAAAATAACCAGTAGTCGTAGCGAGGGTATACCGGCTAATGTAGGGGAATACGAAAGATCGTCTTCGGGCTATGACAGAGATAACAACCAGTACGGAGAGGAGACTCCAGTTCACAAACCCTCTAAATCCAAAAAGAAAAACAAGAAAAAGAAGAGAAAATCTAGAAAATAATGTGAATTACTATCGCAGGTAGCTTGAAACTATGCGAAGATGCGCTAGGCAGGGCTTCCGCAAATATATATATATACAAAACTGTACATATGGACTAATGTACAAAGGGATCGCATAACGGCTGATAATTTAGCGTTTTTTATTCTTGTTCTTCTTCTTATTCTTCTTGCTGTTGGATTTGGGTTGCGATGCCACCTCCTCTACAGCTTCTTTCACATCGGTATTGACTAGTAGCGAGCTCATCCCAATGACATCCTTTGACTTTTGATGTCTCTTCTTCTTTTCAATCCTTCCATTAGTTATCGAAACACCCCGTGGGCCTAGCGCACTCAGCAATCTAGACACATCCTTGGATTTAGAAGTCCGAAATTTGTACGTTGTTCCTAAGTGTGAGTTGTGTGCTTTGAATGATGCTAGCGACTGGCCATCTTTATTCCGATATGAAATGGACACAAGCGTTTGTGAAGGATTCGCTTCAAGTAACGATATTGAATTGGTGATGAAACTGTCCAGAGGCTTGATTGACATAGTTTTGTTTTCCTTTTTCGTTCGCTGGTTTTTATTTAGCTCTTTTCGCTACTGCTTCTAAATTTTTCATGTACGGTTTAAGCCCACCTTCGGGCTCGGAATTAGTAAATCTTCCATGCTCTCTTTTAAAGGAGACTAAAATACAGCAAGAATGGCCAGTCATAGGGCCAGTTTTGAGATTTTAGATAGTTCCTTAGAGGATCTTTCACTCTCAAGATCGATGACTACAAATAGTGAATCTAGTGAAACCGACAGCAATGATGAAAAGAGGTATAGCGGGAGCATTCAGAGCAAGACGGCTGGAATGAAGAAGGAATACTCAGCAGATATCGCTCCTCTTAAATTCAAGATGTCAAAACCTGTTTTAAATGTAGTTGATTTGAATGGGCATAACGATCATCTGGACAACTTCAAGTTTGACAAAGGATCCTTTAGCGAACGAAATTACCTTTCCGATGGCGAAAGAACATTGAAAAGCACGGTATTTGATACAATCAATCGCGAAGAGTTCGAAAAGTATCTAAAAGAGCCAGCGTACATTAAATTCTTCAAAAAGAAGAGAAATATAAAACAATTCAGAAGGCTTTTCCTTGCACAAGAGTTAAAAGTAGATGCTGATTATATCAATTCATCTACTGCGACGCTCAGTAGCCTCAATGAAAGTAATGGGAGAGCTGTATGGGCGATGAAATTTAGCGCAGATGGGCGATACCTTGCGACTGGTGGAAAAGATTGCGCATTACGGATCTGGAAAGTCATTTCTTCTCCTATGGAAAGAGGCGAGCTTAACAACACAGCAGCAAAGCCACAAGCGAAGCAAATATCTTTAAAGAATGCTTCTTTACAGTATGGCAGCAGAGAAGACCTTTCGAAAGTTGCCGACAATTCGGAAGAGTATCTTAATCTTTATGCCCCTGTTTTCCATCCTTTTCCTTTCCGATCTTACTTGGAACACAAACAGGATATTTTAGATCTCGACTGGTCTAAAAATAACTTCATAATCACTGCATCTATGGATAAAACTGTTCGCCTTTGGCATTACGATAGGAAAACGTCTTTGAAAAGCTTCGCACATCCCGACTTTGTTACTTGTGCAAAATTTCATCCGAACGATGATAGATTTTTCATCAGTGGGTGTCTAGATCATACATGTAGATTGTGGTCTATTTTGGATCACAAAGTCTCCTTTGAATACTATTGTGGAGACCTCATCACAGCCGTCGATATTTCTCCCAATGATGGCAAGTACACGGTTGTGGGGACATTCAATGGCTTTGTATTTGTATTATTAACGCGTGGCTTGGAGTTAGTATATTCCTTTCATGTTTTGGAAAAAGTGTCTGGAAATACTGCAACTCGGGCTACTGAGCATGGACCAAAGATTACAGGACTAGAGTTTTTTAAACCTCAAGATAGTTCTGAATTAAGATTGATGATTACTTCTAACGATTCAAGAATACGCATATTTAGCATAAAGGATAGGAAACTCCTGGAGGTTTTGAGGGGATTTGAGAATGTTTCATCCCAAATTAGTGCTCATCTCATGTCATTGCCGAATGGCGTTCAGGTCGCTATTGCGCCAAGTGAGAACCACTGGATATATTGCTGGAAATTGATGTCTAGTGATCCCAAACAAAAAGAAAATAAGGAGGAATTACCCAGCAACAGTTCGGTTAAAAGATCAGGATCTATAAGAAGTCTGTTACGTCGTAGTCTGAGCATCGGAAGCAATCATTCAGACGAAAGAAAGAGCATGCATGCACTGCACCATCCGCATCTCCATCTTCCCCATGCGCATCACTGTCATAAAACAGACCAACCCATTAAGAATAGCAGTTATGTGGCGTTTCATGCACATCATGTTAACGTCACTGCGGCTGTGGTTGCGTCGCCAGGGACTGCCAAAACATTAGCTTTGTCAAACGATTTCATTTGCGAATTAACGATGGCATTCAGTGAAACTGATGAAGATGTTGCAATCATGAGACCGGTTGATAACAAGAAATATAGGCGTCGTAGTTTAATAAGGGGGGTTTCAGACGAAAATTCAGACGGCACCATGCATGGAACATCGCCATCCATGATCGATTCTATCGGCACGATTCTGGTGTCTTGTGACGTATCAGGAATGATAAGAGTATTCAGAACGGATCTTTCGACTAACGTGAGAAAGAAGGTCCTGCATGCACTAGAAAGCGAGGAGTCGACACACAAAGCGAATATAGTGATCGACTCCCACGATCCATGCCATACGGTGAGTATGCTGGGCAACGGCATGCGCGCAGGACTTTCAAAAAGTAAGGCATTCACCAGCTCCCCTTCTGTAAGGTCATACAGAAGCCAAGTTTCGTCTGGTGACACAACAGCAGAATCATCCAACCAAATAAAGTGTGACGTCTGCGGAAGTAATAGTATTCACATAGCCAAACCGAAGGGAGTCCTGAGTACAGAAAGCCCAAACTACTACTGTTCTGATTGTGGTAATCAAATAAATAGGTTCAAGTAAACACTACCCATCGCAGGACTTCTCCTTTTATTTTGACACAATCGAGGCATCTGGCATATTGGTTTTCTACGAGAAAATCTTTGGCCGGTATCGGCCTCCTGGATCCGGCTAAAAATCCGAAAAAAAATAGTCATACGAATAGTGAAAAAATGGTAAGTTGATGTTACCAACGCAGATATTTAAGTAACCTCGCTATTTAATAGAATTTTCATTTCACAAGTCGTATCTGCTTGGAAAGTGCATACTATACCATGTCAAAAGAAGTTAAAGCAAGTGAAGTGGCTAAAGTACCCGAAAAATCAGCAGCTCAGAAGGTGAGCAAGACAGGTTCATTCATCGCCGGTGGTTTAGCTGCGTGTATTGCAGTAACAGTTACCAACCCAATTGAACTGGTCAAAATCAGAATGCAGTTGCAAGGTGAAATGTCTGCAAATGCTCAAAGAATTTACAAAAACCCTGTTCAGGCCATTGGGGTCATTTTCAAAAATGAGGGTATTAGAGGTTTGCAAAAGGGTCTTTCTTGTGCCTATATCTATCAAATCTGTCTAAATGGCTCCAGGTTGGGTTTTTACGAGCCCATGAGATCTGTCTTGAATAAAACTTTCTTCCCAGACAAGGATCCTCACACTGTGCAAAACGTAGCTGTCAATGTGGTTTCCGGTGCTACCTCAGGTATTATTGGTGCAATCATCGGATCACCCCTATTTTTGGTCAAAACTAGAATGCAATCGTACTCTCAATCAATTCAGATTGGTCAACAGACACATTACACGTCCGCTTGGAATGGGTTGTCAACAATCTTCAGAAAAGAAGGCTTCAAGGGCCTTTTCCGCGGTGTAGATGCAGCTATTTTAAGAACAGGTGCTGGCTCTTCTGTTCAATTGCCAATTTACAACACTGCCAAGCATTTCTTATTGAAACACGACTTGATGAAGGAAGGGGCTGGTCTGCATCTCGTGTCGAGTACTATTTCCGGTTTGGGTGTCGGAGTTGTTATGAACCCATGGGATGTCATTTTGACAAGAGTTTACAACCAGAAAGGTAACCTATACAAAGGACCAATTGACTGTTTTATCAAAACTGTGCGGATTGAAGGTGTCAGTGCTTTGTACAAGGGTTTTGAGGCTCAAATTTTCAGAATCGCACCTCACACTATCTTGTGTTTGACCTTCATGGAACAGACTATGAAATTGGTGTATGCCGCTGAAACAAAGATTTTCGGAGCATGAAGCGATAGTATCTCTCTTTAGTCTATCTTTCATCGTGTACTATTTGTCTTTTATCATTCGTTCGATATATATTATATAGATTTTATCACTCTTGAGCACGCGGCATTCAGTTGAACCTCACCACAAAACATATCATTTTCAATACTAAACAACATAGTAATTCTGAGCCTGTCAGATAGATGAATATGAAAGGGGATTCTGATGATCTAATGACTGAGAACGGTAATTTGACACCAAACTGGAAAGAACCGCTGAAGTCGGATGTTCCAAAAATGTCTGCGCTTACTGATTGGGAAGGATTACAAAAGTATATGCACTATCAAAGAACGCGTATCTGGAGATCATTTCTGGCTATTTTCTATATTAATTGGATTATCAGTACGGTTCAAAACCTGATGCTAGATATCCTCATGATGGGACCGCTCCCTCGACACGTATCATTTATCATGGATGGAAACAGGAGATATGCTAAATCACTAGGGCAACCAATCAAGTACGGTCATGAATCGGGTGCCCTCACTCTCATGAAGATCGTGACGATGTGTAAAAAGTTGGGCATCAAAACAGTATCCGTTTATGCATTTTCCATCGAGAACTTTAACAGACCGCCAGATGAGGTGAATACCCTTACAAGTCTGCTTGCAGAAAAGCTAAATTATGTCGCAGAGAGAGCAATAGACGTCAAAAGTAATCTTTATGGATTAAGGTTACGCGTAGTAGGGGAGAGAAGTATGATCTCCAAAGAGCTAAATGATAAGATTACGAATGTAGAACGTATGACCGATGAAGGAGAGGATATAGTGCTCTATATTTGTTTCCCTTACACCTCCAGAAATGATATTTTTCATGCAATATATGATAGTGTGGAAAAGTGTAAATATCATGCATTGCCAGCAAGCAGCTTGGATGTTAGCAAGATTTCAAGTGAAATGTTTTTCGATAGTTCATCGGACAAGTGCGATCTCGTAATCAGAACCAGTGGACGCACGAGATTATCGGATTTCATGCTTTGGCAGGTCCATGAGAATGGCATTATTGAATTTTCGGAGACTTTGTGGCCTGATTTTTCGTTTTGGGAGTTTTTTGTCATTATTTTAAAATGGAGTTTTTTCACTTGCTTGCAAACGAAAGAACTTACCGGATTTTCGCTGAGAAAGAATGCTTTAGGGTTCGCGAAACAACATTTATGGCTTCACAGATTTGAACCAGTTGTTTTGGAAGAGTTGCCAGATCCGCCAGAGATGGTCTCAATCATCGACAGAAGCTAAAATGCATGACCAATCACAAAAAAATCATAACATTAGCTTTTTTACCACCTTCTTTTTCTCTTTCTTCTTTCTTTCTCGCAATCTAGCTTCTTCAATTTTCCTCAAATAGCTATTATAAACAACAACCTCAGCTACAAGAACTAAAATTCCGAAAAACAAACACAGCAGAACCCTATTATGAATTTGCATTCTTGAAGATGAACCTGTCCAATACCAAATTGCCCACACAACAGAGCCAACAGATATCAGTACATTTATGACCGTTGTTACTTGTTCCCTTACTTGCTTATTCATCTGGGCCAGTGTTGGTTCGTGATCACTGCGAGGAGCCGCAATACCGTCACGTTTGATCATCTCTTGATATTCACTTTCATCTTGTAGCAATTTTAAACGGTGAAGCTGTTCTCTAAACTCCGGAGTATAGTTGGCTCTTTTCTCCTCTTTCGGCTTAAATTGAAACTCCAATGGTGTTAGTAGCTCTTTCATAGATTGGGTCTTCCATTCCTCTTGATGTAAAGCTATCAAAGTTTTCATAGAGATGCTACCCTTCTCTATAATTTCCTCGGCCTGTGAGCTCCCTTCAAGATTCTTCAAGAGCTCGGTGAGTTTGGGGTTGAGGCGCACTTCAAACATGTATGACAGGCCAAGGTTTACTGAACTCAAGCTTTACTAAGTTTTTTTAACTTGATTAATATTTTTGAATAATTACAGTCCGTAACTTTTTTCTTGAAACTATAGAAATACAGCACCCTTGGTGGCAAATAACAAAGAAGCATAAATAATTTAACAAACATACCTGAGGGCAATGAGAGACTCGAATCACAGGTCTGTTGTTTTGAACAGATCGAGCATAACTATTACGTCGGCAGTTTACGACCGCCGAGCACTTGATTGCAATTCAGAAATTCCATTAATAAATTCTTTAAACCATCTCACATACCTGACATCTAATTCAGCAAAGGTTCGAGAAACAGTTGCTAGTGACGGGGCGCTGGTACGTCTCGTATCAATTCTCCACGATTGCTATATTGCAGTTCAGGAACTGTCGAGTGTGCAACTACGATATAGCCTTACACCAGTGGAGAAGGTTGCAAGAGAAAGGAAGTTAGCGATGGTGGCTTGGAAATGGACGTTAGCATTTCAATGTTTGGTCTTGACAGGAACAAGAGGCACTGAACAGATAAGGAAAGAGGTTGTTTATTCCGGGGTAATACCAATTCTTGCAACCGTTTTAGACAACTATCTCATTTTCGAGAAGAACTACGATTTCTTGCAAGACAAGACCATCGAGTTTGATTTTAAGAAATTCAATTACACTGAAAACCCTTTAATGAGTGAATTTTTCAAGGATGATAATCAGCTTCGCCAACTTTGTGAGTTATACAAAACTTTAGTGAAGGACGAGCCATCCGAAGGCATAATAGCCTGTGGTGACAACCTATGTGAGCCTAACATCATGCGCCTTTCTACCACATTTAATGAATTGTGGAACACTTCAATGAGCCGAAATGGTCGGAAAGAACTGGAAAGTGATAACTACGATAACATAGTCGTCTCCATTCCACGCAGCTTTTTTATGGGTAAAATAATACCCAAAGCAGACGATGTTACATGGTCCTTGCAACTTTTAGCATTTATTTCGAAATACACATACATGAAACCACATCTACAAAAGGTTCAGCTGGTAGAATCTCTCTCCTTAAGAGTGGTATTGACAAATATTCGCATGAAACAAGAGCAAGGTCTCGATATGACGCCACTAAGAATTAGTGATGTAGGAGGTTTGCAGGAAGATGAAGATGATATAGAAGAATTGAATGAGCCGGACGATATAATGATCGATCGTGATGATCCATTTTTGATAGAAATTGAATCACTATGCGGTGCTTTAAAGTCCGTTGACTTTCCTAAGAGATGTAAGGATCAGCCTATAGTGGATTTTACTGGCCACGGGAAACCCCTGTCACGGAATGAAAGATTTCTCAATCTTAAAGGTGCTTTTGAAAAGCAATGCAACTATGATACGGTTGTCAAGACATTAAATTCAGAAACCTGGGATCATATTATGAATATGAAATTTCTCAATCTCTTTCCGTTAGTAGAACGTTTCACGGTAAAAAGAGAAAATGAGCGGGATATGACATACTGGAGCTCAGTTATTATGAGAAATTCATGTCGTAAAAACGAAACTACAGGAGTTAGGCAGTGTGCCAACTTTGCTTGCGGAAAGTGGGAGGATTATCCAAAGCAATTCGCAAAGTGTCGTAGGTGTAAAAGAACCAAGTATTGCTCACGAGAATGCCAGCTCCATTCTTGGAATTACCACCGATATTGGTGTCAAGAAGTCGGTAGCTCTTCGATGGGGGCGAGTTCAACAGCCAACGGCACGGGTACTAACACGCCCAATGATGGGGTAGCGGGGACTGAATCAACAACAACAACGGGGACACCAACGACGGACAATGGACGTTCAATTTTGAGCACTGCAGAAACGGTGGGAGAGCCACAAAGGATAAGAAATACTGCTACAAGGGTAAATGAGGAAGATGATGGCAATGGCATCTGACTTTTGGGTCTTATAATTAAATCGGGTTAAGAGTTTACATATAGAAAGACGGATAACGCACTTAAAACAAGCGATTAATCAATTTGATATCCGAACTTCAAATATATAGCTTGCAGTAAAACTAGTTGGACCACTTTCTAAATGCCAATATATCATGTGTTAAAAAAGTGACGTATTTAGCAGCTAGAGAATTCGTTAGTGTTGTGCAGCTTAACAGAAAGAAGCGCCCCTCTCTGTCTCTCGGTTTCTATGCAATGCAGACTTCAATACTTAAAAGTTCAAAACTAACTATCTCTAATGATGTCATCAAACTCGTCACTCTCGTCGCTTTCATATTCACGACTGACGTCGCTCCATTCGATGTAATATCCTTTCATCATCCTTTTATAGTTTTTCAAGAATAGTGGATCGTAAGGAAAATAACTTTGGAGGTCTATAAACTGTTGTCGCGTAGCCAATGACCAGGTGCTTATAACGGCTGAGGAAGTCTTCCCATCAGTCTTGCCCATGATACCCCGTAGTCTCTCATTATTATTATTTTCTATAATGCTGAAGCAATACACTACACCCTCATGCTGCGCGATGCGTGCAAACATCATCATTACATTTTCATTACAATACTTGAGTGGATTGAACTTTGATAAAACCATTCTTTGGAAGAACTTATCAATTTCACATTCCCAAGAATCGCCATCTCTAAAGACAGCATGTCTGAAGCAGAAAATGTAACAGAGCGCTTGAAATGCAGCATAAAAATGTTTGAACCTTTCAACACCGCCTGGTTGATTCACTTCCTCCTCTCTCTCTAGAACGTACCTATTCAACCAAGATGTCAAATAGCTAGCAACAAAAATTATTTGGGTATTGGAAAGCTTTTTGGCACGAGCAATGAATGATCCGATATATTGCAATGATTTGATTCTCTTCTCGACAATCTCATTAGGTGAAAATGCTATGTCAATAAGCGTCACTAAAAATGCATCCATTAGTTCCAGTTGTTGTTGGGAAACATGGAATAAGATATATTGGATTGATTTCGTGTAATAAGTCGGTAAGATGTGAGATTTAAAAAGGCTGATCAGTGTGTTAAATATGCTCACACCGTCACCATTGTCAATGCTTTCTGCAGTTAGCGATTGTGATAGACGCCTGGTAATTAAGGACAAAATAGCGTCTAGTTTAGAAGACAACTCTTTTATGTTTTGAGAAACTTCTACGTTGTATTCTTCTTCTCCATCCAATAAATCCTCGTCCTCACTTTCTTCAATGGCCTTTCTTTCCACATTCAGAACTTCTTCCTGTTCATCACCATCGTCCAGCTCGTCGTCATCATCATCAAGTTCATCGTCAAGATCGTCCTCAATGTCATCGTCGAGTTCATCTAACTCATTCTGAAGTTCCACATCGATAGATATAACTTTTTCAATGACTAATGACCATGATTGAAACCTTAACTCATTGCAATAATCAGTGAGAACCAAGACATTGGCAATGTAGTTTATCAGATTCTTTTTGGAGTCATTCTTGTTCGGAAAGAATTTAGCGATATACGAATCGATGAAGCTTGTAGATGTGGGTATTGCTCTTAGAAAATACTTGAGCATTTCATGTTGTTGAACTGTCTTATCCACCGGTAGATTAAAGTTCGATATGAGCAACAGGGACACATCTTGCCACCATTTGGGCAAGCTGGAACATAGGATTTTAATGAAGAATATATAAGTACTTAGAGCAGTTGGTGGTAGTTCCCACCACTTCTCAAAGTTGATGACAGATTGGATCAACGGTGTACATTGTTGAGTGTCGATTTTGCCGATGTTATTAGACAAAATTTGCAAAAGCACTGTTAAATTTTCCGCAGATATCTTATCTGGACTGGAATGTGGAAGAGACAACTGATTTGCCAGGGTATCCACTTGAGTAGAATCGTTCTGAGTTGAAGAATGTTAGTCGAAAGAATACGGGGAAAAAAGCGGAAATCCAAAAAAATCACATACCCTCTCCAGGTCTTCAAGCGCACTAGTGACAAAGTTTCGGTATAACTTGATGGAAAACTCTCTGTTATCCTGCCTCTCGCTGTCATCCCTGTGGATCATTACTTCGTCCGCAAAGTCGACATGCCGCTTCTTGGTCTTTATCGAATCAGATACATCTTGAGCAGGCCTTTTGGCTGTCTTCTCTATTGCCATCATCTCTCCTAAGTTCACTCTCGCTTACTCACAGCTGTCTGTTCGAGTTCAGAAGTTCAAAAGAAGGAGTGTGAGCTCATCGCAGTTTTAAAATTTTTTTTTCAAGAAGGGGGGATAAACTCTCAGGCGCGGTACGAAGCCTTTTCTTTTGCTGAGCACGTGAGTTTGTCTTATTTGGTACTTAAATAGGATTGTATATAAACAGTATAAAAGTCGCCCAGTCTTTATCTGATGCTTCTGCCTGGAATCATTGAGCTCCCTAACTGCTCGCTACCGACATAGGTCCAGCCCCCGAACTGTTGCTGGACACTTTCGCTGAGGAAGTCGTTAACAACACTGTCAACAGGCTGTTCTCTGGTAAATTCTTGATCGAAGTTACTGGTATCCAAAGGATTTATCACTGGAGGTTTGTAAGGTGGAATGTAACCCTTCATCCAGAGGCGCTTCCAACTCAATTGGCTGAAAAACTGATGTGATTTAATTTCCTCCGCGCCGTTGTAGCCTAGTCTTCTCTTGGGGTCACGACTCAGTAGCCCGATGAGTAGATCTTTGGCGTCTCTATCAAAACCGTCAGGAAATCTTAAGGGTTCTTGCAAAATTTTCTTGTACATCTTTGGAACATCTTCGTCGTAGTATGGAGGAAGGCCCGTCAGCATTTCATACAACAAGACACCAAGCGTCCACCAATCGACCACTTTGGAATACCCTTGGCCAAGTAATAGCTCAGGAGCAAGATATTCAGGGGTACCACAGAATGTGTTCGTTTTCTCTTGGCCTTTCATGTTCAGCTTACAAAGACCGAAATCACACAAGGCAATATGGCCTTGATAGTCTAACAGAATGTTTTCAGGCTTCAAATCACGGTAGATTACGTCCAAACTGTGCAAGGTTTCTAGTGCGCAGAGTAATTCCGCGGTATAGAATCTAGCCCTTGATAAACTAAAGCGACCTTCCTTTTGTAAATGGTAAAACAACTCACCGCCATTGATAAAAGCGAGCACCAAGTATAATTTTTCTGGTGATTGAAATGAAAACTTTAGTGGCACAATGAAAGGGTTATCGACACGAGCCAAAACAGTACGCTCGGCCAAAGTATGTGTAACTTCCGATTTGGAGACGATGTATGATTTTCTAATGGCTTTCAAAGCATAAATTTTATTGGTATCTTTTTTTCTTACTTGCATAACTTTTCCAAAAGAGCCCTTACCGATGACCTTCAACAGATCAAAATCATCAATTGTCAAAGCTCTATTTGTAGATGGTTTGTAATCAACGCTAATGTTCAACTTTCCCCTCTCCTGCTCAAGTGTAATCCATTGGTGGTTGTAAAGTCTAAAGCTGGTGGCAGAATCAAACTCTAAAGTCAGGGGTAAGCTAAATGAGTCCAAATGTATATCCTGATTGGAGTTAATTTTGTCCAAGACGTCTTTAAGCTGTGGATCGGATGAATTGATTTCTTGCCAGGCTTTCGATGGTAGTAGAATAGATGGTATGCGTGCAAACACATCTATCTTCAAAAATGGTAAGTCACGCGTTACATCAAAGGTTGAGATCTTATTAAATATTGGTTGACAAATAGTTCCTGATTCCGGTTCTATCGTCGCAACAGTATTGTCAAATTCAATGGTGAAGTACAGTAGGGGATTAAGATCAGAAGAACCTGGCAAGGTAATAGTAGATGGGATATAATGGGTCGCAACATCGCCATCGATGAGATTGTCATCGTCGTTATCAGACAAACCAACTTGAGAAAGTGTTGAAATCAGGTCTTCCACACTGACCTCATTTACAGCCCGATTTATTACCCCAGAACTGAGCAGTTTTGTAAGTATTTGTTTATTCGATGTAATAGGAAATGGCAGCTTGAACCCATCTCCACCGTAAATTTTAACTGTCATGATCCCAGAAAGATGTACGTTATTAGATTTTCGCACCTCACTAGTGGATTCATGCGTGCTCGACTCATTTGTTTCCATTTCCTCATCCCCTGAGGCTGTATCTGCTTCCTTTACTGTAGATGCTGAAGAGGCATTTGAACTCTTGTTGATGTCCGAAGACAATCTAACTGGTGCTATGGAAGAAGGGGAAGCAACAATGGTCTCCTTCCTATCAGAAGAATTACGGGGAGGCTCCAGGTATGGGGACTCGCTTTTATTGCTGCCGAAATGAAATAAGCCATGTTTCTCTTTCTCCTTTTCCTTCTCCCTTTCCTTTTCTCTTTCTTTCTCTCTTTCTTTCTCTTTCTCCTTCTCCTTCTCCTCCTTGGATCTACCAAATTTGAACTTACTGGCAAGTTTCCACGAATACATTGGCAACTGTGCTTTGATTTAGTTGTGCTCGAGGGCCAGATACGCGTGTTACTCTTATCCCTCCTATCCGTTCGAAATTTCAAAAATTACCCGGCTTGTGTCATTACTTAATAATGAGTTGAATCCTCGATCAAAATCTGAAAGAAATTGAATGTATAGCCCCGGATGCTTAAAACCATGATAAGATCTTTACTTAATAACTTAAGTGATACGTATATACTTGTGTAACTCGTTTACAGCACTGGGGAGCAAAATAGACGCAGCATGCGACCTGCACTGAAAGGCCGATTGAATTCAAACTCACGTACGTACGGTTGGCTCATCAGTGCCCAAGAGCTCTTTGAACTTAAGGAATTTGAGTACAGCTTTAATATCTGATTCAAGGAACTTATCAGCTGAGAGACTGTACATGGATTTGTTGTCTGTGTACCTTTCGACGTATAATCTGATTGTAGCACCAGAAGATCCAGTTCCTGAAAGTCTCAATACGAATCTGCAGCCGTTCGATAACTTCACGAATAGGCCCTGATGGCTCGAAACAGAGCCATCAAGATCCTTGTAACTGAAATCACCACAGTCAACAACTGTTAGCTCAGGTTCTGCAGGAAAGGCCTTACCCACAACCGAATCTCTATTATTCACGAATGACTCTAGAACATCGACGACACTATTCGCAGCTTCTGTGGTCACATGTTCGAAGTCGTAACGAGTAAAAAAGGTACGACCATATTTGTTCCAAAATTCATCCTGAATCACTTTGATCGAAACCGCCTTGTCAGGGTGTGCCTTATGGTATATGGCCAATATATTCAACCATGCCATAATTGCCCACACACCATCCTTCTCCCTTACATGGTTAGATCCTGTACCAAAAGATTCCTCACCGCAGATGGATAGCTTCTTGGCGTCGAAGAGTGCGCAGAAAAACTTCCATCCGGTCGGTACCTCATAGCAACTTAGATTGTGGGCCTTTGCAACACGGTCAATTGCGGCCGATGTAGGGAAGGAACGGGCCAACCCGTAAATACCTTGTTTTTTAAAGTAGGGAATCTCGGAAGCGTATTCGGCAATGATGGCAACGGAGTCACCAGGAGAAACAAACGCGGGGCCGTATCCGTAAATCATATTTCTATCACCATCACCGTCTGATGCAGCACCAAAAGCAATATGTTCTCTGTCAACCCTCTCAACAAGTGTATGCGCATAAGTTAAGTTGGGGTCAGGATGAAGACCACCGAAATCGGGCTGAGGAATATAATTTTGTAGAACTTCGTCTGCCGGTAAGCCGAACTCATCGACAAAAATAGCCTTACCGTAGGGACCCGTAACACCGTTCAACGAATCAAATAGAATCTTGAACCCTGCAGTTTGGCGCTGGTTATCGATGAACTTCTTGATCAAATCAAAATCGAAGATAGACTTCATCAAGCTGACGTAGGCTTCTGTGGAATCGATGACATCTACAAGTAAAGGGCCATACTTTTGATCTTGTCCAATTTTTGATAAATCGACTTTGGGAAAGTCCTTAACGATCCTAAAGTGAGTAAGTTGCTTGGACTTCTCAAAAATAGCATTCGTAACAGACTCCGGTGCTGGGCCACCATTGCTCAGGTTGTACTTAATACCAAAGTCATTCTCAGGGCCACCAGGATTGTGTGAAGCTGTAAGTATGATACCACCAGTGCATTTCTCTGTGTATGTCCTGATCACATTAGATGCTGCAGGAGTAGATAGTATACCGTTATGGCCGACAATCAACTTGCGAACACCATTTGCAGCACTGATTGCGGCAATTTTTTGCAAAACAACATCATTGTAAAAACGGCCGTCTCCACCTACAACAAGTGTAGCGCCCTCAGAACCTTCGGGAATAGCCTCTAAGATAGCTTGAATGAAGTTTTCAGTGTAGAACTTATCATTCATAAACACTTTAGTTTTCTTTCTCAAGCCTGAAGTACCAGGTTTTTGGTCATTGTAAGGTTTTGTGGGGACAATCTCGATGTTCAACGACATGTTCTAAGTTTCAACTGCCGCTATTTGAGAATGTAGTCTTGTTCGAAGATTTTGGAGAGATCTTAGAACTTAACGATTAGAAGTAGTAAATCAATTGATCAAGGGCTTCTATGCTTGCTTTTTATATGTGCTTGATTCGAGAGTTTCAATCACCAGACGTTCTCAAGGGATAAAGTTTGATCATAGTAATCGAATAAGCCAAACAAAGGTAAAAATTTTGGGGCCAAAATTAGGGAAAATTGAAGTCGTTTTCCACGATGTCATCGGTTCCCTCTTCTCCGATCCAGAAGGATATTTCAGAAGGGTACTTCTCTCCTTCTTTACCAAATTCATCGGTGGACGGCTCTCATTTGTCCTATTGTGAATTTGATGTTAATATCTAGGCTTAGGTGATCTCTACGGTGAAATTGAGATAGGCTTTTTTTAGCTTCATCTCATCTCATCCAGCACATGAGAGCTGCGGACTGGAAGTCAAACAACTGCATTGACTTTCGGTGTATAACAAATGACTCTTCGCATTAACTTGTGCCAGTCGAAACAGGATCTGTGTGTACATCAGAATCAATAGTTACGTGTGCCACTGCTGTTGTTCGCGATTCCTTTATTGTAAGGTGCAAGATGGAAAAACACCCTCGAGTGTTGAAAACATCACGCTGCAGACTATTGGGTACCTTGGAAATCATTGCCGAGATTTTTTTCGGTACCCAAGCAGACTTGCACTGTGACATGCTGAGGAAATAACCAAGGCCGACTGATCTTGTGTAATTTCCTTATTAGGGCTGATGATAGCAGAACTTACAATAGAGTAGAGTCATCGACGTCAGTATTTTAAGAAATCAATGAGGTATCATATTCTTGAAAAAGCTGAAGAAAAATGGGTCTCATCAAGGAATGAACTCTTAGAGCTCTTTTGGTGCGTTAAGAAGACCTGGTCTTTAGCAAGATCTACTACGATCTCTGTAACTCGAAATACTATAGAGCTGTATAAATCTTACGATGCTCCCATTTCATCTTCCGTGGACCTTGATATTGACTCCATCTGTACGGTGACCTAACTCAACGAATAACGTTGGATGTTCATCACCAAACTTCTCTTTGTTTGCCGAGCATACTGGGGAAATTGTTTGTCTCATTACAAGATGCAAAATTGTGTTGTATTTATTCGTTGAAGACCCTTTAACTCGACCAAGTGGTAAGTCCTCTTCTCTTAGTATGTATGCCATGGAAACGTGAATATAAATCTTGGGCTTAACACCTGACCGACCATTACCTTTAATGAAACCGCTATGACATCGTTATCGCGAGAATAGGAAGTTATAGTAAGCTACTGTTTTGCTAATCATAGTTATGGTGTCCCTGTCCATCTCGCCAGGCTCCTCGATGTCTTGCTAGATGCGTTTATGAATCTTGCCATGAGTATCGACATCTTCTTCTGGCTCGATATACTCCTGTTCGAGTGATTTGGTCGCTAGTTCCCGTACGAGGCTCGCTGTGAGGAAAGCGGGTGAGTCTCTTCTCAGCCTCGGTGAGAATTTCATCTAAAGACCTTAAGGAACCCTTGCCATCACGACACTATTATCATGAAACACACAGCATAGCGTTATTATTATTAGTGACTGGCGAGAATGACTATTGCAAAATGATAGTCCAAAAGCAAGTTTTCAGGCAAAACTCCAAAATCAAAAGTTAGGGAGTATGAAGTTGATTGGCACAAACTCATCGATCGCGTCTACCACGAGCAAGAAGAGTCTCTAGTGAGGGAATTTCCTCTGCTTCTTCCTCTTGTTCGTCAACTAAGGCATTGCTTTTGTCCTTATTATTAGCCTTGATGTCCAATACTTCTTTGAGTTCCTGGGTAAGCTCTTTTTTCGGCATCTTAGATGGCGTCAATTTTTGTCTGAGATCATCTGGCATATCAGGCAGACTGAAATCAGCACATCCTTTGATTATTTTTTGATGGATATACTCTATTAGTACCTGCTGCTGTCTATGCAATCCGATTGAAGGTATGCAAAGAGGATCAGACTCGTACCGCTTTGAGACGCTTGGAAGCGGCAAAGTCGAAAGTTCAGTAGGCGACGAGTCGATGGGTTCATAAAAAGGAGTGCTGTACCAGGTTGGAGATTCATCAGAGTCAAGATCCATTGAATCAATAAACGCTGACATCAGGTGATCAGCTCTTTCATTGGAGGACGAGTTACCACGATTTAATTTTGGGTAATCTGAAGTCCTTTCATCCTCGGCAAATGGCAACCTATTAAGAACGAGGGCTCTAGTGTAAGAGCTGTTATCATCAGTTGATCGTTTTGTTTGATTCACTAACAACGGGCATGCCACGCACATTTGGACTTCACTATTTTTCTTCTGCACATAACGTACAATTGCAAGCTTATTCAGTTTAATCATAGAATCAACTAAAGCTGCGAGTGCAAAATAGTCCGCACGTGTCCCTCCCTTGGTGGCTGCAACTATAAATGTAGATTCAGAATTCAGGTAACAGCGTGGCAAGTTTTCTTTGTCGAGAAAACCTCGGATGTCCAAGGAAGGTTCTGTTCTGTAAATGCGGTCTGGTTCCAGGGCAGGTGGTAGTACCACGTAATCAGAACCATAACGATATGCTTTTGTGACATATTCTTTCGCAACGGTTGCCATTTCAAAATCGTCAGAGTTTTCCTCTTTCTTATTGTGCACTTCATAATCAACCACAGATTGAACATTGTCGTTAATCTTACCATCAAGTTTCGCGACCACTTTTCGGTTTAAACTTGTAACAGCTTTAGTAGCTGGAAATCCTTCCACTTGAATATTTAACGATTGATAGTCATCGCAGACAGCATCCGTCTCGGTGATGGGTGCACCTAATCTCAACTCTCCTTGAAAAACACGGACAGGTTTTATCGTGCTTGGCCGCGATGCTGAAATTTCTTTCAGCAAATCTACGATAGGAATTTTTAGAGAGCCCTGTATGCATTGAACGCACTTATCCCACACTGAAATTGACCTGTCTTCTCTCTTTGGTTCGCACGGTACATAGATAATGCGGCAATCAAGCTCTTGTTCCAACGTCGACAATTCTTCATCGCTCAAGTCCAGTCCATCGGCATCATCAGTGAAAACAACTATTTGCTTTTTGACCTTGCGCTTGTTGAATTGATCTCTCATGCTAACAGATGCCACCAATAGGCATTGTACCATTGATGAAGAGTCCTCTTCAGCGTCCAGACAGTATTTGACAACGTTATCGAAATCTTGCAACAAAGTGGCAACGTCATGAATATTTATCGGCGCTTTGAGGGGTAACATCTCGTAAACGTTTGCAGTCTCATGATTATTTTTGGTGAGGGGGCAGTTAGCTAAAAAGCAGCTCGTCCAATCTGTCTTTCTTTGTTTTCTCGTTTTCATCAGCATTGTATACTCGAGATATGCCCTTGCTTGATCTGAATGGCCATTCTCTATCATGGACTTGGAGACATCGACGATAAATGTTGTCGCCTCACTTGCCATTTTCTGAATATTCGAATTGGGTGCGTATCCTTCAATGAGTTTGAATCAACGTTTCATCACTACGATGTGCAGTTCTGACGATATAATGGCGATTTTCATTTTAAAATGAAAAAAAATTAGCCCTGTAGGGGGCTCGAACCCCTAACCTTATGATTAAGAGTCATACGCGCTACCGATTGCGCCAACAAGGCAATTTGTGTTGAGCGGATCCTAAATGTTAGTATATATCCCGATCTTTAGATTCCATCAATACGGATTTTGAATTACCTATGTAATGAAACGATATTGTTACTAAGAAATTTTAAAACTCTTAAAGGAACCTCGAAGATAATGAGGTTCGCTTTCAGTCCCGAATACATAGCTATAAGTATTAGTAAGTCTTGAGTATAACATATGAGAAATGGGTGAATATTGAGCTGAATGTTGGGATTCCATTTTTGATTAAGGCTATAATTATTGGTATATAGTTATACTAGAAGTTCTCCTCATCTTTCTAAGAATCCAGAAAGAAGAGTTAATAATTCTACTTACAAATATTCTTACTCTTTCTGTTCCTTTTATACATTTTCATTCATTATCCTATTACATTATCAATCCTTGCGCTTCAGCTTCCACTAATTTCGATGACTGTTTCTCATTCTTTATGTCATCTTAAAACACCGTGTATGATAATATACTAGTAACACGAACACTAGTCGATGGTCGATAGTTGTCTTTCGTTCCAACAACATAGGATTAATTAGAAGAAAGAGAAATGAGACAGAACTGATTGAGTTCTAATTTCATTATAATCGAGAATTCCGTAATTAGAAAGGACACACTAAATTTGATATCAGAATTAACGGATCAAATTACTTAAAAATATGATTACCGTAAGCTATATAATTCGTAAATTCAAAATTCAATATAGAATGATTTATAGTCATTATCACAGTTCGGTGGCATAACCCTACACTGGCACAGCTTTCAAGTTGACGAGGATATTCAAAGCAGCACATAAGATGGAAAAGAGCAAACGTCAATCAAAGTAGCACAAATATAAGCACGTTCAGTAATTAACTCACGTGAATCTTTTGTACCATGGCTTCTCATCATGGGCAAACGCTTCTGCGTTGTAATCAGCGTCTCTTCTAGAAGGTGGTACCCATGAAGCAGACTTCCAGGGTAGCACTCCTTCTTCCCACAGTTCCTGGATTTCTTCCAATGCTAAACCCTTAGTCTCTGGAACAAAGAAGAGGACATAGAAATACATGGCCACTAAACACCCCATGAAAACATAACCATAGTAGAAGTTTATAGCTGATGTAATAAATGGAGTAAAAAATGCGGTTAAAAACCCCCAGATCCAATTAGAAGCTGAGGCTATTGCCATACATTTTGATTTCACTCTTAAAGGAAATGATTCAGCAGTAACCACTCATGCGATAGGAGCCCATGTAGTTGCGTAACGAAGATATAGAAACATGTGAAAACAATCATACAATTACCTGCTCCTTTAGAGGATATGGAATGGTCACTTTTGTCTGGCCATAATCTCGTTACACCTACTGAAGCGTATATCACCATGCATGCCATCATGGTAGCTGCACCCCATAACAAACATCTACGACGACCAAACCTTTCGACTGTGTAAATGGCAACAAAAGTCGAAGCAAAATTTACCACACCAATAACAATGGATGTCTGGAACGAATCCGTTAAACCCACAGACTTGAAAATAGTGGTGCCGTAATAAAAGAAGTAATTATTACCAGTTAATTGCTGGAAACACTGCAGCATGACCCCCATAATTAGTCGCTGTAGGACCCTAGTCTTGGTTGAAAACAGTTCACCCCAAGATGTGCTGCCGCTTAATCGTTCAGCTTCTACACCCGCAGCAATCAAGTCGACTTCAGCAATGACGACCAAATCATCTACTGCAACCTTATTTGATCTAGCAACGGAACGCTTCGCATCTTCAAACTTTCCAACTTCGACCAAAAACTGTGGAGATTCTGGGACACAAATCATTCCACTTATCATAAAAATTGCCCATGCGAAACATAAACCTAGAGGAACTCTCCATTGGACAGAGTTGCTATAAGTTTTTGTACCATAATTTGTACAGTATCCTAAAAAAATACCAGCAGTAATCATCAATTGATAACATGACACCAGTGTACCTCTCAGATGTTTTGGAGCAGTTTCTGAGATTAACATTGGCGATAGAACTGCAATACCTCTAACTCCCAAACCGGAGATAATTCTACCAATGAAGTATTGATACCATTTGTTAATTGATGCAATTTGAATTATAATTCCAATAACATAAACCAATACCACCACTATTAGGCCGATACGACGCCCATAAATATCACCCACTTTTGACAATATAATCCCCCCAATTGCACAGCCCATGTTAAAAATTGCTACCATCAATCCCATTCTGACATTACTGAAATATTAGGTACCTCTTTTTTTGTTGTAGGAGCCAAATCTTCTTTCAAAGTCAGACATATTGACAAATCCCGAGATCGTACCAATATCCCAACCAAAAACAAACCCTCCAAATGCAACACATAAACACAATAGACAGACAGTAACATAAGCAGAGGCGGGTTTCTTAGGATTGTGTTTTGCTTCTTCAACTATGTCCTAAGGAAACCTGGTATCCTTAGTCAGGTCGTTTCTTGACACTTTATTAGATGGAGTAGACATATCCGACTGTGGACTGGTTGTCGAATGAATATTTGGAGACTCTGTCTCGAGAACATTTTCTGTATTTCCTATAGGTGCACCATTAAGCATTATGATTCCGGCGATAGTGTTTTGTCCCTTAAGTGAATCAGTAAGAAATAGTACTTGCTGTCTTGGTGAAATTAATTTGTTTGAGCTCTCGAGAGACTCATAGATAGCCCTTTTATATATTTTAACCAAATTTTTGTTACTATGCTCGAGATATTGCAGCTCATGTGTTCATAGTCCGAGACAGTCACCGCACCCTTTAACGTTAGAGCATTGGCAACAGTCCGAAAAATTACCCCGGACTTTCCAGCATGGTGGCGCTTTAGAAAATCCGGAGGAGCTGATGGATTGATCATATCGGAGCAGAGTACACCGAAGCTCGGACGCCTGTCTTGCGAAATTGTGAAGAGGACGAATTCAATGGTATATAGATTGGTTGCCAATAGAATTCCTCTTCTTCTGCTGTTCCGTAACACGTGCTGCTTAGTCTCAACTTGGTACTCTTGTTCCTATAATACTGATTTTCGGCTCAAGAAAGCCTTGGCACGAGATGGAACAAAATTCTTCCGAAGAAAGCGTTTTTGCTAAATTTGAATTCTGTTTATGTAGAAGTGACGCATATATCATAAATGTAACGCTTTAGAGATGCATCGGATTTTTGTCAAGGGCACGAACGTAGCAAACATCCTGCTTTATCCTGACATTCGAAAGACCAAAGTAATGATGCAGAAGAGCATTACCTTCACTGTTTTTGACGCTTAAAGATTCTGATTACGGAGTAAGGTTGAGAATAGTGTATTTCTAGTAACGCTTTCAGTCCTTTTGAAAGTATGTTTTACAGACATTGTTAAACATTGAGCCATTGGAGCTTCTCAAAAAATATATAGTTAAGAGAATTTTATAGGCTGATATAAACAAAAACAAATTAACAGCTCCCAAGTTGTATTGCAAACGACTAGTTTTTAATAGAAAAGGGTAATCAGAATAGTTCATATAAGATACACATAATTAAAAGTACAGACCCTAATAAAATGAATTTGTATGGTCTTAAAGGTGTTGTAAATAATGTACATTACCATCCAACTCTCTTAACCTCTCACATGCTTGCTCAGCAGTCAAATCCCGCTGAGGCTCGCCCAGTAATTCGAAACCGACCAAAAATTTCCTGACAGTCGCCGACCTCAGCAACGGAGGATAGAAATGCATGTGAAACCAAGCGTTCTCTTTTTCTTCTGCGGTAGCATTAAGAGGGGCCTGATGCAGTCCCATAGAATATGGAAATATCGTTTCGAAGAGATTATCGTATTTGGTAGTCAACTGTTTCATGCAAGAAGCTAAGTCTTCCCTTTGCTGCTCATTAAAATCTTTCAACGAAGCTAATTGCGTCTTACTCACAATCATCGTTTCAAAAGGCCAAACTGCCCAGTATGGTACAACCACTATAAAAGAGTCATTTTCAATCACAATTCTGTCCCTTTTTTCCAATTCCAAGACCACATAGTCTTTGAGCATATGACTATGGTACTTACTTTCGTAGCCGTGAAAAGATTTGAACTCCCTTTCAACTTCATATGGCACAACATTTAGGCACCATGCCTGGCCGTGGGGATGAAGATTAGAGCATCCCATTGCAGTCCCTTTATTTTCAAAAATCTGCAAGTACTTATATGGCTTATGTTCTTCCTTAGCCTCTTTCTCCAATTTCAGATACAGTTCGGTCCAGGCATCCACAATCTTGACAATATCATTATGGGCCATTTGCGGAAGAGTTACATTGTGTTTCGGGCTGAAACAAATAACGAAGCAATTACCCTTAACTGATTGTACCTTGAAAAATCGATCCTCCAGACTATTCTTGTCTTTTTCACTGTGATAGTCAGGTTGATTCAACTTGACAGCTGGATAGTCGTTCGGGAAAATGTACGTTGAAGTATAATCAGGATTTCTTGGGCCTGTAGCTCTTTCGTTGCCCGGACACAGGTAGCATTTACTATCGTATTCTGGAACGTCTGGCTTTGATGGAGTCTCCTGCTGCCCCAGCCAAGGCCTTTTAGCACGATGAGGGGAAACAATGACCCACGAATCAATCATGGGATTATAACGCCTATGAGAGTTATCATTAAAATCGAATCTGGCTGTATCGATCGTCATATTTGGGAGTGAAAGCTACCGTTAAGTTATGGAACGCTTCTGTCCTCCTCGATTTCATTTCGATTATAGTATAGTTCAAGCTTCTTAAATTAATAGTTGTTCAGTATCTCGGACCACATCGATGCGTATTATTGCAAATATGGGCAGAACGCGGATCACGATGGGCCGAAAAAGCGGTCATAGTTGAGGAAACTTTTTCTTTTGCGAATGATTTCGGAGAAGGTACTCCGAAGCTTTCGGAATGAATTGAATATAGAGGCACCGATCCTTTGTTCTCTCCATATTCCGTATTCCTTCAACTATCCCGTCGCCCCATAATAGCTTTGTTTCGCGAATTGGCGATTTAATCTTTGGAGAGTTAAATTTCATGTCGATAACCACGATGATGAGCCAAATATATTAAAACTTCATTAGCTATTTGTCTATATAGTGAAATTCAATTTCTCCCCGTCATCTGTGCATCTGGACGACCTTTGTAGGGTATTGACGAGCAAATAAGTAAAAGCACAGAAAAAAGTTATCACTTGCATAGAGAGATTTCATGCAATTAATGTCATCATGCATAATATTTTTATTGTCATTAAATTTGTATTCCGTCTTTTCATACATGTTTAATATAGCATATAGAAGTAATCATATCATCGGCACATTAGTTTAAAATTCAAATTTGTAGCAGATCTTGGAGCCATACGATTGATCTTTCGTGAGAATGACTGCATTTCTCCAGTGTGTGTGATTTACGGCATCTATGAAACGACCAGGTTCACAGCAGAAGCCAGCTCTAGGACCATATTTCTGATTATGGATGAAATCTCCCGTGTAAACTTGAAATGAAGGATCTGTCCCAGTAACAACTAATTTCAAACCTGATTCTGAGTTAACTGCAGTCAACATGGTCTTCAAATCGTTTTTCCTTGTGTCGATCGCTATCTCATTTCTCGACACAAAGCAATAGTCAAGCTTAGGATCTTCTGGTCCCAAAGTGATTTTCTCTCTGAACCGTTGAGGAATATCAATTAGCTTGCCCGTCGCACAAGATGAGCTGGTAAGTTCCACCTGTTTACTTGCGTGAATTTGAATTTCTGTTCCTTCGATGCTTTCGCTATGGAAAGCGCCAAGATTGAAATATGAGTGATTCGTTAAATTCATGATTGTTGAATTGCCATTTAGAAGAATACCCTCGTATTCAATTAATAATTCTTTTTTAGGAATATTAACTTCGTAGTTAACTTTAATCAACACATCTCCGGGAAATTCAGTATGGGAATCATCTAGCAGAAATTGGACAGTGTAAATACCCTTATCCACGTTGCGAACCAAAGGACCTAGAAACTTGCGCTTATGATACGACTGGACCGCACTATGATTAGTGTTTGAACCATCATTTTTGGTAAGTTGGAAAACTTCACCGTCCAATTTGAACTCGCCATTTTTAATGCGGTTTGCATACCTTCCGATAGTCGCGCCAATATAAGGATTATCGTCTCTTAGATACTCGCTTTCTTTCTCAAATCCCAGAACCACAGGTTGACCACAGACTTCTATATCAACTATCGTCGCACCTACATTGGTGAATGACACTTCAAAGGCAGAACCTTTGCCAACAGTAATCAACCTCGAATCATATTCTCCATCATTGTTAAAAAATGTACTCCTGACACCTCTCATCTCATAACCAAACGGATTCCCGACAGTCCATCTCCATAAATCACGGCAGGCAATGTCAACGTCGAGTTGCGTTTTCCATTTTAGTTCCAATGCAGCTCTATCTGGTTTTGCTGTCAAATTCAGCACATCACCAGCTCTTCGACCGACAACTTCGAAAGGGATCTTCTTACCAACTGCCTTACAGAATGAATCGTAAACTTCCATCACAGTAGACCCATGACCGGATCCAAGGTTCCATTCGCGGCAAAGACCCTCTTGGGAATGTTCATCAAGATATTTCAGAGCTGCAATATGTCCCTTTGCTAAGTCAACAACGTGAATGTAATCTCTGATCGGCGTACCATCACGGGAATCGTAGTCGTCACCAAAAACAAAAAGCTTTTCCCGTCTCTTCACTGCCACCTGCGCCATATATGGAAGAAGATTATTTGGAATGCCCAAAGGATCCTCACCAATTAATCCAGATGGGTGAGCCCCGATTGGGTTGAAATACCGTAGAATTGCAAAGTTCCAAGTTTTTTTATCGCTATCGTGTAAATCCTTCAAAATTTCTTCAATAGCTAATTTGGTTCTACCGTAAGGATTAATTGGTCCCGTTGGGCATTCCTCTGGAATTGGAATCATATTAGGGAATCTGGTGGCATCACCGTATACAGTTGCTGATGACGAAAAGACAAGCTTATGAACTCCGTGTGCTTGCATAACCTCCAGCAAAACCAACGTCCCCAAAATATTATTGTGGTAATACTTAAGAGGAATTTGTGTTGATTCGCCAACGGCCTTCAACCCCGCAAAGTGAATAACAGAGTCAATGTCATACATTGAAAAGACACGATCCAGATCATTGTAATTCACCAGATCCACCTTATGGAACGGGATCTGATGCTGCGTTAGTACCTGTAACCTGGCGACAGATTCATAGGATGAGTTACTCAAATTATCCACGATAACGCATTCATATCCATTAGCAACGAGCTCGGCCACTGTATGTGATCCAATGTAACCAGCACCTCCTGTAACTAGAACGTAATTCTTAGTATTCATATTATTATTCGTATTTGGATAACTAAGGCCCTAAGAGGCGGGATGACCTACATTATATGATACCTCTTATTATACTTCGTCTCTAATATTCTACGGATAGATGTTGTCCGAATCCGGTCCACTGTCATCCGTATTATGAAGCTAAAAAAAAAGAGGTTCCCCAGATTTCTGATTAGTATTGAATACCCACCACTGAAAATGAAACTTTCGAATGCGCTCACAAGTAAGAAACTACAAAAGTCAGTACCTTCAATTACCGAAGAGCAATTATCCGATAGACTAGCAAATAGCTTTCGTAATATCGTCCAAGATTTTATTTTGACGTATGATACCACCCCTGACTTCGTTACAAAATCTCCAGGCAGGGTGAACCTTGTCGGCGAGCATTTAGACTACGCTGATTTTGCCGTTCTGCCAATGGCAATAGAGGTTGAAGTGTTATGTGCAGTAAAAATTCTACCAGAAAATGAAAATCCGTCCATCACCCTGACAAACTCTGATGAAAAGTTCGCACAAAGAAGATTTGATCTCCCATTAGATGGCTCCCTGATATCGATAGACCCGTCTGTCTCTGATTGGTCTAATTACTTCAAATGTGGACTATTAGTAGCCCAAAAGTATCTCAATGAAAAGTTCCCCGAGCGGTTCGAACAATGCCCTCTAATTGGAATGAACGTTTTTGTCAGTGGTAACGTTCCATCGGGCGGCGGACTTTCATCATCATCGGCATTTATATGCTCAGTAGCATTAGCTGTTATAAGGGCAAACACTTCCAAGGACTATCAAATTGCAAAGGAAGATCTGACGCAAATCACTGTGAAGTCAGAACATTATGTCGGGGTTAATAATGGAGGAATGGATCAGGCTGCATCAGTCTGCGGAGAAATTGACCACGCACTGTATGTCGAGTTTAAACCAGAGTTCAGAGCTTCGCCATTTAAATTACCCGAATTACAACACTCCGAAGTTCAGTTTATTATTGCTGATACCTTGATTGTGTCTAATAAGTTCGAAACTGCACCTACAAATTACAATCTTAGAGTTGTTGAGGTTACAGTCGCTGCTAATTTTCTAGCAGCTCGGTATGGAGTGGTGCTCCAGCGTGATGGAAATCTCAATAGAGGAACCCTTAGAGGGTTTATGAACGCATTTTACGGGCATTACTACGGCATAAATACACCTTGGGATGGCAATGTTGAAGATGGCATAGAAAGACTCACTGTGATGCTGAAACTCGTGGAAGAAACCTTTACCCAACACCAAGGTTACACTGTGGACCAAATCTCCAAGGTCATGGAATGTTCGTCTAGTGAGTTTACTCGAGATTACTTGACCAACTTCCCGGTGAGGTTCCAGGTTTTGAAGTTATATCAAAGGGCAAAACATGTGTATTCTGAGGCCTTAAGGGTTTTGAAAGCATTAAAGCTTTTGACCAAATGCGAGTTTAGTTCTGACGAGGAGTTTCTCACGCTTTTTGGGAACCTCATGGACGCCTCTCAGGAATCCTGTGATAAGTTGTTCGAATGCTCGTGCCCTGAGACGGACGAAATCTGCCAAATTGCCAGGGCCAATGGGTCCTACGGATCCAGGTTAACAGGTGCCGGGTGGGGAGGCTGTACCGTCCATTTAGTCCCCGCAACGAAAGTCGAGCAAGTGCAAAACGCTCTCATCGAGCAATACTATAAGAAAAGACACCGCAATCTAACTACAGAGCTTCTAAAAGGTGCAATACTAGTATCAAAGCCTGCATTTGGAAGCTGCATAATAGAGCTGTGATTTTACGACTTCCGATCCGACTTGTCCCCTAAAGGGAGCATCACATGAGCCGTTAGAATTGATTGCATGTATGCATGTCCAGAAACTTAATCTGCGTGATTAAACACTGGGTAAAACTCCGAAACGACAGGTTTTTTTTCCAGGTGTTTCGTTGGATCATGTGTTCTCTGCCAGGAATCCAAACTCGCAATTGGTTACAGATGCAGTCTATAAGATTTTGGAATCACCGTTAATGAGAATCACCAACAAATGCACAGAACCATTGGCAATTGACACAATATTTAATTAAGTCACTACCACTGTTTCCATTTATAAGTATAATATGATGAGATGAACGATTCAAATAAATCTCATTTACAAAAACTGTATTTTGAGGGCACATGCTTGAAGGCTTAGCACACTGCCCTGTTACGTAGTCTTTCCTCCTTCCCATACTGAATTACAATCACAAAGAGGCACCGCCTCTCTCTTCATGTTAATATCCGTGTTGATGTCCGACCTTCAAAGTAGTATCTCACGTTCATATTTGTCATCATTTAGTAAACAGTGCATCCGAATTCCGGTAGTTCTTTTTTTTTTTCATGCAATGGCTTTCTATTTACAAATGTCGGGTAAAAAAAACATCGTGCAGTCTTCAACGCATATTAAACGGATTCGGGATTCGGAAGCAGAAAGCAAGAACAACCATCTAAGGGAAGTTCTCGAATTTATATATTAAGAAGAGAGAAGAGGTTTCAACACGTCGAAAGCCAGAAACTGAAAGTTTTTATAACACCTTTAACATTGCTAGGATAAAATGTCTGAGCACAGCGTTGAAGGTAGCACCGCAAGCAAGGAAGAAATTGCTTACGTCGGCGAAGAGGACATAACAAGAGACCACGTAACGCGAATGCTTACAAGAAGATCCAGCACGCAGGATGGTATAGAAACCGAGGACGTTGACCCAGATGTAATCTCGAGGATCGAAACTTTGACTCGAACGCTCTCGAGCCATAGAGCAAGAGATGGCCCGCTGAAAATCGACCCGGACAATTTTGACGCAGAGGCCATCTTGAAAACATTTGTGAGGGACTCCACCGAACAGGGTATCCATTTGCGTAAAGCAGGTGTTGTGGCAGAAAATGTACAAGTAATAGGTGTGGATTGCTCCTCTGCGGTGGCCCCAACTTTTGAAGACATAGTGCTTTTACCAAGGACAATATTTCAGGGCATTCGTGCTGCAAAGAACAGAAAACACAGGAACATAATTGAAGATGTCAGTTTACTTGCAAAGCCGGGTGAAATGTTACTGGTATTGGGAAGACCTGGAGCAGGTTGTTCCACACTTTTAAAAACGGTTGCAGGAGAAACATCAGGGTTCTTTGAAGTCAACGGTGAAATATCTTACGATGGTATTTCACAGAAAGAGATGATGAAGCGTTACAAGACAGACGTAATATACAATGGTGAGATGGATGTGCATTTTCCACATTTGACTGTTCAACAGACTCTGGACTTTGCTCTTTCATGCAAAATTCCTAAGGTGAGAGTGAACAATGCTTCTAGAAAGCAATACATTCGGGCAATGAGAGAACTATATGCTACTATTTTCGGTCTAAGACACACTTATAATAGTAAAGTTGGTAACGACTACGTTAGAGGTGTTTCTGGTGGTGAGCGTAAACGTGTTTCCATTGCTGAGGCTTTAGCAGCTCGCGGGTCCATCTACTGTTGGGATAATGCCACAAGGGGTTTAGACGCGTCTACTGCCCTGGAATATGCTCAAGCTATACGTGTAATGACTAATCTGCTTGGATCGGTTGCACTTGTTACAATTTATCAAGCCAGTGAGAATATTTACGAAACTTTTGATAAAGTAACAGTGATTCATGAAGGTAGACAAATATACTTTGGGGATATCAGGAATGCCAAAGATTACTTCAAAAAGCTTGGTTACTTGTGTCCTGCAAGACAATCGACCGCTGAATTTTTGACGGCCGTGACAGATCCTAAGGGTCTTCATGAGTTTGTGCCTGGATATGAGCATAAAGTCCCCAGAACGGCCATTGAATTCGAGAAATTATGGAAGGAATCTCCAGAATATGCTGAACTGCTGAAGGACATTGATCAATACAAGAAAAAAACTGTCGCAGAGAAAACAAAGGAACTATATGATGCTTCGCTTTCTCAGGAGAAATCAAAGTACTCGCGTTCAAACTCGTATTTTACAATTTCTTTTCCAGAGCAGGTTCGACTTTGTACAAAGCGTGGATTCCAACGGATTTATGGTGACAAGGCCTACACGGTGACTAATACAGTGGCTGGTATCATTCAGGCATTGGTTGCTGGTTCGCTTTACTGGAATACACCATCATCAACTGAAGGTGCGTTTTCTCGTGGTGGTGTATTATATTTTGCTATTTTGTACACATCTTTGATGGGATTGGCAAATATCAATCTTGATAGCAGGCCAATTGTGCAAAAGCACAAGACGTACTCATTGTATCATCCCGCCGCCGAGGCATTAGCGAGCTCCCTATCAGCCTTTCCTTTCAGGGTGATTAGTGTGACATGTTTCTTCATTATTCTTTACTTTTTATCGAATTTGACTAGGGATGCAGGAAAGTTCTTCACTTCTTATCTCTTTTTGATTCTTGTATCTGAAACAATTAATGCCCTATTCGAAATGATCACCGCTGTATGTGAAACTATTTCACAAGCCAACGCTTTGGCAGGTGTTATCATGATGGCTTTGGTAATGTACTCCACTTATATGATTCAACTTCGTTCTATGCATCCTTGGTTCAAATGGATGTCTTACTGTCTGCCCATTCAATACACGTTCGAGAGTATGCTGAATTCAGAGTTTCATGGGAGAGAAATGGCATGTGGAGGGTATTTGGTTCCCACAGGGCCTTCTTACCAAAATGTTTCAACAGCAAATCAAGTATGTGCTTTCACTGGCTCAGAACCAGGATCAACCACGGTACTGGGTGACAATTATTTACATGTTCAATTTGGCTACAGATATTCACATACCTGGAGAAATCTTGGGTTCCTTTTCGCTTTTCTCGCATTTTATTTGGCTGTGAAAAGTCTTGCCACCGAAATAAGGAGACCTATGAATGGTGGTGGTGACACTTTGATTTTCAAGAAAGGAGCTAAGACGACGAACAACTATACTGACGAGGAGAATAGTGGTAGCTCTTCTGTAACCATGTCTGAGGGAAAGAAGAACCTAGAATTATCATCGCAATCCGATGCATGCAACAATAATGTTTTCGGAGAGTTTAGAAGTGAGGGTGTTTTTATGTGGAGAAATGTGTGCTACACCATTCCGTATAAGGGAGGACAGCGCCAGTTACTTGACAATGTCACTGGTTACTGTAAGCCAGGCTCATTGACTGCTTTGATGGGTGAATCGGGCGCTGGTAAGACTACTTTATTGAACACGTTAGCACAAAGAAACGTAGGAATTATCACTGGGGACATGCTTGTTAACGGTAATCCCATTGATGCAAGTTTCGAGAGGCGCACAGGATATGTTCAACAACAGGATATTCATGTTAAGGAAATGACTGTAAGAGAATCTCTTCAGTTTTCTGCGAGAATGCGCCGGCCTCAATCTGTTCCCGAACAAGAAAAATTAGAATACTGTGAAAAGATCATTGAACTTTTGAATATGGAAGAATACGCGGATGCACTTGTTGGTGAAGCTGGATATGGCCTTAATGTTGAGCAAAGGAAGAAGGTGTCGATTGGTGTGGAATTAGCTGCCAAACCTAGCTTACTTCTGTTCCTTGACGAACCCACTTCAGGTCTTGACTCTCAATCGGCTTGGGCTATTGTTCAACTTCTTAGGAAGCTGGCTGAGAGTGGGCAGTCAATTCTATGTACCATCCACCAGCCTTCTGCAACTTTATTTGAACAATTTGACAGGTTATTACTTTTGAAGAAAGGAGGCCAAACTGTTTTCTTCGGCCCAATTGGTGAAAGATCTAAATCCCTGTTAAGCTACTTTGAGCGCAATGGCGCCAGAAAATGTGAGGACGAAGAAAATCCTGCAGAGTATATTTTAGAAGCTATTGGTGCTGGTGCAACCGCTTCAGTCAAAGAGGATTGGCACCAGATTTGGAAGACATCCCCTGAGGCTCATGCAGCAGACGCCGAAGTTCAGGCTCTTATTGCGGATCTATCCAAGGAAGAAGTGAAAAAAAATGATGAAGCGTCTGCAGAGTCCACACAGAAGTATGCCACCTCATACTTTTACCAATTCAGATACGTGTGGGCTAGAACTGCTACTATATTTTGGAGAGATGTTAACTATTTAATGTCGAAAATGATGTTGTACACTATTGGTGGTCTGTTCATAGGTTTCACCTTCTTTAATGTCGGAACAAGTTTCACAGGGTTACAGAACGCAATGTTTGCTGCCTTCATGTCCCTAATTCTATCCGCTCCGGCCATGAACCAAATCCAAGCTCGTGCGATTGCATCTCGTGAACTTTATGAAGTTAGAGAGTCTAAATCTAATATGTTTCACTGGGCGTTCTTATTGATTACCCAGTTTTTGAGTGAACTTCCTTACCATTTGGTTTTTTCGACAGTTTTTTTCGTGTCGTTTTATTTCCCTCTACGGTCAAATTTCGAAGCTTCAAGATCGGGTGTTTTCTTCCTGAACTACTGTATCATGTTCCAGCTGTATCTTGTTGGCTTGGGTTTAGCAGTACTTTACATGGCACCAAATCTTCCTTCTGCAAATGTCATGTTGAGTTTGTGCCTCTCATTCTTAATTTCTTTCTGTGGTGTCGTTCAGCCTTCTAGTTTGATGCCCGGGTTTTGGACTTTCATGTGGAAATTATCGCCTTATACCTACTTCGTTCAAAATCTTGTGGGTCTTATGCTTCACGACAAGCCCGTGATTTGCCGTGCTAATGAGCTTTCATACTTGGACCCTCCTGAAGGGCAAACATGTGGAACCTACCTAGCGTCCTACTTGGAAACAGCGACAGGCTACGTTTCGAATCCAGATGCCACCTCCAATTGTGGATACTGTGTTTACAGAGTAGGAGATGAGTACCTAACCAAAATAGGAGCGAAGTTCAGCTATATATGGAGAAATTTCGGGTTCTTCTGGGCTTACATTGGCTTTAACATCTGTGCAATGGTGTTGATGTACTATGTTGTCCATGTGAGCAATTTTTCTATCAAAGACCTCAAACCTGTCAAAGCCATCATGAATAGAGTCAAGAAAGAATGAATTAATGTTGTCTCTCAGGACTGATACCCCAATCAATACAAGTAAGTGCCTTACTTTGTAGACTTTAAATACAATCGATTAATAATACTTCAACGTTATTCAAACGAATTTACCAGGCTATGAAGCTTTTGTGAGAATGAAGAGGTTCTTGCAAGTGTCATGAAATGTTCGCGTCTTTTTGCCTTGTTCACTAAATCACTTCATCATTGAATTGTTTGAATTCATTCTCACGCTTTTTTTTTGAACTCTTGTATCCACATACTCTTCAAATGACTAACATCACGTATAAAAAAGGAGACTGCTTAGCATATGGCATTAAACACCCAAGGGTAGTAATACATTCATGCAACTGTAATGGTACCTGGGGCGGCGGTATTGCGCGCCAGATGGCTATCAAATATTACCGGGCTGAAAGTGACTATATAGATATATGTGATAAATTTGGATCAAAACTTCTGGGAAAATTCATCCTCATTCCAAGTTATAGAACTCCAAATTTGTTAATTGGATGTTTGTTTACTGCATCGTTTGGTGGAGAGCAGCATGGAACTGGAAAAAGTATATTACATTATACTAAGCTCGCTTTACAAGATATGATCAATAAATTGAGTGGTGAAGAGCTAATCCAGGATGAAATCGACTCTTATTCATCCAAATATATGAAGAATATTCAGGTTTACATGAAGATACCAATTTCCGAATATGAATTAGAAATGCCGAAAATCAATAGTGGCATTTTTGGCGTCCCATGGCCTGAAACCGAAAAGCTCCTTGAAGAGTTTTCATCCTCCAAATTTACGGTATATGAAATTTAAAGTTCTAACATACTATCTTAACAACTATCTACTAATCAAATGACTAAATACATGGCACTGCCTGGTAGAGGTTTTTCTGAAGTCAAACTATAACAAGCCTCAATTATTTTTATTTAGGTATGCAACACCCCTGCTGCTTTGAGTTCAAAGAGATAATTTTGTGATGCAAAGTATTTATACGTATTAGTGATAATAAATGAGGGTATATATGCCGTCGAACTTATAAGATTGATCTTCTTTGACCTGCAGCTGACTGCGTGTAGGAATCTAAGTTCAAAGAAGAGCCTGGATTTCTTTCCTTGGACCTTTCTTCTTTTTCAAACTCCTTCCAAGTCCTCATTTTGATCTTAGAATGATCAAACTCACCCTCGTCTTCTTCGTTTAAGCGCTTATTGCCTCCCGCAATTGTTCTTGTATCACCCCAGCTGAAATCGTCAAACTTCCAGTATGCATAAGTGGGTAAAACGAAGTTCCAAATTGGTAATGCTATAATATAAATAAACATCCATCCCAGGTAGGACCATCTCGTAGCAGTTAAAACGATGAGTAAACCCGGTAAGCCCAGGATAACGGCCAATAAAACCAAAGTGATGATGGGAGTAGGACGTGAAACAATAGCAAATACGATCACATATATGGTGAAGCAGATAGCTAAAGGTAGCACCATTGTCCCAATCAGTTCTATACCAATCACAAATTGCATGGAGAAACAGAAACTACCACAAAGGTCTTTAATGAGAACCAATTCCATTAAATTATGCACAGTTGAGTTAATCCAACGTCTACGCTGTGATAATAAGACCTTGAATTTATTTGGAACGATTGTTTTACAGGCAGCCTTTGGTACAAATACCTGCTTACGTTTGGGGAAAGTTCTCAACATCAATGAAGACAGATACCTGTCTTCCCCTAAGAGTAAAAGGTTCTTTTTATGCAGAGTACCTGTATCATTATCGGAGTAACGCTCGACTATGTCAGGATTAGCCAGTATTGGAACCCAATAGCCATCTCTACCCTTAGGCGACTTGATCCTATACATCGAAAAACATCCCGGTAAACATGTCACACTTCCAAAAACAGATTCAAACGCTTTAGCTTGGTGATGCGAAATGTAGTACTCGAAAACTTGGATCCAAGAAACCCACGTATCCCTCTTGTTAGCAATCTTCGTTTCACCACACAATCCCATAATCTCTGGATCCTTTACCATCTCAGCGGCCATGTGAGTTAACGAATCAGGAAAAACTTTAGTGTCTGCATCAACCATTAAAACAAGCTCATAAAAGTCGGCCATCAATCCAGTAACCTGCCAGAAGCTCCTCAAAAGCTGATATTCGAAGACAGTCATTCTTTCATCGAAAGTGACTCTTTGTAAAAAGGACATCAAAAGAACCTGAGAGTCACGTTTACCTCTATTACCGGGTTTAGCAGAACCTTGTTCATCTGGTGTACCACACTTCACAATTACAATCATGGGAACTCGTTGTTGTTTCTCTGCGATTACGGTAGATTCATCATATTTATAAAACCCGGCATAAATTTTAGCCATGTTGTGTCTTTTCGCTCCTGTAGCCACCGCAACATAAGAATAGGGCTCAACTTCGTCTGGTGGAATGACAAAGTCTTCCAGCATACCCAATGCAATCTCTGGTGTTGTCAAATCATTTCCCGAACCTTTAATCAAACCATCACAAACGACCATCAGTAGCTTATGAGAATTTGGGTAATCTGTTGTAGCAAGGGAATCAAGTGTTGTTCTCAACCCTTCTTCGTCTTCTGAATAACAAGTGACGAAACATATTGTATGGGCAAGGGGAAAACCGGTCGGCATAAAGTCGACGGGTGGTTGTGCGACAACATCTGGATGGATAATCGTTGGATCTAACGACTCAATGTTATCGTGCGTTCCTATCAGGTTGTCTGTAAAGGGTGATTGAACGTGTTGACCATTCATAGCCCCCAATGGATCGCGCGATTTCAGGAATGATTGAGTAGTCATTGTTGTCATTCCTCTGAACTTATCATCCGATTCTGGAGTGTCATTTAAAAGCATCATGGAATTTCGCTTAATCAAATCAAGTGTTGATTCATGCCTTTGATGAGGCCTTTGTAATGGATCCACCTTTTTAATGGGACCTTGTATGTTGATGTCTTCAGCCCAGTCTTCAATTTCGTTGGCATGCTCAACCATTGTCTTGTTATCTACTGCAAACGCACCCTGCTTCTTCGAAACTACCCACCGGAAATAACATGCAACTAAAAACTTAACAACAATCACAGACAAAATGAAAATCAGCGAAATGTACAACACAACATCTGAAGCGATACAACCAATAGTATCTGAATCAATTTCACCAACTCTGACAATCTCGGTAAGACAACGCGCGACTTTCCTCTCATGAGGGCTAGACATAATCAAGGAAATGTCATAGCCTTGCAGTTCTGAATTTTTCAAATCGTCAAAAATTGACGGATACGATAACTGCGTTGTTTCAAGCCAGTCCAATAGGTCCAAATCCAGTACATGGCCGTTATAAACCACCAGGTTTCTCGTGGAGTTTCTTATATCATCCCAGGAAAAAAAAACATCTGCTGCAACATCCAGAGAATAATAGGCTTCCCTAGCTACCTCAGAGGTATGACAGGCCCACCCATCGTAGTACTCACTTTCGGTAAAGTTTGGTTTAGTGGAACCATCCTGGGCAAACAACTTACAAGGGAAGTACCAAGCCATTTTTCCATCGGAGTCGTGAGGAACTGTACAGTTGTCAAGAGGTTCAATCAATCCAAGACAGTTGCCGTTCACGTTCTGGAATAAAAACGAAGCATCATAGCCACCGGCGTTTATCGGTGGATACAATACGTTGGTTCCTGCCGTGATCCCTGCAGCAGCCGGATGCGAAGAGGAGTCTAGGTTGTATGCTTTGCCGTTAATGATCAAATATCCAGTAGAAACTTCGTTGTTTCTGAGTCTCAAGGGCGAAACCTTGCAAACAGTTCTTGAGAAACCGAAGGTTAAATAAGCTACAAAAGCACCGGCGTAGCAGATAATTGATAAAAGAGCCATTTTCTCTCTCCATGCGAAACGACGCTCCTCCTTTTTCATCCCAAACAATGCTAGCAGGGGAGCTGGAGCCCAAAACGTAATGATATAGCAGTACAGCTGCCACAGAGAGAGTGATTTGACCTTCACAGGAGGTGCTTTCACGCGTTTTTTGGATAAGTCCTGCAAAGGAATGGACTCTTGAACTTGTACGTGACCTTTTTTTTGCTGCTCTTGAGCTTTTTGCGCATAGTAATGATGAGGGTCTTTCGGATTGGTAAAGTTATTCCTCTCTCGCCTGACTAGTGAGTCCTGCCTATGAATTCCGCTGCCTAGATTCTTGGAGCGTAATAAAGACTCGTTATCGAGTCCATAGTAGTCCTCGTCAGCGGGCATCGAGGTTGCTAATGCGTAATACTTGTTCGAGATGCTAATGATCTAAAGAATTTTTCAGATGATCTATATTTGTACTTGTGACATTTGCCTTGACGTGTGGAATGAGTATTCTTTTCATTTCCTAATCGGAATAATGGCTTTCGAATTAAGTTGAAAAAAATGAAGACGATGTGCGGGCACGATGGGCACCTCCTGTTCTACGCTGTGTGATACTTTCGTGCGTATGCGCATTACGAAGAATAATCAAAAGGAGATCAGTTGCACTGATGGATTTTGGAGAAGAAGCATCAAGAAATCTGTGATCTGCAGGCCATTTATCGCTAGTTGGCGGTAAAACGGGAAATGTAGATTCTTCGCCATAATTCAATAACATATGCATACTATAAAATTACAATGGAAGAGATCAATCGCGTTGATCGGATATCTTGCTCAAGAAATTACCATTACACAAATAGTTTTGTATCTCAAACAGAAAACCGCGATGTCTGATCGTATTGAAGACAATCACATCTTCGAATAGACACACTCAAAATTAGATGCAAAAATTTTCTTTTACAATGCCCGTTGGAGTCCAAACAAATCTGGAAAAGGCACTTTCCCCAGTGGGCATGCACGTCTGAAGAAAATGAGGAGAATGTGGGTACTCGCCTTCCGCCATGCAGAGCTTTGCTGATTCTGATCTTAGCATAAGTCGGAGATAATTTATGTGACATTAGACGATACAATTGCATTGCCACCTTTTTTCACGCTGTTTTTGCAAGAAGATAGAACTTTCCATTCAGACCGTGAGAAAGACCGTTGTGCTCAATTAGTAACTTTGCTCAAATACAACCAACTATGACGCGCATATCATGTTATTACTATCGCTCCATTTGAATTAGAGAGTTTCTACTCATGCTCGTTTTCTGCCATTTAGAACACAGAGCATTCATGCAAAAAATAACTCGCGAAATTTCACGCGTCACGTATCATACTTGTCCGAGAGAGTTCTCTTTTTCACAGTTAGAATATTTTTGCAAACATCTCTAAGCTCTTTAATTCACTGCGCGCCCGATAAGGATAGACTCCTGAGCTCCAATATTATGTCCTGTGCTTATGTCAACCCTTCATTACAGTTCCTTCTTTATTCATCTGGCGCTAGAACCCATACCCCAAATTCCATCGGTATTAGATAGCGAGCCCGAGATTCCGTTCGGAACTGGTCTCGGAGAATTAATCGCGTCCGTGCTATCGGAATGCGAATAGATAGGAAGAAAAAGTCTCGAGACGGAAGTCATAAGGTTTGATCTCTCACATTAGGATTCCATTGCCGAAGTAAGGGCGTATTTAATGATGCGGCTTATCACGGTTTCTCGAAATATTCCTATCGATCAGCGAATCGCTTACCTTATGCCTATCGCAGTCGTTAAGCTGCATCACAAGGTATATAATGGCTTGGTTGCAAAGTCATGAAGTTAAGATTGTTAAGTAACACTGTAAGCTGAATTGACATAGCTGAATTATAATACAAACCACTCAGTTTAAACATGCCTCAAGACGTCTCTTCGACTACAACTGTTACATTAGAGTCCGGAACTCTCAACATACCCGCAGCTGCTCCTTTAACTATCAGCAGTGGAAGATTGAATCAAACCATCTTGGAAACTGGTACCACGTATGGTGGTGTGGCCAGATGGGGTGATGAACCTCACGAATTCGGAATGAGAAGATTGGCTGGTACCAAGGAAGATGGGGCCATGAGAGACTGGTTCATTGAAGAGTGCAAATCTTTGGGATGCCGTATCAAGGTGGACAAGATTGGTAACATTTTCGCCATTTATCCGGGGAAAAATGGAGGTAAACCTACAGCTACTGGTTCACACTTAGATACACAACCAGAAGCAGGCAAATATGACGGTATTTTGGGTGTTCTAGGAGGTTTGGAAGTTTTGAGAACTTTCAAAGACAACAACTACGTTCCTAATTATGATGTTTGTGTCGTTGTGTGGTTCAATGAAGAAGGTGCTCGTTTTGCCCGTTCTTGTACTGGTTCTAGTGTGTGGTCTCACGATATGACTCTAAAGGAAGCTTACGAGCTCATGTCTGTAGGAGAACAAGAGGCTGAGTCTGTGTATGACTCACTCTCCAAGATTGGGTATATTGGTGAAACGCCTGCATCGTATGAGGAGAACCAAATCGATGCGCACTTCGAATTGCACATCGAGCAAGGACCTATTCTAGAAGACGAGAAGAAAGACATTGGCGTAGTGACAGGTGTCCAGGCTTATCAATGGGAAAAATGTACAGTTTACGGTGTCGGTGCTCACGCCGGCTCTACTCCTTGGAGATGCAGAAAGGACGCTCTATTGATGAGCTCAAAAATGATCGTTGCAGCCTCAGAAATCGCTCAAAAACATCAAGGTCTATTTACTTGTGGTATTATTGACGCCAAACCTTACTCTACGAACATCATTCCTGGTGAAGTATCTTTTACGCTAGACTTCAGACATCCATCAGATGAAGTTTTAGCAACAATTCTATATGAAGTTCACCTTGAATTCGATAAATTGACCGAGAACAATGCAGCTGGTCCTTTATCTTATGGTATAGAGGTTTTGCAAATTTCACCAGCAGTGAAATTCAATGATATTTGTATCCAATGCGTTTCTAGATCTGCACTTGCCCAATTCCCAACGAACAAAGTACGCCAAATTTGGTCTGGTGCTGGGCATGACTCTTGCCAAACAGCCCCTCATGTTCCTACGTCAATGATATTTATTCCATCGAAGGATGGGTTGTCACACAACTACTATGAGTATTCTTCACCACAAGAGGTTGAAAATGGCTTCAAAGTGCTATTGCAAGCAATTATCAACTACGACAATTACAGGGCTGCTAGAGGTCATTAGATTACTTTCATAGTCAAAAAATAAAGGAGAAAATCTATTCATATAATTGAAAAGTTCTTTATTAAAGTTTCTAATTTACATTTTGGGTTCCTTGTGGAATAATGAGCCCATCGAAGGAATATTCAGAGAGCCATTGTCTTCGGCCTTATTCTTGAAGCTCACGATCACACGCAGATACTTAATAAGTAAAAACGTGACCGATCCAAGAGCTCTAAAAGCTGCAAGAACAGCAACAGACCATAAAATAAACACAAGGTACTTGTTCTTAGCAGTATCTTCTGGTCCATACACTTGTGTCACGATCATCATCAGAATCAAATTCGAAAGCATCCAAATCATCACAATCCGAGATCTGATGTCTCTATAATAGTCGTTGTTCTTTTGAACCTCGTCTACTTTGGTTTCAACGATCTCTTCCTCCTTCAGTCTACCCTTAATTTCGGCATATTTCTTATCCACTTCTTGGGGCCACTCTGTACCTTCAACGATTTGTTGCCCGTCAGGACCTTGCTTAACAGTCGCCTCTGATTTTGGCTTACTACCTTGAGTAGAGCCTTTTGTACCCCAAGAGACATCGTGGGTGTTGCAGAATGCAAAGATTTGGAGAGTACAAATGAAGGAGGGCAGCATTAATAGATATTGAATGGAGGATGTGAACAAATGCCATGGATCCAAATATAGGATAGAAGTAAAGGCGTATAAGCCATAGGTTGAAAGTAGCGACACCACGATGTTTACAAATACCATATGTGATTCTGTCTTCGACGTCAAAGATTTAAAGGAAAAAACGAGACCACAAATCAAAGCATAGGTTGAGCAAATTGATAAAATAACCATGGATGTAATAAATAGATGATTAGCACCTTGTGGTCTATTACCCATAGAAATGATAAAAAGTGCGGCTAGGTCACAAATGATAAGGTATTTGAAAAAAGTAAATAAAACATCACCATGCTTTATAATGTCATTCATAGACCCTGCAAGGAAGTAGAACGTTAAGAAGAAATTGGATATGGAAAACCAAGAAAACAGCATTTGTACAAATTGGTAAAAGAACTCAATATGGAAAAAGAACTTTCTCACCCTCGAGTGTTTCGTTTTCCATATCTGAGGGAAATGTAACTGTGCATAGAGTGCCGCAAACATTGCACCGTTCAACCAACGTCTTCTTTGCGAAATAAACTCAGGAGGTTCCTCAGGTACATCCGTTTCACCAGTTGCCTCTTTGACATATGTTAAAACCCATCTAGCATTTCTTTTCGCTACTAGCTCCCAGCATAAAATTCTATCCTCTGCTAAGTACATATTGGCAGTGAAAACATCATGCTGTCTACCCTCTTGGGTTTCTCCCAGGAAATATGAATTTAATGGTCCTGTGCCGTCTTCATGATTCTTCAAAGCCCTGTAACGATAAGCAGAAAGAGCACCGGGAAGAACTGAGATATAACCAAAAACGCTCTCTAATGGCTTGTCTAGGATATTCGACATTTTATATTCAAAATTTTGAGAAGCCACAAGTGGATTTAACAGCTTTGAACACCATTTTCCTTTCATAGTTTTGATCTGACCAGCAGCACCTGCTACATTTGAGTCTCTGTCAAACACTTTCCACAAGTGATAAATGGCAGTATCGTTTAGTCGAGTACCGACATCCACTAGAACTACAACTGTAGGATCCAGGATAGGGCAAAAGGCATTAAACAACCAACGATGAGAATTAATCTTTTTCTGATTCTCCTCTTTTAAGCAGAACACTATTTGTACGGGAACAATATCCTTGCTGACATAGTCCAATTCAGAATCAATAGAGACCTGAGTGGTCAATTCAAAAATATGAGCTTTCACTGGCTCACCATTTACTGTTGATTTCGCCATATCCTCCTGGTAAACACCCAAAGCGCTCAAATAGTCCAAAGATCCCTTGTTAATGTTATTCCTACCATCACTCACAATTACAACTTGGACCTTTTTCCATCCATTTGGCCCCCAAACGTGGGACCTCTTGCGGTTGCAAAGATGGGCAATATTCTTCATAACTGAATGCAAAGTTCTGGCTAAAGCGAATTTGTTTTCATTGTACATTGTAATGCAAATGGTAATCTGACATTCTCTGTTCATTTCTGCAAACCTTAAGGAATATCCCTCAGCGACGTAGTTATCAGGCTCTGCAGTACAAGCGGTGTATCTCATCTCAGTAAATTCAGGTGAATTCCGACGAGGTAATATTTCAAGTAATCCTCTTGGAATTGGGTTGTCCAACTTAAGAATATTCTTATTTGGAGCAATTGATAGAGTTTTCCTGATCTCAGATTTCCCACGCCTGATGTAATTACGCTGAGGATGGTTCAATTGAAATTGTGTCTGCTCAAAGGTGTCTCCAGAGTAAATCGTACTTTCGTCATCAAGGGACTTTCTGAAACTGTCATATGAGTAAGTTGATTTAGTGCCATGAGACGAATTTCTTGATCCTTGGTTCGCCATGCCTTTTCGTAAAGGTGAGCCGTTATTCTGGTTCATGTAGGTATCGTACAGATCTTCTTCCTCTGCATAGTCGTCATCAGAGTAGTCATTAATTTCAATCACGGTTTGCCCACCTCTTTTGGGGGACTCTTGTAAATTAGCGGCGTATCTATTGTGGGGAACAGGTGAAGGTGGTACACTGCTGCGGGAAAACATGTTTCGACGCTGTGGAGAATACCTTGCGGCTGCCTTTGATGGCGACTGTTGTTGAATGTTTATTCGAGGCGATCTCTCTACAACCGGGGGGAACCCTTGAAATGCAGTGGACTGATCATCTTCGTAATTATAATCTGTGTACTGCGACTTCCAAGGTGACTGCTGCCGCAATGCAGCCCGCTGCGGTGATCTCACGGGAGAACCGTTTTGGGAGTCTATAATGAATGGGTTTCTATCCATCGCTCAAGTGAAGCTTGACTGAACTGTGATAGTGAGATAGTTAGGAGTCTAGCTTATTCACTCGATATATTCTTGCAAATATGTTGATTGCCCCATTGAGTAATATGTAAATAAATAAGTGTGTCTGATTATGTAATTAGAATCAATCAGAGTTTCAAAAATAGCAAAGCAGCGAACAGTAGCGGTGAAGCACACGCCCCATCCCATTGTAATCCAGCTGTACAGGTATTTTGTGGTATCACTTCAGTCTATGATTTTGGTTCCATTTTCATTCTGCGTGTATTAAGTAGTTTTCAACCAAAAAGTGCACTTAGAGTCATGACGAGTTTTTATGATATCATAAAAATGGTAATATATCAAACACTTACCATCGTATAACAGAGAGAGAACTACTAGAAGGTACTTTTATGTCTCATCAAGAGATGTGTTTTCATAATGAGTGGTCTTACGAAGCTGTACCCTCGGAATCATCATCATACGAACAGCATCCCTCGGAAATGAGAACGTGATGAAAATCTGATCATTTGAAGGACCGCTTGTCACACACACATCTTCTGCAAAGACAAAGCAAGGATGTTAGCAAGAGCAAGAGTTTCTAAGTTGCTTATCTCACAAAATTTGCTGCGTATAGCTCCTATTCGTACATTAACAACATCCTCTCGTATCTTGAATGGACAAACGGAACAGCAGCCCAAGGCAAATCCGGACACAAAGAGGAAACCTCTTAGCAGGATTGCGATAGGAGGGACTAAGACCCACTCTCAGAGGACTTCAGGTGAGTCTATTGAATTCACAACGTGGAAAGCAGCGGCTTTATTTGTTACTGTTGGTGGTGCTCTATACTATTTCTTTGCAAAGGAGAAGAGAAGGATAGAAATTGAGAAAGAAGCAGAGGCGAATAGGGGATACGGTAAACCTCTTGTTGGTGGTCCCTTCAAGCTAATCGATCAAGACGGAAAAGAGTTCACAGAGAAGAATCTACTGGGTAAGTTTTCAATTATTTATTTCGGTTTTACACATTGTCCTGACATCTGCCCTGATGAGTTAGACAAGCTAAGCATCTGGATTGACGATTTGAAGAAGAGAGGAATCACACTACAGCCAATCTTCATCACTTGTGATCCTGCCAGAGATTCTCCAGAAGTTGTCAAAGAGTATTTAAGCGAATTTCATCCTGATTTTATAGGGCTTACGGGTGACTACAATGCGGTGAAAAGTGCATGCAAACAATACCGTGTTTACTTCTCTACACCTCCATCTCTAAAACCGGGGCAAGATTATTTGGTCGATCATTCAATCTTCTTTTACCTGATGGATCCTGAGGGCCAGTTTATTGACGCTCTAGGTAGGCAATATGATGAAAAAACTGGTGCTGATAAAATCGAGGAGCATGTGAAGGCTTATGTTCCAAAGGAGCAACGTGAGAAGAGAGCTCAGAAATGGTACTCTTTTCTATTTAATTAAATATCGTTGGCGCACCCAGCTTGTAATTAGTCTCCTGTCTATAATGAAATGAAACAGATGTAGGTTATTATAAAGACATCTATTAAAGACCTCAAGCACACTAGTTCTTACCAGCACCTGCTCTGAAGTAAATTACATCACCGTCTTCTACAACGTAATCTTTACCTTTTTGTTGCATTTTTCCTGCAGCTTTTATGGCAACTTCATCCTTGTATTCAATGACATCCTCATACTTCATCACTTGGGCCAAAATGAAAGTGTTCATCAAATCGTTGTGAATAACACCAGCTGCTTGTGGGGCTTTGGTACCTTTTCTGATGGTCCATTCACGGACTTCATCAGGACCACATGTGAAGAAAGAGATCAAGTCCAACTTTTGTCTCATGGTTGTAATAATCTTAGGTAGAGCAGATTGCACACCCAAGTTCTTCAATTCTTCTTCGGCTTCCTCATCACTCATGTGCGAAAGTCTTTCTTCAAGACAAACAGAGAATGGGATCACCAGATCACCTGGAGAGTACTTGTCAATCCATTCCTTGATTCTCAAAAGGTGCTTGTTCTTCTTTCTTATGAAGTCCTTTTCAGATAAGTTGATTAAGTAAATGGATGGCTTAGCAGTTAAAAGAAACATCGAGTTGATAACCTCAACTTCCTTAGGAGTCCAACTGTGGTTTGCCACTCTTTGGCCTGATTTTAACAATTCAATGATTCTTTCCACCAAAGCAGCCTCTTCCTTCTTCTGCTTAACTTCTAAAGATTGACCACCTCTTCTGGTGATTTTTTCGATGCTCTCCAAGTGCTTCTCAGAAAATTCGATGTCCTTCAATCTCAATTCAGTGTTAATGATATCCAAGTCACGAACTGGGTCGACATCACCTTCGATGTGGATAATTTCAGCATCATCGAAGCAACGAACCACTTGGTAGATAGAATCGACGGCTCTAATATGGGACAAGAAGGCATTACCTAGACCCTCACCAGCAGAGGCACCTTTAGTCAAACCAGCGATATCATACACAGTCAAATGAGCAGGAACCTTGGAGGCAGGTTTGTAGATTTCGGTCAAAGTGTCAAATCTTGGAGATGGAACGATGACACGAGCCTCTTCAGGATCAATTGTAGCAAATGGATAGTTGGCAGGGTTACCCAAAGGACATCTAGTGATGGCTTGGAAGAAAGTAGATTTACCGACGTTCGCTAGACCAACAATACCAGCCTTCAAGTTATTACCTGGACGACCTAAAAGAACTTTCTTTTCCTCAACTTGCTTCTTTGGAGGCATTTCTTCGATTCGATTCGTAAAACCTTTTTTCTAGTTTGGCAATAGTGACAAAAAGTTGGTTACTTCTAGTTAGTCGACTTTTGAAAATTTTTTTTGATCTCGAAATCAGATGGATACCATGGTCGCTTGCGACGATGGTTACATCACAGAACTCATCCATACATCTTCCTCATGAAGTTACTACTTGAGCTTAATAATAATGTAAAATAATGCCAGAGCGATCTAATCTAATGTCAATAAGTTGGATTATTTAGCTTTTCTTCATCTAACTTCTCATCAGTTCACTGCTGACACTCGCTCAAATAATAATTGAGCAACTATCAGGCGTCTGCGCTTAATCCAAAATTTAGCCTCTTTCCTCTTGAACAAATCCCTCATGGCTAATTCGCAATAAAAGATGATTATTCGTATCTCCAAACACTGAACTGTTATCAGGGCTTCGAACCTGTAAAATGAAGCGGAGCCAACCTTTCTCCTATTCATGCTGTGAGTGCGAATCAAGAGAATCAGATCGTTTGGTCTCACTGGCTTGACTAAATAACATTTTGTTTGGGGCCATGGCATACGCACCGAAGATTTGGGGTTTTCAGCTTGCGTGTGCGATCGAATATCCAATTATATAGTGTCATTGAGAATGAACCATGATATAATGTAACCTCATTGAAAATAAAAACCAACCTCCGCATCATTTGAAACTTGGATATACCAAGCTCATGAAAATTCATTGAGGAATTTATTATTTAAAGACACAATAACATTATTTTGAATTCACATCTGGAGCCAAAAGCTCTCTACAGTGAATCTATTCGTACAAGCATTACTAGAAAGATTTATTTTGGGTACCAAGAGAATGTACAGTAACTGCTCTCAGTTATCAGGATAATTGAGCACTTGATAGTGGTTATAGATCACTAAAACTTATTTGCTTTTTCGGCTACAACAATTCGAATACCTTGAAAGCTAAAGATTTACTGTACGGAAACGTACTTCAAGCATACAAGTCTTTTCTCATTTTTAAGAGTGCTTTTTCGTGCTGTTTGCCATTTCTTCGATCATGCATTGCTATGTCATGACAGTATGCAATCTGTTCTATTAGTGAAGTAAGAATAATTTCCGCCAAATGAAGTTATTCAATTACACTTATTCGAAACAGATTCATTACACAGCTCCTAGTGTTCTATTTATGAAATAATGTGACGTGATCGCAGAGGTCTTTTACTATTGTTTTTTTTCGGTTCTGTCATACCAAGACAATCTGCGGGGAAGGCGAGATAAACTATCCGAGATAGCATTAAGACATTAGAATGCTCCAGTGTCGAAAAAATGTTACCTTAAATGGCATTCTGACCGTATTCGGTCATGCTCTCGGACTAAAATGTAAGCGCCCTCGGTGTTCTAACACGGTTTTTTGTTGTATGAGTTTACGGCATGAATGAGCTCGACGACCTCTCATAGTTCTGCCAGTTCATTAATGCTCAGAATTATGCGTATCGAGTTCTTCATGTCTCGGTTCAGATGCCCTTGTTCATGGAAATTCAATTTTTTCTCGTCATTGAAGCCTATTATGAGAACTGGTCAAGGGTGTAGCTCATACTGCTATGTAAGCTCTATTTATGTAAGGTGCATGACCAAATTATTTCATGGAGTTCGGTTTTTAAGTTCGTCATTGAATTGGAAAGGTCTTGAGGATTGTTCTTCACTTCCCGTTCAGCCGTGCCAAGCTGCATTGGCGAAAAAATAACAGTACACAAGGTTGACACATCAGCAGCCAATAAAAATATGGACTATCGCGAAACAAGATTCGGAATAACAAGCCAACAAATTATTCTTAAGACAAGAGATGAATATTTTTGAGGGCCATGAGCGAAAATTAACGGATTCCAATCTGGAAGTAAGGAAGTCATCGTCAGGTGATTTTCTTTTTCTTTAAATTGTGTCCCCGGATTTGCGTCGCCCGAGAACGGACCATTGTTTTCCGGTTCTGCAGCTTAGACTTGAGGATTGAAATTCATCCATATTATGGAGTAAAATATATATAAGCCTGAAGTAATGGGAACACTTGACTCTCGAGTCAATCTGATTCCTATCATATATTACCTACTCAAAGTACAGGTTTTTTCACCATGTCTGTTGTACCTTCAGTTGATGAGAAGAAGTCTCATCTAGATAAATCAACCGGGATACCCCGCATTATTAAAGATTTCGTTACTAATTATGGTACACCACCAGACTTCATTTCAAGATCACCAGGAAGAGTGAATCTAATTGGTGAGCATATCGATTATGCCGATTTTTCCGTTCTTCCCATGGCAATCGAAGTTGATGTGCTTTGTGCAGTTAAGATTACAAATGATAGGGCACACCCAAAAATTGTCTTGAACAATTCCAACCCTAAGTTCTCGACAAGATGTTTTGAACTTCCATTGGACGGGTCTCTCGTTCCGATTGATGCTACGATTTCCGACTGGTCTAATTATTTCAAATGTGGTTTACTGGTAGCTCAAAAATATTTGAAAGAGCAATTCCCTGACCGCTTTGAATCGGCATCCGTCAAGGGATTGGATGTTTTTGTTAGTGGAAATGTCCCTACAGGCGGCGGGCTTTCTTCTTCTGCCGCTTTTACATGTGCGGTGGCCCTTGCTATTATTAGAGCTAATACATCAAAGAACCACAAGGTCTCTAAGCAAGATCTGATGCGTATAACTGTCACTGCTGAACATTACGTGGGAGTTAACAATGGCGGGATGGATCAGGCTGCATCTGTATGTGGTGAAGTTGATCATGCGTTATATGTTGAGTTCAAGCCTGAATTAAAAGCAACTCCATTTAGATTTCCAAAACTTCAACATTCCGAAATCAAATTTATTGTTGCCAACACGTTGGTAGTCTCAAACAAAGTTGAAACTGCACCAACCAATTACAACTTGAGGGTCGTCGAGGTAACCGTTGCTGCAAATGTGTTGGCCTCGCATTTTGGGCTATCCTTGCGACCAGATGGAAATTTGAGGAAAGGCACTCTCAGAGGATTCATGGATTCTTACTATGCTAAGTACCATGGCATTACTGCACCTTGGGACGGAAATGTGGAGCATGGAATTGAAAGATTGAATGAAATGTTAAGGTTACTTGACAAAGTCCTCCGACCAAACGGATACACTGTCGAGGAAGCCTCCGAAAGCATGGACTGCTCTGTGCAAGAATTCGGGCAATTGTACTTGACTCGATTTCCCGTTAAATTCAATATTTTGAAACTTTATCAGAGGGCGAAACACGTATATTCCGAATCTTTAAGGGTACTAGAAGCTCTTAAGTTGATGAAAACGAAAGTTTTTGAGTCTGATGAAGACTTCTTCACCCGCTTTGGAAATTTAATGAATGAATCTCAAAATTCGTGTGATACGCTATACGAATGCTCATGCCCTGAAACTGATTTGATTTGTGAGATAGCAAGAGCAAGCGGTTCCTACGGCTCAAGACTGACGGGTGCCGGTTGGGGTGGTAGTACTGTTCATTTAGTTCCTTCGAATAAAGTTGAAGAGGTGAAAGAAGCTTTGATTGAACAATACTATAAGAAGAAATTTGAAGACATAAACGCGGATGTATTAAATGAAGCCATCCTTGTGTCTAGGCCAGCTTTGGGTAGCTGTATTATTGAGTTATGAATACTAATGAGTTCGTAGATATGTATGTGAAGTAGTGCATTTTGAAATTTTAATGCTAGTCATTCGAAATATGATTGACTGAATTTTCACAGTTTCATTCCTTTATCTGTAGATATGTAGAAGAGTTTACATGATGGATGGTTTATTATCAAGGTTCTGAGCATAAATTGAGAATGGTCAACAAGAAATGTGGTGAAGGTTTCACACTTCCTAGCAAAAGACATATTTGATTACGCTTAACCCATGTTATGCTGACAGCCATCTAATACTTTTAGCAACAGATTAGAACCTGTAGCGGATCTCATTATCCCTGAGGTTCTCTTCTGTTTGAACGAAATTCAACTATCGACCATCGACTAGTATTCGTGTTACTAGTATATTATCATACACGGTGTTTTAAGATGGCATAAAGAATGAGGAATGGTCATCGAAGTTAGTGGAAGCTGAAACGCAAGGATTGATAATGTAATAGGATAACGAATGAAAATGTATAAAAGGAACAGAAAGAGCAAGAATATTTGTAAGTAGAATTATCGACTCTTCTTTCTGGATTCTTAAAAAGATGAGGAGAACTTCTAGTATAACCATATACCAATTATTATAGCCTTAATAAAAAATGGAATCCCAACAATTATCTCGATATTCACCAATTTCTTACCTTTAGTGTTTTGGAATTTCCTAGTAACATTATTATTTCATGGCACGCATTTGAGCTATTTTCGTCCCTTATAATGCATGTTCTGCTGGTGTACTATAACCAATTAAGGGGCGGTTAGTGTAGTGGTTATCATTCAACCCTTCCAAGGTTGAGACACGGGTTCGATTCTCGTACCGCTCAAATTTTTTGCCGTCTTCTCTAGACGGCCTTTTTGGCATTTTTTTTTACCTCATAATTGACGGAAGTGAGTTTAAAAGTCTGTAAAGTCTTCAGAACTACTTAATGTTTCGCTTATGTCTTCGTTGGCAAGGTATGCTCTTATCTTTCTACCATCAAAGTATCTATTGTTCATCTTCTCACGACACTTCTGAGCTGCTTCTAGAGTCGCGAATTGGATATGGGCCTCTGCAAGTAGTTCGTCGAACTTAAAAAAGAGTATTTCTCCAAAGACTTCACATCCTTCTCTAATATCCCTTGCAATATCTGCTATCTCCTGAGGTTGAAACTCCGCGTACATATCAAGAATATTCGCAAGAATGACGGTGTGATCATTTTCGGCATTCGGGGATTTTTCGTCCGAGTCTTCGCTCCAGTTGAGTAAATTGTTCTCCAGCTTAGCAGAGGTATCGGTTTTTCTTCTCTTGTATTCTTTAGGTTCCTCTTTGTAATTATTCAATTCTTGATCAAATTGGGCTAACTCCACCTTGATATTTTGACCACGGAAGGTGTAGCCATTCATCATCTCGATAGCCATTGCTGGACTTTCCGGCCTAACGTAAACAAGTAAAGCATCGCCTTTGGGCTTCCCACTTGAATCTGAGTATATTTTGCATTTGTATTGATCATCCTTAGAATCTTTTTTAATCATACCATATTTGCTGAATTCAGTGATGAGGTCATCGACCGTTACACCTTCCACCGGAAGATTAGAAATGTAGATTGCTGTATTTTGAGGTTTTGCCAGAGGCCTGGAGCCTTCAATTTCTCTTTGTCTCTTCCTCTTAGCCAATTCTTCCTTCTTCTTTAATTTCAGTTGCTTCTTGAGCTCTAGTTCTTCCTCATCCATATTAGCCATCCAGATGTTGTGATTAACCATAGATGATGTTTTTTGGAACATAAAAAACAAACATTTAACTGCCTGAGAGATGCAACCTCAATGAACGTCGAACGTCCATAAAGTTGATCACATATAAACAAGTAATTATTATCTAGCATCTCTGCAAGATATCTAGTCTCAGGTGAGAAACAGCCGTATTTGAACTTATCTAAGACAAAGATTATATTTCGATTTACATCAACTCGTTAACAATATCACCACAAAGTTGTGCATCATCGGATCTACCTTCAGCTTTCAAGGCAATACCTTTAGAGCTCTTGATCATCCGTACCACGAGCGCAATTCTTGCTCCACTCATAACACTTTTACCAAACAACTTGAGGGTGTGAGTGTTAGAGTCTGAAGGAGCGAATTGAGTATTTTCCAAAGGCAAGCAACTTGTGTTGACGACTAGTCTATCGACTATATCTTGCAAAGATATATTCTCCTTTATGTTGTAAACAGCAACTTCGGAATGTGGTAATTCGTCGAAACATGCGGAAAAGTTACCTACAAATGCACCCTTAATGTAGTCACCAGCCGTTAAAAATATAGAATCGATTTCATACTCATCTTGGAATCCCTCATCACCTTCGAAAGCCTCGTGAGTATTAGGATCCAATTCTCTTGTGGTAAAGTACAAAGTGTTTAGGAACCCTTCCATAATGTTGCCCTCTGACTTCTTGAATGCAACGTAACATACAGATGTCTCAGATGGCATGAGTCTCTCAATTGGGATAGTAACAACTTCCTCAAGTTCAGTGCTATTCTCGATTTCAGGAGTACATACCACGGAAACATTATCAAGGGCAACATCTGTTAGTGTATCAGTGATATTGAACTGCAAAACAACGTGATTTTTGAACAAATGTTTTACACCAGTAACCACAAATTCCGCTTCTGTTTCTGTCAAAGGAATATCCTTGGATGTATTGATAATAGGACCAAAACCCTTGAACTCTTCGATAGAGGCAATTTCGTCAGCATACTTGGTGATCATGAGGTCCTCACCTTGTTCTTGTAATGTTGGACCTACGTAAGAACTATTATTTTTCTCAGCGTCAACAGATTGTGAGGCAGCACCTGATCTTTTGGATGTGGGGGCTGCGAATAATTGTTCTTGTCTCTTCTTCAATTCAATGGCCTTTCTCTCGTCTTCGGTGTATTTTGGAACTGAAGCGACATCGAATGGCGTCTTGTAGGTATCTTCATTAGCGGACATGTATTGGTTCAATTTTGACTCCAGAGCACCCAAATCATATGAATACTTGCATTGGAGTATATCTTGAGCCACGTATAATTGAGGTTCGGATTTTATTGATTCAATTAATTGAAGTGCAATCGTAGCTCTGTCTCTAACCTCATCATCGACATCATTTGAAATTCTTCTCAACAGGATTTCAATTGATTCCACTAAAGTGGGGTCATTCTTGACCAGCGCAAATTTCGAAAGTGCAACCACAGCGGCCGATCTAATTATAGAGTTCTCCAACACAACTCTGTTGTAAATGTGTCTCACGTATAGAGAAGGATTCTTAGTCGTTGGGCCCTCTTTACCCAAAAGATGTAGAATTCTAACCAAAATCTCGTTAAACTCACAATCCTCGATGAAATCACATAAATTCTCCAAAGCTACTTCTTTAGATTGCGGCACAAACTGGACCAGATCAAAAAGAGCTTCCACGATGCTGTTTTTGAATTGAAAACCACCCTCACCTTGCTTCAAGACGTTTATCAAGAAGTCTAGCAAAGACTTCCATTCTTCAGGGAATTTTAGGCACATTGTCCGAACAGCATCAATGATGATAATCTTGAAATCATCTGAAATCTCGTGAATGAACTTAGTGATAGTTTTGATCAACGATGCGATGTTGTTGGAAGTACCTGTCTTCAACAGTGTTGTGATTGCATAGGTTGAAATATTTCTGTTGCTATCGTTGATCAAGGATTCCAACTCAGGATTACAAACAACAATCTTCTCAGGAGCTGTCATGGAGATCCTGTTTAAAACTCTCACAGCCGCAAATCTAGTCGTGACACGTGGGACTGAAAGTAACGCTTGTAAAGTTTGTACTGCGGCAGCGAAAAGTTCTGGAGACACGTAACGATCTGGCAGGGAGGTGATTAGTTTGGCAGCTTGCAATTGAACGGACTCGAATTTACTGGAGAGCCAATTCGACAAAAGAGCAGCAAACTGTGTCACCATTTGGGGGTCCTTGTGAAGTAATTCCCCAACTAGCTTCACGAGTTCGACTTGGGCCAGTTGATTCTTTAAAAGGTTCCCAGTGGAAAACTGCTGAACTAGCTTCATCAAAGCCACTTTATCGTGATTTTTCAACATGCAGAGAAGGCCAATTGCGTGATACTGGGCGATGTAGGTGGAGTTTGGGTAAAACTCGGAGGAACCGTTAGTGTAGGGATAGGTCTTCAAATCCGAGACAACTTCTTGTGTTTCGTTCATGTATCTTTTCACAGTGCTTTCAGCGACGGGTAGTAGGTGATAAGAGCTCACAAGGGCAGCCGATGAAATGGAAGGATGCTTGCTGACGACAGCAGACTTGAGCAAACGCTCGGCGGAAAAAGCAGTGGATTCGTCGAGCACACGTGTCAATGATCTGATAGCATTTGGTTTGATGACATCAGAACCGTTTTGAATGTCTTTCATGATGGAGGACGTAGCCATCAACACATCGTCGGAGATTGAACTTAGCTCTTTGATCGCCAAGTATACCATTTGTCTCAAGGAATCGTTTGGTTGTTGAAACAGTTTAGAAACGGAGAAGAACAGGGTGGTAGCCTCGCTCTTGGGGAAAGTCTCGCCCTGGGCAAGCAATTGCAATAGGCGCGAAATCAATGTACGACAACGCCTAGGGTTGACCGGGGATTCATTGAATTCGTTCAGACAGTCCTGGTACACCGTCATCTTATCGGGCAAGACGCCCGATTCTGTCTCCTCAAACTTCTTGTAGGTATGAGTCGACATATTAGCGGAGGGAACCGTTGATTGGGTGTTGACAGGTCGTGTTGATGTTGCCACGCAAAAGGTTTTCTTCAATTAGGGAAAGGGAAAAAAAAATTGGGAAAATGTAGAATATGCGTGCGGGTAACTTCCATGCGCGAGAAGGTATTATAATATTATACAAAGTCTATAGGGGCCGAATTGGCAGGTGGAATAGGTATATGAGTGCAATCAGTCCTCGTTGAGAGTCAACAACAATTGTGCAAGGCAACGCTTGGTGCCGAGATCGTCTCTGAGGACCTCGCCAAAAGTGTTGTCTTTCAGCTGGCGGGGGAGAACTTGTTTTAGCAGTCTGCGAGCCTCGAGGTTGTCGCTGAGACGCAGATAACATCTAACAACGTGCTTGAGAAGCCTGCCGGGGGTCTGTTGTAATGTGAGTTGGTCGACCATGTTTGTGAGGACTTGGGAAACCGCATGGAATCGTTCGGGCGTGGCGCAAATGTACTGAAGACCAGCGTCGTCTAGCAGGATTTTCTGGAGGATGAAGATGGCTACGGTCTTGGAGAGCTCGGAGGAGGATTCCATGATGCGCAGACAGAGCGGGATGATGTCTGTTCTCAGCAAGAAGGCGATCACCTCTGCAGAGTCATTTTTGACCAGCGCGCCGATAACACCCAGGGACGTGAGCCTCAGGTACTCGAAAGTGCGCTGGCGCGACGTGGTGTTGAGGAACGGGAACAACAGGAGAGGTATATGAGCTTGCAAGAACAGGGTCTTGGTTTCCGGGTGCGACGCGACACATTGCAGCAGAACGAGCGCATTGCACACACGGTTGCTGAGCTGGTTGGAAAGGGTGGGTGGCGACAGCATTGGGTACACAGAGGTGATCTCGTTAAGCAAGGCGGCGACCACGCCGAACGACGACCACAGCACGACCGCGAGGTCCTCGTACTGCTCGCGCTTGCGGCCCAGTTCCAGTAGCGCTTGCTCCTTGTTTGGGCCGTACGTGAGCTGGCAAATCCAGTGGTAGACGTTTGGGTCGTCGAGCGCATGCGTGTTGCCCTTTGCGCCGGGTTGCGGCTGTTGTGGCTGCTGCACAGGCGCCGCCTGTGCAGAAACACCCTGCGATGCCTGCAAATTGAGAAGCGGAGCGTGTGGGGCGGCGGAGTTGGAAAGGCCGGGGGCGACGGCCACCTGCGGGGTCTGGCCGAGCTGGAGGGGCGTTCCCATCGTGTTACCCAGCATACTACCGGGCATACCTGCGGAATACATGGCGATTGAGTTGGTGGGAAGAGCTTTGTCGTGGGGACAGAGAGGTGGCAAAAAGTTGTGGCGGGCGGAAAAGCGCGGGCTGGGTCGCGGCGCACGGCGGCGGTGCGAGGGTCGTTCGTGCGCAGTGACACGCGTCTCCGTGTCATCACTTCGCACGGATCCTCCCCGTTCGCCCTCCCGGCTGCGTTCTAAAGTAAGGCATACGATTGAGTCTACGCCCGCAAAAGCTATGTATTATTAGTTATTAGGTGATTAATATCGAGTACAGACAAATAAGAATGGGGAGCGGAGCGACGGCGGCGGGACAGCTCAGCACGGCGGAAGAGCGCGCCTCGCCGGGCCCGCCAAATTTTTTCGGCCGCATGCCGCTTGTCGCAAAAACGTCGCGAGCGCGCGTCGCGTCGCGCGCGCCGCACGTGACTCAGTTCAAAAGCTTCTTCAACTTGTTCATCCACTTCTTGACTGGGCTGGCCTTCTTGGCCTCCTCGGTCTTCTTGTCAGCGGTCTCGGAGGCCTTGGCGGCAGCGTCCTTGGTGTCCTTGACGGCGGCGTCCTTGACTTCCTCGGCCTTTTGCTCGGTCTCCTTGGCGGTTTCCTGGATCTTTTGCTCGACGGTTTCGCCCTCGGCGGCAACTTGTTGTTGGATCTCTTCGGCCTTTTGGGTAGCGGTGTGGTTTTCTTCGGACATTTCTGGTTGTAGTGAGAGTGTGAGTTAACTTGTAACGACGGAGGGGTAAAGGAAAGGAAGGGAAAAAAAACCTTTTAGCCTATTATCCGATCCGACGCGAGCGATCTCCTTATATACTTTTTCCTCGGGCGTTTCGGGCCACCATTGCTCGCCACAAATGACGCCCCGATGTGTTTACCTCGCCCGGCATAGGGCACACCGGTGCGCGATGAGATGCTGCGGGCGCGCAGTGCGAGGCGGAGCGCGGACGGTTGCTTGCTTCGGTAGGCGCCGCGACGCGAGCGCGCCGGCGCGGTGCGTGGGTGTTTCGTGCGGGGTGCGCGGGTCACGGGTCACGTGGCACCACCGCCACCGTGCGACCCCGTGCAGCGCCCCTGACGCCGCCGCCCAAGCCGGTGCCGTCCTGCCAGCGCACGCTGTGCGCCCAGCCGATAACAAGTAGCGCGCCTTCGCGGCGCCAGCGCCCAGCGGTCGCGGTCGCGACCGCTGGGCTGAGGGTCTGGGTCCGGGTCCGGCCGGAGACTCAATTCGGAATGCCCGGGCGCCAGCGCGGCCGCAACGGGGGCCATGCAGAAAGGGGTGCTCAGACGGCGGCGCGAGGGTGCGCCCTGGCTCAGACGGGCCCGCATGCTGCGCCGCAGATTTACACATTTTTACTTAGGGGGGAGTCACTGGCGGAGCGCAGAGACAGCGCAGAAGGCAACGGGGCCCAGCGCGATGGGAGACTGGCGACTGGCGACTGGCGACCGGCAATCGGCGACCGGCGATTTCAAAACACTAGCTCGGATGCGTCTTCTGTATCAGAAATTTGGGTATACTTAATGCTTCAACGCGCCACGAGTACGTGTGGGCTTTCAGACTGGTGCACAGCATTTCTATCGTCACTTACAGAAGAGCTACATGCGGCTATTGCTGTCCCATAGCCTTATGGGACGGAACACGCGGAGGCGCGTGCTCGGGGCTGGAGCAAGAGGTGTCGAAAGAGAGCGCGGAGCGGCGCCTTATATAGGGCGGCGGCGGTGTGTGGGTGCGGGCGGGTTGCGGGCCGGGTAACGGGCGGCGGCGCGTCGCGGGCTGGACGGCGTTACCCGGCCGGCGCTGGGCATGGTCTGTGTCGTTCTGAACGGGCGCCCACGGTCACCGCGCACGGCGCGCCTTCCTCTCTCTTCTCCATTACTTCCGTTACCGTATTCTATTATCCATACATATCTATACCATGTTTGTAGCGGCGCTTTCTGAGTGCGCGTAGAGCGTGTCGTAGTGCGAAGCCACGCTAGGCAGCTTGGGCAGCGACATCACCGAGGCCGAGCTCGACATGCTCACCAGCGTGCTCGTGCTCGAGCATGCGCTCATGTTGCGCTGGTGGTAGTAGTTGCGCGAAAACACCTTGCGCGAGCGCACAAGGTCGTGCTTGATGGGCGTCAGCAGCATCTCCAGCGCGTTGTACAGGTCCTCGTCGCACACGCGCACGTCCCAGTTGAACAGCTGCAGCAGCTGGCGTTCCATCAGGTTCACGTCCTCCAACGAGAACAGCCCGTCTGTGTACTCGGCCCAGTGCTTGTTCTGGGGCGACGAGTCGTTGTGACACTTGGCACTGAGAATCAGACACGCCAGGAAAATGCGGTGGCTGGTCGACGGAAGCCCGTGTGCGTCGCGGGGCAAAATCCGCTTGAGTTTGTCCAGATAGCATGCGGCCGTGAGCAGAGTAGATGTGTACACGTTCGTGTAGCGGACCAGCCGCGAAATGAACGTCATGAGCGAGGGCAGAGACCTGGCCGATGTCTTGTCCGCACTGCGGGGACTATGCGGGCTGCGTGGGCTGCGTGGGCTGCGTGGACTCGAGGGCGGCGAAGGGTATGCGTCCTTTGCGCAGGGAATCACCTTGAGCGTTGTGTTGGTCAAGTACCGGATCATGTCGTCGGTCACGGGCGACTTGAACAGGATTCTAAGAGCTTTGGCGTCGGACATCGTGATTCAATTGACTGCTTAAACACTGGAATGTGCCAAGAACGACCTGTCCGCTGCACTGAACGTGCATCCTTATATGCATTTCAGACTTGTATCTTGTTCACTTGTCATTTTCGTGTTTTCGTGGTATCGCCAGGTCTGTGTCTACTTTGGTGGATCTTTTTTCGCGGCGTGGTGAAAATCTCTGGGCCGGCATTCGTGCAGCATACCTAATGCGGAAAATGGCTTAATCAATCGCCCGTTTGGGCAGCCTAATTCTTGGAACCGCCAAATTGGGCTCCGTTTCAGTTTCACGTTGACACTCGACGCCAAACCGCCGCCGATCCCGTGGGGTCCATATCGCTTCTTGGAGGTAAACCACTCCTGTCATGTAGAGCCTGTCACGTGGCCGCACCTCAGCCCATTTCTACTCTCATTTCACCCTGCGCAAACCGAAGGGAAGCCACCAAAGCATTTCAATCCAACTTTCTTGTACCGTGCACACTGTTTTCCTTTCTTCAGATGAACCGTGTTAGTAAAACATTCTGATCACCTAAAGGCGCCTTTGAAATTTTTGTTTTTTTCACATCGAGACAATCGAAAAAGATAAAACCGTTTATTTCGTGTAAAATATTCGCTTCCCGCGTCAAAACATAAATACTCAAGAATGTGGCATAAACATAATACGTCCTCTATGGCTACGCCACGCTGCCATGGATCACGTATCGTGAGGCATTGTGAGATATTCTTTAGATGGTACAATTTGCAATACGCGTGCGCTTGAAGTGCTTGAAGGTACTTAAATGTGCTTGTTACAAGGCAGAGCTCACCAATAAACTACGTGCGAGCGTCTTGCAGGTCATGTTTTTGCTCTTTCAGCCGCATCCTCGAGGCCCGAAAAGAGAATCACTCAGCTCCTAATTTACCGGTTCTCCACCCCACACAAAGACACCAAAACCCACAGCCGTTCGAGAAACTCCGGCTCCACAGCGTTGGGTATACGCCCTCCATCGACTGCTCGATACGCCCTCCTCGAAACACACTCCTAAAGCTTGGAGCATGCGATCTCGCGAGTGCATGTCTGGAAAGGACGGTAGACGGCGTGTTTTTCCTCACGGAAATGCCCGTATTGTATTTGTCTAGGTGTCCGCTTCATACCTGAGAAGCCCAAATTCCAATTGACCCTTCTCTCTCGCGCGATGACTGGATTGCCAATCACTTCCGAACTCTGAGGCCCCATATCGTTTTCGTACAACGTTAGATAAAATCTCTTGGATTACGTAACACGCGGCACATCTTTATCAACGTCTCTGTTCGTATCTCATTTCAAAGGTTGACAAGGAATGAACTTCCAGACGTGCCAAAAACAGTATCAATCCTTTGCTCACCATCTTACCAATACGAGGTGGACCAGCACAAGGCCTGCAAGCATCTCTGCTCTCGTATAAACTTCTGCTCATCAGCAGTTTTGCATGCTTTGCGCGTCGGATTTATTATGGTTTTCGAATCGGGTTTCGGTTTCTGGTAGATGGATGGGTGATTGTGCCAGCTTCAATTGCACCCACAATACTTTGCATCATATTAACTGCGGTGCACGTCAAGACACTTAAATCTTATATATTAAAAGTAGCGATGAGATCTTTCTCCCATCCAGCTCTAGGAACCTAAAGGAACTCAGCATGGCCGCGAATCTCGAAAAGGAAGAGAAATCGTCCGTCACTGGCGTAGACCAAATTGTCACCAAGCGCAAGGATGCAGGTGTACAGAACATCGAAGTCTACGCCCAGCAGTACAACAAAGTCGGATATCGTTTAATGCTATTCTTTTCAATTTTCATAGTTGCTTACGCTTACGGACTTGACGGACAGATTCGCTACACCTTTGAGGCGACCGCCACGTCCTCCTACTCACAACATGCGCTACTATCTACTATCAACTGTATCAGAACTGTCATAGCAGCAGCAGGCCAGGTGTGGTTCGCTCGTGCTTCTGACTTATTTGGTAGATTGTCAATCCTAGTGGTGGCTGTATTATTCTACGTGATTGGTACTATCATCGAGTGCCAGGCTGACACGATTTCCAAATTTGCTGCCGGTTCCTGTTTCTACCAATTGGGACTCACAGGTATCATTTTGATTTTGGAGGTGGTTGCAATGGATTTTTCAAACTTGAATTGGCGTTTGCTTGCATCTTTCGTGCCTGCTCTTCCCTTTATTATCAACACTTGGATCTCTGGAAATGTCACTAGTGCAATTGGTACCAGATGGCAATGGGGTATTGGTATGTGGGCATTCATTATTCCTCTTTCCTGCATTCCTCTTGTCTCCTGCCTACTCCACATGAGATATCTTGCTCGCAAGAACAGCCGGGATGAGTTGACTTCCGAGTTTAAAATGTATAAGCAAATGCCATGGTCCAAGTATATCACTGAGGTTTTCTTCTGGAGATTTGACTTTTTGGGATTACTTCTAGTATGCATTACTTTCGGATGCATTTTGATTCCCTTCACCTTGGCAGGCGGCCTGAAATCAGAATGGAAAGCCGCACACATCATCGTGCCTGAGGTCATTGGTTGGTGCGTGGCTTTGCCTCTGTATTTGATTTGGGAATCTAAGTTTTCTCGGTACCCATTGACACCATGGGCTCTCATCAAGGACAGAGGTATTTTTGCAGCGTTGGTCATCGCTTTCTTGATTGATTTTGTGTGGTACATGCAAGGTGACTATATGTACACTATTCTAATCGTGGCTGTCAATGAGTCGGTCAAATCAGCCACTAGAATTACTTCACTTTACTCTTTTGTGTCGGTCATTACAGGCACTCTTCTAGGATTTGTGATTGCTAAGGTGAGAAGAACTAAGAGCTTTATTTTGTTCGGAGTGAGTTGCTGGTTCGTTGCCTTTGGCCTGTTGGTTCATTACCGTGGTAACAGCGATTCTCACTCCGGTATAATTGGGTCCTTGTGTCTGTTAGGTTTCGGTGCAGGTTTCTTTACCTATACCACACAAGCCTCCATCCAAGCCTCTACTAGTTCTCACGAAGATATGGCAGTAATCACCGCCTTATACTTGGCCACTTACAATGTTGGTGCTGCATTTGGAGCTGCAGTTTCTGGTGCCGTATGGACCAACATTCTACCAGCTCAGATCGCACAAAGGCTTGACGATGCAACTCTTGCCGCTCAGGCGTACTCCGCACCATTTGAATTCATTGTGACATATACGTGGCACACAATGGAAAGACAGGCGGTTGTTCACGCTTATCGTTATGTGCAAAAGATTTTATGCACAATTGGACTATGCTTCTGTGTTCCGCTTGTTATTGCCTCATTACTCCTAAGAGATCACAAATTGGAGAACGTCGTGGCTTTGGATGATCTAGATTCGAAAAATGAGCTAGATGATAAAGAGAATGGTAACTTCTTGACCGAATTCTTCTCCACAGCCGTGGGACGCAAGAATTCCGAGACTAAAATTAGAGAAAGAGTTGTTATGGCTTGATTTTTCAATGATATCTTCTTATAATTTACATATACTGTGGTTTAATTAAGGCAATATTTTTTTTAATGTATGTGCACCATGAGCAATGAATCGGTGCTATAGTTGAGTTTTACACCACGGTTCTTGCGGAGTTAATTATGCAATTCTGAAGATTTTCATCTACTCACAACTTATTTCCTTTAAATCAATTAGAAAGAAGAGGCTTTACCCTTCAAGTTCAAAGCTAGTTTTAATGACTCCGATGACCGCACTATTCTGTATTTTGTCATTTCCTCCCTTTGAAATCGCATATTCAACATCTGCTAGCTTACACAGCAGCTGTGTTCTTGTCTCTGGCTTTAATTCATAATCTTCAAGAACCTCTATCATGCCCTCTATCATATCAATTAAAGCAAGCCCTTTAGATGTTCTAATTTTGTTGACGGTGTAGAATGCCGTACCCCAGTCATCCTTAAGCATAGACTCGAGAGCGGTCTCAATCTCCTGAGGATGTGGAGCTCCAATACATTCATAGATAGTATTTTCGGTAACCTCTTCTGATGGATCATCGAGGGTGGCCTTGCTTGCTTGAAGAACATTCAAAGCTCTCCTCATATCACCCTTAGAAAGTTTCAATAGAGCTTTTAAAGCCTCTGGGCTCAATTTCAAGCCCTCTTTGATTAGAACATTGGTCACACGTTTCTCGATCGCTGCTGCCGGTAGCGGTTGAAATCTAAAGCGCGTACATCTACTCAAAAGAGCCGGTGTTAGTTTATGCGCATAATTTGCAAGAATGCAAAATCTAGTATTCTTCGTGTATTTTTCAATGATTCTTCTTAACGCATTCTGAGCTGCATTTGTCATAGAATCAGCTTCATCCAAGATAATCAACTTGAATCCTTTCGAGAAAATCTGTCTCGTGGACGCAAATTCCTTGATCTGGTTCCTCACCACATCAATACCCCTATCATCGGAAGCATTGAGCTCCAGTACCATATTTCGATAGTTTTTACCGTAGATCTCTCTTGCTAAGGCAACTATAGTCGATGTTTTACCGGTACCTGGTGGTCCGTAGAACAGAAGATGTGGTAACCTTCCCTCCTTTACAAACTTACGAACGGTTTCCACAATCTCAGTCTGCCCATAAACATCATCAAGTGTTTCAGGTCTGTACTTTTCAATCCAGGGTAGGTTCTCTGCAGATCTCGCCATTTTCCTCTCTTTAAAGGCTTTGAACTTTCATGAAACTTTAGTTCGCGTTTTTTCGTTGATTTTCCGCGCGCGATCCTATGGCAATTGAAAAGATGAGGACCACCAAATTTTCCTCGAAGATCAGCATGATACTATGATTTCTGTATGTTGGAACGAAATACAACTATCGACCATCGACTAGTATTCGTGTTACTAGTATATTATCATACACGGTGTTTTAAGATGACATAAAGAATGAGAAACAGTCATTGAAATTAGTGGAAGCTGAAGCGCAAGGATTGATAATGTAATAGGATAATGAGTGAAAATGTATAAAAGGAACAGAAAGAGTAAGAATATTTGTAAGTAGAATTATTGACTCTTCTTTCTGGATTCTTAGAAAGATGAGGAGAACTTCTAGTATAACCATATACCAATAATTACAGCCTTAATAAAAAATGGAATCCCAACATTTAGCTCAATATTCACCCATTTCTCATGGTAGCGCCTGTGCTTCGGTTACTTCTAAAGAAGTCCACACGAATCAAGATCCATTAGACGGTTCAGCTTCCAAAATCAACGAATATGATAAGCTTTCCACTAAGGCAAATTCTCAACAAGAAACAACACCTGTGCCCACAGATGTTTCAGAGAACACTCATCATGCCTCTCCTCACACTGCTCAAGTACCATTGCCCCAGAATGGCCCGTACTCACAGCAGTGCATGATGACTACAAATCAAGCCAATCCATCCAGTTGGCCAATATACGGTCACCCATATACGATGCCGTACACACCTTATCAAATGTCGCCCATGTACTATCCACCTGGGCCACAACCACAGTATACACAGTATACACCAACTGCGGGAACGTCTTTGAGCGCCACACCCCCCGAGCCCGGTAACACACTTACCAAGCCACCTTCAACGAAGTCAGATATGACACCCGTCAACAAATCTGTTCGACCACCACCAATTTTAACATCATCAAATGATTTTCTAAATTGGATCAGAACTTACGTTAAATTTTTACAAAATTCAAATCTCGGTGACATTATCCCGACGACAGACGGAAGACCTATACGTCAGGTAACATACGACGAACAAACCTTCTTGTACAACACTTTTCAAACGTTTGCTCCACCTCATTTGCTACCTACTTGGGTCAAAGACATCTTATCTGTTGATTATACAGATATCATGAAGGTTCTTTCGAAAAGCTTTGAAAAGATAAAAACCGATACTCAAGATGCTAACGACCTGATAACGATCACTAATATCCACTACAATGGCAGTACACCAGCAGTCGAGTTTGAAACAAAGATCACGAATACAATCGAGCGACTAAACAATAATGGTATTTCTATCAATGACAAGCTAGCATGTCAATTAATTATGAAAGGTCTCTCTGGGGAATACAGATTCTTACGCTACGCACGTCATCGCACCCAAAACATGACAATCGCAGAACTGTTCCTGGACATTCATGCCATATATGAAGATCAACAGGAATCGGAACGCCGTAAGCCTAGTTACTCAAGGATTCCTAAAGAATGACAAGAACATTTCTCGAGTCTCTTCAAATATAAACAAAGCCAAGACTGTAACCCGAAACTCTCAAAAAGCAAGTAACTCAAAATCAAGAACGGTCAAAACTAATAACGTGTCTACATCTCATAACTCTTTTGACAAGAACAATGATTCGATCAACGAATCACCTGATAAAACGATACACTTGAACAATCAGTATGACCTTCACCTTAGGCCAGATACATACTGAGTCCAAGGTAAATCACACGGATCATTCAAATGATGAACTTCCTGGACATCTTCTCATCGATTCAGGTGCATCACAAACCCTTATCAGATCCGCTCATCACATACACTCAGCATCGCCTAATATTGACATAAGCGCAATCGATGCTACAAAAAAAGGAATACCAATCAACGCCATTGGTAATCTCCAATTCAAATTTGAAGATAAATACAAAAACATCAATAACAGTACTACACACTCCGAACATAGCTCATGATCTACTCAGTTTGAGTGAGCTAGCTAAGCAAAACATCACTGCCTGTTTTACCAAAAATACCCTAGAGCGAGTTGACGGCACCGTACTTGCCCCTATCGTTCGACATGGGGACTTTTACTGGCTATCCAAAAAATACTTGATTCCCTCGAACCTATCAATGCCAATAGTTAACAATATCGGTACTGATAAAGTCTCGCACAAGTATCCCTATCCTTTGATTCATCGCATGCTTGGCCACGCTAATGCTCAAACCATTCGGAACTCTCTAAAGAATAACTCAATAACATATCTAAAGGAAGCAGATGTCGATTGGTCTAAAGCTACTACATACCAATGCCCAGATTGCTTAATCGGCAAAAGTACTAAACACAGACATGTCAAGGGATCACGAGTCAAATACCAAAACTCGTATGAACCTTTCCAATATCTGCATACCGACATATTCGGTCCTGTTCACAACCTGCCAAAAAGTGCACCATCCTACTTCATAACATTTACCGACGAGAAAACAAGATTTCAATGGGTTTATCCATTACACGATCGTCGCGAACAATCTATTCTCGAGGTATTTACCACAATACTAGCCTTCATTGAAAGACAATTCAAGGCCAGTGTCTTGGTTATACAAATGGACCGTGGTTCTGAATACACAAACAAAACTCTCCATAAATTCCTTCTTCAACAAGGCATCACTGCATGCTATACAACCACAGCAGACTCTCGAGCTCATGGTGTAGCTGAACGATTGAACCGTACTTTACTAGACGATTGTCGCACACAGCTTCAATGCAGTGGATTACCAAATCATTTATGGTTTTCCGCAGTGGAATTCTCAACCATAGTCAGGAACTCTTTAGTTTCACCTAAAAACGAAAAATCTGCACGGCAACACGCGGGTTTAGCGGGACTTGACATCAGTACTTTACTACCATTTGGTCAACCTGTGGTAGTCAATAATCACAATCCTGATTCGAAAATACATCCCCGCGGCATTCCTGGCTACGCTCTACATCCATCCCGGAACTCTTATGGATATATTATCTATCTTCCATCTTTAAAGAAGACAGTGGACACTACCAATTACGTTATCCTGCAAGACAAGCAATCCCGATTGGACCAATTCAATTACGACGCACTTACCTTTGATGATGACATAAGTAGACTAACTGCTTCATATAAATCGTTTATTGATTCAAATGAAATCGAACAGTCCTACGACCTTCACATGGATCCTAATCATGATTTTCAATCTGAGATAGATCATGACCCTGAACTCCGGGGAGATGACAGTTCCACAGATCTGATTGCAACTGGTTCGCTATCAACTCCTACTCAACCAACGAGATTGGAATCTGTACCTACAACTAATGCTCGTGCACCCAAAGAAGTTGACCCTAATATATCTGAATCAAATATTCTTCCGTCAAAGAAGAGGCATAACACAACCAATATTCCTGATTCAGACAATACCTGTTCGGGTGGTATGAATAGATCAGATGTATCAACCGATATCCCCGTGCACAGCTCTGTCACGCAACAATCGATTAAATCCAATGATCACGATCAAGTGAGCGATTCAGATTCACATCGCCAAATCAATACTAATCCTAAAAACGACACAACACCATGTTTGGGTGGTACCAACAACAAGACTATATCAGAGTTCAGTGATCAGGCTACCGAGAAAAGCTTGATAAACTATCCAATTCCACTATTTGATCCCCCACAGGGAAGTGAGATACCAAAGTATAATGCTCCTATTGTTACACCAGATACCTACTCTGAACATGATGTCAAGGAATATATTACAGAAGATCTTCCGCTTCCCGACTTACCTTCAGAATCTCCTTCCTGTTTCCCCGATGCATTTAAAGAAATTCCACCAATCAACTCTCGTCAAACTAATTCCAGTTTGGGTGGTATGGGTAAATCTAATATCTATGATACTATCAATAGTAAGAAAAGATTATTAGAAGATAATGAAACTGAAATTGAGGTATCACGAGACACATGGAATAACAAGAACATGCGTAGTTTACAGCCTCCGAGATCAAAGAAACGTATACATCTGATCGCAGCTGTGAAAGCAGCAAAACCAATCAAACCTATACGAACAACCTTAAGATATGATGAGGCAATCACATATAATAAGAATATCGAGGAAAAGGAAAAGTACATTCAAGCATACCATAAAGAAGTTAATCAGTTGCTAAAGATGAACACATGGGACACAAACAGATACTATGACAAAAATGAAATAGACACCAAAAAGGTGATAAACTCAATGTTCATATTTAACAAGAAACGAGATGGAACACACAAAGCCAGATTTGTTGCAAGAGGTGACATTCAACATCCTGATACGTACGACTCAGGAATGCAGTCTAACACTGTACATCATTATGCATTGATGACATCCCTGTCACTTGCATTGGACAATGACCACTACGTCACACAACTGGACATATCTTCGGCGTACTTGTACGCAGACATCAAAGAAGAATTATACATAAGACCTCCGCCACATTTAGGCATGAACAACAAGTTAATACGATTGAGAAAATCACTTTACGGCTTGAAACAAAGTGGTGCAAACTGGTATGAAACTATCAAGTCATATCTGATAGATAAATGTGATATGGAAGAAGTACGTGGATGGTCATGTGTGTTTAAAAACAGTCAAGTAACAATCTGCTTATTCGTTGATGACATGATACTATTCAGCAAAGACTTGAACTCAAACAAAAGAATTATAGAAAATCTAAAACGACAATATGACACTAAGATCATAAACCTAGGTGAAAGCAATGAAGAAATCCAATATGACATTCTTGGACTAGAAATCAAATACCAGAGGGGTAAGTACATGAAACTAGGTATGGAAAACTCATTAACTGAGAAATTACCAAACCTAAACGTACCTTTGAATCCAAGAGGTAGGAAACTTGCCGCTCCAGGGCAACCTGGTCTTTACATAGACCAAGAAGAGTTAGAACTGGAAGAAGATGATTACAGAATGAAGGTGCATGAAATGACAAAAGCTAATTGGCCTAGCATCGTACGTTGGATACAAATTCAGATTCGACCTACTGTACTACATCAACACTCTCGCACAACATATATTATTCCCGTCCAAACAAGTTTTAGATATGACATATGAATTAATACAGTTCATATGGGATACCAGAGATAAACAACTAATATGGCATAAAAACAGATCTACGAAATCAGGAAACAAATTAGTTGTAATAAGCGATGCTTCGTACGGAAACCAACCGTATTACAAATCCAGATTGGTAACATATTCTTACTCAATGGAAAAGTCATTGGAGGAAAATCAACAAAAGCATCACTAACGTGTACTTCAACCACAGAAGCAGAAATACACGCAGTCAGTGAAGCCGTTCCGTTACTAAACAATCTAAGTTATCTCGTGCAAGAACTAGGTAAGAAACCAATCATCAAATGTTTACTTACTGACAGCAGATCTACAATCAGTATAGTTACATCCAAAAATAAAGAGAAATTTAGGAACAGATTCTTCGGCACTAGAGCAATGAGACTCAGAGATGAAGTATCGGACAATAATTTGTACCTATACTACATTGAGACCAAGAAGAACATTGCTGATACATTGACAAAACCTCTTCCGATAAAAACTTTCAAGTTGTTAACAAACAAATGGATTCATTAGATCTATTACATTATGGGTGGTATGTTGGAACGAAATACAACTATCGACCATCGACTAGTATTCGTGTTACTAGTATATTATCATACACGGTGTTTTAAGATGACATAAAGAATGAGAAACAGTCATTGAAATTAGTGGAAGCTGAAGCGCAAGGATTGATAATGTAATAGGATAATGAGTGAAAATGTATAAAAGGAACAGAAAGAGTAAGAATATTTGTAAGTAGAATTATTGACTCTTCTTTCTGGATTCTTAGAAAGATGAGGAGAACTTCTAGTATAACCATATACCAATAATTACAGCCTTAATAAAAAATGGAATCCCAACATTTAGCTCAATATTCACCCATTTCTCACTGTAAGTAGTGAACAGTATCCTTAAGATCCTCTTCCTATAACTAATCGCCACGTAATTGATAATTAGACTCGCGTGCCTATGCCTATGCCGCATATGCTCGAAACAATGACTATTTAGTGTTCATATATTATTTTGAATGTGCTCTACAACCTGGAGCATAAACTGCATGCACATATATCCTACAAAGTCCCCAGATTGGTTATATCGAACGATGTACAACTCCAATTAAGTTTGAGAATTCTTGTGCTTATATACAGTACTAAGAAATGCCGACGAAAGTTGAATGATCAAACAACTCCGTCTTTGATGTATCTATGGAACATCTAAGCGCCGGAGTGTAGTTGAATAGGTCTTGCATAGCCTTTTGATTCACTATTCTATAATTACAAATATAAGTAGAATAGTTTACAACTAATTAGCCAAAATCGTGTTAGCGTCCCAGTGGCCGAGTGGTTAAGGCGATGCCCTGCTATTCGACTTATCGAAAGCTGTTAGGCATTGGGTTTTACCTGCGCAGGTTCGAATCCTGTCTGTGACGTTAATTTTTACATTATTTTTTTGATTGGTGTCTAGATTATACGTCTTATTGATTCAACATCCACCATCTAGGTCGACTCGAATCAATTCTGAATTGCAGTTAGTTCATGCCTAAAAGATCATTACAATGAGGCTGCTATTGATCCCGCTCCTCGTACTCTTCTGGGTCTTTACCAAGGCATTCGAATTCGACGATGATCTTCTCATGATAGGAGATAATGCAATGTGGAATTACAAGGATTCCAGTAGCTCGATCTTGGATTCGGACTCTATGAATGAATGGACACCAATATCTTCAAGAATATCACCGGGCAGTAGAGACTATTTCAACTTTGAGGTAAACTCAAATTCGACAGGCCTTTCTTCAACATATGAAATGCTGATTTTCCTTAGTGGTAACATATGCTCTCAGTCGACACAGAATAGCTCCGATTTGGAACTGAAAGTATTTTATTCATTCAATGAGAGTGTGACGACAAATCCAGAGGCTGGGAATTCCGCTTCATTTGTTGACGGGTACATGGAAGCTTTAGCTATCAGGCCATTGACTGGCAATGTCAACGTGACTCAATATTCAGACCTATTTCTCATGGTCGAAGTAGTAAACTCAACAACAGGTCAAGAAGCTAGTGCTACGGATGCAGAATATTTCTGGAATTATACCATTAGTGTTTCTCAAAATGACTTGGTATTTCAATGGGATTCAAGAGCATGGCTAGAAGTGGTCGATACCGACTATAACACGGCACTTTTAGTCACTGGTAATGTCACCTCGACCTCGACCTCAGCATCTAATTATTCAATTTATGATACAAGTCTTTACGACTTGTTCATATACTCCTATGACTACGTGGATTATTTCGACAACATTTTAACTCATTCACTTTGTGCCGTGAAAAATGGGCCATACTTGGTTTCCTCAGTCAATTCGAAATTAAGTGGCAACTTGACGTCCATTAACGAGACCGAATTAGCTATTGGCAAATCAATTACTGTACGAGGAGGCTCTGTGAAGGAGCAATTCTATGTCACAGGTCTAAATAGTTCCGCAACATACGTTGCATATTTGACAAAGAAAATTTCTAGCGACAACGAATCTCTGAGTGATTCTGGGGGGATTCTATTTTCCAAGGTGACTTTCACTACTATGATTGATGACTCCTGCTCTTTGATATTTGGTTTAGACTTTTGTGATGGGGTAGCTTACTCAGTACCTACCTCAAGTTTGGCAGTGAATAATAAGACTCAGATCGCCACCTTATACGACGACATTGCCAAATCACTGTATGCCAACTTCAGTAATGCATTAATGATCATTCCTTGCAACGCTGAAAAAGATGCGACCTTTTCTCCTTTAAGATCTTGCAATGATTGCGCCACTGCTTATAGAAACTGGCTATGTGCAGTCAGTATACCGCGATGCACCACATCGAAGACCTCTTACTACATTCACAGAGAAAAAACGGATAACAGAAATGATTACATTAATAGTCAAATTCAGCCGATCAGTGATTACTACGAAATTTTACCGTGCATTAATATGTGCTATTCATTGGTTGTCGACTGCCCTCCTGATTTTGGTTTCGCATGTCCCAGCGAAAATTCTCACTCCGAGCTACTTTATTTGAGCTACAATGTCTACGAAAACGATTTACCTTACGATACCTGTAACTACGTGGGAAATTCGAATAGTCTCAAAATACTTGACTAGAGTTTCTGGACCACATTGTCATTCTCGTCATCTTCCAAGGCTCGTTTCAAACCGGAACTTACATTCGCTTCCTCCGAAACCTCTTTGTTTGTATTCTGTTTCTGAGCATCGAAGTCCTCTTCCATTTTCTTGGATTCTTTCTGTTGCTCGATTTCGAGTTCATAGTGAGCTTTCTCGAGTTCTTTCCTCACATCTATAGAAGAACCATGTTCTAATACTTTTGCTAGTACAGCGGTCCAGATTCTTTCATCATTCTCTGTAAAGTCTTCAAGTTTAAAAACGTTGTTCTTGTGCAGAGACCAATCCTGTTGTTGGCTGCGTATTAGCTTAACCATATACGAAGACGATCTCATGGCCTTGCCGACGTCACTTATAAGTGACCTAATATAAGTTCCTGAGGAGACTTTTGCTTTAAAATGCAGTAAGGGTGCCCTATAGCTTTTCCCCCTGCTTTCAATATCTTTCAACTCACTTTCATCTGCCACGATAGGAGGATCAATTGGAGGCTCTTCTGAGGTCCAACCTTGAGATTCGCAGTACTCTTTTGAGAAGTATAATTTATCAGTCATTAAATTACTGTTTCTGTTCAAAGCAGAGACAGTATCCTTATCTTCATCATTTGATGGTCGTAAAAGTTCGTAACCGTGCTGATTGGTCAAAGAGTCGGGAAAGATTTCTAGGTCGTAGATCTCTACTTGCCGTGGTTCAATCGCTCTGGGCAAAGGGATACCTTCACGAGCGTACTCATGCAAAGGTTTACCATTCATCTTTAGAGCTGCGAAAATTGGAGGGGTTTGCTTGATTTTTCCCACAAATTTCTTTTCCATGGATTTTAACTCTTCCATCTTAAGGTGTTTCACTGAATTCATAGTCAAAATTTCTCCTTCGACATCACCTGAAGTCGTGGATACTCCAAATAAGGCTTCACTTTCATAGACCTTTACAGTTCCAGATAGATACTCAGATAATTTTTTTGTTCCAGAACCCACACCAACAACTAATACGCCTGATGCCAAAGGATCCAATGTACCTCCATGACCCATTTTAATTTTAGAAACCTTACGCAGCTTTCTTTTACTTGGCTTGCGTCCTGTTTCTTTTTGATATTGTTGCATGCGCTCCGCAGTGGCTCTTTGAATTTCTTTCGAGAACACACTACTGTTCATCAAAGCATGTTGCACCTTCAAAAGAAACTGACTCGAAGATATGCCACTGGGCTTCTCAATTGCGAAGATTCCATTCATTTTGCTTGATTCTTCGCTGCCTTGATCCAAATGTGATGAGCGTTCAGTCAAGAAAATTTTTGGCTCACTCATAACGAGGGTTTAGGAATCTGGAAATCAAGCTGCATCAAATGAGCAACGTTAGTCAAGGTAATCCGCAAAACAAAAATCACAAATGCTTAAAACATACCGAGAGATAGCCAGACCTTCGTGGGGAAATTATCTTGAGGTTCTTAGCTTTAAAAGGCTCTGAATCATTGATTTTATGCACGTAATCTTCGAGTTCTGATAGGGGATTATCAAATACTCGGATTAAGATACTGTTCCACAAATTAAATGTCAGAGTGTCAACGAGATTATTCAGAATATTCCACCAAGAAGAGGTCGTATATCCGCGTCGTAGGTAATCATTCACATTGTCCACAATATCGCTCAGTTCCTTACTGGATAAATATTGACTGAGAGGACTGACAGACGATAAACCAAATATCTGCCCATCATACTCCCCCTTGGGAAGAAATTTGAACTGTTCATCATACGATACAAGTGCCGCTGGTTCCGACCCCGGTAACTGGTTGCTGAAGCAAGGATAGTCCAGGCTATTATCAAATCTTCTGGGAATTCTAACAATCCTTGTCTTACTAAATAGATCAGAATCAATAGGCTCGTAGACATTAGGGAAGTGCGTTATGCATAATGCTTGATCTTCATCATGTTCTCTCAGTTGACCATCTAAATCGGTGTATTGTGTTACAGTGAACTCGTGGTAATTGAAAAAGAGAGGCTTTAGTTTCTGATTATCATCTATCGTATGGTTTTTGGAAGCAGCACTGTTCAGAGTACTGTTCATGCTCTTTGCGGCAATATTCAGTTGTTCGTGCGGAATGGATCAACCTATGGTACACTGTGAAGAAAAAAATACTTTCAATTCTTTCCATTTAGAACCTTTGCCTCCGCTCCTCACAACCCTAAGTATGACTTCACCAGAAAGGGAATTTATAAACAAATTCTTGAGCCTTGCAACTCTTAATGCGCCTGCATTACCAGCCGACTACAAGAAGTCGTTACACGATGTGGATAACTTGGGTGTTGCTCTTCCACCTTTGAGGTACAAGTACGACCACAAACGAGCAAAATTGTCAGCTTTAGCTAACGGATCTAGCGAGGTTTCAATAACTTTAAAGTCCGTAAGACCACCAAAATTCGTCCACACGAAATCATTCTCCAAGATCGACACCGTTCATGTGGTCAAGGAGTTCCTAGTTGATCAAGAAGATTCTCTTTCCGATACCTCTCAATTAAAGTTACTTTTAAAAGGCAAAGTATTGCACGACAGCGTCCTCCTTTCCGATTTGAAAACGGACAAAGCAGACCTTACCGTAATGGTTTCAAAGGCTTTGAAGGTGGCAGATGCTTCGTCTTCTGACAGCCATTCCCCGCCAATTCAACCTTCCATTTCAGCGGAGACTCTTGAAGTTCCTTGGGAAGATATACAGAAACTACTAGACAATAAACTGGAATCCGAAGCGCGGAGTCGCGAAGTCTTTGAAAGGTTAAGACGAGGCTGGACTCTAACAGAAGAAAGGTAATGCCAGTTTTCTTGCCATGCATTTAACGCATATCATGTATAATTACATATAAAAATATTAAATGTAAGCTATCTTCTTCTGATCTGCCTTACTTTTTCCTTTATGCTATTGTTCCAATGAACTCCAGTAAGACTTTTCTTAAAGCCGTAGACTTCGGAAGACAAAGCGTCATTAATAAGATCACTAGCCATCTTCGAGTCCCTATTACTAGATGACGCGGCCTTGTCCCCAACTAATTCCGTATAATTTTTATGCTTTAGCCTCTGTGATGTGACATATTTTCTGCATCGATCAATTTCTTCTTGATTTAGGTTATTAAAGGATATTCTTCTTTTGAAAATTACGCGATCAAAAATATCATTAGGATTAAGAAGTTTCTTTGGAAACGTTTGTATGATTTGAAAAATCTCAATATCATCGTCATCTTTATTAGGTGGCCTTGAGCGGGTATTGTGATGATTATGACGTGATAATTCTTGCTCACTGAGCTTTATGATTGATAATGAGATCTTGAAAAGAACGTGAGATTCCTCGTAAAACAAGCAATCCCAAATGCGAAGTGTTGTTTCAATTGGAACCACACCAACAAAGCAACTCATAAACCAACTTGCCGTGCATAGTGTCAAAGGCGGTAACTTGTATAGAAACTCGTTATTCCTTGCCTGTTGCTTGGGCATTATTCTGTGCCAAAATTCTGGTAAATATTCTTTAATGCACAGCATGAGCACACCCTGATCTATGTTTACCCCCTCAAGATTGACATTGTGGACACCAGGTAAATATCGTGAAGTTATAATTACGAGCATCCAAAAGGCCTTTTCCTCGTCTAGGAATAATAAAAGCAGACCTACCAAAAAGTTCATCGATTGGCAGTATCCAATCTTGGGATTGTAGATCGAAAACGCAATCAAAACTCTCCTCAAGGATTGAATCATCAATGGTTCCTCAGTATCGTCGGATTTTCTCTGAAAATGAATATTGTCTGGAAATGTTCTGTTCAGATCTCTTTCGATAACGTCCGAATCGCGCAATTGACCATTTTGAGAGCTGTTTAAATTATTCAGGATCTTGTCATACAAACCCTTGTTCTTGTTGAGTTTCTCTTGTCCACGAGCAAAGTACCACCAGGCGTTCCCCCTCCATTCTGCAGGAATTCCTTTTCGAACGTACCTTTTCAGCTTTTCACTTTTCGGAGGAAATCTGTCTGGAGAGTCATTGTTCGTAGAAAGGCCACTCTTCTCCAGGAGGTCTTGCCATTTTCTTTTCCTCCTAATGCAATATTGGGAGTATTCAGACCACCATGAATTGTATTCGTTCTCTGTAATGTAAGTCGACTGCTTCTTAAAACCATAACGATCAAAGTGCGAAAGATCTTTAAGTATTGAGTTTGTTGTTTGTTCTAATTCAGAAGAATAGCTGACTGCGGCAGGAATTGGATCAGTCATGGGCGTCGTGCTTCCGGAGCCATTCTCATCCTCTTCGGCTTCCTCGTAGAGCTCAATGAAGCTCAAATCTGTAGCATCTTCCACTGAATTAGACTCTACAAGTGAAGGTTTGCTATTTGGAGGCTTTGGCTCGCTCATCATCGACACATTGCTCTTGTTTTCTCCCAAGTATGTTCTATTTAGATCAGGAACGGAGGGCGACTTCTTAGGGAGAGATACGCCGTGTCCAGAATGCATTGGTCTTACGTGCATGCCATAGCTGTTCAGAAGGCTAGCACTTCGAGACATGTTTTCTAGACAGTAGGCAGAGAAATGAGAGCTGAAGCACTGTGTCATCATAAGTAAAACATACTTAAAAAAATGTCATCTAGAAATGACAAATTTGGTACGAGGCCAAGGAAAACAATGGTAAACAAATACTTAGATAAATACTATATCAATAAAGACATCGGATACGATTCCACCAATATCATAATATGATCAGTAGAAATGAAAGTAGCATAGAATTATGGTGTAAGATAAACTCCAATTTGCATCAATCGTTTCTTGTGATAACTAAATACAAATGATTTCGGCGATCACTGTTGGCGAGGTGCGTTTGCTTGCGCTGGCAACGATCACCATAAATGACTTCATGGCGATATAAACTTGATTCACAGCTATATGGAACCTGTTCTGGACTTGACTTGGGGAGTGGAGTGCTTCTTTGGAAGGACGCGCAACAGCCTATTGCATATTTCGATTCTATCAAATTTCGAAGCTACTGTGATGAGAGCAGACCAGTTTACTCTTCCTTCAGGAAAACCGAAAACTCATTTGAATATCTGGACGAAATTGCAGCGGATTGGGCTATCTTCATGTCTGATAAAAATGAAAACGGTCAGTACAAGTATAGCATATACGCTATCACATTATCCTTTACAGCGAACTTCGTTATTACACTTTTTCTGACCGTTATTGTATTCGTTGCCATAAGGAAAAAGCCCTACAAAGGAGCCTCAAATTTACTGAAACTAGGAAGTACGCTAGCGTCCGTGAATTTGACTATTTTCGTGGTGAAAGCTCTCAAGTCACTTAGGGATAATCACATGGACAGAGGTGTCGTTTCAACTGAAAACGTCTTACGCCTACTTTGGAATGACCTTACATTTACATCTATTGACTTTATCGTTGTACTGATATGTGAGCTATGCCAGGTACAAATTATTATGAGATTATTTTCCCGTGTCCAGGAGAAGAGAATGATATTTTTCATTGGTATGCTTCTATCAATAATATCACAGATCCTTTGGGCCATTCCTACTTTTTCACAGTCTGTTCATTATTCATACATGGGGCTACAGTATGACGGGGAAGGTTTAACACTTCTTTCACCTTTCGTTTACCTCTTTCGAATTTCACTAGCGGCTTCTTATGCCAGCATCATCTGCTCACATATATTCACGAAGCGGCATCTCTGTTTTCAAGATAAACACATGATTATATTAACGCTCGTGACATGCGTAATTGTATTATTGCAACCAGGCTTTTTCGTGGCTGATGTGGCCAATATATGGATTGACGACTTGAGTGAAATTTTCAATACTACCTGCTACGTGGGATCTACTGTAATCGTTTGGGAATGGGTGGATCATGTACTCATATTGGAACGTAAGATGCAGGCACAAAGCGTACTAGGAAGGCCCATTTATGAGGACGAACAGCAGGATTATTATTTTGCCAACTACGCATTACGGGTCCAGGAGGCCATATCGTCCAATGAGGATGATGATGCTCCAGAATCACCAGTACAGACGAACTTTAATTACAAGAAAGAAACAGTGTCCAATGCACAAAACAATAAAGTGGAATTTAATGAACCACAACGCATGAAGGATGTCGTACTTGAAAAATGTTCAAATATACTTGATGGTATGCTATATTTTACGGACCATTTCATTGTCAAAGGTCTGATGATAAAGACGTTAAGTTTACATTCTAGAAGTAGTGATGATCGTAAAAAGTCGAAGACAAAGGTTAGGCGGCGGATAGGCTTAGAGCGGCCGAATGAAGTTTATGTATATGCTATGAAAGACGTCGTCTTTGACTCGGACGAAGAACAAGAAAATCCCAACATGGAAACAAGAGAAGATGTTGAGAGTGTTTAGATTCGTAAAAGGGCTAAATAGATTATGCAGGTATTAGGTAATAGATAATTCAGGAGTTTCTTTTTATGTGAAATAATCCCATTCAGTGAAGGCATCACCAAAGGTCTTCCAGTGCAAATTTATGGGGTATTTCATATACCTCACGCCGCTTCTTGTGATTCTGTAGTCCTTTTTCAAATTAAAAACGAAGTCATTATCTGCATTTCTACCCCAAAATACGTTGTGCCGTTTTGTCGGCTTCAGCCAATGTATTCTGCCGAATCCTAAAATGGGACTTGGATGCAAAATACAGTCAATTACGTCCCCTGTAAAATAAACAGATGGTAGATATTCAGACAGATCCTTAACTATCGTGTTTACTTTGATCATGACTCTAAACTTGAATTTTCGAGCCTGCTCTTCGGTATCATAGCTGGACAATATAGTTGTGAGAAGTGGCTCAATGTGATTCATAATTCGCTTCCTTAAAAAGTTCTGAAAAACATTTTTCGATGAAATCGACTTGTCAACATAGATATACAATGGAAGTTGACATTCGGTAAACTGTGAGTGAATCGTGAGTTTCGTCAGTTTATGGAATTCCTTGGCAAGAAACCTATTCAGTTTATCGACATCTGTCTTGAAAACATGACGGTCACTCTTGACAAATTTGAACTTGAGTGCATAATTGGTCATCTCCATGTAATGTTTTCTCTGCGCGCTTGCAGCCACAGTGGTTTTATTTGGGTGATATGATTTACAAGAGCTTTTTTGAAACATATCAACCATTTCGGGTTCATCATTGATTTTTGAATTGTACACTTGCATTTTAATCATTTCGTGGGCCTTTATTTTAGGTTTGCTTTTCTTTTCGATCCTCATTAACTTGAATGGCTTCAGCTTTCCTACTATTGTTCGGGGAACACCTTTGAAAGGTTGATCATTATACATCATTCCACTTATGGAGGCATCCCAAGGTATTATAGGTTTCTTTCCACTTTCATATCTCATTGAAGCATTTAGTGGTTCGCTTTTCTGCATGTCCTCCAGTATATCTTGAACATCTATCTCTCCATTCTTTGAATCGTCTGTCGCCTTCTTTATCTTTGTCAGAGAACTGAAAAGCCCATCCAAAAGCTCTGGAGTTTTCATGTCAATAGAGGAGTTGCCCAAAAACAAGGGCTTGTATCCTGCGAAAAGACCTTCTGTTTGGACCTCATCCTGCCCAAGATGATCCGTCGAATTCACTCGCGGGAGCAAGAGGGTTCTATTACTCTTTCGATGGATCTTTTTCTGTTTGGAATTAAGAACTCTCGAGGCCAGCTGCTCATAGTTTGGAAGTTCCAATTTTCCCGGGGTTTCCTTATCTGTGATCTCTTTCTCTGCATCTACATTCTTGTCATGGTGGCCTTTCTCATCGTCCTTTGAGCCTGATGAAATACTCCTCAATGAATACCACGTCACCTCTTTGGGGAGAAGACTCCTACACACCGAACTCCTCTTGGTCAGTAAGAACATCCTATTCAACGATATTTAAGCTGATCTTCAAAATCATTGAAAGCTATCACCTTTAAGCTTCCACTACCTTAAGACACAATCATCATACACGAAAGATATATATCTTCGATTGGGGCCCATGTTGGATAAAGGCCAGCTATTTCAATGTGCTATATCCTGAACTCAAGAGGGAAGGTATCGCTTAATCGGGAATTAGTGAGTCCTTTATATTTTGAAGTGATACTTCTGACGTAACAGACATGGGCCCATAATAAACAGAGTTTCTAAAAATTACCTACATTCCGATATAAATTCTTCACTAAATTTTCAATATCTTAAGAAACCACTCATTGAATGAGTTATTCGATCTTATTTACGTTTCAAGTTAGGCAAGATGAGAAGAGGTTTTATCATACTCCACATGATAGATAACAGTGTACGAATTAGACGTTGGTTTTATTTCTTAGATTTATTGTAGATTCAATGTGTTGTATTTATAAAGAACAAGGCGCAACAAAGGGGTCGAGCAGTGCGTGCATCGAAGTCTAATGTCAGCCACTACATCCTTTTCAAATTTTTTACATCAGTTAGATTCTGATCTGCACACACTTTCCTCCGAATCAAAAAGGCGAAACTCTGAGATTAAACATGCGAGTGATAAATCCATTGAAATTCTGAAAACGGTGCATAACTTCGAGGATTTGACGAGACATCCAGACTTTGTAGTTCCTTTTGTCTTATCATGCTCCTCTCGCAATGCGAAATTTACATCTATATCCATGCAATGCCTTCAAAAGCTTTCCTCAACAAATTCAATCCCTAAAGAGAGAATCGAAGACGTGCTGAACTCATTCATCGAATCCACTCACTTAGCTGTAGAGATTCAATTGAAGGTACTTCAGATAATTCCCCTTTTTTTCAAGACCTATAGCAAAAATATCACCGGAAAGCTCTGTGGTAAGATACTTCTGTGCTGCTCGAGCCTTCTACAGCTTCCAAACAAGGCACCTATGGTAGTTGGCTCCGCAAGTGCTACTCTTCAACAATTGATTAATGACATTTTCGAGCGTGCAGCAGCTGATGGAGATGATATGATTGAGGTGGCTACAGGTAATAATACTGTGACGAAAGTTGGCTCATTCCGTCATGATGCTAATAGAGTCTTTGCCGATTTATGCAGTCTGAATTCCACCAATTACAACAATGAGTCTGTACTTAACATTTCTAGCATCCCGGAGGATTATGGACTTGAAATACTTGAAAGTGTTTTGAAAAATCATCAACAACTTTTCGAGAATTGTCTCGACCTGCAGTTTTTATTAAGGACCAAAGCTGTGCCACTTTTACTTAGATCAATATCATCCTCAAGAACGTTTTCTATTGTTGTGAGAAGCGCTCGGTGCATTTTCCTACTTATCAAACGGGAGTATATTTCAATTCTAGAGCTAGAGCTTGAAGTCATACTATCTTTGTTAATTCACATTTTGAAAAACGAATCAGAGACTCCATTTTGGAAAAAGATCCTATCCTTAGAGATTTTTCAAAGTGTATGTAAGGATTTCCAGCTTCTCAAAGAAATTTTCAAGGCATATGATAGCCTACCGGATCGAAAGCAAATATTAGCATCTTTGTTGGTGGCATTCGAGGAAATACTTGCTCAAGAGGAGTATAGTGGATATCTTAAAGAATCCAAGATTTTGGCTAGAGGAGATATGCCTATCATTTCCCATGAGAGCTCAGTTGCCAAGATCCAATTCATTGACTTGCTAGACAAGACCACAGCTCCTTTTGTTGATCAGACCTATATCATATATTTGATTTTGACCGCTGCAAACTCTATTTCGGTTGGGCTTGGATCTGATGCCTTGCTTCTCTCACAAAAGCAAAACAATGATAAAGAAATGAAAGATGCAATATCCATGTTTAATCTTTTGTTTCATGGTTTGTTCGTTATCCATAAGAAGTTTTTATATGCTTCAACGTTGGATACATCTCTTTTTCACTCCCTCGTACGTGCATTCCAAAAGCTTTCCCACACATCCGGTATATTGGGACAGACAAACAGTTTGAACGAATGCTTAAACCTGTTCGCATTAGCTACCATTCAAAATACAATTGTAAATTCAGAAGTTGAAGAAGAGCGTGATGGAACGTCCTCCATCAATGTCTCTGTATTCAACAGCATAAGTGATACGCTAATTGGTCAATCCCCAATACATCGAGAGGAAACTGAAGTGAGCCCCTTTCATTCTAGAAATATTCAGCAACGAAATATTAATCTTTTTAGGGCATTGATATCTCTTTCCGTTTCTCTGGGGTCTAACCTCAGCCCCGATAGCTGGAGGTATGTTCTTCTAACATGGCAATGGATATCATACTACGTCTATGGGCCTTCGAAAGATTTTACTGAGGAATATTATAGTAAAAAAATCCCACCAGGCCCTCAAGTTTCAAAGTCGGATGTACATGCGATAGAACTCAGCATTGCGAAGTTTTTTGATAGCACGCTCTCGTACTCTAATTCCAGCTTTAACGTCTTACTCAAGAGTTTAGTCGAACAGTCAAGTGAATGCTTTTCTCTTCCAAAAAACACTAGTGATACAAACGGAGAGGGATTCAGCCCAACTGATCACAGGGCAGTTTTACAATGCTGCGTTTACAATCGTGTTTTCTTCGTTATTCAAATTGGAGAATTGAGCACATTCAACTTCAACCGCTTCGTCAATGAGAACAGGGATCGTGGCAATTGGTCCTTAGTCACAAATTATCTGATTGAACAAATGGCCAATCGACAACTTCCAAGTGTCACACTGCGATTAGAGACAGCTGACATTTTCACTGATATTATAACCAAACTTGCTGAAGAGGCTTCTGAGCGCAAATTGGATGATACGCATTCTAAATTCGGCGACGTTGAAGACCAACTACTGAACGCTTTAATGAAAGTAATCGACACAATTATGGGCCTGGGAATATCGAAAGATGACGTGAATAGCGGAGCAGCTAATACCGAGTCAGATATACTTTTTCAATCTCTTAGAACGCTTAAAGATTTGCTGGACAATTTCGGTGATTCTATGACACATTCTTGGGATACAGTCTTCCGAATTATAAATTCTCCTTTCGAAATTATTGGAATCAATCCCGGTTTGGAACAGAATGATGATGTTGAAGACAACTCAATTATTGAAGTGATCAGTGCTAAACAGAAAAATATGATTCAGATGTCTTTCGACGTTTTTAAGTTGATCTCTGACGATTTCCTGCAAACTTTGCCACTGGGCGTGATCAGAGAAGTAATCGATACCTTGTTGAATTTCGTCAAACAGGAGAAAGATCTTAACATATCCTTCTCATCTATAAGCCAGTTTTGGCTTGTAGGTGATTACTTAAGGACTTGCATTTCAAAGAGTCCAACAGATGATAGAGAAGATCAAAGAAAGAAATTTGCAGAGAATGTCGAGAAGGGGAAGCTTACTGAAATCATCACATCAGCTGATTTAAATACCTTCGACGTTTACAACGGTCTATGGTTATATCTATTAAAAAAATTAGTGGCATGCACTGAGGACAAAAGACTTGAAGTGAAGAATGGTGCCATACAAACATTTTTCAGAATTGTTGATTCTCATTCGAGTTGTTTCCCATCTTGGGAGTTGATATCAATCGAAGTAATTGCTCCACTTCTTCAAGCAAATCTGAAGGTCGAGGATGCAATCCAAACCATGCAATTTTTGGATATTAAACTTGAAGGACTTGTACATTTGTATCCAACTTACTTGTGCAATTTCGAATCTACTAAAGAAATTTCACGCGCTTGGTCTCTCTTGATCAACTACATGCAATCCCTAGTTGAATTGCCATCCTTTGACCTGAAATTTATAACCCTAAGCAACCTCAAAATTTTACTTACTTCAGTACTGTCAATTGACGGGCTACCAGATGAGATCACTGAGCAATTCTGTTCGCTGTGGTTACAATACAATGTAATTTACGGCGATTATTCAAAGTCTACGGAACCCAAACAGAAAACTAGTTACGATTGCTTGCATGAGCTTTTGATGTGTTACCCACCGTTGCATAAGCTTCTTGACCAAAAGAACCTACTGAACGTGGAGAAAATCGAAAAATTTCTGTCAATCTTTAATTCGGCTGTCCGTTATCCACTTCTTCCGGAATATTCAAGCGATAAATCACGCCCGTCATCGTTACAGCAGGCGGTATTTGATTCACTAAGAGTTTATGATTACAATCAACTTCCGGAAATTGAATCACTTCTATTAAATCAAATAAGTGCTATTGTTATTTTACCATTCGATACACTAAGCCGCATCGAAACCAAACTAGCACCAAAACTAACAACCAATTCAAAAGCAAGGATTCCTTCCTTCGAGTCGATAAGTTATTGCTCTTGCAAATATCTCTTTGAAAGAGTATTAAAAATTGAACCTTTCACGGAGAGCTACATAACATCGAAATCAATGTGCAAAATTTTGAGAAATTTGAGAGAACCAGTGGTGGCAAAGTCGCTCATTGGTGGGGGCCAGGAAGAAAACAGCTATCTATGGGTTACCTCATCACAATGCTTTCTCACGATAGCAAGAAAGGTGTTGAGCCTGTATGACGATGATAAGATATCTCAAGATACATATAAAGATATCAGAACAGAATTTATTGAACTTTTCATGTCAGTTGCGGTCGCTCCGCTAAAGCGGCTTACACCTGAAATTGATTTAAAGACAGAAAAAGATGATATTTCTCTCTACAATGAGTACAAAGAGTTGCTCTTACAACATCTAGATCTTGACGCTATCACAGAAACACATCTACAAAATTTTATCTCAACTGTTTGGTCAAGTTCTTTCTTTTATGAAGTCGATGAGATAGAAGATGCCATTATCCATAATGCAACTACACTCTCGGAAGTCGCTGAGAGGTTAGCTAATTTCGAATTCGATGACATCTTGGGTTCCACTTCAGAATTGCATATCCTCAGTAAATACAATTCAACGTCTGTTTGTCTCCAAGATTTGGTGAATTTCACAAAATTTGAAGGATCGGGTTTTATGAAGTTGAGAAAAATATGCGTGACCTTTTTGGTGGCAAGATGCGCATTTGTTTTGAGAAGATATATTTCCGATGAATCCTTGATCAGACGGGCACCTATCGCCAAAATCAGAAAGTTGGAAATTGTTGTTATTCTTGAGGGTCTTTCAGAAGTACTAAGGTTTCAATCTTTAGTAGAAAATGAAAACGGTGATCAAAGGGAAATTTTGCAAAGTATGAAAGTATTATACCCACTATTATTGAAAACCATGCCAGTTTCCAACAAAGTTGAAGGATTACAACCAATCGTGCAGAACCTGTCTATAAAATTTACCAAGGTTGTTCTTTAGACTAGAATGTAATTGACGAGCAAAAGATTTCTAAACTCCAATAGGTTATGTAAATTATTAAAGAAGTTCCATTTATTTTTTCCATTGTAGAAGAGACGTCAAGTCAACCGGATCACAGCTCATTTCGAAAAAGGTGTGATGTAGCAACTCCTCAGTTGAGGCTCTATATCTCACATCCACGCAAAGGCAGACACTTAAAAACCTTTTTATTTGTAGCGACAAAGATTCAGGATGCTTCAATTTAGGCGTACCATTTGTTGCTATTAGGTATAGAGCCTTCAAAGGATCCTCATTAAGATACGGTGGCTCACCTTCCAACATTTCAATCGTCATGATGCCAAGCGACCAAACGTCAACTTTTTCATCATATTCACGTTGCTTAACTACCTCTGGTGCCATCCAGTAAGGAGTTCCCACCATAGTAGCTCTTTTACTTCTCTTGTCCGTAAGCTTAGCACAAAAACCGAAATCTGTAATTTTAACTCTACCCCTAGTGTCCAATAAAACATTATCGGATTTAATATCCCTATGAATAATATGTTTATCATGCAGAAAATTCAAGCCTTGGCACGTCTCACGTACAATGTATGCAATTTGGGGTTCTGTTAATGGAGAGTGATTACTTCCATTGGTAGGACTGTTTTCAATTATGTCGGTCAGCGAGCCACCCTCCATATACTCCATAACCACCCAAAGATCGTCCTCCGTTTTCAAATAGGCTTCAAGAAAATTAACAATATTTTTATGCTGAGAATCTTTCATTACGAGGATTTCATTAACAATAAGCTCCTTACGTGGTTGCTTTGATAAGATCATGTGCTTAATGGCAACCTTATCACCCACATGCTGCTCCCCAATTTCCTCAATTCTATGACTTTCTGTGTAGGGTAGAAGTTTTGTCCGTTCAGCCAGATAAACAGATCCGCTTGCACCTTGACCAGCCTTTTCTATCATCTGGAAATACGGTGTTGGATCGGTATTAATAGTCACGCTTTTCAGCTTTGACATTATTTCTGCATTAGACATAGTTGGCTTTTGATGCCTCTTTTGCTTCGTAACACCAACATCTTTCTTCGGCATTGCATCAGGCTTCTTGGGTGCCTGTCGATTAGGTTGCAAATATCCTGGGGAGTGATCTTGTTGTTGATGTTGCCTCATAGCCGCAGCAGCAGCAGTGCTAGCACCATTTTCTTGTGTTGGCTTTGCTTGAGGAGACGGTCTCTGAGGATGTAACCTTGGTGGTGGAGTGGATGCATTGCTTGCATTTGGCTTTCCTATTGGAGGCCTTGGAGGAGCTTGCCTCTGAGCCACTAGGCCTTTTGATGATGGAGGCGTATTAGAGAGATAAGGATTCTGCATATTGTGTTGATACTTGTTCGCAGCACTTGGTGAGTAAGGTCCACGTTGTTGTTGTTGCTGCTGAATGTGCTGATGCTGTGCATGTGGATACATTTGTCTTGGAGATGGAGTGGTAGCTTGAGGATGAGATGGTGCGCTTTGGAGAGGCGAGGGGTGCTTGGCTGAAAACGGTTGTGATTGGTTCTGATATTGCTGATAGCTCTGATTTTGCTGCTGTGCTGTCGAAACCTGCAGTTTTGGACGTCCTTGGGAAGAAGGCGGCGTAGGCGGGTTTCTTTGTGGAACCAAATCTGAAGAAGGTTTCGCCATGGAACCTGAAGTATGCTGCGCGGTATTGAGACGAGGTAAACTTGAGGTGGAAGAGTTGTTTGGCGCTGGCCCTACGCCATTGTACTCCTGGTAAAATTGTAGGACCTGAATGACTGCAGCAGAATTGTTGTTCCAGTCTTCACCGGTGATTCTAGAGTGTTTTAAAAGCTTCTCCCAATTTGAGGGCATGCCAACAAAGCTGCCTGTCTCGGGATCAAATCCGACATGAACTTTGTGTGTAAAATTAGTGGGTGATGAAACCCCACTGAGAAGTGGACATTTAGCAAAGATGGCATCTAGCCACGTATGCAGCTCAATCTCAGTTTTGGTCGAGATGTATATGGATCTCCTGCTGGTATCGGAGTTGCTGCCGTTACTCCCAGTGGAAGACGACGAGGCTGAAGAGTTTCGGTCGCTGCTGCGCACCACCTCGAAACAATTCTGCTTCAGTTGTGTGCGGCTCACACTGACTACAGTAGTCAATGGCATCTGTAACACGGGGTCTTCGTTGTTTCGCGTTGGTTCGTTCTTATATAAAGTCAGATACGAGTCGCTCAGCACCATGAACCGCTTTTGCCACAAAAAGGATAACAAACCATCGTCCTTGTAGGACACCCATCCGCTCTTCTTGTGTCCAGCTGCTCCTGCGCGCGCGCCAGGCGTTCTATCCCTCAGATCCAGCTGGTTAGCATACTTCGTGATTGGCTTTGTTTTATTGAAAGCCGCACCGGGGGGTCGCGGTGCCGGTCCTATATTTTGGAAATCGTTATCCGAAATACCGTTTGCTGCAGCTGACAGAGACATCTTGTTGCTACCTACGCCTCTTGAAAGTGTTGATAACTCACTGTCTCTGGTGTATAAGTAACTTGAAACACGCTTCCCATATCTCCATTCCCGTTTCGAGTAAAAAAATTTTGGCGATATAATCCGTTTGTACGACATTTCACAGGCCATCGATAACTAACAAATAGAACATGAATGAATTAAGATCTATATAATGTATGCCCGAAGCATCGAAGACGTGTATCCGGATCAGAGAAGGTCCGGGGTGGTATATACGGCTCTTACAATCTTTGAAAAGCGGCGCGTGGCTCATATACGGGCAAAATACCTTTACGCTACTCTTCTAAGGGTGATCTCGACAGAATACCTGATGATATACATTTGAAAACACCAAAAGGATCCCACAAGATCTTCCAATTCTGTGCCTGGAATGGTAACGAGTCGGTGAATCGATGAACGAGCGCGGAAGCAACAAATTCACGTGATCTGATCAAACAGAGTATAATCTGATCAAAGCTCCTGCTAAGTCGCGTTCTCAGCAACCACTCAGGCCCGAAATGAGGCTTAATGCGGTGCTAAAGCTGTCGACAAAGACGGGTGTGTCTGCGAAGGAGTGGGTAAAACAATTGGCACCGCAATGTATACCGAAACACGCGTTCTCAGCGCACTTTGACCGGTCCAGCGGACCTGGCGGGCAGAACGTCAACAAGGTTAATTCTAAGTGCACACTGACGCTGGAAAACTTCTCAACATGTATATGGATCCCCCAGGAAGTGCGCACGCAACTTCTTTCAAAGGGCTTCAGGTACTACGCCCCGGCCAAAGACAGTGTTGTGGTACAAGCTGACGAATCACGAAGTAGGGAAACCAACCGACAGCTGTGTCTCGACAAGTTCATCAAAGAGGTCAAGCAGACCTGCTGGTTTGCCACCCCTACTAGCCCGGAGGACCTACAAAAATGGCAAGAGATTAGGAAGAAGACCGGCGAACTGCGTCTTAAGAACAAGAAAAGGAAAAGCGAAACCAAGAAGTTGCGCAAAAAGAGCAACTTCGACTTTTAAGATGAAAGGCAGCATTAGCCGCCCCGGTTTATAACACATTTATGTATCCTAGTTACAATGCCTGACCCTTACTGAGCCAATAGTCGCGTTTTGTCTGTGCGTCTACAGATTTCTTGCGGATGTCGCTGCGAGACTTGCCATCACTATTGTCTTCGTCTTCGACATCCAACGGTACGGCTGTTGTTGGATTGTAATCATCCTCATCGTCATCGTTAATACCCATAAGATTCTCCACGGTTTCATTGTGAACTGGCTTAGATGCTGGTGTATTGGATGCTGCTGGTTTTTGGGTACTTTTGGTGGCCTGTACTTTAGAAGTTTTTTCTTTAGACTTCGACTTGTTTTTACGCTGTTTCTTCTTGGGAGGTTCCTCCAGCTTGTATAATTCTGCTTCTTTATCCTCTGTGTCACTAACATCTGTGAAAACATCCTCGTGAACAATTGTGCCTCGCTTCCTGTGGTACAGTTCGTTTTCAGCAATAGCCTTATTTACTACGAGATCTCTTTCATCCTTAAAATCTCTCTGCTTCCCACGATACTTTATTACGTTTCCCAGTATGCTTTTGCCTAGTCTGTCTTTGAAAGTAGCAGCATCGAGCTCGAAGCATCGATTTGTGAGTAAGTCAAATGCACCCGCAAATGCTTTCTTAATGTCTCGCACATTGAAAGATCCTCGACTAATGTTGTTATCTGGGTCACCTGGGTCTTGTATTGCTAATGAGAACGTCGTTCTTGGATTCTGCAAATTTGGATATTCTGATTTTGGCAAATATGATGCCTGATGCTCAGATACAGATATAGCAACGTCGTCGTAGGCAAAATTCTTACCATAGAGCTCAAAGAAATCAATTGCTAAGGTGCCTAAATTCTCCAAACAGTTGATGTCGCCACTTATTATGCGTGGATGCAATTGCAAAAAGGAGTAAACAAGGCAGATGATACTAAATCCACCAAGACCACCAGTGTGAACGCTGTTTAGACGTCTTGCACTCAGAAACTGTTTGACTATGAGCACCAACTCACGCAAACCAGGAGTGTGCTCAAGCCATCCACGTATTACCTTTGCAGCCTCCAGTCCATTTGTCCTCTCAAAAGAAACATCAATATGTATTTGGGATTCTGGTTCCACAAACTTGATGATGGGTACTCGCGCTTTGGATATGACCTCAACTTGAGTCGCAAGCTTCTGTCTCTTTAAAAAACTTGCGAGTGAGTAAAGTGAGTTTCGGTTTTCCTTATCACCTGCACCACTATTTATGACACAGTCGATATCGGATCCCGGCAGATACAGGTCTGTAGCGAATGATCCAAAGACGTGCAAGTCTGCGTCTGGCCAAAGCCGTTTGACCGCATTTCTAATTTTTGAAATCGTTTGGTTTCTGGCTTCGATCTCTTCCCGACTGGGCGAGATGTACGCGACGAAATCCTTAATCTCCAATGTGAGCCAGTCTGCAATTTCTCGCTGTTTGGAGTGGTCGTGATTTAAGATCCAAGGGTAGTCAGTGTTCAATGTCTTGCGGGAGCGTGTGTCCTCCGTTGGGTATTCGTCATCGTAGTTGTCGTAATCATAACTTCCAGCGGTCTCCGCCTGCACAGCAGTAGAGCCCTTGTCATTGTACTCACCACTGTCTTTATTGCCACCGCCATTCTTATCATCATCCCCGCTGTCGTCGTCTTCATCGTCAGAGCTGAATGCAAATGGAATGAAGTCGTCATTATTATCCAGTGCATTTTCGTCCGTGTTCGAACCCTCGCTAACTTGCTCACTTGCAGATTTGGTGCTAGGTTCGTCCTCTTCAGATTCCGATTCGATATCTACCACTTGAATCTCCTTCGGTTCGTCGCCAGCCTCGTCGCCATCTTGTATCAGAATTACGCTGTTTTTAGATGCCCTATTCTCCTCTGTATCGCTCAAATCAATATCTAGGTTCTCATACTTGTTAACGTGTTCGTCAATTTTGTTGAACACTGCAAAGTTCTTTTGTGCTTTGCTCAACGACGATTTCCTAAGTTTCTTGACCTTTTTCTGCTTCTTCTTGGTCGCAACCGGAGTAGTTGTCTTTCGCGCACTCCTGCTCGATTTTGTTTGCGGAGAAGGAGTTCTTCTCTTCTTTTCCATTCTGACTCCTGTCAACCTTATTTCACCAATCTAGCAACAATCTGGGCGCAGAACAATCCTTTCGAATAATCCTGCAGTTTCGTGGAAGCTCATCGCTTGTAAGAATCAAAAGGAAATTAGAAAATTTTCAATCGCTATCGACGTGGTGAGCAATACCATGGCCGACGACTAGATGAATAGTTAGTGTTACACTTATTAAACCTTAATTAAGCTATTTAAAAACGTCAGGAACATTAGAATGACGGCATAGCCAACCAATTGGTTGCTTTAACCCTTTTTCTGGGTCTATTAATCTGCATTTTTCTAGAATATCGACAATCTCTTGCAACTGGTAGCCTCGTTCGAGGCCCTTCTCGATAGCCCTGCATAGGACCTTGCGGCGAAAGAACTTTTTACTTACGCCGGGCTCGCGCCTCCAACTTGTGTGGTAAGTGAGTTCCATATCCTTCAAAGACGGTTGACCAGCAAATCCTTCTGTGTACTCTTTCCATATCTCCATCACGGACTGTGGCGACGAAAGGAACCGAAACTCACCCACAAATACGCTGCGTTTCTTGCGCTGGCCACGGCACGTGTAGTAAAGCTCTTCTTTGACGTTTGGGTCCGCGCCGTCAGGTTTGGCACCTGCCGCGTCCTCTTCATCTCTGTCACCGGGCTGCGGCAGCTGCGGAGCGCAGTTGGCGTCCGCGTCCAAACGCATATCGTCGCCGGCGTAGGAAGAGCTGCCCTCTGTAACTCTTACGGAGGCAGCGTGGCATGCTGCGTCGCGTCCGCCGTCGTTGTCAAGGCTTGAAAAGTCGCCAGTGCTCTTAAAACTCGCGTATGCCATGTTGTGGTGCTCCTGCTCCGACGGCAGCTTGGCGTCGGTGGGGGTCTCGACCATGCTCATACGCTTGGGCGAATAATCCATGTTCGGGTTCGCGAACGCACGTTTTACGGGCAGGCTCGGCAGCCCCGGCTGGTTGGGTGTGGTTGTGAGCGACTCAGGCGAGATAATGTCGCCCAGTAGCGCGTTGACGCTGCTTCCATAGTTCAGGGACTCGTTCGTGCTTGAAGTGCTGCTGGGCTCCGCCAACCCACCATCCTGGCCCGCAATAAAGCCCTTGTCGTGCGCGCCCCGCGCGTGCGCCTTGGGGTCGGCACCCGAATCATGCAGCGACGTGCTTGTGGCAGCGATCCCGTCCAGCGAGTCTGTCAGTTTGTCTCGCAGAATGCCCGAGTACCGGTACTGGTCATTGAGGAGTGTTGCTATCACGTCGTTTAGCGCTTTGATCTGTTGCTGCTGTGTGTTGATCACTAGGTCATACTTCTTGAAATGGTGGTCCAATTTCGCGCTGAAAGTCTGGAATAACTTCTCATACATGGCGATCTGCCGTTCCAGATCCGCCACCCGGCTCACCAGCATCGAAGGATCATTCATTGCTTGCAATCCCAGTCACAATCACTTACAATTGTAATCTTCGATGACCCATTTCCCACTTTTCGTGAAGGTCATTCAACCTTCCTAAGAAAAAAATTTGAAGTGCGGCTGAAATCTCTTCCAACGGAGAGGAACACCAATGTAATCTTCAAGCTATATGAGCTATTAATTGAGATGAGTTGTTACATAATATACATGCCGGACCAGTCGGGGCAGATTACAAAATGGCAACGGCCAAACCACCCAAGACGGCACCGACACCGGCGGCGACGACTGGAGCAGAACCCTCGTAAGTGCTGATAGCAGCAGTAGTGCTGTTGTAAGCGTAAGTAGAAGTCAAGTTGGAAGTAGCAACGGTAGTGAAAGAGTATGGTGTGGAGGTCGACTTGACGGTTGACACGACAGAAGTGGTGACTTCTGGGGTGGTGGTGACGTCGACGTAAGTGATGTCGTCTTCGCCAGCAGCCTCAGTGGCAGTGGAGGTTGGAGTGCAACCACCGGAGCAAGAGGTGATGGTGTCGGTGACGGTGGACAACTCGTGAGTGGTGTATGTGGTCTTGCTGGCACAAGCGTCGTCCAAACAAGAGGTGATGGTGACCAAAGTGGTGGAAGGAGAGACAACGGTCTCAGTGGAGTTGACGTAGGTCGAGTTTTCGGCGACGGCGACGGCGGCGATGGAAACGAGAGAAACGGCGCTGGAGAACTTCATCTGGACGTGTGGAAAAGAGTGAATGTCAGTTAGTAGGTGATTGATGGGAGCTAATTGCCAAGACACAACTCAGCAGCTGCCTGCCCTTTTATACTTTCGGTGTATGCGCGAACAGAGTTTGTTTGCGCGGACACGCTCATATGGTCGCGTCACAACAGAGGCACCAACCAAAACACCAATACGCCGTTGCCTGGCACAACCTAGCCTCTATTTCGCGTTGTTTGTACGTTGATCCAGTGTCAACTCTCTGGGAAAGCCAAAATCACTTTTTTTTTTTCGCGTCGCGATTGAACGCGAAAAGCTTCAACACCGATGCCCTGAGCGATTCGCGTTTAACGTGCGTGAAAGTAGTGTAATTGGGGCCTAGGCCTCACCCCAATGACTCTGTCACCAATGCCAGTAGTTCCGGCAACTTAGTTTCGCGTCTGAAGACTGGCGGATCTTCGTGTTGCTTGCCTTCGCGTAGTGCTTGCAACTCGTCCATAAAATGAACGGCATTGGTGCCCGCTAAACGTGCTGGTGGGTCAAATACGCCCACGCCGTCCACCCACTCTTTGTCTGCGCGCAACTGCGCCGCATCTTGGTTAAGTGAGACGCTGGCCCGTGGCCCACGTTGCTTTGGAGCGAAGCTTGCGCATCGAAGCTCCTGTTCCGCAGCGCGGCGCGCCAGGTAGTGGCTCTTGGTGTAGGCTGAGAAATGGTTCTTGTACTCATCGCCAAAATATACCAGGTCGCGCGTGAGGTCTAGTTTGAAGTAGACCTTGGCCGAGCCGTTCATGATACTTTTCATCAGCAGCGTGAGCAGCTCGTCGCGCGTCATGGCCATAGCGTCACCGATCTGGAGCATCTGCTGAATGTCTGATAGCGAGATGCACGTGTAAAGGCAGGCTACATGGTTCCAAAGCTTTTGCACGCGAGCCAATTGGTACACTTGCGAGAACAACGGGCCCAAGTGCGTGCGGAAATGGCCGAGCCGCTGCATGGAGGCAGCAAAGCGCGGCAGGTCCAGCGCTTTAAAGCTGTTGTATACGCGCTTGAGGTCCTGCACAAGCGGCGCAGACTCGACGATTTTGATCTGCTCGAGCTCGAACGGCGTGATGCGCTCGTTGGCCGCGTCGCGCTGGCACCCGACCACCATTTCCGCTAGCACAAAGCCCGTGAGCGCCAGGTCGCGGAATCGTGCGTTGTCGAGGCTTCTGGCGATCCCGATTTCCTCGAGGCTCTTGAAACACTCCCAGAAGCCATCTCTGCACTCCGCCACGCGGCGCGCGCGGCCCTGGGGCGACTCATCGCGCATTGCCACGATGCAATGCCCGAAATGCACTGCAGCCAGCACGCGCGGACGTTGCGACAGGGAGAACAGCTTGCTGAATAACGTTTGCAACTCTGCGAGGCATCCACGAAGCGCATCCACGTCCACGGGCGCGCCCTGCAAGAAGCGCAGGAGCAGGCATTGCAGCAGAAGCGCTAGCGCGTCGAAATCGCCCGCACATGTGCGCTGGAGTTCTGCGACGAGCTCGTTGTCGACCATGCCGCCAGTCTCACCATCATCGACATCGCCTTTCGCACGCCAATTGACGTGCTGGCAGCGCGCAACCCACACGCGCGTCTGGAGCGTCTTGAACCGAAGCGCCTCGCGCAATCGCCTGCTGCCAGCAGCGTCTGCGACTTGCATTGTCGCGGCCAATTGCTCGAACTCGGCCAGCAGCGCGAGCCGGAATCGCAGCGTCTCCATGTCCACGCCCGGCGTGCGCGCAATCGTGGCGGGCTCGTCGAACAGAAAACACTCTTCGACCCCCGGCACGAGTCGCTCCAGCAGCCGCAACACGGACCCTGTCGCCCGCTCGCGCTGCAACGCCGCGCCTGGAAGCCACACGCGCAACGCTCGCAGCTCTTCCAGCAGCCCAGCGCGCCGCGCGGGCGTCGCACCCTCGTACGTGGCCTCCAGCAGCCAGCTCTTGACCAATTGCTTCTGCGCGCGAAACCACCACGTTGCGCCAGCGCCCGTAGTACTCCCATTTGCACCTGCACCCGCATTCACCGCGTCCTGCACGCCTCGCAGCGCCTGTCGCGCCGCAACGAATTCTTGATCCTCTTTGAACGACTTGCCCGTCTCGTACAACTCTTGCACTCCCGCGGATAACTCATCCGTGCCCGGCAAATGCGGCCCCTGTAAAACTCCGTGTTCGCTTTCTTCAACACTGCCCACCCCATCGTCATCGCCCACCACGCCGTTCTCTTCGCCGCTTTCTTCCTCCATCTCAATGCTGTCGAGCTCCCCGTCCTCGGACATCATGAACTCATCGTAGTTACCCTCCTCGTCGCTCATGGTGTTCTTATTCTTGCGATAACCACTCTAGCTCTTGATACGTAAATGTTGGGCGTAATTTGCGCTTTTTTGATGATAGCAATTTGACGATCCGAATCCTAACCGTTTTTTCGCAACAGATTAAATATATATAGGGATAAGTTATTCCTTTAATCGTACAAAAAAGATTATAATGCTTTCTGTTAGGTCAATTGCAAGAGCATTCGGTACTCGTGGATTCAGAACTATATCTCCAGTAATGTTTGAAGTCGGTGACAAAATTCCAACCGGGATCCCCGGTCTACAAGAGGGCGCCCCTAGCAACAAGGTCGACCTTGGCAAAGAGGTTGCCAAGGGCAAGAACATCATTGTGGGTGTTCCAGCTGCGTTTTCGCCAGCTTGCACTGCCACCCACGTTCCTGGGTACATTGAGCACTTGCAAGACTTCAAGAAGAAGGGCTTCAACCAGGTGTTCGTCACTGCCGTGAACGATGCGTTCGTGACCAAGGCATGGAGCGATTCCTTGCACTGCCCAGCTGACGTGCACATCATCGCTGACACCCAGGGTGAGTTTGCACGTGCCGGAGCCACGTTGTTCGATTCCAAGGCCATCTTCGGGAACGACCGTTCCATCCGTTATGCCCTCGTGGTCGACAACGGTGAGGTGGTCAAGGCGTTTGCCGAGCCAGACAAGACCGGTGTCAACGTGTCGTCTGCCGAGAACGTGTTGAAGAGCTTGGATTGAGCTGCGAGAATGCGCAGAGCGCACATCAGTGCTAGCTAACGTTACGTTTTGTGTATGAGTTATGTAGCCGAAATGCAGACAGTTTAGTTTTAGACGACGCTTCCTAGGGATGGGAACTGGCTTAGCAGGGTTAGTGGCTCTGCTGGTTCCCGTCTCCGCTGGCTCCGGTCTCCGTAAGCCACATCTTGCGCTGGCCACGGCACTTGCGTGTCGTTCCATCGATTGTCTTGAAATGAGTCAAATTTTTACCATGGAAAAAATTCGGGATTCCAACTCCTTCAACGGCCGCACCTGTATAAAATGAGCAACCAAGACCCAGGTGCACCGTAGCTTGTTCGAGTGGGCCAGTAGACTGTGCAATTGAAGGCATGCTTCCCCTCATCAACATCAAAAAGCCGAAAAAACTCCTTTGGAAGCCCTCTTTTAGTCGTAGCAGCGAGCCGGAGGTGTCGATCCCACATGCCTCTGGGTTCCGAGCGCAGCTCGAGTACCAGATGACTCCTATAACCTCGCCCGAGGACGTGTCTAACAAGCTGAGCACGGTGAAGTCGTACGAAAACGAGATCACCGCAATCGACGAAAACGCAGACGTGCCGGACGGTGGGCTGTGGGCGTACATGGCGTTGCTCGGGTCGTTCATGGGCCTGGTGCCGGTGTGGGGTATGATCAACTCGCTGGGTGCTCTCGAGGGCTACATCTCCAATCACCAGTTGGCGTCCAGCTCGTCATCCGTCGTTTCGTGGATTTTCTCCGTGTACCTAGCGATGCTCAGCGCGAGCTGCGTTCTCACAGGCGCATATTTCGACCGCAACGGCGGCAAGCGGCCCATGGTGGTCGGGTCTGTGCTGTATATTGCTGGTATCCTTGCCACCGCGAATTGCCAGACCGTGTGGCAATTTATCTTAGCGTTCTCGATTCTGTGTGGGTTCGCAACTGGCGCGCTCACCACGCCGCTTGTCAGCTGCGTGGCTACGTGGTTCTGCCGCAAGCGCGCAATGGCTACTAGCATCGCTACCACCGGTGGCTCGCTGGGTGGTATCATTTTCCCGCTGATGTTGCGCAAGTTGTACGTCGAGGTCGGGTTCCAATGGGCGCTGCGCATTCTCGCGCTCATCTGCTTCGTATGCCTGACGTTTGCCATATTCTTCGCGCGCGAGCGTGTGAAGACCAACGCGGAACCCTTTCGCACCAAGCGTGAGACGGTACGCTACTATGTTGCGTCCTCCTTCAATTGGAGGTACTTCTTGGATGCCAAGTTCCTGTGGACTACGTTGGGCTTTTCACTCGCAGAAAACTCTATTTTGGTATCTGGCACGTTCATAGCCTCCTATGCCATGGCTAGAGGCAATAGCGAGGCCGTTTCATTCACGCTGATCACCACTACTAACGCGCTTGGCATCCTGGGCAGGTTTATTCCAGGGTACATTGCCGACAAATATGCCGGGTGTTTCAACGTCGTCATCATCACAAGCTTGGCCGCTGCGCTCATGAACCTCTGCCTATGGCTACCACTGGGCGGAAACTTAAAAGTGCTGTGGGCATATTCAATGTTATATGGTTTCTTATCGGGATCTATCTTTTCGCTTACTCCCGTTTGCATCGGCCAGATTTCACGCACAAGTGATTTCGGGAAGCGCTATTCCACTGGGTACCTCTTAAACGCACTCATGACCCTTCCTGCACTCCCAATTGCAGGTGCCCTTATCGGAGATGGCTCCATTTCAAACTACAATAATTTCATCGTGTTCTCATCGTGCTTGATGCTTGCTGGCGTATTATGCTATGCAATTGCTAGATATCTGTGCGTCGGCACTAAAATCTGTAAGTTCTAGGTATTTCTAAGTATCATCATGAATCAGACTAATGCATTTTCCGTTCTGACTAATTGGCGTGAATTAATCCGCGCGTTCTGATTTTCAAAAGTGCCTTTTATTTCTTATCGATTTTACATATCGAAAAATCCATAGATATATATACATCTACATCGAAATTTAATCTCGCTGAATGGGGAATGCGATAGGACTCGTTACGTAACATGTTCCCTTTGCCAGTATTCAAGAGACCATATAAGCTATTTTCCAGAAGCAGTGCAAGTAATTCCCAAAATGCCATGGGCGAGGTTAACGATACACCGCACAAGACCTCTCAACTACACACCAGCACTGGGTATGCTGTTGGAGACGATCAAGAGTCGTACGAACTCCGAAAATTTAACGAGACTCACCCTCAGAGAAACAAGGAGGGTGGGGGTGCCAAAGAAGAAGAGGTCGATGACGTGCGTCTGATCGATAAAGATATTGACTTGCCCGATGGGGGGCTACAGGCATGGCTGGTTGTATTTGGATCTTTCATGGGGCTCGTGCCGGTTTTTGGAATGATCAACTCGCTGGGTGCCATTGAGTCGTACATCTCCAAGCACCAGTTGGCCAGCGACTCGTCCTCAGTCGTGTCGTGGATTTTCTCCATCTACTTATCCATAAGCTTCCTGAGCTGTATCTACGCTGGCGGGTATTTTGACCGTAATGGAGGTGCGACCCCAATGTACGTTGGAACCCTCTTCTACGTCGGTGGCCTGATGGCAACAGCGAACTGCACATCTGTTTGGCAATTTATTCTGGCATTTTCTGTCCTATGTGGCACGGGCACAGGAGTCCTCACCACCCCGCTTGTGAGCTGTGTCGCCACATGGTTTTTGAGGAAACGTGCCATGGCCACGAGTGTAGCGACAATTGGAGGTTCGATCGGAGGTATCGTGTTCCCCGTGTTACTAAGAAAGCTATACGCAGAAGTGGGGTTTCAATGGGCGCTTCGAATTGTTGGTTTCATCTGCCTATGTTGCCTCGTGTGCGCGACAGTGTTCGCTAAGGAAAGACAGAAACCGGTCGCTGAACCTTTTAAATCGAAACCGGAAGCTATGAAGTGGTACCTCACCTCCTCTTTCAATTGGCGATACTTCTTAGACTGGAAGTTCTTCTTCGCAGCGCTTGGTGTGGCTTTCGCAGAAAACTCTCTGACTGCGTCTGCCACATTCATATCCTCCTACTCCATGGCACGCGGCAACAGCGAGACTTCATCGTACGCCCTTATCACAACGACCAATGCAGTGGGCATTTTAGGCCGGTACATTCCAGGTTACCTGGCGGACAGATACATCGGCCGCTTTAATACTGTAATCATTACCATTTCGCTAGCCGCTTTTTTCAACCTGGTTATGTGGCTGCCATTCGGTGGAAACATCAAAGTTCTGTGGGCTTATGCTTCATTGTACGGATTTTCTACGGGATCTATCTTATCTCTGACACCAGTGTGTATCGGCCAAATTTCCAGCACCCACGACTTTGGCAAACGCTATTCGACAGCTTACTTATTGCAGGCAATCATGACCGTCCCTGTGATCCCAGTTGGTGGTGCGATCATTGGCGAAGGAAAGGTTAGCGACTATAACAACTTTATCATATATACATCTATGATGATGATTGCAGGTTCAATTTGCTACATTATTTCCAGATTTCTATGTGTTGGATTCAAGTTATGCAAGTTTTGAACACATGCATGTGGAGGTACTTCGCGAATCCGTATATATCGTGAAGATATTAGGTAGACAGAACTGGTAAATATATATATTCATGACTTAAAACTGATGACAACTTTATAATTTCCATGAAGTGGCCGCTATTGGAGGTAATACACGGACAACCATCTATGATATCGACTGCTATAACAGAAGGAGGTCTATCTGACTTCTTAGCTTCTCATCAGCGAATAGTCAGCGTCTCCCTACGTTTGACTGTTTTGTAAATATATCTGATGTATGGGTTTCCGAAAAAGTTGTTAACCCATACACTTCACAAAATGAACGTTCATTTTTATAACGAATTTGAAGAATGTCACAACCCACGCGCTGACGCCCAGCTTCAAGTTTTCATTATATGAAATTTGATATTCACATTCACAAGCTTCTCTCTCATTAGACTAGATACAGTTCAGAAAGCAAAATGGGTATTGATCACGCTTCCAAGCAACACAAGAGATCCAGTCACAGAACTGCTCCAAAGTCCGACAACGTCTACTTGAAGTTGTTGGTCAAGCTATACACCTTCTTGGCTCGTATGTGATTTGATTCTTCCACAGTTTAAAGAAAAGAGAAAAGGCTCTCTCACTGCGGTAAGACTGTCCAAACAGCTGGATTGTTTCAGGAAGTTAACATGATTTCTAGACCACACCGTTTCCTTCGGAATCGGTGAAGTACTTGAAATCAGTTCTGCGAGTACAACTCAGCACTCTAGATTCTAGAGCATGTGCTGATGTTCGTGCGGTCCGTTTTTCTCGTCTCTAAAGCCCCAGAGACGGAGAAACAAGTGAGCAGAACCTATTCTATTTTACTTTTTGCCGTCTCACTCTTTGCTGTGTTACTAACTTATCCTCAATAGGTCGTACTGATGCTCCATTCAACAGAGTTGTCTTGAAGTCTTTGTTCTTGTCCAAGATCAACAGACCTCCTGTCTCTATCTCCAGAATTGGCAGAGCTTTGGGCCAGAAGGGTGCTGCTGACAAGACTGTTGTCGTTGTCGGTACCGTCACTGACGACGCCAGAGTTTTCGAATTCCCAAAGGCTACCGTTGCTGCTTTGAGATTCACTGCTGGTGCCAGAGCTAGAATCTTGAAGGCTGGTGGTGAATGTATCACTTTGGACCAATTGGCTGTTAGAGCTCCAAAGGGTCAAAACACTTTGATCGTTAGAGGTCCAAGAAAGTCCAGAGAAGCTGTCAGACACTTCGGTGCTGGTCCTCACAAGCGTAAGGCCCCAAGAATCTTGTCTACCGGTAGAAAGTTCGAAAGAGCTAGAGGTAGAAGAAGATCTAGAGGTTTCAAGGTGTAAACGGACTTTAAACCTTAGCATCATGTTTACATCTTTCTCTAACCTTTTTTGGATCGCTCCTTCATTGTTTTTCACTGTATAATTTATAGTAAAAAGACAATTGGGCATTTTACTGAGTTTAATCATGTCTTAATGTATACTAGAATAAACGCTTTCATGGCTTAAAAGTGTTTAAATCACTGCCATTAGGACGATTGGCAGGGATGGGCGTTTTTCTATCTATTAAAGCAGAGGGCGGTTACTGTGTGCCGGCTTCTCTATACACCAATCTCGCTTGCCTTACCGTTTGGCTGTAGTACATCACTACGCATCTTGTGTCTTACTTAACCGATGAGTCTTGTGGCCTGCATGATATGCCCTATCAGGGCTAAATATATCATGCATTTGACAGTCACACCCATACATAGTTTGTCTAACGCCCACACATACATGTGTAACACATTTTTTTTAGGATTTTTTCATGTGAATCATGGTACCGGCCAGCCAAACAGAATTTTCCAGAGAGCAGTCCTCTCCGCGAGGGGCCTGCCCAGCTCTGCCGCCGCCCTGCCTGGAGGTTGCCCTCTCTCTCTCACCATCGCTGCCATACCCTTGCTACGGTGGCGGGGAGTGACTGTCCGCTGGGCGGGGATTCTCTAGCAGACTCCCCCTAGGGCGCTCGGCAGCTTCTCCGACTCGTGCAATTTTGACGTTCTAAGCATATAATTGTTTAACCGATTTTTAGTGTATACGTTTAATACACAAGATCAACAGGATAAAGATGCCAGGTGTTTCCGTTAGGTACGTACACTGATACAGTAGACATTGACTCCAGAGGTAGAAAGAGGGATGGAAGGTTCAGACCGATCGAGCTCATCGTGTTTCATTGAGATACCAAAGTTGGATAATATGGATAGCGTTGACCCACGCAGAAAAAGCCTATTGCAAGCAGATTACAATACGTATTACTGGGATATCCGTAAGAGTACAGAGGTTTCCAGAAGGGATAATAATCGAGATTTAGCATGTCGTTCTTAGGGTGAAGACGTGACGGCTGCATTTGGCAAGCAAGCTGTCGAGTTTTGTTAATTTTGCGCATAGTTTGAATGTCGCTTTCTTTTAGAGCCCTACTTCCCACATCTTTTTACTCAGGAGCAATCACACCCCAGAAGTGGCCATATACTAACATTTCCCTACAGAGACGTTCCAGCTCAAGATTTCATCAACGCTTACGCTTCTTTCTTGCAAAGACAAGGTAAGTTGGAAGTTCCAGGTTACGTTGACATTGTCAAGACCTCTGCCGGTAACGAAATGCCACCACAAGATGCCGAAGGTTGGTTCTACAAGCGTGCTGCCTCCGTTGCTAGACACATCTACTTGAGAAAGCAAGTTGGTGTCGGTAAGTTGAACAAGTTGTACGGTAACGCCAAGAACAGAGGTTCCAGACCTTCCAAGCACGTTGACGCTTCTGGTTCTGTCAACAGAAGAGTCTTGCAATCTTTGGAAAAGATTGGTATTGTCGAAATCTCTCCAAAGGGCGGTAGAAGAATCTCCGAGAACGGTCAAAGAGATTTGGACCGTATCGCCGCTCAAACTTTGGAAGATGAAGAGTAAATTACATAGAAATGGTACATTTTCTACTTTCTCCCTTTTAACGTATATTATTATAATCGTTTAACATTTAATGGAGTAAATAACCATCCTTTTAGCCTCATAATCTAGTGTTTTACATGCAAGTCAACTTTGAGTGTATACTATCAAAACTTTTACGTACCTTTCTGGCACTGAGATACGCAAAAAATGCCAAAAATAAATGGTCTCTAGCGGGATCGAACCGCTGATCCCCGCGTTATTAGCACGGTGCCTTAACCAACTGGGCCAAGAGACCTGTTTATAACAACTCTTTGATAATGTTAATTTAAGTATCCAGAAAGGAGTCTCTCCCTCATATTACCCGGATTTCACCTCTTAGTTTCGTCATGAGATTATGCTATGCAACCAAGTTGTCTACTACGACCCCTTCAATAGACGCTAAAGACACAGACTATAGAGACGATATGAAGCCGGTTGTTTCAGTATGTCAGAGATGGAATTGTTAATCGCTCTCAATATGAGCTAATTACTAACTGAGGCTCGCACCTTTAACATAGTCAGGCAAGGCGTGGTTCTGTACAATCGTATCTGCATTCGGTGTTGTGATCCTTTCAGTGATCGGACACCTTTTTAAAACCAACCATGAATCCTTCGTTGGGTCTATCACCGATCCAGAGGATGGTCCAGCGTATGTCCCCTCATTTCCAAGGTATTCGCATTTTTTTTCATTACTAACTAGTTAATACAGGGTTGCGCACACGGTTTTCATTGCTGCATTTGTGTATCTTCTGTTCTTCCTATTCTGTGGATCGCAGATCTGGATGGGCAAGAAAAAGCCATCCATTGAATTACGTTAGAGAGCATGTAGTCAAATTAGTTCAATTTTATGTATCATATTTGAATTTGAGTTAGACATCTCAGTGCCTCGTCTCACACGATAATTGCATAATTATTATTTCCAAGATTCACCCATGTTAAGACCGCTGATTCGACGCAAGCGGCCGATAAAGCCTGTGGATTAGTTAGCGTGTATGACGGGCTTAATGTCAGTTTCTGAACGCGACCCAGAACTGGACAGCTATCTAGAAAGAGTCAAACAGCTCGATGAGTCTCGACAGGGGCGGCGCAATCGCAGTGGACCCTCAACCGTTAAGCCGAAACCTGCTCATTTAAATCAAAGCTATCCTGCGGAAGACTTCAAAAAAGCGCAAGTGATTCTCGATGGCGAGTATGTTAGCGAACGATATGAGAGTGAAGGTCGTGTAGGAACTTACTCAGAAATGGCCTATAGGTCAGCTTACAACTACGAGCAGACTTTCTCCCCTAAGAAGCATGGTAGAAATTCTTCTTTGTCCCCACACAAGCAGACCTCGTTATCATCTCCATCGAAAATTACTTCTTCTCGTGTGGAGCCTCCTTCGCTGTCTAAGTTTGATGACCACGGTGCGCATTCAAAAACATTTGTGGTTTCAGAAGAGGATTATCTTTTGTTAAGAAAGCTGAAGGCCAACATAGGCGACGATGACGTAGAGTCAGAGTCACTTCCTTCTCGAGGCAAGCCTAGAGAACTGAGGACTCTCGAAAAGAATTCTAGAGAACTGAGAACTCTCGAGAAGAACCACAGACCTCAAAGTAACTTCTCGAAACGCAATTCCTATACTGACATCTCGAGTGACGACGAAGAAACTCCTCCACCGCTTCCTTCGCGAAGTGTTCTACACTCTTCTGGTGGGAATTCGGATGAAGCTGATATTCCAAGAGCTCCTGCTAGGCGAGGCGTTCCAAAGATTCCTCCCAAACGGGCGCAATTTGAAGTTCATAATAATACCAAACCAAGAGTCACAGGGCCACCACGCAAGGCAGACTTAGACAGTAATATTGAAGAAATGGAGGGCAAGGATGAGGAAACCTCTACCAATCAAGGATCCTTTTCTTCGCTTGTAAAGGATAAACGTAAGGAATTATACAGTAGCATAGCACGTACACGCCCAAAGGAAAAACCCGATCTTGAAATCAAGTCAGATGATGAACAAGACTGGAGACCTGAAAACAATGAACAAAAATCGCGATCAGCAGGAAAGTCAAATTTGTCTCAGTTGAGTGTGCAGCCTCAAAGACATGTCGAACCTCGTTCAGCACGTCGCCAAGCTCCTTTACCACCTACAAAGAGAGCTGAGCGCCCCACGGGTATTGATACTGAAAGGAGTTTTTCTGTGGATTCTCAAGTCAAATCAAATGCCAAATCAGAGCATCTCATTCCGAAGGTACCACTAAAGCCCGTTTCTCTTCGTGAGTGCCCGCCGAAAGAATCTAAAAGGGGTGTGGAAGATGACAAGCCAATACTAGACGCAGCAAGATTGAAATTGAGGCCTGTTAAGGAAAGGCCTCAAGTGCCAGAGAAAAGAGTATCTCTCACTTCAAAAAAGGATGCGGAGCAGAATGCAGTCCCCCCCAAACCTATACTAAGAACTGTTAAGCCATCTGGCACTTCAAAGGAGACACACGAAAACATTCCAGAAGCATTGGCCAAGAGAGAAAAACTTGCAAAAGCTCCACCTGTCCCACAACGTAAAATTTCAATGCCTGATGCCCTAAAAAGAGCAGAGACGATGAGGCAGAATAGATCAAAAAATTTGACCACCACTACTAAAGAAAAACCAGTAAGCATGGATGAGGGTAACGAGGCTTTACTGATGGCTCGGAAATTGAGGCCCCTTTCTGATGGCAACAACCTTAAAGGCACTAATCATAATAACTTGTCTGAAAATGACGACGTCCAGCAGAACTCCAATAACTTGAGACGTTTTCTTGAAAAGGAAAAATCTAAGACTTTTGATGGGTTTGATGGCAACGCCCAAAGTCCTGTCGCAATACCTTTTATGGTTCAGGGCACCGGAGCAGAGGTCAAAAAGCTCTTCAAGTCGAAAACAGAATCGTCGTTACCGCCTGCTAAGAAGGGAAATGCGCCTGCATTAACCCATGTAACCAAGAGCAGAGCCAGGGGTCCTCGTAGAAAACTGCCTAGTGGTATAGAACTGACACCAAATTAATAAATCACTTAAACTTTAATTATTAGAGCATACTTTTGAATTATAGTTACTTGTTAACATTTACAACAAATCATTAATTAATGTACAGATCATGAAAAAATTTAATCTTTTTTGGTTGCCAGCGTCATTTTAATAAAGAATGACCTTAAGAGGACTATTATAAGGAATATTTGAAATTTGGAGCCAAATCACCTTTCATTATACGCTCCCTTTCACTGAGTTGGTAAAATTTATCCTTGTATGATTGCTGTTGCTTTTTCACGTTCATACGAACGAAATAGAATAGCATACCCAGTTGACAAACGATGGATAGAGCAACAAACCCAATAGATGTGCCCAAACCCCTGTAATAATGGGGAGCGTCTTGCGATAAGAACAAAAAGGTTGAAATGATCCCTCCAATATTACCGAAACCGATTTGGAAAGCTGTTCCAAAAGATTTTCTTGCGTGACCTCCGTAATTTAGAGAGGTCCAGCAAATCAAGACTGGCATGGCACTGTAGAGACCAAGCGTCGTCACAAAACATCCACCATATTTAACATGTGGATTATCAGATCCCACAACCATTGCAAGACCCGCAATCGCAATAAAACTGGAAGATATTGTGAACCACCATCTTTTTTGAAAGTAGTCCGACACAAATGCGATGATATTGATGTAGCCGAACGATGATAGCCAAGGATAAACGGAGTGTTGATTGGCACTCACAGAAGTATAACCTAGTAGCTTAATGATTGTGGTCGCGAAATAAGCGTATCCATAACTTGGAACAACTAGCGACAGATAGGCAACTGCCGTGAGGTAAAAAATCGGATCTTTTAGGAGGGGTAGATAGTCACGAAGCGACAACTTGATCTCATAACCGGATTCAATGTTGGAATAAACCTCGAGCTTTTCTTTGATGAACTTTTTCTCGTTCTCCTTCAAGAAACGGGCAGTTTCAGGGAAATCTGGAGTGATGAAGAATAACAAGAAAGCAATGAAGACGGTAACAATACCTTCAATTACGAAGATCCAGCGCCAGTTTGCCAAATGGTTGTTGTTGATGCCGTTGTAAATCTGATATGCGATAGATCCACCCGCAGCACCAGACAAAGTGGTGGAGCTGAAGAAAATGGAGAATCTCCTCTGCGCTTCACGTAGAGTGTAATAAGACGACAAAATGTAAAAAATGAGGTCAAACGTGGCCGCTTCTGCGACACCGAGGAAGAAACGTGCGGCAACGAGCCCGCCGAACGACTTGACAAATCCGCATCCAATGGTCGCGCAGCCGAAAACGAACATGCTAACGGAGAAGCACCAATGGGGCTTGAAGCGCTTGGCAAGGTAGTTGGCGAAGATTTCAAACACGACGTACGGTACGAAGAACACAGTCAAAGCAATGTTGAATTGATTGCCGTGAAGCCCCAGGTCGCTTTCCATCCCGTAAAGCCGCGCGTTCGAGATGTTGATCCGGTCCAGGAACGCCGCGAAATACAGCAAAACGAGTGCGGGCACGACACAGATGTCAACCTTCCACTGGAGGCGTCGCTGTTTGACCGAGTACTTTTCTGCAAGTACGGCGACGCGTTGCTGCTTGGCTTCCTCCGATTCCTCGGGTTGGTCCGGCCCGAAGAAAGTGTGCGATGCTTTGGTGGACGCAGTTGCGGACACTGTGTCGGACGGCTCGTCTGAGAGCTCGATGTCGAGCGCCAAATTACGAGCCTCAATCGCCTTCTGTTTTTCTGCTAACGATGTATCAGACATACCGTTTTCTGCTATTGCTCAGTTTGTTACTGCTCGAATTTTGCAATGGTATGCACAAATGGATGCTCGAGAAATACCGTCCGAGAGATACTGCTCGAAAAACCTCTGAACACTAATAAACAATTAAATACGTCTTTCAAAAGCTCATCGTAGTGAATACATGCCATTTATACCATATATATTGCGGTCACACAAAAGCCCGTTGGCCTATTCTTTCAAATTTGAGTCATTGCAATACCATCTGAGCGACACCACCTACTTTGAAGAGTTTATCTTACGATGACACCTACGCTAGCGCCGTACTTGGCGCTGGGGTTCAGAAACTGCCGTAGAGATGATGCGGCGGGAACGGTTGTTCGCTTACGGCCGCTTGCGGTCGTCCGTGGCAGCCATCGGGCCAGCTGAATAGCAACCGGGCCGTTACCGGCGTCGGGCAGAAGCGATGAGCGGACGAGAGGCGGACGAGAGGCGGACGAGAAAAAAAAAGAAAAAGCTCCAAATAAAGCACGTGATATACACGTGACACAATTTGATGGTTACCCGGACTAAAAATATTTTCGGGTTTTCCAGGATTACCCGGCGTTCTCTAGCAGGAGCTTCGTCTTCTACATCAGAAAACATTAGCCTTTCACTTTGGTCCAAACCGTTTCTAAGCACACAGCATAATCCGTGTTGTTCACGCGTGCAAAGGGTACAGAAGCTTACAGGGCTTACAGGGCTTACAGAGTGTACAGGGGCTTACAGGGGCTTACAGGAGAAGCTTACAGGAGTAGAAAATTCCAAACGCAGGGTAAATGAGCGAAGCGTTGAGAACAGGAGATCTGGTGCTGTGCAAAGTCGGGTCGTTTGCTCCATGGCCTGCGGTAGTTTTTCCACAGCGGTTCCTACGAAAAGATGTTTACCGGCGACGCAGGTCGGAGTGTGTGGCGGTGTGCTTTTTCAACGACGAAACGTACTACTGGGATAAGCCCGTACGTCTGAAGCGGCTCGATCGCGATATGATTGCGGAGTTCCTGGAGAACAGCAAGGGCGCGGACGAGGACGAAGTCCTGGTAGGGGCGTACGAAGAGGCGCTCGAGTACCGTACGCTGCACGACTTCATAGTGCAGCGGCTGGAGGACGAGAATCGTGCACGCGACTGGGACGGTTCCAGCAAGATTGTCGCGGGCGAGGACCCGTTTGAGGGTAAAGGCGTACCCAAGACGTCTGCAAATGTAGGTAGCGCTGCAAAACCAGTGGGCAAGCATGTGCGCGCCAAGCAAGTTGACAACACTGGCGGACTAGGGTCCCCGACCGTCAACGACACCAAGTCTATCCGCAAGAAGCAGAAGCTAGACCGCTCGCGCAGAATTGAAATTTCGTTGCTCTTCAGGCGCAAGCTCCAGCGCAACCTGGTCCAGCGCGATACACCACCAAGCGTCGAGGAATTGAAAGAGTCTCACAAACTGCTGCGCAAGATCGCAGAAAACACAAATGATAACCCGTCTTTCTTCGACCTCCAGGCCTTGGGCCACAGCAAACTGCATAAATTGCTCAAAGTCATTAGAAATGACGATAATCTGCAAGAGTTCCATGGAGAGTGCAACTCTCTTCTTGAGCAATGGGCTCCATTAATCCAGGAGCTTAAAAAGGACAAAATAAAAGCACGCGAAAGCTAGTAGTAACCATACCCTCCTATTCTGCATTGGACAATCCTTAAAACTACTATGTATCATTAAGTACACTAAGCAATCATTGCGCAAGCCCTTAAAACGACATTTCGCCAGCCGATTCGTTTCAAAGCTTGCTTTTATTTGTACACAGCCAGACTTGGGTACTCCTCGAATTAAATGGCTACTCCAACATAACAGTATAATTCAATGTGCCCTACTGAGGGTTCTGGTGAGTTTGATCTCCTCTCCACCTTCTACTATTTTTTTGCTCTGCCGTGCCATCGCATTATTAATTCATCGCTACAGTAATTTTCACGAGATTATAAAAAAGGGTCAACGTCCAACGGACTTCCCTCAAACCTACTAAAGACCGTGATAGCAAATATGTCCTGCCCCGACATTCTACCTGAACATGTTCTAAGTCTGTTGAAAACTTCCAAGTACGTCCATCTGGCTACCTGTTCCAAGCCGGAATGCATTCCATCCATCGCTTTGATGAACTACACTTATATTCCTCCCAGCAAAGTATATGTTAAAGAAGGAGAAATTGGCGAACCGATTGAGAGAAAGCACTACATTATCATTGCTACTCAAAAAGACACAGCAAAGTATGAGAACATCAGACAAAATCCGCAGGTTTCAATCCTAATTCACGATTGGGTCACCGCGAAGAAGCTGTCGCTAAGAAAAAACAGCATGTCTAATACTCCAACCCCCGAACCTCAAAGAAGCCAAGATGCAGATCATCCTAGTAGGCTTTTGAACCTCTTACAGGAATTGAACCAATCTGAACTTTCTCAAATGAGTGCTACGATGCGTGGGTATGCCGAATGTATCGATCCATCTCACGAAGAAGCAAAGTACTACGAAGCTGAACTGCTTAAGGCAAACCCGGATGCGGCCGTTTTCATCCAGGGTAACAACATCGCTGTTGTCAAGATTGAACTAGAGAGCGCGAAAGTTTCAGATCGTGAGAATAACACAAGTTTCTATGATTAGTGTGATCGTGAGCTATATAGTGTACATACTCGTGTGTTCTGCTCAAGTCATTAAATGATAATTCAGTTTCCTTCCTGACCGAAATCTCTGGTAAACTCTTCTTGCTTTTTCAAATCGATTTCGTTGACAGTTGGTCGAGTGGTTTTGATTGCTTTTAAGAAATCTTTGATTGTTAGGCTTGGTTCTTGAAGTTCATCAGCTTCTATATCAGTCCAACTCATCTCGATTGCACCTTCATCACCTGGAGAACATGGCGTCAACTTCCGTTGGTCTGCATCTTCGGAAACGTTTTTGAAATGAGTAGCGCTTTGAATCTTTCTGATTGGTTGCATAAGGGCATCCTTGACTACTACGGAAATATCACTACCAGAGTACCCGTCAGTGAGTTGTCCCAATGTCCTGTAGTCTTCTTTACTTAAAGCACAAGGTGTTTCGCCAATGTTCAATTCAAACATTCTCGTTCTGCTAGCAAGATCTGGCAAAGGAATGTAAATCCTTCTTTCGAATCTCCTTCTAATAGCACTGTCTAATTGCCAAGGAATGTTGGTGGCACCAAGTACTAGAACACCATCAGAGTCATTCCCAACCCCATTCATCTGCACCAATAGTTCTGTCTTGATTCTCCTGCTTGCTTCACTTTCACCCTCACCTCTTTGACCTGTTAAGGCGTCTACTTCATCAATGAAGATGATGGAAGGCTTGTTTTCCCGTGCCATAGCGAACAATTGCTTTACAAGTCTTTCGGATTCACCCATCCATTTCGAGACCAGATCACTTGAACTTATGCTGAAAAAGGTGGAATTGGCTTCCGTAGCAACGGCTTTTGCTAGATAAGACTTACCTGTACCAGGTGGGCCGTACAGCAAAATACCGGATGTAGGCTTTCTATTACCTTTGAATAGGTGAGGGAATTTGACAGGTAGAATCACGGCCTCTTTTAGTGCCTCTTTGGCACCCTCCAATCCAGCAATATCCTCCCATCTCACGTTTGGCTTTTCGGTCAAGATGGCTCCCGACAATGCTCCTCTCAGTTTTTTATCGTCTGCATCGTCGTCGTTGTTCGAGTTCGCACTCGCTTTTTTGGCAGGCGTATCCTTCTTACTCTTTTTCTTCTCTTCTTCAGCCTCCAGATGCTCCTTCAATTGCTCTGCACGATTCAAATACTCGGTGAATTTTGCCCTAATCAGATCCTTGGACTTTGGATTTTTCTCGTACTTGAGCGCTAGCATTAGATAGTCGAGCCCATTGTAATAAGCGGTGTAGGCTTCTTCGTATTGGGTGGCTGTATCCAAATCGATGGCCTTTTCAATCAATCCAATACCTTTGGTCAAGAAGTCACCCGTACTCATCTAGCAATAGTCCTTATTACTCACCTACTAATGTTACACAGGTACTGCTACAATATCAAAAACTTGGAACCTCCTTATCACGTTGAAGATGCTAATCTCTAATGGTTGTCCGGGTAAGTTCAGCATGCATCACAAATTACAGATCTAAAGACCCCTCGATGACGAGTATTTCGAGTAGTCAACCCTAATAGGCGACAATGAGTCGTCAGGGTTATTGGGAAGAAGTTCTGCCTCTGGTATTTTTGGGTATTTATGGTAAAACTTGTCTTGTTCATCCAGGCGCACATCAGATTGGTTGTTGAAGCGCATCGGACTAGACGTAAAAAGAGGACTCATAGCGTGCTGTGGGGAAGGAGGAATCTCACCCTCAATTGGCTTCAGGTTTTCCTTTTGTATATTTCTTATCTGCCTGCGAGATCTGACGTATTCATTGTCGATATTGGCATCATCCAGTAGGCTTTCAAGAAGAGCGTTCTTCTCCTGTGAAAACTTCAAGCGCTTTTTGGTGATTTTAAGATCCTTTTCTACAATTGACAGTCTGTGAGTCATTGTCTCCAGTTTGTGCTGTAAAAGTAGCAATTGATCTGTCTCAAAAGTGCGTGGTTCACCTATTCGTTTCGGGCTTCTCACAAGCTTTCTACCACGTCTCAGCTCCTCTAGCTGTTTATCATCATATTGCTTCTCCGAAAGTTTACGCCTGAGAACGGCGCTTTTTGCTATCCGACGTTGAATCTGTGAGCGCGTCTGCATCGGTGAAGGATGAGTTGACAACTGAAAGTCTGAGTATGCTCTCTTCATCCCCAAAAGCTCCTGATCTTCTGTCGAAAACACACCTTTGACTTTTTCCCAGATTGATGGAGATTGTCTTTTCCTACTCACAGCGGTAGCTCTCGTCGTTGTTGTGGGCTTCATGCTGCCAGGCTTCTGGACTCGATAACGGCGCGACCTATGTCCATTGGCTCTTCTTTTCCACTCATTGAGAGATCCATCCTCTTTTTTACGTGTATCTCCATCGTTGAACCAGCCACCAACATATTCCTTTACGGCTCTTAGCATCTTTTGAGATTTTTTGTCAGTGTTCGCGGATTTGTCTCGCTTGATAATTAGGATTTTATAAAACGCTAGTTTGTGTATTCAGCTTGAGGCCAAAGGAGAACATTCAAAAAGGTCACTTTTTCTAGCGAGACTCACTCAAGATCTAGTACCACTACTATATGCCTCTTTATATAGCGCTTCACTCCTCCATTAGTTGTACTTCTGCTGATCACGTGAGTTAGTAGTATAATATTCAAACGCGTAATGGATATTGAGAATTATTAGCGTTGGAATATAGCACGCATTTCCAAAGCAACTGAGAAGGAATTCAAGTGAGAATACTAAGAAATGGACCAAGGCGTGGTTTTGCCCGTCAAAATCCAACCAGGTTTACTAAGGCCCTTGGCCTACCGTGTTTTATCTAAGAAGTATGGGCTCAACATCAAATCCGATGGACTGGTTACATTGGCAGACTACGTGGGTAGGCGATTTGGGATGAATTGGAAAAAGGATGGTGATACTTTGAAATTCTTAGAGGAGCTAGCATTAGTGTGGAAGCAGCAAGAACGGGGATTGTTCGTTGACAAGACCGGTGTGGAAGAGGTGATAGGAGAGATAAAGGAAAGGCACAAGATATCTGATGCCGTTAAGACGACTTCGCCGATAGATGGAAAGCACCATATCAACACGCTGGAGGGCTTTCTCAAAGATAATCGGAGGAGCAATGACGAACAAGCATTTCCCGGCGAAGAGCCGTTGCAGTCAGCGACCCCCACAGATGTGGTTGCAAGTGATACCACAGACAATCAAGCATTGTTGAACAATAACCTTGAAATGGACGCAATGGATGTAGAAGATAATAAACTTCACGAAACGGTTGACGAGCTTAATTGGCAAGACTATTTTAAGGTTCTCAATGCATTCACACAACAGCATTTCAGATACGATCATACCAACAAACAGTATGAATGTATCGCAACTATCCAAAATTTTAATCATAAAAAAACAGATGGGATCGAAACACTCTTGCCCGACGCTCAAGCCAGCGTATCTATGTTTCCCAACAGATATCACATACTTAGAGACCGAGTGATGAGAAATGAAATGTTTCGAGAAAGCGATTCATTCAACCCACTTTCATCTACGGTAAATTTAGAGCAACAACTAGTGCAATCAGCAGGCGATTCTTTTCAACAGATTTCTTTGACTCAAATCAAGAACTTGTTAGGAAGAAATGGCAAAAACTTTCTACTTCTTGGGCTAATGAAGAAAAATTCTAAAGGCAACTGGTCACTTGAGGACCCCTCCGGAGATGTAGAACTGGAAATATCTCAGGCTATACCAAATAAGGGTACTTACTTTGTTCCGGGATGCATTCTACTAGTTGAAGGTATCTATTACTCTGCGGGTCACAAATTCCATGTCACCTCAATTGCACATCCACCAGGTGAGCGGCGCGAGGCTACTTTGGACGCTATCGGAAATGTTGACTTTCTAGGAATTCATCAGTTGTCAAAGACAAATTACGTTTCCAGGCTGGACAAAAATCTTAAGATCAGGCTACACTTTTTGGAGAAGGAATTGACAGACCATAAAATCGTCGTGCTTGGTGGTGACATTTTCCTAGACCAATTAGTGACACTAGAAGCATTAAGAAAAGTCTTTCAAAGGCTTGAAAGTGATCCACCAATCGTCCTAGTCTTCCAGGGCTCGTTTTCTTCAATACCAGTGTATCCTCTGATGAGCAGCAAAAATATAAGCGCTACGACAAGTTATAAAAACAGCTTTGATTCTCTAGCCAGCTTACTTGCAAATTTTCCTGCTTTAATAAACTACTCAACATTAATTTTTGTTCCAGGTGTTAATGATCCATGGGGGTCTTTAGTAAATCTCGGAACCGCAGGAACATGGCCCCAAAAGCCAGTGCCATTACGATTTACGCAGAGAATTAATAGAGTTTGCAAGAAGGTTGTCTGGGGCTCGAATCCTACACGAATTGCATATTTATCGCAAGAGATAGTGATAGTTCGAGATGATGTCAATGGACGGTTCAAGCGGCACAACATTGTTTTTCCTGCCAATGAAGAGACTGACGAGGAGGAGGGAGAATACTCAATAGCTACACAGCCGAATTTAATAAGCGAATTAGATGACGAATACAAAAGTATCAATCAACTGGTCAAGTCTCAGGAGCAGCTTCCATTACGAATTCAAGAATCTAGGAAAATTGTCAAGACAATTTTGGATCAAGGACATCTGTCACCATTTGATACGTCCATAAGACCTATTATTTGGAATTTAGATGATACATTACAACTGTCGCCAATCCCCTCGACTCTATTTCTCTCGGACACAACTGCTCCAGAATTTGACGTTACATACAATGGATGCAAAACCTTGAATACTGGGAAATTTTTGCACAAAAGGAAGGCGAGGTTTTTAGAGTTCATTCCGTCCTTGAAAAAAGCATCACAAGAAGAAGTTCACTTTTAGTATGTATGTAGATAAACAATATTAATAAGGATACTTCCTGAACTTAGAAGTCACAGTATATGGCATGCAATAGACTGGATCAATTGAAACCAAATCGTAAAATCCCATTAGACTTAAGCCTGCGAGACCAAAAACTGTGTGAAACACGTCAACTTCATTACCTGGACGATCGCTGATGCCTCCGCTCTTACTGTCTTGTGACCTCAGAATAAACCCTTTAAGTTTGTCAAAATCAATGTAGCTTAGCCTGCCAATGATTGCTAAAGTGGACAAAACCCACCAACTGTAGCAAACATCAGGAAGTTTGCTTGGTCTTCCATTTAACCCTCCTTCTGGCACTTGTCTTTCGCAAAGCCACCAAGCAATGTTATCAATTTGTTCTGAACTGAGATCGCCAAGTCTATTTACAATTGCAAGCGCACCAACACAAGTAAAAGCCATTGCTGCATGACTTTCTGCACCAGGTGACAGTCCAAATCCACCATCGAAATTATAGCAACGTAAAATGAACTGCACGGCTGGATCGACCACTTCTGGTGTTAATTTACCGAGAATTGACAACGCACTCAAAGCGTTGTAAGTGAATCTCGTGTCAACTTCACCAAACCTATCTCCTTGAAAAGAGCCATCTTGGAGCTGGTTCCCTTTGATAAATTCAACACATTTCGCCACCTGCTCTTCTGTCAGCGCATCGAGTGCGTCGTAGATCGCCAAAATTTGAATGCCCGATAGCGTTCCTAATAGATGTGCATCATGGCGCGGAAAGGCAGCAAACCCACCAGTTCTATCATCCCAGCAGCTTTTGACGAAATTGATCACATCTTCTCTATTGAATGTTTCCTTGGCATCTAAAATGCACAGGGCCGTTAGACCCCAATACACACCGTTTAGCCGTAAATGTTCTGATAGCCAATATTCATAGTCCTGTTGCTTCTTATCCAGAGACTCGATATATTTAATGTGTTTTTCTTTGAATAATTCTAAGTCTTCCATATCTCTAAGAAAGTACAACTTTTGATGGAATCCTCGCGCGCGCGTGCACATTCTTAAACAATATATAATAATAAAGCATGGTCTCTAACAGAGTGAGCATAAATGACTTACGTGTCGATACTTCTTACAAGCTACCAAATGAAGAAGAAACTGTAGATGAGGCTTTGAAAAGACTAGAGTTTCAACGAAAAGAGAGACTTCAGCTCGTCCCTACCGATGATGAAGATGTCAAGGCATGTTTAGAATTACTTGGTGAGCCCATCGTGAATGCTAACGAGGAAAATGCAGAAAGAAGAGAAAGACTGACTGAACTTCTATTCAAAAATGAGGAGCACATGAGAAAATTTCTTGACTCAGTTTATGGAAAAGGGAATCAAAGAGAGAACACCAAGGAAGCTAATGAAGATGAGGATGAAGATGAATTCTACACACCAGCAAGCATTCAACTAATTGAGGCTAGAAAGTTTTTGATCAAAGACTCCCTTCAACGGGCACGCAGACGTCTTGAGCTACAGAAGGAATCCCTGAACGGTCAAAATATACAAAGAGAAATTCTTTATAGAAGAAATCTGAACCACAGTCTCTCACAATTTGAATTAACTGGATCACAAATTGCATCAACTAGACCAATCTCACAGGTTGTTTTCTCCCCTACTGGCGAGCATATAGCATCTGGGAGCTGGGCTGGTGACATCAAAATTGTAGAGCGCTCTACGCTCGATATTGTCAAAGAGTTTCGAACCGCGCATAACGGAAAAATTGGGGGCCTCGATTGGCATGAGAGTGGTAAACTAGTTGTTAGTGGTGCTGCTGATAACTGCGTAAAGGTCTGGAATACTTCTTCCAATGGTACAAATCCAGCAGCTGTTTTGACGGGGCATGTCGGTCGAGTGGCCAGAGTAAAATTTCATCCTTGCGGTCGGTTCATCGCCAGTGCCTCTTTCGATACGACCTGGAGATTGTGGGACTTGGAAAGCCAAGATGAATTGCAACTACAGGAGGGGCATGCGAAGGAGGTGTTTTGTTTGGCATTTCAAAGTGATGGCTCACTTATTTGCAGTGCCGGCCTTGACTCTTTGGGAATAGTATGGGACATAAGAATAGGTAAATCAATAATGTTACTAGAGGGACACGCTAAACCAATTTATGGTTTAGATTGGTCACCTAATGGGTATCATATTGCTACTGGTGGTGCTGATGGTGCAATAAAGTTATGGGATATACGAAGGAAAGGTACAGTTGGAACGATAATGGCAAATAAAGGCATCGTGTCGGAAGTGAAATTCGACAAGGCTCGTGGCTCGTTTCTTGTTTCTTCTTCCTATGATAAAACTGTTAGTTTATTCAGTGCGGATAACTGGAAGCCAATAGCATCTCTAGAAGGTCATACTGATAAAGTCCTATCGGTCGATATTTCTAAAGATGGCGATAATATAATCAGTAGTGGATGGGACCGCTCCGTCAAGTTATGGACATTACCTAACTAGAACAATATAATAATAATAATAATAATAATAATGATAATAGTTACATTAATTATTGTAGTGACCTCTTTGCTTGCCCCTGTTTCCAAAATTCGCGGAGCGTGTTCCCGTGGGATTTATTTTAGCTAATTGATCTGTTACATCTGATAATTGTTGTTCTAACTTTTTCACGGACTCTTTTTCTTCATCGAGCAGGATCGTGATGCTTTTTATTCGCTCGTCTGTATTCTGTGAGTTGATGATACCTTCCTTTAAGCCCGATTCCACCTGCCTTTGTAGCAGCTCTATTTCTTTTACCATATCTTCCTTCTGCTTAGCGGTCGTTGATATGGACGAATCTGCCCTTATTATTTCCTCTTCCATATACTTATACTCCGTTTCTCTTGATATGGTGAGACGTTTCTCTCTTTCAATCTCCTCTTGAACATCGATCGTTTCGATCAAAACCTCTGCCAACAAAGCTGAATCGGAGTCTCTAGATTTTAGTGTCTTCAACAGAGACTCTATTTCCTTCGTAATTATTTCAATATTTTCGTGTTCCTTTTCAGAAGAGGACAAGAATTCTCTTGATTCACGCTCATTTGTTTGTATGGAGTTGGTAGCCTCTTCTAATTGTCTTCTGATGTCATTATAGTCTTTCGTCAAGGTCTCTAAATGATTTAATTGTATACTTTCCATATCTTGAAAATGCTCGAGCTCAGATGACTGCCCTTCAAGATCATCGTAAGCCCCTGTGATCAATTGTATTAACCGATGTGTGAGGAGACCTCCTGATAAGTGATAATTTACAGACCCTGAATCGTTTTTTATCGCGATTCCTGTCAACTGGCCCATTTTTTGTTTAAGCGGATTTGTCGAGTAATCATTCTTTAGCCTTTTGGACATATAATAGGATATGAGGTCTTCACCCTTCAAACCAGCAGAATTTGGTTTTCTACCGCGCTTCTTTCCACTTTGGAATCCAACTTGCAGATTATCATCCGTTTGATTGTAGCGAACTTCTGTCAAGAGAGATCTTTCGACATCCATTGGTGTGTACGTCTTGATAGGATATACATCGGGGAGGGGCCAAGATATATTGGGGTCTTCAAGCCATTCAATTAGGTATCTTAAATTCTGGGAATAAATTGGACGTAAATCTGGTGGCAATGTTCCGACCACGTCTCTTAACACTACGACCGCTGCCGTTACACTGGTCAAGTATTCCTTACTTGCCCGTGTAGCTTTTTTGCCGAAGAACAGCTCGCAATGATCAATCGAATTTATGGTCGTAAGTCTGACAATAGGTGTAGTGCTACCTTGCCCTCTTCTAGGTCTATGATATTTCAGAACGTGTTGTACATGTTCGGCATTTGTGTCAACTGTTGGATCGAGACATAAGAGCATGTCAAAGTGACCCTTTGCATCTAGACCCTTGTTTACTAGATCTTTCTCGGCCGAAGGAAATAGATGACAGGTGCATGAGAACTTTTTTGGCTTCTGTTTGGTTTTAATTGATTGTCCATCATACCTCTTGATATTTACTCTATTGCCTAGTAGTAAAGCCTCTAGTAAATCCATAGTTCTTCCAGGTCTACAAAATATTGCAGTATCTGTATCGTAGTCCTGAACTAGGGCTATCAAGTCCCTCAGGACGCTGAATTTACCGCTAGTTTCGGCTAAATGTCCCGGTATATCTTTTGTAATGAGAGATTTAGGGACAAAATGGTCTATGAGTAGATAAGGATGTGTGGCGACAAACTCACTGTTCAAACACATTGTTTGCATGGAGTGTAAAACAACATCCTGGTTGAAATCTTTTGTTTCGAAGTATTTCAAAATGTCCGAGTAATGCAAAGATACAATTTGCTCGCTTAATTCTTTTTGATATAAACACATCGGTGCAGGTAACCAATAGTCGCCAGATGTATCGCCAGATACTCCCATAGTCTGGGCATCAACAATGGCAGGTTCGGGTGCAGTATCAAGTATTTTCCTTAAATCCATGTAAGCTTTAAGATATTGTTGGTATTCTAAGGAAAGCTATTTTGAAATTTTCTATCAATCTTAAGAAAGCCGAGCGCCAAAATTTGACCTTGGGAAGTTCCAACACTACTTCAGATAATAGAAATGGCACAACCAGCAGTCAAGTTAAGTGATGGTATGTACAATCTACTGCTTCTAAATCATCTTAGTAGGTTTGTCGGCGTAACCTAACAATAAAGTACAGATGAAATTGCTCTTTATGATAGGCAAATTCGATTATGGGGCATGGCAGCACAAGCGAGAATGAGATCGGCTAAAGTCCTTTTAATTAATTTGGGTGCACTGGGAACTGAAGTTGCGAAGAACGTCGTTTTGAGTGGTATTGGTTCTCTGACAATTTTGGACGAGCATGAGATTGTCGATGAAGATTTAAGAACACAATTCTTCATCAGCAAGGAAGAAGTAGGTCAGAAGAGACTTGAGGCTGCCAAACCCCGTATTCAAGATATGAACCCAAGGGTCGATCTGAGAACAGATGTGGATAACTTTAAAAGAAAGTCTGAGTCATATTTCGAAGAATTCGATCTGATCATAGGAACGGATTTGTCCAGAGAAGAAATTAGAACGATAAACGCAATCAGTCGTAAATACAATATACCCTTGTATATTGCAGGACTTCATGGGATATTCGGCTACATATTTGTTGATTTGATAGAATTCAATGCAATCGAAGAAAAGGAGAAGAGTTCGGTAGCTACCTCACTTGGTGTCATTTCTCAAAACAGAGAAGTGGTTGAAGTAACAGATTACGTTGATGATGAAAAGTCAAAGGCATTCGAGAAAGTAATCACTAAGCACATCTATCAACCATTCGAGATTAGTTTAAAACAAGCCACACTCAACGGTAAGCTTACGCGTCGGCAGCTTAAGAGGCTGACCAACGCTGTCCCTTTAATATTGGCACTTTTCGATTATGATAGCGATTTCTCCAAACTTAACACACACAATCTCAAAGAAAGTGCCGTTGCCATTTGCAAGCAGTTAGGTTTGTCTGAAGATAATTTAAGGCCCGACTATATTGAGATGTTTGTGGAACAGGCAGGTGTTCAGTTTGCACCAGTCTCTGCAGTAATTGGAGGTGCTTTGGCGCAAGATGTCATTAATATTCTGGGCAAGAGGCAATCACCCTTGAACAACTTCGTGGTTCTAGATGGACTTACCCTTGATATGCAAATATTCGAATTGTAGAGTCTAATCCAACAAGAAATAAATGTCCTAAAAACAGTTGAGAGTCTGCTTATGTTGAAAGATACTTACACTCTATTAAATTTAGACGTAGATCGTACCTTCATCAGAATTCTATTGCACAACGTGAGGGAGGAGTTGAAATTTCCTTGAATTTTATATTTACGTCTGCCCGCTGACAGTAACTTCCTGTAAATGAACCATAAAGTTTTGTAAAGAAACATCATCTGTTAAAACAATGGTTGAGCCACCAGCGGACTGGTCTTGATAGCTATCAGATGGGTTCAGCTTAGATAGCAAAAATCTTGCTTGGGAACCACCAGCTTCCGTGTCAATAAATCTTGGAAGAGGAAATCTGTCGACCAACAATTCCGCGGCCTCGAGCTTTGGCTCTTCGAGCAGAGATTTAAAATCTGCATATTGTGGATCATCTTGGTAACCAGCTTTTCTCCATTGAGCGATTTGCTCACCGTGGTAGATTAAGATGTAGAAAAACGTGTCTAGCAACAAAATCGTGTTTGGCTTGACGGACACGGAATCCAAAAGAACTGGCTGAGGCTCCTCCTCCATAGAAAAGGAAGTCAAAGTAGGTTGGATCATAATCAAGGAGTTTGTAGTATCTTCTCTAGTGAAAATGTGACGGTAAAATGCTGTTTCATCGGGAGAATTATTGAAAACACTCAAGAATTGAGACCTTCTCAAGTAGTAGGTAAATTGAGGATATAAAGAAAAGTTAGGTGCCAATCTGAAAGATCTTGGATCGTCTTTGTTATAATCTGCGTATTTTTGACACAATTTGATCAAAGTTCTGTCAATCCATCTGATAACATCTGCACCGTCATCTGATTCGGCCTTGTGGACAGCAATTCTAGCCATCAGGACAGCAGCAGCCTCTTGATCGAAAGAGGCGGCAATTGCGGGAGAACCAAATGGAAGCAATTGGTTTGCTACAGTCGTTACCCTGATACGGTTAGTGCCTGAGGCATGCTGATAGGATGTGACAAATTGACTGTAGGCAAGCTTTGGTCTATCGCCCATGACACCAGCTGTAGCAGCAGTATTCGCGATTTCGAAGAATACAGCGTAATTGTGATGCGGACCTAAAGATGCCATTTTCCAAGTAGAAGTACCACCCATACCAATCTCGGAGTCACTGACATTGACGGCATCGGTCTTCTTCACAGGAGCAGCATGTCCAATTAAGCCTTGTACTTTTAAATCTCTACTTGTTTTAACCGACATTGTACCATTGAAAGCCATTGTTAAGTAGCCCTCTTCATCACTCGAGAATAACCTCAAGAAGGATTGCTTGAAAATGGAGGTAGAAAAAGCATCCGTCAACAATAGAACACCACCTGTGGAGTCGGTCAATTGCTTCATCTCTGACATACCAACTTGATCATAACAACCTGCAAAAATGTCAACAGTATGGCCATTGTCAGCAATTCTTTGAGCAATTTGGTTATAAAATTTCGATGCTTTTTTGTAATGTTTTGCATTATCAGAATCAATGTCGTGGTGAGATCTTAGGGGATCTTTCAACTCTGAGGAAACAATCAGTCCAGGCGCCAAAGTGCCAGGACCAGATGCAAAAAGAATGATTCTAGCAGCTGCATTCTTGTAGCAGCCCTGTAAAAGCAATGTTGCGATATTCAAGGCAGAACCAGTGGCTCTTAGAGGTCTATGTCCAGCTGGAACAGACCATTGATCTGGCTTCAAGTTCTCTAACAATTGTGTCAACTTAAACTCCACTTGCTCCAAAGGCAAGAAAAACCTGTTCAAGGAAAATGGAGTTATTTTGGTATTTAATCCTGGGGCAATGTTACCTGTGGTTTTCTCACCTGTTAACATTTCCACCAACATGGCAAGTTGGTATTCTCTGTCACCTCTGAAGACATTACACTTATCAATTGTCTCACAAGATAAATCATGCAGTTGAATGACGTTTCCATAGGTCATCAAACCAACGAGAGCATTGGGTGGGAGCAATGAAAGTGAAGTTATAATTGATTCTTTCAAAGCTTGCAAGTTTTCTTCCTCAGCAGTAATGTCAACAATAAAGAAAAAGATAGGAGGGATCTGGACCGGTCTATTTGTTATGTACTCGATTGTCGTGTTGCTCAATTCGGCGGGCATGTTTTCTTGCGTCATGTTCGCGTAGTGTGCGGGTAGATGGTTTCTTGTATTACAGATTGGACATGCCCAGGAATTCGATCTTAAATCTATCTCACAATATGGATTCAATACTGCTTTACATGAGGGACCTCCACAAACTACCGGGTTGTACGACATCACAACTAGATCCTCCTTTTCTTTTAGTGGAGTGTAGAGACATCCGACTGGAACCACGTTCTTGTTTGCGTCCGTTCGACTAGCTGGGAAAACGTTCCAAGAGAAACGCGTACCATTGATATCTTCATTAGCTTCGAAGTCCATCTCTAGCTCTGTTTATTGTCACTCAAACTAGATATTATCTTGATTTCGCCGGGCCTTTTGTTGTCTTTTTGCCACCGTGGACGAACATTCTACGATAAAATTTGAGATCCTCTTCTACGGCTAATGCTCACGCGTTCCGAAGCATTCAAGCTTGATACAGAATTGTTTTCATTCTCCTAGAGTTGAGCGTTCTCGAGCCACATATAGCTATAGTGGTCGATTACAGAAGTGTACATAGGTATCTACCTTCTTTAACGCAACTGGCGTCGGAGCCGCCTTGACTCCGTTCACGTGTCGTATTTGACGAACATAGAATTTATTACAAGAATATTAGTGAAGTTGTTTGAAGATCGGAACTACGTTGTTGTAGCTCTGTTAATATTCAGACGCACGGGTAATATCCTATTCCTTACTTATACGCGACTTTTATTTGTCGATTTTCTAAAAGTCGCGCCGTTGTTTACGTTTCGTATAACGGTTTTTTATTTCAAATTCTTTCCCGTTGTGGTCTGTTTGATTTCAATAATTTCAATACCATAGCAGATACACACGACTGAAGAGCGCATAAACCATGTTTTCAAGAGAATTACAGGTAGTTGTTGCCTGCTTGGGTTCAAGGTTTGGGGTTTCTCTGGTTTTTCCGCTTCTACAGCAGCAGCTGGACAAATCCGTGGAGTTTTCAACCCCCGTGACGTCCTACAGAAGCTTGGAAGAAGGTGTGTTTCTTCTGCGAAATGACTTCCCGGTGTATAGTGGGGGAGTGGTTCATCACGCACCACTTTTGGTAGTTTTGATGTCTGCTTTGGGTAATAGCGCACTTACTTCACTGTTATACGCCTGTGCAGATGCACTCATCGCGTATCAGTTGATAGCAATGACGAGATGTTTCCCAAAATCAAAGATCCCAGCTTGGGTTCCAGGAGCATTATATGTGATAAATCCGTTAGTGCTTCTCTCTTCTGTTTCAAAATCTTCCGTGGTGTTTACAAATCTGGCCATTACCACCGCACTATTGAGTGCCATGCAGAAAAGAACGCTGGTAGCAGCAGCAGCGATTGCAATGGCGGGCTATTTATCGCTGTATCCACTTCTGCTCTTGGTTCCCATTTTCTCCTTGCTTCCGCAAGAAAAGCTGAAGGTGACTTTCATTTGTCTAATCGTTTTATCGGGCTTGTTACTTTCCAGCTACAAAATCAACAATGATGATTGGAACTACCTTTTCTCTACTTACGGTGTGATAAGTACGTTCAGTAAGATCATTCCTAACCTCGGGCTATGGTGGTACTTCTTCGTCGAGCTGTTCGAAATGTTTATCCCTTTTTTCAAGGCCGTGTTCAATTTGTTTGTGGTGTCTTGCATAATACCATTTTCGCTTCGCTTCCACGATCAGCCTTTTTACGCATTCGTACTGTGTCTCGGGTGGATTACGTTGACAAAGTCGTACCCTACTCTTGGTGACGGCGGCTTTCTATTGAGTTTTGTGCCGTTCTTTCAACCGCTGTATGGCTACTTCAGATATTCAGTCATTTCGACATTACTTTTCATTCACGTCATTGTTCTCTCCCCCATTTTCTATCATTTATGGGTGGACTTGGGATCGGGGAACAGCAATTTCTTCTATGCGATCTCTCTTGTTTACGCATTAGCAGTTTCAACAGTGCTAGTTGATTTGGTGTGGGCCATGTTGAGGATAGAATACGACAATGGAACACCAAACCTAAATCTAAAACTGACCTCAATCTAAATAATAGTTTGAGCCAATGGGACTACATACTGGCGCTTGTCTGCCATTCTAAAATACCTTGATCTTCGCTACTTTCTGGCTAATTATTGAATTTATCCCCTTATACGTTTATCTAGATACTAAAAGGTTTTTCGCATTTTTTCAAAAATTCACGAAGTAGATAGAACATCAAGTTTTCGTCAATTGAAATCTTTTAACTTAATGTCTGATGTATGTAGTCGTAATTATGTTGCTGCGCGTCAAAGTACTTACTAACGTTTTTTTTCACAGCTTTCTCCCATTAACCCAAAACCTTATTTGCGCGAACTAATCAATAAGCCAATTGTTGTTACTCTGAAATTCAACAAGACACAATATAAGGGTGAGCTTGTATCTACAGACAACTACTTCAATTTACAGCTTAGAAATGCTGAAGAATTTATTTCTGGAAGCTCTAAGGGAAAAGTCGGGGACATTTTCATCAGATGTAATAATGTATTGTGGATAGGTAAGGACTTATCTAAAACCGAAGATGCAGAAAACTGAGCAGCTCAGCAGTCGCTGTTTGCTAGTTGAAATGACAATATTTTGACGTTATCTACTTCTGATAGCTGTGCCTGAGGTGATTTCGAGCTCCACTGAGGAAGCAAACTATAGTATTTAAAACTATACTATTCAATTGTGGGCAGAGCATTTCAAAAAGAGGCAAATTAGAAGTAAACTACCAGGTGCCCACTAATATCTGAACTCAAATAGCCGCTGACTAGGGTGTTAGTCCATGAGAAATTGTTTTGATCTCAATTAGGTCAACAATAGATCTTCAGAAATCACGTATAATGGGCTCGCTCAGTGTTGGTTTTTACAATAATTCAAGTTACCTTACGCTAGTGGTTCTAAGGATAATATTCGATATTTTTATGATATCAGTGCTAAAGGAATGGAAATAGCATTTTAAGATGACAGTGCTAGAAAAGATGAGTTTTAGGTAGCTTTGAAAAGCAGTTTGTATGAATTAAATGTTATATATTACGTAGCGATACTTGTGCCCTGCAACCGACGATTAGTAATTCTTTTTTAACTCTTCAATTAAGATGATTATTTGTCGTTTGGATAGTTAATCTTGTTGTTTGATTTTGATGTTGCCGATTTGATTAACATTGTATTAATGTGTTCAATCAATTAATTAACTTTCAATTTATAAAAGTTTTCAAAAATCTTGGGCGATCATTCATTATTTTGGCTCCATTTATGGTGTAATTTGAAGCAAGCATTGACGCTACGAATTTTACCAAGTTGTAAGCTGTTTAAAATATGAAATCGCAAATATTCAGATTCTCTGTCATTCAACTGCTGCATGGAATTTGTTGTTCATTACGCGTGGCATTTCAAATTTTTCCCACCCATAGTCAAAAAATTCTGGAAGCGAAAAACCCTTTTGACACGTCTACCGATCACAACAAAGAAATAATACAGTTCAGATGTCCATTGAGAACTCGGTCATTGTTCCAGCGTATCATGAGAAGCTTAACATCAAACCTCTCACCACAAGATTATTTGCTGCTTTAGGCAACGAAGGCTCTAAGAAAACTGAGTTGATCTTTGTGGATGATAATTCACAGGATGGCTCCGTCGAAGAAGTTGAAGCACTACAAAAGCAGGGTTATCAAGTTAGAATTATTGTGAGAACGGACGAACGTGGTCTTTCTTCCGCTGTACTCAAAGGTTTTTACGAGGCCAAGGGTGAGTACCTCATTTGTATGGATGCAGACTTGCAGCATCCTCCAGAAAGTGTCCCTCAATTATTTGACTCTTTGAGAACACATCCGTTCGTATTAGGTACCAGATACGCACCAGGCGTGGGTATCGACAAGGACTGGCCATTATACCGTAGAGTGATTTCTTCTGGTGCCAGGATGTTGGCTAAACCATTAACAACTGCTTCTGATCCTATGAGCGGATTCTTTGGCCTACAGAAGAAATATTTGCTACAAAGTCAAACAGGAGATATTAACGCCCAGGGTTTCAAGATTGCTCTTGACTTATTGGTTAAATTACCATTGCCGACTAATCAACCAATTGGCGAAGTTCCTTTTTCATTTGGCGTTAGAGTTGAGGGTGAGTCCAAATTATCGGGTAAAGTTATTGTTCAGTATATTCAGCAATTGAGAGAGCTTTACATCTACAAGTTCGGTGCTAATAACTTGGTTCTATTCCTCTTTTTCTGGACGATTCTATTTTTCTACGCATTGTACAAACTATACACTTCCCTGTTTTAGAATCAGGCCATACTAAGAATGTAATTTGTATACTCATCCATATGAAGACTTGTTCGAATCATTATTTTCCCCATACAGGCCATCCTGTCATTATTACTTTTCAGAAAATACTCACCATCAACGAAATGGATGAATACTTCCCGAGACAAGGGGCGGTGCCATCGAGGGGGGGCAACGAGGGAGAGTTTAATTCAGCTTGAAGCAATTCGAGAAGTGTGCCATCTTCCAACTGCAATTGGCTACCATTTACGTGTATGAGAAAGCTCCTTTTAAGATTATCAGATAGTGGTGAGCCTGTTGTCAGTTGCTCGTATGGCCAGGGTGTGTTGACGCTTCCATCCTTACCTCTTCCCGAGGGCTGGAAGCAATCGGATCCACTTTTTAGTATTATTCTGGTAATTGCTGGTGGTTCACCTGTTGCCAGAGATGGATTGGTGTGGACGAACTGCCCTCCGGATGGCTCGACCGCATTCTGTCGCGAACAGTTTTACAGGAAAAAAATTCAAACCACCTTTCAACAGGACGACCACATAAAGCTAGATGTCTTTTCTCCAGGTTCATACTGTTTTTATCTATCATACAGGAATGATAAGGATGAGTTGCAGACTACAAGAAAGTTTTACTTTGTAGTGCCTCCTGCATTGTATTTGGGTGACCGCCACGTCCAGCTGAACTCAATTGCATTACAAAGCGTTATTTCAAAGTGGATGGGAAAAGATTGGAACAAGGTTTTCGATAAAATTGCTAAGAAGGGATACAATATGATTCATTTCACACCTTTACAGCGTAGAGGTGATTCAAATTCACCATACTCGATTTATGATCAACTTGAATTTGACCCGGAGTTTTTCAAGGGTCCTGATGATGTCAAGAGCATGGTATCAATGCTGCATGAGAAGTACAAAATTCTAACTTTGACGGATGTAGTATTCAATCACACCGCCAATAACTCGCCTTGGCTCAGAGAACACCCCGAGTCTGGCTACAATCATGAGACTGCTCCTCATTTAATCCCAGCAATAGAATTAGACGCCGAACTTTTGAAATTTAGTGGCCAGATGAAACAACTTGGCTATCCCACGGTGATTTCTAATACCGCCGACCTTTTTAAAGTGATGGATGGGATTAAAATTCACGTCCTAGGTTTTTTAAAGCTATGGGAATTCTACGTCATCGATGTGACATCTATACTGAGTGACGTAAAAAAAAACTGGAACTCGCCGTCGAAGGAAGAAGTCCAAATACCAGACGAAGTGAAAAATGATTTAGTTCAGTTGGCGGGATTCGTTCGCGAATATGCCACTCTCGAGAACTTCGGTGTGCTGGGGGAGAGATTTTCGAATAAACTTGACCGTTCTAAATTCGTATCAATTTTGAAAGCGATGTTTGGGGAGGAACTGAACGACCATGTTACCGAGGAAGCAAGAAAAATACTCGATGAGGTGAATTTGCCGCTGTATAAGGAGTACGACGACGATGTGGGCGAAATTTTGGAGCAGCTTTTCAATCGCATCAAATACTTGAGAATCGATGAGAATGGTCCTCAATTAGGTGCTATCACTAAGGACAATCCCTTAACGGAACCCTATTTTACCCGATTTACATCTTCTGGTGGTAAAGAATTTGCTTTGGCTAACAATGGTTGGATATGGAATGGTAATCCGCTAGTGGATTTTGCTTCCTCTAAATCAAAAGCCTATTTGCGCCGGGAAGTAATTGTGTGGGGTGACTGCGTCAAACTGAGATACGGCTCAAAGCCTGATGATTCACCGTATTTATGGGAGAGGATTTCGAAGTACATAAAAATGTGCGCCGAAATATTCGACGGTTTCAGAATTGACAACTGTCACTCAACGCCTCTACACGTCGGCGAGTATTTCTTAGATCTTGCGCGAGCTCATAATCCTAACTTATACGTTGTTGCAGAACTATTCTCTGGGTCTGAGAGCATGGACTGTTTGTTTGTCGAAAGATTAGGTATCTCGTCATTGATTAGGGAGGCAATGCAAGCATGGTCTGAGGAAGAATTGTCTCGCCTTATTCATAGGCATGGCGGTAGACCTATTGGATCTTACAAATTTCTTCCGCTAGATGATTTTGCGTATCCATCGCATGTGGAGGAAAATGCCGAATTTTGCAGGTATGACAATAGCTTTGCAGTATGTGAGATCCAAATCCCAAAGATTTTAACAGCAACACCCCCTCATGCCTTATTCATGGATTGTACTCATGATAACGAAACACCATTCCAAAAAAGAACGGTCGAAGACACCCTTCCTAATGCCGCTCTAGTGAGCTTCTGTTCCTCCGCCATCGGTTCAGTTTACGGTTATGATGAGATTTACCCTACCTTATTGGACGTTGTGGGCGAGTCACGAACATACTCTGTAGAGGAGGATGATGGCATTTCTGATGTGAAGACAAGACTATACAAGATTAGAGACCAGATTGCTAGTGGAACTGCAGATATCGAAGACTCTGAGACTCATGTTCACCACAAGGGCCAGTACATTACAGTTCAACGAAGCAATGCAGGTCACGGAGGGGGATGGTTTTTAATTGCACGTACAAAGTTCTGTGAGGCAGGGGAGCAAAAACTTCCAACAATTAAACTCAGCGCTTCCCGGTGTAAGCTTGAATTCAGTTGTACATTGGTTAAAACAGGAGATGTTCCAAAAGATGATAAAATCATAAAGGGTGTTCCAACCAGAATAAATGAGTTTACTGGTTTTAACGTGTGGTACGACGATGAAAACGAAGAATCAGTCATAGAACTGTTGGAAGACTTCCCTCAAGGTTCGATAGCTGTTTTCAAGACTCAACAGAATGGAATGGATAGTAGTTTAAACGCTTACATTAGGACTGGTGCACTGAAGGCCTCTGAAAACTTGAATTTATGCTCACTAAACTCCATGCTGTATAGATGTGAAGCTGAAGAACGGGATATGAGTGCTGGTGAGTATGGTACATACAACATTCCCAATTTCGGTAATCTCGTCTATTGTGGCTTACAAGGATGGGTTTCAGTTCTTAGAGGGGTGATTTTTTCTAATGACCTGGCACACCCCATAAGCGAGCATTTGCGAACTGGGCATTGGGCACTGGATTACGTTGTGAATAGATTGAACCATTATATCGAAAATCCTGGTATTCGTGAAATGCAGGAATGGCTTGAGTCCAGATTGGCAAAAGTAAAAAAACTCCCATATTATCTTGTACCAAGTTACTTTGCACTAGTGATTGGTATCGCATACGAAAGTTGTAGATACCGAGCATTGATACTTATGACAAAAAATGTTAGCCATGGGACAAGATTTATCCAATCTTTGGCATTAACATCTGTTCAAATGGTATCTGTGATGAGCTCAACGTCTCTTGTACCAAGAAAGAACATCCCATGTATGGCTGCAGGGTTACCCCATTTCTCATCCGCTTATATGAGGTGTTGGGGTCGGGATGTTTTCATTGCGTTGAGGGGTTTGCTACTTGCTACTGGCCGCAACGAAGATGCCAAAACACATATTCTTTCCTTTGCTAAAACTTTAAAGCATGGACTGATCCCTAATTTGCTCGATGCAGGCAGAAATCCGCGGTATAATGCTCGAGATGCTGCCTGGTTCTTTCTCCAGTCAATTCAAGACTACGTGAATATTGTTCCCAACGGAGAATCAATATTGAAGGAGAAAGTCAAAAGAAGATTCCCCTTGGATGACACGTATATTCCGGTAGACGACCCTGCAGCGTTTTCTTATGAAAGTAGCATTGAAGATATTGTGTTCGAGATTCTCTCAAGGCACGCGAAAGGTATCAAATATCGCGAAGCCAACGCTGGACCAAACCTGGACAGAGTTATGAAAGACGAAGGATTCAACGTCGAAGTTCACGTAGACTGGGAAACAGGTTTAATTCATGGTGGGTCACAATGGAATTGTGGCACATGGATGGACAAAATGGGTGAGAGTGCACTGGCAGGGTCATCAGGCATTCCTGGTACGCCCAGAGATGGAGCCGCCATCGAGATAAATGGACTTCTGAAGAGTGCGCTTAGATTCGTTCTCGATCTGAACAAACGTGGACTCTTCAAATATTCTGAAGTTGAAAAGAATGATGATACTAAAATTTCATTTGACGACTGGAACACTCTGCTACAATCAAATTTTGAGAAAAAGTTCTATGTCCCAATTGATCCATCTCAAGACGGGGATTACGACATCGATGGTAACCTAGTCAATAGGAGAGGAATATACAAAGATCTCTTCCGTGCGGGGAAGCCATACGAAGATTATCAGTTGAGGCCCAATTTCGCGATCGCAATGACTGTGGCACCAGAACTCTTTACTCCAGAGCTAGCAATGAAAGCATTAGACTTGGCTGACGAGATTTTGCGGGGGCCTGTGGGAATGCGGACGCTAGACCCCAGCGACTATAATTACAGACCTTATTATAACAATGGAGAGGACTCTACTGATTTTGCTACAGCCAAAGGCAGAAATTATCACCAAGGCCCTGAATGGGTTTGGTGCTACGGATACTTCATGCGTGCGTATTGTCACTTTCACTACCTTGTTGATCCACGGGGCCAAAGCCAGCCAAAAGGAAAACCTTCCTCCTATCTCTATCAGCAGCTCTATTTTAGACTAGACGGCCACAGAAAATGGATCTTTGATAGTCCTTGGGCGGGGTTGACGGAGTTAACAAACAAGGATGGTGATTATTGCGGCGACTCAAGCCCTACCCAGGCATGGAGTACAGGGTGTTTACTGGATTTCTTCTATGACCTGTGGATCACCCACGAGGAGGCCTAGGTAAGAGTTGAATTATAACCACTCTACAAGTGCGGCTTCTTTTGTTTATTATGGATCTTCCACGTCCTAAGTTAACTTTATGTGCATAGTGGTCACGTGAATTCGTAAGATTATTTGCTGTACTCGCACCAAGACAACACACGTTTTTGCCAAAGAGAATTACCTTCCTTTTAAGATATATAGAAATAAATGATGCTGCCTCCGCTTAGTTTTCTGTTCTTTTACTAGCCTCAGCGCTCGAAATGTCGTTGATAGCGCTGCAATTAAGAGTATATACAAGTGAAAAAAGCACGTGAAGAATATCATGATCAACGGGAATGGCAGACTGATAGGGATCGGTTGAGTAGCTGGATTACATTGTAGTGCTTTTAGTTCTTATTGCCACTGTGACTCACAGACAAGAAACAAGGTCACCGAGGTCAGAATTTGAGGGTGATCAAGAATATTTCGATCTTTATTAGAAATCCATTTATTCTATAGAGGATATTTGACGACGCCAGTGAATTGTACCCCTCCGATGCCCTATTAAACGTGGAGTCGCAAATGACAACAGACACAGATAAACAGCTTTGGGAATTGATAGACAACTTCTTCTTAAAAGCTTCTATACTAATATGCCACTCAAAAAATACAGGTATACCAGATAATGGAGAATCTCTAGCCACTAACAGCTGGTTTAATATTGAAACACTAGGGGATAGCACAATCGAAAGTGAGATAAATGACTGGGTGACTTTTGATGGCAAAAGAAATTTACCGCCTTTGGTGATAGAAACATTCCTAGATTTAAGAAGACTCACGCCGTCTCAAGCGGTGATCTTGAAAGACCAAGACGGTAATCCATGGACCGCTTGTAAGGGCACAAAAAAGTCCGAGGTAATGCTGGAAAGATGGTTAATTCAGCTTGAAAAAAATCCTAATCCCGTCAAGATAGAAACCGAAATAGAAGAGATCTATCGACAATTAGTCTTATTATTTCGTTACCTTTACACTCTTGTTGGGCTTCTGCCTGCCAGTGACTTACAAACTCGCATTTCCCGTCCTGGAAACAGTCGCAGCCTGACATCACTCATCAACATTGGAACTAGAATCGTGGACGGTTCGAAGCCGATCCTTTCGAAGGGTCGAATTGGCTTAAGCAAAAATATAATAGCAACATACTCCAACATGATCAACGAAACAAACGTTCCTTCACATCTAGAGCAGAGAAAAATCACGCCTATCCACACGAAATATGGGTCATTGAGAATATCTGTATCATACCGCCGCGATTGCGATTTTCATGTGGTAGATAATGATGATTCATTCGGAAATCAATCAGGGGGAATACTAGAAGGACGTACTTCAAAAGCAGCTGGTGCGTTGACGTCATCTTTCTTGAGGGCAACATCAACTACTAGCAATCGATCCATGTCAATATCTCCTAATACCACTATAAGTCCTAACTTGTTAGTCGAACCATCTCCCCAGAAGCGAATTACCTCAACTTCGCGCCAATTTCAACCTTTTAAAGTCGGATCTGTCGGCAGTGGATCAATATCCCAGTACCCTCAGGGAAGTTTAACTCGAAACCCTAGTGGATCTTCTGTTGTTGCTGCCTTGAGGGCACAAAGATCTAGCAATGGGTCGATTACTACATCCACAAACCAACTCCATGAGTCGCACATAGAGCCCTCCAGTGTAGGAAGCGGCAGTGCTTCAAAGTACTCTTCCTCATTTGGTCGGTTGCGCCGACATTCTAGCATAAGAAGATCCGATAGTTTGGAAAGACCTCAGAGGACGGCAAATAAAATTAATGATTCGCCCTCTGGAGATTTATTAGATTTTATGAAGCTTCTAGAGGATAAGCAAGAGCTCAAAGTTAAAAATCCTCACTCGAATAACGTGGATATTTCTAGTTCATTGGTACGTTTCCAATCCATGAGATCGACTAACGATACATTGAGGGATGATTTGTCTATGAGTTTGTCTCTTGAGCATCCACCATCAAACCAACAAAGACGTCGTTCAAATTCGCATTCTCCAAATTTGTCATTCTCTCCTTCAATACATTACCCCTCTATTCCGATGAGACTCTCACAGAGTCATTCCAACAAAAATGATACTTTAAGCGACCTAGCTAGTAGAAGAAGCTCAGCAGATAAAGCCAAATCTGTTATATCAAACATTAATGAAGGCTTCTCTGATGAACATCATGATTCTTTGCATGCATCACCTTCTTTAGATGAAGATGATGACGAAGACTTGTTGATCGACAGGTCTAGAATAAACAGTGGTTCGGGTAAATTGCGTTCCACTTCTCCGGGCTCAATTCAAAGTGTATCAAGTTCTTTTTCAAAAAGCCAGCTGCCTTTCAAAACCATGGTAAATTTCTCACACCCTACAACGATGGCTACACCAGCCCATGCAAAATTACATAAAGCTATTGTAGGGTCGTCAGATAACCATGTCGAAAATGCAAATAAAAAAGAAGATGCAAACGCAGGTGACGAAGATGATGATTTGCTATTCTTCATGAGCGACATGAACCTCTCCAAACAGTAAAATTTAGTGTTCTTGAAATAGTTATATACTTTATTTTACATATCGATGTCCCTTCAAGATATTCTTAGCCTTAATTATTAACTTTGCACATTATTAGGTAAATTTGAATCGCGCCAAAATTGGAAACACTGAAATTTTATCAGTTTACTCTTAGCATTGGTTGAAAACCAATTAAAGTACTTCTGTTCCAGGTACGTTGGTGCGTCCATCCTTCAAATGCTCAGCTGACGAGTCCTGCTCCTCAGGCGTGACCTCAGACACATGCCGTTCTTTCAATAACTTCAACTTCAACTCATGAATTTTGTGTTTGTCAATGTGCTTTTCGTATCTTTCTTCACTTTTAAATGTTCTGCTGCACCCTAAATATGGGCATTTAAACTTCCTGCCGATGCTGTTCAACAGTAACGATATTACTGATTTACCCGAATCTATATGATTCTTTAATGCCTCCTCAGTCTCGATCGCATTCAATTCATTAGTTTGCCGCTTCTTTCTTTGTCCTTTTGAAGGTATACTCGTACTTGGCTCGCTTGTAATTGTAGCATTTAACGCACTCTCAGGTTCTAAAAGATGAGTTGGTAAATCGCAATCATGATTATTCTTGTAGTGAAGAACAAGATCAGCCTTTTTTGCGAAAGAAAGCCCTTCTTCACATAAATCACATTTCCAATTCTTGATCACCTTTGTGTCATCATGAATTGTCATGTGCATTTTCAAACCTGATTCACCAACACAAGCTTTGCCACAAATCGAACACTGTAGTTTAGGATGATCTTCCTTAATATGTTGCTGCAGGGCAGTCCAAGTTTTGAACGCTTTGGAACAAGAAATGTATGAACACTGATACTTATTGACAACATCCGGATTATGATGCTTAGCGATGTGGTTTTCTAATCGGTAAGGTCGTTGAAACTTTCGGCCACAATGCTTGCACGTAAGTTTCTGCAGGTGTACCGAAAGAATATGAGATCGCAGCTGCGGATGCTTATAAAAGCTCTGGCCACAGCCTTCATAATCACACACAAATGATTTGGTATGAGTGACTTCATGCCTTTTCAGCTGCTGTTTGGTTGTGACACCTTTTCCGCAGTATGAGCAATGAAAAGGCTTTTCTGAGCTATGTGTGAACAAATGCCTTTCGAGATGGCTCTTCTTAACAAACGTTCGCGAACATTGTTCACATTTGAAAGGCCTAATGCCTTGATGAAATGCTTGTTGATGTTCAGTCAATAATGACGGTCTGTTGAAAACTTTATCACACCCATCATACTCGCAATAGTAGGTCTTGGGTCTATTTGAGGACGATGAGGCCAGACTTGAGAGTGAGGACATACTCAAGGCAGACTCCGACCTTAAAATTTCTGCGCTATCAAGCTGATCTTCGCCTTTGATCTCCCATAATGTCAAGTTATCTTGAACTTCTTCCATAAATCCTAATGACAGACTTCTTTGAATGCTCGTCGATGAGAGGAGCATTTTTCTATCATCTCACGCTCCGCAAAGTTGTGTCGCAAAAACGTCGTACAATGTTGATCAAAAATTTTCAGCTCATTAGAAAATTAACACATCGTTGCCATAAAGATTATAAGCTTGAATATATAGATTAATCATGTCTGATTACGAGGAAGCGTATGTTTTAGTTAAAGATATGAACAACTGTAATGAAGCGCTTTACTAACAGACCTATAATAGCTTTAACGATGGGCCTGAACACTTCGAGGATTTTGAAAACGAACATTTTTCTGATGCTGATGTTTATGAAGAGCCAGAGTTCCGTGATGGCGAGACCAAGGATGAGAACGGTAAGACGATAATTGCAGGAGGAACTGGTCCCGAGGAATTTCAACAACAGGAGTACCAGAGAAGAAGAACTCTGAGAGAAAAGGCCATTCCAAAGGACGAGAGAACTACTACTCCATACATGACCAAGTATGAGAGGGCAAGAATTCTAGGTACAAGAGCCCTTCAGATCTCCATGAACGCTCCAGTTTTTGTCGATTTAGAGGGTGAAACGGATCCTTTAAGAATTGCCATGAAAGAGTTGGCTGAAAAAAAGATTCCACTTGTCATAAGAAGATACTTACCAGACGGCTCATTCGAGGATTGGAGTGTCGAAGAATTGATTGTCGACCTTTGAGGTGATAGACATCCCATACAGCACCTGTACATTATTATAATCCTTGAAGCAACTATGTAAAACTAATCTAGAAGCATCAATAAAATCATTCTCCAATGGTTTCTAAAAACTTTTTACCCTTAAAAACTTGACCCCCCGAGACTTGCTTAGTGACGAAGTGCTGCAGCACTTTGTCAAGTTCTTTCTTGTCCTTAAAACCTGCACTAGCAAGATAGGTTTCCAGCTCATCAACCTTGATCATCATTTCTTCATTTTCTTTACTAAATGTTTTCAAGGCTTCAATTAGCTCAGTTTCTTCAGGGAGACTCTCTATCCTTTCGCCCATAATTGAAACGAATTCAGGGAACGTTATACCTTCCTTTTCTGTGCCTATCATTTCTTGAAGCTGCATCTCATCACTTTGTTTACTCAGATCTGATAATATCTTGCGAAGATCCTTCTGTGAAATCACACCGTCACCATCCTCATCAATATACTGAAAAGCATCTTTGAGTTTCTGTATTTGGTTTTGTGTGAACTGTGAAAAGGTCACAGATTGGCTTTTCTCCATTCCTTGATCGACGTGATTGGTGCGTGTACTCTTTTTAAAGGAAAATTTTGTTAAGGAATAATCTCCTGCTTCGCAAAGTGCATAACAGCAGGCATGTCGGAAATCAAACAATGTCTGAAAGACGCAAAGAACTCATTGGCTAATGAGGACTATGAAGACGCGATCAGAGAATCAAAGCGCGTGCTAAAACTTGATAGTGAAAACTATTTCGCATATGTTTTCTTGGGTAAAGCATATTCTTGTTTGAATGAGTTACGTCTATCAAAAGAGAGTTATCAAGAAGCTATAGCTATTCAACCAAATAATAACCTGGCCTGGAAGGGTCTCTTTATGCTACTCAAGAATGCAGATGTTATCCCCACTATTGTTTCATTTGACGAGTACTTTGATCTTTGCGGTCAGTATGCTGAGATCCTCTCTCAATTGGAACTACCACAAATTGAATTGATAAATGATATAAGAGATTTCCGGAGTCGTTATAAAGATAGCCAGGAGTCATTTTTAAGACATATGCAGCCTGGCACTGACATGGCAGAGAGGCTTTCTCGTCATCTTATATCCCCTCAAGAGGCATTGGAGGGGTTGCTAAATATTCTAAGTGCCAGAGAATTACAACAGGTCTCTAAGGTGGTGAGTCGTGAAAGGTTAAAAATCAGTGCTAACGATCCAGACTATAACCTAAAGATCAACACTTTAGCGTGGCAGATTTTCAAAGATTCCGAGCTTGATGATTTATATCAACAACTGATAAACGTTACAGATGACGATCTGCATAGAAGAGAATTAGAATCAAAGTGGTTAGAATACCGTATAAAGGTCCTCAAATCTATGCCTGCGGATCTCAAGCCTCAGTTTTTCAATAAAATGAGGACAATGGTGACAGATATGATCGTGATAGAACATAATTCATTGCTTGCCTGGCAGTTTTTTTTTGAATGGCATGATTACTCCGATTTGAATAGCATAGACCCCAACGTAATCTCGAAATTTTTAAAGAAATTCCCAAAAGAGCCCCTAGCCGTCATATTATATGCTTGGGTATGTTCTGATTTTTCGCTTTATAACGCAAAGGAATTCTGTGAAAAAACGTTTAATGACCAAGATTCTAATGAAAGCAATTCGACGAAAAACATCTTGGACGCTGTTACCGATGATATTGATGAGGAAGAAAAGGATGAGTTGAAAAAATTGGTAGATCCATCAGTTGAAGAAACCGAATATGGACTTTCAGAGGATGAAGTGCTGGTAGCACTTACAGACAATATAAAGAAGACCCAACAGAGCATTCTTGCTCACAGAATTGTATCACACTACTATCTAGCGTCTCGCGAATATGAATATGCGCTGCCTTACATCAAAGCCGGAATATCTCTCGTAATCCATAATGTGAAAAATCTCGGTGCACAATTATCAAACTCAAAGAAGGAATTAACTTTAGATTTGGCAACAGCATATACATATTTTGAGGCTCCTAAGAACCATGCTACTGCTCTATCGCTATTTGAGAAACTTCTCTCCGAGAATCCGGACAATGTGGATGCAAAGATGGGCAAAGGTTTGATATACATCGAAAGAAAGAATTGGGAAGAAGCTTTTGAGTTGCTTTCTGAAGTTTCAAAATACAATCCTGCCAATCTCGAAGTTTTGTCCGAGCTTGGGTGGAGTCAGCTACATCTGAATGACACTGATAGTGCCATAGAAAAATTCAAGTATGTTTTAAACAACTTAACAGGTACTGATATGCCTATTCTTGACTTCAGGGCCCTTAATCATTGGCGAATGGCAGTGTCATATATCAAAAAATCTGAGAATGAAGGTGCAGCTTGCGAAGAATTGATAAAATCTGCCTTCAAGCAATTAGTACAAGCAATTAAAATTTCAGAAACATTCTCTGCTAGTTATTCAACGTTAGGTGATCTCTATGCGCAAAATTATAATGATCCTACGAGAGCATTTAAATGTTACTTTAGAGCCTTCGAACTTGATCCAAGTGACCTAAATGCGGCAAAGTACATGTGTGAGAAATACAGCCAAACAGGCAATTGGCAGCAAGCAGGATTGATTGCAGAACGTGTGGTGAAAACCGAAAAAGCAAAAAGTGCTTTACAAAAGAGCAACTGGCCATTTAGGGTGATGGGCGTTGCGTGTCTGGAAAAGGAAAGCGAAGCGTCCTCAATTGAATGGTTCCAGTCTGCTTTACGTGTAGAACCACTTGATGTGGAATCATGGATAGGGTTAGGCCAGGCTTATTACGCTTGCGGTAGGATTGAAGCCTCCATGAAAGTTTTTGAAAAGGCTATTCTTCTTCAAAGTGATAACACTCATGCTCATTACTTTAAAGCTCTTTCCCTTGCAAAATTGGGAGAATATACCGAGAGCATCAGTATATTCAAGCAGCTTGTAAAGACTCAACCACAAGAGGAGTGCTTTCAAGTCTCAATGGTCGAAGTGATGGTTGAGTATTGCAATATGTTATGCTCCCGTGGATTTCTGAGTAAATCAGTTTCAGAAGCTGCCGAGGCAATCACTCGTATAGAACATATCATAACTGGTATGAGCTCACAAACGCCAAATCTTTGGATTGCATTGTCGAGAGCGTTACGGTTATTCATTACAATTCAATCTCAAGTGCATTTACTTCCATTAGAGAGTCTAGTTAATATCTTTGAAGGATTTGAATTGCAATATACTGAAGAAATTAACGAAACTGATGACATTGAATTATCAAGTTTACTTTCTGACGATGGGGAGGATAATGTTGCGATCGCAACAAAATTTTTGATTCTTTCTGGGAAATACGCAATTGCGTCTTCTGATTACAAAAACCTCTCTCGGACAATCAGGGCCTCTCTATGGTATAACCTAGGAACCATAGAACTTCTTGGCTATACCACCTTGAAGTCTTCCAAATATCGCGATGCATCAATTTTGTGTTTCAAAAAGTCTATTGAATTCCAATCAAATACAGCAGAAGCTTGGATTGGGTTCGGAATCGCTTCTATAGATTTAAACTATCGGGTAGCTCAGCATTGTTTCATCAAAGCAGCAGCATTGAGTCCTAAAGAAATTAGTGTTTGGTATGACTTGGCTGTTCTTGCTTTGAAAAATAATGATGTTGAGTTTGCAAGAGAAGTTTTGACAAAATCTCAAAGCATAGCACCACAGGATTCATCCCCATGGCTTGGAATGGCCTTGACACTAGAAAAAGATGGTCAATATGAGGAGAGCTCGCAACTGTTTGCCCACTCATTTGTTGTTTCCAATGGTAAGTCGAAAGCTGCTCAATTGCTGTATGCCAAAAGTATTTTAACCAAACTTGTTGGAAAAGGTCATGATGAAAGGGATATTGCACCTAGCCAGGAGCTTACTGCAGTTGCATGCGGGCTTGATGAGTATTTAAAGAAATCGCCAGATGATACCTTCGCAATACAATGTGCGGTTTTAACGTTGGAAAGGTTGCACAATTTCGGGGTTGCTCATAAGCTTACAGATAGATTGTCAAAAATTTTGGAAAAGAGATTTGAGAAAACTCAGAACGAAGCAGAGTTGTTCAACTTCGCCATCATAAAATCTCAAATTGCCCGCGTTAGCCTTGGATTGAGGAAGTTTGACACTGCAGTTGAAAATGCTGAGCTATCTCAAGGCATATTGGATGAATACAATAATGAAGATGCACGCAGGGCTACAATTTCGAATCATGTCGTTGTTGGGTTAAGTTCCTTTTTCCTAGATGATTTAGATCAGACATTAGATCAATTCAAGACAGTGTTAGATAAGTCAGGAGAATCAAAACAGTTAGTTATACTGATCGCAAAAATTCTGTACAACATTGGTACGGAGGAAACTCAAGAAATTGCGCTCAGAGAATTAGTTCAATATATGACCGAGCATACCACTGATCTAATGGTGATCTTGACAATCGCATCGATCTCGCTTCTAGAGAATAAAAAGAGCGACCTTCAAGCAATTCTTTCGGAGCTAGTTGGCTTGCCAATTACGGCAATAATAGAAGATAAACATAGGGATGTGCCTTATTTGATAGAAGAGATCAACAAGAAGTTAAGCGAAAAGGAGAAGTGTCATGACCAATGGCAAAGAACAGCATTTTTTTTCCCCAATGATTGCAACTCGTGGGGCTCATTGAGTAAGAAAATTAGGGCTAGAGTTTGTGCAGATTCACAAAATCGGATAACCGCGTCTCGAATGAGTGATTATTATTCGAGTTTGGGAAAAGTATCCAGAATACAAAGAGCCTTGTTCCTCTGTCCTTGGAACTTAAGTGCGGTCAAGTCCCTCAGACAATGCTATTGAGATAAAATGCATTTATTTTTTACGTACTATTTTACAACTTTTAGTTATCGTCAATTACTTAAATGGGTCAGAAAAATTTGAATACCTCCCATAAAGAGAGAAGCCTCATATTTCTCGTAACACCATTAAGCTCCCGCTCATTGACCATTTTCAGTTGATTGATTTCACTTGGTAGCAAGAGCTCTTCTTCCCGACCTTTAACGTCATCTCTATTTGCCTTAGTTAGCAAAGTAGAGTTATCGTCCTTCAACTCTTCCGTCTTGTGCAATAGGTTTGCTATATTCCAGGTCAAATTTAATTTCATTAAATCATAGGCATGCTTTTCATTATTCCTGAAGAGAAAAACAGACCTGGAAGCAGCTCGATCAGCTGTGCGTGGCACTTCTTGAATTTCCACTGCATTATAATTGATAAGTGATGCAATAACACATCGGATATCCTTTTCTTTCATAAGAGCCATGGAGTTGATAACTTTCTCTGTCACTAAACTGTTCGCTCTGACACAGCGCAAAATCCTTGCTGCAGACTGCCCCAGAGTGAAGGATATTATCGAGTCGTAAACAGATGACTTCAACAGTGGAGTTAGTTTGGTGTAAGGGACAAAAAAAAGTCCCGGTTGTGCCTCCTGAAGGAATGGTATCCGTGACGAAGAAAGTAATTTCAAGTGGCCGTTGATCAAAGAGATAGAATGCGGATCACTGTCATCCTCGTCCATATCTAAATCTATCTCTTCTTCTTCGTCTAAATCTAGGTCCTGGCCAATTGAATTTGAAGGGGGAGGCGGCACAACAAAGCCATCTTCTGTTTTAACCTTTTTCGACGTTTGATTTTCGGCAGCAGAGGCCCTTCCACGCTTCGAAGTTTTCATTTTAGAAATTAGAGAGCCGCGAAGATCCATGCTTTCAGGCAAATATTTAGATATGTCGATAGCATTGAAGGTTACACCGGGTGCTTTTTCCTCAGCAAGAGTAGCCTCATCATGAAATGCATTTTGCTCATCAATATCTTGCAAGAGACCTGTCTTTGTTAATGGATCGATAATTTCTGGAGAAGCGCGCTCAGTAAGAAATAATGCAATTTTATAAATGGATGCAGGTGTACTGCCAACTCTGGCAGAGGCGAAGTGGACTAAATGCTTCGATCTTTTAGTCTTAAGATATCTATGCAGACTGAAAGTCAATGGAATAGTGTCAACAACTTGCCGAAGAGACGTTTGTGGATTTGTGACGATTAGTTTAGAAAGGTCAGGTTTGCTGAGCAATGCGGAAAATTGTTCTTTGGCTTTTTGTTTCGCCTCGGTCCGCTTCTTGAGATCAGACAGTGTGGAGTTCTTGGGAATTTTACTGTATTCCTTAGTATACAACCTGTTCCAAAGATCACTGACGGTAGTGTAATCTGTGACGGTCAGCGGAACAAGGTAGCCAAACTCACAGAGGCGTACAAAAAGCGCTGAAATTTCTGATTGCGACATATCTTGAATACCAGATTCCATGTAATTGCGCACTGTGAGAGACCCCAGCGCAAGCACATTCTGCACAATTTGCGCTGCAGCATCAGACTGCATCTGCCATCTTATCGTCTCAACAATCTCACCGGCATACAGCATTAGTAGGAGCCCGTCTTCACAGAAGTAATAATAGGTAGTTTTGCGGCCGGAAAAAGCTGTTTCCTCGAGGTACTGCACGCATCTAAGCTGGATCAGCGACACCAGCGTGGTCTTTACACTTTTAAGGTCCAATTCAGTTTTTTCACACATTTCGCGCGCACTTAGACGTCCCTTAGCAATGAGAAGTCCTACGATTTCTGCCGCACGCTCTCCAAGATGCGCCTTAGCAAGTTCCACATACAGAAAGCTATCTGGATTCTGCGCTCGCAGCTCCAATGATGAGACTGACACACTGGGCTCAGAGGACTCGGATTCCAAAACAGGAGGAGCAGCGCTTGTAGTCATAGTAGTGTTGCGCACGAGCCGTGCAAATCGATGAGATGAGCAACGACTTCATTCCAGCTTGAGGATCGAAAAATTTTCACGATCTTGAGCGGCCGTAAGACGGAGTAGAAGTCACATGATACTCCATTGACATGCTGTTATACGAAACACGTGCTCATGTCAAATCATGTGTCACGAACCAATAAGCGCGCTCGGAAAGCATCGAATTTACCGAACTTCTGCCTGTCAGAAATCCTGCTCTCCTTTTAGCTGGGAGAAAATTTTCGCAGTGTAATGGCGGGCAGAGAAATGCTGGAGGGGTGTCAGGGTGGTAGGTAAAAAAGGTAGAAGCCGATACGCTGCGTAAGATTGATCGATTCTCTCTCTTTTAATATACACAATTGATTGAAGACATATCACATTAGGATCATCGATTATGTTGTCTTCAAGAGTCAAGTTACAAGTGGCCAAGCAGGCTAGCAGATTATACACGATTTCTGCCAAGGACGGCTCCGGTAAGGTGTCGACTTTGGCTGTGAAGGTTCACGGTGGGTCCCGTTATGCGGATAAGGACGGATTGGCACACTTGCTATCAAGATTCAACTTCCACAACACCAGTAACAAGTCTGCATTGAGACTAGTTAGAGAGTCTGAGCTTCTGGGCGGCAAGTTCCAATCTAGCGTCGACAGAGAGTTCATCACTTTGAAGGCTACGTTCTTGAAAGAGGACCTGCCTTACTACGTGAGCGCACTTGGTGACGTTTTGTACAAGACCTCTTTCAGACCTCATGAGCTCCCAGAGTCTGTGCTTCCAGCTGCCAAACACGACTTGGCCGTTGCTAACACTTGTCCTGTGCGCAAGGCCGAGGACCTATTGTACACTACCACCTTCAGAAAGGACTTGGGTAACCCAGTCTTGTATGACGGTGTAGAAAAGGTTACTCTTGATGACATCAAGGCCTACGCTGACAAGGTCTACACCAAGGAGAACATCGAAATTATTGGTCAAGGCGTCAACGAAGGTGACTTGAAGCGTTTTGTCAACGACTCCCTGTTCGCTTCTCTACCTCAAGGTACCGCTTTGACTAAGGAGGCCAAGCCTCCTGCCTACACTGGCGAAGAGAGATTCAGATTTGCTGGCGATTCCGTCGCAGCAATTGCCGTTCCAGTTGCTAAGGACGAATATGCCACTTTCGAAGTTCTATCCAGATACTTGACTTCCGCTTTGTCTGACTTGTCACCATTGATTTTCAAGGCCAAACTGGACACTTACGCTAATTCTGGTCTATTCTCCTTGTATGTCAAGGGTCCAGATGCCTCTACTGTTTCTGCCAACATCAAAAAGGTCGTTTCTGAATTGAAGGCTGGCAAGGACCTTTCCGGCGCCAAAGCTTACGCTGCTTTGAAACTTGCAGTCGATAACGATGCTTCTGCTACTCCTGTTGAACTAAAGCTTGACAACGTCAAGGATTTCAAGCTTTCCAAGTTCAGCTATGTTGCTGTCGGTGATGTCAGCAACTTGCCATTTGCTGACGAGTTGTAAACTAGTTACGCAATTTACGAGACAAAAAAGCTCAACCAAGAGTCTGAATATAACCATTAAAAACAATAACCGGAAAAGGAAGCATCGGATCACAAGAAACAATTTCCACTTAGACAAGGTAAACAATGATGAGCTTTGGTTACCATTTATGACTTGGCTACGATGGCTGCACTAACGAATCTCAGGACTCTTCCTTGGTTTTTGTTTTTTTACCATCTTTTTGTTAATATTATTATTTATTTTTATATTATACACCGAGAGGGCCAATCTGAACACAGTCCAGAAGAGTTCTTCTCCTCTTTCTCTCCGTAAATACATTACATATTACTATTTTTTCAAAAAGTTAGTGGCCAAGGAAACTCAAGCTTATGATTTTGTGTTTTTTTTGGTTGACGGCCACAAAAGAGCCTCGTTACAGCTGTTCTGATCTCCTGCCCAACGATCTCACTGTTGGGTTTAGTTCATGCAATATTTATTTCAGGTCAGTGACTTCAATATCAGGAAGGACATATCAATGCTTCACGATTATCATTATTTTAATTCTTGGCACCAATCTAAAACGAGCTCTTTTACTGCGATAATCACTTCAATGTTGCGACCTGACAACGTTAAAAAATTCGAGGTAGGCACTACAAGGCAAAGTTGTAAAAAAAGCGAGAAATGGCTAAGTTGTTCAGCTCTCATATTTCTATATTGAAGAAAACCTCATGAAGACAAACCTTACTATTTAAATATGAATAGAGGGTGTAAAACTTCTTGTAAGCCAGTTATGAAAGCCCTTCAAATCAAACGCCATCAACGACGACCGTTGTACAATGAAGACGACATCATGCGCGCTTACACATATTTTTTTTTAAGACGTCAAATTTGGGTGCAGTTCAAAAATCAATGGATTTCCATTTTGAAGGAAAGAACTCGTATCATGATGAGATAGTAGAGAGTTGATCATCTCAGAGAATAAGCGCTGATGGGACTTGCCACGATTGTGCGCGCCGTGGCGGCGTCATTTCATTCTGAAGTTATCCCTGCCTCATTACAGTTGATGTTTACTTGCGCGTCCCAGACAAACAGATACTCATGGCTCATAGATCAATATCCAGCAGGCAATGGCTCTGAGCTATCCTTCTACTCCTACGCGTGTGATGCATGTGTTCCTTCAATTCAAACCTCACTGAACTGCTTCCTCAACTACTCAATAGAAGAACCTCTGATACAGGCTGTATCTCAATATAGCCGCTACTGTAAAGCCTTCACTGGCTCACAGATATCAGAAGAAGAATACTATTCCATTTGGCAAAATGCTACTGGTATTTTACGCGATGTGAGAGAAATTCCTGCGAATGTAACTTTGACTGTGCCGGTTATTCTTTCAGATAAAGATGTTCGTTCGACTTATGAGCAATTTCGATATGTGTATTATAATTTCGTCGCCGCATTTAATTTTAGCGTTTTAATTAATGTGCTGGTGGCTCTCTTTATTTTATTCATGTTCACGATGCGCTTCTTCAACATTAACAACAAAATGACGAGATATATTCGCTCAAAACTAATAGTGCCTCCTGTTTTTGGCGTTTCTCATCATTCAGAAAGTAATGTTTTACCAAAGTATAGAGTCATCTTACCGACCAGGGGTGAAACCCTGACACTCACGGTGTTCATTATAGTGAACATTATCCTTGCGGCTTATAACTATCCACTGCTGAATATAAGGGAAGATAGCAAATACACCTTTTTGTTAAGATGTGTTGCTAATAGAACTGGCGGTTTGTCGTTCGGCCTTATACCGCTGATGATCATCCTAGCCGGACGTAATAGTATTATCCAACAATTAACTGGAATGCCTTACTCTAGCATGATCTTTTATCATAAGTGGGTTGCAAGAGCTATGACGCTATATGGTTTTATCCATGGTACATTGTGGATAATCTATGCTCTTTCAGATGGTCTAGCGGCCGTATTTTTTTACTATTTGATAGATTACGGGTATTGGAGATGGGGCATGATTATTATGCTCGCTTCAGTATTTTTAGTTGTCCATTCCTTATATGCTTTGAAATCATTCATGTATGAGACATTCCTAGTTACCCACATTGTATTGGCTATTATTTTCCTGATTGGGTGCTTGAAACATTGCGCAGATTTTGGATGGCTAGGGTGGATCTATTTAGCAGGTATATGCTGGATTGGTGAAAGAATTATGAGACTGTGGAGAGTATATTTCCTGTTTGGTGGCTATAGAAACGCGTATGCTAGAATTATTTCACTAGATGATGAAATATTCAAGATCACTATACCTGACATTAATTTCGAGAAATTCAAGTTCTTTCCAGGATGCTATGGATATCTTTACGTGCATCACAGAAAATGGTTTTGGCAATCGCATCCATTTACATTAATGAAAGCGACTAATAACCTAGAGATTACAATTAAAGCCAAGCAAGGATTCACAAAGGAGTTATTCGATTTACTACCTACCGAAGAAACCACGATTCCCATTCGAGTTGCCTTAGAAGGACCTTATGGTCACCAAGCACCTATTGAATCGTACTCAGAACTTCTGATCGTTTCTAGTGGAACTGGCATCCCTGGTCCTATTTCTTATTTAGCAAAGGCGATTGAGAAACCTAGCAGTATGAAATTTGTACATTTTTTCTGGATTGTTCCACATGAAAGCTATCTTGCAATGGTGCATGATAAATTGAACGAATTGTTCTGCACATCACTTGATAATCGCAAAACAGGTTTTTCTGTTCATTTTTATGTAACGAGACCCCGCTACCCTCATCCAATTCAACCTTTACCCTCTAAGATATCACTGCATTATGAAAAACCTAATGTTAAAATGATCATCAATCAGTGCATTGAAAAAACCCACGGCTCAATGGCAGTTATATCATGCGCAAACCCTCGACTAGATGATTTTGTAAGATGCACTGTAGCGGAAGCTATACCTAGCACGAATCATCGCGTGGATTATTATGATGAGCTTCAAGTCTGGTGAGAGTTGTTTTTCTACATACCATAAATGTTTACTGATGGATTGTCCTCACGCTCAAACGATATGTTGAATCTCAGCACCGATGCTACCCGCATACATAATCAACTAATGCTAATATAATGTTTTTCAAGCAAGATTTAGAATAATTAAAGCTCGAAGGCAAGAAATATCAGGTGAATATTGGAATCTATAATCGTGAAGAAATATCATAAATAGAATACGAACAAAAATTGGTACATGCTTTGACAATTTTGCCGCACACATGTATATTGGAGTGGTATCGTGTAATCAAGAAAACAAAAATGCTGCGTGCTTTTGAAAATCAACAATATCTAATGGAAAATTAAAGCACTGCCAAAGATTTTGACTTTCCACTTTGGCAGAAGTAAGTCCAATCTCTAACTAAAGCATCCACAACTTTTGAGTAGAAAGCATCGACGTCAACGCTAGTAATCATGGTTGCTTTTGTGGTTTTGGTACCTGCTCTTGGGCGAAGATCTGCTGGAACCATACGCAAGCTACCATAAAATGGACTTGCATAGGATGTGTCGACATACACATATGTTTCGTAAGAGCCAGTTACCATTTCTGGAAAAGCGGCAATACCAGCCGCAACTTCATCCCAGAATGGAAGATTTGAGGATGATAATGTGCCATTTCCCACCATGTCCTCAACATAGGCCAGTCCTGATGTGTTCTTGATGGCAGCCATTCCTCCAGAAACTGCGATCAATTCATTATACAAGCTCTGTGTGGGGTAAACTTGACTACTAATGTTACCAACAATAACCAATTCTTTCCATGGCGCAGTAAGGGCTCTTTGGGCACCTTCAGGGTCAATCATTAGGTTGAAGTCAGTGTACATGTCGTTGACGAAGTCGCCACCAGTTACCTGAGCGATTTGGCCATCAACGTACCCCCCCATGATGACCAGCTTCACGTTCTTGGCCATGTCCGGCCATTGGGCCAGGGCAAGCGCTAGGTTGGTCATACTACCAGCTGCAACTATAGTGACATTTTCATCGCTAGTCTTAACTGTATCCATGATCCATTGTACAGCCCCCACTGTGTCATTGTAAGTATACGTGGCGTTGGCTGGAATGGGACTTTCGTAGTCACTAGCCCAAGCACCTTGCCAAACAATTGATCCGAAAAGCTGTTGCCATAGCTGGTAAGTATCATTTGTCTGCACTAGAGGTTGGGCGGCGCCCTTATAAACCGGAATACAAGAGGATAAATTGCCGGTAGATAGAGCAAGGGAGGCTTCGTATGTCGCACCTTCAACATCATAATCACCGATATTAGTTGACACGCCCATAACCCGCTTTCCAGCCGTTAGGGGAAAAAGAATCTGCAAAGCAGTTGGGGTATCATTGTCTATAATGAAGACCTCACTGGCCACATGACGAACCAGTAGAGATGCAGCAAGACCGAGAAAAGTAGAAAACTTCATAGTAGTCATCCCACTCAATGCACTGTAACTACATTACACCGAGGTTCTGTCTTTTATGCGTTTCAGCAGATATCGTCGTTTGGCTGCTCTCATAGATAACAGAATTTTAGACCAGAATGTTTTGCTGCCTTACGCTAAAATGGGTAAAATGCCAACAAATATATCGTCGCAGAATTCGATGCCTCTTAACGAATCACAAGAAAAGTTTTCCGCTTCTGCGTATCTATTATCTAGAGGCACGCTTTGAAAATCGTCGAGCGTAATATACCATTTTCGGTAAAAAATAATTTGTATCGTGCAAGATGTCTCCATGAGCGAAGTTAAATCTAATAGTTTTCTTGTCGCTTATTTGCTCATGACTCACTTATTATTAATCACATTTGACGGTTGTAAAAGCGGGTCGGGAATTGTTATGTAATTCTCTGTTGTGTTTCATTTGTCACGACATGTAACGTTCGCTTTTGGAGAGAACAATCAAGAGTTTACCAAATATTGCAATTGGAAAAGTGGAGTCTTTGAACACTGTAGAGATAATTGCTATCAGGTACGGATTGCGTCAGGTAACTAATCAGTGCTTTAGGATTTTTTGCACTTAGAACAGAATTTAATTAGAACGCTTGTCCATCAGTTGGACCCGTGTGAGCTAGGATAGAAAAGTTGCCCTGGATTATAAGGAACATTACCCTTACATTGCAAGTGAGGTGAAACTGAGCATTTATGGCATTCTTAATAAAAAACACGCTCTCCTCGTTTAAGTGATGTCGAACGAAGGCAAGTAAAATAAAGGTACACCATCTGACTCGGGAGAAACCTTAAAGTACGCAAGCGGCAATATAAGGTGTTTTAGAGTAGCCCAATCGCAGATCAATTGATAGCGAGCATGAGCTAAGCCAAGTCAAGCTATTGGATTTACAAGTTCGGAGTTGTTGAATGGGTATCAGTTGATATGTGTGCTTACCGCAGTGACAGATTTATTAGCTGCCATTAACAGTTTGCACCTTATATCCTCTGCATCTTAATTTAGCGTCTTTTTCGTTTCACAGGCGGCTTCCCTAAACTATTAGCTTGCCTTAAAGAGGAACCATCAGTAACCTGTTTATACACCTGAAGTTCGTGCGAGGACAGACCTCCCTGCAATCGACATTGAATAATTAATTTTTGACATTCCATTAGAAATTCGGCCCCTTATGTTTTCCAGCTTGATGTCAATCATATGTATGCATAACAACTGTCGTTAAAGCCATTGATTAGGAACTTGGATTACATAATACAGACACATGTGTCAGTTTGAGTAAGGAATAACAAGCTCTGTTCACACCGAGCTAAGAGCAAAATAAACCTATTAAAGATCACAAAGGTGACTCTCAAAAGACTGAATCTATCTCATGTAATCAAAAATGATGAGAAGGTAAGTCTGAATTTAAATGCATGAGCGAAGGGCATCTTTCAACAAAATCAATGGTCTGCAGGTTATTCAGGTTAGTAGCTGATGAACACAGCTATTCATACTTTCAAAAGGTATGGAGTATAACACTCGGGATATTGCTGCATTCACATTCAAATTTCGACTGTTCAAAAACGATTCTTCTTTCCATTACCAGCAAAGATAAACTTCGCTCTCAAAATCCCACTCAGCGCTGTTGCATTTCGTGAGTAGGATGGCCTTAATTCACTAAAGCTTTTGTCTCTTGATTTCTTGGAGGATTTGGGTATTATCTAAAAGGAGAGATTCATAAAGTCAAAGCCCGCTTTTTTGAGAAAATGAAAACTTCCGTGTAGACAAATAAAAACCTATCATAGGACCCTACGCGAGATGTAGAAGTCCAACCATATTAAGAATACAATGTTAAGATAAGTTCAACCCTGGCGAATACTACTTGATAGGAGGTTGCTAATTTTACGTGAAACCAAATACATTTTTTTTTCGAGTTTAGAAAACTTGGTAGTCGCATATGCAGATTCTGTAGGCATATATGAGTTTCTCACTGAGGAATTTTTTTTTTTCGCTTGAGAATCAAATGAAATCTCAGATGAACTATTGTTTCGATAGGCTCTGAGAATACCTATCCGGTTGCAGTCCCGTATGCACCTAACAAGGCTCATTGAATTTGTTACCAACGTGTTATTTCCAAATTCGGAAACAATCCCCGTAGCATACTCTTCATGAATATCTGAGCTTTTCAAATCCGGGTTTCCTAGAGTTTCTATGCGTATGATAATATCCTCTCTCCTTTTCTGCAGCTTTTTTGGGAAGCTCATCAACGCCTTTTTTCTCAAGTTGAGGAAAGCCTCCGAAAAAAAAACTGGCACACCCTTACACCATGACATAAGCCGCAGGTTGGGAATAAGAAAAAAATACATGCAGGGGAATCTGTGCGTGCCTACCAATTCTTGTGCACGTTTCTTTTGAATGGCATTTGATTTATGAATGATTACGGTTCAATTAGAGTTCGTACGTGATTACGTGAGACACATGAAAGCGGATTCGATTATTTCTTGCAGGTAAATGATCGCGATCTTCCCAAACTTATTCACTCTTGAATGAATCAGCATCGAATATGATGCTTTTGGATTGTGATCTGATGGTAAATTCTTTGAAGTATAGTTGGTCTCCTGAACTTGAAGTCGAAAGCATCCCATTTGACGCAGAGCTTGAGTTTCAATCTCCGAAGCCGGCTGTGCCACTACAGCTCGAGCTGTACCCCATAGAAGCCACACGGCCACCCAATACAGACACTCTGCGAGCTAAAGGATTTAGCTGTAAGGGGGATGATGCTAAGCACGAACACTACGAGCCTGTTGTCTTAGATGCAAAACAGAAGAATAAAGAAGGTGACGCACATCATTCACCAAGAAAGACGAATGTGACATATTACAATAAAAACTACCAAAAAGAGTTAGATGGTCGCTCCTTCAAGTCTTATCCTTTCGACTTCACAAGTGCCAGAATTGTAAGGAAAAATCTTTATAATATTGAACAGAATCCGTCTAAATTACTGGTTCCTTTGCAGCTTGAATTGAACAATCTGGATTATTACGCCCTTACACAGTCTGCACCATTTACTTTGGCAGAAGAAATGCAAGGCAGAAGATTTTTGATAGTTTCAAAATCCGAAGACCAGAATAAAATCTCCCTGACGTTTTCTATTGGCGACGCAAATCCGGAATCTTCCTGTAATGAGGGCCAGCTCATCATCTCTCTTCTTGCTAGACAGGTGAATGTTGCAACTTTCGAAAACTGGGATCTGAATCGTTACAATCACGATGAATCCAACGACACGTGGTGTGAGAAGTACTTCATAACGCTGGTTGAATTCCTCAAGATTATGGAATTTTCCATCGGCGATAAGTTCGCTATCAAAGGTAGCGATAAAAATGATGGAAATAAGGAGGGATTTGATGCCTATGAGAAAAAAAGAATAAGATCTAATATTAGAGAGTTTTTGACTGGGAAAACATTGTCATCAAGTCTGCCACAGCATATTCTGGATCCAATGTTGCCCTCTCAGAAAGATTTCGTATTTGGAATGTATCGGCAAATCAATCAGTATAGTTTCAGAAGGCCCGCATTCTCTTACAAAACGGTCGCATTGATGAAGCTTGAGGATGTAGAAAAAGCCATTGCAAAATGTACACAGTTTTTGAGCTTCGAAGTTTCTCTAGAATAGACGGCAGGTTAAAAGAATTTAAGGGAAAAAAGCTAGGATGATATAATTAAAAATAAATCAAGCATTGGAATTCCGAAGCCTTTAACAGAGGGCTGTTAACGCTTTTGGAAAGGCTTACAGCTATGTTAGCATTCCACTTTTAAAAATATTCTATGGATAAGATAAGTAATTGATCGAATATTTTCGCATATTGTGCAATCGGAAAAATCTTGCAAATTTCAGTGGACAACCCTGAAATATCTGGAAATGCGCTTTGAGTTTTAGATAATATGTGGCTGAATCCGCCTTTCTCTCACATAATCAGAGAAAGCGCATTATCCGGGAAATGATTCGGATGCGCTTAAAGGCGAAACAGACGAAAAATCTACAAAATGTGGATAACGGTAACTTGGCAGCGGATTTTCTTTTTGTCCAATGCAGGGAACTGGCAATGTCTGCAGGAAGATCTTTCGCGGCAAAGAAAAATGTGCAGATATGCGGAAAAGTTTTTTTGCAAAGCGCGAAAACCGAGCACATACATGATGTCATGAAGTTCGGTGCACCTCAAGAAAAAGTAACCCATTATGATGAAAAATAAAAGTCCCATTGATGCGCCTCCATCAGTTACGGGGGATTTGCAATAAGCTTCTCAATCTTGCTTTTACGCAGGTCGCTGTAAATCACAATCAAAGATTCTTCTGACAAGAGAACCAATTTCCTGATCAAACTGTAATAAAAGCCAGGATATCTAAAGAAGGCGATCGCACAGACTTACAAAAATCGTTAAATATTGAGTTTTCAATTGCGGAAAAGTATCTATCAGCACTATGTAACAATCAGAGTATATGCATGCATAGAAAAATTAATGCACCTTGGAAAGGGTAGCCACCACGATGCAATAAAAACCGGGATTTCAATTTATACGCTAGGGGGCTGCAGTTTTCGTGCATAATGCGTGACTTCTGCAGACGGAGCTTCAGCTCATACTGTGCTTTCATTAAAATCGCATTTGGTCGAAGATGCATCAACAATCCGAAGAAAGCGTTAACGGTGCATCCCGGCTTTCAGTATTCCTGTTGCATATCAATTCCCTTTTCAGCTTACCTTGGATGCTAGCCTTCATTTCCCGATCATTTATCAGCTGAGGGTTCTTGTTCTTAAGTCCGGCATGTTAAGCTCACTGTCGAAAAACTAAATGGAAGCCGAGGTTAGGCTCTCTTTCCCCAGGAAACACAAGTAAACCAAGATCGCTCTGATCTAAAGCTTTGAAACAGAATTGCTTGTGTACTGAAATAATTCCGCAGGTGTTGATATTTCCTTTTTTTTACGCTCATCAACGATGCATGTTCGGCGACAAGATCGTTTCTCAGACGATGCCTATTCCGCTTAGATAATCAGCATGAAAACTGTTCTTCGCATAATTTTGTTCCCTCTAAGTTTCGATTCTCTACCCTTTTCTGAAATTTCTTGAAAGCGACTTCAAAAGTAATGGTAAAACATTTGCGCTAGACCCGATGTTTTTCCCTCTTTAGCGACAAATATTTTACATCTGCATACTATTCAGTTTTCAGCGAGCTCTTTAAATAATGTTACACTGCCAGCTATGGATATGAAACTGTCGATTAGAATAGTTATCGAGTATAATAGTAGTAAAATATGATAGCTATTCTCAATCAAAGTTCTTTTGTTCACTGATTTGACGATAGAAAACGAATTCAAGTGTAACTTATTTAATTTAATTACCTTCTTTTTTTTCAGGTTTGAAATGGCAGATATGTTTTTGGTGACTAAATTCCGCATCAAAAAAGCTGAGGATTGTCGGCTGGAAAGTGTGGTGGAACTTGCTTACAATCATGTTGAGGCTTTACACCAAAGGTAAAGTTCACTTTCTTTGAACGTGAAACTGATAATATGCTGAATTCAGGGTGGTTGCCAAGGAAACAATTTTCAATTACCCGTGAGTTGATAACTGTGAGGTTAAATGAGGTTAAATGAATCCTAGACTTCAGATTCTGGAAAATTATTTCAATTAAGCACATGAATTCGTAAGGACTTTCTATTGTCCTATTAGACCCATTTTTGGGGTTATGCTTTCCTTCCAATATGGGCCTGTTGGTAATCCTGGGTGGGTTCTATGTCTGTTTTTTTTTTTTTTTTTTTTTTTCAAAATAATTTCAGTTTAATTGTGACATTAACAACGGAAACGATTAAAGGCTTAAATTGAATTCTATTCCGAACAATTTCACGACTATACGCCAATCTTAAGTGGCCATTTTAATCAAGGTTAAAGAAGGAATGAAATGGAACTAATCCAACGTTGTGCTCCTATCGTTGAAAGAGTAGTAAAACAGCGAAACAAGCATCAAATAGTCGATAATCTTCACCGGTGGAATGACCTGAAATAGAAAAAACTATACTTTTCCTTTCACTTCAAAGTATCAAAGTTTAAGTGTGTCCTCTTAAGCCATGATGTTAGGCTTGATCAAGAATTAGCTATGGGCATAATAAAAGCTAATTATTCTCAGTTCAAATCAAACCTCTGTTATGGAGGATCGATGAGCTGGACTGTACTGAGGCCAACGATAGATACCACATCGTGCAATATCTAGGGAAGTGCAGCTGTCAATTACTCTCTATTTCACTGGCCTGGTAAGTCTATCTTACCTTCTAAGTAAATGGATTGGATTTACAGAAATGAATCATTGAGCACTCTATATTGTTCTGTGAGAGATTGAGTGAATAAGTAAAGGTGTGCCTCGCACAATTTCGTGTTTGACTAATTAGTAAAGGGACGGTTACTCTCCTAAGTCGAGTATTAATCAAAGGGAAGTGAGAAAGAAACTTAATTTGTGTTGTATTCTCCTTTCCGAATTCGCTTTTCGTGCTTAATATTTGATTTTTATCAGAATCACGATATCTGATTATACTTGACTAAGCAACTAGCAGCAGATTATAACATACTTATGTTAATCAATGGTCCATCATGTATCAAAAAAGATTTTTCTTCTGAAGTTGGATGCCAGCGAGTCTTCAATCTTTACTCCCTCCCCTCCTCTTTTTCGCATGAAGTTATATGAACTCAAATTCCTCGCGGTGTCATACACGAAATAAAGTGGTCACAATGTCAGGGTGTTGGGATGTTAAGGCGCATTACTTCGCACTGGACATTTTAGTTTTCTTCAAAAAGCTGGGCAAAAACCGTAAATCAAAATTTTGTTAAAGAAGCTCACAGTATCAGAACTGAGCTCTTCCATCCAATTCAAATATATCACGCATTAGCTGAATAGCTTTTTATACCCTGGGCAGAGAAATAGGCGATTTTAAATATGGGTTGCACGTGTATTCCGGTCCAGTGCTGTACGATCGAACGTGTACTACCTTGCTATTGCATTTCATAATGTTTTGTGCATAGGAGTACTGTTACTGAAAGTTCCAGCTTTTGGAAAATGCTTTAGATGATTGTCAATCTGTAAGAATCGACTTGTTTTCTGTTTGAATTATACAATTAAGCATCTAACTTTCATCAGGATTTGAAACGGAGAATCAAACTGTATGTTAGATTCTGTCATTCATCTAGTGAGTAAGAGTACACACATGGAGCTGACTCATATTTGCTGGATTGATATTATGAACTTGATCAGATCATCAAAAGCTCGCCTAGTGTGACTGCTTAAATGGATTATGAAGAGCTGTCCCGACTAGCAAGATAGCGTTAAAAGATCTGAAATTACACGCCTCTAAAATTCTTACCTCACGGTTTTTCGAGGGATCATTACTTAGTTTCTAATAATTGCGAATTTCAAGCTTAGTACAAAAACATGTAATAGTTGAAAGGATAAAGAGCATACATTAAGGGTAATATCAAGCCAAAGAGGTGGTTCCACACGGTATAAACTGGAACTAAGAGTCTTTAAATTGAGAGTTTATCGGTCAATTACCAGATTCGTAGGTCCATTTAAAATAAAAAGTCTGTTTTTGGGGATTCACGCAATTCGCTCAGTTAATTATGAATGTCTCAGTGAACAAACAACCGTTGGAGTAACGATTCTACTGCAGAATAGCCAATTTTTCTCTACATTGAAGTATCTAAAAAATTAAAAATGCTGTTGAGCGTTCGAAAGAGCAATTCTGTAAGCTGTTTGAGTGAAAGAGTGCTCATTTCTAGAGACGAGCTTAAGCCTCAAGCAAATCAAAATGCGCATTCAGGAGTGCTAAAAATTGAAGCAGCATTATTTAATGAATAGTTCGTTCGATCTCTGAAAAACAAGTGCTGAGGAACACGAGACTAAAAAGCAAAATTTCCCTTTAACCATAAGATTTTTCAATTTTCACAGGATGTCACTTAAAAACTGAGAGCTTACATGGATACACATATTAGACAAAAACCCTAATTCGTTGCTGAAAGCTATAATAAATCACTTATAAAAGCCTTTTTTTGTTCTCAGAGAGTAATTCTAAAATGGACAAATGAGACTTCGTACTTTTCTTTCGACTTACTACTACTTTTCCGAATTTGATTGATGCTGTTTTTAAGTTAAAGCTAAAAACTCCATGCTTGGGATAGCATATCAAAGACAGCTTATTATCATGTCAATGAACATTTATTTTACAGTATACCAACGTAACGTTTTCTGATATCAATTGATGAACTGAGGCTTTTTATGCGAAGTCACTAAAAGATATCTCGATAAATAAGCAAAACATTATCAGAGTCAAAGCTCAAACGAAATACATGAACCAGGGTAAAAGAAGAACTGAGCAAAAATTGATGAAATTGCGTCATATTTCCCTTATAATTCATTGAGAAAGCAACATATGATGCGGTGCCATTTGATCGGTTCAAAAGACTACAAACTCATCAACACAAGTTAAGAGTAAATAGAGCAGTGCACGAATTTGAAAATTAATCCCACCATAACAGACTGGATACTTTTTTTACTCTCCAAATAAGGTCGTGTGAGAAAACAAGAATACTTTTTCTCAAGATCAATCTAAAAGTCTGCCAATACTTTACGAATATGACTTTACTTATTATTTGACTCTACATTATCGATTACAAAAAGTACCACAATGTCGTCAGAATGTTCTTTGGCGTCATTGAGCCAGTATAGCGGCAATGATGACATAAACTTAAATCAAAACTAAAGACAACGTTTTTGAATCGATTAGAAGCCAAAATCTGTTAAAGTGGTTATCTTTTTATGAATAATATGTTGCAACTCGGCTCAACGTTGGTTATCAAGTAATGTCGATTTAGCTTCTCTGTTATCGAATATGCGGTCTTTTTGATGTTTTTGACGCAGCGAAAACTCAAATTCTCTTCGAGGAGTTTATATGCTTTCATTTTTTGGTTCTGTTATAATAAGGAGAAATGCAGTTGTATCTCTTCTTATTTTTAATGTTTTTCTTCGAAATCGATAATGTATTGAATGATTGGTAAAATTTTGAATATCATTATTTTTAACATTTGATCAATGTTGAGAAACCTTGTTTCAATACTCAACGACTATTCTAAAAGGTCTTAAACTCACACTCTTTTGTTATTAAACTTTTGAACGAATACTTTTGGCAAAATCATTGGAGAATCCCCTCTCTTACAAATAGCCTTTAAAATCGGAAATTGAAAGACAAAAGATGTGCGCCAAGTCTTTCCAAATTTATAATAAAGCTGCAAAATACAGATTTTAAAATATGCCATTTGTCCCTGTAACTTCCGAACTTTCTTTCGACGATTAGTGGAATAGAAGGAAGACCAAACTGAAGAAAGCCTTTGAATCTTGAGTCTAAATAGCGCCAACCACAGCAAAAGTTAATTAGGTTTGCTTCCTTCATTATGACAGGGATATCATTTTGGGACCTTTGTATCTCATGTTTCACCAAATCGAGATTTTGGAATTTTGAATTGGTAGGATGCTTGGCGCAAGTTCGATTTTAGTCGCCTTTGAGTCATCTTCAAATCCATGGAGTTTGTGAAAACTCAAAAGATTGGAATGAAAAGGGCAAACTCTAGAAAATGCATCATATCTATCAACTTAGATTTTGGATAAAGAATTGTTGATTTTGATGCGGAAACAGCATATCAATAACACGATCATGAACCAACACATAGGCATCATACCTGTTAAATCACTAATTACAGTTATTTTTACTAAAGAGCAACCCAATTGTTAGAAAGGGGTGAATTAAACTTGATAGGGTATCTCTCTAGAAGAAAAAGACCAGCGAAGTGTTTTCACCTAATAACTCGAGAAAATTATTACCTATTCCTATCTAGCTAAAGAACTTCGTCAAGAAAAAGGGCTATGCCTACCATGGCCATTAAAGGCAATTTCCCATAAATAAAGGACTGGAAAATTGAATAACACAATCATGCCAAATGTGAAATATACTTCTCATGAAGAAAGCTTTATTATTATTAATTTAAAGGCCTCGCTTTTTTTTTTGAAAGAAGTTCCACGGCCGGTAGGTTCCCTCTATAGATTCAAACCGGTAATAATGTGAGTTAAAATTTGATAATTGACAATTGCGCTGCCTTGTTATTGTTGCGAGGCGAAAATTAGTTTTGAAAGTAACTGAATGGATACACGACACTCTATTAAGCGCACTTTCGATGAAATTCATCTAAAGCGATCGGCTGCGAAATATTTTATAAAAATCTCTGACTGTGAAAATTCCAAGGCTTTTTTGTACATGATGATTAATTAGGCATTGGAAGGTGAGATAAAGATGTTGCTAGGTTACCTAAGTTTATCCGAATAATAATTATACAAATATAATTCCAAACGAAAATTGAGGGAAGTTTATGTTGAAAAAAAAGCTTTACATCGTAGTGAGTTACAATTAGATAAATCCTCGTTGGACTTGTTTTTCGCAACCAAGAAAAAGCTGTAAATAACAAATGTGGAAGTACAAGTGGTATAAACAGTGTCAAGCACATAACCAGCATGGGCATTTGGAATCAAGTTCAATTGATCGTGAGACACACTGCTCATTCTTTCAGAAGGAAGAGATTTAGTCTCAGGTTCACGCTAGCAGCGGTCTTGATGATCATAATTTTAATCGTGGGATATCATGCCTCCTCAAGCTTTGCTGATTATGGGGGATTACCAAATCCCCTCAATACAAGTGATGGGAGTCAATCTAGTACTGATACCAAGGAACTTCCAACCGAAGCTGAGCAGTCTCCTAGTTTAGGATCATCACAAAGTGAAAGTCAAGCAACTACTTCAAGAGATGAACATCTGACTGAAATGATCAAGCTTGTGATGGACCAGATCAAGAAACACTCTCCAGATGTTAAGCTTGACAGTGAAAAAAAATCCGAGTGTCGGATAGGCGATATTGGAACTACTGATACAGATAAATTTGATAGATTAACCGAAAAGGAGCTATCTAAATGCTTGACCATTCCAGAAACTGTGAAGAAAGAGCTAAAAGATCAACATACAAAGTATATCAACGCGTTAAGAGGAGAAACTATACCTAAATTTGATGAGAACGTGTACGAGGGAGAAGGTATCGTAATTGCGGCAGGCGGCAAATTCACTTTGATGGCTATGCCTGCTATCAAAGCTATAAGAATGAATGCAAATAAAGACATTCCAATTGAGATAATGATCCCTCCCGAAGATAGTGAAGAGAGTGAATTCTGTCACAATGTTTTGCCAAAACTGGATCCCTCGGGGTTAACAAAATGTGTTTTCATGGACAAGTTCTTCGACCAGGAAACTCTCGATAATGTCCAAGGGTATCAACTCAAAGCCTTGGCATTATTGGCATCGAGCTTTGAGAAGGCTTTGCTTCTGGATGCTGATAATTATGTTGTTAATTCCATTGAAGGTATATTTGATTCCGATGTATTTCACGAGAGAGGTTTGATTCTCTGGCCTGACTACTGGAGACGTCTGCATCATCCTGATACATATGATATTGTTGGTATTGATATTAACAGAGATAAACAAATCAGATATTCAGTCGATGATTTTTCACCTTCCGAGATTTTTGCGAACATTCCCATAACCGAAGCATCATTTCACGACTTGGAAGGGACCCTTCCCGATGGAGGTACAGAGTCAGGACAACTATTAGTTGATAAATCAAAGCATCTCGATTCTATCATTCTTGCTTTATATTACAACTATAATGGACCCAAGTGTTACTATCGCCTTCTCGGTCAAGGCTTTGCTGGTGAAGGTGATAAAGATACATTTGCATTGGCTGCCTATGCTCTATCTGCTAAAGGAGATCAAAGAAGCTTTTACCAGGTGAAGTCTCCCGTTAATGCCATGGGTCATTGGGCCACTCAAGATGACGAAATTAGGCTTTTTAATGATTCTATTCAAGACAAACAGTTTCGCGGAGTTGCAATGATACAGCATGATTATGTCGAGGACTATGAACTTTTGAGACTTGCTCAAAGCACCAGAAATGCAGATTTTACCGAGCGACTTGCCTCTTTCGAAGAGGAATGGAAGAAAGAGCATAACGATGCTCACGATCTGGGCGATGCTAAAATTGACTTCTATAAGCAATATTTCAAAAATGATTACAGCATTCAAAGTGCTATGGAATTCTTCAGAAGTTCAAAAGTTTCTTTTGTGCACTCGCACTTGCCCAAGTACGAACCCTGGAGTTGGGCTGAATCAGGTGACATGATGTTCGATGGCAAGAAGGCGTATAAAAATCACAAGGATGACAAAAACTATACTCCAAGTGGCAAAGGGCACTATAGAATGTACAGCGATAACTTCAATGAATTGACCAACTATGACCTAGAGCTTGCTAACTTCGAATGCTTTCGCGACTACATTTGCGGAAGCTCTGATGGGTACAAAAACTTTAGCTACCTCTTAAAACAAGTTGCAAAAAGCGAGGACGGTTCTGAGAAACTTGAATATATGTGTGATTATATTAAAGAAAGGGTCTCAGATTTGTCGAAAAGTACATGGTCTGGTAGTGTACATTAAAATCATTTTTAAGAGGATCATTGTGAGATTGCCTTCCCACCCTTCAAATATCTTCAAATTCCTCATAGTAAGCATAAGATTTCCAGGAGGGGCATGGCGTTGAAGTTCAGATGCTGGAGTGGAACTGATGAGCTAATGGAGTTTTTCTGAGTTTCATTTACTCTTCTCATTTTCATTTATTATCTCCGGCCACTTTTTTTTCCATAGAAAAAGTCGAGTTCCAATATCAGTTGTAATTTTAGACCTGTGGCATTTTTACATTGCTGTATTGCTTCTACTTACACATCGAAAATTTTTAACAGTCTACTTCTAAGAAGAGGATTTGATCAAAATACAAGATTATATCAATACCATAACCCTTCAATGACAAAGATACGTAACACGGTCTATAAATAAGCTTGTTCAAGAAAGGTTACTAAGATTCATTTTGTATGATGGAGAGAATAGTTAATTTATTATGATAGCTACGCAGAATAAATAGCTAAAATTATAAGTGAGGCAGTTCCAGAGCTTAACTACAGCGCTCGTATTCCAACAATCGAAGAAGTTTACCATTGATTAATGATTTTGAGTACAGTATCAGTAATACGCTTATGTCTGTTTCCCTTCATGAAATATTCTTGGTGGGAAACACTTCTATTACGTGCAGTGCTGAGTAGACCCGGAATTGATAGTTTTCGTTTAGAGTTATCTTCTCTACAAATCTATCTCTTTGTAAATTGGTTTTGCCCCTGAGAGCCAGTATCAGATGAGATGCTTTTCCTTTGCGTATGAATGCAAAAGTTTGGTTTTTTATGCGGTCGATGGGAGGTGGTGCTATAGAAGGTCATTTGCTTCTGCACAAAAATTTCAGTCATCAAAACTTGTAAGATTTTCGAGGGCGAATTGAGTGGATTGTGTTCTATGAAAGTGTTCATGGTTGAAACGCAGACAAATTAACAGGAAAATGGCTACGCAGGCAATAAAAAAGTATAAGTGCCCTTTAGCAGGATGCGATAAAAGGTATGCTAAACCTTGTTTGCTCCGTGAGCATACTCGCTCCCACAACAATGATCGGCCCTACGTTTGTCCCGAACCGGAATGTGGGAAGAGATTTATTAGGGTATGCCATCTCAATGTTCACAAGTGGTCTCACTCCAAAGTGAAGCCGCTGGCTTGCACTGAGTGCCACAAGGGTTTTACAACTAAACAGCAGTTATCACGGCATCTTCAAACGCACAAAATGCCTGAAAATAACATGGAATTCACCACAAACCTCCAACCATATAATTGTTCTCCGAATAGCCACCGATCAGTTAAAAGCTTTGAAGAAAATAAGATCCTAAAGATCAAATGCACATACGACTTGTGTGAAAAGGTTTTCTTCACGGGTTGGGACTTGACTGAACATCTACTTGATGAGCACTTGACCTCGAAAATTGCTCCCGAATGTGGGGAAATACAATTACCATTATGTATGGAAGAGGCTGGATTAGAACCGAATCAGCTCGAAATCGAAACTTTTTTCCGTAGTTGCGAGGAGACTTTCCTAAAGGATTATGACTATGAGGCTGACTCGTGGCGAGATCTGAAATGTAAAAAATGCGAGTGCTTTGGTTGGTCGGCTCCATCTTATACTGCGTTGATAGAACACTATGAAGATCGACATATGGAGATACCTGTCTCCCTGTTGCAAATGTGCTTTAGGAGTGAAAGTAATTTCTGATAACTTTCATCTGCATATGACCTTACTTACTTATCTAGTCAGATACCGGTGTAGTAAAGAGTGGTTGGCATGTTTGGTGAAAAATATGTACTCTTTTGTGCTTGGGGAGATGCCCATCATAAGTTATTGAAAAACTCGAGTATGTCTTCGGCAATATTATCAACATGTGTTTCTAAAGCAAAATGACCTGTATCATAAAACTTCAAGCTAGCTGTTTTAATATCTTTAAGATAGGCCATAGCACCTTCAGGAGTAAATATTCTGTCATTCTTACCCCACAATACAATTGTGGATGGTTTATAGGTTCTGAAATATTCTTGAAATTTTGGATACATTTCCACGTTATGCTTATAGTCATAAAATAAGCGTACTTGAATATCAGGAGCTTTAGATTTTTCAAATAACGCAATATCTAGCGTATATGCTGAAGGATCAAGTTTGAGTGGGTCTTCAACACCGTCTAAGTATTGGCACATAATGTTCTCGGGATTTTTCACGTAGTCTTTTAACAAACGAGAGCATTCCTCATCAGTCTTATCTTTCATCCAATAACTCTTCAAAGGAGCCCAAAATCTGTCGTCCAAGCCCTCTTCGTAGGCGTTACCGTTTTGAACAATTATTCCATTCACTGCGGACGGGTCTTTCAGGGCCAATCTCAACCCCACAGGTGAACCATAATCGAAAATATAGATGATGTACTTGGACAAACCAACTGCCGAGACGAAATCGTGAACTGTATTAGCTAAGTTATCAAAAGTATACTCATAATGACAGTCAACTGTCGTAAATCCAAATCCAGGTAAATCGGGAGCAACAACATGGAAATTGCTCGCAAGTAGAGGAATAAGATTTCTAAACATATTTGACGAAGTTGGATATCCATGCAGTAGGAGAATACTGGGATTCTCTCTGGAGCCTGCTTCCCTGTACCACATACTGACACCATCTTTAACTTGCAATCTGTGGCATTTTGGTGAGCTACGAATAATTGACATTTTGCTAGAGGATGACTGTTTGTCTTGCTACCTTCTAGAAAGTAACCATCAAGTAACTTTAGCCACTTTTAAATGTTTTAGTGAAGCATAGTCAATTTGTCATCATGCCCTCAATTCAGAGGTAAATATGATGAATTTGTTCTTTAAAGGTCTCCTATCATTTAGTTTCCTATCAAACGGTCTCCTATCAAACGGTCTCCTATCAAAGAATCCCACGCAAATCAAAAATGTAACTTCATGATCACTGGCCATCGATTAATTGGAGAGTGTCACGATGAACGAGAGAAGGGTTCCAAAACCTCTTGATTGTCTTGACGATCCCAAATTGCGAACATACAAGACATCTTCAACCACATAATATTCAAAATTAACCTCGTCCTTGCCAAATAATGATGTCGTCTTGAAAAAACAGGAACTCGTATGAATTTGATACAGCAAAAATTCGAAGAGGTAGAGACGCTCTAAATTGGTTTCTACAAAGTACTCAACTAATGATAATAGAAATGGCGAGTATATATTAGCTTCCCACAACCGATGAGTAATTGTATTAAATATGTAACTCTAGAAACGTTTTGAGGTAAAAAACGCTTTCTAAGGTCAAAGAGCTATTTACACTTTTCAAATTCGAGATATGATACTGAAAACTTCATTTCATGTTTACGCACCATCATCTAGCTTTCTTAAGTCTGTTGTATGGACATCTAAATAGCATATATATCATGCAAGATGCTGAGTAGAGTTTAGTCTATTTGAGATCAATTCTGACATGTTTTTGGCTGGCCATGACATTTCCCCAAGGAAAAGCTATAAGGTTTTATTCTATCGGTAGTATAGAAGGTTAGTTTGGCGTGTGCAAATATCCTTATAGTTGTCTACACTGACAAGTTTGTATGTAATATTCTCATTTTCATACTTTGTAAAATTACCTGTGATCTCCTGCGAAGGCGCCGTTATCATATGAGTGTACTAAAAAATTGGACCCTAATTTTCATCGATGAATTTTGATTAGTAGCGTTGATTGCAATACTTTCATCCGGTTATAAATATGTCACATGATAACGAGAGATGCATACAGCTTGCACTCTTTTGAATACTTTATTAATTCCTAAAAATTTCCTTAGATCAGAAAACTAGTGGTGGTTGCTAAGCACAACTCAGTTCTGAGAGAAAAATTTTCATCAATTTTATTGTTCAAGGAAGTTACAAGAGCTCGTAAAGCCAAATAAGAATCTTGTTTTTTATAAGGTTTAAGCTGTTTCAAATGAGTATATAAGACTTGGTTTCACTAACTTTCATCATTTTTAATCTTTCATTTTAGATATGTAATTGAGACACTAAAACACTTTCAGGAATGTCGCAAGATAAGAAGAAGACGCTATCAAGACTTCTAACATCTTCACTATTATTACACGGCTTGGAAGCATTTGCTATTCCAGTCAAAAAATCGTTTGACATCGATAAGATAGGAACCCAAGAAAGCATTTTTCCATTTTTGGCCGGCGCAGGTCCGTACTTCTCCTACCCTGAAAATTATGGGATACCAATTGAGCCCCCAAACAAATGTGAACTGAAACAAATCCAATTAATTGCAAGACACGGAGAAAGATATCCAACGACAAGCAAAGGAGCAAAACTTTTGAGTTTATGGAAAAGTCTCCAGCAATATCCCAAAAGTTTTAATGGGTCACTTTCTTTTCTAAATGACTACCAGTTTTTTATCGAAAATGAAGATGTTTTGGAAATGGAAACTACCATAGACAACTCAGTAAATGCGATAAATCCTTATACGGGTGAAATGGATGCAAAGAAACATGCACGTGAGTTTTTATCTTTGTATGAAGACTTGCTAGATGAGAAAAAAGAGTTCGCAGTTTTTGCCGCCAGCTCGGAAAGAGTGCACGATACAGCTCAGTTTTTTATTGATTCGCTTGGATCTCGCTATAATGTTTCTCTTCAAACTATAAGTGAAGAACCAAGCTCTGGAGCGAATACACTTTCTGCAGGCTACTCGTGTCCTGCTTGGGATGAAGATCAATATAGCAACATTACAGAAAAATACTCCACACAATATTTGATCGATATTGCCTCTAGATTAAATTTCGAGAATAAGGGCCTGAATATAACTGCGAACCAAGCAAATATGCTTTTTACATGGTGTGCCTATGAGTTAAATGCTCGAGGCTATAGCGACATGTGCAATATCTTTACTCGAGAGGAACTCATTCATTATTCTTATCAGGATGACCTAACAAGTTATTATCAAGATGGGCCAGGCTATCCATTGATTCGTGCGGTGGGTTCTAACCTTTTTAATGCGTCTGTTAAGCTATTGCAAGAAAGCGAACATTTGGATCAGAGAGTTTGGTTGAGTTTTACTCACGACACCGATATTTTAAACTACTTAACTACTGTAGGATTGTTTGACAATGGAAAAAAGCTAGATCCATCATACGTCCCATTTAGAGATCTCATTTTTCATAAATCTTGGATTATTCCTCAAGGTGCTAGAGTCTACACTCAAAAGTTTCAATGCGAAAATAACACATATGTTCGGTATGTGGTGAATGATGCTGTGATTCCCATTGAGTCTTGTTCTGACGGCCCTGGGTTCTCCTGCGAGGCAAACAATTTCTACCAGTATGCAGAGGAGACAATGGCCAATATGAACTTTTTCCAAGCTTGTAACACTTCAAGCGTAAGCAATATAACTGACCTCACTTTCTATTGGGACTGGAAAATGACAAATTATAACGCAACTCTTCTCAAGGAATGAATCACTTGATTTGAGTAGCTGTGGATATTGAAAAATGTATACAGATCTTCTTTTTCAGTGTACTTCGATTTGAGAAAGGAAATATCCATTAATGTATCATATTCGGAAGATAGAATATCTCATAGTCAAAATTAGAGTGAGCCCAAAACAGGAAAGGTATTTTTTTGTATTCAAATCCGCTTTTGAGAACGTAATATTTTTTGAGTCATGTAATTTATGAACTGATGTTTTCATATGTACTGAACTTGGAATTCTCTTTCCAGATAGCCGTCAATTACTGTTTTTCGAGTTTAGGACTAAGCAGAGGATCAATTATACTATTTAAGCTAAGCTCACGTTTTTTATTTTTCTCATTTCACGAGTTATTCTTCTGAGTTTTATTTATTGGTTGAACTATTAAGCTTCGTGAAGTGATCCTAGTTTTGAATGTACTAGTCATAGCTTTGATAATTAAGATTACTAAGTACTAAATATCAACTGAGGAGGTTAACACTTCTGAAACATATGGAACCTAAAGATGGAAATCGAAATGCAGACGGCCTCCGAGCTAAAATGGACAGCTGATGCAAAGAAACTTCACAGATCACAATTAACGTCAGATACCTTAACATGAAAATTGTCGTTTAAGTCGGTGATGTGTACGGTTTGTTTCGAAAATTAGTAATCCATGATTACTAAGTCATTTAGATCGACCAAAAGTATGTGTTCAGGGTTGGGTTTAAGTAGTGAGAGTTTATCGATGATTGTTAGGTACACTTTCTTGGTCCAAAACGACATTAATGAAAGTGCTTCTGGTCAGTGCGCATCCTGAGGAGCGTTCCTTAAACGCAAGCCTCCGAAAGGTAGCCATTACTCAACTCAAAGCCGATGGACATGATGTTCAAGTATCCGATCTTTATTCTTCAGGCTGGAAAGCTGTTGTAGACAGATCCGACTTTCCTGATCTTTCAAACGAAGACCGTCTTCAAATATCGGCAGCATCAGGGGCAGCCTATCAATCGGGAAAGTTGACATCTGATGTGAAAAGCGAACAAGAGAAAATGCTTTGGGCTGATATTCTTATCTTACAGTTTCCGCTTTGGTGGTTTTCGATGCCAGCGATAATGAAAGGTTGGGTTGAAAGAGTGTTTTCCTTGGGATTTGCATATGGTGTTGGCGAGTACAGCGCAACGAGATACGGCGACAGATACGGCGATGGTCCTTTTGTCGGAAAACGTGCTATGCTTATGGTAACTATGGGTGCCATGGAGGAACACTTTAGTGGCAGAGGGATCAATGGACCAATTGATGATGTTCTTTTCCCTATTAATCATGGTATTTTATACTATCCAGGATTTGAAATTCTTCCTCCATTTTTGGTCTATCGCGCAGACCGCTTGGACAAAACAGGTTTTGAAGCAATTGCTGAAAAATTGAAGGCAAAGATGAAAAGTATTACAACAGCTTCACCAATTCCCTACAGAAGGCAAAACGGTGGTGACTACACCATGCCTACTTTACAGTTAAAGCCAGGATTGGAGAAAGAAGGAAATGTAGGATTTGCTTTACACAGACAGGAATAGTCATGAAAAACCATTTTCTAATTAAATGCATCTACAACCAGATGAAGATCAGAAATTAGATAGATTTAGATGTAAAAAAGCCTTACAAATAATGTTTTTTTAGAAGCAACCCTCTCTATTTATATGTCACTATGTTTAGAGTTGCAAAACGTTCGATTTTGTGAATAAATAAAGGTGAAAAAAACTGATCTTCAGACATCGTGATCATGGATTCCACTAAATGATAATTAAAATCCTACAAGTTACATTAATAAAGTAGCATTCATTTCTAATCTTTAATAGGGGCCAAATTTTGTGCAAGTTACGTGTAGTAAAGATTGGACACCAGGTATCAATTTGATATAAAAGATGATGTATCCATTAGAATTTCAAATTAGGAAAAATTAATGTGCTGGGAATTTGCATTACAGGTTCCTAAGCATTTGTGCTCTCGTTTTCCAATAGATCTATCTTGTAAGTGTTAGCATAAAGCCGTCACGTAATTCCATACTAAATAATACATAAAACTTCTATATATCAGTTACTTTGTAATCACTTACTTGAGCAATTGCGTGATAGCAGAAAGCCTCCATAAGTGTTTAAAAATGGAACCCTATTAGGTTAAACATGTAACAATAGCTTCTGGAAACGACAGAAGAAGATGACCCATGTGAGAAGGAGAAATAAAGTCTCTCTAGGAAAAAAGCTGAACAGTGCATTACAATTAGGAATAGAATAAAAAAGCTCTTCACCGCCATGGAATATTCTCTACATAAAATTCCGAAGAACCAATGCAGTCAAATAATAAATTCTGGTCCTCTAAAATTGGTTTATGACCAACCGAAGAGATAATTCCTTATTCATATTCACCTTTTCAAATAATGAAAAGACTGTGAGCGCTGCATTCATAAAGCTTTAAAGATAGAAAGTTGTTTTTTGAATCTCATCAAGAAAACTGTTGTTTTTGTCACGCGAAATAATGAACTTAGGAGCAAAGAAAAAAGACGACGACGCCAGAAAAGATTACCAACCAAAGAGAGGGTTTTCACCGCGGCCATATGAATAACTATTCAGGCAATTCTTTAATTAAGAAAGAAATATCATCCTTACCTATCCTGCACGAAAGATTTCAAGAATCAAAAAAGAACTTGCTTTGAAAGGAACATTCAAAGAATCTATTTAATAGAATTATCCCTGGTCACCACACAGGTCATTTATAAGACATTTTCCGAACAAGATTGGTCTTCCGCCATCTAAGAAGACAGTAGGAGAAATTAATTATTGAGATTTTAATATGAGGCACCGATTATACCACAAAAAAAGCTTGAAGTTACTTCACCAAGAGGTTCCAAGCATAGAGGTAAAAAAAACAAATTATGCACAGAAAAAATAAATAAATGGCTCTCAAAGGCAAATGTACTTTTTGGAAGGGGTAAAGGAGGCTGCCATAGAGGATATTGCCATAGAAATCGAATTGTTGCTTCTCTCTTTCATATGTGTACTTTATACATTGATAATGAAAAGGAAGCGTGGATCAAGTTTTTCGGACAGTGTTATTAGACCTCTAAATTTGATGAAAGACTTGAAAGTTAAAAAAAGTGCAAATAAAGAAAAGGAAATGAATATAGTAGAGGCCATAAAACTAAGATAGCGCGATAATTATTTGAACCTCAAACCCATCAAGCGGCGGAAGTTTTGAACTGCTAAAGGTCTCAAAACTGATTTTCGTCGTCTGTGTTTTGAATTAGAAATCCGAAGTACCGATTGTTACAACTGATCTGAAATTGGAACGAATTCTTACTAATGTATTTCAAGTTAAATCACCAATTTTTTTATTTCAAATTCAGGTATGTGTAAGGTGAAATTGACCAAATATTTCGATGGATTGCTATGGTCACCTCCCTATGTTGTTGGCTATGATATACAGATTCAGTAAAGCCTAAACGAAAGATAAGAATTCGGATCAACAAATTAAACAGAGAATTAGGCGAAAATTATTATGTTTTAGATGTGTTCATAATATGGCGGATGATAAAATGTGAAATGTAAGCGGATGTTATTCTAACATTATATGGTAGAATAATTTACTTCCCGTATGTGTTTGATCCATTCATTTTATATTTCAAAATTCATTAAAAAATGCCTTAATCTGGGCAGCAGTTCATAAGCGATAAACTAACAACATAATCTACCCATGTTTCAGGATTTTCAAAGTGGATTTTGAAAAGAAGCAATTTTCTGTTTTTAACGATAGTGAGTATGAAGAAATATTTTCTCTGTACTCAAATAAGTTGGAACAAGTCCTTTGAATTATTTAAACATGCTTTTTTTGATTATTTTTCGATCAGAGATAATAGAATTATAACGTATCGAATTTAGCCTGTTATATATATATATAATTACGTTACCTTTTCAGTCAAAACTTGCACTGTGTAATGCTCTGCGTATGATGATTGATCTTCTTCCTTATCTTCTGAAAAAGGAACCATTCCAATTCTTGAGCACTCTTCGATTGTATAAGTATCAAAAAGATCGATATCATCTCGATCTCCAACCGGACTTTTCCAGACATGACTAGCAATCATATAAAGTAGAAAAGTTATTGCAAACTGGAATATGAAAGATCCTTCGTAGAAATGATATATGCCTAAGTTGATTTCAATTCCTGGATTTGCTGCATTTATCAATCCTGGTAATCCAGGAGCGCATCCACATAGAAAACATAATATTGCTTTAAAATTAAATCCCCCATGATACCAATACAAGCTATCTGAGGTATTAATGTAACAATGTGAAAGTTTGAGAATTCGCCTTCTCACGTAAAAGTACTCAGAAATGTAAATTGCCACCAATGGAGTGATAAATACAGAAAATGAGGACATTACAGTCAAAAAAGTTGAGCTTGTATTATAGAAGAGCCATGGTTGTGTTGGCCAGGCTAACAAAAGAATAACAATAGCGCCTCTTCTGATATTAATGTACTTTGGAAATATTGAGGATAAGTCCATCCCACCAGAAATTGCATTTCCAACACAATTAATGCTCAATTGGGATATTACAAGACCCAATCCACAAAAAAAAGCACCAGCCCTAGCTTTGGAGCTGTAGTTTTGCTCAAGCCAAAACATGCAGATATCATTGGGCATCCAGAACTGCTCACCATATTTTTCAAGCATTGCACTTGCAGTCAAAATTCCAAAGAGAGGGACTATGAAGCCCATTAAATTACAACCCACAATGGTTCCGACGTAAGAATGGATCGGCCTCGAATTGAAGCGTGAAAAATCTGATTGATTGGAAATACCCGCTACCAGTGAAGAATACCAACTATTAATACCATATATCCAAATCCAAGCAACTTCTGATTTAGATAGAGAAATTTTAGTGTTCATGAGATTACCATAATTGTTTTCATTATCATGAACTGCCCAAATTGTAATACCCATGCCTACAAAAAATACCGCGCATGAACCCATCGCAAGAAAGGTATCAAAATACTCAGGTCTAACCATTAAAAATGGAATACTGATTACAAGGTAGATAATAAAACCGACCAGCTCTTGAGTACTCATATTGACACTAGCGGGAAAAGAATTGGACATATTCAAATAATTTTTGCTCCAAGAGGATATTAAAACATTCACACAAAGGCCACCTAACCAACTTTGAGATGCAAACCATACTACTGAAAGTATAACCCGAATAAGAACGCCAATATAGGACCCACGTATCCCAAATATAATTCGTTGATAGACTGAATATCCAATATGATATTCGGAGCCATATACGCTATTTAAGATGGCCGCGATCGATATCAAAGCGTTAGCAACAATAACAATTCCAATGGTATGTGAACCATTTAGACCCATTGATAAAAGTGATGAGCCTGCTGACCAAGTTGAGACACATAGAGAGTTTATAGCCCAATATGAAATGTAGCCGTAATATCCCCATCGTCTTCTCTTTATTGGAATCGGTACAATGTCTTTATTTTGCATCGAGGTTGAACCCTCTAAAATTATTGCATCACGAATAGCAGTCGAGACCTTCATTTCAGTACAGTGTTAATCAGCAAATACCATATAAAATTATTGCTGACCTTAAACCTGGTATTTTATACCACAAATCAAACAATATGTAGAGAGTGCATTATTGAAATCAGATATGATAAAACTAGCTGAACCACTGTTATCAGCGCGAGGTGTTATTTTTTCTCAGCATGTTTCGCGTATCTCTTTCTATATCAGGGAAAAATTCCGATGATGCTAAGAAGAGCCAAAAAAAATGGAAGGTCAAATGTTGGAGGCATCATCGAAGGACTAGTATAAAACATCAGATATTTACAAAAATGAATAAAAATGTGATTTACAAAGTGCCACATTTCATAATTTAGAAGTTAATTATACGTAAAAAGGCTCAGAATTTGAGTATAGGTGGTATTATAATTACCTTATGTGAATAAATATTCGACTGCAAACATAGCTATCTACTAGGCAACAAACATTTAACCCGATTAGGTTACACTCACAACTTTTTGCATATTGGGATCCAAAAAATATCTTTCGCGGCATGTTCGGAGGATCCCTTGGCCGTCAAAGATGAATGATTTGCTTTTTGTGATATATCCTAGATCCAAGAACAAAATTACGGTTTCAACGGTGAAAAAGTTCTCCTAGCCATACTCAATAAATTATAACATAATTAAGGTTTAACAGCTACTTTTTTAATATGGAGTTCTTTCTTTTCGCGGTACCCAGTTCGCTTAAAAGACGATACCAGAATATTCGCACAACGGGCTTTGTTTTATGGACGGCATTGAACCCCTTTTTTTTCTCAGTTGTAACGAAAATGAAACACATTAAGCCGCACATATTTTGCAATTATCTATCATTCTGAACATCGTTTTTAATCAATTTTTAAAATAGGGGCCTATTTAATGAAAAGAAAGAGGATAACTTCGAGGTACTCAAGGACTGGATGTATTGAGTGTAAGAATTCTCACAGTAAGTGTAATGAGAAGAAGCCACGGTGTAGCAGATGTGCAAAAAAGGGCTCTTCTTGTGTTTATGAGCCCCAATTCATTCATCACGTTATTGAGAACCGGGGTAAAGAAACCAAATCTTCAGGAAAGAAAGGCTGTACTCTGAATAGCGAAACAAAAGATGGGGTGCTTACAAATTCCTTGAACACATCCCTAAGAAAACGAACATCGTATCATTTCTCTAATGAACTTCTAGATATCAAAGATTTTGTTTACATCTCCCCTTTGGATATCGATGTTTTAGAGGATTCACAGCTTGAAATCACTGACTTACAACGCCAAAAGAACTCATGCAATTGTCGAAATCTGGAACTTTTCCGTCTATCTTGGAGAAATACGTCTTTTGTTAAACGCTTTCAGACGGTATCAAACTTTGATCCAGTTAAACCTTTGGCTCAAAATTGTGAATTAGGGATAGTTCCAAATACGTTCTTTCATGATAATAATCTTTTAAACTTTGTATGGACTTTCATGAGTTGTACACGATGCGCCTGTAACTTTGTTCTATTTCCTCATGACAAGTTCGATAATTTTATGCGGATTTTGCTAAAGATAAACAGCTGTTGTGCTATAATTGAGAGCGTTCTCAAATATGAAAGCTCTCTTTTAATGGAACACGTTTATGAATTCAATGGACTCAGTGAGCGGGCAAATGCTTGGAATCGTTATATCCGTTTACCAAGTTTAAGATCCTGTCTCAAAACCTTAGAGGATAGGATAAATAGCCCCGCAAGCTACCCTGAATGTGTTGCCTTAACTTTTACGGTAATCATACTTTTTAGCGCAAATAGTGCCAATCGGAGCACTGTTTGGCGAACTCATTTAAAAGGCAGCTTGATAATGCTCAATAAGCTTGAAGGAATGCAACCTAAAAAAAATTTAACGGATACTGATTTAGCAGCGATTGAGTTGCATGAAATACTAAAGGATATCTTTTGTCACGCTGAACTTCTGGCCAACATAACTTCAGATAACGGTGGGTCAATATATCGGCCAGAAAAATTGCAGAGAATACTGGAAAGTGCTCCATATTCAAGTATAAATTTGCTGAATGATCAGTTCGACCTATTCAGAGGATATGTGTCTACCCTTAGTCCTATTTTTTGCAATATATCGCTCAAGCTACTGCAGTTGAGAGATAGAGGAATAAATTTGAGTGGGTCGAATCTACTTAAGTTTAGATTTCTGAATAAGGACTTAAAAGTTTCCGACGAACTGCGAAGCTTTGGTATAGAAGTTTTGAATGCGCTTGACTCTGCAAAATTAAGCAAAGAGGAATTGAAAATAACTATAAGTGAGGTTGAAGATTTTCGGCTTCAATTGTCCATGAAATGTTCGAACTCCTTATACTTCTTGGCGTTAACGTTATACCTAAAAGTTTTCTTTATTAATACGCCTGCATACTCTGAAGACATTCTTGGGATTATCGAAGACATGTTAGAGACAGCTTATTCGATGCCTTACTATAACACTGCAGCTATTGCATGCCACTGGGCTGTATACCTAGGGGCGCTTGTATCAACTGTCATAGATCAAGCTAATCTATTTCAGCACTTCATTGATATACTTCAAAAATTAGCTGAAAATGGTCTTCTAGTAGCAGCAAATTCTATCGAGCGATTGAATTACATTTCTAAGGTAATGTCAGAAAAAAACTATGATGCTCTTGTGAACGTAGATCACGACTTTATAGTATTATAGAACTCATCAAGAATAGAACTCAATTATATTTGCTGAACTGGTAAATTGAACTTGAAGTATATATAAGGATTTTCTTTATGGCTGGCTGCTTTCGTTACTCTCCGAAAGCTTTTTTTTCGAGTATCGATACTCATCCCTCGATGAATCCTCTGAAACCATCAAAATCTACCCAGACTCATAACCAAAACGCCGGCTTTAGCTTTACGTATTATAAAGTACGTCGATTTCTAATTAACAATATATTTGTCTTCAGTTTTTCTTGTTTCATTGATAAAAGGGAGTCAAGCTTCATAAGGACATCCTGTTTACGTCACCTGGTGCCCTTATTGGCATTACGGAAGCACGGGCTGTTCTTCTGATTCCCCTTTCATTTAAAACTACCTTTAGCAATATTTCGAAATTACCACAAAAAATCAATGGTACTAAATAGAATACGCAATCGACGCTGCAATTCCGAAGTTTGAATGTTGTTCTGCTTGCGCCGGGTTTTTTACTTAATTGAGTGTATATCACGAAAGATAAAATTGGGAAAAACTTACGCGCGATAAGATAACAAAAAAATTTAGAATGCCCAAAAATAAGATGATAGCCACTGACTGGTGCTGGACAATTCATGATATAAACAGTCGTGATATATGTTTTCGGTTCATTGGTAAGTGTACTTAAATTCAAAATTGAGTATCCCATGCAAAACCGAAAACTGTTAATTGGAATTGACATTGGCGGCACAAATTCAGATTTGGTCGTCATCGAACCAAGTCGTCTAGAAGAACAAGACAGGGGTGTTATTACATGGCACAAAGCGGTTACAACACCAAATGTTTCTATTGGGATCGAAAACTGTATTCGGACAGTCCTGGATGATGCTATTCACCGAATATCGAAAGAAGAGATCATTTCGATAACCATCGGAACAACTCATTTAATCAATGCTGTTGTCGAGAGAGATGAAAGTAAATTGGAAAAGGTTGCTGTTCTTAGATTAAGTGGACCCTATGGCAAAGATCTTCCTCCATTCGGTGACTTTCCCAATGACTTGGCCGAAATTATATACGGTTATTCAGCAACGATTGGAGGAGGTTTCCAAGTTGATGGTCAAGAAATTACAGAACTTGATGAAGCTGAAGTCAGAAAACATTGTGCTGTTATCAAAGATTTGGGTATTTACTCTGTGGCGGTTGTAGGCACCTTTTCGAACATCTGCAATTCTCAAGAGTTGAGGACAGCTGAAATTATTCAAGAAGAGATTCCAGAAGTGAACATCGTACTTTCGCATTGTATTTCAGGTATAGGATTTGTTGAAAGAGAAAATGCTTCCATCTTGAATGCAGCGATCAAAAGTTTTGCTTGCAAGATTATATACTCATTTGTTGACATGACCAAAAAACTGGGTTTAAATTGCAACATCTTACTATCTCAAAATGACGGAACCGTGCTTTCTCTTAAGGAGGCCCTTGAAGTTCCAATCAGAACATTTTCATCAGGTTCAACTAACTCGATGAGAGGTGCCTCTATTTTGTGCTCTAGCGATCCTGAAGTGAAAGGAAAAACTGTAATTGTATGTGATGTTGGAGGAACGACATCGGATGTCGGCCAGTTATTAGCATCTGGGTTTCCGAGACAGTCATCTACTTACTCTTACGTAGGCGGTGTGAGGATGAACTTTTCAATGCCTCTTGTTGAGAGTATCGGTCTTGGTGGTGGATCTATTGTTCGAACCTCATCGAATACCTTAACAGTCGGACCCGACTCCCTTGGTGCAGAGATAGTAGATAAATCTCTTTTATTTGGTGGTGATACTATTACCACCTCTGACATTACAATAGCACGATTTGTAGATGAAAGAGGGATGGAGAGCACTGAGAACCTTTATAAGATTGGAGATCCTTCTAAAGTTTGTGGTAAATTTTCGCCTGACATTAAATCACAATTCTCTTTTACTTTAAAGAAAAAATTTGAAGCAGTAATTGATAGAATAAAAACTTCACCTCAGCCCATTCCAGTGATATTCGTTGGCGGAGGTTCATTTATTGCCCCCGATTCACTAGAAGGTGTTTCAAAAGTTATCAAGCCACCTTTCTTTCAAATTGCAAATGCAATTGGAGCTGCCCTTGGAAAAATATCTGCTTATGTTACGGAAGTGAAAACTTTGCAAAATCCCCAAACTGAAATCCAGGATACCATAGATAAGTTGATAAAAAAAGCCACTGAGAAAGCGATTAAAAAAGGTGCCAAAGCTATCACTGTCGAGGTAGTTAATGTTGTATCAGATGCAATTCCCTACGTTGATAAGGTGTACAATTTCGAAGTTAAGGTGGTTGGAGATTTTGATTTTGATCATATTTTCAACAATTTTGAAGATATTCCTAAAAATCTCCTATTGAGAAGGAATAATTTGCCTATACGGGGGCCCCAAAAATGCACCAAGCTTGTCAGGCTCGACCCTCCAATATTTGATTACGCGAAATACGAGCCAAAAGTAACAGATGGAAAGTGGGTCTTGAGTGAGGTAGATATAGATTTCATCAGCGTTGGTGCGTATATTTTAGGCTGCGGGGGAGGAGGAGACCCTAATGCGCAAACAATCGAATTGAAAGCGCTCATTAGGTCAGGTACAGAAATTGTGGTTTTAACCCTGGAGGATTTTATGAAATACGTTGGAAAATCTGGAAGGGCTATCAATGTCGGTTACATGGGATCTCCTACTATCTCGGGTGAACGTTTACATGGAAACGAACTTCTTGAAGCAGTAGAGCTCATTGAACGATGGGAAGGTCGAAAAACAAATGGGATATTTCCCTTTGAAATAGGAGGAGGGAACGGTCTCTCAGGAATTTGGACTGCAGCGAAAAGAAATCTTCCATGTATTGATTTGGATTTAATGGGTAGAGCATATCCAACTCAATGGCAAACCCTGCCATCTGTCATCCATGATTATAAGGGATACCCATATGTTGCTCTATCCGATGGCAATGGTATGTCAATGATTGTTACGCGCTCCAAAGATGACGTTTATCTAGAATCCATAATTCGAGACGTGATGTATAACCACGGTGTTCAATGCGCATGTGTTGAACCATCTATGGATGTTGAACAAATGGAAAAAGAAACTATTGCAAATCCAATTTCCTTGGCTTGGAGAATTGGCAGAGAGGTGCTCATTGCGCGTAATAGTAGTGATTTAGAGAGTATTCCGAAAAGAATAACTGAAGCTGTGGGTGGAGATATTGCTGCAAAATGTCTTTTTAAGGGAAAAATTATTAGCGTTGAAAAAAAATTGGAGAGAGGCTACGGATACGGTGTCGTTGAATTAGAAAGCTTAGGAAAGAAATCAATCATTCGCATTCCGTTTAAAAATGAAAATATTGTTGTCTACGAAGTTGGAAAAGATGGGGAAGAGATTCCCATATGTACTGTACCTGATCTAATTACATTAATTGATATGGATGGTCGTGCCGTTGGTACTCAAGATTACCGATATGGATTGATTGTTTTTGTGATGGCGTTCGCACCATCGGAAAAGTGGAGTACTGAGAAAGGTATCGAGATTGGAGGTCCCAAAGGGTTTGGAGAAGCCTTTGATCAGCTTGAATACAGACCTATCGGCGAGTATGTGAGGCCCGTATCTGTATCAGAGCAGTACAACTGTACGTATAACTAGGAACATTTAGTACAAATAAGTGAATTCTGTATGAATTCTGCTAAGAGGGGCCGCGCTCCGCAGAGCGCGGCGCCTCCTGTTTTCTCCCTAGAAATCGCCGTACGAATCCTGTGAGCCGTCAAACCCCGGGGTTTTTTCAAATCACTCTCTCGCGCTTTCTGCTGATTTTTTTCCCCAAACCTACGAAAAAGAAGATGCCGGGTAACATATATTTCGTCCTGCCCAAAACTTGAATATTATCGAGTAAGCGTGCGATGTAACCTAAGCAGAAAATAGACTAGGAACTTTTCCGGCGTATTCAAACCTGAGTTGGAATGCCTAGAAAATTCCCAGACCTTGCAAAATTGATTTTTTTTAGTTTGCATACCCAAAATAAAACAAAAACCATGCCATATTAAGTAATGCGATATGTTCCGAAACTGGTAATAGAGACAAATGCGGTATTGTTTAAATCCCAAAATTTTAAACCTTCCAAACACCGCTGACGGATGAGTTACTTCTAAGGTACATGCATAGTGTAGATCAAATCACGTCATGGCAAACAGTAAAACGTGGATGAGCAAGCAACAGCAAAGTAGGTTTCAGAACGTTAAGTACAGGGACCACGAAACCGATCTGTACTTGCAACTCAGGAGCTTTGTTTGATCTAGTAGATAATCAGGTCTAGTACTTTTACATGGATCCTGCTACTCAGTGACAACAGTGTTCACCACGCGAGCCAATAGTGTTTTACCGATAGTTTTCAGGGAAACAGGAGGAAACTGGGAGTACGACGAAGCTGAAGTTGGTCGTCAACTGGGCGAAGAACGAAAAAGTTAAGTACCCCGTGCAGATCTCTCGTGTCTTTGGATACAGTCCTCAAGACGATTTCATGCATTTCGTGGAGAGTACAACGCCAAATCCAAGCGTGTGTGCCAAGCTATATACAAGAGGTCAAGGGAGAGAAATATGCTTCGTTACAGAGCAACACGAACATTCAGAAGACCCCAAATAGGCGAGTCCCTCCTAAAGACTTTACACGAATATGCTCTGCATTTTTCACCTTTTCTCTACATGCTTCTGAACATTCGGGAGTTTCCCCTGTTGATGGAATGTTTTGGTGAAGAAGACGATGTTTATGACGAGGTTGAATTGCAAGATGACCTTTCTGATGAAATAACAGTAGACGGAATCTCTCGTATATTCATCAGGATGCTACAGGATGAGGATGAACTGGGAACTGTTTTGGAAAT